ACTAAAACAGCATACACAGCTTGGTGAAATCAGCCATTTTAGAGCTAAATTAAACATGTATAAAACCAGTTTAGAAAAAATAATTTTGGTCTGAATAGCTCAGAGGTGCCATGGCACCCACTGTGTGAGAAGTGTTCATTTTAAAGTTATTAAGGTCAGGAGTTTGGTGGATCAGAGGTACGGCTGACTTGTGAGGCATTTACAGGCCCATAGTGTGTTCAACCAGACCAGAATTTGCCAGCTGGATGAGTAAAAGGAAATTTGATGAGTTGTCAGTTGACCAAGAGCTCGTATAAGATCAGCTGATCCACCGAACCTGCCAGAGCTTCATGTTCCTAAACTAATCACAGCTGTCTACTTTTTGTTATTCTAGCTTATAGATATTAGTAAAATTAGTCTCATAATAGCAATAGTTTCTTTTAGATGATATATGATCAGTTCTTCCACCTGTAAATTTCCTCTTGTGATGATTGAATATGTTCTGGGGCTTTATTCTAGTGTGATTTTAAATTGATTTTTTACTTCTTGAACACCTGCAAGTTTGAGAGCAATTTTACTTGCCTGTGGTGCAAACTTTATAACTTTGTGAGGGGAATACAAAGGTAGATACTCACTCACATAACTGCACGAAGCAGGTGAATTTGGAGGCACAGAAACATGTCAAGAGTTATCAGGATAATTTGTATAAAGAAAAAATTCTTCATGGATGTTTGATTCCTTTCATGCTTGATTTTGAAATACTAATAAATACGATGACTGCCAATTTAGACTTCTCTACAATACCATCACAAGAATACAAGTTTGCAAGTGGAAGTTTCGAGATAGTAGGTGGGCCTTGGTTTCTCTTAAACTATGCTGATACTGGGAATCATGTTGTTAATCTGTATCAGCCATCCTCCACGTCTCCTCCTCATCCTCCTTATCTCCCTCTATAACTCTTCCCCTCTTTTAAAATCTGTCTTCATCAATCTCCTCAGCCAGAGATCCTCTTGTTCTTTCCTTGACTCATTGCAGCCTACAGACTTTATCTCCACCTAGCATTCTGCTTGAGTCATACATTGCTGAATCAGACCAGTCGTCTCTGTGTTTCTAATCTTTCCCTAACTGTGAAAACCTATTATCTCTGCACTCTGCTGTCATTTATCCTGTCTAGCCACAGATATTTGAAAGGTTGAATAGGTATTTTTTGGGATTTCCCTCTTTTGAATTTGGTGGGAGGTGCGGTCAGAGGTTAGCCAGAAATGTTTACTTGCAGTACAGGATAACCACTGTTTAATGAGATTATGTACTGTGTGCCTTCATGTCAAAAGGAGGTAAGAAAGAAAGAAATTTGGCATTAAAAACACAGAGAGAAACACAGAAGTTGTGAATCTTTGAGGATGAATGTGCAAACATAACCAAAGATGGTGGGATGCAGTGTCAGACACTGGTGTTCAACAAATCCAGAGACCTTTCAGTCCGTGTTATTCTGGGCTGACCTCTTGGTACTGTTAAAGGGAAACATGCTCAGAGATATGGACCATTTTTTGGCTCCAGACAAAGTAAAGAACTGCATGCCACATCTGGCATAATCATATTTTCGACCATAACAAAGATAAGAGGTGGTAAATCAAACACAGCCTTTCTCAGAGCACTTAGACTTCTGCTGTGTGTAGAGAAACTTGAAGTTTCCTTTCATCACAAGAGAGCTTTCTGGCATTAACAAACAAGCAGTCGTTCTCCCATGCAATCAGAGCCCATACTGGACCGCCCCTCTCAGTCCCAATGTGTCTGAAAACAAAAAACCATTCTAGTAAGTTACTCACACAGTGTGAACAAAAATACACATTCAGGATGCAGTCATTTCCGACCATTACCTCTATTGTAGGACAACACGTCCTTTAAATCCTTACCCTGATGCATACTTTTACAAACATTATCCATCTGAAATTTTCAAAGTTGCCATCTGCCACAAGTGTTTCCATGGGAAGGCAAGAGAAAAAGCTACGAAGAAGCAGCACAATGTCAGGTACAGTGTACCGGGAAAATAACCAGTGCACTGGCTCCCAATTAAGTTTAATATTCATTATGAAAACGCAAAAGTCTTCCCAGAAATCTTGTCACAGCGATGGAGTCAGCAGCGTTGATCTCAAGTCTTCTGCAGCTTAGAGTAAACTGTGTCCTCCAAACAATTTGTAATAATATTTGCTCATAATGGGATTAAATGCTAATAAAAAGGGTTGCAGTCACTTGCTCAAACAGACCACAGTGCTTAGAGCCGGTTAGATTTGATGTCCATGACACTGAGTCTCATACAATAAGTCAAACCCCTGTCCAATAGGAGTGTTTCAACCCATCCACTCATTACTTCTAATACCACAACACACACCCAACAGTAATCTGCTTCAAATATATATTAGCCTGTCTACTTTCAAAGCAATACCTCGCAAAGTATGCAGCCTACTGTTTCAGGTATTATTGTCAAGTAATGTCATGTAAGGAGTGCTGTTGTAATGAGTATTAGCACAGGTATGTTGTACGCCCTAGGCCATAGCAATTCATTTTGAAAAGCACCAGTGTTGTTGATATTAATGGATTTCCTCTTATTTTCCAATCAGAGTATTTGGTCCAATCTAATGGTTGCATAATCAAGCAATCAGCTATAATAGAAGGGGTGCTATACTGAATATCAAAATGGATTGCACAAGGCAACCACAGCTGAGCCCATACACTGTATCAAAGATAATGAGGCACAAGGATACTTGAGGACTAACTTGGTCTACTGTAAACCAGCTCGTGTTGACAGCCTCTTGCCCAATCAGATTGCCTGTCTGAACAACATTGTGTTGTCAGGTTATGGACCAAAAGATGAGGCTTTGATACTGACTCCTGTCACCATTGTGTCTCTCTCACCAGACAAAGTCAACACTCTTAGCCCCAACCCCCTTCAAAAGCTAGCATCATGCTCTGTAGCTTTGATATGCAGACAGTCACATACTCGCAAATATCACAGCGGAGCAGCACAGATGGTCAAATAGCGGCTCGCAGGGCTCTGTACAGACGTTACCCTCAACACGTCATCACGTCTGAGGTTCAGCTTCAGTTCATCGACGTAACACGCACTTCAATGGACGGTACCGACCGTAGGTAAATGTCAAACAATCGTGCAACTCACCTTCGACGGTAAAACGTGAAGAGTTTAATGGAGTCCAGTGCCAGAGCCTTAATCTTGAGCAGTGTTTTTTAACAAACTTTCAGAGAGCAGGAAGTATTTTGTAACTGTACTCTGGATGAGTCTGTACCCCTCCTCTCCCTCACATCTGGTCCCTACACTGAGGGAGTTCCTCCCATCCACGCAGCTGTCCTCTGCTCACCCACTCCTCACTCTTAGTACTGCTTTTCATGAGTCAAAGGAATTCCCTTCTGGTTCTGATTTTGTTTTCAATCGTTAATTTGAAGCTTTAATAATAAAAAAAAGAGAGACTGCACGGATGAAGCTATATTTCTATTCCAGACGGTTGCATTCTGCACGAGCTCGTCAAAAACTCGTTTGCTCGATGGCGCGAGGTCAAATAAGTTCATGTTTTACGACAATGATCAAAGTGTGTGACAGACCGTGAAGCATGGAGACTGGCTGCTATGCATTTAAAATGTTGCTGACAGACGATACAGAGACTTATACAAAATCATAGACATCAAAACCAAGGGTTTTATGTTTTTATGGCTGAAGCCTGCTTTGAATGTTTGTCTTGAGAGTTATGCCTTTGCCCGCTTTAATTGAAATGACACTGACCTTGCAGCAGAGTATTTCCTAGACAGAAATATCTTTAGAATAATTTATCCTAATCCCAAATGTAAAAACCCCCATGCATATATACATAAACTAGATGACTCTACTGAGCCATCCTATACTGAATCAGTTTATGAACAAGGTTAAAAGATGAGGATGCATAAATATATTGTTGCAAATGGCTTGTTATTTTCAACAAGCAACTAAAAGGGCATGAGGGTGGTCACATTTTAGTATTCTTTGTGTTCTATAATTAAAGGACATAAAGAACAAAGACACAAATAAGCAATGTTCCTTCTGAGTAAGTATTGCATGCCTTGTTTCTGACCTTTTTAAATATGCAGTGAAATAAAATGGAGAAATAAATATGTGTATGAGCTGCAAACTATGACATTTCTTCTCTGGTGTAATCTTCCCATGTGCACTAGAGTGAGAAATCCTGGCTGCAGGGTGCTTTGTTTCCCCAAGATTAACAATTTTAGATTTATCATCCTGGAGACACTTGGTGTTTGGACATTTCTCTTCGAACAAATATTTTCCATCATAGCTTTTACATCCTGACATAACTCCTCCATGCTTGTAAAACCTTTGAGCGTGGGGGGGGGATATGCAGCCAAAGTGATAGTCAGAGGAGAAGAGGTAGAGTGCTTGCATGTTACAGCAGACACCAGCCAAGCTGCCATGGCTGCAGGAGAACACAGAGCTGCTGAGAGAAGGAAGGGAGAGACGCACTGCCTGATCTCTGTCCATCACTCCACCCCTCCTACAAGCATGGGATCAGCTTCAAAACACTCTCAAACCTCCATCCATCACTCACTTTTCTGTTTTCAGCAGGTTATCTTCAGGGCAGCCGGAGAAAGGGTCTGTTGTCATGGTAACCACTCCAGCTCCTGGATGGAGCCCAGGGTTGTAAAAGTGAAGAGAAGGAGCCTGTAACAAGCAAAGTCTGTTCCCTTCCAAGTCCAAGATTTAATGGAAAGGGTCACAGGGGGAGAGACAGGCGTCCAAGCCAACATTTGAGCACATCTACATCAAGATTACACTGAAAGAGATGGGACCCACCAGTCTTTCATTGTAAACTCATCCTGGCCTTACGAGAGTACTGTTAAAAGGGGAATAAATTGGCTTGATCATAATGACCAAACGAGAAAACACAAGTTGAGTTTAAGGAACATAAAGTGGGTCAGAGACAGCAAAAACAGACGAAAGGGAAACAAGAGGAAGCAGCCAAGACTGTGGATGTTGTTTTTATCAAGTTCAGTTTGTCGCCTGGTTGTTTCCCCGACTCCAGAATACACGATTACATCACACCGAGCATGGGAAACTTCTCCAAGCCAACACACAGCCGCAGAATATCTCACTTATCTCATTTAATTGTCAACTGCAGAGAAATTCATCAAGTGGACATCATCCTAACACAACACACATTCTTTTTGCATTTACTCAAAAAACAAGGATGATCATGCAGCGAGCGGAGTGCACTTGAAGGCTTTTAATTGTAGATAACAACCTTCAAGAACAACAAATACATCTTTGGCCAAAACCTTGTTGTGAACCAATAAACTGTTATTTTCCTCTGCTTTTGTGGCGGCACTGGTGACATTACAGTAGTCTAATCCTATGGTAAGTGAAGTTGACATAATACATATTTACTTGACAAAGAGTAAATAAATAAGCTCGACATTAAACAAGACCTCAAAAACCAAAATAGCCTTTCACGCACTCAACAATTGTCTGTTTTTGTCATGGATGAAAGAAAACTCTTGTCTTGGAAGTCTTTGAAGCCATCTTGACAACCACGGCTGCTGGAAACACAGAGGACAGGCAGAAAAAAAAAATTAAAACCCACTTTTATTGCCACCACAAACATGTTTTATTCGCATAAATGTATCTTCCACAGACACAAAACGGGAAATAAACAACTTCAGGGTTTCCCTGGAATTCTACAAGCAACTTGTGCTGTCTACCACTGGCACCATCTCTTCTATTTTCATGGTCTTCTACCTCCAAAATAAAGCCCTCCAAATATTTTTATATGATACAATTATATAAATCAGACAAATAAACAAATCTGTGTGGAAAGAGATGAGGAAAGTAAAAAAAGGCAGAGATCACAGCCTAAAGACATAGTATGGACTGAATCACAGAGTGACAGGGAATCAGATTGATCCAAAAACAAGGGTAGCTGGACTGAGCTAAAACTACTTTCCACTGCAGTTCATCGTGACAAGAAGGACAGGAAAGATGGAGCACAGTAATGGTTGTTTAAGGTGGGACACAGGGGCTTTGAAGACCCTCATGGGGTTTTTAGGGAGTTAGCCAAGGAGCTTAACCCCAAATAACTCCACTGTTTTCCAAGGTTGATGTAAACAAGCGTCTCTGCTGATGAAGTGGCAGGCTGATGGTCTGCATAAGCAGCATCCTCCCTGGATAGATTATAATCCCACTGCGTATTCTTTAGAGATCCAGGTCCTCCTGGTGATGAAAACAACAGAAAAACCACGGCTGATTTTGGCCTATCAGGATCTTTTCAAGTTTGCGTTGAACATTTCCACACGGTGACATCTGGTTGGCAACAAATTGAGCAGTTTGTTGAGGAAAACAAAACAAAATAAGCTTCTTCCCTGTATTTCATCGGCTGTTTGTGGCGAGTTGTTCCAACTTGACAACTTTTCAGACTGTGAGCCGTTTGATCTCTTGATGTTCTATCAAGATTGGTTACCAGATGCAGTAGCATAGGAGGCTCAACTTGTTGAACAAGACCCAGTTCTCAGGTGGCCACAGATGTGACAATCTGGACCACCTCACCATTCTCGCCCTGGATGGCACCCTGGATGGCCTCTTTCACTTCCATGTCTGCCTGCAGGGCTGGAGCTAGCTCAGCAGCCTGGAACACAGGAAAAACACTGAGATGTTAGGTAGGAAAATTAAGCAGAGCCAAACGAGAGAGAGAGAGTGAGAGGGTTCCTGATTCAGAAAAGCAGTTTGCAGCAGGATAGCTGATGTCGTGCACGATAGAGGCAGTGCATGGTGACTGAAGAAGGCTGTAGAGAAACAGGACAGAAGTTGTAGGTACACCAAACTGCAGTAAAAACTCAGTGAAGTTTAACACAATACTTTTGTGGTGCTTGCATTTACCTATCACAAAATCTATACTAAATGTTAAGATGTAACTGCTTCGGTATATTTGGACCTTGCTTAAACTCTGTGGTGTTTTTCGTAAGGAGGAGTGACTCGACAATAGAGATCAGAGGAGAGAGATGACAGAGAGATTAGGAATGAGCAATGACTTAAAAAAAAACAGGATGACAGGTGACAAGAGATATCCCAAGTGATGGGTTTTTGTGTTTCAATGCCTTCTGACTGTCGCTACAGCTCATGTCAGACAGAGTGAGTTTTTTGTGGCTAAAGAACTCTTAAGAGATGAGAGAAGTTCATGACTCAGTCCTGGATGATGACCATGAGTAGTGACTCACTCCTTCCTCGAGTGTACACCAAAGGTTCCCTCAAACACACCTGCAGCATTTAATCCTCCCTCCGACCCAGCATGCTGTCACTAGACAATAGCAGTGAGTGGTTCACAGCTGCACCACAGCAGCATAAACACAAAAACAACACATGAGGCTGACACACTGTAACCACTGGTGGTAAAAAATAAATAAAAGGCACACTAAAACTAACATTAACCTTTTAATCAAGATTATAAAGCACACATGACCAGCCTTGCTCTCATTTGTCAGCAATGGAAGATAAATGTTCTTTTGCCTTGACTTTTTTGCAGCAAAACCTGGTCTGGTTTTTCTGTTTAAAGACTGCTCACATCAAGCATTGGTCCAGAGTTTAGGCCAGAGCTCAGCAGAGTCATAGTGCATGGAAAAACAAGCCACAAAATTCATCACAAGCATGCACAAGTGGCATCTGAAATGCAAAAATGTCTTTGTGTTAACCCCAGCTTTATCTACTGTGCGTAATGGAAACCATTAAATAAAGAGAAAGGAAAAATGCAGAGATAAATAAATACTAAAGCCTAAGTAATTTTTCAAGAATTCGTATAAACGCTTCCACATGTCTGGAGACGGATGAGAGTAATTCCCTCGATTCAACACTTTTCAGAAAGACAGAAAAAGAACAGCGCTAACCTTTCTGTGAACTCTGAACTTTAAAGTCAGCTTTATTTACATCCCAGGACACTAAAACACAGCTAAACACAGCTAAACAACCCATCCTTCACCAGACAGGCCTACTATCTTTTCTCTGATTTGGACTCATTGACTTTGTGAGTGCAGATTCTTTCTGTTCTCTGTCCTCTTCGTGCAAGTGCTGTCATCAGTTATTACAAGGTGGATTATTATTGTATCTTTGACCATTACTTTTTTTTTTTCTTTTTAACAGAAATTTTATTGTTTGTTTTACAAGCAGCACAACACTTTTCCTGTCCACATGCCCTCACTGAACCCAAAGATGGCTGGTCAGCCGTTGGGCCAGCTTTGCTGAGTTTTGTTCAAGTCTGTGTGCAATCAAACAACAGGAAAAAATGACCTCTTTTAAGACTCAAAAATCACTTCAAACAAATCAGTTGAAGTAAACAAGCGTTTTGATTGCTCGCTGTGCCAAGCAACATGGAGCACAGGCATTTGTAATACACAGCATGGTGTGCAAACCATTTTGTACGCCTGTAAATACATAAACAAAGAGCATTTTGGTGTGAAACCATTCCTTTCTCTACATGCAACAGCATTAATGAAGACAGGAAGCTTTAATTACCTTGAGGCTCGCAGAGGAAAAAAAACAATTACCTGGACAACCACTGACAATAAAAGACAAGAGAACCAAATCAACCGCACGGCTCATCCATGTCTTTACCCTCCACTTGTTTCAAAGGGAAGCAAACATGGTCACCCCTACTACTACAAAGGGATCTATAGCAGGACATGGCTGGTATTAGCAGCCATTATGCAACTGAAGTTCTCCTTTGTTTCTTCAATAACAACACAACAAAGACTCCACTAACATCAGGGTTCACGTGGAGAAAATTTGGACTTGAGGGGGGAGAAGTAAAAGGATCAAATCTTCAACAGAAAGCAGGGAGAACAATGGTAATGTTCAGCTCTTTTCTATTCTTTACAGAGTTAACCTCACCACTTCAAAGCCTGCTGTGCTGTGAGTCTGCGCACCATCCTGATTCCACATGTGGCTGTTTCCTAACAAGCTCAAGCATCGCCGGGTTTAAGGTATATCTTAGTCCTCTTTTACCTCTAACACTGCATTCATTCCAACTCATTATGTTGAGTTACTGTGGGTCCTTTAGAATGACTGAAAGCTGTGAGGATATTACACACAAACATATTGCTATGAAGGTATCTCTTTAGGGTAAAATCTCTATTTCACCACTATAACAGGTATAATATAATGGAACAGGATTTCTAGCTGCTACAGCGACCTGTATCACTCTCACCTCTGTCCATCTCTCTCTTTCTGCATCTCCCTCTATCCCTTCTCTAAATCTAGTGCAGTAACAGCAGATGACTGTCTGACATGAATCCAGTTCTGCTTAAGGTTTCTGCTTGTTAATGGAAGTTTATCCTCTCAGGTGTAACTTATAAATACTGCAAGTGCTTGGCTCATGTTGGTTTGAGATGGGTGCAAAGCGTCTATAACGGGATAACGGTTATTGTGATTTGGTGCTATAAAAAATAAAGATTGATTGATCTAAATATTGGGACAAAGTTTCTTTTAAAAAAAAAGTCTATCAATTTTTTTTTTTCAAAGTTAAACAATGAGTTAAAGACCGAGTAACAGGGATGAGCTTTGATGGACACTTTCAGCCAGTCTCTGTTTGTACTGAATTAATTTTGTGTTTGAATTGTTGTCCGAGCAAAAGGTGTAGCTGTGTTATTCATTTGTTTACTAATTTGTTTGGGATGACAAAGCATTTGGTATTGACAGTTATGTAAATGTTATTGTGTGGCCCCGACAGGCACCATTACCATGAACCGAGAGGCCAGCAGGAGGACTGTGTTAAGTTACGTTTGACAAAGCAAGCTCACATAAACTGACAAGTGTGATACTAGACTGAGTTATTAGTAGCAGAGAGGCCATAACCTCATCCTTGGCATTATAAAGATTTCAGGGGAAAAACTCGAGGTAAACTGAAGCTGCATTCAAAGAAACACTTCGTTATTACGTGTGCTAACTTCCTGTGATGTTTTTCACCAAATAATTTCTAGGAACAAATGAATTCTAAAGAGATTTTCTTAATTAGAAACACACAACTTTGATTCTAGTTTACAGTTATTATCTCTAAGTATTGAAAATGCTGAGATTTGTTTCTTCTGGCAAAGCGCTGAGTACAGATTAATCATATCTGTCAAAGACTGTCACTGGCTGTATTTTCAGATTTAGAATGGGAAAGAGATGGGAAACACATTTTTTCATTGTAGACGATTCAAAACAGAATCGTCTAAGCTGGACTGACTTCGATTTCATCTGTTTCATCTCAGATGATAGCTGCCTGTGGAGAACAAACAAAAATATCTCTGTGTACATGTGTAAAAATGTGTGTTTCTGATCTTTTGTGTGTTGTGTTACCTGTACTGCAGCTGCATGATCTGCAACAGGAGCTAGTTGGACATACTGCACTTGGATGTCAGGGGGGAGGGGAGAGCCTTCAACTGCTGTAGCCCCGCCATCAGCTGACGCCACAGCTATGAGCTGAGCTCCACGCAGCACCTACAAGGAGGGAGTAAACAGAAATAAAGTCAGCCCAAACCTTTGTTAACAGACTCATTTTATCATCATGAGCATCAATCTCTTAAAAAAAAAAAAAGTGTGAAACATCCTTGTCATTAGCTTACCCAAGACTTATAAAGCAATAACCTGATCGGCCCTTCAATGATCTAAGCACTCACCACTGGAAACATGAGCCAAATAAAAGCAAACCACAGAAGGCCTCATTTATGTCTTATTTCATGTGTTTATGTTCCTTTGTTGATTACAGCAATCAATGTGTGTACAAGTCAGTATCAAACAAACATACCAAGAGACTTCAGGGGAAAGAAAAAGTCATGCAGGGGTATCTGAGTGGAGTAAATAAACATTTCTGTCCTGCCGCTCTCACTCCTTCTCTTACTGCATTCTGTTTTTACATCATGTTGGAGAGAAACTTTATAGTTCGTTCAATTCAATTATATTTTTTACAAGTTTTCTTTTCCTGGGCTCTATAACGCGGCGTGCTTGTTAAGATTCATTTTTATCAGGATTCGTTTCATGTAAGTCATTTTTGACAAAGTTATTAAAAAAAGCAACTGGCAGAGATATGTGAGTGATTCATGGGGGGGGGGGGGGGGGGCATTGAAAGTCGGCCAGGCGACATCAGAGCTCTGAGGTTTCAACGCACTAATTACAGAGCAGCACGGGCAGCTGGTGTGTCATGGGGTATTCCTATGGCCCGTCGAGGCCTTTCCTATAGATAGACTGAGACCACTAACACAGAGAGGACAACGTTTGTGTGTGTGTGTGTGTGTGTGTGTGTGTGTGTGTGTGTGTGTGTGTGTGTGTGTGTGTGTGTGTGTGTGTGTGTGTGTTTGTATACAAGTGGCTCACACACATGCTCTGGGAGTAGTGGAGCACTGCTGTTAATTTGAATGGCATAATTCCCATGTGACAACAGACATTCAAATTAACATACAATCATCCTGTCAACACGGACACAGAAAAAGACGAATGGAAGGAAACATTCACTGAGTTTTTTTTTGTTTGAGGATGTTTGTTTTAATCAGAGAAGAGGTCAGAGACAACACTTCTAACCTCCAATGTGGCCGGAAGCTTTCCAACAAAAACGTTCTTAAAGAGAGGGGTTGAAATAAAAGGCATTCCGACATGAACTGACAGCATGGTCTCATTTATGTTTTTGCCAGTTTTCATGGCCTCGAATCGAACACAGCCCTCAGTATCTCCTGTCTTGCAGATTTCATGTGCGTTGCCTTTGTGTGCTTTCCCTGCCATGTTATGTGAGGTCTCGGTCTCCAGTTCAGCCGTCTTCCAGCTGCATTCAGTGCCGGGACTGGCAGGGGCATGCTCCACAGACATTCAAAAATTTAAAGGAGAATATGCAAGCCTGCAGAAAAACCCGAACCCTCACAAACCACAATTACAGACGATGTTTGTTGCCCCCTAACCCTTTCAATCCCAGAGTCCCACATTGCCTTCGAGTCTCCAAGTCCAACCTTTGCTTTGAAGTTCTGTGCTAGCGACAGGCACCAAAAGTTCAGTCAACCCACCCCCTCTATTAACCCACCAGCTTGCTTCATCATCTAAGACACTTTGCCAGTTTTACCACAAAATCTGCCGCCTCACCGCCATAACACGCCAAGCCCGGCTGAGCCGATGGAAGCTATTAGTGTAAGACGTCTGCGTGACTCACCCGATCAGAAAACCAGGGCACTCTGAGAACAGACATGGATCGAGGCTAAGTGAGCTAGTCTCTTTGAAACCAAAAGACTGCTAAGCTTTGGTTAAATGAATCAGTGTTTGATCACCCATAAAGCATTCCTCACCAGTTAGAGCGTTAGCCGAAAGGACTGGTGTTACCAGCGATCACTCTGTTAAAAAAATAATCATTTGATGAGCTGGAAAACATGCGTAGTTGCTTTTGAGCGTTTATCGGAGGGAAAAATCAAAACCATCTTGATGGCTTAAACTCAAGGCTAAAACCAGTGGTCAGTTAGCTTGGCTTAGCTTAGCACAAAGACTCGGAGCAGATGTCTAAGCTAGTAGCGCCCTGATATCGACGCATTAAAAGAAGTGCCAAACAATTTCATGTAGTATGCAGCTTTGACATATGCATTCTCTCAGAGGATTAATCAACGTCAACAGTCAGCTCACTACTGACAGTGCAATAATAAATGCACAGCCAGCTGCTACAGCATATCCTCATGGCACACCCCTATAGAGATGCATCCTCATCCTCACACTTCATCACATTGTTTCTTTTTGGGGATCAATCTGGGTTTCCGCCAAGTGCTCATCTGTCTGCATTCGTGTGAATGTGACAGCCTGTGTGCGAGTGTGTAAGCTCAAACACGATTATGTGTTGGTGCTGTCTAACTTGTGTATCTAAGTGTATAATTACCCAAGTTCAAGAGATGCTACGGTTGATACTTGATACCGTAAACCCTTGTCTTATTCAATTAGCTTCTCCACCTCCGTTTGAGAGCAGTTTGCATTCTCAGCTGTGAGGAGCCGCACACAGAGGCTCATAAAAGCATTTACAGAGTTGGAACGGTGTGTGAGATCTCTGCAGCGATTACACAGGAACTTCTGCAGTCCACATCCTGTCCCACGACTCAGTTAGTTAGAACATCTCATCTTCACTTTTGGGGCGTGCTAATGTCAAGCTTGGCTTTAAATACCGACTCAGTCAAAAAAGTCAAAAGCTAGATCCAGACCTAAAAGATGCACAACCACTGCACCGAAACCGTCCAGAGAGTGTGCCCAGAGGATTAATATCAGGCCTGTAGGATCATTTTCTCATATTAGCAGAAACTATTGGTTTGTTGTTTATGATTACTCCGAGACTGGAAGTACATACAAAAACCCTATTGAGCAACTTTTAGTGATTCTCTGAGTACTGATGATAATTACATCTCATTTAGCTAATTGGATACAATCATCATCAAGCTGTTTGGCAATGACGCAGAAACAAAATTGCATTTTGGGGAAAGCATTTTGGAGGGAGAGGTTGAATCATCAACAAATCCAAATCATAAGAACAAAGAACGGCACTATATCGAAGGAAGAGAAATGTCTGAGGAGGCTTTCTTGGAGCAGATGAGTCCCACGACACTAAGAACCTTCACAGTTTTGTCTAAATGCATCAGTTTTCATCCGAGAGCTGGGATGACTCACTGAAAATGCAGCTTAGTATATTAAACTTGACATAGTGAGCTCAATATGTCATGAACAGGGGCCGCGATCTGATCGTAAGTGTATTAACTACTGCTGACCTCGAGGTTTGATGAATAGCAATCCTTAAATAATCAGCACTGACTGGCTGCCCACCACCGTGCTGGAGGTCCATAGAGCAGAGCAGACGAGCAAGATTAAAGAGCAGCAAGACAAGAAGAGCAGAGAACAATCGAGAGCATCTTAAATTCTCTGCAGGCTTCGCTCGCTTGCTGCCATGGCCTTGAGAGAAAAGGGGGAAGAAAAAAATAAATCTTTTGCTGATGCTGTAATGCCTTCAGTAATGGATTCAGTACATGGAGAAGAGACAGAAAAATGAACAACAGCAGCAGTTTGATGCAAAAAACATCCATGACTGCTACGACTGAAAAAACAATAAACAAATGCACCAACAAGGCTTTGCCCTGTCCTGCGCCTGTCTGGTAGTTATATCTTGTACTTTTCCTTCTTTCTGTTTCACGTGAAACTACTTAAACATGAACAAAGATGACCGTAAAAAATATACGCTAATGCCCCTTCGTTTTCATCTTTCTCCTTTGTTGCACTCAAGGTTTTGTATCCTTAAGAAAATCTGCTTCCACAGCGCACATATTTTGTGCAAGCTGGTATTGATTCCCAGGCGCACAGGAGGTCTCAGTTAAACTCAGCTGTTCTTCGGACGATGCTATGAGTCACCAGCTTGAAGTGCATTTATGTGTGTTTGTGTCTGAGGATGTTTTTTAAAGATTCTGCTACACCCTCGCTGCAATTAAAGCACAGTGGAATCACCATAACACAAGAAACTCCTTTAAGAACACATAAGACAGATTTTTGTGTGCTTTAGGAAAAGAGAAATGTGGTTCCTATCATTCTCAAAGGAATGCCTCCTCTTCTTTCAGATGTGACAAAAAAAGGGAAATGTAAAAAGAAACATTTGGACTTTGGAGTGGCTGGAACTTCCTCCCGGCTTCACAGCCGTCAACAACATCTGCAACTGCCAACGCTGGACAGATGTCCAGGCAGAAACAATATCTCCGGGTGGGTAGGTGGGGTTAAGGGAGGGGGGGAAGAGAAGGCCTGGCTGTGACTTGGCTGTAAATGTACCCAAAGACACTGCGATGCTCTGAGTGCTTCTTTAGTGAAGACTGGGAAAAAGAAAAGGAAGACACTGGCCTACATATTTCTCATAGTGGTCATCAAATCTTCGTTATACAAGCCGTTCTTGACTCTGTAAAATGAGTATGCAGACTGTAACAGAGCTGAAGGATCAGTCGAAGATAATCATGTTGGCAAAGTTGATGTTTTGATCTTATTTAGCAACAGAGCTGAGTATTTCTGCGAATCATTCTGAACAAGCTTTGATTTAAAAAAAAATCATTGTCCTGCTTGACCCCTGACCTTCGAGCCTGGGCCATGGCTTCCCATCTCCACCCACACCCTGACACTGTTTCAGCACCTGCATCCAATCAAACCCCCCCCTTGCATCCTTTGCTCCAAAACTTCCACCGGCAGACTGAGAGTCAGATTCAGATGCAGCTTAGAGAGAGAGAGAGGTTTTATGACAAAACCAGCTCAACTTGTATCCTGATCCAGAACCAGCAAATCAAAGTAGAGATGCTGATGACAAAAATAACAGCAGTAATTAAAAGTCAGGGCCCCTTAAAAACAAAATGGGAGAAAATTCAACTGAAGGTTCTTTCTGTTCTCTCCAGAGCAATCCAAACTTGGCCTCCCTAATCAACATAGGCAGTTTTACGGAGCCTGTAAATTTCATGATTTAAGATGATGGCTATATCATGTTTTCAATTATCCGGCTATATTCAAAAGGAGCCAGAGGACGTGATATACACAGGTTGTAAAACTCAACTAACAAAATACCACACATCACAAAATCTTGTCATTACACACTATTTTCTCAGAGTCAGAAATAGAGAAGTACATATTGATGAATGCATGTCCCGCTCTTTAGATCACATGATGTTCTTTTAGCAAAACTGACAATGATTGATTCGTCTCAATCCTTTTTCAGCTCTGGCACTGCTTTAAATATTCAACACAAAGAAGAATGCTTTGGAAATAAGGTTTGAAGACTTGACATATCCACATAAGCTAACACTGAACCTTCAAACAAACTCTCCCAGAGAGGACTTAGAGGGCCCTGAACCTTAATGAACTTCTGACAAGCTGTAGAAAAACCATCCAACTGTTCTCCTTCAAGTCTAAAGTCACCTGTCAGTTTTTATCAGCGAGCTGAACACTGGATTTAAACTCATTGAGGCATCATATCTAACAGATACAATCGCTTTTGAAGAGATCTGCTCGTGTGCTGCTTCTGGTTAAAGAGAAAGAAAACATGAAGAGTTCAGAGGACTTGACACAGCTCCAAATAACAACCACTTTAAAGCAACTTTTGTCTTTTCATTTTTCTATATAACATGTGCTAATAGAGTGCCTGGTGGTTAATCAGTGATGCCTGCTGAGAAAAGCAGTGTTGTGGCCAAGCAGCAAACGCCGCTCAGGAGAGATGCCTCTAGTATCTGCCTGTTTTGACTACAAGTATCTTAATTATAGCAGGGTACAGTTCTGGAGCTGGGGATAGAAAGAGGAAAAAGAAATGAGTGTGGTTGTGCCTTGTCTTCTGTATATTATGCAGAGTCTAACTGTATATTGTTGTGGGTAAAAAGATGCGGTCTAAGTGTCGTACTCTGTTATCATTCCCAGCATGAACTAACTTTTTGCTGTTCCCACACTGTGTCATCCCTTTAGTTTCCTTTTCACTCACACAACAGCTTGACTTCATCTCACTCCATTATTTGCTGCATGTATCAGCATAAAAATCAGACAGTAATCAGACTATAGTGTTTGAGCAAGAAATGCTTATTCAGACTGTGACTCTAATGTTTGTCATATACTTCGATGAAGATGTTTAGACGACAGTAATACGACATTGGCTTGGTTCACATAAACCAAGAGTCTATGTTGATGTACATATTTATGCCATGACTGTCACTATCAGGATGCTGTTGAAACCAAAGGATGAAGAGCGCTGTATGTCTGGGACTGATGAGGAAGGGCTGCACAGGGCCTGTGCTGATGTTGAGTCACACCAACATAAATCAAATACATCTGTTCCCTCTTGCTCTGCCCACAAAGACAAAAGTAAACACTGCTGGGGGTACCCTCCTCTGCACTGCTCTGAAATGCTGAGTAATAAACAAACACACTCATCCACACACACTGACAAAAATAAGGATTCCCCGATCTGTTGCACTTTATCTCCAGGCCAAAATGCCACAAGGACACAAAGCAGACCACTACTCCTTTGAAACACAATCCACCACTAGCCCTCTAAATCCTACAATGCTTACGTACATCCCACTTACACCAAACATCAGTCATAAAACATCTTGTTTGTATCTTTTCATCTCCTTTCAACCCCCCCTTTTGCACCGTGAATCACAGGAATCTCAACAACCTCCTTACACACAAGAGGACCGACATTCTTGAGCAGGGAGAGAGAGAAAAAAAAAGGACAACTGAGAAACTCGGGCCACGAGCCAGCTGTTTGATTCCAGCACAAATCACACCCTGATTCAGTGAGATCAACCCTACACATTGTTTAGGCATCTGCTTTGTGTACAGAAATGACAAGTCATGTGATACTGTACCAGAACAGAATATCCTTATTGAAGGGTCTGTTGACTTTGGCACAACCCACAGACGTACACAACTTAAACAAGGACACTTCAAGTGCATTACAAGTTCAGAGGAGGAGGAGGAGGAGGAGCTGAGGTCGAAATACATTAATTCATCTGTTTCCTCTTCATCTCTTCTTTATGACCTCACTTTATTCCCTCATGTTTCCTTGCATTGCCCCCATCATTCTTCCACAAAATGTACAGCCTGTACTTTTGCGGGTTCTGTGTTAACAAGGCCTCGCAGCACGGATGGAGGGACCAGTCAAGATGGACCAGTGTTCTGTGACCCACTTCTCACAGTGACCGTGAATAATGAATCTTGGGACAGTGCAACAGATGCACGGCAACATGTGCTGACAGAAAGAGATGGCAGGGGTTCAAGTAGGGTGAGAAAGTGAGGTGGGGAATGAGTTCAGGCTCTTGACAATCACATCTAAAGCCCCCGATGGGCGGCATTCAGGTCCGTGGTGAGTAAATGACGCAGGGTGATGACAGAGCAGTAAATCTGAAAAGTAAATGGCTGCCTCTTGAGGCGGGCTGGATTTTTCACACTGTCACGCCATAGGTTTACAAGAGAGTTACAGAATCACCAAGTGGTATGTTTTTTTTCTTTTTAATGTTCTCTGTGGCACCTGGCTGAATATGTTTGTTTAGCCGTGTTTTTGTACAATTCGCAGCTCAAATGGTCACAGTCTTGAATCATAAACGGGGGAAAAAAAACTCCTTTCCAGACGGTCTGCCTTTTTGGCTCTCGCTTTTTTCCTTTTTCCCCTCCTCCTCATCAGTCGCTCCTTTCATCTTTCACTTCTCCATTTGGTCTGCATCAGTGCTGGGTATGATCACAGCTCAGAGAGAAGGGCACCAGATAAGAGGCTCTGACGGACAGGGGGTGCAGTAAAAGACTTGTTATTTCATAGATTCATGGGTCTGCTTTTTCATCTGTCCGTAAAACAGGGTTTTTACGAGCACAGAGAGAACATAAGCCTGATTTTGCTCAGATTGTCAGCTAGCACAGCTGAGCCATGATCAGGCTATGCTGGCACAGGCGGAAGTAAACGCAGATACAAAAACAGGTGAGGCAAAAGGAAGTATTTAATTAGTGTAAATAAATAGAGTGGATGCATGAAGCAATGCTGATGATGTTGACGACCTTGTTTAACTAAAACCCAACCACCCACATCTCACCTGAATAATGCACCTTTTGGAGCTGCTTCTGTTGTGATCCCTGTTTCCAGATCAGGGATGTACAAACATCACCCTTCACTGCAAAGCTCCAGAATTACTGGTTACATTCCTGGTTGATTGATAACTATTTCTATTGTTGTAGATAATCCCCAATCCCAAAATTGATCCCCAGCATTATCCAGGTATGTTAGTCAGACTATGAGAAGTTTGGTTTAGTGCCATTTTAGTCAGACTAACATGTTAACATGCATTTTAAAATCCAGTTCCAGTCGCACTATTGCAACAAAATGATTTTTTTGAGTGCATGTAAATGTGCTGACTGTAATCTACTAACCCCATCATGATACTTTTTAATTATGAATATTTTTACATCATGGATGAGTCAGTTTTGGAATCAGGCTTGTTAACACAGTTGTTTTCATAATAATGTGGTCCCAACGCTAAATGCTGCCCAAAAATGTTCAACGCCATGGATTTAATTCTACGCTCACTAATAGGATTCATGAGAAAAAACTGCTGACGACAAATATCTGCAGAACACTTGCAGTATGTTTGGACCACCGAAACGTGGCAAGAATCCTCACAGACAGATGCTAAAAGGCAACAGGAGTGATGCTTGCTCCATTCAGGTTGTAGTCAGAAAACTGGAAAATATGAGTCAGGCCATTGCAGAATCTGGTATTTGATGGTGAATTTCCTCAATAGGAAAAACAGTCATGTGCAGGGGGGCATAAAAAAGGCATAACGTGCATAAATTAGGAGATCCCAACTGAGCCACTTAGAGTGTGACAACTTATCATTTTCCAAAGTACTAGATCTTAGTGCAGCCAAGATTCACCTCAAGGGTATGAACATCTGACAGTGACCTGGAGTGACTGGATGAGGCAGGTGGTCTTTAAAAGACAGGTGTAAGCACGGCTACATATCTCAGGGAGGATCTAAACCGTGTGAGGGTTAGAGGCGAGAAAAGCAGCCCGAGGGTAAGAAAAATCGGAGCCCTTCCGTGATGACTTGCATATGCTAGGCTACACTAACATAGCCTCAGTGCTATTCTGCCAGATTACAAAAACAGTGACATCATGCATAGCTTATTTGATTTAAGTCTCTCTGTAAACATACAAATTACACATTTAGAAAGCACACATCAGGAAAACTTCTAATCTGTATTATCTTTGTTCAAAGATCCTCAAGTCTTGTCCAAGATACATTACACTTATCGTGATCAAGACATCATATTTCATTTGTATGGAAGGATATCTGGGAAAAATGATTTATCTTATGAATGGCTGCTGTGGCTAATATCATACTTGTTTGGGCTCGGTTTCCCCATGAGCGTCTTTGTGTTCTTTCTGGGATTCATCAGATTTAAGAGCTGACCTTGCTGCTCCACCAGGATATGAGAACATGCAAGTAAAGAGAGGAGTCGCTGCCACAGTCAAGTATAACTGCATGTGTGTGAAAAGCTTGACCTGCAACATGATGGTTGGACAGTAAGTGACTGTGTGTTTGTTTTGGCGCTACACTTATATCATTTTACAGACCCAAACAAAGCATGAGCTAAGAAAAAAAAGGGGAAAATAAAAGAGCTTTTTATTGGACGAGGCTCCCAGACACTGCCAAGAGAATTGAGGCTTTTGTGCAGCTCTTTGTTGTTGCATCCTGGGGCACTTTGGTGTGATTCTCACAACCGGCGCCTATACATATCCCACTATACAGTCACAATTATTGTGTACGGAATTACAGAAAGCCTACAGACAAAACAAATCAGGGAAACCTGCAAAAGTACCTCCGCAATCTGCTTTGAATAAATGTTTTAAGTGTGTGTTGTGGTGCAAAATCTAAACCAAAAGCTGTCCGAAACTTGTTCCAAGATCTTGGAAAGAGGCTAAGAGGAATGCTGCAGTCAGGCTTAGCGAGTGGGTCATCTGAGGACACAAGCATGAGAGTGTGTTCATGAGTGTGTGAGAGAAGGAGCATGAGGATGTGTGGTGACTACCTCAATCAATTGGAAACATGCACAGAGCCAAACAGCCCATAAAACAATACAAACAACAAAAAAAGCTCATACAAAGCAGATGCATTCACACATTATAAATGTGAGGAGAGAGATAGCCGATGGCGCCGTGAACATATGAGCAAATGAGATGACTGCGGTCTTAATCAGGCCATAAAATGGAGGACTGAGCAGCCTAAAGTTCACGCTTCCAGGCTGTGGGTGGCTTTATTGTGAATTTTGACATGTGTTTGATGAACAAAGGGTGATGAGCATCTTAAGTCTACAGCCTAGCACTCAAGGTTCTTCGAAAGCAATGACACTGGGATCCCATCACTATTTACTGCACTGGGACAAAGACAGGCACTCCTATACTGAGTAAAGAAATAGGTTGTTACTTCCATTACATTTTCAATCCTCCAAAGTCTCTTCATTGGCGTTATGTCGATGGAAAAATCTACTTTTCACTTTTAGGTTTTGTGCCAGAAACTTATAAATTATGAGAGTAGTGCATATAGCGAAGCCAAAAAAGTGGCAAATAACAACTCAGAGAGTTGAAATTTATAGCTGTAGACTACATTTTTGACTATTTTTACAACAAACCTTGGAAGTAAGAAGCAATGTCTTCAAGCGATTTTACTGGGCCTTTAAAAACTTGGGGCTGTGTTGGTCAAGGCGTGTTGTCTGAGGTACTACTGACAAAAGGCTGCAGTGATTCAATGAGTGCAGTTTGAGTGGTAGGTTCATAAATTTGGACGCTTTGATGTCGGTTTATAGGTCTATAAGAGGGAACTTTACAACACTTCAAAAGTCTCAAGGTGATAATGACTTTTCACTCATTCACCTCAAAACTGCTCAGGAAACAGGAGCTAATGTGCCAAGGTTATGTACCGGTCTGCTTTGCTATTGCCAATTTGCACCTTGGATAGTGATGATGGTGCACTGTTTTGCAACACAAGCTGTGCTGTTCAGGTGATAACCCTGCATTTTTTGGTGCTGGAGGAGTCTGTGCTTTCTTTGAGGTTATGTGGAGTATTTTGTGCAATGTGTGATTTTCTGAATATGAATATGTGCAGTGTGTCACTTGGAGGAGGAAAAATCTCCACTGGCTGTTTCATAAAAACACCTGTCCCAATGACAGAAGAGTTCAGAAATCAGACGAGCAGTGAGAGACAGAACTTCCTGCCCTAAAGCCTTGCTGCTGGACAAACACGATGAAATCATGAATGTGGTAATTATACGTTGGTCTCTGGACGTCCATATGTGGCCTTCTATGATCGGACACGTGCTGGCTTTGCTTTGATCTAGGCTCACTTGGATCTCAAAGGAAAGACAGGAGAAACAGGAAGGGCTTTCGATTCAAAACATCCAAGACTGAGAGATGGAGGAAGTAGGAGGATAAACAGACGTGGACACTGAGTGGACACATTTAGGTCCACTTCTGCACATGTGAGTCCATGCATGAGTTTTACATCTGTTTTACATTGGTCATTACATTTTTACATTTCAGCTGGTGGATGTTTTTAATAAGTTTGTCACCCAGCTGTATGTTAGATTATCATGTTGGTTAAAAATCTACATTGCATGGTTGGTGTCAACTTGCAAAAACCTAGCTAAAGTAAAGGGTCAAAGCAGGTCTTCATGGTAGTTCAAGTCCCTCCTTTGTTTGGGAGTCATGTTAACCTTAAATGTCTGTCAGTGTTGCCTTTTTGCTCATTTTTATTTCTTGCTTGCTTTTGTGCAGGAAAACACAAGTATCTTCTACACAAGCAAAGAATGAAACAACGGGGATATACTGTTACACAAAACAACAGGAAGTACTAGATGCTTTTCTACTCTCACATTGAAGGTTTTTGTACTGCACAGCACTATTTCCTTTGTACAAGCCATAAATGACACATGACATGACTCAATGTTGGGTTATTTAAATTCCTTGAAAACCTGTTTTGTATACGCGTTACAAGAGAGTGCGAGCATTGAGAAATAATTCAACACACATGTTCAAGCTCGAGGATACACGCAGTATGTTTTGCTGAGTGAGGTTGAACGTAAATATAACTTCTTATTGTTTAGACAAAGACTCAACAGGACACCTGCAAAGTTGGATTTTTTGCTCTATCAGACAGTAAATCTTCTGTAATCTCTTTCAAACAGCCTGTCTTTGCAGTGTGTGATCGCGGCCTCCCTCAGCTGAAGAAACTTGGACAGTCACAGAGTTCACACTGACCTTATGACAAAAGCAGTCCAGTTTTCATATTTAAGGGTGCCTTTGGGAATGGCAGTTGAGTATTTCAAGTTTTATCTTTTTTTTTCCCTAAGATTAAGTGAAAACATGAAATTGACCCACAGGCGTTCCTTTATCTCCTTTGTAACAAACAACTTTTGTTGTGTTCTTCCCACAAAATAAGTGAAAGACCCACTGGACATAAGAGTCCTTTGTGAAAAATCTGATTGTGACAAAAGCTGACTTTTTGTAAGATTAGATAGATTTGTTAGAAAACAATGAGAATAATACTTATAAAAATACGTTTTTGGTGCTTTTTTAGCCATTTGCATAAAAAAAAAATCAAAGCGATGATTGATCATTAATTTATATGATAAATCAATCAAGGGACTGTCTTAAAATGCTCATCCCTAATTCAGAGTTTGCAAGAAGTGATGCAAATACAACCCCAATACCATCAGAGTTGGGACACTGTGTGAAATTTAAATAGAAACAGAATTTGATTTTTTGCAATAACCTTAAAGCCAATAGTTCATGAAAAATAGTGTAAAGACAAAAGATGTTGAAACTGAAAAATGTTTTACTGTGTCATGAAAAATATCAGCACATTTTCAAATTTGATGCCAGCAACACATTTTAAGTAAAGTTGGGAGAGGTTCCTGTTTGCTATTGTGTTCAATCACCTATTGTTTGAACAAAATGTCTTGATTTCTACTACAGAGCACCAAACAAAATATTATTTGGGATCTTCCTGCTTTATTATGCAAGCTCTTCCCTCAAAGAGGAATCGTCTGGATGACAGCACATGTTGCTCCAACGCCTGTAAATAATGATGGAGCCTTTCCAGATGTGTAAACTGACCATGCCATCGGTTCTTGTACATCCCAGTACCATCAGGAATGCTGGCTTTTGAACTGTACCCCTACCAGGTGGTCCTTCCCCTCCTTGAATAGTCACACCACAGGAAGGTTTTCCACTTTGCTTCAGTCCATTTAAAAGGGCTCAGGTCTGAAGAAGTTGCCGGCATGCTTGGATCATGTTTATATTTGGTTTCGTTTTACATGATACAGTTCCAACTAGCATTTGTGGATGCAACAAAAAAAAGCTTTTTAGAGCCCATGCTGTGGTTTCCACTGTAGAGTTATATCTAATTTCAATGCAGTGCTGCATTAAGGCCTTTTTAGCCTTTTCCCTTTTGTACAGGCATTTCTCCAGATTCTTGCATCCTTTAGTGATATCATGACATTTGGACATTTTTCAGTTCCAACATTTGATGTGCTTCTGTTGCATTATTTCAATTAAATTTAGGATTAAGATGATTTGAAAATCATCAAATGTTGTTTTTTTTAATCAACATTTGTTGTTAAATGTGTTTTATTATCTTCTGCATGAATTAACTTGTGCAGTACAACTACTTATCCATTTACTGAGACTGCATTCTTACCTGTCCGTCCTGACCAACGTGCACCTGGTGGATCTGAAGGTTTCCCTGAAATAGAGGAGTGAAATGGCACGTCAGTCTCCTGATTCTGTATTATATACACACAGCTTTGTATCTATTTCAACCAGCATTAAGACACCATAAGGATTTATTTTACATCTTTCTTTGATGGGGTCTGGATTGCCACAATGTGATTCAAGCCAACACCCGCACAGAGACAGTGCAGATATCTCTCTGTCAAAAGTGTTTACGGAGGATTCTGAACATGTGGGGTTTGGCAGAGAAGTATTTGTACACGATTACATTACAGTGCAATCGGATGCACTGTCTTTGTATTTATGTCAGCCTTTCTGTCATTTCTGGCAACACTGATGCTGCTGTAAACAAAAACAGAAACTCATGCAGGCGGGATCAGGCCTAATCGCTGTCTCATCATGATAAAATGACCATCATAAAGTATCTGAACACCCACAGTGATGTTAACAAGACCACAAAAGAGAGAGGACATCATTCAAGCTGTATTTAGCCGAACCTAAGTTTCAGCTGTGTTCTCTTGCTAATTTTATTTCATGTATATATCAAGCCGTGTCTGGGCTGCCATATGGCCAGAGAGCAGTGTAATCTCTCAAACAGCTCATTTCCTTTTCATGCACGCAAAAACCAATGTCTTTGAAGAAAGGGGCCCTTTCCTAATGAAAACATATTCCATGAGTGGCAGTTGAGAGATTTGGGATTTTGTTGCTAAGCTTTGAACCCCAAAAAACAAACAATATCAAGGAATAAGAAGGAGAGAGGAGAAGAAAATCTGGGCTCGGCCACAAAGAGCAGGAAAGGCTTTAAAGCTTTTCTGCCTCCAGTTCATTCTGTCTCTCTCACTCAATCGTGCACTACTTCTTCTGAGTGCTGTTAAGTGCAGCTGAATAGGTAAACGAGAAAAACAGTCGGTTTAGGTGTCAACTGATTTTAGCATTAATGTCATGTTTGTGTTGAACATGTACACATCGTTTTCTTAACTTAACTCAAGGTTTCTTTATTCTTTATTTTCTCTTTTCGTGTCTGTACTATGGTGCTTTAAATTTGGAATTTCCCCCTGTGGGACTATTAAAGGAACATCTTATCTTAACATATCATTTACAGTATGTGATTAAACGTGTCCATTTGTACACAGACTGACGTCCTCCAGAAATCAGTTATATAAATGCGGAAATTTCTTTTCTTTTCAGCAGTCGGTGTGGTGCAAAGTCATATTTTGATTTCAGCTGGCAAGCCAAGGCTGCGTGTGCATGTCTGCTCAGGGACATAAGACATCTGGGCATTATGTGGAAACACAAGTCGTAAGCCAATGCATAAGCAGGCGGACAAATAAACAGAGCGAGGCTCATCACGTAACATCTGCTTTTGCTTATATTCACTAATAGCTTAAATGTTGTCAGGTATCACTTGGGTGTGTTAAGCTCCGCTGGGATGACTTTTTGCGTGGACCAACACAAACATACAGAGCTCAAAGGACACATAAATGTTTAAAGATGCTGATCAGATTTATTTGACAGATGAGAGATTCTGATTTGCTCTGTGAAAAGCCTCTTCTGTTACCTCTTTAGATGCAGTTTATTTCCTAGTCTCTGAAAAAGGAATCATTGGATTGTGTCTTTTTATCAATCATAGTGAAATAGGTGAAGACAGGAGACAGAATGATGGTTTTCCTAAATGTAACATTTCTTTTCAAGCTTGCAAGAAGTTTACCGAATTGCAAACTAGACTTCCAATGAAATAAACTGGAGTTCCCACAGTAAGGTATTTGTTATCCTTCCCAGCAAACCACTTCTCCCTCCAGCACAAGTTCACTGTAACAGTTATATTCTTGTTTGGAGACTAATTCTCCTGACTGACATGTTTGCTGAGAAATTCAATCCACCAAGAAGAATGACTCAAGAAAAGGAGCGGTGCTTTCCTCTCTTGTGTACACCAACACACATATACACACACACAAACACACACACACTGACTTGCCTCACTATCCTGCGTGATCTGCACCTCCTCTCCTTGTGGCACCTGAGCAATGTGCAGCTGACCCTGCGGGATCTGAGAGATACAGATGAAGGATGTGTGACAGCAGCAGGCAGATGTGAATTTTTTAAAAGAACCAAGATTTGAGGCATGTTTTTCTAAAACCTTAACAAAATTACATTTAAGTCTGCACAGGTTCCCATTTTGTTATTAAAAGGTTTTTTTTCTGTAATAAATTCCCAGTTTTTAACCGATCATAGAGCGATCCAATTTTTGGCAATTTTAGCGCAAGAGTTACTGACCAAACAGCCCTTGCATGGTACATTCAATCAGTCAAGACAACAATCCAGATTTGCTCAGTAACTATTGCTGGTTCCAGCACTGAACCACAGCCAGCACATATACTTGATTTCCTTCGCTGTATTAGCACTCATAAATTTCAGGCTCAGCTGCACCCTCTAATAGCCTGCAGAGCGTTGGGAGGGTAATAACTGCACAGCGAGCTGCTGACAATCATCAGTCTTTCCCACTCCCCCACCTTCTGCCTAACTTTTCTTCCTGCATGTCCACCCTCCGCCCTCTCTGCCGGCTCCTTCCAGTCACCTATTATGAGGACCTCCAAGCCCATGCATCATGTAGGGACCTATTAACAGCAGCAGTACTCCACTTTGTAAATTACGAGGTAGCTTGAAGCACTGTCATTACATAAGTGGGTGTACCTCCCAGCAGAATGGAAATTACTTCTCTAATGCTCTCTTAGTATAATCAAATCATGTGTTATAATTACAATCACACATTTAAATTGTTTACACTTGTGTTGCAACTCATTTTCAAGCAATGGTGGCCCTGCTGAAAGAATCCAACTTATTTTCCTCATGAAAACCATTCATTCACACACAGTCTGTGTGTTTCTGTCATTAGCAGACTGAATAGAATGTGCAGTATGTTCACAGCAGCTCCTCTCAGTTAGTTAAAGTCTGTGATTTACTTTGAAATAACACCTTGCTGTTTTCCCAGTTTCAAAGCACAGAAACAATTATGAGAGATCCTTCGTCTACCTCAGCAACAGCTGGACAACGACCCGTTTTTGTCCCAAATACTGACTGCTCATTAAAATGATTGATGCGCCTCCAGTAAGGATGAAAATAAACACCACAACAGACACTGACTGATGCTCTAATGACATCATTCTAAGGCCAGAGTCTGTGCTGTCGAGGTTCCCTGGTGAAGCCACAGCACTGACACTCCACCCCTTCCACTAACCAAAACACTCATTTGTTTGATAATGAAGTGATGAAGATCCCTCGGGTCAGAGCAAACAGCCTCACAGCTTTTAGTGTAAGTTTAAGGCAGACAGTCACATCATTATGTCCCTCTCTGTTCCAGCTCTTTGCTGACTCTTAGATAACAACCGATTCAACAGTTTATTTGTTAAAAGTTTGATCTGTAGTCCATCTATGAACACAAAAGGGAGTTGAGTTTACGTCCTATAATGGTTTGGCCTCACGTTTGGGAAGCTGTCCTGTGATCCATCATTTTGGAGTAACAGAGAAGGCATAGAGGGGTGATAAAGACACATTCTGTTAGAGAATATTATGATCCTGTCAATGAAAAAGCTTTCTACAGAATCACAGAACGATTGAACAACTGGCACTCACCACCTGAACTTGTCCATCCTCGCCAATACGGTGAAACTGGACCTGCTGGTTGGCGAGCGTGTAGTGCAAAGTCTGCTGGGTGGGGGTCTCAATGTGGGCTGTTTCCTCTGATAGGCCTCCCTCTGGTAAGGAGGACAAGAAGACCGGTCATTAATGTGTTTGTGTGCACAGTGGAAGTAGGTCAGGGATACAGTGCAAATGATTCCAGCACTCGTCAAGTCTCTAAATTAGAGATACACAAACCAGTACATATGCACACGTGATCATGTAAGGAGCCTCAGCAACCTCATGTTGGAAAAAAAAGGAAAGAAGGAAACCTGGCTAATTCCCAGGCCATCTGCTGAATGATGCTGTGTTTATACTTTATCAAATGCCTAAATACACAACAAGGTCTCTTCAGTTTGCCATCCAAACACACTTGTGGTCTTGCAGACAAACACAAACTCCAGGCTTCAGTCAAAACACTAGCAATCATACAAGCAATCTTGATTTTCCTTCTTTCTTTTTTTTGCCTTTTCACACACTGAAGTGGGTCTTTTTTTAACCACTGTAACATTCCTATTATTCTAGGATGCCAAACAACTTCCATCAAAGAGACTGCAGATGAAAAGTAGCTGTTCAGCTAACTTCACAGTGTATTTACGTTTGCTTTTATCTGAAGTGATGTGCATGGTTCTTCAAAAACAAGGTTCAAATCAACAAAGGCAAAACATCTGCATTGGTTTGCAGCCGAGGTGTTAGTTTTACAATTCTTTATTAATCTCACAATAGCTTCTAACCAAACCTTTACACATTTTCAACCGATCACAAACCCCTCAAACTTCTGCTTTGTGTTATGTCTTCTTGCCCCAACCTTTACATACTTTCAGGTCTAATACCACCTTTGTTTGCATAATGAAAGAGCAAGAGACTAGTGGCTTAGGAGAGCTACAGTTTTGGTTGGGGCTCTACTTGCTGCTTCACTGATAAATAATGCTTTTAAAAGCAGAAGAAGTGCCACTTTCCAGCCCATTTAACATGTAATCTGATTAAGGAAGGAATGATTGTTTGGCGTGAGTCTTTGCATGCTTGTGCAGGGACCATCTGAACATGTATTTGTGTTGTACACTCTTGGGTGTGTGTGGCCTAAAAAGGCATGGCCTGACAAACCACCCCTCGTGTGTGCACACAGGATATTTGGGTTTCCCCCACAGTTTAACTTTTCCCTGGTCAGAGGTGAGAGGTGATGGCTCACAGGGAGGGAAGGACAGCAGGCATTGTGTGCAGATTACAACCATCTGCAGCAAATCACACTGTATCTGGATCTGCATTTGGGTTCGGGTCTTGGAATAACTTGTTTTATGCAGCACATGATATAAGACATGTCTGACTGTTCAAGTGTGAAAGGTCAAAGGAGAATCTAAAATCATTTGTCTTTGTTTGTGCAAAGCAGCTGACCAATATGTAGAAAAATACGGCTGATACACACATATACTGATACTGTACATCAGTAACAGCATTTTTGGCCACTGATAAACACTTCAATGGAATTGTTATATATGCTGCTTGACAATGCAAACATCGACTCCTGATGTAATCTGAGCAAATAGTCTGATACACCAGTATCAGCAGATCTAGAGAAATGGTGTCATCATTCAGGCTGTGCTTTGATTCTCGACTTAAAAATACTCTACACTCTGTCTGCAGAGCATCACAGCTGAGCAGACAAAGGGTGACACAAGAGGGGTTTAAATTCAACTCCCTTTGACGCAGTTTTCTTTTGTTACTTTTTCATGTTTCTTACAGATACAACTAGGGCACAATTCACGTTTAGGAGGCGGACTAAATTCTAGCTCATGATAGAAAAACGAACTGGTAAATCTTCCCCCTCTCTTCCCTCAGTGGATTTCTCTTGATTCTCATGACTGTTCACTTTGTTTGACTGGAAAACAGATGAAGGAGCATAGCAACGTTATCGGCTCATGACTCTTGTGAGAGTGGAGAAGGGTAAAGTGCTGAATCTAGAGTACTCACTAACAAAGTATTTCACAGAAGGTTCAGAGGTGTTTAAAATCCACTCACACACACATTTTTACAAGCTTTGATAGATGAGTGGGATTTGCTTCTAAAATGTCATCCAGTCAAAAACTTGCTTATTTTATGGTGATGTATTTTTAAAGCAAGTTAGTATTTGCCCTCTTGTCTGCAACACTCCAACAATGCAGACAAATACATGTTGTTCTGTGGGGCCAGACTATCAACTGAACTTTACCTGAAGATGAACAGCGAGGTATTCGTTTGGAAAAACTCTTGACAGCTAGACTCTGCCCCCGCTGTTTACGTCTCCAGGCAGTGCGACACTTGGAGTCGATGCTTTGCTTGATGCGGTACCAGTCTGACTCGCTGATGCCAAATTTATGGAACAGGTGGCCTGTGAGGAAACAGAGAGGGCAAAGGTCATCATATACTAGATAAAAACATCAAATAGTGTTGAATGGGTTCATCATTTCTCCAAATCTATGAGTCTTAAGTTGTTCTATTTTGTAATGTATAAACATGTCTTTTCCTCCTAGAAATGTTCTCTGCTTTCATTTTTGTACAATGTTTAATTTCAATGGCGTCCAAAACTAAGCAAAAAATTTTACATTTTGTGAAGAAAGCTGGTGAGAGAAGTGGAGAGAGAAGCAAAGATTGGCTGAAAAATTAAACTACAGCCACAATAACTCCCCAGCCAGAGTGTCACTCGCTGACAATGTCCTGTTCACATTTGTTTGGTGAAATTTTGTCACGTTTTTAATTTTCAGCTTATGTCTTTGCCGCAAAAACATAAATAGTTGTAGGCTTTTCAGTATTTACTCTTAATCCTAAAATCCTGACACTGTCAGCGTACAAACATCCCTAAAGCCCTCAAACAGCCTCAGAAAAACAGATAATTGGAAGAGGGCGAAACTAGTTTTGTAACAAATAAAGTGAAAATAGAGATTAGCTGTTTATTCTGCAATCCATATACACTAAAGCAAACAACTGTCCAGATTATGTTAATTTCAACCCTATATCCTTTCACATCCAGTGTAAACACAGGTTTATGGCTGGGTGAGATTATCCCTCTGTTGAGATTGGCACACGTGAGACTGGATGCAGCTGTATTTAGTTCCTGTCTACCTTGCTGAAATGAACTGTTGAAGGGCGTGAGCAACTTGACAGCTCATTTATACATAAATTAAAAAATGCAGCTCCAGCCTCAGGACAGAAAATGAGACAGGGAGACAGCTAAGGGATATCTAAGGATGGCAGCGTACAGCAGATTTTTTTTTTTTTTTTTACACCTGATGGGTCCTGTACAGGCAGGCAGAGTAGTTGCTCCTTCATTCCTTGCCTGTCTCTTTTATTTTTTTGGAAAGGCAGAATGAGTCATCCAAAAGTCACCTGGCCCTGCTCCAGCTTCTGCATACCTCTGTGTCAGGGCAAATCTGCATGTAAGCGCACACACCCACATCGCTCAGAGGAAATACAGGTAACCAAGTACACAAACGCCATGGAGGAACAAGGAGTAAAACCTCCAGCAGGGGGCACCAGCTGCACTTACAAAGGAAAACCAACAGCGAGAACAACCTTTCCTTATGCTGTAATATGAGCTATATTTACTAACTTTATAGAGCTTTCATGAATATCATCTGTCTACCATCATAAACCTGACTCTACTTAATCTGAAATCAAAGAGTTCACTGTATGGAGGACTCCATTAGGGTCTTTGTAGCAGACACGTGCTTGTCATTTAGAGTCTGGTATGTTGTAAAATGTGTTGCACATTTATGCCTGTGTGTAATGATGAATGCATGTTGTTGTAACCCAGCCTTGGGAATACAGACTGCAGTCTATTTCTGTGTTCAATTTGACGATGCTTTGTAATGAAACAGGGATGAAATGTTGGAAGGTCTCAGAGAGTTCATTTATAGCTGAAAGGGACACGGATGGAGCCATGGCTGAGTGAAATTCATTAATTCTAACTGTGCAACAATCATGTAGTAATCATAAAATAAACTATTTTTTAAATTGAAGTGGAAGTTTCAAATGGACTGTTAAGTTGATGAAGGTATTACAAGCTGGCAGGTTCAAAGGTGTGGTGGACTCACAGCGAATGCCGTAGATCATGAGCGGGTCCAGCTGCTTCTTGCCGTGTTTGCCCTGGCCTGAGAGGTTTGACATGGCCTGAACTTCCCGGTGGAACAAGTAGTCCAATAGAGTCAGGGCCATTTTTTCTGGAGTGCGGCAATTTGAGGCAATGTGGATCATTTCAGCTGGAGATACTGGGGAACGGACTCGCATCTCTGGGTTGCTTTCATCTCCCAGCCACGTGCCTGCTGGGTAATCCTCTAGAGGAAACAGAAGAGAGCATGATTACCCCCAAAAAAACTCTTCTTCAGCAAACAGGTCATGTGGTAAAACACTTTGTTTTAAGGCAACAGCAGAAAGAAAAACTGCATCCTGGCTTACAAAAATAAGTGAATCAATATACAGGGTAACTTCATATTATACAACAGCACCACCATGTGGTGATTTAGGAGAAGTAGATAATAGCTGGGTATTTTTTCCCCCTACAGCAGAATATGTGGTTTGGCCGTTTTCTTGCAGCGTATGTCAGATGTTGTGTTAACCACACAAACAAACAGACAGAGAGAATGGAAAACAATGCTCAGAACGCCACATAATACCATCCAGCTCATGCTGACTAACGTTTTATCATGGTAACCCACAGCTGCTAATAAATAAATAATCGTGTGTCTTTGAAGATAAATAAGAGCTGCCCAATGAAAATTATCGACTAAAATTTAGCACAATTCACAATGTGGCCTTAATATAAGTTAAAAGAATAAGAAACTAGTAAATATCTGTCCGATAAATAAGAAGAAAAACAATGACAATACCAGGCAATACAGCCTGAGGCAAAACCAAACGGATATGACCGCAACACACCACCACAGTTCGCTTTCCATCCAATGTGGAGGCCATATGAAGGGGGAATGTTCGCCAATATAACCAAACCAAATGTTGAAAATGTCCACAGGGAAGTCTGTGACTCAGTTCATCCACTTATCAAATCAGTGTGTGGATGAGAGAAAAACTTTGAAGATTTGTATCAGCTGGAGGCCCAAACTAATTAAAGGATCACGAACCCAGCAACACTTATGAGCACAACATTCAAAATTGATATAAAACACTTTGTTGCACATCTTATTTGGTGTTAAGTGACAGGGGAGATGGGCAACTTGACCCCGCTGGCGCTGAAATGAAAAATGATTGGGCTTTTTAATTGAACAAGCTACTTTGAAAGTGTTGCTCCATCCGCTGATAACATGAGAAAACATCAAAGATAACATTCATGTTTCTTTTCATACCTGCAATGAGGCATCTTACCTTCAGAATTCAGTGTGATGAGTGTGACATTTGGTGTGTTGCTGGAACTTCCACCATTGGAAACAGAGTCACTAGCCTCTGAGCCACTGTCTTGATCTTCCTGGCTCTCTTCGTGACCAGGAACCTTTACCAAGATTGTGTTCTGCCGCTTCCTGGCAACCGTGCTTTAATGAAAAAGAGAGAGGTTTCCAGCAAATTCAACATACCCACACACGATGGCTGCGGTTTCATTGCATTGACAATTCAGATTTTATGTGGCCCTCTTTTCTTCAAATAAGAACTTGCAGAATTTACATTTGCACACTATTTTCCATCAAAAACACAAGTCACTTAAGTCGCAGTGTTGGGAAGCTCTTTTGATTGCGATAGTGTAAATATGAGACACTCACTTGCTGAGCAGATTCTCCAGTGGGGTGTCTTCTTGGCTTGTGCCTTTTGGGTGTTCACTGCTCACTATTACATTTGTCTGTGGAACAACACTGTGAGAAAAGTAAGACACATCAGTTTCCAAGCATGTTTCATATTTTTAGCCAGTCTTAGATATGTCTAAGAAATTGGCCCCTGCAATAAGAGTTTGGGTTAGTGAATGCTTTTTTTCTAAATCCTAGATAAGACTGTATCTAGTTCGGCCTAAGATTAATTTATCTGTTTTTTGAAACTCCAAACCTCAAAGTAACTGCAAATGAGGAGTGGAGAAATGGATGCTGGCATGCAATCACTTACCATCGCACTTTGTTCCAAGTCTGAGTGGCCCCCTGAGGAGACCCCGCAACCATAGGGACCTGGATAGGACTCTTTGCACTAGGCATCATGCTGTCCAGTTTCCGTCCAAGGGCTTTGCACGTTGCATCCAGAGCCTGTAACTTGGACTCAATTCCCTCTAGGCGCTGAGTGATGGATGTAGTGAACGAGACCAACATGTTCTAAAGACAAAAATAATAAGATGTGATTTTTATCTCCCCTTGAGAATCAATAACGTATTAGTCTCTGATTATAGTTCAGCTTTTGTTGAGTATTTAACAGAGCATGTACCTTAATCAATATTATGTCTTGGTTACTGTTGTTACTTTCCTGGCTGGTGCTTAATTTCCTCTTTTTCTTTTGAGGCTTGTCATCATCTTCTTCGTGATTGTCTAACATTTCTGACAAAAAAACAAATACAAGAAAACAGTCAAAGAAAGTCATTGATACAAACTCGTAAGATTTACACCAAATAATCAGAATAGGGGCCCTGCTTCAATATAAGAATCCATAAAAGGGTCCTAGCATTAGTCTGATCATATATGGTCAAAAAAGTCCAGAACTTTGAGAGAAGAAAGGAACAAACAGAAAAATAAAAAAGCACAGTATTCTAACAGAGAAGTCTTACCTGTATGGTCATCCTGGTTAAAGTCCTCAACTGTTATCTGCACAATTTCATCCAAGTCTTGCTCAGACATTGTTCACAACTGAAACAGGACATTAGTGAAAGTTGATAAGCGAAGTAATACAGTTCTCAACATGCTGCTATGAAGCGGGTATCTTGAAAGGATGCACAATATGACTTATTTGTCCAACAGCAACTTCCTTCAGCGCATTTTTAGACCTGAAATCTATTTTCTACCAACTCAACATACACAAACACAGCCACTGTGTATTGACCTGATGACTGAAATGCAGGTGTCAACACAGTAGTATTTTTAACACATTGTTAACATTATATCATTAATGATGTGCTTCTTGGGCTGCACAGGATTTGGGAGAAAGTAGTTGCAGAACTAACTAATCAGTGGTCATGCAAACCATTCTCCAAACTACTCAGTCTTGAAAAACAATTTAAAGGGTTCAACTTTTACGATTACTAAAAAACTTGGATTTCACATACTTTATTTACCAGATCAAGCAGATGAACTATTTGATGTTAAGACACTTTCTGATGCTTTTTCTCCCATTCTGAGACAAATGGTAAAAACCTCACTCCACTGTATATCACATCAGTAATAGCCCCTCTCTATTTGAAAACGTGAAGTAATGTGATTTTTTAAAACCTTTTTGGGAGATCTCTACCTCAGAAACCACCCATTAGGTGCGTTTTATACAGAAACTACTCAGCCAACATATTTCATGTCTGCCTGTGCTCTGACCATCTGTCTCTCACAGTTTTACTTATTTAAATCTATCTTGTGTTTTGGTTGTGTATGCTGCTCTATGGGAGTCAAATTATTAGTCATTCACCTGTTTGAATACATCTCTTCAGATTCATCCTTGTAAACTTTATTTCATATTAAACCATACCTGTACTATTACATGGCATTATACTTGTGCTGGCTCTCTGTTTAGCATCACCTGTCCATGACTAGTTTTCAAGCTACTTCATGCAAGTTACTAACACAGAGCTCAGTGTATGAAATTGAAACTTGGACAAAACCTTGCAGTTGCTTTTGTGTGCTGAATTATCATATGAAGAATTGGAAGCATGGAAGTAAAGAGGAGAGGGGATATTGCATAATAACTTTATGGGGAGGGGGGTACTGGTGAGTTATATCACGAATATTGTGTTGTCAATGCTTAGAATTCATCTGAACGGGCCCCATTGGGTACTATGACTTTGTTATGGTGAGTGTGCATATTACAAACACAAGAAACTCCTGCGAATGAGACATTGAGCTGGAACACTCAAAACAATGAGGCAATTCTTTTCTTGTTCCTTGAAAATGATCAAATTTCAGTCAAAATGTGGACAGGCGACGTCGTGCTAACACTAATCATGACTATGAAAAACTGAAACTGGTTTTAAACTGCAAATACATATGGCCTCTAGTCAGCCTGGTAATGATAACCTCGCAGTTTGCAGTATCTTCTTCTAAAATTTACAACACTATGGATAACATACACAGTATCGGTTATTTTGGTAGGATTTCCATGGTACGGTATCCCCCGGTTGAACGGTTAGCTAACGCTATGCTAACAAGGCGGGAGTCTCGGCTTGAAATTCAGGCAAAATTGGCAAACTTATTTGTTACATGAAAGTCACACTTGAATCGTGAACTCAGTATATGTGGCTTCACGCAAGCGTATCTTTATACGGCTTAAGAGAAACGCAGACAGAGGCTAACGATAGCAGGTACGTCCCAATCCGATTTGCGCGCTAACGTTAAAGCTACAGCATTGAAAACGAGTCGCTATTAAAGCTAGCGTTGTGGTTAGCATGCTAGTTGGGCCTAAAGGCCGCCGAAACGTAATTCCAACACCGTAAACTGTGGGAAGAAATAACTGTTGAAATTGATTTTGAGTCGCCTGTTTCCTCTCCTCGCTGGCACACTACACATGTACCGTGTAAGATTGGGGTTATATTACCATGTGAATGATGAATTCTCGTGTTGTTTGTAGAGATTCCGATAACGGCGTCGTTCCTCGCGAGAGATGAGCCTCCGCCTTCGCGTGTTTCTCACACGGGGGGTTACCCAGTTTGAGGGTGAGTCCAGGCTGGTAGTACCGGTCTTAGCTCTGAAGTCACTGAATTACATTATGATTTACGTCAAAAATGCATATGCAATCCTACAAAAGAAACTTAACTCATTCAACTTTGATCATATTCTATTCTACCTAAATTGTGTGGAAGTACGGTTCCCTGAAAAATTGTAAATACGACACGAATTCATGCCGTCATTGGAAATTAAATCAGTTATTATTAACAAACATGTTTCCACAGGACACCAAGTATAGAAATTTACATATTGCCTAATTGGATGAAAATGCTTCCTTGCTCGAGTCAGGATTCGAACCCCCAATCTTCTGTTCCATAGTCAGATTGACTTTAATTGAAATGTTGCTTATTTACTAAATATAGCTATAATTGTTCGATTGCGGGAGATTGATGTGGATCCGAACGTTGTGACTTTCAGTCCAGCTTAATCCAGCGACTCAGTGAATTGTCTTTTTACCATGAAAATTAAAATTTGTGACTATATGTCAATGTGATTGTTTTTATTCGTTGCTATGTATTGGATTAGCTCTTTAAGGGAAACATGTTTTCATTGAAACGCTGCCATTTAATAAGAATTTGGTGCTTGTACCTTTTTTTGCTTCTATGAAATGCTCATTTGAGTATTTTCAGTAATTCTAACATCCAAGAAAGGGTTTGAAAAGTTTTCTTTTTTGTTTGGGTGAAATATCAAGGTGAAATTGTTATTGCCTTTTTAGATGACGTTTCAGTGTCCATTAATAATTTCACTCTGTTAAACAATACTAGCTTGATCAAATTACTCAAAAGCAGATGTATTATCAGACTGTGGCCCTTAATTTATTTATTTATGTTGTACACTCAAACAGCAGACCCCCTAATCTCAACATTTTACAGCTTGTTTGTTAATCGGCAATATGCTAAGAAAAAAATTTATGTAATTGTCATCATTTCAAACAAGACCATTTCATTATGATCATCTTTGTTTTGTGGTTTGTTATTATGCTTTTCATGTTTACCTGCCTCCTCAGGATCTTTACCTCCCAATGAACATCACCGTCACTCCTCTACTCATTCCTCTGAAACGGCCATTTAAAAATCTTTTAAAAATAAATACATATAAATAAATAAATAAATAATTGTACAGATGTAGAAATCAGTACATCTGACAAACAGAGTCCTGACCAAGGTTCTCAAAGGAGCCCCCAGACTCTCCTTCCCCTCAACTTTTATGGTGGTGAATGTGTTTTTAAACATAAGGGTGTACTCCAAAGTGCAAGTCTCTTTTTCATACTAATAAACAGGATGTCTGAGAAATCGGCTAGTAACATGACACTGAGACCTCTTGAAATACGCAGCCTAATTTTCCTGGGAACTATGCGACCTTACAAACATCCATGCTTGGTATAAACCATCAGCATAACCATCTATTATTTCGACCACACTCCAAACTCTCCTGATAGACATTTAATGGAACACTACATTATAGTATGTCACATCTCACGTCAGCTTCTTAGAGCTGGGCCTAAAACACCAAAAAAAGGGTTTGATGGTATAGAAATATGGTTAAAGTATACTATAAGAAAAGCGATATACTTTCTACATTAAAAATAAAAAACTCCTAGGAACACTTAATGTTACATGCTTAAAGATATGTAATCCATTTTTTGTGTGAATTCACTTAGAATAGTTTAACCTGCATTTGCATTTTGTAGGCTCTGCTGTGTTGCATGTCCAGTTAACTCTGTTAAGCCAAAAAAAAAAAAAAGACCAGAATCGTAATGTTCACTTGTGTAAAACTCGAGGAAAGTAATATCAGTGTTGTGCTGTCAGTTTATGAAGAAGGTGGTGTATTAGGGCTCTATTTTTTTAATCTCATTGGAGTCTGAAGCTGTCGTTCTCCACAGCACTGAGAGGATGTAGATCTTCTGTGTGAGCTCTGCAATTTTAAACCATGTATGGACTGTAACCTTAAGAAGCAACCATATTTGAAGTTGAATAAGTAACACAGTAGCAGACCACTCTCATGTACTGCTGCCAATATTTACTTTCAATGGGTATACAGATCCTCTCTTTCCTTATTAAGAAGTCTGGTTCTGGTCTGGTTCTATGCAAGATATGCATTGTTGTATACTTCCAGAGTTTGTCATTGCATCAATTCTTTATCCATGTATACTATCTGAACCTTCAAATGATTTTCCAGTCTGCCTTTGGATACTTAATTTTTATTTTGAAATAAAAAACATTGTTCTCTCTTCTTTCTCCAGAAAATTCACAGAGAAGTAGCAGTGACCTCACTAAAAAGGCATGTTGTTCCAGTGTAAACAGAAAAGGCTCCTCTGGGATAAACATTACATAGAGGAAGATAATATGAGTCCCATTCCTCCTTGTCTCCAACCAAGCAATGGCAGAGGAAACTAACAACCAGAAGTTGTTACATTGAATTTTTCGGTTTACACTTATAAGTTCAATATTTAAGCACAGTCAGCACACTTATTATGCAATTTAAGCTCCCGTAAGTCACTTTGAGTTTTTTTCAATTGTGGCACCTGTGGGGTCCAAGCAGTCTTTGCTTATCTTGTCCTTGACATGCTTGAGAAGCTCTTTTTGACAAAAAAATCTCATCTTGCTGTTCCTCTCCGGCTGTTCTGCTGACACCATCCCCTCACACCAGTTTCAGGCAGTAAAAATTACTATCTAAAAAACTTGCAACTTAAGGTTTCAGTTTGGCGCCCCTTGTGGACAAAGCAGCCTCAGCTGCTTCGTCTTCTATTATTTATGTTTTTAGTTGATTTATTCTTTCCTCCAGCCTCACCCTACTTTTGTTTTAACTATACAAAAGCAGGGTGAGTAGAATGCAGTTAATCATGAGTTCACACTTACCCCCCTCACATATAGTGGTTTTAGATCCCAAAATAAATGTACGGAAATTGCCATTCTTTTGTCGACTGTCCCATTTTCTTATTTATTTCATAAAGAAGTACCAGTATCAATTTTTGTCAGTTTCAAAACCAGTTAAAATCTCCCCACAGGAGCTTTAATGTTTGTTTTTATGGTGTGGGTCTCAAAGATTTTAATGGTAGATTAAATTACTTCAGCCCGATCATATACTGTATATTAAACAGGTTTTACTCTCAATCAAAATTTGATACAGCACTCTGTAGCTCAACAGTTGTGGAAAAAAAAAAACAATGGTTGACACGTACAAAGATTCACACTTTTTATATAAATCAAACATAAGGAGCATACTTCAAAGATAAAACTGTGAGTTATTGAGTTACAGGCTTTCCTCTCAATTCTAAAACATGAACAGGTCCAGGAAATGTGAATCCTCTACAATGTTATTACACAAATAGAAGTTTGTGTTTTTTAGGGAGTAAGGGAGATGGTATAAAAGTTATTAAAAGTTATTAATTGTGGCATAAGAATAAAGCAGAGAAACAAGTAACGCAACAGAAAACTTAAGCACTACTTAAATAGTTCAGTGGCCATACCAAGACTTGTTGAAGCGATTTCGAGACTGGATAATTGTCACAGCAAAAATGATTAGTGGAATGAGGCATATCAGGAAAAATAAAACAGTGGCTGCAATGTTGAGGCTGCGGGCAGTTGAGCCGTAATGACGAGCTCCCTCCAAGTCACCAACCACCTTCCGATCTCTGGACTGCAAGACAAAAGCACCCCTCCTTATGTCAAACAGACTGTTCATCTTTAACAATGTCAGAGGCTGTTTATAATCTCTAATTTTACTGTACTTTATTCTTTCATTATTTTGTCATAAAATTTCTTGTCATATAGCTTAAAAAAATTGCTTTATAAGAAGATTTTCAAAGTTCCCCCAAAAGGCTGAACTTTTTGAGATACCCCTACCAAAAGTTAAATGAATAATAACAATGTTTATTTATGATTGTAACAAGCAGCTGTAGTTTATGTTGGAAAAATTCTGCCCTAAAAGAAGTTTGTTTTCTTGGTTCTCTGAAGTCACCCAAATCAAACACAGTACAAATCAAGGCTTCATTTCTATCACGTGAATCTCTGGAGATATTGATCAGTGTCATCCAATTAGCACTGGGTGTGCAAAGATTCTTTCTTCCAAAAATCAAGTAAAGCTCTCATCAAGATCTTTGTTGAAATTCTAAATTTACACACTAAAACACACGTGAAGTGATATCTCGAGCGTCCAAAGAAGATAACTTGAGCCTTTTTTTCCTGACAAATCCAGGTAAAATTCTTCATTTACCAAGAAACAAACTTCTGACAAATGTGAAAACTGTTGCATCTGAACTAACCTTGACAGAGTAGATGAGAGCTGCTAGTCCAAGGCAACAAGGGTTGGAGAAGTTGAAGCAGATGAGAGACCAGATGATGTGGTCCTTTGGGGGCTCAGTGTCTATGTTCACTCTGGTGGATTGAATCCCCGTAGTCCCTCCAGGCTGCATAGGATAACCCCCATACCCCATCCCCTGGAGTGGAACACCTTCAGGATTCATGACTGTCAGCTGAAGTGTACGTGCAGGCTGCAGGAAAGTGTGCGCTGACTGTGGTAGAGTGAGGCTTTATGTTTGTGAGCTCTCCTCTTTTGGGTAAGCACAGGCTTAGCCTGTCAGCCCACTTACTGTCTTCTGAAATATTACCCTTTCTTGAATGTGCTATTTCCTGTTTTCTTGTGAATGATCCATGGGGAACTGCTGACATTTTTTTAGTCATACCAGCAGCTCAAAGGTTTTATTCAGTCCGCAGATAGATCAATATCAGCTGGACTGTTTGTCATACATTTTGTAGGACTCAGGTTGAGTAGGATTTATTGATAGGTGAAAATTGTTGGTCAATAGGACAGAGAACTGGAACTGAGGCTAGTGTTTTATCTTGTCTGTAGGACAGCAGTATCACACAAGCACCGCAGATGCTGGGAGACGACTGCCGATGATGTCCTTCTCCCAGATCTCAGGTTGAGCACCTCTTACATAGTATTAAGAGGTGCTTACATTTCACACACAAACTTTTCTTGACATCTGGTTTGCATTAAAACTGGACTTTGACTGTACCTAGGGAGGCACCGACTATCTCTGGCTCTATTAATCACTTAGAACAGGAGAGGCCTCTCTTGGCATCCCCCGGTAACAGTCCAAGGAGGAATAAACTTCACCTTTCATGGTTCACGACAGATACCTCGTTAGACTATTCACCTCTTGGATTGGGCCATCTCTGCCACAAAATTGAGCTAATTCTGAGAGACTCCAACCCAGTCACTGAAGTTTTGGCACTAAGTATCCCTTCACTTGTCACTCACACTGTCAGTGAGGTTTTTTCTTAAAGGGGTCTTAGAAACTGTGAAAACATTGTCGTCTGAATCAAATTAATCAAAATCAAAGCAAACCAAAACCAGAGATTAAGTCACGTGGGAAATTTGTTTTACTGTTTCTTAACATTGTTCAAAACACTGTTCAAAACACAAACTACCTCAGCGAAAGCATGCCCACTATAAGTTAATATATTAATAATCATGACTTGATTCAGTTCAGAACCCCTGGTTTTGAGCCCGACTTCAACAACAGACACAAACAATCAACAGTAGTTTAATCGTATGGTTTGATAAGGAAGCCTGCTGCATTAATGAGAACATTTTTAGAATGTGGTGGCCTCTGGTGGTCACTTTAGGTAACAGTATTATTGAAGGCTGTTACTTTAGGCTGTTCAACTAAATAATACATCATGCATGATAAACTTTCACATGCTGATATGTAGAGAGCCTAACAATAATAATAATAATAATAATAATGGAGATTGTGTGACCAGCACTTGCCACTGTTTTAGCCGGTAGAATTTTAAGCTCCTCTTGACTTTTCCTCTAAAACATTTTTACTCATCACTTCCTGCCTGCAGTCTATTCACCCATAACCCTTTCTTGCTCTGCAGTAAGAACTGGTAAAACAAACTGGCTACATTACTTTTTGTTATCATAATAGAAAACAGTAACGGGGAGGGTACAACAAGACTTTGTTTTTGGTTTAAAACCATAAAATGAAACCACAAGACCTGTAGTTGGGGATTGGGAAACTTCAGTCAACTATCCAGATGTTTCTTGGTTAAATAGGTAAAACCATAGACTGTATATTGAATATAGTATATTCTATATACTATATTCTAGACTATATTCTATATACAGTCTATAGGTAAAAAATTCTCAAATGGGATTTTCTTGGCCTTTAGCTGAAGCTTTGGATCATGAATTAAGTTCGGACAGCGCTGTGTCAAAAGCCACCCTTGTTTTTTTTCTGAACCGGTTAACAAATAGATTGGCTTGACAGTGAAATCATTACTTTGAATGCAGGGGAAGGAGATTATCGGTAAAAAAAAAAAATACTGTTAAATTAAAAAAAGAGAGATCAATATCATAAGTGCTTTAAGTGCTTTATTTCATCACAAAAGGAGTTGTAAAGAGATGCATTTCTTATATACCGATATGTTTACTGGTCTTATTCTTTGCCTGAATTTGTATGGTTTGATGCTTTTCACTATTGATAGTCTTAGGACAAATAAAGAAACAAAGGTAGAGGATCAGGAGTAGTATAGCATAACAAACTAATGCAAAAGCAAATACTTGATGTATATGTAATTGGTTTTTCACAACAGAATATAACAGAGCTAGAAATGAAAATTGCTGAAATGGCTTCACATTGAAATCCTTTGAATAACAATCAGAGCTGTGTGAGTGGTCAAAAGCACTTTCAGTGGACTTCAGTTGCAGGATCTGTCAAGTTTGCATTGTGGCTGCTGACTAATACAATCCACTGGAGTAATTCCACAACAATATGAACCCACAAAATCAAGACTAGGACCCAGGAATACCTTTGAAGACCAAGCTTAAACACTTACATTTGTGAGGATAAGTATATTGTAACCTGAGACTCGTTACATCACAGAGGAACTTAAGACTTGGGATCTTTCTATATCTGACAAATGATGAAATGACTCAGGTTACATTCCCGAGTCACACGCCAAACACCATTATCTGTCAGCATGGTGCAACCTGTGTCCTGAATGGAGTTGTCTGGCTGCCCCTCTCCCCAACTGGTAAAGGTCAGAGGTCGGTTTTTCATATCCACAATAAACTTCCCCTCTGCTGTGTTGGTGTTAACATTAATCCAGGCCATCAAACCATCTGCAAGGAAATGAGTCAGTGCGTTGTTTTCCTCCTCACTCTGGGGCATAGCCACCTCCAAGCCTCTTTGGGCGCAGAAGTCGACGGCTTTGGAGAAAGTGTTTCTCTCTTTGTAGGTCACAAAGTATTTCTGACCAACTCTTCTCACAAAGTCATAGCTTGTAGCTGAGGAGATGAATATGACACAGCAAATCACAAATTTATGAGCAAACGTGTTCTCTTGTGGCAATTAAAATACAATACAGCTGTGAGAGCTCATTCAAACTAGAATTCAGGTGTGCTGAAACATTTTTGCTCAAATGTCAGGACATTCACAGTCAAGAGAAATGTCATGATAAACAATTAAAATGCTAAACACAGGGGAGGTTAAAAGAAACATAAACAAAACGCCAATACAATTTGAAAAATGAGGTGAGTTTTAGAGATACACACTATAACACTTTGAGCTTATCATGATACTTACACAGCTCTAACTTAGCAACTCTCTCCTTGAGGGCTTCGAGGTCGGGGCAGCTTGAATCAACGCCCCCTGAAGGAAACACAATGAAGTCACTTTATAAAACTTGGCAACAATATGATGCTACTATGCATGTTGATATTTGCTGATATGAAGTCTCTTGTTCGATGTTTTCAGTCTTCTTATTCGGTGATTCAGTTCTTATTGTTTTGCTTTCTCTGGACAGGGGGTAGGGCTGCAGTTTGTTGTGGCTAATCAACATATACTCATTAAAACAATGCACAAGAGACAGGATGACAGGATGAGCAGCCTGGACGTCTTTATTGTACAATCAGTAAAGATGACAAACAGGGTCTTGATCAGACCAAAGGAGAGACGCCCCAAGCTTTTCTCTCTGCTGACTGTGTATCTGAACAAATACATGTGTGTTACTGTGTAGTACAGTTGTGTGCCTCTAATGTGTGTGTGTGTGTGTGTGTGTTTGTGTGTGCGCATGCATGAGTCTCCTAAGTGTGTGCGTAAGTGCACGCTTTTCCCGTCATATATCCAGTCATCTGGAGTTCGTCCAAGGACAGGTCATAGTGTTCTGAAATTCACCAGTTGTTTGGATTATACTTAGACTTCCCAGAAACTATCTCTAAGTGTTACAGCAACCCAATAAGTTTTGGTCCCTGCAAAGCAGCCTGGGTTGTGCAATCTCAGGCTGCACAACCAGGCCAAACCCAACATGTTTAGGAATCCTTAATAAATGATAATCACTTATATATCCCTTACTTTAACCTATGGATTCCACTACAAGTTCTGGTTGTGTTGGCTACAGGATCAGTTGTTGGTTCTGCAGTGATCTGGTGTACTCCCTACCCCTCCCTTCCCACATTCCAGTAAAGGCTGGGAAAGCCTCCAAAATTAGTTTTAAAAAAGTAGTTTTTTTGTAAATCAAAGCTACACAGTATCAGTTGTTCCATTTTGACCCTTTTTAAAAATTGTACACCTGTTAATGTCTTTAAAGTTCAATGCAAATTCTTAATGAGGCAAATAGCGTCAGTATCATGAGGGGCACAGCAGGTGGCAATGTTCAACTAGCTCACCCAAAGACTTGCTGTGGACAGTCAGCTTTTCCTGTAAAAGGTCATTAAAAGCAGGACACATACCCATCGAAATAAGATTTACACGTGATCAAAATATTTTTAACAAAAACATTAAAGGGTGACTATAAAACATGTGAGCATTGGTAACTACTGTAGGTGCTCTGTAACATTTTGTTTTAAGCAAATATAACATTGATGTAAATCTTTTGCCATCTCTTTTTCTAACGAACTAAAAGTTTAGCTAGGGGCAGAACAGCTTTAATCGCTACATGCAAAACATCAGTAACTAAAGCTGGTTAGCAACAGACAGAAGTTGTGATTTCTATTGTCCCTGTTGTTATATGTAATTGTTTTTTCCCCGAGTTGTAAGTCATAATCATCAAAAAGCCTTAAAATATTTAGTCTTAAATTAGATCCACTAATTTCGATCTGCTAAAATTAGGGGCTCTATGGAAGCCTGGAAAAAATTTACTTGAGAAGGATTCAAATGAGCCTGCGACATCATTAACATAGACAAACTAACAAAAGCATGTGAGTCACATTGGGAATACCTCCCAGTGTCTCAAACCCAAACCAGAATAACTTAAACTAAACAGCATAACTAGTTGTGGCGTCATGTCAATATGTTTATATGTCAGAGATTGAAACTAAAAAATGCAAAACGTTATCCTTTTGAAATGAGGGACTCAATTTCAATTCACTGCAGTGTCCATGAGGAAATACTAGAATTTAATTTTGCAAAATAATTTAAAAAAAAGGAAATTGCTTGAGCTAATGTTGTAAAACACATTACCCTGTTGACATGTGACTCCACGTCCAGGTTCTCCACGCTCTCCAGGCCACCCTCTTTCCCCTAAGGAGTAGAGAAAGTGACTTTAGACAAGACTTAAGGGAATTTCCCCTCAGCTCAAGAGATGCAAAGTGACAAGATTATAAGGATTTTATCAAAGGTGGATGTTGGGAGGTAGGGGGCAGATTATGAAATTTAAAGCACCTGTAGGGACCTTTTGGTTTGTGATAGTTTTGAAACCCCCTGTGGACAAAGGAGTCTTTGTTTAATCTGTATAAGGATAGTCAAATCTTGAGTTTTGTCAAGTATAGTTTTGTTTGTTTTTGCACATCACCTGGAGGCGTCACCATGAATTTCAGTTAATTTTATAAATGTCAAAAAATTCCCCATAGGAGCTTTAAACAAACATTTTTTTTTTTGTTAAGAATTAAAAAAAAAAGTTTTGTTGGGAATTATTTTCTTTCAGGCTGTATAGGAATAAAGATAATTAAATTCTGTATATTCACCCTTTAAACCGTCTCGACCTGGAAGTCCAGGAAGACCGTCTCTCCCCGCTGGACCAAGATGTCCTTGTTCACCTTTAGGACCGTCTTGACCTGGAAAACCAGGAGGACCAGGATCACCAGGACGACCAGGTGGACCAGGAATACCAGGAGGACCTTGGATCAGACTGAGACCAACAGGAGCCGTCAGGCAGAGGACACAGATTATTGGACACAGCCTCATCTCCTCAGTGAAGATCTGAAATATGTACAAATGTAGATGAATATTCACAGTGAAACTGAAATATTTCATCATTATTACACATGTATAGGTGCTATTGTAATCTGTAAGGATGAGGAATCTGCAGACATTCTGTATACTAAACCTCCTGGTTAATGCAAACAGAATAAGCAATAAAATTAGTGACATTTTAAGTTAGTCTTCAACTTACAGTAACTTCACATGTACTAAAATGGAAAAAAAAGCATTTCTTTAACATTATGATCAGTCTCAATGATATTAAATCCAGAGCAAAATAAAAATAAGAACTCACTGCGTAGATGAAGAAAGATCTGCTGGGTGAGCTTCCTCTTGACTCTTTCCAGAGAAAAGTGATTTCAGTCCTGCGTAAACAACAGATGTTAAGTCTCATGTGGGATGTCATAGGGAAGAAGATGATCTGAGTCCAAAGTCCTCCCTCATCTTCATTAAGAGGCATCAGCATCAATTTCATACTGTTTTACAACCAGGTAAAAACTCCCTACAGCAACATTATGATGCATTTACACCAAATGCAAATAAAATTAATGAATTACATGTAAAGTCTGTGTAAAAACACAGTTTGATGCAATTTCTCAATGGGTGACGTGAATGACGCAAGTTCACGAAACCCTCTGAGCTCAAGCAAAAAGCCAACCAGCATGAAGATTCCCTGGTGACGTCTGTTAACGAAAGACCAGCAGAGATTCAGTCAAAGGAGAATTATGTACATGTTGATATGTGACCACCTGAGCAATAGGACACAACCTGTTTTAAATATTTAGACAGGAATATAAAAAAAGAGCTCAAGAGGAGGCAAGTGAGAGAGTGGGGAGGTCAGCTGTTTTATGTAGTTATTTCAATATACATATATCATTTAAATAAACATCCTCACCATCATGTGTATCTTCATCCTCACTCAGATTTATTTTCAGCCACTTGTATTCATGAGCATAAGGTTTTCAGATGAGCACTTGTCATGAAAAAAAAAACGTCAAATTGGAAAGAAAGTGGAACAAAGGAGAGGAGACTTATTATGTTTACTTTTTCTTTCATTTATTGAGCGCTGTCTTAGCTTTTGAGAATGGCAGACTTTTTAAGGAAGTGTCAAGCAGTGAGTTGATTTTACATGAGGGTATCGAGAAAATGGCAAACAGAAAATGTGAGGAGGAAGGGAAACAGCCCCAAAACTGTGCAGACACAAAGCTCTCCAGTATTTGAACTCCTCAGGGTTACATTAATGATGTTTTTGCGTCAATAAGAGTTTGATACAGCACTTTGTAGCTCAACAGTTATGGAGAAACGATGCCTGACATTTACCGAGACACTTTTTACATAGTGAGCAAATCAAAAAGGGATGGATTTCAGAGATTACAAAAAGTGACAACATGAAACGGCTCTGTTAACAAATGGACCTGTTCTTTTGCCACTACTGTTGAGTAACAGTCCTCAGAATTAAAAAAAAAAAACAAGTCTTAGATATAATCCCATCTGAAGACAGCAAATTTAAGACACAAATCCCCTTTGAGACTTAATACACAAATAGAAATTTATGTTTTTCATGAGGATGTCAGGGAAAAGCTACCAAAGTTACAATTTGTAACATGAGAATAAAGCAGAGAAACAAGTAGCAAAGCTGACAGCTTCAGCACTATTGAAATAGTTCAGTAGTGGTTTCTCCAGCTTTGTGCTGAAATAATGCGCATTGCAGTGTATACAATGATGAAAAGCAGAAGAGCTACGGAGGCCAGAACTGTAGCAGCGATGTTGAGGCTGCAGGCAGTTGAGCCGTAACGACGAGCTCCTTCCAAGTCACCAACCACCTTCCGATCTCTGGACTGCAAGACAAAAGCACCCCTCATTATGTCAAACAGACTGTTCATCTTTAACAATGTCAGAGGCCGTTTGTAATCTCTAATTTTACTGTACTTTATTTTTCGTCATACAATTTCTTGTCATATAGCTTAAAAAATTCCTTTATAAGAAGATTTTCAAAGTTCCCCCAAAGGCTGAACTTTTTGAGATACCCCTACCTGATTTATGATTGTAACAAGCAGCTGTAGTTTATGTTGGAAAAATTCTGCCCTAAAAGAAGTTTGTTTTCTTGGTTTTCTGAAGTCACCCAAATCAAACACAGTACAAATCAAGGCTTCATTTCTATCACGTGAATCTCTGGAGATATTGATCAGTGTCATCCAATTAGCACTGGGTGTGCAAAGATTCTTTCTTCCAAAAATCAAGCAAAGCTCTCATCAAGATCTTTGTTGAAATTCTAAATTTACACACTAAAACACACATGAAGTGATATTTCGAGTGTCAATAGAAGATAACGAGCATTTTTTCCTGACAAATCCAGGTAAGATTCTTCATTTACCAAGAAACAAACTTCTGATAAATGTGACAACTGTTGCATCTGAACTAACCTTGACAGAGTGGATCAGAGCTGCCAGTCCAAGGCCACAAGGGTTGAACCAGAAAAAGCTGATGAGAGACCAGATGATGTGGTCCTTTGGGGGCTCAGGGTCTATGTTCACTCTGGTGGTTTGAAAAACCGTAGTCCCTCCAGGCTGCATAGGATAACCCCCATACCCCATCCCCTGGAGTGGAACACCTTCAGGATTCATGACTGTCAGCTGAAGTGTACGTGCAGGCTGCAGGAAAGTGTGCACTGACTGTGGTAGAGTGAGGTTTTATGCTTCCTTCATCACATGAAAAAAAAAAAAGACCACACTCAAGAGAACACACTAAGCAGGCTTTTCGCAGGCCCAGGTTTTTATCTGGTTACTTTCTTCTGAAATATCTCAATTTTTTCTTTTTCATTTTTTGACTTTCTTGCAGTGATACAGTTTTCACTGTCTGTAGAATATCTCAACATTAACTGGGTTGTTTGGATTTTTTTTAATCATTTTTGCATGAGTCATGTTTAAAACATTTTGGTGACACTTAAGAGTTAATAAAAAACATATTTTAGCTCAGATGAGCCTCAACTGTTAACCTTGATTTTATCCTTAAATATTACCCTGAAAATCTCAATACCCTGTTTTCCACCAAGGAGTGACTAGAATATTCTACACATAAAATGTAAATTGTTTAATTCACTTATTTTGATGCATTTTAAGCTTGACTTTGCAAGCTGGTATAAACAGGGGAAATATTCTTTAAAAGAGCAGACACAGACACAAGTAAAAGCTGCTGTTAATATTTGAAAACAGAGTCTGAAACAGATTTACATCTTAAACATTCATGAAAAAGGAAAAAAATTAAATATATTAAAGAGTTCAACTAAACAAAACAAAAGCAGGTTACACAGTGTATTGAAGTGACACATTGAAGTGTTAGCTTCATTTTTGGGGACAAGCTCAGTCAGATTAAATCTAAAGGAAAACATCACAATAAGGAATCATCAAGCAGTCATTTGTGTTTGTTTTAGAAGAAATATTTACTGTGAATCCACTAAGGTTGTCCTTAGGTGGCTGATAGACCCTTTAGTACCTTTGGTAAAAAAAAGGCACTGCAGACTGACTGATGAAGTGAAAATAACTGGTGGTTCTTTTAAAGGAACGGCATAACAGCCAGGAAATTGACTTACGGTATATGACAACTTGTTAATTTGACAACCTGTGGTTATGCATAATAGCTGTTTGTAATAGCAGTGGTTCAGACAATTGTGAAAACAAACTAGAAAAAAAACTAAACATTACATACAGTGAAGATAAACAATACTGAGACTGCCAAAGCTCCGAAACAATCACACATAACAAACCAGGATATTTTACAACCTAAACCCTGATTCATGCAGGATACATCAGGCATGATTTTATTCAAAGTAGATGTTATGAAAGCTGGATTTGTTTGTAATGCTTTACCACAACATATCAGTACTCACACAACCTGAGAAATGATCTGTTTTAGTGCTCATGTTAAAATGAATAATCCAGTCAAACCAATATTATGAAAACAAAAAGGATATGTTACTCTCCAGGCTTTGTTTGGCAGACGTTTGATAAGGCTTGTATATATTTGATCCGGTTTAAATCAAATACCATTGCAGTCTTTCTTTAAATTAGTAGAAAAGCAAACAAATCTACAAACAAATTAATCTCTCGAGATTTGATCAGAAAAGGCGTCTTTTAGAGAAAATCAGCTGTTTGGTGAGACTGACTTCAAAATAATATAACCCAAACCCTGATGCCTCCATTTAGTATATCAGTCATGTCACTACATTCATTAACTGATCCGATCTTTTTACTTGTAGAAGCAGTTGGTAATCATGAAGTGCATTTGCTCTTAGATACATGAGGGTGCTGCCCCAAGTGGAAATTTAAGGCATCACATCTTGGAGGAAGCAGCGACGGCAGAGACTCCTGGACGGCTGTAGACACGCACAGGTGTGTTCTAGGAGAGACAACAAGGAAATAAGAGAAGGAAGAGGGATGCCAATGGTGTTTCAACATTCATCTTATGAAAGCTGCTACCAGACACTAAAATATTAGGATATTTGGAACTTGTCTGTTATCTTTCATACAGTCACAAGTTTTACATCCTTTAACTCATCATCAGACTGATTTTTATTGAAACTCTACAACAACATCACTTCTATTAGGTTCACCTTTACCTCACTTTTCAGCTTAGCCTTTACTCTGACAATTACCAAGACACTTTTTACACAGTGAGCAAATCAAAAAGGTACCTACAGATAAATAAAATATATGTTTATACATTTATCTTGGGACATGAGGGCAGCTGAAAGGAAACATCGATTTTTTGGATCAGACAGTAACTGTTTACCTTCTGGGCCTCACTGTTGAACTTGCTGAGAAGGGTCTGGACCCTGTTTCCATAGTCTGGATGGACTGCCTTCAAGTTCTCCACCTGCATGAACCAAAAATGATTGATTTTATGTATATATAGGACCTAAATGCAGTTTTTGATGCCTGCATTGCTGGTTCTTTACTGTTACTTCTTTAAAAACAGTTAAAACTGTTCTTCTGCACCCCAAACCAAGATTTTAAAATCTTTTTTAGACCTTTTAAAGGCTCACAATGTGTGGAACTTCCTTGTCAGAGTGGCTCTCTAGTTTGATAAAGCTGTAACAAAGAGCGTGCAGCATTTTTGCAGGTGGTTAATGTCTCACACAGCATGTGGTTGTGGTGACCTGTAAATGGTTAGGGTAGGTGGGTGAGTGACGCATGATGGAAATTAACACAACAATCTGAGCGGAAAAGGCTTGATTGTTACTCTAATAATGTCTGACTTCTGTACTTTGGAGGACTAGAAATTATAAAAACTGCCCAGTAAAACTGGGTCAGGTAAGTCCAAACTGGTCACAGTTTTCAGATGCACATTGACACCAAACTGAGGGATTTAGCTTGTGTTTATTGACTACAGGGTCATATTACCAATATTCAAACTTAAATCATTATAGACCTCACATATCATCATCAGAAGGCAGGCACTGCTTATACAGCTTGTTGGAAAACTAAATCTCTTGTATATTGTAACCATTTGTTAAAAATCTGTCACTGTTAAAAGCTCCAAGAACACAAGTTTGACTCTTACTGCTTATTTCCACAATTAATAAACGCTACTAAATATAAAAAATGAACCTATTTATTTCAGTAGACATCCGAGGTCCTCTGCAAAAAGGGGTAAACAAACAAATTAACACACATATTTTTAAGAGCGACATAATAGAAATATCTATATATAGACACACTTTTGAATTGAAATACTGATCACCTTAAAGTGTGTGTAAGTGATCACATCTTTGTGTTTGGTACAGAACTTTAAACTCACTGATTAAAAAAAGCAGGATATTACATTCCTCCTCCCCCAAAACCACTGAAACCAGACTGACAGTTGATACACAGACAGATACAATTGTGGTTGAAGCATGCAACATCCCACAACGCACTGCATTTATTTACTGGCCAAGAAGTTACTGACATCTTTACTTACAATATATTTTCCCATGGTGCACTGTTTATGTTAAAGGATATGTGTATTGATTTAAACAGTGGGTCTTCCATTCTTCATAAAATCATGCAATCATGTATGACTCACCATACGCTTTTGGATGAAGAGCTGAGCTCCTTTCAGGGCCCCGGCCATGTTCTGGCACAGTCTCTGCCTCTCCTCCTCATTCAGCACCTGGGTGTAGAAGGTCCGAACCTGCAATTCAATCAAAAAACAAGAAAGACCGTGTCTGAGTTGATAAAATTTACTGCATTTATATTTAGTTAAAAAAAAAACAATAAAAATCTGGTGAAAGTAAATCAAATCAAATTCAATGTGAGTGAAAATATTTGTTTAGGTTTATTCATTACAGACTTTGTAGCCTCACTTAACATAAAAATATACTGAAAAGTATCTTGATTTAAATATTGACTGAATTACACTAAAAATATAAACGCAACTCCTCCTGTGTTTTTGCTCCCTTTTTTCATGAGCTGAACTCAAAGATCTAAGACTTTTTCTATGTACACAAAACATGCCACACCAGTGAGGTGGTTGGATTATCTCAGCAAAGGAGAAGAGCTCACTAACACAGATCGAGACAAATTTGTGAACAATGTTTGAGAGAAATCTGCCTATTGTGTACACAGAAAAAGTCTTTGTTCTTTGAGTTCAGCTCATGAAAAATGGGAGCAAAAACGAAAGTGCTGCTTTTATATTTTTATTCAGTTTCAAACATTTCATTCTTTGTCTAATCCAAAGCAGTTTCAGTTTATTTCACTGGCCACTTGTGGCAGAGAGGAGACCTGTGAACATAATACTGACATGCTGTGTCAAGCTCTGAAGCTGTGAGTTTTGCTGTTTGAGGTTTGGTGGAGTGTGGGAAACGCACAGCATATTGGTGGAGGTGGTGGTGGTGTGTGGATGTGTGCATGTGCGTGTGTGTTGAGGGGGGGGGTGTACTTTGGGATAACTGATACAAAAATTAGCACATTCACAATAGACGAGAAGAGTTCTATTGTTCCTTTTTCAGCTTCAATAGGAAGAAGTGTATAAAGTGTATAAATGTACCTCTTTCTACATACTCATCTAAACATCTCCTAATTGTGTCTGTGGTAAAAAAGAGAAGTGACCAGTTTTCTCACCCTTAAATCTTCCTAATACTACTCCAAAAATGATCCTCTCTCAGTTGCTATGGCTACAGTTTTCTCACCCTTAAATCTTCCTAATACTACTCCAAAAATGATCCTCTCTCAGTTGCTATGGCTACAGTAAAGCTGTTTTTACCTGTGAGACGTTGTCTTCATCTGCACTGTTGTAACGGCCCACATCTGGAGATACCTTGAACTTGGACTCCACAAACCGAGGCTGGGTGTCAGGTGCACTGAAGCTGTTGGGGTAATAGTTTGGAGCTCCACCTAGAGGCCAGTCAGAGCAAACATGAGTGTGTCAAGCAGCTGTTGCCGTGAACTCAGCACGTCCTGAACAACACGATCTACTTCTTAAAAGAGTACATGATAGAGCCGAGATTATTGAAGTTCAGATAAGATGAATGAATTACAGTCAAAGATGTGTTTATTGTGTTGATGTGTTAGATATGGCATAAATGGTGACATCTGTATGGGAACTCTTTGTATTGCTTCTCTATGAATGGTTAAGCTTTTGTGCTTGTACCTTATATCACATCACACACCGCCTGGACTACGACCTACCTTGGTTGTCAAACATGCACATTGGACCGTCGCGCTGGTAGTTGGACACACGGGTCCTGAATGGACAGTTGACAGGGATCTGCAGGTAGTTGGCTCCCAGTCGGTGTCGATGAGTGTCTGGGTAGGAGAAAAGACGACCCTAGAGGATGGGAGACACACAAGTCAGAGACCGGTTAAACTGGAGGAGTCTGTGCTTTCAAGGAATGAGTGCACAAGATGCACATTAATACCAGAACTAAGTCCAGTATGAGTTCTGTGGAAAAACCTTTAAGGGGTCAGTAACTAGTATTTATTTGATTATATTGTTACTTAGTTTAATTCAGGCTTCCTGTTAAACATGTCAAGTGGTATGGTGTTTACCTGCAACATCTTATCTGGGCTCGCCTCGATGCCTGGTGGCATGTTGCTGGGATCGAAGGCCAGCTGCTCCACCTCGGCAAAGTAGTTCACTGGGTTTCTATTGAGCACAAATCTACCCACAGGGATCAGAGGGTACTCTTTGTGTGACCAAACCTGCAGGAGAAACCTCCATTAGAAGAAAATAAAAACACTGCACCGTCCTCAGGAATGGGTCCAATGACACACACAGGAGAGTGTTTGTCTTGTGGTTGTTTGCAAGAGCTCTTCTACTCATCTAGTTTATTTCCAAATCTAAACACATGTTGTTGTCTCCAAAGGAGAGCCATCGCTACTTTGACATGAACTCTGATTTTATTTCTTAGACAGCTCAAGACCTCACAAAAAAGAATAAAACCAACTTAACTCCAGAACTAGGTTATAATAAAACAAGACTTTCAAGATCATATTTGCTTAAGGACATTTTGATAGCATTGTGGTAAACTTCTACAATTTTCACAGACATTAATATCCATTTGTCCTGCTCAGTAAAAAAATGTCTTGAGCTGTTTTTCTTCTGATCTTGAAGCTGCTGCTTGATAATCAGTTAAGAACTGCTGATAAGACTATCAACAAACAGAGACGCCTGTGACAAGGTTGAGCCTCATCCTTTTAGCATAACTGCTTTAAAGGGGTGTGGTACCTTGGTAAGATCAAAAGGGTTGAATTGGAACTTCTCGGCCTGCTCGAAGGTCATGACCTGGATGTAAAAAGTCCAGGATGGGTAGTTTCCCTCTGCGATGGCATTGAACAAGTCCCCGATGGCGTAATCTGGGTTAGTAGAAGCCAGGTGGTCCGCCTCCTCCACTGGCAGATTCTTTATGCCTTGATCGGTCTGACAAACAAAACAAAGGACTTAAATTAAAAAAGGAAGACCAAAGTCTCAGGAGGTAGGTCTATACAATCAATAAGGGCCTTCACCAGACCTTGTAGTGAAACTTGCAGTAGACACACTCGCCATCAGCATTGACAAGTTTGAAGGTGTGAGAGCCGTAGCCGTTCATGTGACGGTATCCATCAGGTAGGCCCCGATCGCTGAACAAGAAAGACACCTGCACAAGGTAAACGAGACCAAAGACTGAACAAGTCCTGAAGAGTTCACTTCAGCCAATGTCATCCACTGAACGATCATTTCACTTAAGTGGATCATTATAAAGCAAAGAAGTGACAGGGAAACATCATAACAACATAATACTACTAACCTGATGCAGACTCTCAGGCCTCAAGCTCCAGAAGTCCCACACCATGTCGGGGTCTTTCATGTGGGTCTGAGGATTGCGCTTCTGGGAGTGGATGAAGGACGGGAACTTCATAGTGTAAAGAGTGATTAGAACAGAGACATATGGTTATAAAATGTCTTTGATGGTTTTCTGAGTGCAGTATGACGTCAAGGTTGTCTCTTCTATTTATAACACAACACATTCAACTGCTGTTTTTAAAAGGGATGTGTGTCCTGAGAAGCTAGTCAACCTGCAACAGCATCTAGTCCTGCATGGTCCATTTGCATGAAGATACTGAATATCAACTGTACCCACTTACCAGTAAGGCATCCCTGATGAAGAATATGGGGGTGTTGTTGCCAGTCAGATCCCAGTTGCCCTCGTCGGTGTAAAACTTGACTGCAAAGCCTCGGGGGTCTCGCACCGTGTCTGCTGATCCTGACTCACCGGCTAAAAAAGAAAAATTAAAAAAAAATGTCCATGTCAAAACAGGATACAGCTGAATATAAGAACAGGCTCAAAAGGAACTGATCAGCTGACACAAACTTTTAAGATGCAAATTTGCTGAAAATAAAACTGCACTTTTGAAATAAGAGGACTTTTCAGAAACGTCTGAAGCTGATGGAGAACCAAATAATGTTACCAATGTTTCAGAACAACTCTTGTGACATGTTCATCAAATGTTACAAGTTAATAGAATTTTGTAAATGTAATCCGAAACTTTCAGCCAATCTTCAGTTTTTCATGTTTTCAGCAAACTCTACAATCAGACCCGCTCCTCCTACACTCTGGCATAGAGTAGAAATGTACATGTTAAATCAGCTAAAAGATTAAAAATAATCACTCTAGTTAGTTTCCAGCAGACTTACTACTTGGTGCAGCCACCCACCATTAGCTGATGCTGCCGCTTTGGTTTATAGTAACTGCTATAATCCTTCACTACCCAGACAAGCACCTATGACAGATAGCATGAGGTAAATTTTGGCACCCTCTATTGACGAAGGAAACTCTGCGTCTATTGTCCTCTGCAGGCACTTCATACACCAACAAACTCCACATGGGAGCGTTACAGAACCTTGTGCTCTTCTGAAATGTAGCCCTGTTGCATCTGTTTTTATTTGTACTTTATTATATGAAACATTTTTAATGTTTTGTAAGCCCCACTTGAGTAATGTGTCACCTTTACTTGCATTAAAGTTCAACACAAGTTTCTCCTTTTTGAACCAAAAAATAAGCAATCAAGATAAAAGGCAAAAAAAAATCCACAAAATAATCTTGAAAACAATCAAAAAAAAGGTTATTCTTACCCACAGTGGAGAAGCGGACTGCGACGGGTGTTGTCTTTCCGACATGTTCAAACACCTTGGCTTTGGAGTAGCGACTGATATCATGAGTCACCTCAAAGTAGCCAAAAGCCCCTGGATTATCAAGAGAAAAACATACAATAGGTCTTTGTTTGATTCAAATATTACTCAGAGATTTAACATGTCTGATTCAGATATTTGTAAGTGACTGTCTGGGCTGGTGTAGTGTTACATAACTAGACGCGGGAAAGAATACAGTTCTTTCCAAAGCCTGCCAATAAAAATTACTGTTCAACACTGTCCGAAGTCTCTGACCTTGATCTGGGCTCTAGAAACTTGCAAAGATTAACATTCATCTGGAGCTAATCCAAACACCTTCATGTAGTTTCTAAAAGGGTTTGTGTAGACTCTAAGCTTCTTTCAAAACAAATATTAGATACTGTGGTAAACAACAACTACAAAAACAAGTCAGACTTTTTCTTTTTTTTTTACTTTAATAATTATACAACAATGCCTACTGGGATTTTCACAGAGCTAGTGCCAGTTTACATGGTGTGACCAAATTAAAGATTTACAAAAAGTCTACCCTTTTCAGTGAAAAAGTGCATCAAAGCTCAAAACCAGTTTTTCACAACAAGTGACTCCAGTGGGATATAAAACAGTTTACTTTTTGTCACATTGTCCAAAACATGGCTAAAACCAATCAGACTTGACAAAAAGAAAGTGGTCAGACTTTTTTAACCGCAAGAACCCAATGGCAGTATCCAGTTCCGCCAGCATCTCTCAACACTGAGTCTAGTAGCATTTGCTGTGTTTTTTGGGGTGTTAACATATCCTGGTGAAGGACTGAAGCAATGTTTACCCAAAGAGGGGTCTGAACAAACAAACAAAAAAAAAAAAACTTTCTGCAACAAGAAGCCAATCAGGATTCAAAGTTTCATTTGTTAGAAAATCGAAATGCTACAAAACACCCTCTATTTCAAGTCAACCTGACACAGCTAACACACATGTATGTACCACACTTACCTGCCCCTTTGGCGTGCACCACTCTCTCTGGGATTCGCTCCCGGTCAAAGTGGGCCATCTCATCTGTGAAAACCACATCTTGGACCAGCAGAGGGCCCCTCGGTCCTGCAGTCTGCTCATTCAGTTTGTCTCCGACAGGATGGCCCGCCCCTGTGGTGAGTGTGTCAGGCCTCTGTTGCAAACAGAATACCAATCAGTAAAACATAAACGCTATCTAAGATAACCTTGTTATGTAGGAAGCCCACTGAGCAATAGACAGCTATTAGACGTCTAGTTTTTTTTAGGCCCAATTTTCAGTCGTCTAGATTCTGTATTTTTTAAGACAGAGTTTAGGCATTGCAGTTTAACCCATTATTCGATAACTATTTATTTCAAAAAGCAACTGTGAGTTGCATAACTGATTTCCAAGTGCTTAACCAAAATAGTTATGATAGCCGTTGAGCAACATACAGTGTAGTATAGCCCAGATTTAGACTTGGTCTAAACTGAGGCGTCTAAAAAACTTTCATTTTTAGACCTGTAGTAGCCTGATTTTAGACCAGTCACCTAGGCTGCATTTAGTCGTCTATTGGACCTCTTTTAGACAAAAAAAAAAAAATGCTCAGTGGGATCAGTCCAAGTTCTAAAAGTAGCAAAGAAAGCTAAGGACATGTTTCTAAATTTGGATGAATCAGTTCTGTGGAAATCCAAAAATATTAACAATCAAAGAACCCTATGCTCTTCTGAAATGTAGCTCTGTTGCATATGTGTTTATTTGTACATTATTATATAAAACATTTTTAATGTTTTGTAAGCCCCTCTTGAGTAATGTGTCACATTTACTTTTGCATTAAAGTTTAACACAAGTTTCTCCCTTTTGCACCCAAAATATAAGAAAACAAGACTTTTATTTGCTCTCTCTTTTATTTGCATGTTTCTGAAAGGTGCATAGTGCTAATGAAATGATGTGTTGAAGAAAACGTGTGTTTACCTCTCATAATGTGCTGAATCTTAATTGCTCGGTTTTTCTTCGATATTTTCACAGCTGAATGTTAGTTTCTTTAAAAAGTTTGCAGAGGTGGGAGGGCCATAGTGAGGGTTACTCTGGGCGATAGGAGGCTGTTTGTTCTGCTCTGCTTTGGTTATATAACCCACTGGGTTAAAGTTCGGCCTATGGATGATGACCTACTTCTTATCTTTGCATTGAATTGCAGTTTTGAGGGACATAAAATCTGTCTTCTAGTAATTGCTATTGGTTAACTTTGCTTACTGTTACTATGTCCTGTGAGAGAGCGGTTTAGCATCCAACATTAGCATTCAACTGAGAGAGCGCTTTAGAGCAATTATATCTTCAAACAAACAGCTAAAGTGCAAAAATTCAACATTATATCTTATAATCATATCTGTAAGGTAGGTCTGCAATGTTGAGGGCTAGCCCACAGCTCGCTAGCTTCGGAGGTTTATCGTTAACATTAGCTTGTTACCTTAAACGACCCCTCACTCATTAGTCGGCGCAGAGAAAAAATAAAACACTTGATAAAATGCGGGGTGACAACAGACCTGGACGCCTCTACTCTCCTTCCATAGCTTCATTTGATCGGTAGCTTTATCTCTGTTGCCAGCCATCTTGCCAGGTTAGCGACACTAGACGTTTAAACCAAATAACTCCTCCGAGGATGTTGCGGTGAATAGCGTTACCTTCGCTGCCCCAGTCAGTGCCTAGAAATTTTTCTTCCTGGACTTTGCTCACTGGCCCCGCCCCCTTCAGCGCCCCTAGCTTCTAATTGGCTAAAAGAGGGAAAACTGACCTACTTTTGCTACAACAAGAGAAGGGGGAGACGGTGTTGCTTTTTTTTCTAGTGAAGTTTGTTTGGATAGCATTTTCTAGATTTCACAGAAGAGTCTTTATTTGTGAATCCATCTTATCCCTCTGTTATGCAGCAAGTGCTTTCTTTCAAGTGTAAAACTCACACATACACAGTCAATGTATAGAGCAGATTTTACCTCATTGAAGTAAACAAACACAACACCAATGCATTATGGGCTTTGGCAGTGTTAAAGGACTGGCTGAGTTTGAAGATTTGCCATCTGGAAGGTTATGTTTACCATATACGGGTGCCACCATTATTTACTGCATATGTTACCAAAGCAAATAGAAAATACATGTATTTAGACTTTACTGTAATTTGAAATATTAAATGTAATGTTAAATTAACCTGTAAGTTGGCTGGGAGGAATACCATCTTTAGATTGGTGTCATCTTGTTTGTATAGCTAGTTGGCTGAAGAGCAGGATAGTCTACTTTTAGCAGGTGGTTAGAAACCCTTGTACAAACTTCCCAGCTTACTACAACTACAAATAGATGGGGAAAAAAGAAATGTGGACTTTTTTTTACTCTTAAAAAGACTATGAGCACTGTAGATTTTAGTTTTTATCTATTCTTGAGGCAGTGAGTACTGTTGCCTGTGGAGCTTTGTTGAAATGATCCTCACCTGTGATTTAACTCAAATCTGTTATGAAAATTACATGAGAACCAACAGTATATGTTAACCAGCGTTTTAATCCAAGTGTTAAGTGAAATAATGAATCAAGAAATAGGAGTGTTGAATGAAGTATAAGTGGTTCAGTAAATCTCAATCACACTTTGAAATAAGAATAAAGCGTCTCTTGCTGGGTTATAGAGCAAATCAACTCAGTTCAATGAATCGTCATGTTCCCAGAAAGTTGCCAAGATGTGCTACATTCACATTAGAGGAAGTCATGGCACACTAGAGAATATTTAACATATGGGGGTACTCAAGACTTATAGGAAAAACTGGCCACCACACTACGATGATAAAGAGCTGCTCGATTGTTACTGTTGAATTGCTTTTATTTCAAACAGCATTCACACAATACACTTTATTCTTGAGGCACATTCACATCAAGTGCTAAATAACTTCATGCATGGTCAAATGTCAGCTACAGCTTAGATGAACTGAATTCAGATGCTGATTGTAAATGAAGATATTGCTTTGTTATTTGGCACAGTAGGAAATGTTGTCTATTATATGACAGCAGGTGTGTTATTTTTGGATTGAGGTGAGGAATGCGGTCGGACCTTGACCTTGAAAATGTAGACTTTAGGCTCTGCGTTAAAAAACCACAACAATGCATAAGGCTGATGATGCTTTTTGTTATACTAAGTATTTCACGTGATGACCCACATTCAAAAGTTACAACAAAACGGCACTATTGCACAATGTTGTCGAGAATATCTCAGACAGGTAAAAAGCCACCTTGACATTCTGATTTTTTTGAGACCCTTGTCCACTTATCGTCTTTGAAACCAAAAAACTTTTCAGTAATATTTAGTTTGCAGCCATCTTTAAAGAACAAGTGAGACAAGTGCCTGGTAGAAATCAACTGCAGCTAAATTCAGAATATCAAGGTGTTTCATATAACATAAAAGAAACAGTAACCCCGTTTAAAGGGGTTTGATACTTAACATCACAAGTTAAATTCCCAGAGGTGTTTTTATAATAACTCATCAATCAGCAACAACATTGGTGTTAATATAGTGTATAAATGGAAATGAGTTAGATGTCTACTTTAGTATAACATGTGAAAAACATGATTTGCAAGGATAATTCTGAAGTACGTTATTTACACTGTTAAATATGCTTATGCAACTTGTATTGCATTAATCATGGTGAAAATAGAACAATGTGACACAATGACTTGATAGTTACATCCGATTTGGCCACCCTGTAACAACTGCTACAAATTACAATTATTTCACCTGGATAAGAGTACCTGGATATATGTATTTTTTTCAAAAGCACAATAGATACTGTACATACCAAAACCTTTATTATTTTCAGTCTCACTGTTAACAAATGACGCAAGCAAATCCAGTAGAGCTTACTCACCTCGGCTCAAACATCAGCTACGAAATCAATCAAGAAGGCGCAATCGATGACGGGTTTGAAAAGACAAAGAGGTTTTTTCCTGAAGGAGAAGGGATTTCACCTCTCCACCCAGTCAGTCATTCTTTAGACAGGCTAAAACAGGCTACAACCAGAGTAGGCACCATGCAAAGGGGGTGTGGGGGGTCACGCCTGTCAAATCAAGGGATTTTTTTTCAGGGATTAAAACTCATCCAGAGTTCAAAAAGAAATTTCTAATAAAGAATTTTCAAAAGGAAAAAATATTTATATGTTTGTGTGTTTTTTTGGCCTGATACTCAAGCCAAACGAAATGTTGGGATGTTGTTTCACTAGGCTGCCATTTTCCTTTGATATCAAACTCAGATTGGGAGCTTAAATACTGCATCAATGTAATCTTTATGTTTTCAGTATTGAATGCATGAGTCTCTGACATTTCAATATCCGCTAAAGCGCAGCTAAAAAGACAATAAGTATTGAAATTCAGAAGGAAGTCAGGCTATATTTTAAAGTAAGACAAGATATTTGATAACCCATTGACTTTAGAAAGCAGTGAAGGTGTCAATCCCTTTCTAGTAGCATGATCAGGTTACCTCATGATTACCCATAAAATATCATGGTTATGATATTATTCATGTAAAACTTGATATTTAAGACAACTCAGTAAATAAAATTGAGAAATTGCAAGAAGAGAGTGGAATGACATAAAACTTTAAGTCCATAAATTTCACTGATAAACATGATTTGTAATGACTTTTAAATCCACGATTTATCCACATCACTGGCTATGTAACTGAAACTACTTTCGAGAAAACATTGCTTCATAAAAAAATGTTTAACATGGTTTTATTTGGATTGTTTCGGTCTTGCCTCTGGTTTGTTTGATTTTCTACATTGCAAAACTATGCTTTCAATTTGAAGTGTACACTACTTCCGGTAGATCGTCGGCAAAAGAACTGAATGAAACCGTCAAAGATGTTCAACTTCACCTCTTCAACGTTTCCTTTGAATTAACAAGAAATCACAGAATTTCAGTTTTTAAAAGTGCCGAATCATCTCTCAGAAAGCAGCTTGAAGCTAGTTCACAGGCAGTCTGCTGCTTCATCTCTTCTCATTTTATGACGTTTAGTTACCAGCATAAAGCACCTCAGCTATGAACTCTCTGTATTACCGTTTACTTATTTTCAGCACAATTTCAATATTCAACATCTTAGTAAAGACTGTTAACATCAATACTGGTGCATTGCCACAGCCGGCTGCATGATAACCATCCACGCCCCCCTACGATCTAACAGTATTATATGTAAAAATTTTCTACAGCTTTGTCACATGAGTCACTCAGACTTTAGCACAAAATAGTGCAAGGGGAGGACTTTGGGTGAACTCTGGGTGAAAAAACTTTGCTGTTTGTGTTCAAACATAAAGCTCACTTGGGCAATTTCGGTAAATTTTCGGAAGCTTTGTACACGTCTGGAAGGGACTTTATTTTTGTTTTTTTCAGTTGCTGGTCAGTCTGGAGGTGTTAAAGTTATGACAGCTTCAATTTTAAAGCAGAATATTATGAAAGCCTTCAAGTTTTCCACCCTGAGCCTGACGTCAGTGGAAAATTTTAGAGGCTGCTGTGTGAACACGGTCCACAAACTGTACTCCTTCCTAAATGTATCCAAGCTAGAAAGAAGTAAAGTACATAAGACATGGGATTAAATTTGTACATGATTGATCTGACATCTAGTTTAAAGGTAAGCTCTGGCTTTTAAAGAGAAATAGATACGGTGTTTGCTTTATTCTGTAACCAACTGTCATGGAGACACACACCACAAAGAAGAACCATCCCATGAGCCCAAAAGTCTTACTTCATAACAATAAGATCAGAACATGGCACCACCTGAGGAGGAGAGGTGAAATAGAAGTGAAGAAGCGAGTGTTTTACTTAAACCAGGACATGTGTGTACTGTGTTAAGGAGGACTAGATCCTGCGAAGAGGGTGCCACATGGACACAGGTTTCCTCAAAGTGGCCAGCATCTGGTTCCAGTGAGTTATCCCCATCCCGCTGGCCTCAGGCCCGATGATCACATGACCCAGGTTGTCGCCCCGGCCGTCGTCTGTTGCCTCGGCCACTGTCACCCTCAGGGAGAGCTCCTGCAAACAGCAGAGCGCGGTTATACAACCTGCTGCATAAGCATGACTCAGCGTCTTCTTTACAACAGTGTGGCTTATCCAGATAACAGGATCATTTTAATGAACTTGTAGTATCGGTAGCTGTTTTTTCAAATCGTATTTTGCATTTTAATCGTTTTGCTTGGATTTAGATTTCTATTACAGTTTGGCTCACTTTGAAGACAGCCGTAAGTGTGAGAGCAATTACAACTCTGGACCTTTTTAAAGATGGACCATTTTAGAGACACTTCTGGGCTAATGTTTTCATTTTGTGTTTCTATTTGTGCTTTAGTCACCAGGCAGCATCTCTGTAGGTATTGAAATGTCTGTCAGTCAGGCCACCATGAACCCCTGACAGGCTGAGTCAAGATTGTGATTGCTGTCTATTGTTCAGTCTCAATGTCATCTATATTTGTGGGTTAGAGTGAAAAACCATGGCAACTGGTGAATTTATTGCTTTGAATGCAAAGAAAAAAAGGAAAAAAATCACAGGCTAAACCAGGACTGAGACTGTAAACATTATGACTGTTTAATGCAGGCATGTTTTCATGTCACTCTGAGCACACTGCAAAGAGTGTTTGGTTCAAAACAACACTTTGGTGCAGAAAAAGAGATGGTGAGTGTTTGGTTTCAAAAATGAAACAGCTGTTTAAGTGTCTTTAACCTTCGTACGAATGCAGTAACTGCTAAAAAACGCTAATTTAAAGAGAAAAATCAAGCAACACCCCTGGTTGTGAAATATTAGGCCTAAGCAAAAATGCTACAAGCTGCAGTTCCTTAAGTGTCCACTAGAAGCTGGCAGCAAAAGCCAAGAAATCCCCATAGTACCCTGGTTAAATGCCCACTTTTACAGAATATTAGACACATTTACAGTCTGGTTTAAGAAATGGTCTGGGGCTCGAGGCTGGATCTGTTTTTAACTCATTCATTGTGAAATTACAAAGTTATTCTGAAGTTTGCAGTGAATGTTTGCATAGCTAGCGGCATAGCTGAGCTGTCTGACAGGTGGGTGCACTAAAGCTGTTTGCAGGTAGGCTTAAAAGCCACCTCAGCTGCAAGTCTGAGTCAGTGAGTGTGCTACCATCAAGATGACCACCATGTTTGGCTCACAATGCTTCTGCAGATATTCACAGGTTCAGAGATGACATCCATGTTTTGTGCATAGTAAAATGAAAATGTAAGTCTAGGCAGGGAGAGTAGCAGCAGCTTATGTGGCAACACTGGTTTATCACTCTGTTTATGTTATCATTTTCTCTTCTCATTATCTTTTCCTTGACCTCAATTGTCTGAATGGATTGAATTCACTTCCATCATGCGGGACACCTATGGTCCACAGTCCAGTGTGTCACCTGCAGGACGATGGACGGAACAGAGAAGATCATGGCCTCGTTGAAGATGGGGTTGGTGTCGTCTCTTTTGGTGGATGTCTTCTTCTTGCTGATCTTCCTCCCATCTTGCAGCAGATACACTTTCACAAACGGATCTGATGATAAGAAGGAGTGAATGAGATTATCCACACATTTCATGCCTCTCAAACGCAGCACACACATGAACAAATACACACACTCCCACACTCAGTTTGTAGAGCATGTGATAAACCCCCTAATTAGGATGTAATGAATTAGAAGCATCACGTACACACAATTACCTCTGTGCAATAACAGTGGCGCTTCAGTGGGTGACCTTTATCAGTACAAGGATGGTGTGGCACTTATCGGGATATTTTAATATGATGAACAAGACATTAAGTCCCATCCTGATGTTAAAGATACCCTCTGAAAGTTTCTATTAAAAGAGTGGGATCAGTTTCTCGTTCTGTCTCAGGGTGTGAGTGATTTTGATTATTTTGGATGAGTTTGAAGGCAGATGGAGAGAGTTAGCAAACAAACCAATGTCCCTGACCTGCAGTGGTCTTGCCGTTGGTCCACGTCAGGTTCTTGCACTTTGCAACAACTACAGTGAGTCGCTCTGCAGTCGGCAAATAACTGAGAGACAGGAGGATCTCCCCGACTGCATCTACAGCCTGTAAAAGTAACACAGACATTTAATATCAGAGCAGACGTCTCTAAAGCGGAGTAATCATAAAACAGTAGCGGGAAAAGGGTGAAAGAAATAATAAAATTAACGAGATTAAAAATGCTTCATGGTTTCTTATTCTTTTCTTTTACATGAAGCTGTTAGCCTTTATGTTAGTTAAAATCAAGACAAAGTGGGATTGAATTAAAAAAGCCTTGTTCATGTTGTGTAATTTTCCCTCACATAATGCTTGATCTAATTTAAAGAGCTGTAATAGAAGTATAAAACTGCTTAATGTTTTAATTTGGTCCAATTAAGCATAAATTAGGCACACCCCATTTCTCATTTCTATGATGCATGCTCTTAATAATCATCAATAATGAATGTTTGTTTATGGACAGATTGAGTACGGTTGGATTTCACAGCAACCAATGAAAGTTAACTGATAGAGTAATAGAGGGCTTTATTATTGTTGCTATGGAAACTAGAAATCAAATATATATCTGCAGTGTAAATCTTGGCAGCTTTTTTTTTCTATAGACAAAAATGCCCGAAAGCTCAAATCATGTTTTAGTCATAAAGTCAGCCAAAAACTCAAAACTTTGTATTCAGTTTTACTTTATTCTCTTCTTTTACTCATTTGGCTAAACAGATATTGTTATAAAGAAGTTATACTAAACATTTTAGACTGCAGAACATCATTTCACTGTCTTTGCAGTTTTACTTGTGTAATATCTTAGATGAATACTTAAGCCCACACTCATATATGCTGCTGTGCCGTCTCTGCTGATCCACTAAACAGAGGTTAAGAAAGAGCTTTAGGAATCATCTTTACTCCTTCTGCGGCCTCTGTGGGTGTATTTTATTTCTTTGACTTCAAGTAAAAGTTTGACTGCCAGCGCCCCCTCTGGACAAAGCAGACTTAGCTTGTTTGTCCTCTACATGTTTAAGTAAAATTCTTTAACAAAATATCTCATCCTGTGGACTTTTGGCAGATAGATGTATTATCTATTTTGAATACTTTTTGTGGAAATTGATTTAAATATATATATATATATATATATATATATATATATATATATATATATATATATATATATATATATATATATATATATATATATATATATATATATATGACTTTTTTTTCAACTGTTCAGCAAAAATGAGAATTTAAAAACTTCACTCCTGTTGCTGATTGTCATTTTTGCTTTAATATATCACGTAAAAGCTTCAGAAGGATTTTCATTGTTTTTTATTAATGTCATAAAACTCCTCATAGGCACATTAATACTTGTACAGCAGGGCCTGAATCTACAACAACAGGTGTGAGGGACAAACATCATTATCTGAGCTGCATCTTCATCTTTGACAATTTAGGGTATATGTAAACTATGACACGTCTCTCTAAATATGCTGTATTATTGTGAAAATGACATATATTAAGCCAGACTTGACATGGAGCTGTAAATCACATTGCAGGAGCAAATCACAGCAAATGCCAGATATGAAACTGGCATCACTCAGTGGCTTCTTTACTAACATGCACTGCAAAAAAAAATAATAATAATAATTCATCCATGAAAAAAAAAGAAATATGCATGGAGACACCTCAACTAACTCAACCTGTCACAAGAATGAATCACTTGTCACCTATTTTGACAGATTGGATGCAGAGTGGAAGGAAAAAAAACATTGATTTTCATTGTCTAATGGTCCACCACTATCATGTTCATTCATTCACAAACAAACATTCATCATCAAATTTATATTATTAGACTTCTATAGATATGTCTAAACATAATTCATCATTTAATCTGTTTTAATAATAACTGGGATCATATAATCATAAATTTGTCTTAAAATCCACTCTGTTGTTTCTGTTGCATAAAATATGACATGCAGTTTTGCAGAGTGTCCAGCAGAGGTCCTCAAACACCACCATGCCTCCTCTCAGTATATAAGGTGCTGTAATTTAACTGTGACAGGTAGTGCGTACAATCCTGTAAAAGCGTTAAAAGCTCCTAACATCTCGGTTTTGTGGCATTGCTTTCTGTTCTGAATGATTTGAAGTAAACGTCTCCGACTGAACCCTGTCCTCCTGTGACAGAAACTGTCTTGTAACTCACCTTATTGACATCCTGAAGGTAGAGCCAGGCGTTAAACGGTCTGATGGTCAGGTCCAGGTCTGACAGCTTCAGATCTGCAACCCCTGCACTGATATTTCTCTCATCGGCATCAATACCAAAAGCAGCGAATCGCAAGCTGTACTCCTCCAGCGCGGCCAGGTCCATGGGGATGGAGTAGCGCTCATCAAAAACCACAGTGAATGCATTTGTCTGGACCTGCAAGAAACAGAGAGAAGTTTGAGGAGTCAGACTGTATTTCTTTTTGTTTAAACAGTCAGCAGACAGATAATTCAGCGCTGGTCATCTGAGGTCATGTGAGGTTTATGTAAGTTCACCGCTCTGTATGACTTTTGCCCGAGTAAACAGAGCTGTAATTAAACATGAGCACAAAGGCCTTTTGTCCTGGCTTCAACAAGCCATACAGGATGAATAGGTTGTGTTTGCCCAGGTGTAAAGTTTTAAATCTCTGAGGTTTCTCTTCGCTCTGTAATAAAGAGGAGAGTGTGGAGTTGAATTTGAAGTCTTAAGCTCTTCTCTCCTGAAAAAATAGCATCCATAAAACTCCTGAAACGACAGGGTGTGAACTGTATAAAGGACATTGTTCCTGGCAGGATTGTATTTTGTAGATGAACCACAAACTGAATTTTATCCTCTTTTACTGTGTAAGAAGGATGGAGCCTGAAATCCCTGTGACAGAAATCTGAGAACCGTTCAAAACTGTGTTCATAAAAATGACACGCTCGTACAGAGAGCGCTCTAAACTGGCATGTTTTTCATAAATCTCTCACTTATGCCCTCGGCTTCTGTCTCTATTTGTCATTTCAATGCCTGTTAGACAGATTGTCTTGCCAATGCTTATTGTTTGTAAGGACAGTTATGTTAAATAATCTGTGGTGATGGATTGAAACTAACTGACAACAGCTCCCTAATTATTTGCTTTTGAAATTCTGGAATAATCTTTAAAACCTGTAAGAAATGTGTTAAACCTTTAGTTATAGAAACGTTGTTAGTTTGATATACAGCAGGTTGCTGCACTTATTTACTTTTGAAGCCAGTACTTTGTTTTATCCCATTTATTACTCTTATCTTTTGCCACAGTAAAAATAAAAAGGTATCTAGCAACATGACTAAAACACCTCAAAATTTGACCAGTCTTAGAGATGTGAGGAGACACAGTACTAGTTAAAGGTAACAGACCATAACGGACTGGCCTGAGGTCTCGCTACGAACATTCGGCTGCTGGAAGAGAGAGGGTGAGTTGTGTTTAGTCTCTTTGCTCAAGAAATTAGGCAAAGTTGAAAAGAAAGATTCCCTCTCTACTGCTCTTACTTCCTTGAAGCAATAATCATCAAAATCATCATTTTGCACTGCAGACGCGGAAGTTCTTCTGCCTTAGCATCTCGGTCTGATTGCATTTCCATGAAGTAATGATCATAAATGTTCTTCCTTGAGCTGCGTCACCCCACTGCACTCAGTGATGGACTCGTCCGAGCTCTCCCTACAAACATGCGGCTGCCGGAAGAGAGTAGGTTAGTTGTGTTTAGTCTCTTTGCTAAAGAAATCAGGCAAAGTTAAAAAGATGTTTGATGGCTAGTGCTGTGGCTGGGACCCTATATGTACTGTTGATGAAGTTAGGTGCTGTTCTGAGCGTTATTTCTGGCTATAGAGTGGCGTTTTGGTTGAGGTTTGTTTATGGCTCCTCAGACCGCTGTGTATTGCTATCGTGCGGTTGTTACGAAAGTTGGTCTAACTAGAGAAGAAAGCAGTCGGCAACATCTATCTCTCGAGGGGGTGTCTAACTTGGTGTTACAGTGTGTTTGACCATAACTTAATTTTCCGCCGGAATATCCCTTTAATATAGGCAGGAAAGCCATGAAACTTTGCTGGGGTCTAGGAGGGGCTCTAAAAGATCCTGATGGAGGACTGCAGAAGCGGACACTTTTCCTCATAATGTCAAAGTACCTAACGCATTCCTCTGTTTCTTTCAACAGAATCAGCTGAAAAATCAATCACCAGAAGAATAATCTGCCGGCTATGCTACAACATTTCTGTGTGAATCTCTTCATCCAGCTTCAAAATGACTCAGATTACCTTCAAAGTCCATTCTTGGCACCCAACACAGCCTTTACAAAGAAAAACACAGATTGAAGGCGGTTTGGCCCGGCCAGCTGATAACATCAAGATCACTCTTTATCAAAAGAAGAGCCTCAGCTGCCACAGCCAAGATGACCGCTGCTTTCTTTCTTCATGACTAATACTGACTTCAGACCACCACTTGCTACATCGAACGACAAGACAGGGATTTACAGAGCAACAGGAAGTTACCAGGCAACTACTCCATGTGCAGGAGAGCGAGGGGGTTTAATAATATCCCTTTTCACACTGCTGTTTGTTCTTGAGGTGTGAAATCCAATGAGGAACACCTCTAAAACCAACAGGGTAGCTCGCATACAAACACAGTTTAACAGACTAAAACATCAGCGTGTGTTGTGCAAGGTTAGCATGAAGTGTTTTTGATTTATTGAAAGCAACAGCTCACAGTGCGACAGAAGAATTGTTCAGGTTGGCACATCTGACCTTGGATTGTGCTTTATATCAAACAGCCGAGCAGCATCATATTCACACGCTCAGCACCTACAGAATGTAGAAAATGTGCTGCTGTCGCTGTATAAGTATGTGCAGAGAGATATAAAGCATCCAAAAGAGGCAGAGCAGCACACAGACCTCCACAATGTGAAACAGTCAGTCTGCTCTGTCAGGATTATTGCTTGGGGGATAACAATGGCGACGTGTGTGGTGAAAATGAGGCAATAACGGCTCAGAGAAAGGCATGTAGACAGAGAGAGGGAGAGTTGATAGAAGATGAGGTGAGACATTATTACAAAAATAAAAGCAAGATGCAGGAGGGAGAAGGAGAAATGGGGATAAAAGAGGGAGTGATGGACAGAGCAATAAAATGAGACATACTGGGGAGGAAAATGAGCTAAAGAAGAAAGAGAGGGAGAAAGAAGAAGGAGAGAGAGGCGGTGTTGACCATCAGGGTGAGTGCAGCTGATGTCAGCATTTCTCCTGGTCCTCACCACTCCTCGACATTAAAGAGAGAGCCACTAAAGGGGCTGTACCGTCATTATTGTTACACCCAGTCTGAAGGCATTAATACAACAACACAGCATGCCCAAGTGAAGGGAGCCCTGGAGAGTGAGTGTGTGTCGTCCCCCCCCGTCAGCCTGAACAAACTGTACAAATCCACAGTCACTAGGGGAGCGAGGCTGATGACTCACACACACACACACTGGCGGGGAGTAGAGCTCCTTTTTTTTGGCAGAGTGGAGCGAGGAGCAGAAGGATAGTGGCAGGTGCAGCAGATGGAGGAACGCAAACAGTTTCTATTCCCGTCAGAAAGGTTCGATTTAGAGGACGAAATCAAGACAGGCACTTTTCAGGTTGTTCTACAAAGTGTTTCAGTTTGCACTCGCTGTTATTGTTTCGATTTTTCTCCATTTTTCAAACAACAAAGGTCAGCTACTGGTCTTTAAAGATACTGTACCTACTTCTGCAGCATTTTTGAAAAGTTAATTTTTAAAATGCAGCACAAAAGCCAGCGTCTGCAACTCTGTACATTTGTTTGGAAGCGACGCCACTTTTTCACCCCGCCGCTCCAAATGTGATGCTTCGTTTTCAGCCAACTGGCACGAACACAAGTACACATCCTCTCTCACAAACACAAACGCACACACTTGATCTATAGACCAAATGTCCCGTCGCCCAAAGTGAACGCTGTGGCCACAAATTTCCATTGGATCGACTTTCAAGCAGAGCAAAGTAGAAGATGAAATAAAAAGAGTGAGTGCAGTACAAGCTGAGCAGACTGGAGCAGAACTAATAAAGAAAATGAAATCTTAACATCTATTATAAAGAAGACCAAAGTCAGGATTTGGTGAACTGTTTTAACACTAAGGTTTAAATCTTAAAAATGAAGAATTTTGATGGCGTTTTATAATGTAATTCTTAATATCACTAAGACAGCCTTACCATGAGTTATACATTTCAATGTAAAAACACAACAGAAGAGACACTTCTGCTGAGTAACACCACTTTCACAAGAAAGAGGTGAAATCAGCAGCAATATCAGGCTTACAACTTTGACCTCAGATGGCGCCAAAGTCAGCCCAGAGGAGCTTTAGAAGTGAGAGATATAATGGTTTAAACTGTCTCTAAACTTACAGCATTATTAGCAACCGGTCAAACAAAATAGATAGAAAAAGGTAACGGCTATAGGCAAGTAATAGATATTGTAAAATGTCACCATCTCACTGGATTGCAGGTAAACTGAGGTTACAGATTAGGTTTGAAATTGAATGAGGTTGATCACATCTTCTCCTGATGTAGGTGAAAGATATGTAATCCAGCTGCCTGACTTCACCTAGCTCTCAGGGGTCCTCAGCGTTCAGGCTCTTCTGTCAGATAGAAAATGACTGATTTGTCAGGCTGCAGGATCAAACCTCTCGACCCGGAGAACAAATCACCAGCACCTTCTAAATTTCTGAGCCGTGGTTAAAACCTTTGACTCAGCTGAAGCAAGCAAAAGCAGACCCCCTGAGTGAAAAAAGCCTCAGATGCTTCAGACTTCAGCATTTTCAAAAAGATCTCTTTTATCTTCAGTCTTTTCACACAAGTTCAGTCATCACAGCTTAACTGCTAATTAACCATCTGAGAGGCTTTTGCTTTCATTTTCTCCCTCAGTACTGGATCTCTGACTCATTTACTCATCCAGTGGCACTTATGTTTGAAGTCACCAGTCCTTCTATAAAGATGAAGCACTTCCTTGTTAGCTGCCTTAAGAGTACATATGTTTGAAAGTCTGAAAAACATGCTCTGCCTTTACTCCATCATTAAAATAAGTGTAGAGATACTGATGCACACAGCTTCCCTTACCAGAAAGAAGTACTGTATGTTTGAGTGTACTTTAAGTATACTGTGTTTAAACTAAGTATGCTTTCAGTTTACTTTTTATGCACTTTTCAGAGATATATTATTTATATATAAAGTTAATGTTAAGTATACTTGGCTTGTACTAAGAATTATACTAAAAGTTGAAATATATTTAACCTATACTTAAACTTTCAAGATTAAGATATACTTAAGTAAGTATTTGTGCCTTAAGTTTAAGTAAACTTGGCTTGTACTGCTTATCTTTTTAAGAGTATGTTTATTGTTGTTGTTGTTGTTGTTTTATTGTTGTTTATTAGGATCCCAATTAGCTTTTGTCAAGACAAAGCTAGTCTTCCTGGGGTCCTCTCTGTATACTCTTAAAAACATAAGCAGTACAAGCTAAGTCTACAACTATGTACTACTACTGAAATAATAGCATACCAAAGTGGTAACTTCAAGTATATCTCAAAGTGGGCACACAGATGACCTAGCGGGTTAAGGCGCACCCCATGTTGGGGACTGTGGTGCCTGCAGCGGTTGCAGGTCCGATTCCAGTCCTGTCCCTGTGCTGCATGTCACCATAAATGTTGTATTAGTGTACAAAGTATATTATACTAAAATGAACTTCAGAATACTTCATAACATGTACTTGAGGTATACTATTTTTTGGTAAGGGGTATTTTGAGCTGTGAACATGTACGTATATGAGGTCTATCAAAAAGGCTGAAGGTACAGAGTGTCGACACAAAACATTCAGTTGCAGGTTCTTGACTGTGCACTCCCTTGCTCACCTTCTCTGTTAATGCAAGGTCAGTGGCCCTAAAATACAAGAAGTCTTTGTGGTTTATGGGTATCATGATCCTCCGTTTGTCAAGTTTTCACCATAATAAATGTCTTTATATACATATTCTTTTTACACGCTCTTATTTTTCTTCCAAATACTGCTTTTGCATAACCACTTGGTAAAATACAAAAATGCAATTGCTATTGGTTGTCCAATCCAGATGACTGTAGAAATGTGGCGATATAAGATTGTGGCCTTCGAAGAAAGGTACCTGCTCCATATGTAGATATAAAACTCCCAATTTAAGATAACAAAACACATCCTAGAAATACAGCTTTTTTTCCAAGTCTAAATTACACCCTCTGTACTTTTCAAAATTATCACGTGTCTTTTGTCAGAGGCTGTAGTCTTGAAGTAGTGATAGTAGTGAAATAGTGGTCATGAAGTAGAATGTCATCATGCATTAAATGTAAAAGTTTTATGAATAGGCTGGGATGGCCTTGCATACATTGTGAAAGCAAGGCTGTTTTGCAAAAACTTGAACTTGACTCAGTCTGCCAAAAGAGTTGAGGGCTATTTAATGACTTCCAGGAAAAACTGAGTTTAATCCAAACAAATGATGAATTTCAGAATAATGAGACATGTCCTTGGTCATCCTCCTGGGTCAAGAATCTAACAGGAAAGGCTTGCACTTGCACACACAGCTAAAGGACTCATGCATGCATGCACACACACAATCATTCGAGTCACAAAGTTGTAACACACAATGTAATTCACATATGAGGGGCGGATTTTTGAAGTACACAAGTAACACACAGTTACGGTATTCAGATACACACCCAGTAGCATAAAAGTGAGGAAGAGGACAGCCTGGGGCTCCTCTCTTCTGGTCTGGCAGAGGCTCTGTCATCTGTACAGATTTCTACATCTGTACAATAAAGATGCCCAGGCTACTCTTCAGATCTCATCCTGTCTCCTGTGCATTGTTTCGCTGCATACCATATATGTTTCCCACAACGGTTGCTGATTCAAATTGCTGCCTTCATCATTTTCTGCATGTCTTCCCCCCTACTTTCTACACCCTAAATTTCCTCTAAATGTCCGATATGTTCTCTACATCTAGTCTGGTAAGGTAAAAAAAAGGACTTATAAAATAACTTTCAAGATTTCAAACAATATAATTCCCTCCTTTTCACTGCCAATCTTAATTTTTGAATAAAATTAAACCTGTAGTTTTGATATTAATGCTATCTATTCTATTATACCAACCTGCAGGCTTAACGTGATCTAAACAAGCAGTCTGACAGTCCCACTTGGTGGTTAAAAATGTGGTTAAAGTCCTAGAATAGCTAAAAGCTACAGTTTCCTTACTTTGTTATCAGCCGGGTGCTTTTTTCCCCTCGTCAATGTAAAGTGATAACTTACCTACACAAGCACAAAAAGCATACACCTCACCAGTTTCCTTACCTTTGTGACTCCCACATTGAGCTCTTCTGGCCCCAGTGAAACCCTGATGAAGCAGCCTGGGAAGTCCCCCTCCTCCCTCTCCAGCAGGTCTTTACCCTGGTGCAGAGTGATGTGGAGCAGCCCCGTCCCCTGACTCAGCTGCCTGGACGGTTCGAACTCCAGCGTCACCTCCAGCTGGCCGACCGTAAAGTCGTGGCCGAAGTTGTGGGCAATGGAGGAGATGGAGCTGAGCGAGTCTGTGGAGATCGATCGGTTGAGCTGGGCCATGCCGGTTGGGTCCAGTTCTCTGCTCATCAGTTCCAGGTGGCCCAGATCCCTGAAACCGTCAGGGGTGTCCCCCAGGGCCAGGCTGGGTTTGCGGCTAGAGGTGGTGGAGGTCCGCCGGTGGTTGTTGGCAGCAACTCGCTTTGGGATCAGACATTTGAAAGGAGTTAAGACAGAAACAGACATTTCCTAAACCAAAATAAACTTATAAGCAGTCTTTTGTGCCTTTAAAGTGTAAAACAGAAATACTCAAATGAGAATGAACTCAACATTTTATTGAATTTATTCTTTTTTGTTTTGTTTGTTTATCATTCTCTGTCCAAAGCAAACACTAAAAAAAAGCTGAAATACCAAAAAACAGCTGTTTTCACATCTGTGCAGCATAAGGTTTACTATGTCAGTGTTATTTAAGAGTTTAGCTGCTGTACTGTGAAACAAGTGGGTCAAAGTACTGGTGTCAGTGTTTTCCCTGAGGCCTTTCTGCAGTGCTATTTGAGTCTGCCACTTTGATTTTGTGCCACCAGATGTGTGTTTGGACAACTGCTGTAAAGTATTTCTGTCTTACGCTTTCCCTAGAGCCAGATAATACTGTAGATAAGTTCCTCTAAACGTGTTACAGGCTCATTAAATTGTTAATAACATCATTGAGTACTGTCACTTCACTCAAAACGCTTTAAGTCGAGTTATAGCACGTTCGATTGTTTAATAGTTTGAGTGAGGGCCACAAAGACAGACACCAGGATTCAATAAACCTGATATCTACTGACGATGATAATGAAACAGTCATGTTACACTGAGGCCAGAGCATTGACTGTATATAGAATGGACAACCTGGTTCCGCCTTCCGCCTGTATACGGATTTGAAGCCAAAAAGCTCTCGGTAATTCCGTTTTTTTCTCCACTTCCTTGAAACGAGAGCTGCGCAGTAGCGATGCGCGCATTCGGCCGCGCAGTCGCCGAGAGTCCCTTGCTGCGTCCAAACTGCCCGCTCGGATACTACATGCTACTGCTACGTGCTACTGCTAGATCCTACTCCTACATACTAAACACGTTGGCCCAATTCGGACATACTAGACGAGCGGTGGGGAAAGACGACCCCCGCAGGCAGAGAGTAAAAAAGGACTTGGGCACAAACCAGTCATACAATAACTACATGTCAACATCACAAGTAGGGGGGAGAAAAATTTATGTTCTGTGTAATAAATTTCTAAAGTTTGTCCACAGTCCCATAAGCTTTGCTGGCGGAGGCGGGATTTATGACCTGTACTGCAGCCCACCATCAGAGGGTGCTGTTCTCGGAGTGGCTTCACCCAGCGAGGAGGCAGACGGCGTCCATTCTGTATACAGTCTATGATAAAGCCACTCCGAGAATGGCGACTCTTTCGCCGAATGCGCAAAATGCAACTGCGTACAACGCTACTGCGCAATGTTAGTTTCAGGAAGTGGAGAAAAAACTCAGAATTACCGAGAGCTTTTCAGCTTCAAATCCGTATACTAGCGGAAAGCAGAACCAAGTTGTCCATAGTACAGTCGATGGGCCAGGGGCTCTGAAGTCAAAACTGGGAGCAAATCAAAGAGTGAAATTCTTTCTGTCTCAAGAAACATAAACGCACCTTTTGCCTGACTTCTGAGAAGGAGGTTCCATATTTCTCTTGCAGATATCGATAGTCAAAGTTAGGGAAGGGGGACGGTGCAGGGAAGGTACCGGATTTCCACAGCTTCCAGATATTGAGTCCGGCGACGCCCAGCAGCACGAAGAAGCCCACCAGGTAGATCCCCACCTCCCAGCCGGGCGGGTTACGCACCACTGATACAGAAACCAAAGGAGAGAGAAATGCACCAAGATATCCTGACACTTACTTCATCAAAGGAAACATAAAGGCCAACCTCATATAAGTGTCAGTGTTTTTTATTAGATGAGGGACTTTGATCACAGGTGGAAAAAGATCAGACAGCGTGGAGAAACTGTATCTTATTAGGAAACCAGGAGGAGATTTTACAAGCTTACAGTCTCTGAACACAGTCAGCGAGAACTGATTCAGGCTTTTTCATTTGGTGCTGATCACTGAGGCGGCTTTGTGAGACTTAGGGATGCATAAAGTTTTATTTAAATCAGATAACAGTTTAGGAAATACTGACAAAATCTGACAGTCATATTGAAATTGAAATGAATAAAACGTCGGAACAGCTCAAGTTGTGTTTCAGAGGAGCATTTACAAGCCTGAGTCCAGCTGGCTTCCTGAAGATGAAATGCATTCGTGGGAGGAATTTTGACAGCTTTATCTCTGCTTTTTTTAACACTTCAAATAGGCCAATTATTGGGCAAGTGATTTTTTTTGTAGCATTGATGGCCTTCAGCAGCAGACGGAGCAGTGGACATTGTAAAGCTTGTGTATAAAAGTGTCAAGAGCTGTCAAATAAACCTGAGATGTACAAACGTACATCACTCAATGAAAACCTAAAAGCCTCCTCTGTTGTAGCCTGATGTACATCCTCACACACATTTACAACAAAGATAGTAAAATCACAGCTGTCAAGCATCAATCCAGCCAAAGATTCACATGCACAGAAAAAAAACAGTCAAAGAAAATGTGTGACCGCTCACCGCTCAGGTGGTAGCCGGGTATATCCTCACTTTGAGCCGAGGACATGGTGCTGCAGCCAGCCTGGGGGAAACAAGACAATCAGCTGTCACACCAAAACAACCAAAGATGTAACCAAAGAAAAAGAAGCAAAACAAGCAAAAGATATCAAAATATAATCAACCTTAATATGTATTCTTCTTATTTTTAACAAAAGTATTTTCTCTCGACACATAATTTCTTTTAAAAATTATATTTCATCAACCTTTTCATCCTATTGGCCTTTTCTGTCCTTTGCTGTATTTACATCTAATATGCTGGAAAACATAGTCCTCCTAATGAACACCGTCTAAATCATTTGCCTTTATTATAAGTTAAAGTCAGTAGGACCCAATTAACCTGCTCATAGGCACACAGTGAACTGCAGCATGTGAGCCTGATGACTCTTGACATCTGCTGCTGCTTCAGATATATGAACAGAATGAAGCGAATGCACAATAACATGCATGCATAACAAAGGGATATCAGGGCTCTGGGCACAGCACAGAAGCAGCACTCTGCAGGTTTTCATACAAACTACAGACACTAATAAACAGTCTGTCAACTGAAGGGGGAGACTAATTAATAATGTGGTATCTCTAACATAGCCAGAAACAGGCCGAAATCCATAATGATGCCTATGTGTAATATTAAAATGCAAACAACACCATTAACAACAGAAATGACAATTTTCATAATGTAATTTTTATTGCCTCACACAAGGGGGTAGGATTCAACCTAGTAGCCAAAGAAATATCCCAGTTCTTACAACCTCCACACCAAATATTCACATTTTGACCATCAAAAGTCAGCAGGATGGGACACTACCTTAGCATCTTAAGGACAAGGGTAAGCAAAAACTGCTTTGTCCACAGGAGGTGCCTTTAGACAAAGTTCCTCACAGGAGCTTTAAGCACCACTAGCCTTAGAGGTTAAAATGGCAATGCGTTATCTCACATAATGCTTCAAATGAAGGCAGGTCCCGATTTAAGGCAGGGTCCCTTTCACTTGGAGAATGTGGCTGCAGGTTTTGACAAATAGACGCCTGCACATATCAGTTATATGTCCTGGTGTTGGTGTAATAAAGCACCATATTGCTCTTAGTTTCACTCAGATAGCCACAGCTGCACAAATGGATTTTATCAGGCTGTCAAGTTTGTGCAACAAAATCCAGGAGAAGCAATAAGACAGCTCTTCTCTGTTGATTAAAGAGACGAACAGGAAACACAAACTTCTGTCCAAGAAAGAAGGTGAAATAAAGGCTGACACCAAAGAAGTTGAAGGAGGATGTAGGGCGAACAACAACGCACAAGCATGGCATTGTTCAGTGATACAGCACCCATCATGATGAAGACTAAAGAAATTTATCACCCAGTGGTTTGGACTTGACTTCTTGAGCCGGCTTTATGAATGAATATAAAGCTTGATATTACAGTGTGTCAAACACTCATATCAAGTGTGTGTCTTCCTAAGTACAAGGCAGACACTGAGGGCTGAAATACAGATGCACTGTACAGGCATGATCAAATAAGTGATTTATACTTGTTATATAATTTGCAGGCTAAGTTTTTAGGTAGGTAAATTCTCTTGCAGATTTAAATCAACAATATTTCTTTGTTTTACCAACTTTGCAAAAGTTTTGTCCATATAATTTCAAAAACTTGGAAGAAAGGTGACTGCCTGTCTCCCATAGAATGAGTTTATGGATAAGCCTAGTGCTTCGTAAGATGATTTCATGTGTCAGCAGCCAACAAATCCTGTAAATTAAATTTATTTTTCAATCCATCAAATCTATCAAGTTTAAACAGGTTTGGGCAATCCAACTAATTAAAGACCTACTCTGATGAAAATCATGTTCCTGTTGTTTATATGTTTAAATCGCATTTTTCTGATGCTAGAGGACACATCATGAGAAAACGAAAACCTAAATTGCATTTCTGAGGATTTCTGTATTCAAATCGCTGTGAACCTCTCACAGACCCAACAGCAAGTTCAGAGACAGTGGGATTTTCCATGTCACGAATCCAAGCTCTGCCCCCAGCGCCCTGCTCTGCAGGCCAGACCCCGAGAAGTAGAGAGAGTGATGGCGGAACAAGTGCGTGCGTCAGCGTATTGCAATGCTCATAAGAATGCTAACTATGATACTAGCTTTCATTGTTCCCCCAAAGACATGAGTGTCCGTGAGCTGAATAGCTCTGATATTACCTGCCACTTCCATATCCTTCCATACCTTTCACTTCCACCACAGGGGATTTGCAGCCTCTCTGTTTCTAACGTTAACATCCATGTGATGATCTGAGTGGGCAGGACTGTTATGATAATAGACTGCTGCGCTGATTGGCTGTCTGAATTTTGTCTTACAAATGCAGGAAACACCAAAACAAACATGGCGAGTACTCCAGAAGAACCTGCACCTGTACGCATACAGGAGGTGTTACTGTTTAATTTTTGCTGCTGTGGCTACAAAGGCATGTCTCTAAGTCCAACGTTAAAGTGTGAGTGTTATTCCTTCTTGTTTTGCCATACGGTCGTAACTTTATGCGGTCGACTCTTCGCGTTGATGTGGTCAGAAGTGAAGTGGTTGGTGCAAACAAACAAGAAGTAGATGTTGTTAGAAATAAAAAGGTTTAGAGTTATCAGTGGTTATAGTACTGGACTGTAACTGGAAACAGACTTGCCATAAGGAGGTGTAAAAAAAACATCAGGAAGAACCTGTGATGTTGTTATTTTTCATCTCCTCATTATCATTCTTCCCTGGCATGTACTTTACTGATCATTTATTTTACTGTGAGGACTTGGAGAATAAATTAGATCTGGGAGCTTTTGTCGTCTTTGTACTTTGAGAAATCCAATAAAAAAACATTCAACAGCCAGTTTAAAACAAGCACAGGCTAAATGTGTTACACATCTGTAATACACACTATTACTCCATAATGTGACAAATATTAAATGTGATGAGTTTTTCAAACCAGCTCACAGCCTTCAGTGAGGCTTCTGGTTTAACTCACTGACTGCACACTCACTCTTGGAGCATGCAGCTATTATGTTTGTTTAGCTTGCAAAAGGAAATCAATACCATTTTCATGGCTCTTTCTTAAAAATAGCAGTGGGGGCTGTTCTTCAAGAAACAAAAAGAAAACAATATTTTACTCTGACCTTCTCTTCCCACGCAAACTGAAAAAAAAAAAAAAAAAGATGGTTGCTGGTGTGTGACTCATTCTTCTCATCCTCCTCCCCGTCTCGTTGGAATCTCCCCATATCTCAGCGGCTTTGGGAGGAGGGAAAACGGGAGCATTACACTAATGATATAGAAAAAGACTGGAAGGGGGGAGGCCCGGGGAGGAGGGGTTGGACTCAATTCTGCTGAGCGCTTTGCAGACCACAACCATGCAGGCCAATTAAAGTGGCTGACGCAGTGCAGGGCCTACTGACAGCTGCTGATGTGCCATTAGCAAAGCATGGGGAATCTCTGGCAGAGAGGGGAGCACCGAGCACCACCCCTCCATCCAACCCAGCCCAGCATCGCTCAGATCTGCTCGCATTGAGGTGACAAATGAGCTCAAAGAAGGTCCAGAGGAGGTTTTAGAGAAGGGAGAAGAGGAGGAGAGATGAAGAGAGCATGGATGACACAATATCAGACAGATTTATTAATAACAATGAGGCAGCGTGGGCGCTACGGTTGCCTCAGTGGGCTTAAGGCGACGGTGTCTAAGTAAACCGAAATGGAAACACATCCTGAGATATGAAATCACACATCCGCCTACTGCAGCTTTGTACAGTATTTTAATTAGAGTTCAGCGTCAGCAGATTACAGGAATAAGAAGATTAAAAGGTGCAATTATCCTTTAAAATAGAGGCTTTCAATTATATTTTTCTTACAACAGCAAAAACAGATGGCATTTTTCTTTTGCATGCATCTCCAAAAGACCCTGAGAGGAGTTTTGAGCTGGTTATAAAACAAAAACAAGACCATCAAGACTGATTATTTATAAAGGGCTGTTTTTATGTCTGACACCTGCTCAGTATCAGGCATGGCTAATAAAAGTCTCAGCCTTTCTGATTTAGTTAATTTGCTCATTGTTATAAAAGTCACACAGAGAAAAAAGGTGAATAAAAATAAATCGCACATGCAGGTGAGGTAGAAAATCAATATGAAGCCGATCTTCAAATCCGCAAAATAAGGAAGTAATGATATTTAAAAAAAAGATTTTTGGGAGGGAATTTCTGGAAACACAACAAGTGTTTGACGCAGAAGACTACACCACAAATACAGGATAGAGCTGTCAGCGAAATAGGACAGTGCTTTGTCCACAGGAGGTGCCAAACTGCTCAAAACAAAAGTCACTCATAGGAGCTTATATAGATATAGTCATAGAAAACTATATAAAACATGAACGGACCCCTTCCCTGACTTGCTTTGGCAAAAGTCTTAAAGGCTGCTTACTCCATTGTACCAGATGGAACATGAGTCAATCTGGAAAATATAAATGCAAATCAACCATTTGTGTCTCTTACATGGTTTCAGTCAATATAGTTCATTTTTAACCTGATGATTCATGTGAAAGTGTTTTGTTTATTTTTCTGTTCACTTTTGAGCCAGTTTTGAAGCTTACTTGTTTGAAATAAGATTTTAAGATCAGTCATATTTTGTTGGATTTTCTCCTGCAAATAAAAGCTTTTTTTTTTCTTTTAACTGTTTATTTTCAAATAAACACAAACTTTGTGCCTCAAAAGAGTTGAGGCACACATTTTTCTGTGTTTGTGTATGTATAAATGTGTACCGTATATAGGAATTTTAAAAAAAGTATTAAACATTAAACTTTTCAAAAACCAGTCCCTCATAAATCCACTACATAAGCGCTGGTTCCCAAAGAGTGTACGAGACACGTACACGTACATATTAACCCGCCACTAACCTATAACATGGAACTTTTTCCTTGATGTCTGAATCATTTTTATAATAGATCGGTAAACAAATCAGTCAATCAATCTTTATTTATATAGCGCCAATTCACATCAAGTGTTATCCCAAGATGCTTAACAAAAAAGCAGACTCTATTTAGTGTAAAGATGGGATCACATTGATCCCTGTCTTGTAAGATCAGACCCCCTCCAATCCCATCCTCAACCACACGAGTGTAACACTTTGCAGCATTTAGCAAGTTACAGTAGAGGGGACAAACTTCTTTTAATAGGCAGAAACCTCAAGCATTCTTAAATGTCCTTTATCTTGATGTGTTACAGGTATTTTGCTCTGTATATTGTGTGTTTTTACAGCTGCTCATTGTCGGTCAGAGACTGTGCTGCTGTCCTGGTTACACAAAGGAGCTGGTCTCTGAAATGCCTCTGTCACTACCTCTTTTTCCAGCACAGCAGGGACCACTTTGTCCCTCCATCCCACCACCATGACATTTATTTTTAAAGCAAGACTATTGAGGTGTAAATGCCCTTGAACTGGCACTCTCTAAAAAAAATTCTTAGAGGAGTTAGAGTTTTGTCCACAGTATGAGATACAAAACTCTGCAACAAAGCATAGTAAATAAAGTTTTGTCCTCCAACTGATAAGGGTGGAGTTATTGGGAATGTAGATGTTGAAGACTTACAAAGCCAGGGTTTGAATGCAAAATGGTAACATGTAATTTCATGCAAGATAATGACCAGGGTGGCATTTTCCAGCTCTAAAGATGGCTCCCCTGCATGCTGCCCTCAACAGAGAAAGATCACAATCACACTTGTGACCTTTACCGCTTGTTTTCCTGTCTATGTCCCATTTTCTCTGTCGCCATCTGACACATACAATCTACACAGGAGTGTTCAGAAAGAGTGATAGTGAGGGCGGTGTGAGGAGGTTGAGCATAGTTTCTCTAAAATGAGACAGGGAGAAAATGGGAAAAAGCCATTGTATGGAAAAAAAACTAACAATGTGAACAATGCTGCTTCTCTGGACATTTATGCTCTTTAACTTTAGATGTCTTTGGATAACTTTAGATATTTTAATTGGAGTGATCAAATTAAACCATAAAACCACAGTAAGATGTGAGTAAGTCTTTGTATAATCATGAAGCCTTCATTTCCATGATATAGTCTCATGACAGTGAATTGTATCACATCTGTTTTCTCTGTCAGATGTGAGACTTTCCATCAGATGACAGCTCATTAACGCATTGCCGGGAAAAGAGAGGTGAAAATCTGCATAAGAGCTTCTCTGCTGATGTGTCGTCTCCACGCCTGCATGATCATGACTGTCTCACTTCTTTAGATTTATCTCAGAGGGCTGCAGGGATTCTGTCCAATAACATTCCCCAGAAAGCGTAAGGAGAGCGTTTTTATCCACTGCACACAAGAAGCAGCCATGCAGAGGATTTAGTACGTCCCGCTAGCTGTCTGAGGTTGCTTTTCCCTCATGTAATCGAAGGATCAGTTGTGACCAGATCTCCAATTTGTGTGTTTGATGCTTCAGCTTTGTTGTCTCCTTAAAATCCCCGTATTGATATCAGACAGTGATATGAGCCAGATGAGTATATTGAATCCCCTTCAACAATATTGGCTATACACAGACAGAGATACAACCATTTAAACAGAACTGATTACTACAATCAACCCTCTGATCTCTGTAAAAGATGCTCGGTAATTACATCAGGTTGTTGAAAAATGATGGAAAGCGATCATGCATGGTGCTGGCAGATGGAGGCTTTGCAGTGAGATGGTTTTACTTTCCACCTTCCGTTTTCAACCTTGTCTGTACAGTTTGTACAATCTCTTTTCTCTTCACAGTACTCTTACTCTGTTTATCTCACTCAGACCTTGATCGAACTGAGAGTCTACAAAGAGTCAGCCGACCACCTTTTCAATATCACACTCACTTTTAACATTTCTTTCAAATCATTAATCACAAGAGTCAAAAGTCATTGTAAAGTCAACAGTTGTTTACAGTTATAACACATTATAATACCTGACCTTGTAAGTCATGCTAAAAGGATTTATAATGTGTGATGATTATTGATATAAAGCATTATGATCATTTATGAGTGTTTATAACTACAGTTATGCAGTGCTATAACGTTTTTATAATGCATTATACATATATTTATAATGCGTTATCAAGATAGACATCAAATAAAGTGTTTCTGATTATTTTTATTCACAGTGTGTCACTATGACCTGCAGAGCTGAGTAACAGGACAAGGCATTGACTCGCTCACAGCTTAAACTTGTATTTTTATCATATAAATGGTTTATTTTAATTTTTTGTGGTTGTATTTTCTAAAAGATTTAAAACCCAAACAAACCTGGGCTGTTTAAGTCTTAAGGTGGTTGTGACTATGAAAACAAACACTGTTGTATAACCTTCCAGTAGTTTTCATATGTTGGTACTATAAATGCATCTGTAGACACATTCTCCTTCACTGTGGTCTGTTGTTTTTCTTTTAGATATATGCTGCCTTTCACTCAGCCACAAAAACTCCACTCTGACCCTGTGTATCTGAGTGCTAAAAGCTTCTTTACTCCTTTGGTTCCTCTGTGGTCTCATGTAGTGCTGCCAACAAAAACCAATGTGAATAGGGAGGAAACAGACACTGCCGGGCAGCCTTTTGTGTCTCCAGCAGCTCAAGCACAAAAACAAACTCGACACATCTGCTCAGAGAGACACGGATTCTGCTCGCTGGATTTAAGTTTGCCACAGCTGCCCCTGTTTGCTGCTATTACATGCAGGACGAAAGAAAACAAGAACTTCCCTCTGTTGCGGCTGCATGTTAATACAGATCTAATCAATAAAACAGGCATGCTGATTTATGTCCACATACACACTCAGAATTAATGAAGAGAAAGAAACAAAATAGAAAGGTGAGGTTCGATTCAGAGAGAAGCAAGACAAAGAAACGCTTTAATTAATCGTCGTAGGAAAAAAAAAACAGATGAGATGAGAGTCGACTTTGAAAAAGAAATAAGGAAGAGGGAGCAGCTGTGAAGTGAAGAAGTAAACGAAGGGGGACGGGATCACAGGCCTGACAGCTGCTCTCCTCTGACTCTTTCTCGCTCGCTCCCCCAGCAACTGATCAATCAACTTTGCTTTTAATCTCGGCCAATGACTCCTAATCAAATTAACCCCTCTTTAGATGCAACGCTGCACAATCCTATGTGTTCAGGCAGAGAAGCAATTACCCCCCTGTTTTATATCTCCTAACAAATGCCTGTTTACATGCCAGCTACACTGACTCTCTGGCTCTGACATCTCATTTGGTGCATGCTTTGAGTGAAAGTAGCAACCATTTGAAATGTCAGCAGAGGTGCCGGCTGAGGCAAGAAGAAATCTGCACGTTGCAGCCAATCAGATCAATCACTTAAAGTAACAACAACAACAAATCTTGATCTCAGATTCTCTCTGGGGAGGTGACTCCCCTATAGATCTAAGAACCTACATATATGCTTGCAGCTCTTTGATGCAACACCACTGAGATATAACCATGCACAGCACAGCCGTGAGATTGATGCCATAATGTTCAGGAATGTCACTGCTAGCGGGCTAATGATTAGCAGCCAATTTGCTTTCTATGTTCACTAATTTAGGCCTTGGCTGAAACCACATACAGCGTGGTAATGACTGCACTGTTCATACAAAAGTGCAACACAAAGCACCTGAAAAAACTGAATTATACAAAATAAGATATAAAATGCTTAAGATAACAAAGATGTAGAAAAAACATTAAAAGCAAAGTGAACCATGTGATAAAAAGCTGAATTGATAAAAAAATATAGTCCACTTTCTGATTAGATTGCCTCTCTGAGTGCTGTGTCTCTCTCATTCTCTTTCTCTCTCTCTCTCTCGAGAAATATTATACCCCATATAGTTGACTCAGTGTCCCATAATGCACTGTAAAAAGCAATATTTAATGGCAGTAACCCAGCATTTAAGCCATGATTTATTGAGCTTAAAAAAAAAAAAAAAAAGTCAGGGCGCTGTAATTAGCAGTGCAGACAAAAAAGGCCCAAGTGGTTTCTGAAAGTGTTATTAAATTTTGCAGATAAGCTCACTATATCATTCTCTACAATCCACAGACATAGAAGCACCAGACGAGGGAATCATTTCAGGCACAAGTTTAGTTTAAGGGTGGTGTGTTTGCCTGCATTTGCAGTGTATCACTAAAGATGATGCACAGCTGTTGCTGATGGAAAAGTTCAGGAAGTAATGGACAAATTAGAACAAATGTATTAGAGTTATTAGAAATCACCCTCAGCAGTTTTGAACATTTCATCTAAAACCAGATCTTTGCCTCATGGTGGTCAGAAAGAAACATCACTAAAACCAGCAGGGTTACATTTCCAGGAAAAATATAAAACTTACGTCAAGATTATCTTAAAGCTCTGGTGAGGAACTTTCTGTCTGTGTTGTTTTTGGCGCCCCCTGTGGACAAAGTGGTCACCCTTTTATTATTGGTGTTAATGGTGTTGATTGACAAAAACTTCTTTTGTCATCTTACAATGAAATTTATCACTCACATGAATATTTGCTGTGGAAAAAGTGGATGTTTCCTGAGCACATCTACCCCTCCTCTTGGCAGTTACAGGTATTAAAATTACAACACAGAAATGATCAATCTTGTCGTTATTAACCTCGTTTACTTTTGTCAATTTAAGAGATTTCAGTCTGTTTCATAAACCATCACAAACTCCCAACTGCAGCTTTAAATAACTCAGTTGTGATCAAAGTCTTTGGCATATTGACAGAATGACTAACTATACAATGTTTGGCTGAACTGTGGAGATTTTGTACATGCACATTGTCTACATATTGGTTCTGGTTATACAACCACCAATACATCTTGAAAACACGTTCAGTTGATTTTTGGCATATAATTCAGACTCTGAGATAGAAACTTTGCAAAAGATGATGTTTGCAGTTTGGTTTCACTCAAAATGAAGTAAATAGAAAAGACGTGGCTGAGTGGAAAAGCAAGCAGAGAAGTATTTGTGCTCCGTCTTGTTTGATTACTCAGAAAAGAGTGGTTTAAACAACTGTCACTACCAGAAGGGGATTTGTCTCCAGAAATTTGATGGTTAAATATCTTCGTTTTTCTTGCAAGAGACAGAGAAAAGCTTCCTCTCAGTTTGTGATGAGCTTTCACAAAAAAGAAAAAAAAAAATGCTGATTTGACTCTAAACCTCACCAATCACACGCTAGGATACAAACACACAAACACATATGTTTCCTCTTCTTTTAAGTGGACAAATAATGACACGGTTTTCAATATCCTGCTAGTTTCCTGTTCCTAAACGTTAATCAAAAACCTGCTGAGTGTCTCCATTTTTTCCTACACCTCCAGTTTTTCCATGCCATTGATTTTTCATTACTTTATACATTTCAAGTTTTACTCTGGAACAAAATTATGTTTTATCAACCTCACCACCACCGCCAAACAAACTCACATCATTACTTCCATCATTCATTTGATTAACAACTTCACAATTAGGCTAATATGGGACAGAGAGAGGCAGTCGGAGCTGCAAAATGTCCTTCAGAGCTGATTTACTCTGTCTGTAAAAGGGTTCATTCACTCTCAGTGATCTGGAAGTGGACAGAATCCTAAATTCTCCAAAGTGGGGTAGAGCGGTGATCTGAAGCCAACAGCTTTATTGATTATCTATTAAGCAACTGCAGTCACATCCAAATGTACCTGAATAGTTTTTCCACTCAGCTTCCTGGTTTTTATTTCTACGTTTTAACACACTTGAATTTAAGACTTGAAGCTTTTAATAACAAGTCAGATTTTTACAGTAACCTTCATTGATTTTGCAGTTAGTTGGAAAAAAAAAGTTCAATATTTTGTCTGATGGTTCAATTTGCTATGAGATGCATCAGTGAGTGTGGCTGTGCCCCTTTGGTGGGAGCTGAAATCACATTTTTACTACTGCAAGTCACTGAAAGTATATCATGTAAATGTTCCTTTAAAACAAGGTGTGTCTGTGAGCATTTGCCCTCTTTGAATTTCATTAAAAACAACAACAAATCAAACAACCAACGTGACTAATGTATCAAACTAGCCCGTCACATCAACTCTGTATAAACTTGAATCATCCAGCCTCTGCATGAGTGCACTCCCAGACTACAGCAGCTTAGTACATGTGACTTTTTGGATGTATATTGATGGGCTGTCAGTGAATAAGTCCTCTAAGTCAGACATAACTACCTTCAGTTTGCATGAAGCCAGCTGGCGTGTCTGTAAGGAGCATTATTTGGTGGGAGGGGCTTAGCTGAATGTAATGTAGGAGCGGATGGGGAAGGTTCTTGCATTTTCTTGATGTTACTTCTACCAAAATGTTTTTAAAATTCTCTCTGGGAGTTAGTTACCCCAGTTTATAAAGTTTAGTGTTGGCTGCACTCCATTTGTAGAGCTGATTTGTCAGTTTTGATGTATTACCAAGCACAGGGAGGCTAGACTAAACAGACTACATTTATAAATCTGGGTTTACTTCATATTAAATATTGTTATGATGTCTTTGGTACATCATGGAGGTGCACTATGATGCACAATTCAAAGCCAAGGATATGTATTTAAAGTCTAGAGCTACAGTAATCAGTGTAATGAAGCTCGTGTTTTGTAAACCTTGCTACATCTTTGCAAATTCTTTTGCAGAATAAAATGCAGCAAGTTTCAGATTGATACCAGCTACAGATCACTACTGTATGTGTTTCTGTACAATATTCTGTGTGAACGATGATGTGTAGAGCCTCAGCCGAGTGAAAAAGTAATTCATAAAAATCTGAATAGAGTCATGTCGCAGTCAAGTGACATGAAAACAAATTTGTGAGAACTCTTTAGCATTTTAGTTTGGTGTGTTTCACTTATATGGGCCGAAAATCTCAAAAGTCTTGTGTTTTGAAAATGTTTGAACAGGTCTAAAAAACAGTCTGGTATTTTTGGTAATACACCCCCTTCACTTAAGTTGACTCAGAGGATCAACACCACACATGCTTGTATTGTTAATATGATGCCTAATGCTGGAAACAGCAGACTGATAGGTAGCTTGAGGTATTGGTACAGTTAACTATAATCCATACCAAAGTGACCAAATCACCTACAGGTAACTCCAAAGCTCACAAACCATGGATCAGGTGGGAGCACACAAAACAGTGTAAGATTACCTGGCCAGAACTCTGGAGAGCCAAACCAATGCGCATCAAGCTCCTCATCCAATCACTTCCCAACGTTTTCCCAAACCCAGGCCAGCCTGCACCGGTGGGGCTTGGCAGACACTCTGACTTACCAACTGTGTCAGAAGAGCTGCACTCAGGAGCATACCTTCAGCTGCTGTTGGAAGGGTTTGGGGGAAGGGTGATACCACTGGCACCACAACCAGTTCCTCAGGGCTCTTGCGGATACAATCACAATGGAAGAAGAGTCAGCACACTCTCAAGCTGGGAAGAAGACACAACATCAGCCTCGCTCATCGGGGCGGGCCTCTTGCCACTGCAGGGCATTGGCACCTCCGAGCTGACCTCAGGAGACAGCTTAACATTTGAGTCTCATGGTCCCCAGGAAAGACAGGGTCGTAGAGGCCAAGGAGGGCGGAATAGCAATAGCTGGAAAGCCTGCGGTGAACCAATCAAAGATGGGTGCCAGAAATTCAAGGGCCAGTCAATCTCCTCGGAGTTAAGGGACAACTAATAATAATGCATCGGATTTCATGTAGCGCTTTATCAGAGACCTTCAAAGTGCTTTACATTGGATACATCATTCATTCGCTCACACAGTCACACCCTGGTGGTGGTAAACTACCTTAGTAGTCACAGCTGCCCTGGGGCAGACTAATGGAAATGTGGCTGCCATTTTGCACCTACAACACAACACTCACGATCAAACACGGGTGGAGGACACACACTGGGAGCAAGGTGGGTTAAGTGTCTTGCCCAAGGACACAATGGACAGACTTGGGATAGGGGGGAATTGAACCACCAACCTTCCAGTTATTGGACAACCGCTCTACCTCCTGAGCTACTGCCGCCTCAACTGTACAGGAGAGCCATCAAAACATCTGACAGGCGTCTGAAAAAGCCTCATAATGGCTGTGGATTCAGAGGGAGTAACTGTGGAGAACTGCCCCACTTGGACACTAATTGTACTTAAACATCATAACATGTTCATGATTCAGCTTTTTCAATAAGGTGCCCAAAAACTTTGTCCTTCCAAGTCTAGATAGTAAGATAAACTAAGCTGAGAACATTTAGCCACACATTCATTAGACAGACGTAACAGCAGACCCCTGTAATCGAGCTGTCATCAAGTAACCAAATAAGCAAACTCCCAGAAATGTCTGACTGTTCCAGCTTGATAAGAGTAAATGTACCATCCAGTTTTACGTGTTGTCAACCCTGTTTAATGCCTGATTCCTAATATGATTCATTTTGCAACACTTAACTTTATGGCCCTCCCTTCATCCTGCTGCATTTCGAAGCATCTCCAAGATAAGTGAGCTGGAGCAAATTTTGGCAGCAAACTGAACGGGCCACCAGCGTTCATTATAGAATGAGTCAATCCATTACACAATCTACCCTGGAAATATCAGCCGTGATACATTAAGGTGTAAGCCATCCCAGGAAAAGACCATTTTCTGCAGTGTTCATCCAAGAGCTCTTGGTTTTCTTAATTTAATAACACTTTTCTGCTGAGGAGTTCAGTGGGGACACAGAAAAAGGGAAGGTGGGGGTGCTGTGTGGGAGTGTTTGTGTGTGAGTGTGTGTGCGTGTTTATGTGTGCAAGTAGGGGGAAGCCCTTGACAGAGAGCGAGAAAGAGAGTTGGAGTTAAACGAATGGCTGAGATGATTGCGAGTGCTGGTGGAGGAATTGAATTCTGAGCAGGTCGTATTTCAGCCAGGCGAGGCAAAAGTCCCAGTGACACACACACACACACACACACACACACACACACACACACACACACACACACACACACACACACACACACACACACACACACTCAGAAAGGGCTATTTCACTCCTACTGTAAAGCTTTTTCACGCAGACCTCCAGCACCATTAGGGAGCAGACACTCGAAGTGCTGGAGAGGACGCTGACGATCATGTCAACGAGATTAAATTTTTTTATCTCACATGTCTGGGTTTGGAAAGTCCATAAATGGGGGGTATAGATTTCTCAAGTAAAAAGCTAATCATGCAGTTCACTTCCAAATATCCCAGCTTTTAGGAGGAGAAAGTCTGCCCTCACTCCTACGCATCTTGCTCTGATCAGTTATCAACTTTTTCAGAAGGAACATAGAGACAAACTCATGTATAAAAAATGTCACTTTGGGCGGCTACTGAGAGGAAGCATCACTGAAAAACCAAAGAACACTACACAGATTAGACTATTGATCAACTTCAGTTACAGCAGACAAGACAGCAGCCACAGCTTAAAGAGTAATGCACACAATCTAAAACCAGGGACACCTACAAAGACAGACTGGGATGAAGCATGAAGCCAAACTTGCCAGTAAGATGAGATTTTGCTCTTTAAGAGGTTTGCCACCAAGATCACAGTCATAAGTCAAAACGACACCCAAACCCAGTGAGACGTCTTTATTTTACAGCTGAAACTCTAAAATTCAGCCTTCTTTCCCAGAAGGCAAAGCAATGTGACCAAAGGTGGTAGTGCTGCTTTTTAGGTTGTTTACAAAGAAGAATCAGGTGCATGATAGTGATCTGGGGCACTGGTTCCCAGCTATTTTTCCTTGGAATCCCCTCCTTCATTTCTAATGTAGAAAACCCTCACAGACACAAAGAGATCCATTACAGTCAATAGATGTAAGTTTTGTTGTTCTTACCAATTAAAGAGAGTAAATTGTCTTTTCTTACATAGTTTTCTCCAAAGACAGTTGATAAACTATCCAATAAGTAAGTAATTATTTTTGCTCATAGTGCAAATCCAATTTAACAGTCTCAGAGCAGATATACCCCACACCTCCCCTTGAGACCTCTCCAGGCTTCGCAAGGGGGCCTGCACCCATTGGGAACAAATGGTCTAGAGAAGTGGTTCTCAACTGGTGGGTCCCAACTCACAAGTGGGTCACGGACACGTTCTGGATGGGTCACGAACAGCTGGTCAAAAAAGTAAATATTTAATGCAATATCTATTACATATTTGATATTTCCTGTAGATGCAACTTCAGTAGTTGTCATTCTCATGTTGTCCTCTTCATGTGCTTTGAAACGTACTTTACTCAATAAAACAAGTGGATTTATGTTAAAGATTAGAGACTTTAAAGGTTTTTTTAAATTAAAAATAAATTTACTTTGTTTGAATTCTATAAAAGTGGGTCGTGACTTCAGGACCCTTCGGAAAATGTGGCTCCCAGAGTGATACCAGTTGAGAACCACTGGTCTAGAGAGTGGAGACCGTGACATGAAAGTACCACTTCTTATACTTGTTTCGTTTGTCTTGACATCCAGTGTTGGAAACCTTTAAATTAGCAGATTAAACTGGATTAGAGGGCCAGTGTTCATGGCAGAGGTCTGATCACGCTTTATCAAAAGTAATAAAAGGTGTCCAACTGAACTCAATATTTATATGGTCACATTTTATATACATAATTAAGTTTGTTCTAAATTAGACTAAGCTAAGGTTCCTGCAAAGTTTAAGATTTTGAACAGAAAATAACTCTTTCAAATCATGATTCAAAAGATACCAAGGCCTGTAATAGTTGCCAAAGGTTATAAAAGCTTATAAAGTCTATTCTGCAATCAAATGACTAAACTACAACCTTTCAAGCCTCTCATCAAACCCCCTAAAGTTTTTTAAAGGCCACAGTTTGGGGGGTTGCACTCCTGCAGGGTGGTGCTGAACGGACAGCTCCCGCTGCTCCCGGTGCCATTTGTTATCCCTCCTTTAAACCCCCTGAAGACACTGAGGGCTGCCGTGAATCGACTCACTCTCTCAGCCAATAACCTGTTTCTAGTTCGAGTCTGCTTGCAATGAGAATCAATATTTGGGTCGACTGACTGAAAAGAGCAGAGTCGCGGAAATGCCAGAGTGCCAGAGCAGGCTCCCATCCCGTCTGCTGAGATGCATTCACGACCTTACACGTTCAGAATAGATCCCTATATTGTAAACAAAAGGAGTAGAAGACGCATGCAAGTCCCGAGTCTAGCCATGATGCGTGTTTCGTGTTGTGCACAGAGGAGTGCAGGAGCGCAGTGGCTCGTGGCAGGTGGTCGGAGGGGAGGGGGGCAAACGGCCTGAGTGAGCACGTATTTCTTACCCGGACTTTTCTTTTGGTGCAGTAGGGAAGAAGGAGGAGAAGGAGGAGGAGGAGGAGGGGGTAGAGCAACTCCACCGCTCTCCCTTCTTCTTCAGGCGGCTCTCTCCATCCAATGACACTGGTGCCGGTCCAGACTGTGTATCCCGGGCGGTGCAAGAGGGGAGGGAAACGTTTCAGATCATCCGAAAGCGTTCAGCCAGCTGGAGGAGGAGGTAGAGGAGCAGGAGGAGAAAGAGGAGGAAGAGGAGGAGGAGGAGGAGGGTTTATGTTCCAATCGAAGGTGTCCGTCTGTGTGCGCCGCAGCTCGCTGGAGTCTGAAAAGCTGCTGCTGGAGGCATTTCTGAGAGAGCCGCAGCTGAACCTTCATCCACGGACTGCAGAAAGAAAGAAAGTCCCACCCCTGCAGCGAAACTTCAACCGCCGGGCCGCTTAATAACAAGACCACCGCCTCCTCCTCCTCCGAGGCTCCACAGCAGCACTGAGAGGAGGACCTGCCAGCTGCGCGCACACACACACACACACACACACACACACACACACACACACACACACACACACACACACACACACTAGTGTTATGCAACGGGTACTCGGGGGGGAGACTGGGAAGGGAAATGAGTGAGTGTGCTTCAGGGACACGCAAACTTTTCCAGTCGTCCTCATTATCCACCCTCACCCTGTAGCCCACTAAACCCCCCAGACCCCCAAAACTCATCAATTCTGTCCCAAAAACAAGGCTCACCACCTCCTCCTCTTCTTCTTCACTATCACATCAGCTGTTGGGGATGATTCAGTGTGAAATTACATAACAGTCCATCTTGGAGGTGGGCAGGGTGAAGTGATCATCCTTTCCACCAGCAATTCCCCTGAAAGCAAATTAAACATCAATTAAGCGACTCCTAAAGGGCTGAACACTGATTTCTGTTTTACTGCTCATCAGTACAGTCAAAGAAGTGTAGTCGGATAAACTCTGGAAGTTAATTTCACAACTTTAACAGGCAAATGCTCTTATTAATTATGAGTGCATATAGTAACCTATTAATAAATGTTTTATCAGCCATTAGTTTCAGTGCATGATCTATGTTTACTATTGGATATCAAAGCCGATTTAGGAATCTCACAAGAAGATATTTGTTGGAGAAATCCTTTAAAACAGTCCTTGTATGCTCCAACAGTCAATAAAGGTTACAAATAATATTGGACGCAGTGACCAACAGGAGTTAGTGGAGAAAATTCAATGCAGGACCATCATAGTTACGTGTCCAGTGGGAAAAACACAATATAGGGCCAGGAAAGCTTGCCCCCTGGAGGACAAAGCACAATGTTGAGAAAGTCCTGTATTGTAAAATGTATGATACTTTTTGGTGGAGAAAATAGGATAGTCAGGTCAATATGTACACTTCCAGTGAAAGAAAAAGAGATGCAGTGATCTCAGGAAAATACTATTTAACATCCTCTTAGCTGCTCATCTATTAGAGAAAACTCTATGCAAGGCCTCAAAGACTTTCTATCTGGTGGAGAAAGTGAAATCTAATCAAAAAAGTGACTCACTTTTTTTGCAATAATTTCCTTCTCCTGGGCTGTTACAGTGGAGGAATGACAGTTTATTGGACTCTTGGTTGCCCTGCGGTGGAGAAAACAGGAGAGCTTGTCCAACAATGAGTGTCTCCAGAGAAAATAGGAAGCGGTGACCTCTGCTGTGACCTTCCAGCATGTAAGATACACTGCAGTTCCCTCTTGATTGCCTAAACTTTGAAGTGTTCAATAACATACCATTGTAGTGGAGAAATTAGAACAAAGTGCTGTATAGAGTACCAGTCCAGGGTAGGAAATGTGATAGAGTGATTTGTGTGGGACCTTCGAGTGGGAAAAACACCCTGCCATTCACTAAAGAGCACCAGTCCAGGGGAGAAAAATGACCTTTTGTTCTAGATTTTTCTCTCTAAACCAAGACCTGAATATGAAGGACTGGCCTCTTTTGACTGAAAATCTGAAAAAGTGGGCATGTGTGGTCTTAGATGCTTTTGATTTCTGAGATAATTAACTGTGGATAATTCCAGGGAAAGTCTGTTTACACATGTACATGACAAAATAAGCAAAGATATAAACATATACAAAAGCGACTCTTCTGTTTCTTATATATTTCACAGTTGCTCGCTGAGGATCCTCCACAGCCCCTCTAGAGATCCCATGGCGGTTCTTCACCCTGAAATTTGGCCTGCTGTGACCCCATTCCACTAGATTATTGATTAAGCAATGACTCTCGACACAGGTGATAAACCCGCTGGAGCATCATTCTGTATTCAGACTGATATTGAACACAGTCTGAAGCAGATTTCAAATCATGGCTCCAAACTTCCAGCAAGTCCTGAAAGAGATGCACAATAACTACATGATGAGTGATTAGAGGAAACAGGTTATTTCTTTAATAAGAAAAAAATACACATTTGTAACTGAAGCATCTTATATACTATAATCTGGATTTGTTAGGCAATAATTTTACTACCTCTATTCCTGTTTTACGAGCATCTTTTCTGGTCCGGTGGTCACGCTCTTGGCTGCAGGATGTAAGATAAAGACCAAAAATCAATCAGGACATGATGAACGGTTGTAATAAGGTCACAGAAGACGCAGAGCACTGCAGTCTGATGAAATAATCCTGCAAAATGTGAGCATAAACGGAATCTTGGAGGTGCTATCACAGGAATGAAATCAGGGATCATTTTTAAATTTTCAGGATACAACAGTTAAGATAAGGCTGGCTGGGAAAAAAATCTCCTTTTCCTTTGTTGCAATTACAAAAGTTAAATGAGCTGCATCATGTAAAGAGAATAACTCCAGTGTGGATGGCTGTATGAGCCGCTGAGTGTTTTTTTTTGCTCATTCTGCAAGTTTATACTAAATGCCTTCCAGAGTTTTCAGCCTCACTAGGCAGAATATGAAATAAATGGGATCAAAGTAAACACTGTAATAGTCACAGTGGCAGAACAGCAGGAGGATAATGGTTCACGTTTCCTTTCAAATGTCTCCCTCTAGTGGTGGAGCTGCTGTACTGATGCTGGCTCAGAAATACTTTTGCCAGTGTGTGAGTCATACAAATACTTCATACCTATATGATTTCTCCGGCAAAGTTCACCCACTCAACTTTTTTATTTAAACTTGAAATTGACATGACAAAATGTTCGAATGAGATGCTTTAATCGGAAATGGAAGAATGCTGGGAAGATTTTATAACAGGAATGGGATCATTATGTGATCATTTTAAGCAGTGACGGGAGTAAAAGTTGCTGCTGGAAACCAAAACTTATTCTAAGTTCTTAAATCTTTAACTTCAATGGTTTAAAATACACCCATGGATTACAGCGATACAGACAGAGCTGTTATATAAACCCTAATTTTAAATACGGGTTTAATCATTCTCTTGACTCTGACAGCTATGATGGATCCTTTTTTTTAACACTCTGATACTTGCCAGAATATAGAAGTCGCAAAATTTAGAGACAAAGAGAAAAAGCTTTTGAAGATTGGAGACTCTTCTTCAGTTTGAAAAATTCACAGGGATTTTGGCTGATGCTCCAGACCCCCGAGGATGATTGATATGATCCCAGTTTTAGCATGGCCACCGTACATAATTTAAAGGTTCATTACCAGCCAAAGGCTTCAGTATGGTTTGGATTCTGCTGAAATCAGTGACGCCATCGTTGAAGTCCAAAGGAAGTAGAAAAAGAGGCTTTAGTGAAATACTTGAGGACAACAATTCAAACTTTTAATTCGACAATCATTGACTGCACACTTCCCCCTTTGCAGTTCACCCAGTCATATTACCTTATAGTTTTCGTCCATCTAGGAATAAAATCAATCATACCATGACAGGAATAACACAATAGCAAAAAGTGTATTTATAAAAACATATATTTATTGTTCTGTTATCGTTGGTTAACTCGATCAACAATAAATGGCTGCTGGCCAGGAGACATACTGTACACATTAATAGAAAGCCTCAGAGAGCTTCTGTATTTTCTGTTCAGTGGCAATAAACAATGCAGAGAGGAAACCAGAGCAAAGACAGAGAGAGAGAAGAAATACGATATTCACTGTGAGCCGTACAGCTAATGATTGTTGGACTTCGCTGGCAAGTTCAAAAGTCATCCTTCAGCCGCTTCTCAAAGTGGTTCATCTCCTAACAGATAACTTTACAAGAGGGGGTAAAAATACTGTACATGATTCTGTATAAGAATTATTCTTTCAAGGAAGAATACGTTTATTTTTATTTATTTGTGTGGGACTGTCATGACTACTCGCCTTCGCCAAAATGACCAGGAAGTCAAGTAAAGCTTTGAAGTGGATAAATAATATTTAGACTTTAGTGACAGAAATAGAGGTGCTCTATACGTGACAAAATAGTGAGTGTGTGTGAGTGTGAGAGAGTGAGGATTAAAATAGATAAAGGTTATATATATTTATACTTTATATACTATATAAAGGCTTAAATCATTTGACACAGGGACAGCCACCAGTGCTGTCCACACACATTCCTCAGCACACAAACCCTTTAAAATGCAGCGACAAACTCACACCTGCTTTGTCTCATTTTCACTCTACGGACCATTAGGTCTGCTTCTGTACATCTGCAGCGAAAATGAACAGGATCCTGATCCCACAAGTAAGTTTTCCTCCTCAGCGCGAGTTAAAACGGCTGCAGTTACTGGATATGAGAAAACAAAGTTACAAAGAGTGAACAAAGTAAACTTTCGGATGCTTTTTCAATCTGTTAAAAAAAAAAATGTCCATGTGAACGCATGTTGAGAAAGAGATGTGCAGCTGGTGTTTAGCTCAAAGTTAGAGTGCTTTTTTTGTTTGTCATCTTAGGCAACACTAAAAACTCAAACTGCTTACTTCTGAAGCTGTTGCACATGTATTACTCGTACTGACCCCAGGCTGGAAGGTTACTGATCAAAAAAACACACAGAGCCCACTGAATCAAAGCAGAGCACATCTGTTGCGAAAATGAACAGGATCCTGATCCCACAAGTAAGTTTTCCTCCTCAGCGCGAGTTAAAACGGCTGCAGTTACTGGATATGAGAAAACAAAGTTACAAAGAGGAATGAAAGCAAGTCTAAGTGGTTGAGTAATAAGTTTAGTTTTCTGTTAATATGTGAAACAAAGTGGTTCTGTTGAAAGAGTGTTTTTTTTCAGGAGCAGACGACACCAGGTCCAAAAGTCTGTTTCCAGTCCAGGCAAACTTTTACATTCCACACGCTGCAAAACAAATCCAATCCAGTTCCTTGAATCCAAGGGAACTTTTCTCCTGCAATCGCCATGTCCACGGTCTCCATCCAGGAGCGCCCACGTTCAGACTGAATGTGCAAATGTCATCCGTAACGCAGAACCGTCCAGAAGCAACTTAACAAAAACAACACAATAGAAAAAGACAAACTTCTGTCTCCTGTCCACTGAACAAAAAAAAGTCTTGTTTCTGAAATTGCAGGTTTGAACTGAAATGAATCAGTTTATGTGCCACAAAACTAATGGAAGTGTAGTAATAGACTGCATAATATCTAACAAATGTTTGTCTGCTGTTTCCTCCAAAGGAAGCAAAAATTAGAATTGCACGTACTCCAACGAGAAACTAATCCAACAGCTGTGGTAGTTGTGTCCCACTTGAACCTGACGGTCAATAAAACCTGTCCAAGCTCTCTGAAAACTAAGATAACCTTTCTAAACCATGTTAGGGTTCAGTATGTAGGGATGTAAACTCTTTAATGTTAAAAGTCTGGCTTTGGAAAGGTAAAAACCAACATTTAAACTCAGTCTTAAATTCAGTTGGGATCAAGTCTGACATGACGGCATTTTACTTTAAGCTGAAATAAACAGATTCGCTGACTCGCTCTATCGCTCAGCTTTGTGGTGAACTTTTGCTGTAAATCTTTGGCTTCAGCTCGAAAAAGTATTTCACTTTTTTGCATTGGCAAAGACCACTCTGGCGAGCAATTTGTGTGCGGTGCCGTCTTGCATTGTGGCCATTACTGCGGTAGGCAACTCAGCCTCTGCCGCCACTGTGTGACTGTGACAGCAGTGAGGATAACTGGATTAAAAACTGCAGACAGCTGCTGTACCTTGATCAGAGGGGCTTGACATTATTTGATGTTGCCATTAGTTACAGCAGTTGGCTGGTCACACAAAGAATAGAACATATCTGTCTGATGTAACATTGTTCTACCATGTTAATTACATTTAATCATCACTGAGCAGCTGTGTCAGCAGAAAGATCTTATAATAAATCTTCATTAGGCACACGTTTTCTTTCATTACTTCTTCTTTTGCCAACATAACTGAACAGTAAGGATCACATGCAGCTTCTTGATTGGCTCACAAGTTGGTAGAAGAAAGTTGTTTGTGAGATGTTTTCATTATGGACTTAAACGGAACTACAAAATTCAAAATGGTGGGTCAAAAAGTGGCATAAGTGGCAAGCGCTCTCGTACAGACTCTATCATGAAACCACGTCATGTGTGTCGTACAACATTAGAAGTTGTCTCGACTGATAGAGCATTTGGAAACTCCACAGAAAACTTCCAAAAATTCAAGGTTTAAGTGGAAAATTGATCAACTTGCAGTCAGACAGTTAGATGCTGTAAGAGGATGCCACCGCAGTGATGGCTTGTTAATTCCCAATCAGTTGGATTGGTCCATGCCTTGATTAAAACCTCACCCTGATGAGAATTGATTCAGAGATGGACAAATCGATCATTCCCTTCATTACACATGGCCTTCCTTCATCGCCTTTGTTTACCTTTGTCAGATTTCTAAACTGACTCTTTTCAAGCGTTGCTAAAAACAAAACAATTTGTGATAATGAATTTGTTAGAGGTGAGCTAATTGTGTGTTTCTGATGCTCTCTGAAGTTTTGTCTCTAAAAACCAGAACTTTCGATGCCTCAAATAAAACCGGGAGACAAGCAAACTACTGTCTCTGTAATACCAAGCTATCACATCTCTACACTCCTGCACATCTTGGCCACATTTAAGCATAAAAGCTTTAGATATTATCATCCATAAAATCTGTAAACCTAATGGAGTGTTGGAACCTATAAGAGATGTGATGAGCTTGAGGAAGTAAGAGCGGAAAGGACTTCACTTTGCCACGATGAAATGTTTAAAAACTCTTTAGGGCAGGGTTTGAGAAATACCTAAGCCGTTTCACAGTCTAGACTCCTAACAATCCTGCAGCTGTTAATGACTGCTAACCAAACCCTGATCCTGAAGGCCTGTCTGTCTGTCTGTCTGTCTGTCTGCCTGCCTGTCTGTCTGTCTGTCTGTCTGCCTGCCTGTCTGTCTGTCTGTCTGCTGGGAGCACTGCCTCTCACTCTGTGGGTCGGTTAGTCCATGAAGGAAACAGACTTTGCACAACTTGCTGTTTAGCTTCAGCTGAGCAATGTGGCTGCTGCAACAATTAAGCTGACATTGGCTCACATTACATTAGCGATGGCAGAGGGACCACATGGGGGAAATTGGTTCTGTTGCTAAATTGGATCTGTTGCTATGGTAACCACTGGTCAAAGGAACTCAAAGAGGCTGTGATTGAGTCAGGTGGAGGGTGTGTGCTTGGTGTGTTTGGTTCTGTGCTGTGTGCGCTGGCTGGCTCTGGTTCTGGGACTGAGGATGAGGGTGGGGCTGCTGCAGGATGTGCACCACCCGGCTCAGGGTGTCAGTGGTGGCGAATGCTAGGTACTGGCAGCACAGCCAGTCCTCCAGACTGACACCACAAGCCGAGTCCATGGAGCGCTCTGCAAACTTGATCATCATCAGTGTCCGTTTCAGGTCCAGCCAGTTCTGGAGGGTGGCCTCGCGCTGGCTGGATGTGGCTCCTGACATGGGGCCTGTGCTGCTGCAGCCCAGCGCCTGGAACAAGTCCTCACGAGGGCCCCACAGCAGGCACTGCAGGCAGGCCCGCGCCTCAGATATCCGGATCCTTTCAGAGGGGTTGACAGTGAGCAGCAATCTGGCGAGCTGCTGCAGACCTTGTGAATATAGAGATCTGACCGGCAGGGAGGGGAGATCTGCCCACGTGTACTCTCGCTCCTTCAGCTCTGGCGTCTCCTCAAAGGGGTTCGGCCTGTGCAGCATCTCATAGATGAGAATCCCAGTCTGGAACTCGTCACACTTCCTGTACTGAGTCGCTGTGACGATCTCAGGTGCAAGGCGTGACTGGTCTCGGAGCGTACCTGGATCAGCGGTCATGAGAGTGGTCTTTTGCTTTGCTTGGGAGAAGTTACTGATGATGAGGCGAGCGGGGCAGGTGGCGTTGGCAGCGGCTGCAGCAGCACTGGCAGACGTAGCACCAGAGCTGCTGTTGCTGTTGTTGTTGGGCTCAAGAACATCCAGATTCCAGGGGTTGCCGGGATGGCAGTGGACGAGGAGCAGGTTTTCCAGGCGCAGGTCACAGTGGGTCACGTGATAAGGTTTCATGTGCTCCAGGCCGGAGCACAGCTGCAGCAGCAGCAGACACACCTGACGCTCGTACAGCTCTGGGTTATGAGTGTGTCTCGACACGCCTTCTCGGACAAAGTCAGCCACGGTTTGAAACGGTACCTCCCGGGTGATGACCACCACTCTGTTCTTTAAACGGCCTGTTGTGTTCATATGACCCTCTGTGGGGGTTTCATCTAGTTTACCATTTGAAGCTTTTGAGTCTGTCGTCTTGGTTTCAGTCTTAATCTCTTTTCCCTTTGACCTGTTCACATCTTCTACCTCCTCCTCTTCCTCCTCCTCATCTTCTTCTTCCTCCTCCTCTTCCCAGGGGAGCAGGCGGGTGGGGACATCAGCTAGGAAGTGTCCACAGTCTTGTTGGATGTTGAAGTTCAGAGCCAGGCTCTGTCTGACTGCGAGGCTGTGGAAAAACTGCTGCTGGGTCTCTTTCACTTTACTGCGACAGATCTGGAGAGAACAAATGAAATAAAGAGAATAACGACATCAATGTCAGGTCAGAAGAAATCCATCCCATAAACAGACCATAAAGAGACACTAACCAAAAGTATTACATCAAAAAATCTAACCCATGATACTCCCATAAGGCTCCTTAGTGATACAGAAGCTGTTTCAAACCACACTGTGCTCTCAGTAGAGTTCAAATCTCTGTCAGGTGTTTCTGGAGGCACATGGGGGGTAAACAGCCCCGTCCCCTCCTACTTCTCCCTCTCAGACAAAGCCATGAATCCCACTCAAATTTCCCTCAAGGCTTCCTTATAGTCAAGAAGGCAGAGTAGATAAGAAGAAAAAAAAGAAGCATTCATTTCACATTTTGCCTTGTTCTCGTTAGGATTTAAGTCCCCTGACTGCAGGCGTGAGAAACTGATGAGCATCTCGGCAAAAAGGTGCACAAAAAGTTAGACGATTTATATGTGAGATTTGTTGAAGAGTGTATTCTTCCAGAAAATATCACTGGGGTGTCAAAAATGCATAGATTAAAGTGGTCCCCAAGAGGACCTCCTTCACTCCTATCCTTGCTTGTCTCTGTTTTAAAAAATGAAGCTTTATTATGACACCTGCTTCAAAATTTGCCTCCAAAGTAGCGACAATGGTTTAGGGACTGTGAGGGGATGTCTGAGTGTAACAGGAGACAGTGCGCCACAAGAAAAAGGCCCATTTTTAACATTCTCCTCTGAAGACATTTGTATTGTGGCACACTGTTGTTCAGATGAGACGTGTCAGACAGACTATTGTGAAAAGATGAAAAAACAGTTAAAGAGAGGTGTTGAAACACTTGGATCCTTTCTCACCTCAGCCTGGCTGGCTAATCACTTTTTGAAGTGCCTCTGAATGTCGAGTATCATCAGTTTCAGAGTTACAAGAAAGGTCAGAAACTACCCGATATCAGACCTCTGAAGGACCTCATAATGAGATGGCATTTCATCCTTTATAGTGACGAGAGCTGGTTTTTGTGCTTCTTTAAAATTTAGCATTTCTCTTTTTAATTGCAAAAACTCTCTTGACTGCTATGGGAGACTGCAACATGGTGTAACATCAGAAATAAAAAACAAACTTTTAACAGAGGATCTGCACAGAATCCCAACGATCATAGATTTTCTAAAAGATCGTATTGTTCTCTTTCTCTCGAATATTTTGCAGCTTAGAGCATCAATAGGACAGTCTCTCGACAGTCAGAGACAGCTGTGAGACTGTCTCTGCGCTGATCAACAGTGGCAGCCTCCTCAGCTCTCCTTCTTTCAACACTTTGATCACAGTTATGAGAAAAGAGGCCAAGTAAAGGATGGGTCGCTCTCTGCAGACTGAGCTATCACTGAAATACAAACAAAAGGGAAGATGTCACAGCATATTAAAGTGATATTTTTGCTTTTAAAAACAGTTTCACCTTATCCCATTAAGAGTTGACCATACTGGCCTCATAATAGCTTTGTCTTGTTCATTCTATCTCCTTATTCTGATGAGGTTTTGTTTACTATCAAGCTTCCTCCTACGCATTTACGCTATTAGACTTCAGGGTCAAAGTCTGGCATACAAATTGTGGTGTATGTGCAGCTCACTTAGGCCAGTCTGAGGCTGATTGATATAAATACATTCTAAAGGAAATGGATCCTAAACTGCACTATTTAAGTATCTATGTCTGACTTCCAAAAATTCAGCTGCATTTCAGTCAGTTCAACTTGCAAACATGATTTTTTAGAATTGCAGTTTTAGTCAGAGTAACGTTATGATTCGCTTTTCTTAATATCATGTAAACATACTGAGTGTCAGGGGCCTGGTTTTGAATGGTTTAGTGGGTCATATAAATAGAAATGCCTAGGGGAGAGTGGGGTAAGTTGAGCCAAAGGGTAATTTGAGCCACTCCCTGTTGATTGGAAATGGTAAAAGAAATTGATCATGTGACCAAATATTTAGGAGATGGACATCAATTCATGGAGTCTGTGAAGGTTAGAAGCACATGGGTGAAGGGGTTAGACATTTATTTACAAAAAAACCTTTTTTCACTCTTGAAAGTGAATTTAGTCTGTCATAAGTTTTATTAGAATTGTGTCCAGAACAAAAAAGATCATTTTAAATTTGTTTTATACATCAATTGTGGTATCTATGAGCTACAACATGAGGTCAAAAACCTAGAATAAAAGTCCACCATCTTATCTTAGAGGACTAATAAAGTCATCATAGTAGTTCAGGCTCAACTGAGAAAGTAAAGGAGTCTGATGAGAGGATCAGAGTTTCAGTTCAGATTGTTGAAATGTGTTACTTTCTCTTTCCAAAAATACAGCTGTGAATGTTCTGAATCACTTAAAGACATTCTCATGTTATATGCAATAATAATAAAAAGAATTATTGTACCAGTTGAATAGCGTATAATAGATAAAAATACACATGAATGTGAAGAAGTGACTGTTATTGAGGGAGCGAGAAGGTGAGGGAGGGCTGGGGTGGGGGGGGGTATGGCTCAACTGAACCCGCTCCTATGGTCAACTTACCCCATACACAGGATAAGTTGACCATAGGAGACCACTTTTTTTTTTGCATGCTATATATTAGTGATCCGAAATATGAAAAATGGCTCACCTTACTTACTTACTTACTTATGGTTTGTTCGGTACTCATGTTGAGAGAAGAACTCTACATTCCTTTATACACACTCTTTAACTCTTCAGGAATGCACATGATCACTTAAAGTCTGTTTAGACTTGTTGGGTTTAAAACCACAGCTGTCTACTGCACTCCCTTTAAGGACATATTTTTTAGGTTTCACAGTAAAAAAGATTCTTTGTAAACTCTATTGCTGGTTGTCACTCAAAGTTTCAAGTCAAACAGAAGTTACCTCTTTTCTTCAGCGCTGGCATTACAGAGGTATTTTTAGAGTTTTAAGGCGGACTATCTCACTCCCTGAGTTCCTTCGAGAGTCACAACTTCACACAGACATGCTAAAGGTGGATTATGAATAATTAGCACCGCATTAGAGACACCAGAGTATTAAATATATCTTTTTTGAGCGAATGAACGACTCTTAAGGAGGGGTTACAGAAGGCTGCAGAACAACTGGGCCACATTAAAAATGGGGGTTGGGGAAAGTTTAATTGGGATGTTGGGGCCTGAGTGTGCTCTGCTGCTCTTGGTTGTCTTATTTATGGAGGAACATGATACAAAAACAGACTTTCTTTTGAGCCCACTGCTAATATGAGAGCAAAGCTTTGAAGTGCTGTGGAGTGCAGACATTCACATCCTGTAAATAATATAACCCTCATCCAGATCTTTTTGGTATTTAACTTCAGAAGAAACAGAAAGCTGTTCCTGACCCTCACCTCTCTATCTCAGACACACACACACACACACACACACACACACACACACACACACACACACACTCCACCACACGCAGACATACCTGCAAGCCTCACATAATTATGTACGAGACAAAACAGAACACAAGCACATACAGGTTTTATTGCCCTAAAGGCTCAAAGTTTAAGTGCCAATATTTCCTTCACCTTGGTTGAGAGAGTGGGTGGAGATTCCTCAACATAAAAACAAAGACTTCATAAATCTACCGCAAGGATACTTACAACCACACTCAACTCTATCTAAAGACAGAGGGAGCAGAAAGGAAAAACACAAGACAAATAGAAACTACTAATTTCAAACTGGTAAAATGCTGTTTAATTAAAGTGTAAAAAATAACTTGTATCCACATACAGCTGCTCTTTTAGTCAGGCATGAAGCCAGCAGCTGAATGTGGGTGAAAACTCAGATTGGAGGTGGGAGCACAGAGGTCAAACTTGGTCAATGTACTGCTGAACTTCATGGACTTACTTTTATCTTCCAAAGGCTCTCCACTGCAAAATATCAGAACTACACAAGTGGTTCTGACTTCATTGAGTAAAGAAATATATGTTGTATTGTACCTAACACACACCATGCTCAAATTCATATGTGTCATGTTTTAAACCATAAATTAAGGCTTTACTTTCTTGTGTTAAGTAAAAAAGATACACCGGTAGAATAAGCAAAACTAACCTTTGAAGTTTCTTGAATTAAAGGTACAGAGAGCAGCATTTAGTGGATCATATTTGGTATGGAACAGAAAATAATATTCATAAACAAATTGGTTTGTTATCACCTTAATATGAAAAGCTTTTTGTTTTTGCTAACTTTTTGCGCCTGTATCATCGTAGCGTCTTGAATGGCCACTGTTGCTACATTAACAAGAGGAATGAGCAGGGAACATTTTAAGTCTAGATACTGACTACTAAACATCCCCATTTCTACACACTGTATCTTTAAGACATAGAACCTGAAAGTAAGTTTTGCTCACCTCATTGGCAGATCTTTTTTACTCGTACAAGCAGTACAAGCCTTCATATGGCTCTCAATGTCTTGGAAAAGGCATCTATGTGGCTTTTTTAGGGATTATGTCTTTTGTTAAGATATGCTTACGTGAAATCCAATAAGAGCTTTTTTTACAAGACATAGTAAGAGCAAGAAAGGATGTGTCACTGCTCACTAATCCAATCAGGAATCTGCCTTTTTGTGGGGCTAGCTTGCTTGCTTGTTTGTGTGAGTCTTTGGTCATGGAGACACGGAGGGGGACGAGTAGGTCAACAACCCAATTATTCTATCAGTCTGGAGAAACAACTGGACTAAAACCAGCGTTCACAAATAATAACATTTGGTCAAAATAAACGGTATTTCAACAAACCAACACATCTCACCTTGATGGCATAGTTGACTAGTGGGTCCTTGGCGTAGGAGGCTGTGTAGTAAACAGCATCCCCTGCCTCACAGCAGGGTTTCCCTGTGGTCAGTCTGAAGTGAGACCAGCTGTCTGTACCAAATCTCAAGTGATCCTTCTGGCCGGCCATGAACCGGTCTTCACACTTTGTCGCCAGCTTTCGCAGTGTGTCGGTGTGAAGCCCCCGGATCCTTCCCACCACCTCATCCCAGCTGTCCAATCCCCTGTAAAGAGCAGGTCTGTGAGCCTTGGAGCCCCCTCCTCCTCCTCCTGCAGCAGCACCTCGACCCGTTGTCCGACCCCTTCCAGCTAAAGACTCTGTGCTTGGGTAGACCCTCCTCTCTCTACCTGCAGTGGTGCTGGAGGCAGCTGATCCAGGTTGGGAAACCAGAGAGGACAGGCTGTTAGTGGGGCGGCCTTTGTTGGCAGGTGTAGCAGCTGAGGGTCTCTCTAAGGAGTCTCCACTCTCGTGGTCATGAGCTCGATGAGGCTCAGAGCTCAGAGAGGAGCTCTGACTGGCCGTCTCCCAGTCCAAGTCGTACAGAGGGTTGGCCACACTCAGGTTGGTGCCCCCAGGTTTAGCCTCTGCTCGAGGTCTCAGGGCTCCTTGGTGTGGCTCTCTGCTTCCAAGGTTGGGTTCAGCACAGGGACGAGGTACACCCTTCTTGGGAAGCGGTGGGGGTGTGGCCTTAGGGACAGGCTGCTCAGCGAGGTTGTCCAGGTCGATGGAGGCCAGGGTGTCGTTGGATGCTTTGATGTTTCGAGGTTGTTTGAGTGGGATCATGTTGGCTCTGGATTGACCTGGATAAAGAAAAAATGAGTCAGCATTAATAAATCCTTTTAAATCATAATTATGGGTCATATAAAAGTGGGTGGCAGTTGCAATAAAAATACTGAACAGCTTAAAAAGTTGAACCAAATACATTACAGTAAATACTATGATGGGATATCAGAAGATTGCAGAAAACTGCATTAATGCACCATTTCACTTCTTTCTGTATCCACTTGTGTTAAAAGCCACTTTGTACTCCACTATTTTACTACTTCAGTTCCTTCATTGCAGACTGGGATTTGACGTGACTTCAGGTTATGTTAATCTAAGAAACTATGTTTCCGTGAAAGACAACATCAGCCACAAAATGCTGGGATTCTGTCTCTGAAAAAGGCATCATCTGGATGTCCAGTCTGAGGTCCATTCATATCAAATAACTAAGAGGTTTTTAAGTATCTGAAGTTTTTGTTCCCAGTATATCTCTTTAAGAACTAGTCAACAAACACAGTAAAGAGGACTGTTTTGATTTAGTTGCTGCACGTTTGTCTGGACTTGATCTGTTATAACTAGTTAATAGATCATAAGTAAACTGTTAATTCTCGAGTTATAAATGACTTGTTCAGTGTTTAGCAGTTTAAGGATTTATAATGAAACCTAACAGAGTTAATATATCATCAATAAACTGTTAGTTGATAAGTTATAAATGACTTGTTAACTGTGTGTTTATGATGTATAACTATGCCTTTTAATTAGTAACAGATCATGAACAAGCTATTAGTAAATCACTTACTACTGACTTGTTAAGTATCAGTTAATAGTTAACATATCTTATTGGGACGTTATTAGTTGCAACTATTCCTCATTTATTAACTGTTAGTAAATGAGGAACAGTTGCAACTTTGGAATAACGTCCCAATAACATGTATAAACATAAATAAACTATTAACTGATACTTACCAAGTCATTAGTAAGTAATTTACTAATAGCTTGTTCATGATCTATAACTAATTAAATATATATCATTACAATACAGCTAACAAGTCATTTATAACTCATTAACTAACAGTTTATTTATGATATATTAACTATCTATAAGGTTTCATTATGAATCTTTAACAAACTGTTAAACACTTATCAAGTCATTAATAACTCATTAATTAACAGTTTACTAATTATCTATGATGGATAGTTATAATAAAGTGTTGCCAAAGGTCCTTCATGTACTTTCACCTGTCAAGACCGGTTCCTATGGTCTGGTAGACAGGGGGATGTGAAAAAGGCTAATAATATGAAAAAACATGATTTACTGTCATAAGTGGGAGAGGGACTATTCTGAAGCTGTAGGAGCTGTGGGGGTTAAAAAAAACACAGCAAAATAATTGTTACACACTTTTCCACCATCAGTATCGTCCAAGCTCCTTGATTCTCCCACGTCATTTCCAGCCGCCCACTGGCTGGCTGCCTCTCATGAATCTGAGTGGCTGACACAAGGTTGAGTGTTGCAGCACGTGCTGGAGCCAGTGGCCCCGAGGAGAATTCAATCCAGAACAGCAGGACAGCTGGATGCAAGTTTTCCCCTTCACCATCCAGCTGCCCGGCTCAATCTGCAGCTCTCGTCTTAAAGAGGCAGCATGGAGAGCACTTTTATCAGCGGCTCCAAGTGACCTTATTTTTCTGGGATGGCGGTGGGAGGGAAGTGGAGAGCTGAGGGGTTGATTGGACTCACTGGATGTCCTCTGGAGTTGAGGACCACTGAGGCAGACGGGTCACAGACACGTGTCTGATAAGATGAAAGGGGCAGAGGTGTCTCTCCACTTGCAGGATGGGAATGAAACAGTCTGCTAGATTTATGAGAGTGGGTGTGTGTGGTCAAAGACAACTTCCCTGCACATCTTTCAACTCACCAGGGAACACCCTGGTTTCCTTGAGGATAACCATGAGCGGCTGCTGAGTGTTACATGATGCCACCCTTTAAAGTCACATCTAACACCGTTCGCCCTCCCTGTGGTAGACTCATCTGCTCGTACAAACCGTTTCTCTTCGCAAAGTCCCAATGCCTCTGATTACAAATTCTACTTAAACAGCATGAGTAACCCCTCATGAGTGTGTTCGCTGCAGTCATCTTGGGAAAGCAGAAGAAGCCTTAAGAGAGAGCAGTTAGGATAAAGTAAATGAGTCTTGGTAATCCTCCCTAGAACGGCTGTATTTAATGTGTTCCTCCCCGATCTGCAGTAATCCACCCAGGAAAACAAGCGTCTCGCTCGTCTAGTTGTTGAAATCTTGTGTTGCAGCAATGTGGCTCTGACTTAACTAAATTACATAACACCAAATCAGTGATTTACACTTCAAAATCAATATGACTCTGCATAGTATTTAAAATTTAATGATGAGATTTCTGCAAAGAAGGATTAAAAAATTCCTTCATGGAATATGAGAACAACTAGGCAGCAACCAAAACTTGAATCATCTCTTTTTCTCGGCAAAAAATTTAACATTTTGTCTGCAGATAAAATAAAATATAAAGGGGGAAATAAAAATGCCGTCATCCTAAATCTAATTTTCTCCTTTTATCAGATAAAATGCTGTTACGTCAGTGTTAAAAAGTTACAATAACCACTATTTTTACAGACTTCCTCTGCCTGGCTTTGATTTGTTTCACTGTATAAAAGAAAAACACAACTCTTCTCTTATCTCACGTAAAAGACTGGATGTTCATATCAAACTCTTTTATGTGCTTATTCCCAATCTGGACACATGTAAACTATTACAAAGATCAAACAAGAAAGCACAAGAAAAGCTGATATCTTCTCTTCATTGAGGGACAATCCAGCTATAATGCTCTCAAATTGAATAAAAGTGACTTAATGATTACTTCTCCTTCCCATCAATAAAAACAAACACATAAACTCTATTACAAAACTCCAACAAGGTAATTATTTTACAAATCAACAGATCAATAATCTTTAACTTGAGTTTAAAAGAGATGAAGGAACTTGTTGCCGCAGCTGAGTGATTACTGTTCAGCATCGTGCTGCACCAAAAACTAACTGTAACAAGAGGAGGCGATGGAGGAGGTGGGTAGAATAAAGAGAAACAGAGGAGAGGAATGAAGCGAGAGCAGAGGAGTGGGTGGCTAAAGGTGGTAAAAGTGAGGGATTCAATCGAGGAAAGAAAATGAAAGGAGGTGAGGGGGTGAGCGGGAGAGGTAAACAAGGGATGGGATGATGAAAGAGACAAATACAGAGACGTGAGGAGGAAAAACGAGAGAAAACAAGCCTACCTCAATTCCACTAATGCCTCAAAGTTTTCAGGTGAACGCAGTGCAGCAGCTGTGCAGGGAGGCAGAGTGAAACGCTTTGCTCTGCTTCCATCTCTGGGAGTTTGTGCGGAGCCGCTGGTGCCAACAGGCAGGCTCAGCGCTCGCACCAATACTGGAGATTTCAGTGAGTGAGGCAGCAAGTGCTCTGCCTCCTACTGCCTGCTGATGCTCTGATTAAAATCCTAATGTGTGTGTGTGTGTGTGTGTGTGTGTGTGTGTGTGTGTGTGTGTGTACTGTACATACAGACGGTGAGACAGAGCAACTATATCTGCCAAGTGAACATGATTCTTGGGGATAATACTGGAGCTAAATGTGGACAGCAGTGAGAGTGAAGGCAAATCATTAGTTTTTTTTTTTACGTCTGACATCAAAGTACAAAAAAACATCATGTAACATCAAATACACAACATACTTAATGGCTCGAAGGCCTAAATCTACCCCTCGAACTAAAACACTGTAAAAATAAATGTAATCTTCTGCCTCATTATTAGCTCTCAGCAGAGATAAATGAGGCTGCAGAAGCTCCTCATGCATCACCAAGGGAGCTTTAACACATTCACAATTATCCATCCACAGAGCCGGTGTGTAAACCTTCGCTCCAAACACACACAAAATGGGTATGCAGTTTGCAAATACTGCTGAAAACAACCTTGTTAGCGCAAGAATGACAAACACAAACCAGCACTCTCTCTGATGAATCCTTTAACAAGACAGACCCACCCACACACCGTTTTAACTCCAGTGAATCAGGAACACAAACAAATGTGTTACGCACACTGGTGCATCTGCTCCACAAACCCACAATGTCAACCTTTCTATCATCACAGTGAGCTTCCTCCTCCTAGCCCACACGCACACAGATTCATGTTGTAGGTGCCCAGCTACGTTTGATGGCTGTGCCTCCCTCTCTCATCCTGCTCTCTGTTGTGGTCACAGTTCTTCCTCCAGCAAATCTGTCAACTAGTTACAAACCAACTTCATGTTGGGAAGTGTAACAGAAGATGGGCATTATTATGAGACTAGATAGGCCATGTTGCTCTCAGTAAAGAGAGATGAAAGAATGGCATTGGTTGAAATAAATAATGCATCCACTGGCACAGCTGTCTCCCTCCAAATCTTCATTTTCAAACCAGAGTCCGAAATTAACTTTGTGACTCGATGCTCTTCATCACCCTCCCCAAAATTATGAGTGCCTTTTGATAAAGCACATTTTACCGAGACAGTAAGATCATAAGTTGAATTTGAAAAGGGATCTCATCTTCTTATATCTACAGATTTGAGTTTTAATTAGCGATACTCCTCATCCATTACTTTTCTTTCTGGAATTCCACATCAAGTATGAATTTCATGGTTTATTGCTCACATGGCTGGTAGAGTCGCTGTTCTGAATTCACATGTATTGATAATATTTTGAAGAATATACAACTTTGGTAACAGTGTTGCGTAATATGACCCCTACTTTCTTTGTTCCTCACAAAAACTTTAATCTGTTTATTATTATGCTTCGTGTCCCAGGAAAAAAGTGAAATTAAACTTATTTTGATAATAGAAATATAAAAAGATTGCATGCTGCTGTTTCCAAGCCTTTGTCTGTACATACAGGTTGCTGCAGTGTAGCTTGTCTAATGTAATATTTTGTAAAGCAGCAACAAGGAGGGATGAGAGTGATACTAGTGTTTTTTGAGGTATTGAATTCTCCAGAAAGAAAGGATTTAAGGAAATACATCTCTCTCTCTCTCTCTGAGGCTATTTTAATATCAGTCTTGACCTTCTACCCGTGTGAGGTTTATTATGAAACAGATAACAGGGACAGAAACTCACAAACCTCAGGAAATCTCAGGTAAACAAAAGTTTTTTTTGTTCCCTCCAAGGAGCCTTTCCTATCACATCTATGCAGTTGAGTTTTGTGAGAATGGGTCACAAGCCTAAAAGTGAATAATTCATGTAAAAGAGGTCCGAGAGACTCTCAGATCTTCTTTCCAAACTTGACTTGAGCAATGCGGTGTCAGACCATCAGACCATCAGACCATTAGGACCGTTTCCAGACAGGGTAATAATTAGTGTCAAAGAGAATAAAAAGATAAAAGCTTCGAGTGCTGCGGTCAGCACTGCTCTGCATGTCCCTGTGATTTTGTTATCGTGGTCCTGTTCGCAAATCTACATATTAAAATTGGTTTTCACAACACTGCAAAGGAAATGAGGCAAAAGAAAAAAAAGAAAACAATTCAGGTGAAAACAGAAGGTTAATCAGTTGATTTATGTCGGTGTGACACCCGCAATATAATCCTGCAGGTCTAACAAAATCACTTCCTTATGAGAAATGGCCACAGCCAGACAGCGACAGGAGCAGCTCCACAACTAAGAGAACTTACCACCTTAAGGAAAAGCTTTGCACTTGTGCTGCAATAACATGTTATTAAGTTGTTCTGGATCCTAAGTTGCAGGCTGAGGGTGACGGAATGTGTCAAGATTTGAAGCACGAGCTGTTTTTAGCGAGGAATAAATTATACCTTGTTGTCACATGAAAAGGCGTGTTGATGCTGGGGAAAAGTCAAATCAGCCGTTTAAAGAGGAAGTGAAATACTGTCAATCTGGCACTGACCCCAGAACAGAACCTTTGTGCAGACAAACGATACTATAATAAACCATAATTAAATCTCTTTTTGTATTTTTACTAGTATGTTTTACCCCCCCCCCCAACTGCATTATAACCGTTATTAATGTATGCCTTATACGCATGCTTAATAACGAACTTTATAAGTGATAAGTACCATTTATAGTGACTTTAAGACATGTTTATGAAGTGTAACACATTTATGCAAAACTTACCTTTTATAACATATTAACTCCAACAACTTTATCCAGCCAGAAAACTTGATAGAGAACTTATTCAGTGTATCATACAGTTTTATAATTTCTATGTGGTGAAATTAAAAATATATTATTAAATAATAGATGAGCTGTTTCGGAGGAGAATAATATTAGCTGTTAGATAATCCTGTCCTCTTTGATTATTAGCAAACAGGGCATTTTTCCATCTTTGGACTGATTTTTTTATTACAATTTACAAATTTTTGTCTCATCCATTTCCATTTTTTCAAACACTTTTTGAAAGCCCTAGTACACAAAATTTGTAAAAAATTGAATTGCACAAGTAATACCAGACTGAACTGATATCTTGTCGGCAACAGCCAGGAGAAAGTCATTAAAAGTCTGCAGATTTTGTGGTGTCACTACTTTCATACACAGGATGATAAAGTAATATTTCAGGTATATGTTTAAAGCTCAATGTGAGGCACTTGAAGTTAAAGTACACAAGGATACATCAGAGCAAGAAATCCTCTTGTTTTTATGACTCTTACCCAGGTTGCTGTACGTGGCGCTGCATTGGCTGGAGGCTGTAGAGTGGGAGTGATGGGAGTTATTCCCGTCCTCCTCCTCTGGCTCTCCGAGGCTGGCGCTGCCCTCGCTGGCCGAGGCCGGTGTTGTACCCTGGTTGGCATGTCGTTCATCCCCCTCCCCGAGCACAAGCCCCAGATTCACTTTGGCAGGCAGGGAGGCAGCACTGGGCAACTCTCGGTCCCTGGCATTGCTAGCACTGACCGGTACCTGGCTGCAGATGAGAAGAGAGAGAGAGATGAGTGGCATGCTTAATGATGAAACCATAGACAAATGCACTTTTAAAAGTATGTTTTTGCTTTTCTATAAACCATTTTAATATTTGTTTTTACTGCCTTTAGTCAGTCATTAATTTTTTGGAAGTCAAGGTTAGAAAACATGTAGAGCGAGAAGCTGAAAATGGGCCCCATTGTAGAAACAGCAGATGATAAAGGAGCTGCTAATGAAAAGAGCTTTAATGCGTCATTATTCATTTTGACTGTGATGTAGATCCATTACCACAAGAAGAGGACAAAACATGAACCATAATATTTTCATCTTATCGAGCCAGTTGTCTGAATTCAATCTGAATCTCTTCACTGACTCACTTCTCTCCTCTCATTTCAATCTGTATCCCTCCATTGACTCCCTCCTTTCTACTTTTTTTAATCTGAATCCCTCCATTGAATCACTAGTGTCTTCCCTAAAAGTGTTGGACTAGAGCCAGCACAGCTTGAAGTGGAAGTTTTTAAAGCCTGATGTGTGTCTAATAAAACTACAAAACCCACTGCTGGAGGGAAGGTGGAAGAAAAAGGCAGAGGAGGTCAAAATAGCACGTGACATGATGTCTCAAAGCACAATCTGTCAAAGTAAGAGGCTATAAGGGTTACACTCTGGGATTATAAGGAGTCTTTTTAAATCAGATGGAAGCAAAACAACTTAAATCTGCAACATGAATGCCAACTGTCACCTCACAAATGAGTACAATGAGGTGTGGCATAAAAACAACGCTGCTTCTCCTCTAAATGATTTGTTCTGCTTTGTGTTTGTCTAACACTGCTGTTCAGACATTCAAGGTCCTTATTACAACATGTCTTCTAACTCATAATGAACCGACACTGGCACAAATGAGTTGTGGCCACTAGAAATCTGGGTCATATTTAACAGTTACTCAGGGTGTGTTAACACTCCAGACAGTGACTCCAATCACACTGTGAAAGCCCCAGGGAGGCTATGAAGAGACTTGTCATACGCTGTGGCCCGTCCTGCCAGAGATGTGGGGAACTGTGCGGGCGGTCTGTCACATATGCGTCTTCCGAAGAAAGTGACACGACCACAATTGGCCACGGGTCTGAATTCATCTTACTTTTATTACAATATAGAGCAAAAATAAATGCTTCCTGACATGGCTGACATGGTTTCAAACCAGTTTGTATTTAGCATTACCATGTGAGGATTCTGACCCAACAGAAGTGTTTGTAGAGCCAGTGATGTGCCAACAAAAGGCTGGGAAGAAAAGGGAGACTGCCAGAGAGTAATAACACAGGTTTAAAATATTTGTAAAAACAACCTGGAGGAAAGAAATGCTATCAATTTAAGAAAAAAAAAACCTTTGTGAATCTTTAAATGCAGATCCAAAATATTCACTTTAACACGTCCATCACCTTTCTCATTATCAGAGGCTGAGAATGTCCCAGCCATGGAGAAACACTTCTTTTGTACAACTGGTGAACTTCATTGGAAAACAGTAGAGGCAAAAAGCTTTCTCACATAATCCTAAAAAGATTTAATCTCACTCATGAGTGATAATATCTTAAACTTCTGGATGCTAACAGTAAAAGCTACAGTAACATTTACACCAGACTCATGTAATTCAAACTAATATTTGACCGTCTTTAAACATTTGGTGCTAAAAACCGAAAGAGCCTATGATATCAAGTAAAATTTTGACACAGCCCTTTATCACAAACAATTGACAGAGACGTCCATACTGAAAAATAAAGCATACATGGACACCCTGGAGTGAGTTAAAGTCAAAGATGCCTGTTAGCAACCAAAAGATACCAAACACAAGAGACATAAGGACTTCACTTTGCTTTTGTTTAAACAGTCTTTCCATGTAATCTAAGTGAACTGAAACTTTGAAATAAAGATCTCACTGTGCAAAACACCTCAGAGACGGGAGAGGCTTTTGCAGAGACATTATAGACTTGATGAAACTTACAGACCACAGGATTGTAAAATACCATATCTGGAGCATGTCTGAACCCCAACTGTGGCACTACCAGAATACTGAGTTAGGATGCTTTTCAACAGTATGACTGGTGCTGTGTTTTTAATGTCACATAGCAAGTTTCTGATGGTAGCAAAACACAATATTCTAACTATTTCTGGGTTCTTAGAGTTTTGGCACAATGCTATTTAACTCTCTGTTTCTAACTCTCTTATGCCGAGGTTTAATGAGGAGTCCCCTGACATCACTCTCCTCTCGTCATCACAGTAAATAAGATCCTCAAAGTGATCCCCTGACCGACCTTTTATCAGATAAGAGCTCAGCCTTGGTCTTACAATGTGACCTGTGTGAGACAGTTCAACCTCAGACCACCTGGGCTGTGACCACCCAGGTTAGGTGACATTTGAAATTGCAGTAGACTTTGACTCCCATTGTACAGCAAAACAGCTTGTGGTTGGCTATAGTATGTTTACCATTGTGGCATTGATAATTTTGTGGACTTCTATAAATTTTTGTCACAAAAAAAAAAAGGTCACAAAGAGTTCACAGAGACAGTCTTGTTTGTAATATCCAGATATCAGATGTGTCACTTCTAACAGGAATTGTGACTAAACCTGTCGCTGGTATGACAAACCATATGATCATTGGTAGTCCCAGTCATGAAAGAGCAGAGTTTGACTAATTAAAGAGGTCTTTCTTTGACTGATTGTTTAAAGCTTGTAGCACATTTATCAGTCAAATTGTATTCATAGAAAAAGCACAAGACTGAAGTTAGTATAGCCATGATACTGATCTATAACCACTCTTTTTGCCCCCGCTGTTAATGCACTAACACTTGTCAGTGAGTATCTACAATAGGTGTAATGTTTTTCTGAGGAGCACACAGGGTACTGCCATATTGTTCTCACGACATGGTAGAATAACAAGCAATGGAAGATAACACAGAGCTGCTCATGTGTCTGTCTCTACCCCCGGGGCACTGCGTCTGAGCCGAGCATCTGATCTGATGTGTTTATGATCTGTCTTCATGGAGCGAAAGCCCTCTGTGTCTCTTTAACAGCCAGCTGATCAATAGACTCTGAGCTGCCACAGTGCATTACTTTAGTACTTGCTGGTAGTTGAAAGTTGATAAAAAAGGACCATTGTTGTTCCAAAGCAAAACTGCACCCTTACACAACACACGGTAAAGTGTTTTTAAATACAGCTTCAAAATATTAATGTTCAAAGTCCAACTAGTGTAATTTAACTCCGTTTCCTCTTCTTCTCTTCCCTGTTTTCTCTCCATGTGAACATATGTCACTTTACAGTTCTGGTTTCTGCTACCTAGAAGTACTGCACTTTATCCCCCACAACAGTAAAAACAACAATCCCTTACAAAACCAAACTTTGAGTACTTAAATGCCAGCCAAAGCTCACCCAAAATGGCACACAGTCAAAAAGAAGATTATCTCCGGCACTTAATCCTGCATGAACAAAACATCCAATGTTCATACACTCCTTGAGAGGCCCTTGACACAATAAATACCTTTATGGCTGCTACACGCTTCAATGTCAGGACCTGACTTGTTTGAACAGCAATGATCTGCCCAAGTGCATCTCACCTCAAACCTCTGCTGCATGAAATGAACACGCTTTGGTAAAGAAAACTCAACCCACCACATTTCAAAGACTCTTCTCTAACAACTGTAAGTCTTCAAATGGCCTGGAAGTCACAGATTACACAGAAGCAAGTGGAAGAAAAAAGGTTCAAGTTCTTACCCACTGTACTGGCTCACACAGCTTCCCATCTGGAAAGCTTGGATATAAAATTACGATAGATTCACATTCTGGGTAGAGGAGAAATTACAGGCATGTCAGCTGTGAAGAAAAAAAGCCTTTCTCTGCAGAAGTTCCTTCCTCGTCTCTCTCTTTAAACGTCCTTACCTGTCTCAGGTAATGTGTGTTTGCCAGAGTTGGAGTACACGCCCTCTGTTAGCCAATAAAATGGCTTCAGTCAGAAAAAAAGGTCTGCAGAGTTAACCCTTCATCTGCCAATGAAAACAAACCACACCAGCCTGAATGACCAATTACCTGTTAGTCTGTTTGCACATGGAGCGTCCAGATTTTTTGGGGGTATTTGTAACATATAAGTCATCTGTCAGCAACAGCAGCTTAGTTAAGCAACCGGTTATAAAAAAAATACAAATGCAATAAATTTGTTAAAGATAACTCAGGCACCACGGGAGGGAACTAGCTAGTTTTGTTATAACCCAAGACCACATTCCAATTCCTGTAGCTAAGCATCACGTAGACTGTGGAGTAACACTGTAAGCTGCGGCCAACACACAGCGATTATAATGTAGTTACTCATTTACAAGTTCACAGTGAATGCTGTAAACAGAAGGGTCATAAAAATGTTTGAGAAGGCAGACTATGATTTCGATTTCTATATGAATACGTCAAAATACTCCAAAAGTTAACTTCTGTAACTGCTTCAGCTATTATGAGGGATGTTTCTTGGGAACAAATTAAAACATCAATATTTTTGGGTTATAAAACTAAAGATAACAGCTGTTCAGTATTTCCATAATGAGCCAGATGTTTATCCTTATGTTCATTGCTCACGAGAAATAGCTGACACATCAAGTATGAGGAATACTGTTTTACTTGATCTTTATTGGTAACTCCAGCTCTAGACTCTTACGTTTGCTTTTATCAGGACAAAAAAGCTACAGTGTCGTTAGTTGCAGCATAATCTGTTAAGTGTAGAGGACACGGAGGAAGCACAGGCTTCATTGTTCTTCATAGAGAAATCCATCATCCTCTTTGTTCATTAGGTGGGAACACCAGCTTTGCTCAGACTAATGACCTGTATATTTTATCACCAGACTATCAAACAACAAACTGGGGCCTCTATGAAACATTCTCAAATATATACTCCATTTTAGCCTGGCATTAACTGGACCACATAATAAAGACTCAAAAACTACAGAGTACTTGGTTCTCATTTCTTTTGTAATTAAGGAAGAGGAGAAACTGAAAACTTGTGAAGAGAAAGAAAAGATGACTCGAGCTGAAGCTTGAAGAGGTGAGAAGAAGCAGTGAAATTAGAAAAGAGACAGAATGGGGCCAAGCTCCTGACAGGATGGAGGAGAGAAAAATACAAGAATTCACAGTGCTCAAGGCTCAAATGGAGAGAAATGTGAGGGAAGGAAAGACAGAAGGAAGAGCCAAATTTACCTGAAAAAGAGGGTGTGATGTAGAGAGCCAAAATCTTTAAACAAACTAGAGGATGTGAATGAAATAAGGGTGGAAGGAATATTATGAGAGATGAGAAGGAACAGACAGGGGCAGAGTGGAAGCCAAAATATTAAAAAATAACATGATAAAGATGTGGAAAAAACAGGGATTAGGGCTATAAACACTTCCCTTTCAAGTCCGTAGGCCTGGCTGCATTCTTTCATACCTACATCTAAAATAAGTGGTATTTCATATTACTTATATTTCATCTAAATTGTTGAAGCCCAACAGTGCCAGCACATTGTTATTGTCAGTCCCTAAACTTTATTTCTTCCTCATTTCTTCACACAAGGAAACTTAACTTCTAAACCGTCAGATTTAATGACAATTGTCTCTTTAGGTCCCCTTCCCCTCCACTCTACTTCATTGAGGCTTAAACAATACCACACTTTCTCCCCATAGTCTATCAGTGTCAGAGGTTCATGGCAGTACAAAGTTATTTTTGTCCTTGTGATATTGTGAAAATGACAACATCGTTACATATCTAATGTGTAATTAATCATAATCAGGTGTAGAATTGGTTTAACTGACGTTTATGGCCTGACTCCACCACATTGTTGATTTCTTGCTTAGCCACAAAAATAGCCATCTAGGGACTTCTTAACACCAAAAAATAGTAAACAATGTCATTGAGAGTATATCTACGTTATATCTATGAGCTCCACAGGGTCTATATTGAGAGGTTGGTTTCCATTACGTTGTTGCATAGGTGTTACATACAGACAAACTATCACTAAAAGTAACAGGAGTCAATTCAGCTGATATCATTCAAAAGAAGTTACGAAGCAGCACTTCCAGTTGAAGCTATCCTGATAAATAAGCCTTTGTTTGACTACCGTCCACCTGACTGATTATTATCTTTGAGCACTTCTGCTTCTGCTGAACTCCACTTCATAGAAAAAAACAGCCTTACTCTGCACTTGCAAACTCATGATTTGATGCAGAAAACACTGCATATCAGGCACATCTGGGTTATCTTTATGTGGCACTGTCAGTCCCACTGCAGGAACCTTATTACAAAGCAGGTCAAAGACAAAAAAAAAAAGTAGATTGATTATAATAAATGTGTGTGTTTGATAGTGGGGATGCAACTTGAGAGGCTAAAGTGATATGCCAGCTGTGATTAATGAAGTAAAGGTTGGTTGAACTGTTGTTGGGTGACTATTAACACACTGGAGTCCCTGTCTAAAAAGAGGACAGCTGAGAGAGAGCCTGCTGTTCAGGTAATAGATGACATTAGCAAGGATGCCACATATACTGTACAACCCACCCTCGCTGGCTGGGCGAGTGTGCGAGCAGACATGGCAAATTGAGATCAAACACCTCTGGAATATGTGATGAGAAATATGTGTGATAGGTGGAGAAGTACCCCTGGTGCTTTGGAGGAGCAGCAGCAGACAAAGGTTTGAGAATCCTAATTTAAAGCTAGGTCGCATGAATGCTCTGAAGGGAATGCTTGTGGATAATGGTACAGGGCAGCGCTGCATGCAAAATTATTCATTAGACCTGCAAGAGAGGATTTAGGAGGACTGTGCAAACTTTGATAGAACATTAGAAATCCAACTTAAAGCTTCCAAGACAAAGGCATATTCAAATTTTGGTGCTTGAATTAACAATCATATGTTAAAAATTCTTTCGTACAGCTTCTCATTGTAGGTCTGAGACACTCCAGGACTGAAGTGGCAGAATAAATGCATTTGTGTTAAAGAGCTGCAATCCCACAGGTCCTCCATCTCATCATCTTTGATCCTCATTAATCCTCATGAATAAAGAGAAGCTGGCTCTCACTCCGTTTGCAATCGGATGGAAAATACATGAGCAACCATTGAGTTCACCAAGAAAAAGGTCTTATTTTCTTTCTGGTTTCTTTTCTCTTTCTCTGATAGACAGATTGACTCCAATGTCAAACTTCTGATTACTTGAATAAAGAAGTTTGAGACAGTAAGAGAGTAAAAATATAGATAATCGAGGGAGCAGACTGAGATATACATGAGTTGTATGTGTGTTTATATTCCATACTATATTAGATAAAGTTTGAAATATGCAAATCAAATAAATACCTGATATCCTTGCCGATGATGTCACATCCTGTGGTGTGTGAGGCCGGTGTCTGCCCTGGGCTTGAAGGTCCGGTCTCCTTGCTCTCATCAGCTGCGCCGTCTTTGCACTCTTCTACTCGTAGTTCTCCTTCTCCAGGAGAACTGCTGCTCTCTGGTTTGTAGGTGAAGATGATGGTTGGTTTCTGGGTGGGATCCTCTGGTTTGGCCTCAGTAAACCAGTTATGATGTTGAACTGGTGGCGGTGGGAGAATGTGAATGACTGTTCCATCAATCCCAACAAGCTTGCCTTTCTCCTTCTCTCTCTCCGCCCTCTCTTTCTGCTCATCCTCGTCTTTCCGTCTGCGAAAAAAGCTCTTAAAGGAGATCCAGCGTTTAGGTTTAGCGCTATCTGCTGAAATGCGTCTCCCCTCTCCACTTGGACTTGTTTCGCCCTCAGTCGGTCTTGAGGGAGAACTGGAGGCAGAACTCTTGGTCCAGTTGCCAAAATGTCTCTGGAGGATATTGGTAGCATGGTAAGGGGAGGACGTTGATCTTGGAGGGGGGAAGGGGGCACTGGGCTCCGAACGGGGGCTGGAAAGTGGGACAGCAGCAGAGGCGCTCTGGGATTTAGACAAAACTTTAGAAGGTGTATCCTTCTTGGGCTTCGAAAGACAGCCATCAGTTGCAGAAAAAAGAGATTTGGGTCTCGTCAGGGTCTCCTTCATAGCATCAGGTGGGAGAGAATACAGCTCCTCGGAGCTGAGGGTTTTAGCTTGCGCTGAAGGTGTATCTGGAGGAGAATGGGGAGGCTGGATAGAGGCGACAATTTGTAAAAGCACAGCACTGGCCTCCTCTCTGTGGCTCCCCACTGTCCCAGAAGACAATGCTAAATCTGTGCTATCATTACTGCAAGGATCCTCACTTGTCTTGCAAGTGCGTGTAACAGAATTAGTGGTGGAGCTGGTTTTAGGGAGATTTGCAGCAATGGCAGGGGAGTTTGTTGATGCAGTAGGCGAGAGAGCCCCGACTGTGGAGCTCATCACAGTGCTTGTCACAGTGCTTGAGTCTGTAGTGGTTTTAGGCTGTAAAGTTGGAGCTTTCGACACTGCCTCAGGTGAAGCTTTTGTCTCTGCTAAAGAGGGTCTCTCTGATGTGCCTTTACCAGAGACACTTTTCTCTGTTGTGGAGGATTGAACACTTTCAGAGGATCCAATCTCTTCATAAGTATGGCTGGTTGCCCTACTACCCACACCTTTTGGCTGTGGCAGCTCCCCACTGACTCCCAAGAAGCTCTTGTACACAGCTAGGTTGTCATATGCACTTGGATTGATAACAATAGGTACTTTAACGGCATTTTTTGAGCTCCTAGCGTAAGCTGGCTCATCTCGGATGATGATAGGAAAAGGAGGCATACCTGCGTTATTGAAACTGTTGAACTTGATTTCAGATAAGTTGGGGGATTTTACAGGTACAGTTCGAGAGGAAGACAGCCCAGCAATGGGAGAAGTGGGAGCTGACTTGTGGCTGCAGTGTTGAGAAGGGAAGGAAGAGCCAGAATTACCCCCAGCCCCCAGCTCTACTTTGGGTATCTTTTGGCGAGGACTTGTGCTTGACGTCCACACTTCCTGGTACCTTATGCTTCCTGGTTTTTTCCGAGTGGGACCCGGAAGAGCTGCAGATGTGGGTGAAGTTGGCATTACTGAGGCAGCTGGAGACGCAGGGGTGGTTGGGGACAGGGGTTGACCTGAAGGGGTGCTACAGATTGATGTAGGGCTAGAGGGCATCGACAGGTTTTTGGGCTTTGCAGTAGCGTCTGAAGTTGGTTCATCTTTGTTGGTCATAGAAGCGGATACGTCCACAACAGTGTATGGCTTACAGATCAGTGACTTTTCTAAATTGACCACTCGATAGGGTTTGGCTTGTTCCTCTGTGGGACTAAAACTGATTGTGACTGGCTGACCTGGGAGAGCCTGGGGCATCGGCATTCCTTCCCTGCCATCTTGCTCCTCTAATCTGATGGCAAGGACAGCCTTGTGCGTTTCCGTCACCTTGAGTGGACTCAGTGCTCTGTGGACAGGCTCCTTTTTAGGTGAAGTGCAGGGTATCTGTGTCTTGGCTGTCGGTGAGTGCAAGCCATTTCTGAGAACACAAGGGGCACTGCTTCCACTGCTGGAAGTGGTTCGGGAATCTTCGGGAAGAGATGACGACGAATCTGGAGAAGTTGTAGACTCTGAGTTTGATATGAAACCACTGCCTTGCATATCATGAGTACCGTAGGGAAGAAGAGCACCGTTGGAGCCCATGGAGGGGTATCCGTTTAGGATCTCATCATAACTATCATCATAGTCCACTGCACAAATCCGCTGTAGCGAGCGGTTCCTCAGTGGGACAGTGTTCCACTTTTTTCCTGCAGCAAATGGAACAGGAGACAATGTAGCAGCACGAAAGTTTGCAAATCGTGGTTGGCCACGCATACGAATCTCCATAGCAAGTAACTCTTCATCACTTTCATCCCAGCTCTCATGTTCATCATCATCATCCCTCTCAGTGTCCTCCTCCTCCTCTTCCTCATCTTCCTCGTCATCTTCTCCCTCACTGGAAAACTCTGGGTAGCAAAAGCGACCACCCTCTGTGCTGATGATCTCTGTGCTATCGCTTAGAGATACCCTTTTTAGAGCTGTGCCACCACTGCCGGTGCTGCTACTCCCCATTGCCAGACAGCTTGATGCCGGAAGGCCTCTTTCCAAGGATCGACGGTATGAACTACTTATTCGTCCCCAGAACAAGTCCTTTGAACCAGTAAGGGGTGTGGGGCTAAGACCAGGGCCTAACCCAGCTATTTCTTTCAGAACATCTGTCAGTCCACTGCTGTTGTTGTTTCCAGTAGGGGTCCTGGGGCTGAGTTGCCCATACCCTTCAATCTCTTCGCTGACATCCTCTCCTTCATTGTTGTTGCTTGGCTCCCCTGGCCTCTTGCGGTTCAGTCCATTACGATTCCAGACCGTAAAGGCTGATGTTTTGCCCTGTTCTGTCACATTTGGTGGTCTTTGTGGGTTCCCATCTGAATCCAGTCCTGCAGAGGAGCAGGGCAACATCATAGTAGGTTTAACAGCAATAGTTGGTTTCTTAGCCACCGGTGGACGGAAGTGTCCTGAGCTTGCAGTCCCACTGCTGGCTCTCTGGGAGTTGTTCGGGTTCGCCCTGGCCCCTGCAGGAGGTGGATTCTGTTGCTGAGTTGTTGAAGGCCTCTGTTCGGAGGGAGGTTTCCTCCCACTACTTTGAGCCAGACAGTGCAGACTTTTGGGTTTAAAGCAGTTCTTGCACTCGCCTGGCTTCCACACGTGCTCTGTGAAGGTGCTGCAGGCGGACATGGCTGCTGGTCCGGTGAGGCAGCCAGCTGAGTCAGTGGACAGGAAACCCCTCCATGAAGCTACCAGCTACAGGAACTTACTGTACTGCGGCAATGGCGAATAATACGAGCCTCAGATTTGGGCGGAACTGGACCTGAAAGAGAGAAGAAGAGATAAAGGTAAATCAAACTTTAAAGAGAAACATTGAGTTTTTACTTCAAAACACAGTATTTATTGTACATACAAAATGTTGAAATGAGAAGTGAGAAAGGTTCACCCATGCAGGGACCAAATACTTGCTCAAATAGAAAATTAGACTATTATAAAATACGATTCGGTGATCACATGTATACTGTGAAAATGATACACTGGAGCCATAACACCATCCGTATGAGAAAGGATGTATTAAGAAGGTAGTTCAAAGTTGTCTCCATTAGGTGGCAAACTTTCTCTACATAGCAGCCCATCTATCAGAGGGGCAGAGTTAGTCTGCTGTTTCCTCAACTGGACATGGAAGGCTTGGGAGTCAGAGGGGCAGAAGTGAAGAGGATTAAGAGGGCTTATTTCTGGATTGCTGTTCCATGTTGTTGTCGGATGTTTCAGCCGAGCTTAGGTAAGATAGAGGTGCTGATTTATTGTCATTGAATCAGAACCTCAATGTCCCAAATCCTCAAAACAAGATCAGCAATAGGGAAAATGGAAATCTAAAGCGCTTCAGCTCAGTTTACATGCAGTTCAATCTGGCAAATGGCATGAAAGCAGAAACTTAGGTTTGAAGTAATGTATCAAAGTGGAAAAAGACAACAGCAAACCAAACTTGGTGGTTACTGGTGCTTGTGAATACATGGATCCATACCAGATGCTGTGCAGGTACAGGTCAGTAGGCTTATTTGATAAATAGTAAAAAAGTTGCAACACTGGGTGTGAATGTACTAACTGCTAAATTTAATCTGGAACATAAAGTGGATATTCTTGGAATTACAAAAAAGAAAAAGAAAAACAACTAAACATACTTTCATATTTCTTCACCTCTATCTTATAAGACAGCCGTTTATATATACAGCAAAAACTGTAAACATCAGATTACACACTACAAAGGTGACTGTCAAATCAAACACACACCAGAATTCCACTGGACGAACAGAAGTTGTTTGGTTCAATGAGTATTTGGTGTTCATTTAAATTCTTTCACATCTAAGTATCATCAAGAAGGAAAAGAGGGAGATTAAACCTTTTATGGACCGCTTGTAAAATCTGTTAAAGACCCATCTCAACATCGTTTGTGAATCTAATTGAGGTGGAAATAAAAAGAAAACTCCATCAGTATTTAGACTTGCTTCATTCAGATTGACCACTTTCACACACTCAATTTTAACAAGCTCTTAAAAACCACAAGTAACATCAGATCAAAGGATGGTAAGTGGAGGTTTGCTCAAATAAGTAGTTATAATGGTTCTAAGAACTGATGCCTCATATCACACGGGAATCATTATGTTACATAACCTTACTGCAGCTGAAGACAGCTCTGTGCAGGTCTCTCAAGGAGAGCATGATATTGTAATACAAAACCGCTAACTGTGAGGGACAATCGTAAAACCTTGAAAGTGAATAGGAAATGTACTCCTGAGCTCTTAACACACAGCAGGGCTCCTTAATTATAACCATTTTTTGCTGCATGTGCTCTGAAGATTTGGAAGCCCTGCTGTGAAAATAATTGATGTGGTATAACTTTTTTCCTCCCCTTCCTCTTTAAAGCATTGGTATCAACATTTCTCTTGTTTATTAATTTACTAGTGGCTTATTAGTAATGCATACTAAGTGGCACAGGGGTATGATGTGTGCCATTTGATCTCAGAAGTTGCAAATTCTGAGATGCCAGTCTGATACCTCATCCACACTGATCCCCTGAGGTCAGAAATCCAACCTTGAAACTCTGAGAAAAAGGAGTAACCCTGAGCCTGAAATCCATGATGGTCACTCCCTGTATCAACAGTATAATAGCTTCACTTCAGACACTGTGTATTAGCATTTTAGTCTTGTTTGTGTTATAAGAAAATGATCAGACTCTATAGTATTGTACAGACAATGTAACAAATGAAGTTGGTGAATGAGGTGAATGCTTACAGCTTGTGAAGTGGAGCTCATGTAATCATTTCATGTGTCACCGAGCGAGAGTCTTTGTGATGACTGTTAAAGGTGACCCATCTCCACTTTTTATCAAAACAGGCTGGGCTATGACTCACTGTGAGGCTGTTATCAACAGGGATGGGTACATCACTGTCCACATCCATCTAACAAGGTCAGGGGTGTCACATCCTGTACAGACGGATGTTACCATGACAACACCCTGTACCTGCCCAGGGTCAGACACAATAAGACAGGAACTCTTGAATCAAACTTTGCTGACTGAGCCGTGATGGGTGTTGGAAGATTTATCCAACCGCACCACACAGGCTGCATCCTCACAGGAAACTAAGCCTGTAATTCAAACAGCAAATCCTGACAGAGGCCTGAGCGGTACATATGGTTCGACACTTTATGGACTATTTTCTTCTTCAAAGACAATCCCACAAAGCAAAATTGATTCGTTTTTCATTCTTGAGGGATTCCCCCCCCCCCCCAGTTCTCATTAAAACACAACAAGAGAAGTAGAAGTCTTTGTTTTGCACAGCTGTAATGCAGCTGTAGCTTAAGTAGAAAAACAATCAGAAAGCAGATAAATTCGTTGGACATGAATATTTCAATAACTTTTTGCAGATGCAGGACAAGATGACGTGCTTTTTTAAGGTCAACACCAGACACTTTTAAATTAACATCATTTCCTTGCAGGCAGACAGCCGGAGGGTGGAAGAGATATATTTCCAAAGATAATAAAGCCTTTTGGTTGTGTTCACTTTCCTCAAAGCAGAAAGATGGAATTTTTAAAAAGTTTTTCCTAGTTTGAACTTCAGTGAGATAAATCTTTTTTTCCAACCTGAGTTTCTGATTACACTTTCAGAGTCGAGAAATTATAAAAATAAGTCACAAAGATCATTTCCTTCGGCAGAAACCCCATGTGGTGGATGTGACAGCATATTTTGCTTTCCTCTCAGCCCCCCATTAAAATTCTGCTTTTGTTTTGTTTGTGTTTTTACTTCCCTGCTGCTTCTTTTAGCCAGCAAAAATTACTTATATTTGGGTTTCTCATTAAGCCGGAGCCAAAAAGTAGTGCCATGTTGATCCTGATGAGACTCCACAACATTTAATGTGGGATGGCGGTTATGCCTTCGGGACACTGACAATCCAATTTTCCCGACAACCCCTTTATAAGGCATGAAGTCCCGTGTTTTTAGGTCACACAGCTTGCAATGCGGGACACTTCATTAAAATATGACACCACACATAAGAGGGGGAGACCTGTCTGAAACAAGCAAATCCCCTCTCTTATGTAATTGTCTTTGTCTTTCTTTTCCACATGAGAAGGATTTCATGTGTAGTTTTAATACGAGAGCTTCTACTCACGGCTATTTATCGGCCTAATAATTGCCTGCTATTTTTGTGTTATTTTCCTTATGTAACAGATATTACACAACACTACAAAAATGTGAACAATACAGATAATCAGTACAACACACAGGATGTGTTGCATAAATGTTATAAATGTGCCGGCAAACACACGCTCAGACAATACTGTAAAGGTATGTTTTTTTTCCTGAGGTGTATGAGATTAATCTTTAATATTGACTATTTTTATTTATTTAGTCTGTGTGTGTGTGTGTGTGTGTGTGTGTGTGTGTGTGTGTGTGCATGTGTGTGTGTGTGTGTGCATGTGTGCATGTGTGAGACAGTGTGACTCTGCTGCATCTTTGATCAGAGAGATATGAAGCAGCACTAAGGCAGGAAATTATTGTTACAGCAGAGGGAGGTTGTAAATATTTCTCTCTCCTGAGCTCTTCCTTTGCCCGCCTTCCTCTGATTTGGCATCTTTATATACAGCATATATATTGTAAGAGCTTAAAAACTTCAATAATGGACAGTATAATCACTTCACATTGCATATCACTTCTACACTGCAGAAGAGAAATACATTAAAAAATACTATCTCTATTTTTTCTTCATTGGTTAAAATTGCTCTCTTCTTACTTCTTTCCCCCCAGTCTTGTTTATGTTTATCACCGCCTTGCTTGTCATGCATTTTTGATGAGTGAAAGTCACTGATATAGTTCATTTAAAAGGATCCCTTATGCATAAAGAATTGTGGCTGTCTGAGGTTGAGAAAAGACTGTTTTCTCTCACAGCGATGTCATTCGAGCTCCACATGATCTACAGCACGGAATCAACATGAAACACAGACGTCTATATGTCAAGAAAATGTACATCAGGTGCTTCTGTGATTTTTGGAGTGGAGAGAGAGAGCGCTGTGAGAGGGGACGGGGATACAGAATAATACCTGACACACTGCCTACCACAAAGGTGATACCACAATTAATCAATCATTACATCAATTTAAGATATCTGATCAACTCCTGGGCAAGACAGTATCGATGTATAGATGACTGATGTTTATGTAACCTAGAATCCTGACAGGATAAGCAACATCTTGGTGCAAAGTAGAGGGTCTTGTCTCACCTTGTGCTTCCTTAGACTGCTCCCTACCCTATGTGACTCTACCCACAGTACTCAAAGAGCAGCTGACTTCCTTTAGCTGTCTGTTCCTCAAAACAAGCATCTAAACTCGTGACGACAACATTGCAATGCAGAACATCTCGATTAGCCTGAAAAAACATAAAAAACATGTTCCACATACAGGAGTTTGTGGGTATGACATAATTGCATTTCATACACTGTCCTGTGTTTGTCTAGTTGAGGAAAAGTACAAATCAGCATGTAGACAAACTCTTCTGTCTGGCACAAAAGGCAGGAAAAGGTGAAAGGTCAGGTTACAGATGCCTCATTGCAGAGGCGACACTCAGTCATCCTGTTGTTCATTTCTGCTGCCTCTTCTCTTCTCTTGTCTCCACTCCTCGCCTCTTCCCTCCCTTATCTCACTTTCTTACCTTTCTTTTCCCTCCTTCAAACACTGTCTTTGTTGTTTGTCTTCCGCCCCTTTGGCTCTAAATTTCCCACTCTCTTCTTTCTCTGTCTCCCTCTTCTTTCTCGCTCAAGTTTTAATTCAGGCTGTTTTTCTCACTTTTGCTCTCTCCTCTGAGTATTGTAAAATCTGCCTTCCCTCTATCCTTTTTCTGCTTCGTACGGTACTTTGAGAAATGACTCCTAGGTTTAGAGAAACTAAACTCAAACTAAACCCCACACATGAAAGACATAAAAGTTTATTGCACAGCCTTGACCAGGAAGAGGATACAGAGCAAATACAAAGCAAGCTGCTTGTCTATGAGAACTGACATGTCACAGATAAAAGAGCATCAACTGTGCTCCAGTTTTAAAATGCACACCTGTGAATAAAACATCAATAAATCCATAAATCCTACATTTTTACTGAGCTTTGCCCCTTTTTGTCTATAGTGATGTAACATGGTTTGATTCTTTGCTTCACCTTTTCTTTTTGTTAAAGTTTCAAGAAACTTCCTCCGGACTCCCCCTTCCTCTGGGGAAGATAATGTGATTGGTTTGAGTGTGTTTATAGCAGAGATAGATGAAGAGGGTATTCATTTGTCAATTTGAATAAAAGTTTCATTAAAAAAAGTTATAAAACACCCTTTTAACACTAAGAGGCTGAGGCAACACATTCAGAGCACTTCCTGTCAAACAGTGTGAGACAGAACTCATCATGGAGTATTAATAGCCTAAGGTCTGATTTTCTGACGGTCCAATGATGCTTTCACCTCCAAATTTAATTACTTCTTAATAAACCTTTCACTGGAGTCTTTGTTTTATGCACCCTGCATATTTAGTTCTTTTTCTTTGTCAGTATCAATGAGCTGCTAGAAATCCTGGTTTTTGATGAAGGTCACAGAAAGATGAGGAGTACTCTTAAAGTTTCGTGAGAACGATTAAAGGATGCTAAGAGTTTCTGCAAACAACACATGCATGGACACAGATCATGCCTGCTTGCTGAGTCAATGCCATATTCCCTCTAAAATGCGAGGAATCCAGCGGTTTTCTGTCAGAGACAAAATCTGAAAACAACAAACCAGTGACAGATGTGTCAAACCAACAAAGCTTAAAAAACATTTAAAACAGACAGTTTGAATTGAAGAGCAGTTCCTGTTTTCCCCTGAGCCTCCCTAGTTTTTTTTTTTTTTAAATGACTACACTTGCTGGGGCAAAATTATCCCCTCAGATGGGATGCAGTTGCAGCCCTCGATCTGTGACCATCTGCTCCTGATTTCATGGCAGCAAACACTGTCTGCTTTAGCGCCAGGCAAGACTTCACACACCTCCTGCTGCTTGGTGCCACTACAGATACAAGCCCCACGGGGCCGCTGAGTGAGCTCCAGACTTGTACGGAGATAAGAATAACTCCTCTGGTGCGAGCGGTGGGATAACTGCATTTACTGAAGGCTGCCCAAGTTAGACTTTTGCATAAAACATTTCCTTCTGTGTGCCATTTTTTGTTAAATGAAGAAACAGTTAAAGAAGAAGATTCAGTATTCAGTCACTCAACCTTTATATTGGAAAAAAAGAGAAGTCAGCTAATGAAAAAGCACATGTCAGGAAAACTAACCTGTCTATTTTCCTCTAAAAGCGAAAACTTAAACTGTGTCCCATAAAATCCACACTTCTCATTTATTCAACAACAAAGATCCAATCTAATTTAGACAAAGAAATATCAGACGCCATTGTTTTCATTGTAAGTGTAAGACACAACTCAGCAGAGGAAAGTTTATGAATATCAAAAGCCTCTTTTCTCCTCCCATATTTTCCCCGTGCTTTCATCTTTCATATCCATCCCATACACCTGAGGCCTCCTTCATCACCTCCTCCATCAGGTATTTTTCAGTGAACTGACACGTCGGAGAAAAACTCACTCTGAGGGAGACAAAGCATTCAGGTCCCATCAGAGAAAGACTACGAGGATGTCACTGTGCATTTAGTAAGCAGTACATCACAGCCAGATGAGAGCGCCACCAACACAACCTCATTTGTGCGTTTCCACCCGGTGAAATTGATCCTGACTCCTGCTGGCTAGATGGAGAAAAGAGCGAAAAGTGATTGTGTCTCTATATGTGTTTTTGTCTGTCCCCTTGTGCTGCTTAAGTCACATGCTTTGAATATGAGTAGGGTGGCACAACTGCATTCCGCTGCATTTTCCAAGTATCCCAACTCAAATTTTTTCAACTTCAGCTACACACAGGAGAAGTTTTTGCTGCATTTTTAGATTTGTTTTTAATACATTTCCAGCAGTTGGAGTCATGAAATTACTCTGACATTACCTTGTCATTCTGGAGGTTCAATGGGGATGGGTCAACATGACATGCCAGAATTAAGTGGAGAAAGTGACTGTGCAACAACAAAGTCAAAAACAGGAATTTGGCATCAGGTTGCTCTTGTAATGAGGGGTGTGTAAACAAGTGTCGGTCTGTGACGACTTTCCAAACATGTCTACTCAAGTGGACACTCAGGGATATTGCACTTTTTTGCACACTAATTTGGAATGAATTATCACAAAGGCTATCTGAAGCTAATTAGTTGTCAACTTGGGAGTAATGGTAGCTTTTAGCAAAACACTTGCTTGTCCTTATTGTTTGGGCCTGTATTTGTTCTTTTATTTACCCTCTATGTTTCGTTTTTCTACTTTCCAAATGTCCCTGTTTTAGCAAGTTTGGATGTGATTTGATTATCTTCCTATATTAGATTTACACACATAAGCCATGAGTTTAATACAATGCACACAGTGGCACAAATACTAGCTCACACAAGCTTACATGTTAGCAGTGTGGACGTGAGGTGTCCACCACCAGGGGCAAAAAACCTTGACTCACTGACGGATTAACACAGTCTGCTGACTGTTGGTATGATCATTATGTCTGGTCATGAAAAAATAATGTACAGCTCTACTGGAGCACTCTCAACCTGACCTGACCTGACCTGACTGCAGAGGGCAGCTCATACCTCATTCAAAAACCCGATTTAAAAAATCACAAGTGATCAGGTGATACATTTGTACTGACATGTTGACTCTCAGTGGCATTTAGAAGAAAAAAATGTGCATGTTTGAAAAACTTTCCAGTTGTGAGATTCAATGCCTGTGAATAGGAACAGAATGAGAACATAAAAGCTGTGAAAGAGAATGATGACTAAAGAAGAATAAGAGATGACAGGATATGATGAGAGATGAATAAGTAAAAGAAGTGAAGCCTTAACACTGAAAAGAAATCTCAGACTGAGTTTAACCATCCTGTTAAACCACACCGCCCGCTCCACAGAGGGGTAATGTTTTTCCCCAGAGTAAAGTCAGTAATGATGAGGACAGGAGCTCATTACCCACCCGCAGCACGTTTATGAAGGGGGAGTGGGAGCTCGCTGAGCCTGCTTCATAATAAAGGAATAACTGAGACTGAGAGCTGAAGCCGTGAGGAGAGGAGAGATGGGATTTTCAGCTGACTTTACGGCAGAGGGCCCAAGTGATAAGACAGCCGTGTCAGTGGAGTAGACAAGAGCAGAGTAGATGTGATATAAGAGCAGAGCTGCAGAGAAAAGCAGGGCAGAGGGAGAAAGCTGTGGACTGCATTGTTTGGTAAGACAACAGTATCTGCCACCGAGAGTCTGTAAAGATGAAACGTCTGTCATTTATCCTTTCAGTGTCGCATAAAAAGCTTTCAAGATGTTTATTTTAGAGGAGGCGATGAAGAGCAGAAGGAACAGATTGTTCTGAAGTGATGTAGCGGTGACTGTTTTTAACTAAGCAGGAACTATGGAACTCAATGATACTATAGCAAGATCTAAGAGTTTAAAACTTTAATTTTAAATAAACTGTTTCTAATGCATCCTTTGACTTATATCTCAATAACATCAATGGGCTTTGAACTCTCTTTTTTGGAGGCCCCTTGTTTGTCTTGAAGAAAAGCAGAGCTCCCCACACACCCTCACAGAAAAGATGCAGAGCTGTAAAAATGAAAATGAACTCATCTATTTTATGATTTAATGACTTAAATCAATGCAAATATTTCTGCATGTGAATCTACTGAATATCAATGTGGTTAACTTTTGGTTCTAGCTGTTAATTTACAAATCCAACACCACTGCATGTCTTCACTATCACATCTATCATAAACATTGTTATAGCAGAAGATATTGCATGCAGGGACAGTTAAGAGTACACTAAGTATGATTGAGAACTTTGAGCAGCATTCAAGCACTTTGTTGAAGGACACTCTGACAGCAGTAAATGAAGAGCAAGTGAGCTGCACCTCCTCTTCTCAGATTTTCTCAGCTCATCCAGGGATTTAAAGTGGTGACCTTCAAACATCTCCCCCAGACGTTCCAACAATCCCACCTCAGAGTATAGTTAGCGGTACCTCTGACTAATCTCTTCACTTAGTCATGGGTGCTGATGGTGCGGAACAAGTCTCTTTCAGCTTAAACTGTCTTTGGTTAAAAGTCAGTATGCAGCGCAGGGCCAGTAATGTGAAGTGACACTACCTGTGTGACAATGGCAGGTTCTGCTAAAGCTCCCTGAACTATATGTGTGTGAGTGTATGAGTGTGTATACGTTGATAGCTGTTGGCACATGCCAACCAGCTTTCACTTTCAGGAGCAAAGCCACTGCATGTCACAGCTGACTTCTTCCACATAATTCCCAATTTCTACCAAATTTCTGCCTCTGTCCGCAGACTCTGCCAAAATGATTTTGCTGCATGTCACTCCAGTTTAAAGGAGCTTTTCTGCGAGTGGGACTCTCATTAGCTGCTCAATTGAACCTTTCTGTGGAGTGAAATTTACAATTCAGCTGACACAAATATGTTCTCTTTGAAGTGTGGGTTCAGTGGGCAGAAAACCTGTCTCTTTCAACTGTGAGTGAGAAGTTCTTCCTGCTTAATAACCTTTATTTCACAAGAACTGACATCAGATGTAGAAATGTGTCGAAGCAGTCACTATAAAAATGATGACTTCTAATTAGGAAAGTGAAGTTGTGATCAGATCAAAATGAAAAACGAGAGACATCTTTGGCTTCTATCACTCACATAAATTTGACTAGAGGCCCATTTGTCTTCATCCCAGCTGGGTAAACACAATCTGCAAATTCTTGTCCTTCCAGATCGAATTAAAAACCAACATTGTCAATAAAATTCATGACCTTCTCCAGGAACAGTCAGGATTAACGTCACTGCAGACATACACCATATGGAACAAATTGATCCAGTCAGTCCTGGTGGCTGATATCAATAAAACTACCATTAGTGTTTTTTTCACGTCTTTTTTTGTAAGAAAAACTACGATGTTGAGGAAAAGTGTATACTGATAATCCAAGTCTGACATCACCATTTTTAACACACACACAAAAAAGTCAATTTATCCTCAGTAAATTCAAAAATATGTCAAATCAATCTACTAAAAAAGAACTTGACTGACATCATGTGTCAAATCTGATGTGTCAACATTTAAACCACACACAGTTTTCAAAAAGCAGAGAGCAAAACGAAAGTTGTGTTTTAAAACCTTGTTCTGCTGCGGAGCTGTGAAGCTACAGCATTCGTACTGAACTAACATCTAAAGTATGTGTGTCCATGGTGAAACTTTTAGACTGAGCAGGATTGGATAAATCTGCAGAGTAGAAGCGACTCGGGAAACGTTTCAAAATACACCTGCAGCCGGACATATCCTTGGTTTTCCACCTCTGAAAAAAGTTGGTCTTGAAGTGTCATAACTTCTGTGATTTCGCAACTAACTGGTTTAGCTTTTGGATTGTCTCGGGTTGCCTCGCTGCAGTTGAACTGGCGCTATGGCACTGATCTATTTATTTATCTGTTTATTCAATTTTTCTATTTCTGTCACTTTTTAAACTTTATTCATATTTTTTCAGTCTGTTCTTTTGTGAAACCCTTTGGGCTGCATGTTTGGATGTAGTCTTTATTGCAAAGACAACTTTTCAGGTGACTATTATGACTCGTTATGGTAAAACTTGCCTCCTTTCAGCATGTTCAAAGTGTCTGATTTGACATGAAGTAGTTGTGGATCTTAACTTGCGTTGTTTTTTCTTGCATGTGCATCAGTCACCTTTTCTCAGTTAGACCATGTCGTTTTTGTTGTGGCACATATTTTGCAAATTTCAATGCTGTTATCTGCCTTTGGTATGGTGAAATCCATGCACACAGGTGACGCCACTTACACTTTCGTTGCAGCTGTGTTAATTGCTTTTCTTTTCTGCATGTGATGGTGGATTGCTTACAATCACCTACTATGTTGAAAAGTGAAGACTTGTCAAAATACTAAAGAAAGCCATTCTTATTAGTCATTTTTATCCGGCTAAACTGTAAAATCAAAGTGATAAAAATCAGAATTTGACTTTTATTAGTCGCCAACTGATTAGACTGATGTCTGAATACTTGATACTTGAAGCTAAGCAGTGGTTAATTTGATGACTTGTTAGGCCATGTTGTGAAGTGTTGGGAGTCAGTAAATATGTCAGAAAAGTCTATTTGTTTTGGCTGTAAAAGCAGAAATAAATCTGCACTCTACAAACATCAGGCTCTTCCTCATAGTAAACAGAGGAGCTCCAGGGTGGCACGCTCAATTAGAGTAAGCTGGGCTCATTTTTTCGATCTTTATGAGAGAGAGATGCCAGTATTTAGAAGTATTGATTGAACCAAAGTCTGTGAAGAAGGAGACTGCTACCCACAGGGAGCTGCTAACCCTGTTAGTGAGAGAAAAGTTCCACTGGGCAGATAAATAGCCAGCCAAGTCTGCAATCAAGATTTATAGGCTGAAAAGGTTCATATGTATGAGCTCACTGATCTGGTTACATACTGATCTGTAAATCACACTATTAAAGCTAACTTGATCTCCACCAAAGGCTGTCAGGAGAGAAATAGTCTAGGAGAAAACATTCATTCCTCAAAGACAGAGGGGTGAAAATAAAGCCCCCAACAACAGACTTCACTTTAAAAAGCTATGTACCGAGAAATGTGTAGTGGTGAGTGACGTGGTATGTAATCTACAGAGTTTCCCCAGAGAGTTACTTTCACAATCCAAACAAGTCACTGAGCTGACAACACACAGACCACCAAAGACGCCAGACAAAGGGGAAAGAGGGGAGAAGAGGCGCTGGGAAAATCTCATAATATTGAACAACCCCAGTTCCAAAAAGGAAGGGATGCTTCGTAAAACGTTGGTTTAGAAAAAAAACGAAAAAACATATTAATTAACAGAATTTAAATCACGTACACCCGATATTTGACTAGATGCGGGGCAAAGATAGTAACACTTAAAACTGAAAAACGTATTCTTATTCTACAAAATATGCTAATTTTAAATTGATGTTAGCAACGGGGGCAACAAAACATTCAGACATCTGTGCAATGCATTAAATTGTAAAGAATTTTCATTATCATTAAGTGAAGTCAGAAAATCTGGAATTTCTCTGCACAAAAGCAACAAGACTGAAACCCAATACTGGATGGCTGTGGTCTTCAGCACCTCAAGTGGCCCTGCATTAAAACACTATGACTCTGTAGTGGGTGTCACTGCATGGGTTAAAATCTCCTTCCCACAACAGTTGTCTGCAAACACAGCTCCACAGCTGAAATGTACCAAACAAAGAGGTAAAAAGTAAAAACTGTCTTGTCAATCAAAAACTACATTTTTTTGTATATCCTCTGCTCTAAAGAGGAAGGGGACCACCCAGCTTGTTATCAGCTCACAGTCCAAAAGCCATCATGTATGATGCTATGAGGATGTGAAAGTGCCCACAGCATGGGTAGCTTAAGACAAACAGTGAAAAACATCCAAGACAGTAAGATCTGTCTGTCTGAGTTTTAAAGCTTTAATATGGAACGGCACGTACTGAATTACAGGGGCCTGCTTTGGTAAATGTAATTACCATAAAAAGTTGGTTATGTTTTAGTGTAACTCACATAGAAAAAAATCATTCAGGATGTGACAGCTATGCGTATTTATAAAACTGCATTCTGTTGAAGCAAAGAATTCCCATTAAAATGTCTAAATTATAAGACAGCACACAGTAGTATTTGGGGACTATTGATCATGCAATAAAATGCACAAAGAAACGTAAAATGGCCTTTAAAATGTTGGAAAGGTTCCCATTGTGGATAAGCCTTTACAGTGCTCATGCTGCATCAAGGACTCATCCATATTTATGAGACACAAGAACGACTGAGTGTAATGGACTGAGTCCACTGTGATGTACTAAGTGGTTAGACGGCTAGCCGTGTGTGTGTGTGTGTGTGTGTGTGTGTGTGTGTGTGTGTGTGTGTGTGTGTGTGTGTGTGTGTGTGTGTGTGTGTGTGTGTGTGTGTATGACTAGAGGGCAGTGAGCTGTGTATGCTGTTGTGCATGTAGAAGCTTTTCTGTGAGTATAAGTTAATCAAGTTCACTGAAATTGAACATTTAAAAATGACAGAACAACAGATACTGTGTATGAGGATGAGCTGAATCTGTGAGTCTCTTCCCCCAAGTCTCCCACTTGGGGGAAGGGGGAGATAAGAGATTGTCATGAGTGATATAAAGCCTCTAAACTAAGTTTTGGATGACATTAACAAATGCATGAGTATTTGATTACAGTTGATAAGCTTGCATTTACAGTTATCTTTTCAGCAAATCACTTTTATTTAATGCTTCAACAGAAATTTGTTGAACTAGTTTTGATCTTCCCTTGTGACTGTAAACTCTGGGTTTTTTTTAAGTCTGGTGGAATAAATAAGCACTTTTTACCCCATAGATAGTAGAAAGAAAACTTGCAATGTACAACCAGAACTCCTCATCCTGCCACTGCTAGCATTTCCACTGCCAAATGAGACCATAAGGACATGGAGTGGGTGAATTCAGTGACTTGCAATCTGTGTGCACACTTTCACCACAGCTTTTGGACCTCCTCTTTAGTTCCCTCTAGGCTCAAGTTGTCCTTAAGTAAACAAACTAAAACATGGGCTGTACGGGCTCTTTCAGTGGTCGTGTTGACAGAAAGTGACGACTAATGTTACAGCCAAACGACCTCATTATAAGCTTACCTCTCATGGCTGATTCACTGCCAGCTTTGGCTTGGAACAGCAGATGAATAAAACAGATGATACTGTCAAAACAATGTCCTGGCTGCAGTTTTAGGGTTCACTCATTAGCTCTTCAAAGCCTCAGCAGTCAAAAACATCTTTCAGAAGAAGAGTGTGCATGGTTAAGTTATAAGAAAGCTACGGGCAATTAAAAATGTTTACTCTCAATAATTTAAATTTGTTTTTAAGTAAGCTGCACATACCACGATTCCTCAAAAGTAAATGGCCTGTGATTTAAATGCACCTACTTGAGTCGAATTTCACTCGTATAATTTCAAACCTGAAGGCCAAGTAAGTAAGGATATAAATTCCACAAGTCTATGTCAGCTATACTTCTCCCAGCCAGATCTGCTGTGTAACATCTTTCAGCTATCTTCTTCTCTGCAGCCTGAAGGCTCAGTATGTGGTTGCTGAACATATTCCATGCATAGAAGATTGGCTAAATTTTGAGTTAATGCATAATTACACATCTATGAGCAGAAAAAGGCTCAAAGCACCAGCTGGGTCAGCCTGGGTGAGAAGAAGCATATTCAGGTATTTGAGAGTGAAAGGTTGAGACAGTGCACCGCAGGTAATCCAAGAAATATAGTCAGCAAGTGAGGGAAAGAGAAAAAACAAGCAAAGAAGCAAAAAAACAAAACACATTCCAGCACAGAGTTTAGTATTGTGCAAACTCTGGGAGGGTTGTTGCAGTCTGGTCTGAGAAAAGAAAAAAAAAAACTGTGCAAGTCTCAGGGGAGCCCGACCCACTGGCCTGCAGACAAACACCAGCAAAGTGGCAAAGCAGACATAACCAGATGTGTGGGTGCACATTATACACACATAACAAGACACACTCTTCGACACATGCAAGCATACACATGATTTCTTAAATGCAAGGACAAGACTTGCACTCCAAAAATGAATATTTGCCATCTGGATCTTATGATATTAACTAAGTGAGAATGTATGTAATCATACATTGTTGTTGGAAGTTGTGCTGTGCTTTCCACCTGTGCTAGGATATTAAAAGTAACAGTTCTTTTTAAAGATGTACGACAAAAATTTGATTAAATAAATGTGGGATCATACAGAAAGAAAAGGACAACTAAGTGAAGCTGGAGTTTCAACAGAGACCAGATAAGTAAACACAAATGTACCTGAGTTTATTATAGCTACAGTATGCTCTGTAGCTTTAACAAATATAGAGTACTGAGTGTCGGGGCCAAGTAAAAAGCAAAATTCAGGGTCAAGAGACGAGTGATGTTCAAAAGGATAAAAAAAAAAACAAGTTGACTCAGCAGAAATTTTAATTCCAATACACTGACTCATCTAAGCATCCAAATTCAGCCCATTTTCTTTGACACAGCCAAACAAAAGATCACAGTCAGCAGGTGTATTACATCAAAGTGGTTTGGAGAATGTGGCTAACACTAGCAGAGCTAGCACCACCACCTTTGGGTCCTCCTTGCTGGTTGACACCCATTTGTCTCTGCTGGTTTGATATTACTCTTGTTGGTTATGTTCCCATTTGACAAAATACAGTTTACATACAAGAATACTGCCAAACTGTGCCAGGCTATGAGATGCCATCTGGCATTTCAGGCTGACGTAAGTAAAAATATCAATTCCATATTTGATCATCTTATTTTACTGGTTTCAGCTGGTGAGGGTGACAACAGTTAACGGTTTAGCCAGCTAAACAAGCACATCCTTAAGAGAGACACACCTACTTTCCATACAGATGTATCTGACGTGTGGATAAACGTAAGGCTAAAACTTATGTCACTGAAGATGCTCCATTGAAATTGAAAACAAGGCTGCTGTTGTAGAGCCACCTGACACCTCAAACATTAATATGTGCATAACTTCCACTGGATCACATTAATTCAGAACAGGAACAAAGAGTCCCTTGTTTTCCAGAGGAGTCACAGCATGTGCTGCCTCAGTATTCACATAGTCCTTGTCAGTAGAGCAGGTAAAAATACCTGTAACACGATATGGTCACAGATTACAGACTTGGCTCTGAATTGTTCAGTTTTCAGAGAGCCATCCAAAGTCATGTTACGGTAGATGTTTCCACTTTACTTTCTCCGGTTAAACTCCAGAAATCCCCAGCGGTGGCATAACTATAGAGAGCACAGAAAGAGGGCTTTAACATAAACCACAAAGAAAACAGTCAGGGGGAGGTTGGCAAAACAGATCTGGAGTCAGCTCAGAGTGAAACCCACGGGCACTTTCTGCTCATCCTGCGTGGTCAAACATGCTCTTCTCTTATGTAGGAATGTTTAATAACTTAGTGTTTCTCAAACAAGGGCACCCTGAGGGGGACTTTGGAGAACTCTGAGGGGTACTTAAAAAAAACATAAGCTATGCATGACCTCCAAAATAATTTCTCCATTATAAATTCAGCGATATTGTCAGCTTAATCCTGATAAACAGGATTTTGTATTTGTTATTCCAGTTTCCAATTCAATTATTCACAGCGACATTCTGCGCCACAAACCTCATCTTTCAAAAACTAAATTCGTTTGTTGGGTGAGCTTGCGTTTGCACGGAGCAAGTGTCAAATCTGAATGGCAGCAAATTAGGAAAATTGGTTTTTTGATTGATATGTAGCAGCAACTCAGCTGAAAAGTCGAGAAAGAAGTGAAAAAACAACAGAGCCTGAAACACCGTCAGTAAGAGAAGGAATGTTTTACAATGGGGCTTGTAGACAACTTCTACATAAAGCCAGCATATCTCATTAAGTTTTTTTTTTCTGACGAGGGGTTAGTTTTGGATTAATTGGGTGCAGAGCTGCATTGTTCTCATGAAATTATCTGTGCTGGTCAGGAGTTGCACGGCTGGAAAAGTGCTTCATAAAAGAAAGAAAAAACATATCAAATGTTGGCTGTCTTACTGTGAAGGTCATGGGAAAGGAGGAAATCTGCACACAGTCAAACCACAGTAAATACATGCCATCCTGCACATTCAAACCTTGAATTACTCACGCACAACTGCGGCTCTGTAGCAGCTAGGTCTATTTTAATGTACAATCCAACCGTGGGGCTATAAATAACAAGCATGTCATGGTGAGATTTGTTTTTCTCCGCCTTGCACGTTTCTCTCGTCTCCTGTCTCTTACCCGCTCTGCCACTCTGACACTTACACTATCTCTTTTCACACACTCGCATATGCTCATGCACTCTCACCCTCTCAGTTTCACTCCCTCACATGCTGAGTACTCCGCTGTGAAAGTGACACAGTGATTAGCCAGGGGCAGGGTGGAGATGACTGTGTGGGGCTCATCTGTATGATTCAGTATCAAAAACAATAAAATTAAGCTTTTTTAACTGTGCTAAAAACATATCAGCTGAGAGTATTTCTAGATATTTAACCTAAAGGGAAAGAGGATATGACAGGTTCATAAAGAGGCAGTTCAGACATAATCCTGCTTACTTAGACAAAAAAAAGATCACTTTGACACTCTACACTCCTTCATCACTGGCATATCCAGGCCTTAATGACTCTTCCTAGAGTACAAGCGTGACAAACACTGTATAGTAGGAATATATAGGAAGCTACAAAAGACAGAAACAGCCTCAAGACAAAACTTGAGGCTGCCGGAGAAACTCGTCCTACTTTCCTGTGAGAAAAACAGCCTGATGTTTCTGCTACAGCGCTGGAGTGAAGATAGGAGAGAACGGAGAGAGATTTGATAACAGTTCCCAATTATACAGACATAAAGAAACATGATTTGCAAAAGTGTGAAATTTCCTTCCCTTCTCTCATGGTGGTGTTGGGCTGTTCGTCTAACTGTAACGAGGGGACAGGCTTCTATGACTAATGATTTAACCACGGCTCTTTGTGCGTCTCTGCCCGCTGTCACTGCTCTCTGGAGAACAGCTTTGCTAATCCAAAAATCTGGCTATGGTTTGAAAACATTCACAGCTGTCTTTTTGTATTTCATGAAGTCTTGGGTTCTGTCTTGAAACGTGACAGACTTTATCAGGAAAAAACACGTGGAAAGGTAAAACAGATGATACTCTTTGATTGGTTTGGGTTTGACTTCAAAAATCAACTTCAGGCTGAGCACCATTAACCTGGCTGCGCCATCCAGTTGCATGAATCACTTGCTGTTCCTTCCCACAACAGTCTGGACTTCGGCAAATTGGGAGCCCTAAAAGTGGGCGGGAGTACTTTCCTTGATAGACAGACTACTGTAACCAATCACCGTAACCAAACATCTGACGTCATCACAGTGCGCAACTGTGTTCCCTGCTGGGCTCTCAAGCGTCAAGTAAAAGTTTGGTAATATTTCAACGTGTGCGAGCAAACAATGTCTTTTACGTCTTCTTCTGCGGATATAAGTGATTTCTGCCGACTTTGCAAAGTCAACTGCAGAATTAACGGCGTTCTGAATGAACTGCGGCATGTGTTTGACGTCACCATCTACACATGGACCAATCTCTGGCTGCCTTTCCCTGTTGTCCGGGGAACAGTGGAAACACAGTCACTGATTGGCCCGGTTATTTTCTGATTTCTAATACACGCTCCCAATTGGCCGAAGTCCAGACTGTTGTGGGAAGGAACGGCAAGTGATTCACGCAACTGGATGGCCCAGCCAGGCTAGAGGACCATGGCACTGGCCTTGTACACACATAGCCGGGTATTTTCATGAATGAATATCCAACCCCCTTCGTTTAGAAAAAAAAGTCACGTACACACATCATTATTTTCAAATAAAACCCTTTCTGCACAAAAAAGGTGGAGGAAGGGTTGTTTGGTGTAGAATAACCAACTACAAAGCACTCCTCCTTTGCTCCTCACAAAATTATGTATTCTGTATGCCGTCCACTGCCTCACGTAAACAAGGGCGCATAGTTTATGATGTTTATCTATTAGTTGTTGCGGATAATGATGTTTGGGAATTTAAAACTCCACTATAGCTGAAGTTTTCCAAAAGCGCAGTTTTTTATGACGTAATCCTGCAGTTTGGTGTGGATGGCAGGCCAAAACGTATAAAAATATATTTGTTTTAGCAAATTTACGTGTGGACAAGGCCTCAATGTGAACTTGAATTCCTCACATATGCAACAGTAACATCAAAACAGTGTTTAAAAACAGAATTCAGTCCAAATATCTCAGTCAACTCCTCTGTGAGTAGTCATTTAGTTAATAATTGAAATGAATGTTTTTTAAATAACAGCTGCTGCCGTCCCCTGATTCTAAAGCAAATAACTCCAGTATGCTGACTGCCAAATGTCCTGTCGTAAAGAGGGTGATGCCAATCAAAACACAGGAGATGGCAATATTATCGTTTAGTTTTTAGCTCAGACTTTATGGGAAGCTTATTTATATTCAGTTTATATATTTAAGATCAAATTTCAACATTTTAAGAGGCTGTAATGTGGAAAGAAAATGACCAAACTGGACTATGATCAACTCCATCAAGGCTTTACAAACACTAGAAGAAGTCAATGAAACTTAGCAGCTGTTTGTTGCTCCATGACAAAAGGATGAGACAGGTTTTCAGAAAATTTCTCATTTTTAAGGTGGCTTCACAGCAGCAAACACAAATGTTAAACTAGCATCAAAGGAGAAACACAAACAAAAACACTGACCCGGCTGTTGTATCTGCACTGTTTTCTAGTTGCTGGTTCCAGTCAGACACATTCAGCTTCAGTTTTAATTTGTTGCTTTGAGGAAGGTGATGAGCAGTGTGGGCCAAAAAATGACTGCTGGCAAAGAGCAGTCAGGAAAACGATGCCACATCATCCAATTACACTGAATACAACACCTCTCTGCTCTTAACTGCCAAATGCAACACAAACCACCGGCAGCAGAGAGGAATGGATGCTGGAGAGTGCAGAGGCAGCTGAAGAGTGATAATGCCATCCCACACCACAGACGCTTCCTAGTGAATGCACTGAGGGGCCGAGGCCAGCGGTCGCCTGTGGGTCAAAAGCTTTGAAACAGAGAGTTCATGTACGCTTTTTAAAGCAGCCCAAAAACAGCACAGCACATCTGCTTTTGCCTGAACGAGCATTTCATCCTCTTTGCACCCTCAAACTCGCCTCAAACCCCATCTGAGTTGGTGCATGTGTGTGAAATCGAGCCTGACGGGTCTCATTAAAAGAGACTTTCACACATCATGGTTATGAGGGGGAGTTTTGCTGCCAGCAACTGTTTGTTGCTTACAACATGTAATCTTTTTTTTTTTTTGACATGGTGGAAATATGGAAAATGTTATTTCAGCTTCAATACTGCAGTGGACACTTGCAATCGTCTGGCACTTAAGGGGTTTTTAAGAAAAACCAAAATTCAAGTTTGCCTCAATATTTAGGAGAGGTTGCTGTATTTTAAAATCCCCCTCGGAAAGAAAAAAACAAACTGTAAGAGCCACAAACTTGTTGTACTTGTGGTTCAGACTGTCTTTCCCCTGTGGCACTCTGCAACCCAACATTACATCCTCATATTCCTCCAAATAAAGACTGATATTCTCTATATTGCAGGTAAAATTACAATTTAGCTGCACTGCAGTGTGTAGTTTCAAGGTCTCTATGCAATGTTTCAAAAAGAGCATCAAGTGTTCCAGACTAAACCAAAGAAGAGATAGTTACAGTACGTGATGATCCTTTGGTAAAGGTCAGGCACAGCACTTGAAGTATCTATTGTCATGTCATGCACACACAGAGCAACATCTGTGCGGGGAGCTGCCGAGACGAAGCTGATGCAAACAGAGCAGGACCTAAACCTGCTGAGACACAACAACACAGATGGCTGATTCTTGCCAAGCTGGCACGGAGGCATATGGAAACAGATCATTAGTGAAACAATAAGTACGCAACAGTGTTCGCAAAGGTAAGTTATCAACAAAGTCCTGAAGACGAGAAAGTCTGGGTGAGTATTAAGCATTTAAAACACCCTCTTCAATATATTTTCGTCTGCAGCCATCAATTCTAACAAATGTAAATAAATTATAAAGGCCACGGTGATGGTGGAAAAACATGCAGAAACTTTTGTGATAAAACTCGGGAGTCTGAGTCTCTCAACTCTTTGTTTTTGTGTGTTTTGCAGCTCTGGTACCAAACAACACAGCCAGCTGTGATAAACCAGTTGTCGTACGCTGACAAAGCAAAGGACCACTGGTGGGTAAAGTGAAGCATTCAGCTGAGCCATTTTTGCCTACTGTTTGTTAACAGTACCAAAAACAAAAACAAAAAAGGATCACACAGACTTTTAAAACATTATAATACCATAGTCTGAGTGCAATGGATTACAAACCTCATGGAGTTTGACGTTTACTGCAGAGGAGAAACCTTGAAACTTTGCAGCACGCTTAAGCAACCCAGTGCTTCAGCTACACAATACAATCTGGCATAACAGAGTAATACTCACACGGGATATGAAGCGCCAATATTTGCACAATGTTTTTCGTCAAGCATCAGTTGTAATACATCGTATCTGCTTACCTAGCTGTTCAGAACAGTGTGTGCAATGTCAGCCAACACGCCGAAGTCCAAATATAACAAGCCAGCCTTTATAAAACCTGTAAAACTCTATCATACAAAGTTTTCTTAGTTGGTTTAGAACTAATTTTAAAGTCTGCTGATCATGGCGTCAAAAATGTATTATTCATTTTTAGAGAAAGCAACTGATGTCATGTTGACGCCAGATTGTGCAAGAGCTGTATAAAGAGGATTCAACAGAATAATGACCGTGACACAGGGACTAGTCACAGCATGACTCTGAATTAAGAGGAGTATGCTGACTCCCTTCTGAAGCCAAAAAAGTATCTTCACTATTTAAGAGAGTACCAGAATGACAGTCACATGCAGGACACTACCACAGACGTACCAAAGGAGTGGACTTGTGTTGGACTGAGTCAAGCAGCAGCACCAGCAGCCATGGAGTCCCTCTTCGTGAAGTGCAAAGCAACTACTTCTGGAACCTGAAGGCAGTGAAAGGCAAAGAAAGAAAGAAAAAAGATCAAAAGGATGCAAGAAAGTTTGCAGGAAAAATACAAAAAAGGAGGGTGATGGAGAGGAAAAGGGAAAGTAGACCAGAATGGGAGGAAGAGAAGAGGATAATACATTTTTGTTGGTTAGCCTGAAGCGGATCTCATTGTTCTGGCATGACTTTCCAGAACAGATATTAGATTTATTGGTACATTTAAAAGCAGGGCAAATCCATCTACACAACAGACTTGTACTTTGTGAGAAGTCAAGACCCATTTAATCTCTTGCTGGCCTGGGGGCTGGTTCTTCTCAGATCCTTAGCTGGACAAATTACGATCAACTAAAATAGAATTTACTGGGTTTCGTTTTTTAAATGTTTTTGTAAACCTTGTGTACCGCAAATCAAAATGTAAGTGCACAAAGCAAAAATCCGGATCATCTCTGAGTCGTGTTTCATAAGGTGAAGTGCTGCAAGTCTATTTGCCTAAAATGATGGAAAATAACAGTCGAGGGAGCAGCTCAACAGAAGCAGCATCATTAAACAAAAATCTGATTTAGTGGTACATTTAACACCCCGGGAACTTCATCTTCAGTGTGGGAAAGCGTCTGTTGCATCATGACCAAAATACAACACAAGGCAAGTTCTTCTATCTTGAACTAACCCTCAGTGGTTTGTGTATGGAGCCTTTCTGTCAGGCAGTCTTCGTTCTTACTGCCCTATTTTATTTGCGTAAGCCGAACAACAAAGAGGAGGCATGGTACATCACGAGCACATAAACAGGGATTGTGTCTCAGTACTCCAAACATGCCTCCTTCTTTGGTTTTGTTTGTGTACCACAGCTAAGGGGTAAAAGCCTTTGTGAGTGTGGGATGTGGTAAATGATAAATATATGATAAAGCAGGAGGAACTGTAGCAATCACCTGTAAGTTTGTCAATACAGTTCATTAAATTCTGGATATAAATTCTCCACTAAATTAAAGTTTAATCAGGGTAGTGTGGAGCGTTGCATTATGAGCGCTAGAAGTGAGATGGGTGACAGTACGATATGATGATGCAAGATGATATATTATGATACAAGACGTTATGACACCATACAAACGACATGATTGATATGTGGTACGAAGCACTATGATGATATGGTATCAGAAGGTGGAACCTGTAGACAAAGATGGTGGTGATTTTGAAACTGTATATTTGTGCATAGATGATAAGGGCTGGGTGACATGGCCTAAAATCAATATCATGATATATTGAGCAGTTCACCTCGATAACGATAAATGGACGGTAACTACTCCACAAGCTGCTCACCCCCTCCCACATTAACTTTGTCTTTAGCCGCCATTTCAGCCGCTACAACTTTTGAACAGTCCTCCATCTCCTCACCTGTCTTTCCCTCTTTGTTACAGACTGGATGGGGTGGAGTCACATCTCCAACGTAGGACAGCATCTTAAAGAGACATGAGACCATAGCCTACCTACACGCATCCAAAACCAACTTTTATTTATGCTTTTTTTTGACACCCAATATACTGACATGGGCAAAATAACGTTGGTTATTGTCGTAAATTGCAGTATCAGCAAACTTAAGTTTATTGCCCAGCCCTATAGATTATATAGGCAATTAATGAGAGCTTTAATTTGGTGAGGCAGTCTACATGATTATGACTTTAGTGTAATTTAATCATTTAATTGAGAGAAGCTGAAACACAGGATAGCCAATAGTCTAATGTCTCCTACATTAACAGGCAAACAGCTAAATGATTGTGTAGTCAACCAGTCTGAAGTGTGTAGAGATATAAAGGATTACTTCATCGCACCTTCGGGTCATTTGCAGGCAGTTTCATCAAGGTAAACAGAATGGAGGACATGCATAACAGTCAATGACTACATTCATTATATACTGTTAATTTATACAAAAGAAGCCGATCTGATCACCAAGTTGTAAGCCATAAACCAGAAACAGAGAAGCCCCGGAGAAGCTGACTGTGAGTTTTTATTTTTGACCAAATCACAACAAGGCTTTGTTGTACACTATCTTCCTCCAAAGGACCCAACAGGCAAAGTGGATTTTTAAGGTCAGAAATGCTGCTGGTTGTTCCCTGACCATAAAAATAAATCCTCTCCCGTTCTTTCCAAAGACATAATTCTCTGGCAACTATGTGTCGTGTCTTACATTCTTAAATATAAACACTTTGCTCTACTGAGCAGCATGCAAACATCTATCTTCTTCTGGTATCCTGTGTGCTGAAAATAGCCCCCACACCGTCAGTTCTCCTAATCCAGCTGGTGGATTTAATGCCAACTGTGAGGGGAGGACATATTTTCTGTCAGTGCATTGCCCATTCGTATATTCCATTCTCCATTCGCTCCATCAGATCTGTTTGAGGTGTTGCAAGTGGAGACAAAATAAGACTGCTCCAAAGTGTTGCTATGCAAAGACAGTGCAGGAAGGTGACACTTCACCAGTCCTCTATGAAGGGATTGAATCTTTGAATGCTTATGCTTTAATTCATCTGAGAATGGAGCGTGTAGTTGTGGGATAAAAATAACCACAGTCTCAGGAGCTTTGGGTTTTTTTGACGAGCCTATTTATTTCTTCAGAGTTGAAAAAAGATGATCTGTTGAAACAGGAATTTAGAAAGAAAATCCTTGAAAGTTCTCTCATGATCAGTTTATTTTTTCACAATTATGTTTTGTGCTCGTGCCATGAACAACGTCCTGCAGCAGATTTCTGGGTTGAAAAGTACACAGGTCTCCAGCTAACCCCACACCGCAAACACAGACATTTGTTTGCGTAGCAGTGTGACACAATTGCATTGCATTACAATAGAACAAATTAATGTGATGTTCCCCTCAGTCTCTTATGTAACCTTCATTTCTATGCAGTGCATTATCATCCAACCCCCACAGCTTTGATGGCATCTAATGAACATTTCTGGCAGCTCTCAGGGACAAGCTGGATGAGCTATTTTTGTTCCGTCCATTATTTCTATTCAGATTTTTCTCATCAACTTAATTGCTGAGATTGAGAATACAATCCGTTTGATTCAGTGGAGTTCAGCAAAGGACAACCACACATAACTTAACTATGCTTGTATAGTAGAGAAAGAAAGGCAAACTGTCACCAATCTACTTGATTATGAGCGGTTATTACTTTAGTCAGTTTGTTCTACCAGCTACCTTTGCGTTAGAGGACTTTGCTTTGAATACCTGCCGTAAACTAGATGGATTCTCCCATGATGGCAGAATTAACTTGAGCCTATATCTATCAGGTTTTTCCCATCACAGAGGCTGAGCTGGTATTTATACGTGAGAGCACTGACAGCATATTGGGTGGTAATGCAGGAGGAACATCTCACTCTGGGGCATGGAGACAGACTATGAGAAGGAACAAGCTCAAACATATCTGAACAGCAGTGATACCTGGAAATAATTGGACGTATTTGACATGCATGACAGCATTTGGGAAAGAAAACTAGTTTTAGCAGTTTCTGGGGTTGTGATGTGGGAATCTATTTGTAGTGACATTACGATGGGAATGCTTCGCTGAGCCATGACACCAATCTTGCAGAGGATGTCAATAAATTTGAGTCAAATACAGACTTCTTGCAACATGTCATCCTTTGAATCCCAGAGCGGTGCCTGCACAATATGAGATAAATGTGTAATTACATTGTACAATAACTGCATTAAAGATAAAGAGAGCAATAAAAGAATCAGCAAATATTTAGGAGTAAAAATTAGCTACAGTTCAGTTTCTTTGTCTCTCCCTGGCCTTTACATACTTTCATTTAAAAACTGGATTTCTGCAATGTGCAACGTGTAGGCCGGATGGTGAGGCAGAGTTGTTTTGCCTCTGATCCTCCCTTGGAGGCAGTAACGGAAGCAGAATGGGACAGAGGCGGTGGGGATGTGTAGGGTCTGAGCAGGCAAGGCACAACAGCAGTGAATGTGTGTACCCAAGTGTGTGTGGCACTCCCACTTAGCAAGCTGTGCCTCTTGTACTTCAGCACTGCTGCTTTGAACCCTGAAATAACACGCTCGGACAACAGTAACACTTTGTTTTGGGATGCAATGTGCAAGTACAAAAGCATGGTGATAACATTGTCTTGATGCTGATGCAGAGGTGTGATGTGTAACAGGTTCACTTATCCAATAGATTAAGTGCACAAAACTCTGAGTAAGAAAGCACCGTTTGTTTGTTTTCTTTTAATATCAATGTTCTAATTTGTTGGGATAAATTTAATGTAGAAGATGTGCATAAAGTCACTATGAAATACTAGTTTTATGGGGTTTTGAATATTCAAATGTTGCAGTAATCAGAATTAATACGGGGTGATATTAAGTCGAACATGAACTGTCAAACTTCTCTGGAGCACTGTAGGGCTAAAGAGATCCTGAGGTCCTGGTTCAGTACATAGTTAATAGTGTATAAGTGACTTCAGTGTGTGATAAGTACCTTGAAGAACAGCTTAGGGATCAGTCAGCATGCCCCTTGACAGTTTTATCAGATTTTTATGCTAAAAAAATAAAAATGTCAAAACGAAGAGGAGAATTTCTAAAGCTGAGGACTATTACATACACACACACTGCTCATGGGATTTTGTAGTGTTATTTAAGTGCTGTGGAGTAACACTTGATCCATTCAGCATTGAAATCCCACACACTGTGGGAGCTTCCCGGTAAAACAACCTCCAGTAGATCTAAGCGGGTCAGCTGGAGCACCTCATCGCTAAGTTACTCAATGGAAATAGAACTGTAAAACAGGAGCTAAATATGCGCTGTTTTCTGTTTATTCTCTTTGCCCACATCCGAGCTCTGACACCAGGGTTCTTACAGGTGTAAGCAGAGTAATCAAACCTTTCGCTAACCATCACTCTATGTTGTAGCTAGGGCTGCACCTAATGATTATTTTTTATTGATTAATCTAACCATTATTTTCACAATTTAGTCGACTAATCTGTTGACAAATTTATCAACTAATTTATCGATTAACAAGGAATTAACATCAAACTTCTCTTTCAATTCAATGATTTATTTTATTGATTATTATTTCATTCATTATTATATATGTTGATTTTTTTTTAACAGTTTGTTATGTAACAACGATGGCTATATTATTGATCATCAAAAAAATAAAAATAAAATATATATATATATATATATATATAGTAATGAGGGCTAGAAAAGGTCACTTGATGTCGCAATGCATTGTGGCCAGTGGTCGCCATTTTGTGGGAAATAGTGTTTGTTTACATTGCTGAGTAAGAGTTTCACAGCTTGGAGAGTCGCAAGTGTTGTTTTTGTGATCCACCATTTTTTGCAAAATAACTGCAAGGACAAAGAAAAGTACAAAACTGATGCTTTAACTGCAACTAGCTACTTAAAGTGAATGAGGAATGACTAAGCTAGGAAGAACACATGCACTGATCAGGAAGAGCTGCTCATAAATCATACTGAAATGAGTTTTCAATTAACCCCTTAAGGTGGAGCTCATTTGTTGTCCACACTTCCACCGGTAACTGAAGTACCCATTGTCTGGGTCGTTATCATGCGACACATCGACGTAATTACGTAGTCGACCAGTCGACCTCGTCAACAAATAGCCCCAGCCCTAGTTGTGGCATTCCTCTACAGAGGCTCTTGCAGTATCAGTTCGACGATGTTTGTTTGCACATTTCAGCAGACTTCAAATTAAAGCGTGGTGTGTGCAGGTGTTATTGCATGCATGCCCCTGTCTCTGTGAGCTCAATTTACCACAATTCCCCCCCTCCTACCTAGTAAACAACAGCTGGTTCCAGTGGTCCATCTGCTACCTGTAAATTCCCCTCCAGAGGACTCACAGCTCCACAGTACTATTGGTTTGTCTGCTCAGAGAGGTGCACAACCTCACACTCTGTGATTGTGCGTCGCTGCTTTGACATCATAATAACAGTTTGAATTTTTGACCGGCGCACTCAGCGGTAAACAGGCTTTTAATTGACTGTCTGAGTGCCTTTTTTCAAAGCATGACTGAGTGGCTGGGATATAAATACACTGTTTGCAGTGATGGCTGCTCTTTATTAGAGTGTGTTGAATATTATCTAAGGTAAATGTGCAAAGGTTTTGGTGGCAAAAGCCCAAATTCTTTGGTTTTTAGCACATAGTAGAATTGGTAAATAAACAAAATTAGAATGTCTTACTCTTAAGTCAGAACATTCACTTAAATATCTACGCAACAACTTATGGTGGAGCTTCAGTATTTCAAAGGAAACCACAACTTTGTTTATAGATAGTGAGAGATTGCCTGAAATATGGTTGTGATGGCCATGATCTTCAGTCTCAATATGCTTCTAGAGGTGGTCTTACACTGATAAACACTAGAGCAAAGCAGCCGTCACAAGCTCAGCCAGCAAAAGAAGACTTAAAAGCAACTAGGAGGAGGAGCCTGTTGTCCAACATTGATCATATCATTATTTTTCCTTGTGTTTTTTGATTAGTAATGATATGGTAATGAAGTTTCTAACTTTTTTCATCAACTGTATTAAAACACGTTACCAGGAGGAGAGGAGCACTGCAGTAAAATACATGTGTAAATATGTAAAGCGGTCTATTTCAGTCATTTATATGCTGCTCTGGAACAAACTGCAATGGCAGTCTGATAGAAACATCGAAAAAAGGAATATAATCCTGTCATAATTGCCCTAAATCTGCGGGGATAATTTGCTGACTCACTGTCAGTAACACTGGCTGCAGAGAGGTCGAACTGTTTCACAGTTGAAACCCCAAAACCCTTGTAGGAAAAGTAAAAAAACAGGAACCAGACTGGTGACACATTTGAACAAATCATATTAGTGTGGTACAAACAATACTTTTCAAAAGCAGTTTTAGGTGAACTGTTGTGAGCAGGATCACTGCAGATACACTGAACATCAATCACTGACATACAAAACACACTTGTGGCCACACCGACTTAGCTAGACCACTATTGCATGTTTTGTTTTGGGGTTACTCCATAAAAGGTATCTTCAGAACATATTTTTGGGAAAAGATCACAGAACAACACTTAACTTGAAGTACTAAACTGCGTCTGGTCTCTCTCATTTTAACCCAAACCCTACAATAAATGTACGGCATTGCAAAGCAACTCTGCTTCAAGATGTAAGACCTGTGTTTTTCTCAAAAATGGTGTGTTGGATATAGTATATGTCTGTGGTTGTGTACTGAGACACACAGGAAGTTTTTACACAACAACAGGGTTCAGTGGAAGACCACAGACAAATCATCACTAAAAAAATCCAGAGTTTAGCTGCACAGTCGACACCACACAAACAAGGAAGTTGTCACCACTGGCTGTGCCTTACACTGAACACAGACAAGTCAGCTCTATGAATATGCAAATGAAACCCATGGCACTAATCAGGACTGTTGACATGTTTGGTTAATTCTTTAATTTGTATTACTGCCTTTACTTCTGTCACCCTGCAACGCTCTGCCCTTTTTCTCCTTGACAACCTTTAAATTCAAATCTCTAAACTTATCTGCATTTTCAGTGACAGCTTCACTGCTGCTGGTGAAGACAGGCATGTAACACTGACAACTTCCACTTGAACTATCTGCAAAAGAGACAAGAAACACAGAGAGCTCCCAGAAAACAAGACGCCAACCTGTAAGACATAGGATCAAACCCTCCACTGAATTAAAAGTTAAACACTTGCAACAGTGAACAATATGAATCAACTACATGTGGTTTTCTTTTTCAATTAGCTGTCTGCCCTCAATACTTCAAACCTGCGACAACTGGTGAGTTAGAAAAATTATGCCATTTAATCAAGCGAGTAATCAGATTTTAGTTTCATAAAAATCTAATCATAAAATTATGATCATCAAGACTTAACGGTTATCGCGCCACCTGATGTTTTGCCCCTGTTACATTGAATGAAGCTCACCTTTCCTCACCTCCTTAACAGCCAAGCATCAGCAGGGCTCCTCTGTTGGAACAGCTCTAACTTTCACTTCATCATGAGTAGCTTGGATCAATGTGAAAGAAAGTTACGGAGCAAGAAGAAGTTGCAGCTCCCACTAAGGTAAAGATTAATGGTTGATCGCTGTAACTTCAACATGCAGTGCAACAGTGGTACAAACTATCAGGTAGCTACAGGTGGAGAGAGGAGAGCAGGGAGAGGAGCAGAAGCTAACGAACAATACAGTGGATTTTGTCTGAAATGCGAGATGCTTGTATTGTGATTAAGTGTATTAAAATAAATCTTGCTTATGCTGAAAATCCTGTAAAGATTCTCAGTTGCATTCAAACACCTGCACTTATCCGAACTCTTTCAGTTTGAGTCACTCTTCTTGTCAATCTGCTGCCAAATGAACTGAAAGACAACTGAATTGACTCACGGCCACAACTCTTTCTGAACAAGTATTGAATGGACTGACAACAGAAGAACAACAAAGAAAAAAGATGATTTACTAAGTTGTCTCTCTGGTCAGGCATAAAAGCATTAGCTAACATGCATACGTGGGTCTATTATGTCTTCCTAATAGCTGATTGGAAAGATAGATGCTAGAAGAGAGGTGGGATTATAACATACACATACAGGAATTATACTCATAGATAAACCCCAAAATCATCTCATATTATCTTGACTTTAATGCGAGAGCTACTAAGCATGCACTTTTTAAAATCCCATTGAGAAAATGAGAAAAAGGATACAAAATCAATCACCCACAATCAATATTCTAGTCTGCTCCTGCTGTTATTACGGGCAGTGAAAATACAAAGAAACATGTATCTTCATTGCTGAACATGAGGTTGAATGACACCATGCAAAGAATTGAATCAAACAGAACAATAAGACATGAACAGGGAAAAAGTTACAACGTGTAAAAACCAGTAATATCCCATTACACTGAACTGTGACCAAGAAAGCTGTAGCTGCTCCACTTTCTGGAACGTTCCCATTAACATGTAAGCAGGCTTGTCCACATCTTGCTTAATGATAGGGTCCTGCCAGTGCCAAAAGTCCCCTCTCTGAAAACTTGACACCTGAGACAAGAGATGGTAATCATGATGCATAGACCAGCACAGATCTCCCTCTCCACTGCTTCTCTCTTCATCTAATCTGTCCCCTATGCACAACCTTTTCTCTGTGGATCTCTTAAGTCCTGTGTGATCATCCTCCCCATCTGTGTCTCTGAGCTTGTCAGTGTGCTAGCAAACCTCTGCCATACTGAGTAGATAGCAACAGTTGTTGGAGCTTTGAAGAGCAGGAAGAGAAGGGAGGTGCAGAGTAAACAGAAAAAAAAAAAAAAAAACAGAAAACGTGGCTAGCTACTTACAAAGCAGTGGTGTGTGTCCGATGAGAGGCCAGGCAGACGAATAGGAGTGAGAGCCACATGACAAACGTGGTCGATGTGGAGCTGGAGCATGAATGAGAGACAGAGAGGGAGGGAGGGAGAGTTGGAGTGATGTGGGAGGAGGGAGGGAACAAGTAGGAGAGTGGTTCTCGATGAGGGAGTCAAAATATCAGAGAAAGGAGAGATGGGGGGGGGGGGGGGGGTTCTCAGGAGGAAAAAGCTAGGTCAAGTATAAGAGGGTACAAATCTAACCAATTCAGCTCTTACTTTTAAAGTAAATGATGGGATTTTTTATAAGTAAAGACTTAGAAAAAGGTAAGAAAAAACTTAGACTGCATTAAATTTTTACTCATGTTTAGCAGAACCTGCTCAAGACTACACATCATGTCATCACCCTTGAAGAACTGTGAATGGTGTACAGAGAGAGAGAGTGAAAAGGGAGAAATGAGAGAACCAGGCTGAGCTGAATTCTCCCAGCAGGACTGAATTCCCAGTGAGACCTATCAGTTTCATGATTCCTCTTAGTGGTACACTTTGCAGGCAAGACCAGCGTTGAACAGCTGTCAACCTCTCATAGATATAGACCTTAGCAAACGTAACATCCGCTCTACTTAGGCCAGATTGACTGGAAGCCTTAGTCGATATTTTACTTGTCTCAAAGGAAACAAGTCTACACAGAGAAAGTGATCTTTCTTATGAAAGAAAAAGAATAAATTGAGCAACCCTGTAGTTAGGAGGATATTTTTCTAGTCTGAGGATTTGTGACATTGTTCTGAGCATGTTACCCTTAAACTCCAGAGCATCAAAACAAGACTGTTCTATTAGACATGAAGACAGAGAGCCAACAGATGAAATGAAAATGTGTGTATCTGATTAATGATTAAAGCTCAGAGGATGGGTAACAGTTCCTGCAGCCAAAAAGTGACTTTATATTCTGTATATACCTTCTCGGAGACTATAACAGGAAAAGCACAGAGAGACAAATTTTGTTAACAGTAGCTCATTTCCATCAAAATTGTCTGTCAAACAGACCAGCGTGCAAAACACCAGGATTCTGAGATGAGTTCATTTCAATGGAATTTACTCATTTCAAATAGTTAGAACCGACGCAGTGCTCCTCCCGCTGTGACAAGCCGAGATAGTCCAGGAAAAATAATGTATGGCTAAATGCTCCAGTAAGGAAAGCCTCTTTTCCAAGGAACAGATCACCATCTTCTATTGGCTCAAGATAGCAGTGTTATTATCTCAAGCAGCCTCCTGCAGAGAAATCAGTACATCTTATCTCTTCGTCTCATGTTCATACATGCATTGTGCTCTCAAAAAAAAAGTCCTCTCCTGCCTCGTTCTAATAAGGGGTGGAAGATACAGCAAATATATTTTGTTCTCTTTTTTACGGTAGAATCACAATCTCTATGAACATCGTTATTTTCATTTTTTAATTACAAGACCATTTTTAAAGTTACTGACAATAAAACCAAATAAGTCATTACTCTATTTGAAAAACATCATCCTTCAAAGAAAAAGAATAATAGTCCATTCAGGACAAATTAACTTTTTATAAAGAACTTATTCATGTGCGCAACACGGCCAGCTCATGCCCAGTTTAACTGACATGGACCAAGAGTACTGACATGATTATGACTGTGTGTATGCTCAGTCTCTTTTGTCTGAGTTACTTTAAAGATATACTTTGATTTGATCAGGTAAACAGCAACAATACCTAAGTGCAGAGCAGCTAGATTACCAAACTAGGTTCTCAGTCCAATTACTTCATGGTTTCATTTCAGTAATATGTCTGTTTTTTTCCTGCGTTGACTTCACTTTCTGGTAATATTTAAAACAATTTTCACATGTTGTTCTAATCAAACCCAAAAGGTGGTCCAACTTGAGCTAATAGGAATGAATAAATCACCAAACAATTAAGCCTAAACTCAAATTTCTACATGACAACACAACATAGTTCCCATACAGGCTAAGTCCGTGCAGTAGTTTAAACGCCTGTCATTATCATCATTGATTTATTCCGCATGATTGATGCCTAACATAAGCAAGGGTGGAGGGTTTCCCCTACATGCAACTGATCATGGCGCACTGCCACAGCTAAATAAAAACCGCCACACTATGAAAATTTGTTATTTTTTCTGTATGCAGTGCACACGGGCGCTGGATCACGGAGCACATGCACATTGAGTAGCTTTTAGCATTAGCAAGTTATTGTCTGCGATCACACAGCTGATTAATTACCCCGCCCCACTCTCTGAGTCGCTCAACACACACAACCAAGAATGAACTTCTGTGCAAGAAAGTCATCTTTACCCCTTTTTAACTGTGTTTTTTCTCTCCTACCAATGGAATAAACAGCAGTCACATCAGTTTCAAATCACCTCCTCAGTAACTGTTTGACTGTTGTTGAGATGGGGATCAGGACATTACTAATGCCAATCACTTTGGCCACTCCCGCCAACTCAAACATCATTAAGTGAAAGAGATTTTTCAGCATGGTCCTGACACATGTTCAGCTGTCAAAAACAGCCCAACCTAAACAAAACCCATCAGAGTTTCCACATCTGAAATACTGAGTTTCCAGGGCAGACTCCAGAGCCACTCACTCCTGCTCGACTTGCACAACATTTGTTATGATTAGCTGCGCATTATGAGTGACTGCTTTACAACTAAAACAAATGTAAGGTATTCTCACTAAAGGTTTAAAACAGCATTCCTGATGACAAGCAGCTTTTTCCAGTGTTTAGTCTTGGTAGCAGAGCGGTACTAAATTATCTTTAAGGGGCCATTTCCTATTGACCACAGAGGTACTGTGCATGCAGATGTCTGTGCAGTTGGCAGATACTGTTGTGAAACCTTAGTGGCCCCCATCATCTGTGCAGACATCTGGACCATATGTCTTCAACAATTAAGGGCTTGAGTCCAGTTTTGGAGTAGAAACAAGGAACTGCGGGGTAGAAATAGCCCAAGGACCCACAAGGGTATTAGTTGTGAAGACCAAAGAGATGCAGTCGGTTGTTCATTTAATTGCAAAAGAGCACCATTAACTGTGACTATTTATGTGATGGGCCACAATGTTAAAAAGAATTAAGTTATCATGAAATATGCACATCATTGTGACACGACGGTGTGGTAAAAAGAAAGAAATGAGAAAAAGAAAAGGTTAAAAAGAGGAAACCAAGGAAACTCTTCCATGCTATTTCTTAGACCATTAGTTTCTCAGTGAGGAAGATCTCTGGAGAGATGGTGTAGGGAACACTAGGGTAGAGGAAGGAGAAGGGAAGGAAAGCCAGGAGGATAAAAGTGAAGAAAAGGGGGGGTATGGAGAATGTAAAGCCAGAGGGTTGCCAGTAATTAACCATCCGAATGTCCTCCCAGAAAAAAATACAGAGAGCTGACACAAGCAGAACATTCCTAGGAGATGGATTAAAATAAAACTGGAAGCCTTTGTGGATGCTGATGCTCCTCTTTCCAAGGCATCAGATATGCAGCGCTCCATGAAAATATTACTGATCTGATCGCTCCATGTGACAGCGGATACAGTGATTATATCATGTTTTGCCTGAGGATACATTCTTCATTCCAGGTACATGAGAGCATGTGATTTACTGCCTAGGATGTGATTTAAAGACAATGGATAACACTGATTTAAGTGGTCTGTAAAGCAGTGCTAATGAAAATTACGACCATGAGTGTTGTTTTCTTATTTATAACAAGTGTAGGTAAAAATCATTGCATCCTCCATGCATCTTTATTCTTTTTATTAATGAGTTTTCATACACTAGAAGAAAAGCCAACTCTCATGTGCAGTAAATTCCTCTTAAAGGGGGAAAAAGACATACTCCTGACTTGCTCCAAATGTGTATAAGCAGGTACGTCTGTCTCCTGAGTCTTCAGCAACTTTAATCCCGTGAGTCAACTGCAGCAAACAGTCTGTGACCACGAGTAATGTCATACGGCTTCCAAGAAAGAATGCCTGTGGTTAGACACCATTATGTACGGCCAACCTGCCATTAGGGCTTACAGTCTTTCATCCATATATGTGTGAGCTGCATGTTTGTATGCAGGGTGCTACTCCCTGCATAAATATTGCTGTCATGTATGCATCCACTCACACACACACACACACACATAAACATAAACACTGTTTCCTCCCGTAACAGCTGTTTTTCATCACCAGCCCCACACATATGTTGGCACAGCTCCCACTCTTTCATCCTCATAAATCCCTCGGCCTATAAGAGAGACGATTCCTCACTTCCATTTTATTTTCTCAACTGTTAGTGACAGGCAGCAGAGCAGGATCATCCATCCCTTTGTCCTTCACCATCAGCTGTCCTACCTGCAGATGGGCGGACTGGGGCGATGGCAGCTTTCTTACTATAATGACTTCCTTTGAAATGTTGACTCTGCACTGACAGAGTAAGTGAAAAAAATTCAGCCTTGACCTACTCTTCCTACTCAATGAGAATTTACATGAAAGGAGAATCTTTCACTTCTTACTTCACTTTCTTTCACTTTATTTTTCATGCTTGGAACATAAATATAGCCGATACTTAACATTTTTCTGGCAGTTTTGGCGAAGATCTAGGCACGACTTGTAGAAAAAACTGGGCAAGTCTCCATTTTTCTAGATTTCAGTCCCATGAGACTGACATGAGAGTTGTGCTCCCATCATTGATCTGAACTGCAACCCACATACTTCCTGTGTGAAGCGCCAGGATACAGTTGGCTGTGTAAACAGAAGCAAGATCAGGGCTTACTGCACCAAACCAATTCACCAACAACCAGAGTCGCAACTCTGATCTAGAGTAAACAAGGATGGCGAATGATGGATTGTGGTTGTCAAGTTAAATGTTAATAGCTGTTTAGCAAATGGGTGCGACCGATAAGGCAGTCTTGTTGGTTCTCTATTCCTGACATCCATCTAACTTTATGCTTTGTGTTCACTATGGCTGTGTTCCAGGCCATCTTACCGTTTGTGCTGCTAATGCCTACATCATTTGAACCAATGACAGTGTTGAAGCATGAACAATATTCATACAGCAGCAGCCGATTTTCTGGCAGACAGTCTGGCCTGCTTTTGTGATTAAGTTATTTAATAACTTTGCTCATCTGTACACAACTAATGCATCAAACCATTGGCTTCCTGACAAAACAAGGGGAGCGTTTAAAATCTGGTCACGACCTCAGTAGAAATGACATAACAAGAGGATGGTGCCAGCTACTGTATCTATGGAGATATGCAAGAATGTCATGGTAATCTATCTGCTAACCTCAGTGGAGAGAGGGGGATGAAGAAACAGTTGAGCTCCTTGGCTTGCTTTCGCCCCAAGCCATCACTTTCCTTTTGTCAACCCTGCCAGCAGACCAGTGGGGATGTTGATTCCAGTTCCGTTCTGAGCCCATACAGAGCCACTCTAGATATGGAGCTGGTCCAGGCGGGAAACATTTTCCAACAGCAGAGGATGGTGTGGATGAGATAAGACATTCAGAATTCATCAGAAAGAACCATCAGTGATGGAGGAAAATGGAACAGAGGGCAGCAGTGGTTGGTGTTTCCCAATATCACTTACAGCCTTGTTTATGAGTTTAGACAAAAACGAGGGAAGAGCAGGTTTGAAATTAAACAGTGAGAGACCATTTGCTTTTTCTGGTAGTTAGTTTGACATGAATTCTTGAGGCCAGTTCCTCATGGATGCAATGGACAACATAGAACTGCTGAAACTCCAACACAGTCGTCAATCCATGCCCCCCAAAGCTATTATCTGCAAAGCATTCTGATACTTTTTCAATCTACCCTCCCTCTTCAGCTGCATAGCAAATAATTTTTAACAGGATCAAAGCATATGAAAGGGCTTCTGCGTCAGTGAGGTTGAGCTCGGGGAGCCGGGTGACTGAAAGTGATAATAGCAACGCAGTGGATTGTTTTTGCCCTCTATTTATGCAGCACAGAAGTATCTGAGCCCAACAGTTAAGGCTGATAGAACTGAGAAAGTATTTAAATTATTCTGGGGTGAAGTGATTTCTGCTGGGGCCGGGGCTTTCATGAAATAAAAATCATTTTATAGTTTTATGCATTTGCTGCTTTCTAAATCTTTTAACATTTTTGATTTGGCCATGGCACATATGTGAAATAATTTAACTAAAAACTGAAGCTTCATTTAGGAGAGGCAATGTAAAAGAGACTGAAACTTCCATTCAATGATGAACAGAAATGGCAGCAGAGTATTCTGCAAGAATATCCTTTTCCTAGCAACTACTTTATCTAGGTTTGGGTATCGAGAACTGGTTCCAAGTTGGAACCATTTCCACATTCCTTGGATTTGTGGAGTCGATAAGGTACCTGGTTTTGGGTTCTGTTTTTCAGTTCCTAACAGCAACGTACATTTCCAGGATTAACTCTTATGAGCATTTTGCAGTCCACAGAAGATGTGCTTATCTGCCAGGACTTGCTGTGCCAAAGTTAAATTACATTGTGATAGGAAGATGATGGCAGACCGCAGCAATAAAAAGTTCTGCTAGGCTTCACTAAAAAAAAAAAAAAGATAATGACTGGGGAAGCATGATATTGGATTTTTATCAATATCCGGTACACCACCATTTGGAGCAGGCAAAAATCAAAGACCAGCAGTTGATTCTCAAGATGATCAAAGTATCCTTTAAAAATATAGACGTTCAGTAATATGTCTGCTGTTTGTTTACCACACTGAAATACATAATAATATGGTTGTACATGGAATGCATTTCAGACAAACATGTTGGCACATGACAATTATAAAGACAGTCATTTTCATACCTGCTGTGCCGATACCAATAAATAATGTTTTTAGCACTTACCTGTTCATGCTGATACCATACCAATAATATCCTTCATTGCTAATAGTGACACAGCAAAGTGCAGCAAGAGAGGAAATTATGTGTCATGCAAGGGAAGATCCAATATGTAGAAAATATGTTTATATACCACAATGATACATGACGTGAATTTGACAGTATGCACCATATGCTCCTGTTTACATAAATGACCCAGCCACAGGTATCAGTAGCTGTGTTGTTTTGTTGACCACTATTGACCAAATGTTGATATTGTTAAGTAGTCTGAAGTGTTTTTACTGTGATTTTCTATCATTTAGAGAGCAGGGCAGTTAAGGTAGGCTAATATCAGTTCTTCAATGTTCTTCTTTGCAAAAATGATGAGACTGGGATCAAGAATCGGTAAGAACCAAAACTGATAAATAGAACTGGAACCAAAACCAGAACTGGAACTGGATACAGAATCAGAGCCAGAATTAAATGAAATGAAGGAATTCACACTCAACTATATCTGCCCACAATCAGATTCTCCTCAGATATACAGACGTATCAGCTGTAGAGGATCAGCATGCAGTGGTCAAATCACCCAGGCTTGCAATGTGCTTCATCTCCTCAGGCTGGAGGAGGATAATTTGGTGCTTGACAAAGCGTTTGAGGATGCCTTAAAACAGGTAATAAATGTGATGTACACTGGTGCGACTCTTGTGAGCTGAAGGGTTTTACAATTAAGCTAAAAGGTTGTAGAGCAAGCCCACACACTGTACACCAGTGTGACAAACTGGAGAGAAGCACACCACTCAGTAGATGACTTATGCGAAAAACCAAAGGGGGGATGATTAAATGCATCCCTGGGTAAGATTTCAGGGCACAGTGGTGTGAGTGACACTTGGACGGGCTTTAATTTAATGGTAGACTGTGTCTTTATTCACATGTCAAATAGGATGTAGCAGTGTCTGAGAGAGGTTTCAGAGATGAGCTTGAACACTCGAGCATTCTCTAAGGAGGGAGAAAAACTTACTCAAAGCACTGTAAACACATTCAAGGTGCAAAAGTCATTCCAAGTTTCTATGGAGCAGATGTTTCTGTTTCATTTGAAATAATCACAGAAGCCCCTAAACTGTAACTGACCCTTCATACGCACCCTGACTTCATTGTACATTTCAGGAAGGTCTGCTCAAAATCAGGAAACTCTGAAATAACACTGGACATTAGAGTCTAAGTATAAGTTGACATGTTGTCATAATTCACGCTCTTTACTTCACAGAAATCTGACACATCATCTCTCAGGTTGCTTGAACATTTATTGTTACTGTTATTTAGACTGAACGGAAAGCCAAAATTAGAACTAATGCTAACAAAGTAACAGAGGCTGTGTAAACTGGAGTTAAAAAAATGCTTCCTGCGAAACTACTTGTGTGGTTTTATGGACTAAGGGCACGAAAAGGTATAAAAGTCTGAAAATGTAGCACAAATGTATGCAGTAGAGGTGTGTAAACAATGTAGAATGCTCACCAAATGACATGAAATGCTTGGCTGGCCAAAGACTGATGTGTTTACGCTGTGTTCCTGCAGATCTCAATCAAAAGTCTAACAATTCATTCCCTCAATTTTCTCATTTAGGTCTATTCCTTCAAATGTAAGTTACCCACAGCGATAAACATGTAATTTCATCCCATTCATGGTTCGATGATTTATCCACTGATGAGATATGAGAGAGTGATTCATTTTTCTTCCACTCAGCTTGTAATAGATATAACATTACAAGTATGTCACCATTATACATGAATTACAAGGCTATTCAAACCCTGGTGTCTATTACGTTCTTGAGCGTGATGAAGAAAATGCCACACTGGCTGTTCAATCCCATTAAACAGTAACAATGAAAAAAAAAAGACTGACAAGCACCCACTTTTAGGGCAAAGGCCAGCATCAACTGATCAGCTTCGACACATTTCAACGACAGGAAGGCATCATGTCGTAAAATATTCATGGGAAAGTGATATCTGATAGCCCGACCCGTGTAGAGAACATAAAGTAATAAGAGTGATGAAATGGTGCAATATCAGTCTGTGGCTATAAAATACTGAGTCACACTTGAAATACGCTCACATGTGGAAAGGCTTAAAAAACCCATTATCTAATACAGCCCTGTGAGAACCATTTAATATGAAGGCCCTATGAGAAACCCCGGAGATCCAAAGGGTCCAGTGTAAGTTCAAAGAGATCAAGGAGAGGAGGGAGAGGTTAAATAATTTGGATTTAAAATTAAATATGTTCCCAGCCAAGTCCTTACTCTTCTTTCCTACATTTAAATTCACTATAAGAATTTACATACCTGTGATTTTAATAGTACCAGTGAGAGGCTGCTGAAAAATGAAACCCTATCAAAAGCATAACTCTGCTGGGTTTCTCATTTCAGAATCTTTTGGAACGACCTCCCCAAGGCTGTAAAGGGACGATAAAAATTTTGACAAAATGGGAACTCTTCAATAGTCGCTTAATTACTGTAAAGAGATGAATTAATTCTTTGAGGTTATTTAAGAGTAAATCAGGATCTGCAATGAAGCCGGTATTTGTTCAAGGAATTTTATAAAGTCATTTAAACCAAATCAGATATATGCATATTAAACGGGCAACATTTAGATAAACGTTGGTTTATGCTACCCATGTGACTGTAGGTAGGGTCAATTGGCTTGTCTGTCATCTTTGTTATGTTGAAATGCATTTAAAGAATGATTTCAAAAACCAATTAGAGGACATATAGTAAACAAGTCCGGTGTTTCCCCTAGAATTTTTTTTAGCAGGAGCTACGCTGTTGCGTTCACATTACCTGCACTACTCGCTATACAGGCCATGTATCAGCTGGAACGTTACCCTTCACATTAACGGAAGAGGGTCCAACGGGATTTGATGCACTTGTTGATGACTCAAAGCAAGTCGAAAACAACGTTGTGTGTTGTTTTGCTCACACAGTGCGAGTAGAAATTATTATTGGCGCATTAATATTAATGCCACTAATGCTATTAATGCTACTCGCTATAGATCGTGTATAAGCTTGTACGTTACCTTCCACGTTGATGAAAGAGGGTCCGATAGTTGAAAGCTACATCCTACTCAGTATTAAACACACAGTTGCTTACAAAAACATCTTTCTTTGTTCTCAGGCACAAACATGAGTTAATTATGACATTACAGGTTTGTTTGAGAGGAGCACACGTTAAACCATGTTATGAAATTTTGATCATATCGCCCACCCCTACTACACAGCCATGTAAGCGATGAAGCACAACGCAACAGTAACCTCAGGAACAGACGTGACATTTACAGTGTTACCCTCTGCCTCATCTGAGCACAGGAACACTGCTAATTACTCTAAATCTGTCTCTCACACCTTCAGAATGGCCGGTAGCCTGAAGTGACATTTAGAGTGAGAACAGCCAAGCCTCATTAAAGGTTAAGGAGGCTTTTGGGGAAGTGCTTATTCTACTCAAATTTGGGGGGGAAAGGCAAAGGTGTTGAGCATTTCTGCTCTTTTTACCTCTTTATAATTTTATGAAGCACTTTGTAACTTTGGAAAAGAAAGTGTTTTAAATATAAAGTTGTTATCATTTTAGTATAGCATGCCACCCCCACTATTTTTTTTTACACTCACTTTGCCTGGGTGTTGCCAAATCAAGCACATTAGTCTTTGCATAAAGCTTAAACACAAGGTTATGTTGTGCACGGGGCTGCAACTAAAGACAATTTTAATAGTCGACTAGTCATCGGCCATTGAAACGATTAGTCGACTAATCGAGAATTATGAAGTTCTTCTTAAATTTGTCATTTTTGCCTTGTCTATATTAAGTGCTTCAAAACTTTGGAGGTTTTTAAGCGTGTACTCGTAGCTGCTGAATGGGACGCCAACACACCTGATTCAAATGATCAGCTCGTTATTAAGCTCTGTAATGGCTTAATAACGAGCTAATCATTTGAATCAGGTGTGTTGGAGCAGGGAAACATCCAAAACATGCAGGACAGGGGAGGCTCGAGGACTGGATTGAGAACCACTGCTCTGAACAGAGATTGTAATGAAGTAAGATGCCTCACTACACTCGAAAAAAACCCTCTGGCGACAATAGTCAATGGAATCCATTGTCGACATATCGATTTTTGTCGACAATGCCAACTAATCGTTGCAGCCCTCATTTTGCAGCAGTAAACCTGGCAAATGAAAACTGGCGTCTGACCCACTGCAAATATAAATTACATCTGCTTGATTTCGGTGACACTAAGAACTTCAAAGAAGAGACTCCACTAGAGGATGTGATTAATTTTTTCACCCAGTATCAGTTTCACACACCAAAGCTCTTCATCATGGTGTTTTAGTTATTAGTTTCTAGCCTGAAAAGATTGATCTCTTTTCTAGACATAATATGCAGAACAGAAGACAAATACCACAAGGCAAATAAGCAGGGGTAAAATCTGGCATCAGTCAGTCAAAGCTAGATTAACATCAGGTCATACAGACGTTCAGATCTGCAGGAGAAAGCTCTAAGTCTTTGAGAGCCTTGTAATAATTTCTCCATGCAGAGCACGAGTATGAGAAATGTGTTATCAGCCGTTGCCACGCTCCAGTTCTGATTCCTGCATACAGATCCAGATTTGTTCTGTAATCTGTCAGCAGCTTGTAAGGGCTGATTTAACACGGCTTCATACTGTCACTTGTCCAATAACTTGTCAGTAATTTATCAGCTTCAGACCAGTAAATGTTCATGTTATACATCACTATTCTTTAGCACACACTTTATTCCATTGTGTGGTGATATTTCTGGAAAGCTTCGATCACACATACATTGCTATAGCATTTTATTTCTTGCTGGGACATAAAGTTTTTACTACCTGCTGAAGACTGGTCTCGCTACAACTCGCTGCAAATATCTGACCTTTGAAGAGAATCAGAAGACCACAACACAAGAAAACCCAAACTTTTGCAATCACTCTAAAATTAGATATAGACAACATAAAGAGAAAATATTCAACTTGAATATTTACAGGATGAGCTCTAGATCAAGGGATCATCTATGTGCAAAAAATTCAGTTTATGACTATGATACACAATAGGAGGATGATATTATTATAAGAAAGAATAAAGATCTTCAGCTTATAAACTTGGTCCAAAGCCACAGACATAAAATAATACAGAAGAAGGAAAGTCTAAGAGTATGTGTTTCGACAAGCCCGTGGTGAAGATGTATACTTAAAGCACAAAAATAGTTAAAACAACAGACTATAAACATATACCATTTGGTTGACATTAAATCTAAGTATCCTTGTTTTCAGAAGCTGTTTCTAAACTTGTAATCCATGCACCACATCCTCCTTATGTTCAAAATATAACTGCTTTTATGTGAATACTACTGCTATTATATAAAGGGTTTCCCCTCACCACAGAATTTCTCATTTTTGTGCATTAGTCGGACACTCTGTTTCCAACAAACTGTAAACATTTTGAGGGAAATATCTGCCACTGCATTTAGACGAGTTGAAGACTCACTACGGATCAGTTTTTCACATGTTTTGGAGAGAAATGAGCACCCAAAGACTAATGAGTTCCTGTCCTTAATAGTTGAAGAGATGAACAGGAAAGACAAAAGAGGATCATGATTGTTAAGTAGAGAATTATCCCCTCTGCAAAGCCTGCTAGTGTTGGCTTCCTGCTCTGAGCTGATTGCAGGAGGTCTCTGAGGGCCTGTCTCAGACTAAATACATGATAAGAACCTGTGAAGGACCCTCTGAGACAGAAAGAGAGGGAGGGAAATGAAAAGAGGCAGAAGAGCAGATGCAAAGACACTGGACGAATACAAAAAAAGAAAAAAAAAGCTACAGTCTCCTCCATCTGTTTGCTCAACGTTAGACTTCTGGATATATTCTGCCATCCAAGAAGAGAGGAACATTAAAAAATGTGCCGCACTTTAAAATACAGACATTATTCATAAACCAGAGAATGGAAAATATCTCTAGGCCAAGCATGATTAAAAAGATAATAGAAGGGTGCTTGCTGAAATTGTAACCTTTACCAGGCTTTTCATGTAAAACAAAGAAATAATGAAACAGTCCTCTGCCAACTCAATCAATAGCAGGGAGCAGACAGACACCGAGCAGCTAAAGGCATTGTTTTTCTTTTCATGGAAAGGATTTCAAGCACTCCTTCATGATAATTTTTGGTAATTACCCACTTCTATCACTGCTGGACTCAAGCAGGGACAGCTGGCAGTTATTCATCATTTCCCTGACCAGGCAGTTCCTGGTCAAACTCCTGTTTGACTTGCATTCATGATGCAGATAATAGACACACCTACAAGATACAATAAGTGGATGGAAGATTTGGAAAAGTTCTGCCTTTGGAGAAATGACAGTGCAGGACCTGAAGAATCAACACATTATTCTAACATGGATTTATATAGAGCATGGTCAGGAGTCATGTCGTATGCCAAAGGATCTATATGTTTCAAGCAGGGTCTAATTTTTCGTTCACAAAGAAACTGACAAGAATGCAGGACTGGATTTCATGCTTAGACAAAAGGATTCCCAAATTATCTCTGGCACCCACTTGAATTCTGGATAGAGAGCTGTGACTGCCTTTGACATTAAAGTAGCGATGGATGATTATTCCATAAGTGAAAGAGAAGACAGGTAATGAGGCAAAAACGGCGAGAATGCATTTAATATGCCTTGTCTTATCCTCTGTTCACTTTCTGAAGACTCTTTAAAAGCAGCCAGAGTCACAGTGCTGTTTTCAGACAGTATACTTAGACCCTCATGATAAGTATTACAGATGTGATGACTGAGTCATCACAAAGCCCAGCGAGATATCAAAATCCATCAGCACTGCTCCCGATGCATAGAAATGAAGTCATTAGAACAGTGAGCGAAGGCAATCCCTGCTGAGTTTAACAGCCCTGCGTCACTCTGCTCTATTTATAGTTGCCAGGCCCAAATTAGCCTTTGAAGTGTAATTCTGAGTATAAACTGGGCACCAAATAATGAGGGAAGTCACTGGTGGAAGCTCTGAGAATCACTATGAAAGCAGGGCCACTAATCTGAGCAGCACTATGGAGAAAAAAAAAGTGTTTTTGTAGCCATTCTGAAAAAGGACCTATATTAAGATTGGTGCAACCTGCAGGCACAAAAACAAAGTGACACCTGTTAGCACCAGCTTCATCAACCGTGCTCATGAAGAGACATGGAGGCTACCCTACAGTGGCCCATCCATGTCCATCATACAGGAAAGTTTTGTATCAACAGCAGAAAGAAGTGGGGTCACCAGTGTGGAAGCATTTCAGGTACATCAGTACGAAAGAGGATTAGGGCCACAAGAACAGAAAAAAAATAATGATTACAGTAGGGAGATTTTTTTTTATTTCCATTTTGAGATTAAAGTTGAAATTTAGAAAAGTCGAAATTTCAACTTTATTCATGTCGACTTTAATCTCGAAATTTCAATTTAAATCTCAAAATTTTAATTTTTTTAATTATAGTGTTTGTGTTAATTATTTGCTACATTTTGTAATCTCGAAATTTCAACTTTATTAACATAATTTAGATTTTTTTTAATGTTGACATTTTTTCTACTTTAATCTTGAAATTTCGACTTTTATCTCCTTCCTGTAATTACTTTTTTTCTCTTTATGTGGCCGCCATAATCCTCTTTCATACATCAGCAATGGCCAAGGAGAACAATCACGTGTCTGGAAAAACCTAATGCAGAAAAGTCGCAGCAATGAGATCAGACACTTCAAACTTCATGCAACTTCTATAGAATCACCACCCAGCACAACACATTAAGATGATATGATAAGCGAGAGTATGCTCATGGCAACTTTGAGGCAAACTGTGGGTTGAAATCATCCATTACATGACACCCCAAAATCAACCAGATACAAATTAAGTATCATGCGACAAAAAAAAAACACACAGTTGTAGTGCTTGCAAAAGTTTTAATAGTATTTTAGACAAAGCTAGCAAAATGCCAACTATTAATTTTTCCCAGCACTATTATGCATATTGTTATCATCCCACCAGATGTTGATCTACATGGTGCAATTAAGATATTAATTTAAAGTTTAGGCAGCCATGTTGAGAGGAAATTAACCTTTCAATTCTGAACAAAGCATCCCATCACTCAAAACACTGGATTTGATAGATTAAAAGACCAGTGATGTTCTGATGACTGCATTGCAATTACACGACAACACAGAGTTAGCGCCACCAACATTCAGTCCTCATTGTACATAACTGTCCACGTATCTGTGCTAGTTACACATTTCTCCTGTTGAGTGGTTTAATGCCAGTTTTACCAGACACAGCCTACACACAGCTTCACTTTCTAGATGAAAAATCTGCCAATCTGTGCTGTGGTACAAGATGCCACATCATCTGTGCTAGTTTACATCCAAGCAATAAAGCATTGTGGTATTATGGCAGCAGGAGCTTCAGGAGTAACAATCCAAGCGGCATGTTTTTATGAAACTGAAGAGTTTTCACAGGAATGCCTTGTTGTCTCGCTCAGGCCTAAAGCGATGCGTTCTGACACTCACACATCTGTGCCAGCCGGCCAGGAAATATCCCAACACTACCAGCCTTGCATTCCATCAACAGCTGAGCTTGTGAGAGACATGCACCAACAGGACGCCACAACACAACCACGACGGTGGATGAGGCGATGAAGCCTTTAAGAGCCCTATCACATTGCAGCCTGACAGCGTTCAGGGATTTATAACAATGTAGCTCGGCACTGCTGTCAGTTTTGCTCTTTTGAATGCCGTGGTGAGCTTTAAACAATGTGGTCTGTCGTGTTACATGAGACCAACATTTGAAATGTGAATCTGACTCCTTTTTTTTTAAAACAGAGTACATCAGATTGTAGATGCGGTTTGAGGGCTCGTCAGGACGAATTCCAAGCAAATACTTAATGTTTACAGCTGAAAATAAAACAAAAACACTCTGAGTTCTCTTAGCAAGTCATTTTATGTGACTACAAATGATTTTGTGTGACACTAGATGAAGAAACAAAGCTGCCAATGATGCCGCTGCTGCATCCTGCAGCATGCCACTGCAGCTAATGATGCTTGAATAGATTTAACTTCCATGAGCAGAAGAAAAATATCTCTGTAGTATAATGCAATAGTCTGTATCCCTGGGAAAAAAAGATGAGAAAGACTGCTGTGATATATGTGCTGCCATCTCGAGAATCTGACTGAAAAAGGATGGCTTTGTTCAAAATCAAATCATGTCGCCTGTTGTCTCTGAAGTGCTCAACTCTGATAGCTAGACCCATCCACAAAGTAGGCCTAAACATCAAAATATCTGTATAAAGACGCTGTTTTAATTCTCGTCAGAGCTTATCACTTTAATTATTTGTCTTGCTTTAATAACTTCTTACTTGGAGAAGTAGATGAATTATAATCAGACATCGTTTTAGTCCTGGAAACTATCAGCACTGTTCTGCAATGCTCCAGCACAAGGAAAAACAAAATTCCTGCAGGGCATACACCGTAATACTTTATCAGGGATTCATCTAACTTTCCACCATTTCTCTGTTGCACCTTGATGCGATATTGAAACAATATTTTATTTCAAGTCAATTTTTAACCCTGCCCCACTTCACCTTCCTAAAAATAGATTTTGCCTTCCCCCCGTCCCCTGTCGAGTTCTCCAAATCTAATTTATTTTGGCCATTTGGCATCTGAAGACAGATTTGGCTCTGTGGGCCTTCTGGCAGGAGGTAACATAAAAAGTTTCCAAAGAAAAACAGACAAACTATCAATCAATGGATAGAAACTTATGACCCTCTGACACTGGGAAGACACAATCATAATCTTTGCTTTGCGGAGACTCAACATGGAGGTTTATCTAACGTTTTCACAGTTCTCATGCCTCCCAGAACAAAAGCATTCTTTGGATTAAATCTTATCTCAAGGTTTCATGGAAATATCTGACAAAGTACTGCAGCCTTCTTCCTTATTTTCACTGTCACAAACGGACACAAGTTAAAAATACAGTCATGTTAAATACCCTAGCCTGCCTCTAGCTACTCACTTAACAAGACAAGATCTTCGAGTTCCATCTTAAATAATAGGCGAAGTGTTTCCACTTAATGAGGCTGGATATGAACTTAGTTTAGTTTGCAGTTCCCACAAATGATGGCTCCTTACGTCACGTTTGGAAAGAAAGAACTTTGACTTCCTACCGTTCCTGAGTCATGATGAGATTACAAAAGGGATCGCTGGCAGCAGAAATTGTTCTTTGAGCGACAGGTAAAGTAACAATGGCGTACTTACAGAGAGTTATCCTCATTGTACAAGAAAGAAGAGTACACCTCTCCACAAAATTTCCTGGATAATCATACGGCTTCTGTGACTCCTCATTCTTTCTCAATGACACAGCTTTAGTGTTAACATCTGAATGACATTACAAGTTAGAGTCTGCATCTGGTTTCTTTCTTTGTCGGAGGAAAGCTCGCTTTTCAGCGCTTTTTTAAGTAGCCAGTTTTGTCCTGATTATTTGATTTGTGTAGCAGTGAAACTCTGATTGATGATTGGAATTAACTTGATTTGACATTTTGGGTTTGGCGAGGCTAATTATGGACTGTGTTCAACTGGACACTTCATACTGCAAGTCCATTTCAGTAAAATATCAACATCCAACACAAGCACTAACTGTAAAATCTGGATATACAGTAAGTGATACTTGTATACAATAAGATGTGGTCTGTTTCCTTTGGGGGGTTCCTCAGAGGGAATGAGGTTCTAACTGAGTTCCTGTCTGAAGACTGTGCTGTCTCCATGCAGCTGCAAATCTCTTTTTAGCACCATCTGTTATCGTCACCATGCCATGGTAGTTTAACACCTACTACAGTAGCGTTGATGGCCGTAAGGACCCACTGCAAGTTTCCATTTTGCTGAGATCGGGGATACCCCTCTTCACAGCTCACTCGTTTTGTACTGAAGAGTCTTTTAATCCAAAACCAGCGCTCTACAAGGCCTGTCTGCTGAAAAGTAAAAGTAGTAGAGAGAGGAAGAGAGAGAGAAAGAGAGAGAGAGAGAGAATGAAGGGAATGAAGGGGGCGATGTGTAGCACTGAGCTGGCAGCACATAAAAGCACTGTACTGTATGCGCAGGCATTGTCTGAGTGTGTTTGTATACTGAACTCCCCCTGTGTGTTAACAAGCCATACCTTTAGTGCTTCTGCAACAACATAATGTTGGTACACCAATAGTGTGCGGTTTTGGGGCGCAGTCTAAAAGCAAAAGGGTGTCCTGATGGCAGAACTCCAAAAGTTGGAATTGCGATGTATAAGAAGCTACTGATGCATGATCAAGATTAAAACCCATAAATCACTACATCTATAACTGTATGTACATTTCTTTATCCATCAGCAAATAAACAGCAAACAAAATGAAAGAATATTAAAGATTTACCATTAACTTTATTCAACAAACCGTGTAAGGGATGCTTGTGGAGCTCAATTTCAAATCTACCGAAGCACAAAACAAACTCTCGATTGATTGCTGCATCTCGACAGGAGTCTTGAGTGAACTGCAGTGATTGCTTAAACTGAAAGTGACAAAACAAACAAAAAAGGACTAAAAACAAATCAATCTAATCGAAGAGATGTTAAATTGTGTGCCCTGTGGAAACTTGTCTGATATCTGTCCAATTTAAGTTTTTAAGAATTTGAGGGTTTAATTTTGTTCTCAGGAACTTCAGTCAGAATAACTTTATGGGAGATTTGAAACTACTAAACTCAATGTCTGTGTTGAATGAGGATTTTCTGATTCGGTTAAAAAAGTTGACTATTCTGACATGAACTTGGAGGATGACAGAACCTTAGAGGGAATATATCACCATTTACTACCTTGTCACTCAGATTTCTTATTTCCAGGCCTGTGGTCTGGTGCATACAGATTGCACATTATTCTGAATGAAACAGGCTGAATTAGAGCATGAATGATCAATAACAGCGAAGGAATGTGGGGTGAGGGCCAGAGAGAGGACTCCCAATGTCCTGTATACCATAGATGAAATATTACCTATTAGCTCAGAGCTCCATTTTCATAGTGCTTATCAATAATGCATGTAGTATAGATGCTTTTCTTCCAGGCTAAGTGGCTGATTGGTTTGCATTATTTGCAATGGAGGAAATATGCTGTTATGGGAAGTGGAAGGTCAGAGTTAAGAGTACACCCTTGAGTGCAGCTCCTGCCTTCCTTACTCAGGCAAACTTACTTCTTCAGCTGAATTAAGTCATCTTTTACTTCTGTTTAAGGCGATACATTAATGTCAAGCTGAAGTTACAAAATAATAAGGAATATCTGTTACATAAAAACTGGTGTTTGGCAGGATATTAGATGTTCAGTTGCATTTTAATATTCGAGTCCTGCAAAAAGTTAAACTACAATCAATTGACATTAAATATGTTGGTGTATCTTACAACTTAACTTCTTGAAGTCATAAAAGTTTCAATCAGTCTTCTTAACAAACATATAGGTCTCAGTTTTTAAGATTGAGGTCTGCAGGTCAAAAACTTTTGCATGACTACACCCTGGTATTTGCTTGACACGAGCACCAGAGATAGAAAATATGGAAAATAGATTTTCCTTGACATGAAAGTGTTTGCAATGTGTACACAAGCTTTGGACTGACATTAATGCACCATGTAACAGCCATAGAAAAATATAAATGATGTTTAATCTTGACAGATGTCAGAGGTCTAGTACAGAGAAAGGTATTCACCCCACCCTTCAAGTTTCAAGAGCTGGCATGTAAACACAGCTGAAAAAACATGCTATAGAGGGTGGGAGGCTCCAGGTCCAGCCGGGTGCAAAGGAGTCACAACAAGTCAAGATTACATTATTCCGAGCAGAGAAAGTCAACTCTCCTCACCCATAACATCCACCCTGATGACAATGGTCAGAAGTTGTACTGGTTTGAACCAGTTTCTCCACATGATGAAGGCTTAATAAGATTGTCACGGATGGATTATATAATAAATCTGTGGACTCTGAAAGCAGGAAGCCATTTTTCATGATTTACCCATCTGAACATTTTAGAAAAAAACCTATCAGTTCTTTTCTGGGAGGCAGTGAAGTCAACAGGGTCTATTTTTTAGAGCTGTCAGGCCCTCAAATCCTCCTAGTAAAACATTCTGTGTATTTACATCAGTTGCATTGAGCCAGACAGCTTCTAAGTTGTCAATGAATCTGATACAGTGTAATGTGTGTTTAGGTTCCACTTTCAGATATAATGTGATTCTAAAGCAGCTTAATCCCTCTAGAATTGACAGGATGATAAATCCCTCACAGGCAACGATCTATCACTCCTTCATCTGGTCTCACACATCATCTCCAATACAAAATGACATCAATCATGTATTAGTCCGAGTGTCCGTGCCTGTGTGCCTATCTGCACACATGTTCTGCAATGTGAAAATAAGACCCTGCTGATATGTCTCTTCGACAACTTTTACAGAACTTATGGGCAAAACTTTGTGTCTTTTTTTTCAACACATGCTTCAAAGTTTCTAGGTACTTTCTTAACTTTGCCAAAGGTAATAAAAATATGAGTCTCACAGGGCCCAAGAGTATAAGAAACAGATCTTAAAATGAGTGCAATAGATTAAGCCCTGCAGGAGGAGGCAAAGGAACACTTCTGAGAGGCAGATACTGTAAAGATTAATTCAGATTTGTAACTCTGCAACTTTCCACTTTTTGAACAGGCCTCTTAAAACTGTTTGAACATGCCCTCGGGCAAGAAAATGCAACTCAACTCCAGTTTAAATCATAGGCTAAAAAATCTTGAAAAATGACACTTATACAATAATCAAACACTCATCTTTCAGAAAAACTTTGCTTTGTAGGCTTGATTCAAGTTCACATTTTGCACATCATTTAACTAAAGGCAGAACTGTAACCATCAAGCTGTGTTTAATTCTTAATGGCTGGAGGCAACTCAATCAGAAAACACTAATACTTGTTTAAAAAAAAATTCCTATTATAACTCTGATACCAACTCCAAAGCATGAAATCCAATTTCTCATTTGATCTTCAAAGCACAAACCAAGCAAAGTGGGGCAGAGGCCGAACAGCTGAAACTTCAGCTTGTTTGAAGAGCCAGGCAAGACAAGGTTGAAACAATAGGCAGCCAGACGAAAGGGCTTGTCGCAGATCAAGTTGAAAGTCACTGGGCAGACTAGTCGCCCATAAATCTCAAGCAGAGATTACATGACACCACGTGAAGTAACCAGATCAGCTTTCAAAAGTAGGGACTTCCCACTCTACAATACGCGGAAGTGCTGCTTTAGGGTTGGCAAGACGACGTGAAATAGAGCCAAGCACCTTCCATGATATATTAGTCTTAGTCGTCACTTATTGCAGCAACCAATTGTCCTACTAGAAAAGTGCTCAAGCTAATAATGACATCATACAAGCTCCAAACTTCAGGTTACCAAGGTTACCTGAAATACGAGGGAATACAAAATTTCCTCCTCATGCACAAGGACAAAATGACCGATCCACTCTATTCAACCTCGAGGTAATTACTTTAAGATAGAGAAGCTAATTTGCCAGTTTTGATAACGCCATGCATTATACATGCATGCAAAATGTCATTGACCTTAACATGTTCTTTCTCTGACTAGTGCTGCTCTGCTTTCCAGCAGGGCAAATGATGGAAGATTTGGTATGAATGTCATGAGCGGTATAATTACTCACAGCATCTTACACAGAAAATCGACTCCAGCTCCTAATACCACATGATGGGAGACACAGAAACTTGCCAGCGCATTTATGGGTTAAGATGCATGGGGGAAAGCAGCTTAAATGAGGCTTTTGTGGTCGCAGTGTAACACTCACAGGATAGATGATTCACATTTTGTAGGAGCAGAATGTGTAGCGATCTGTAAGCAACAAATCATAGACATAAATTTGGCTAGGAGTGCACAGCTATGCTAGTATCTATGAGGCATAAAGGAGCTAAATTCTCCCATCAAAATGCTAATATGCCCTCAGTGAAAATGCTAACATGCTGGGAGAATATTTACAATGTTTATCCTGTACAGTTAGCCAGCATTCAGTCATAAACCAAAGCACTGGAGAAGAAGTTTTAAAATCCAAGTTTTTTTTAACCCAGACATAATACCCCCTAAGGGATCTTTCTAAAAGTTATTGAGCTTTTCCTCCCCAAATCACAAATGTCAACCTCATGGTCGTGCTGGAGTCTCCTCAGGTTTTTACCAAAGTTGTAAAGTTCATCCACTGGGGAACACAAATACCTGATCATCCATTTCATGGCAATCCAATAAAAAAGTTCTTGGAATCCTTGAATACGGATCAAATTGGTAAGCTGTTGAGATATGCATATTCAGTCTGGTGTAGTTTAGCCATCTACCACTGACCAGGGCTGTAGCTCCAGTCAGTAACCACTCTGATGCTTTAACTCCCTACTAACTGGAAGCAAACAAGCACAGATGACAGATGGCATCTTGAAGCTGGTTTGTGAGTATTTTGATCAAGACAGCTACAATGAAGTTGTATGTAGGCCATTTGGTTAAACTGACACATAATCACTCAGCTGAAGAGATGTGTAAGCAGCACAGGCATATGGATGTTAACATGCAAGAGGGACCAAGGCTGGTGGTGCCAGCTCCACTAACATTAGCCACACTTGAAAAACCAATTTAACCATCCTATAACGCTTTTTTAAAGTATTTTCTTACCTTTAGACAAGTCAAAATCTGAATTTCAGTTTTGACAACAAGAAAGTCAGTTGCTTTGGTGCCTCCCAAGCTAACAGGCTAAAAGTCACTATACTTCCTTGAGTCAATACAACCGCAGTACTTTAAGCCTTCTTCAAAGTGAATTTATTTCTTAATTCATGCCCATAAAACACTGGTGCATTGGTTTATTCAAAAAAGTGACTGCATGGATAAATAAAAACCTTCAAAGCAAAGTACAAAGCAGATACTTCCTGTAAATAGCCTGCAAAAAGCAAAGCTCCCTGCATAATACAGATCAACATTCTTCCTTGATGAATGGGACGGTGGCTGCGTGGGAAAGCATGTCCTTATCTTGGCAGCGTCGACTAAGGACCAGGGAAGAGCCATGGCAGGTCGTGAGGAACGATGATCTCCTCTCATGCAATGGCACATTCCTGCCATAACTAAGTAGAAACAGGCCTGGGATAACTATAGCAAGCAGCATGGAGGGGACAGGGGGTCACAGCTTGGTGGAATTTTAGGGGGGACTGCCGCCCGCCCCTCTACAAAATGTTTTTGAAAAGGCTTTCTGCGTATACCAAGACTGCAACTAGACCTCAAAGGCTAGGGTGTCAAGCTGACATCATTTTACCTTTGTTACACCAGCAGGTGACAGAATGGAAAAGCAAGACAATAGCATAAACATATGGTCAGTGCTTTTGAGTATTTTCTTGGAAAATACACTTTTTGGTTATTTAAATATCAGAGTCTTGTGAATAACTTTTACGTCTATTGTGTGCCATGTGTAAAAAAGTCACTATTAGTGTTTGAAAAGTTGCTTTGTGTCTGCTTATTTGTGGTTTTGAGCCCAAATCATGCCGTGGAACATTCAGTCTATAAAAAGATCAGATATGAAAACCAGCCTTTGTTGGGATGTATCAAATGTTTTAGATCAAAACAAAATCTGACAAGTAAGAGTTTGTGGTTAATTATTTTCCCCTAGATATGACACATGACAAAAAAAATGTGTCACTTCATGAACTTGTGACTTCAGTCTCTCTGAGGTTCCCTCTGACTAATAACTGAGCAGAGAGCTGACCCATACATCATTTGATATTGATGTTTCAGACTTCTGTGACTCCCTCGGTGGAATCCACTTTCTCTCTGTGATGAGAACTCCGACAGCTGCCGGTTTCCACAGTCCACTTAGCATGGCCTTCAGGGAAAGTCAGGGATTGAGAAAGAGTGCGTCGGAGCAGGAGTGTGATGGGAATACATGTTCCCGACACCCACTCTTTTATTGATCTCCTCTGTCCTTGGCTGCATTGACATGATAAGCTTCAAGGACGCGCAACTAGCTATGGTTCATCTTTCCCCATTCTCACACTACATTTCCTGTCGGAAAGATACTTTCTGGAGCGTAATTGATTTAAAGCTTATCAACAGGGTCTTAATGGGAAAACTTTACATTGTTTACTGTTGAGGCAATGATAGCAAGGGCACTTTTAGTCAGCAGTGTGAGAGTGGTAACTGTAGAAGCAAAAAGCACAGGCCACATCCTAATCCATTTATCAAGGACAATCACAGCGAGGAAATGCAGCAATCAATAGAGAGAGTAACTTAAAGAGCTTCTATGAGTCAACAATGTGTAATCTTGATGGATCTATACACACATACAGCCAGTCAATACACATGGGCTTCAGAGTGGTCAGACATGATTGAGGGACAGCACTGCCTCTCTCAGCTGTTGGAGCAGAGCCACAAGCAAGTCAGCAGAGCACAAAGAGCCGGTTAAAACAGGGGTGAAAAACCTACAGTACTCATTACTCTTGTATTTTCGTGGCACTTATAGGGTCTAGAGCAGTGGTTCTCAAGTCCAGTCCCCGAGGCCCACTGTCCTGCATGTTTTGGATGTTTCCCTGCTCCAACACACCTGATTCAAATGATCAGCTCGTTATCAAGCTCTGTAATGGTTTAGTAACGATCTAATCATTTGAATCAGGTGTGTTGGAGCAAGGAAACATCCAAAACATGCAGGACAGTGGGCCTCGAGGACTGGACTTGAGAACCACTGGTCTAGAAGATACCAACAGAACATGTCATTACTTAGTTTTTATGACGCAATCAAGTGTGGCTCTCTCAAATTTCAGAAAAAATACTTTTTTAATTGCTAAACTGCAAAGAATACAAGTAAAACAACTGCACTGTCGATACATTTTTACAACAAGTAAACCGTTAGTCCTTCTAATGTACAATTAAAATGTTATATGAGTCATACCTTTAAATACTTTAATTCAAAACTTTGTCATATTTGATTTTAAACATAAAACACTCAACATCATTTAATGGTGACACTTTCAAAGTTCATGTGCTCAAGTTTTAGAGCATTTAGAGGTAATTATGTTAGAAAAGAACCCACTCAAGTCATTTTCCCTAAAGATCCCCCCTCAACCTTGATAGGACTGGATGGTGCATGGTCTATCTGTGAGAGCCTGTGAAGACAGCATTGTGCTGTGGCTGGCTTGGATTCAGTCGAAGAGTTGGCAAGTCCAATTAAGCTCAAACCACTTCAAAGTTCATTTAGAGACAACAAACGTGGGACTTCGTTGCTAATTAGGCCCTGGAATTATATAAGATCTGCTGGTACAAACACCATGTTGAAACAGTGGACAACTACAGTGATGTCAGTGTGTGACATGAACAATCACTAGGGTGGTCCACTATGACCACCACCAATTATCTCAGTACAGTAAACCTTTGCCATATTACTGGCACAGTTAAACAATATCACTATTCCTCTATGACTTTGTAGAAATTTAGATTGGTCTAGCATTTATGCAACATCTTGAAGCACTGTCTTATGCCATTTCAAGCCTCTAAATCTGGTTGCCAATCTGTCCCCTAAATATTGAAGTTCTGGACAGAAAGGCAAACTCTCATATATTCCATCTGCTCCTGAAATCCACTGAAATTTTCTTTCAGTCGCAGTAGCAGCACTGACTGTTTGCAAGACAATATTCACACACAAAGCTGATCAAAAGTGCCGGGGGGAGGGAGAGAAAAATGGGACTGAAAGTATGTAATGTGATTATAAAGTGGAGCAGATATGACAGCCATAAGAAGCACAAAGGGACTTGCTGGCACAGCACAACTAAGCAGTATTAGTGATCACAGCAGATAACTACCAAAACAGAACAAAAACAAAACATGTCCAAAAATAGCTGCAAAGCTTCGAAGGTGACATGAAACTACGATTCTGAAATACCGTTGACATGAAGTCATGAGGGATGAAATCATTTCCCAGCAAGAGACGATGAGTGTGTCTCATCTAACAGACATTGCATTTCTATTGAATCATTTGAACTCTGCTTGAATTTAACCAAAAATGAACATCACTGTGTGAAATGATCAAACAGGGATTTTTCGGGGGGGACCTGCTATACTAACTAAAGCTAAACTAACACTAAGTTACAGACAGACACAAACAACCCCGGAAGATTTACCAGGGTGGGGCTGTAGAACACTCTGACAAATTTGACTGCTTTGTAGTATTTACTCCCTCTGTGCCAAAGCATGAGAGCACTGGTTATAAAAAGGAAGATTTATAGAGGGGCAGGCACACAGACAAAGAACTAACAAACATTAGCCTAGGCAGCACAGAATGGCTACCAGTGACCCTGCGCAAGCATGACCAACCCAAGCCCACTTTAAATATTTCACGAAGCAGAGTTGTGAATGAAAACAGCACCAAAAGCAGCCAGTCTTTTACCTTTGTTGTGTTTATTTGTGTTGTTGTGTTTCCCTGTGGTGCTGTAGTTCATTTGTACAACCTAATCTTACTTGTGTCTCAGTGGCTTTTAAAGGCCTATAATATAAACAGCTCCCAACCCACCTAGGTTCATAAGAAGAAAGCTCCCTAAGCAAATGAAGCCTCGTCTATATGTGATATACAATTTCACTAAAAATGAAATAAGAAGCACGAAGTATGAGATGACAGGATTCATAGCAAATTAAATACAGACAAAACTCATTTCGTGTAGTGAGAGGTTGTCAAATCCAAGCAGCAACTTTGATCTGATTAACTGTGCAGATATGATCTCGAAAATAACAGGGAAGAGAATTAGTCACTCTGCTTACCTGCCAGGATACACTGCTCCCTGCTGTCTTGAGTATTAGGAGGTGTGAAAACACCAAAACTTGCTGACTCAGACAAAGCCACAGGGCTGGAGCTAATTCCCCTGCAGACAAAAGACAAGAGGGCATATGTCATCTCAATGTCATAATCAGGTGCTCTGCTCTCCTGGAAGGTGCAAATTCAAGTCAAAGATACAAGCTAAATAGAATTAGTGTATTAGTTTGAGCAGAAAAGACTTTTTTTATTACAATCACACAAAAATAAGGACACCTGAATATGAAACACAACCATACATACAAGGAAAAATTTGGGGGTAAATTTAATTTCACAAAACTCACTCATATTTTTCACAACTGCTTATGAATTAGCAGCAGGTAACTTTCTTATGTAGAGGGAACACAAGAATGGCAAATTCCACATCTTGAAATCAGTCCCAAATGATGAAAGGTCTGCAAGTGTTAATCTTTTAAAGATTTTACGATGCATCCTGCATCTCTAATACATTAGATTAGAAATGTACACCAGCAGTTTGTCCCAAAGATACAGTTCATTTTTCACATTCAGAGCCATAGACTGTATGCTTAACCCACAGTACAGAAAGGTTAGACTACTTGTGCATGAATTAATGTTAGCCTGCTAACACAAGCCACACTAAACTCTTCTTTTAATTTCTGGCACATTTGGAATACACCTGATTATCTTTCTGTTATTATAAATACTTATTATTTCTCAGAAAACAATACATGATTATTTGAGAACCATGAAGTTTCACATGGACCCACTCAAATCACATGGGTCCTTTGGATTTACTACAATGACAAGCTATTTACATCACTGCTGGTTGTGAAGTGTAGATATGGGGGGCCTAGAAAGCACAACACACCTGTTGAGCTCTCTGACCAGTTGGCACCTGTTTCCTGCATGGTGAGCTCAATGTAATGACAGACTGATTAGCCACCAGCTTTCTTACAAACTATGACAAAAACAATCTAATCTGTGACTTGTATTTTACACTTTTTTTCCACAGGAAAGGGATTCCATATCATGTTGACAGTATCCAGTTACCAGGGTAGCAGTGAGACATTCACTGACTTTCTAAAAGGCACCAAGCTGAAACTTTGAAAAAAAAAAAAACTGATCCCAGCTGACATGGAATAATCTTGATAAACCTTCTCAAAAATGAAAAATGTCAACAGACTAATGAACTATTTCAAACTCTGCACCAGTCATGTCCTGACTCTCATTAAAGCCATGAGTCAACAGAAATTAGTCATGAACCACTCCCTTGCCCTAAATTCATCCCTGCAGGCATGGCATTCTGCTTTTACCCTCTCTATACTGCAGTCTGCCTGGGCAAGGCACCCAACTATATAAGGAATTGTTAGTGTTGTGCCTCTAAACTATTAAGAGCCATGGGTTTAGAGGTTGGGAGTCTGTTTACACTGAAAGCCTTTTTATTTTTTTGTTTAAGAGGGTCCACTTGCTAAACATGACTCAGGCTTTAATGTTTAATCCAACACTAATATTTGCTGCCAGCATGAGGGAGGTGAATTTTGATGTGAACATATGCAGATGTGAGAGCTGTGAACATGGCCATGTTTGGGTGTGAACCTATACAAATCGTTGTATATGTACAGTGTATATATCTTTAACTTAACATGCACATGACAGCAGTAGGAAAGTGACCTGATCAAGCTGCAGAGTCCTTACAAGGCATCAGGCTGGTATTTGATTCTAACAGTATGACTACCTTCAGCAAAATCATCAAAGTGCCATAATATCAGTGTATAGATGGTAACAGAAATACTGGTACATGTGTTTGTTAAGCTCAGATGATAAAATAATGAACTGATCAATACATTTTATTTGAAAATCCACGTAGGATAAGACAAGATAAGATAAGGAGAACTTTATTGATCACCAAAGTGAAATTCAATAATATTACTACTGCTTCGATTATTTCAATGTTGATGCACTGTTCAAAAATGGGCTTTTCTGATTCTGTGATGGTCATGTGATAAGCATCTATTTTCCTAGTAATCTGGGTGACCAGTCCTGCCCCCATATAGTTTATGGTTTATGGTTAATAGTAACTGTGTTGGAAAGTAGTACCAGCTTTATCACATTAAGACCAGTATGATCAAACCGGGGCAAACCTAGTCCTAAGTTTAAAGTCAGAGAGACTCTTCCAAGTGCATAAAGATTTAGTCCTGCTTTTACCCATGACCACTTCCTTCCTCTGAATGTAATGGGCAGCGAGCTACATTGTTCCTAACTAAACTACTCCATATGTCGTTTAATGAGAGTTAAACAGTCAGGACTGATGAGGAGCTGGGCACACTACACCACTGATACTGTGAAACAAACCGCTTTATTGCATCCAAACAGCACAACAGTGCATTATCATTAAGCCTCCACAGGCATTATTGATCTACAAGCTGCTGTAATGATGCATTATCATAATGCATTATGTTTTGGGAATGACATCACTTAGAGCCAACATACCACCACACTGCAGTCAAGAGTAAAAGGTCTTCTACGTAAAGACATGAGTGTAGTTGGAAAACAAATACATGCAATGACCGAGAAATTCCAGTGGCAGGGGAACATGCCAAGCTCCACAGAACCTGAATCAAAGTTTTTGCATGATACGAGTCTTCACGCTTCATATGACATTGTTATTCTTTGCTGGAAAACACGCAGAGCTGGAGGAGGGTTTTTAAGACATTGACATGCTACTAAATCATAAATTCATGTCAATGCAAGGATTTTCACAGCAAAGAAACCTGAACAGCAATGTAAAGCTAACAGAGATAACTGTCAGGAATATGCTTCAAGGCATAAATATTAAAATGACTGCCTCAGACAACGCAATATATTTTTACATGAGTTATGAGACAAGCTGGTTTTCACACAGTTCACTTAAGTTTCAGAGTTTTGACATGTACAAAACACAGTACAGAATAAGAATTAGAATTCAAATTACACTGATAGACAGAGACAGCGCACCCCTTCATCGGTGTTTACAAAACTTTGTGGTGTCTGCATGCAAGGCACAGATGTTTCCTCCCCAGAGCCATGTGCCACGGTTGGTTGTGTGCACAGACCAGCTTGGTTTTGAGGCCAAAGGAGGGGCAGACGGCTGTTTGCAATGATCTATGAAGCATGTCTTCAGGCCAAGACCCTGTTCCCAAGACAACAACAACAACAGAGAATTCACCATGACCTTTAGGCCAGCCTGAAAAGTTGGCCGCTCCAGATAGAGAGAAATGGGTAGGGAGGTTTTTTTTTTTGCATGCAAACAAAACGCATGTGCTCCAATGGAGTGTCTTATATAAAAAAGTGAGATTAAAAATGCAACAGCCATAGGGTGGAAAAAACAGCAGTCATCCCAAAAAAGCTGTTAATAAAAGACTCAAATAAGGGTATTCAAACCTGATCCAACATAAGCTAGCAACTCTGTCCCAATGGTAAAAGGATTATGCCATGACTCAAGCATCCCAATGACAATGAACCCTGGGAAGCCTCTGACAAGTAGACATAATATTAGTGATAGAATAAGCATGCAATTCAAACAGCTACACAATGACTGGAATGGAGAGCGACCTTGGAGAATATCAGCCATGATGTCATTTTTATTGTGCATCTTGATGCCAGGGATGGAAAAGCATCTGAGCTGTTCCAGGAGGTTAAGCTTCAAATCGCAGCTATATCGCGTCACTCTCTATATTCAAATATGATTCTGCACGAGGACATCTCCCTACTTTGTTCTTCTCCACTCTTCGGTCCCTCTGTTAAACTCTTAGAGTAGGCAGCTGGCTCTACATCAGACACATTTGAGGACAAAAGGGAAACTCCAGATTGTCGTAATGAGGGCAGCCACCCATGGCAGTGCTCAGCGGGAATCCGGTTGTTTATGGTTGGCACTAATTACACTTCGTCAAATTCATCAGGCTCTCGAAACTCCACTTGCCAAACAGAATATATAGGACCGGCTCAGATGAAAAGAGATAAACGATTGCCATTAAAACTGTCTCTACTTGCAGCAAGCCAGATAAAACATGGAATGATGTAAACTCAATAGGGTGACTTAAAGACATCAGTCAGTATCAAGCTCACACTCCCCAGGGAAGCCTATTAACTTCAGCAAGGGGCGAGCTGTTGAAGTTTTATTGCTACCCCAAGGCATGATGTAGTCAGCATATGGAGCATGTATGCATGTGTAGAATAATTTCACACTTACGGCTGTAGCAAAGACAAGCGCCTTCATACTAGTTCCTCCTCTTCCTCCGCGGCTACTGCTGTAGCACCGATGGATTTTTTTCTTCAGCAAAAATGTTTCTTTGATTAATATCTTTTTTAAGGGAGGTTAATACCTTTTTGCTTAACTGCTAGTTTTCTGACCTTTTAATGGCAGAAGTGGAGCTAAAAAGAAGCAAGATAAGGAAGAGAGTTGAAAAAACAGTGGGGCACTAGCTTTAGACTGTTCAGTTGAACCAACATGCCTGTTTACATACATTTGCATACTACTAACATGTTCCTGTGATAAGAAAGGTCTCAAGTGAGGCATCAGCTGTCACCTTGTTGCTATGTTTGGTTTACCTGTCACTTCCTAGTTGCTGTTGTCTCTGTAAGTCCAGACACAACATTATGCCTGTGATCACATCACCGACCAACTTTTGACTACATTTTTAAGCAACTTTTTTTGTAATCAATTTCTGTGGACTATTTTAACATAAAACATATAGACTGTTACTTCAGAGAGGAAATGCTGCCCTGTGAGTATGGTTTATGACATCTCCTGATATGGTGTAGTACAGTAGTTGTATCCAGTCCCAAAGAAGGTACCCTACTTTAAAGAGATGTCAGGCCACGACACAGAAAATGCTTTTGGTGTCTGAATAAACCGAATAAAAGAAGTGAATCAGGTACACAGTGTTGAGTGAAATCCAACATGCCATCCTTTGAAGCTTGCATTGCTCACTCAATCCAAACAGAGCAGCCCACTTTTTTGTAAGTGAAGATGAAAGTGTGCTTCACATTCCTCTTTGCATTGTGCTGGTTAGAGCCCCTGATATTATGCAATGCTAACAAGCCAATTTTATTTAAGCTGGATGCCAGGCATTACATGTTTTAACCACTAGTAAATGAGAAAGAAAGAAGAAAAGCACAGCAATTTACATCTTCAGTTAAAATACAGAAAAAATAGTTTTCTTTACAAATAGAAATAAGACAAAATAATCATCAAATGTTTACTGTAACATAGAGCAAATGTGGGTATTTGTGTAAAAATAATGTACACACTGAACAAGAGACAAATGCTCTGACCTCATTTTCTGTTCGATGTGTTTGCTCTACTTTATGTCAGTCTTTACGTTCTTTGTTGTTGTATGTAATGACTTTGACGGTACAGTCTAATTAAAGCCCTTTGTGAAGAAAGTCAGCCTCCTTTCGGTCATGCTTTCACTCTCTCTTATACAGCAAAAGTACATTACCATTTCTAGCTGAAATAGCTACCATGTAATAGAGGTCTCATTCACCTGTGTGCAAAAGAGAAAGCTTGTAATTAAAAAAGAAGTGCTGGTGGATATGGACTAAGTGTGGGTTATGTGAATGTGTGTTCGAGTATATGTGCGTACAAGAGAGAGAGCTGCATAATTATCAAATCTCAATATCCTCAAAAGCAATTTACTGACTGACTCGACATCATCATTTCTTCATTACACTGATGAATACACAAAATCTATTCACTTTAAATGAGCAATAACTCATATAACAGATCACATTAGGTCCCATAAATATGAGTTAGGGTTATTAAAGTTAAATCCTCAATCATTATTAATATCATTAATAAATATTTTTTAATGTATTTCCTTGCATCTGTAAAGCACTTCGAACTGCCTTGTGTATGAATAGTGCTATACAAATAAACCTGCCTTGCCAGATATGTAAGAAGGGCTTTTTTGACCAATGACAGTGACTCCAGAAGTAGCCAATTAGTTCTGAGGTGGTTAACAACAAAATAGTAGTCTGTGTGAAAATGCTCCCCCCTGTGTTTACATTAGGGATGCACGGAAAATTCAGTCACCAAAAATTTTCAGCCAAAAATGGTCCAAAAGTAAATTTTCATCCGGAAGATCTTTATCACCAAAACAACATGGCCGAAACAGACGTTGTGATGACGCAAGCAAAAACCGCAACCAGCACGCTAGAATCATCCCGATCACGATTCTATGATTCTGAATATGAGAAGAACAAGGCACAGAACAGGAAAAATCCCTCTGCGCACGGCCACACCATCTGTGGTGGATGTTGCAGCCGAATATATTTCTGCTCTTGGAACATTTGAGTTGTTTTTGCCCCTGATTCACAGGCGCCGTCTATAGGTGTAAACAACACAGAACATGCAGCGACACACTGACTCCAAACTCATGTTGCAATTGCATAAATTAATACTAAGTATTGGTTAATATCAATTTATGGAATTGCAATGTTTTAATATTAGTGAGGTTAGTACACAGTCATAGCCATAAATGCAATGGTACTAAAAAATTGGCATAATAATTTCTTTCAGTGTTTTTGTTTTCGAACTTGGTTTTCTCATTTTTCAGTTTTTGGTTTCAGCCAAAAATTGCACCCCAGGTGCATATGCACTTTATTGGTTCATAATCTGCACATTTGCTGTATCACAGGCTGACAGCCTGCATATAATAAAAGACAAAAAAAAAAGGCAAATATAAAATTAAAAGAAAAAGAAGAGTCATGTGTAAGTGACATGTTTTAGATAGGTTTTGAAGGAATTGATGTTATCACAGATTCCAGGATATGGCTGATAAATATGTTTAAAGCAATATAAAACTGTATGAAACGCTAGCTCGTGACTGTTATAGATTTGGTTTGCCATCAATAAGGATGGGAGCAGGGTTTTCCTATAGAAAAGATCACTGTGATGTCAGCCTATAAGGTCTGATGCTGATATCATGCTGATTATGTCAAAAAATGCCAAGAATCGTCTTGAAAGATTGTTCAACAGATGTGGCTTATGAAAAACTCTGGGTAACATGCATCTCATGGGTAAAACATCAGAGTCATGTACGCTCAAAAAAAGAGTTTGGTGCGGAACTGAATCAGAACAACAAAAATATCTGAAGCCTTGTGTACAAATGCCAAATCTGATTTTGACCAGCAAAGTTTTAGTCGATTTCAACTCCAGAAGGGATTGCAAATGCCAATTACAGCAAATACAACTTATATCACCCCAGTTATGCAAGTTTTATCCAAATGGCTCTGATACCTTTGGCTTAAAAAATAAGTCACTCGGCTGTTCACAATGACCCTGAATAACAGCCTCTTTAGATGCTTAGAACAACATTGTTCTACATTTTATAACAACTGAACCCATGTCACATATTCAATGGCACATTAAACAGAAACACTAACACAAGTGGGGATATTTGAACGGTATGATCTCTCCTATTTCAGTCCTGTCTTTGCTCTCCAGTCTGCTGTGCTTTTTCAAACACTACAAGAAACAAACACAGAAAAGGTTTCCTCTGATCTTTGCCTAGTCCCATCACGTGTCGGTGCAGGTGCTATCATACTCGAGCACTCGCCTAGGGGGGAGAATTTGTGCTGGCACAAGAGAGAAATATGCATGCCAGAATAAATATATGTGAGTATTCTCTGTTTACATCTTTTCTTCTTTGGCAAACAAAACAAACACACTTGCAGTGTTTTGACTTGATGAAACTCCTCCTTAATATGTAAGATTACTGCCAAAGAGAGCAGTCCTTATGTCTGAACATCACATTTTTGCTTTGATCTCAAATATGCAGCACCACAACAGAGTCCAGACATATGACATTATCTGAATACAAGCTTGTTGTGCTGTGGTCTTGTTTGCCTGCCTCAAACTCATTGGCTAGTTTGTTCACAGCCACTGTTCCTGTCAGTCAACAGTCCTCTGGATCGTGGCATGTCCAACTCCTCCTCTTCCTCCTTCCATGGCCCAGATCTGGTGGCTAGCTGCCAGTATCTGGGCAGGACACCAACTTGCTATTACAATGACACACTCATGCACACAGAAGTTTAACATACAAGCAGTCAGATTAAACTCCAAATCCCCGAACTTGCACGCCTGAATATAGGCTTCCATATAAAGATTTCCGTTCCCTCTTTCCTCCAAGTGCTCCATGCTCTCTTTGACACCATTCTCAGACAGACACGTCACATTTGTCTCATCCCCTACAAACGAGCCCCCGTCAGCCTGCCAGCCTGATATAGCTGTGGTATGGGCCTCGGGTGTGGGCCAGGGTCTGGAGGAATGAGAGTGTTTGTTTTCTTGCCATTTTGATCTTCATGCGATACAGATCATGTCACGTACCGCAACAACAAGCACTTTCACTACCTGGGGGTTTCTGTTCAAGCGACACTGCATGCACTCATATTGCTAATAGGATCACAGCATAGGCTGTTTGTGTGTGTACGTGAGGCACAATCTAATATGAGGGTCTGCAGTTAAAAAGGTAATTCGAGACATACGTCCCCCACTCAGCTGGATAGCCTGAAAATTGGGTGAGTCTGCAAATTTAATTTGAGCAGCACCGACGGGATTATTTATGGGAAAGAATCTTGCTCTGTCATGCAAGGTCAGACAGCAGATGTTTGTTTACAAGATATGAGGAGGTGAATGCTGGGATACATTTTTGCACCATGAATGTTGCATAATGCACCAATCACCTAAGAGTGTAAAGTGATAAATACTTATGTATGATTGTTCGACTGTTTTCACAATTCAATTTTACTACTTGTCCGTACTTAAATTAGATTACAATTTCTGAGTGATTGCACTTTACAGGGAGGCTTTCTGGTATCTTGTCTCTCACAGGTGTCATAAACAAGTGCTTCCCATTCCAAAAGCTTAATCACGATAAAACAAGCCCCAAGAGAGATGCACCGCTTCTTTTATTGCTGCTTGTAGCACCATGACCATTAACAGGGTGCAGCTCTTTAAAAGTGGTGCCCATTTCAGGGTTTGATATTGTGACCACTTTGGTTCTCTATGCTCCTGAAATTTAATATGCAACCTCAAAATATATTTGGAAGCATTTGTGTACGGGCAAATAATTGTTGTGGTTAGGGCTGGGCGATATGGGAAAAAGTTTATCACTATGTTTTTTCATATTAGTCAATATTAATATGTATCACGACATAAAAAAATGAAATTTGACAGTGCTTATTTGTAGCATGTCTTTGCAATACAATAAGCTAATGCATCTGTGAGGTCTTTGTGTCTCTACACTGTGTCCATAGGCAATTTGCTCCGCTCTGGGTTTGTAGTGCTGTCGGCTCCACATGTTCAAGTGCTATAGTTGCGTGTAGCTGCAGCCTGCTAATACACAGTTGTTTGCTACTTGGTTCTAATTCAGCACATGATTGGTTCAGCACAAAGCGGACCCAGAGCAACTCCCCTTTTCATTGGCTATTCGTATAGTCTCCCAAAACATGGCAGAAAACCGACTACTGAAAAAGCATATTTACCATGTTTTATATTGATATCGGGGGAAATTAATTTTCGATATGTATCATTAACGTTTTATCGCTCAGCCCTAGTTGTGGTGCAAACTTATTTAGACATTTCTCGACAAAACTGTGACCAGTGGTTGATTAGTTATGCCTGCCTGGATGTGCACTGTTATGGCATCTAATATCTCTTGTCAACCACCTTTCTGTTTGATCTACCACTTAAACATCATAAGTGTGATACTTATAACTTTTAATGCTGATTATAGATTGGTGAATATTGGCCTTCAACCACTTTTTTTTTACTGCACTCTATTTCTACGAGACAGAGAGCTCACCAGAGCAAAAAAAAAAATCAGAAGAGCTGATGTGAGAAATTAAAATTAGGCTGAGGGATCTGTCAGTGTCTAACGTCAGAGGAAAAGTAGATTCTGATGATGACAGTAGTGATGCGGTGGATTTGCATACACCAGCACCAGAAAAGCTCACAGTTTTCAGAGAAAGTAGCTTCGATTAGCTCAGCTTTAAAAACAGGCCACTGTAATGTTGAGTTGTCAGAAGCCTCGATAAAACGCTATATAAACATTTACCATTTACCATATCTGTTAATACACACTGATACTAATTATAATTCCAATTAAACAGAGATGTTGGCAAAGCTTCCTTCCCTAGTACTGCTTCTATTGACCTAATTTCTGCATTGTCTGAATACACATGAAGGATTACTTTTCCTGACAACATTTAAGAGAGCCAACATCAGCCTGTAGTATATGTGAAGTAGGAATTTGATTCATCTGTCATTACACAGTGTTTGACAGTGTATGCAGTGTGATCTTACCATGAAACTCTGTAGATTGTAGGCATGCTGCACTAAAAGCATATTTCTGTTTATTCTGATGTTCTGCTTTATATCACCAGTCAGCACTAAAGACAATGTTCTCAGCTAAAAATGAGGTACTGAGGTATTAAAGCCACCCCTGTCCATCACTGAATTAGGAAAAGATTAGAAGTTGTCCTAAAAAAGGATGAGGGGTCTTCTTCTGAGAAGAGGAGATACAGTGAAAAGCATTTTAAAGTTTTACATTTGGATGGAAATAAGTGAGTCACGATGACCTACTTAAGAATTCAGAACACAAGAGGGAGGTTTTGTACGTTTGCAGTGTCAGGAAGAGTTATTAATGAGTTTGGATTTGCAGAAAAGAGCCACACCTAACACCCTCATTCATCTAATCTGTGATTTATACGACTTATCTGAGCTTTGAAAAGATGGAAATTGAGATTAGCATAGAATATCTAGACCCTTAGAAAGTTAAAAGACATTCACAAAAAGAGAAAACTGAAAAATACAGCCCAGATGAATACAATGTAGCTCATACCTCACTCAACCCACCTCTAAAAAATCTACCACTCTTCATTTTGAAAAGCTCCTGGTTTGATGCACAGTATCGTACTGAGACACAAGTAGCCCCTATCTACTACAGTGATCTCCAACAGCAAGCACAGCTCAAGTTCACCGCGGTAAACAAGCTCAGCAGCCACAAGGTATGTCAGAGAGATTTCAGCACAACACGTAGCGTGTTATTTTAAGATGCAGGCCGAGTCCAGCAGAGTAAGTGAGGTCAAAACTTGGCCAAATGCGAGTACCCCACTGTGCTCTAAACAAATCAGGGTGAGCCAGAATTGTTTTGGTCCAGGCAGAGTGACAGCCGATCACATAAGAGCTTTGTTCTAACTCAAACAGATACTTGTGTGGATAGATCACCACAGATCCTGCGAGCAGGGATTATCCTTCCATATATGGAGTTTAGCAGCGTTGAAGCAGTAAAAAGTCAGGGATCATGTCACAGTTTTTTTTTTTTATTTCTACAGCTTTAAGCCTAATCCAAAACTCGAAACAAAAACAAGCACTTCATCACACATATTTGAGAATGTTTTCACAATATAAGCATGCAGAGTTTTTGATAGATGAAGAGAAAGGCAGGCTTTGTCAGAGGGGATTACGCCTCCCTGTTTGGTGACATTTTTCCACGGTAAAAGCTGGTCACATCTTTGATACCAAGATAATAAATCTAGTAAAATCCCTGGAATAAACAGCTACTGGGTCAGACCGCGGCAAACACTCTAAAAGATCAAAAACACTCACTCATGGTTGCAGCTGAACCAGAGAGGCCCAGCACAGGACAGTATCGGACACATAAATGAAGGTGCTACTTGGTGGGCTCAGACACACACAACTACATGTGATTTCCCTCACAGTGTCAACAGTGAATTATTTGTATCTCAGAGTTATTTGCTTTACCCCGTATCCATTGCACAGCCAGATTTAATCAGCAGAAAATGCAGAACTGTGGGACTGAGCCTGAAGGCATTTTTGCTTCTAAATGAAATTGGAAACCGGATTCATCCAGGGATTTTGATCTCCCTCCACATATTGTCAGATCTTTATTGGCCATCTCTCGTTGCAGCCTCAGGCAGCTCTAAGCTATGATGGTTCAACGAATGAGCGAAGGTTTATGAGCTGTGATTGCAACACTCCGAGAGATAATGTTGTATTTGGGCCCAGTTTTGACATGTTATGCTAATAAAGAAAACACAGATTAACCCCGTAAGGGTTCAGTGTACAAGATTAAAGAATCTATCACGAGGACTTTTCAAAGACAAGAGCATTCGAGCAAGAATTAATGAGGTCAATTTCCACAAAACTATCAAATCAATTGGTTAGTATGAGATCTTAATCTCACACATTTAAGACACAATGCTCTGGCACAAGATTTTTGTTGTTTTACTGCAAAATTGGGTTTTATCTCGGTCAAAAATTGGATTGACCTGATAGTTAAGCTGTTCATTAGTCATTTTCTACGGAGATATGATCGAATTTTGACCTAAATCAACCATTAGGAATGGTCATGCTAGCTCTACAGACATTTACAAACTACACTTAACTATGTAGCTTTGGTTGCTGTGAAGTCAGAAAAAAGGAACCTTGAATAATCTTTTACTAAAAGTGGAGAATATTTGTTCTTACACTCTTAACACTCTACAACATGTTTTTTTCAAACTTTTTCACTGTCAAGACTATTTGACAAAAGCTGGTCTGGGAATGAAAGAGGAAGGCTTTGTAACTTTTAAAAAGGTGTTCATTTTAGTAAAGTCATGCATCCTTTTTTTGTCATCCATCCACATGCATTCACGACAACTCTACTGGGGTTTCATTCTGGTTTTCTAACGTGCTCTGTGGTAACTTCAGGAGTACTGACGAGGGGCTGCAGTGCAGCCACAGCATCACTTATTATCCCCAGTCTGCTGCTTTGTTAGTAAGTGGGAGCCTGAGAAATAACAGAACATATCACGCTTGGAATGCAACGCAGCTGGAACGGACCCCTGAAGGAATCTCCAAATGAAGCCTTTGGTTTCAGGGTCAGTGAGTCTACTTGAGGCTAGGGTGTATATACAGTGTGTGAAAAAAAAACACGCGAAAAGACTGATAATTTGTCAAGGCTCTATCATTAATGCTATTCGGAGAAGTTTGACCAAAACACACAATCGTCCATTTCAAATATTTGGACTAAACATTTGGATTAAGCATTTCTTCATGGAAATGCAATCCGACCGAGACACTAAGACAGAAGAACTACCGCATGCAAAATGATTAATATGATGATTATTACTTCAAGGAAATGATAAAGAAATGATCATAAATGTTCTTCCTTGAGCTGCGTCATCCCGCTGCAGTCCGTAATGGACTCATCTGAGCTCTGCCTACAAACAAGCGGCTGCTGGAAGAGAGTGGGTGGTCGTTACCAAAGTTGGTATAACTAGAGAAGCAAGCGGTCGGCAACTTTCATCTCTCGAGGGGGTGTCTAACTTGGTGCTACGGTGTGTTTGACCCCAACTTAATTTCACGCCAGAATATCCCTTTAAGGTCAGATAGTGGCTTAAAGACAAAGGTGCACCATCAGGTGATCATACAGGATGGAGGATTTCTTCTCCATGCTGCCAAGTTATCATCCATTAAGCTTCCATTGACGGAAACAGTTAATGTAGTACCTCACATGACCCACATCACTCAGCCATTAAACAGACATTAACAAGACACCCTAGTGCTTTTACAAGCTGGGAGACAGGTGAGAGGTCTGGGAGACATCAGCGATGAAAAAGGCTTACATCATCCTTTGTCTTATGGACCCCACAGGGAAAGGGTGATGGTTTGAGTAGTCTATTCCACTCCCACTGTTCAGTTCAGTTCAAAAGGAGAAAAACTGACACCATTAAATCACTGAGTCTAACAGCTTTAGCCCATTAAGTCGCTTTGGAAAATGTTGAATAGCTGAACTCCGTCTGCCCTGTGAGGAGGGGACATACTTATAAATCACAAGCTTTGACGAAAAGACAAAGTTTAAGAAGGGGGTGAGCAGACGCACGCAGTTTTTCTCCACAGACAAGTCATTCAGGGTCACCATTTCAGCTAATTGTCCTCATATGTATGTAGAGAAATTCAAAGGAACAAGGAGTTCACCTTATTAATAAATGACTGCGTGATCGATGCATGATAACCCGTTTACAGAGAGACAGGTACAAGTGACCTTACAAGGAGCTGAAAAGTATGTTGATTAGTTTTTAATTTCAAGTGATATAACATCAACTCAGAAAACAGCTCATTAGTCGTTCAAATTCAAGGTCAGCACTTTAGCTGATAGCTTGTCAGCCCGGCCGCAGCCTTGAGTTTCACAGACAGTGAATAATGTCAACATTCCTTTAAAAGGTCAAAAATATGAGCTTTAAACTTTTTAAACTGCACAAGACCTTGAGCATACAAACTCTTGAGAATGACATGGCTCATTCATTGATGTGCACTCTCAAATTAACAGAGGACAAGCTAAATAAAAGCATTTTGCACACTACTGCACTGTTTGCAAAGCATGGCCAAATTTGTGATAGGACTGCCAAGGAAACAATAAGTCAAGGAAGAATCTTCACCAAGAGAACGAGAGAGAGGTGACTCTGTGTTGTGTGCCTCAAAGAATTAACATGTAGAGCGAGTGAAAAGTTCACTTGGAGACTTTAGCTCCTGCACACAAGAGAAGCCTGTTAATATCTTTTCTAAAGAAACTTCTCAAGTGTTGTTGCCAAGGAGGGAGCTTTACTTTACTCTGTGCAAAACTGTGTACCTTCCTCCTGTTAAATAGATTATAGAGTTTCTAAGAATGAAAGCTGCTCTCTATCACTGAGGAATCAAATTTACCCTTGGCTGTTGATATAATTTCAACTGCGTTTGATGATGCAACAGCTACTTTTAAGTCAGCTCCTTTTCCCCTATTCCTAAATGCCCAAAATCAAACAAAAAAAGACAAGGACAAATACTTAAGCTTAATTCTTTCAATGTGTTGCAGCCCTGGAATGCTGGTATGGTCATGTATTGGTGTTTACAGGGATGGGTAGGGGAAAATTGAAAATATTTTACCCATCAGATCTATTTCCCTTCGGGGATCAATAAAGTTCTTCTTCTTCTTTAACAGAATGTTGCGAGTGAGACTTTCTCAAAGATCAGAGATCAAATACCAGTCAGGAGCAGATGCCCTCTGGCTTGATATTCAAGATCACAGAGTCACAGTGATCTGCTGCTTTACCATCCATTACTTTACAAGGAACAATAGCAGACAGGAGATGATTGTGACTTTAACAGTGATGACTCCTGGGTGACCTGGTTTCACACAGTTGCCAATTCACTTGCAAAAAGTCTGAAGTCAAGTCAATGACTGAGAATGTGATTTCTGCCTTGATAAGATTGCAGTTTTTTTGTAAAGCAAAGCATATGAGACATTCAAACTTACATTTAGTCATTTTGTTGGACGTAGAAATGTTCCGCCATAAATCTGAGTGACTATGGAGACCGGAGGATTACTTCAATTTGTTCTGACATCTCCGTACCTGGATGACTCAGATGACATTACACTGACTTTTGGAAGGTGCAATGTTTTTTGCCTGATAGCTTCAAAATGTACGCTGTATGAGGCACAACCTGGAGCTGCCAACATGAATTATGTCAAGACCACGGATCCAAAACAAAGCCAAACAAAGCTCCAGCTCTGCCTTGATTGCAGGCAGAGTCGAAGTTAGGAGACGTGGCTTCCAGCCCAAACTGCACTTTATCAGGTTCCACTGACCTTCTGAATCCTGCAGCGCTTTGTTTCAGGGGTGAATACATGACCTAAGTTGTGACGGGGGGAAAAGGCACAACGTTGCTCACCTTAGAGAGTGTGACATTTGGAAAAAGTGAAGCTGGAGAGGAGGTGAAGAGATCATTTAAAGATGTTAAGTGACAGCTTTCACACCAGCACACACGAGCCACACTAACATTGCAAACAGACTCCAGTTTGTTGAAACCGAACCAAACAGGTTAGGTGTAAAAGCACCTGAGACTATTTCTCTATTACATTTAGCCAGTGTGTGTGCGTGTGTGTGTGCATGTGTGTGTTTGCTCCTTAACCTCTAGGTCACACCTGTTACCTAGCTTCAGTCCTGGCTCAGGCAAGGGGGGAGAGGTCAAAGGTCAAGGTGTCAAATGACACTTCCTCCACAGATCTGTTTTAGAGCCCACACACACACACACATGCATCCTGTCAACCAAGAAACTACCTCTTATTTATGCCACTTAACCTCCTCCAAATAAATGTGTGAGATTGACATTCGTAATAAAAACTGCAGATCACAAGTGTCCTGATAGATCCTACTGTATTACTATCAAAGCACATTAATATTTACAAAACCCAGTTGTAAAAGAGAAAGGATTCATACAATGTTGATAAAAATTAGATGGTGAAAGTTTGCAAATCAACCAAACAGACATATTAAATTAAAAATACTGCAATACTTGCTTGCTTTAAATAAAATGCAAGCTACATGTTTTAAGAATAGTTTGGTGCTTCAGCTGTATTATTCAAAATCCAAAGATTAGACCTTGTTGTATCAACAACAGAGAATTGCATTCACTTCTTTCACCTGTGTCGCTTCTTATTTGGTAAACAAATACTGCCTAGCCTTAGTTAAGGTGAAGCCCTGGGTCAGTGATTTCTCTGGAATACAAACAAATGTGAAGAGACCAGTTTTCTAACCTCTTACTGCACTGACATTTCCTGATATGCTTCAATACTAGTGAGTCATCTGTAACATTCTTTTACATTATTTTTTGGAATCAAACTTGCGGTTTATTTTGCTCTATAGTCTGCATATTCCTGCAAATCAGTACAACAGTTTAATGTTTGTGATACCCAAACAGAAAGGTGAAAGGCAAATAAAATGTTTGAGACTGTTGAGCAGCGGCAATCAAAAAAACAAATGTCAACAAACATTCGGATTATTTAGGCGTACATCCTACAACTGTCAGCCTTTATCTCCATCATTCAAAGACACTGAACTTCTTGTAGCCCTGCAGTTATACAAAGATCAACATCGACACAAATTCTTCCTGTTGCTCCCTTCAAAGAATGTCAGGTATGTTCCAGATCCAGAAACATCGGGAATAACCGAACAAATATTTGTCCCGCATTCTTTGGGTACAGACATCCGCAGGGCACTTATCAGAGGGTAAATCTGCAAATCCGCCTCCCCATCCGCTTCAAACAGGTGAAGAAGTAACAATGTCAGACGCCCGTCTTTGTTGACACTGTCAACTTGTGCGTGGTAATCAAAACAATAGCACAGAGCAAGTAAAAACAAGAACTGACACCTACAGTCTCATGTCAGCACACAAAGACAAGCTCATTTATCAAGAGCCGTGTGTCTGTTTTGAGTGGGCTGAGGTTTACAGCATTAACAAACGTCTGCTTTCACTGGCCTGAACTTGTGACAGTGAAACTCAAGAATGCTTCACTTTCACAAACACATTCTTCACATATTAAACAAATTAAAAATGTTTCTGTATCTGATTCATCGAAAAAATAGTTGACTGATTAATCGATTTTTAAAATAATCGTTATTCAGCCCTACATCACTTATTAAAAATAGTAGGAAAATGGTAGAGCTGGTTTCTTGGAGTGCCGTCTTTCTTTGACCCTCACCCCACTGCAGCAGATTTCCACATTGAAAACTACGTGATAGAAATAATCACACTTGTTTGTTATGGCCTCATTAGTTTTAATCATCCAAAGAGGTATGAGCTCAAGTTTTAGTCTGTTTCATTATAAACAAAAGAAATCCTCACTGGAGCTTTAAACTTTGAAACAAGACAGCCTCGTTTTTTGGGGGTTGACCTGTTTAACCTGCAACAGCGAGTCTTATATACAACACAATGTTAATAAATGAACTACTTTTTAAGTCGGCTTCCATTCCTCCATAGCCTTCATTAAAACTTTTGTTATCTGAACAGCAGTGTGACTCTTGTGCAACATGCTCGTCTGTAGCCTGAGGTGATGTATTTCCCACGCACTGTTGCTTAGTTGTGCTCGGCTTTGGCACGTGAAGTCCACCCATTGCAGGTGAGTCTCACTGGGGTGCATCCTTCACCTATGCTCTTCCATTGCTTATAGCCTTTTTCTTTCTCATTTACAATTCTTTTTTTAAGTGGCTGGCTCTTAATATCTTCTTACCACTGTGAGACATCATCTCACTATCTTTCTCTGGTTCTTCGCAGGTGTGAACTTCTTCCTCTTTGGCCGGTTAACTGCCATTCAAGTTCCCTTCATTCACATCATAAAAATCCCCACAAAGAATTGTATTGTAACTAGCTACATGGCAGGTCAAAATAGCAAAGAAATCACATTGGAGCACATTTTTCAATTAAAATATTAATCTTTTGCACCACAGTGTCAACACTTGATAAAAGTCTGGTCGATGATATACTGATTTAACAATATTTTGTCTTACAGCTAAATGAGAAGACACTTGTGGCATCTAGAAAATGTCATATGCCATATTTCATAGTGAAACAATTGTTCCTGACTCTGATCAGCAAAATCAACACCCTTCACAACCATCTCATGTCTTGCCCTCCACTGTTCAGAGTTAAAGTTTAAAGGTCCTTACACACCGGGGCCGACGCGAATATAGAACGCGAAATTACAAAATATTCAGAGGCAAATTTTGACGCGCCTGACTACAGACATCAAGCCCGATGCAATTTTGTGACTTTCCAGGAGGGAAAAGACGCATCCCGGGGCAGACTTTTCCCGGGCAAAGTCCTGCCTCCTTCACCTCTGATTGGCTAGAAAAGCTGGAAACGTCATCACACGCTCAAGCCAAACGGTTAGCACTCATAGCCATTCAGAGGCGATAAGATAAGCACATGAAACTATGGTAACAACCGTTAGCTTACGTTGGCACAGATGAAAGTTAAAACAAAGACGTTTAGCAAACTGTTAAAGCACACAGAACAGATGCTATGTTGTCCTTCAGGTAGTTATCTTATGTTGTAATGTTTGTGTCTTTTATCATAAAGCACTTTGTTCTCAGACACGTAAACAATCAGCTGGTCGGCCATGTTGGATATACTGGTGAATCAGACGTTGCAACAACACACTATCTGATTGGTCAGAAGTGGACACATAGTATGTGAAACTTTAGAAAAATCAACCATGATCCGAAAAAATAAATGCCGCAATATCGCAGGACGGGAAAACGTTGCTGATGTGAACGCTTGTATTGACAAGAAAAAAAAGACTGACGTCTGAAATAATCGCACGACAATCGACTGTCCCGGTGTGAAAGGACCTTTATACTGATAACTGTTAGCTATGCAGACAAGCAAATAAGCAGACATTTTTGACTTTACCTTTTTAATTTCATTTGCAGAGGGAAAAATCACTCGCTGTACCAAGATTTTAATACCTTCATCCCCTCTGCAGCACTGCATCTGTGTTTTAAGCACAGGTGTAGTCTTCAAAGCCACCTTCCAGTTTGCTCAGTTGCTGTATGTACGGTTTTATATCTACAGCTGCACACAGACTTTACTTGAAATTCACCAGGAAGCTCTTAAAATGAAGAAATTTCCATTTCTTTAGAATAAATAATACTGAAAAGAACAACTTCTGGGGTTTGGGACTGCAGGTGGAACAAAAATCTTTCTGTAACCACTGCCAAGAAATCAGAAGTTCTTTTCCACAGCTGTCCTCTTTTTTATTATTCTGCTCAGAGCAGCAAAACATTAATTTTAATTCTGGTCTCCAATGCACTCTGGTGACAACATCTGAATAATAATAGTCAAAACAGCATTTCAAATGAAGGGAAGCCTTACCATTAGACTGACACGTGTATTCTTGAACCCTCTGCAGCTTACCGAAAGATCAAACACCATCGAGACACTTAGGCACACACTTGAGACCACAGACGTTGACAGGTAAAATTACCACCTTTGAAAGAAGTTCAAGTCTCTTGCGACAACCTAAAATCATATTAACACGCCTGCATTTGAAATTTCATTTCCATCATCACATGCCACGGCTTTTTGCACTCAGTCTCCACTTTTAGACCAAGAAAAAGAAATAAGCATTCCTTCACAGAGGAAGCTCTCATCGTAACTTAAACACAAACCTGATTCTGATCATTTTTGTGCCAGCTGATTGAATGAATGATGAGAGGCGGCAAAGTCTCGGACTAAAATTTTTGTCTGTTTGGTTAACAGAGGCACAGAGTGACTCATATTTTACACACCTCTGATGAAATGATTACTGGTTTGAATTCCTGGTGTAATGTACACAGTGACAGCTACACTAGCCGTGACATGACACGCTTATGAGCCTCTTTTGAATGATCTGTCATAGGGGAAGCACAGGTGACAGGTTCAAAGGGTCACTCACAGGTCAACCTTGTTAGCAGTAGCATCAGGTCTCTGACAAAAAAGGAGAAACAGAGCAATTTTATCCCACATCCATGAAAATATTTGAGGATTTGAAAGTATTACTTCCTTACAGTAATAGCTCTACCTCAGAAAAGGGGGTTTTGTTTTTAATTTATGGCTTTAATTGGTGAATCATGGTGTCTAAAGGGTGCTGTTGCATCAAAGACAGCCGATGGTAACCCTGGGATACAGAAATCATTTTTTAATAACTTAATGAAGGTTTTATATGACTTTGCACAGCTGTAAATTCGTGCTCTGCAGGTAAGAGGGTAACAGTGTTGGCACCACTTAAAAGCTCTCCTCTCGTCCCACTTACATTATCTGTTTATCACCTTATTACAAGAGCATGTCAGGTGGTTATACCTCTCTTAAAATGAAACCATCACCTACTGGTTCTGCTGGTGGTCTTGAGGACCCCTGCTTGGTTAAAATAAACGCTGCGTGTGCCATGTTGTAAACACTGAGAAGTTGTCTCTTTGTATGGAGCTGCTTTCCAAACAAACCAGGTGTACGTTAAACTAACTTTTAAGACAAACAAAACCAAAATGAGCCAAACAAAACAAAGCTGCTGCCTTGTAGATGTTAGCCCTCACTCAAGTTATGACAGCAGCGGCTAGTTATGTTGCAACTACGTGAAGTCAGCACGCAGTTTGTGAGAATTAGCTATCATGCAGTTGAGGGAGACGAACAGACGGTTAGCAAACTTCCCCGCTGTCTTCGCATCCCTGGACGTTTCACTTCGCCTGTTTTAGGTTCAGCGCGAACTCAGAAAAGAGCTGTTAGCTTACTCTTCAAGACAGGACATTCCCCCGCTGTACAAACTGGAAGTTGGCAGCCGAAGGAAACTGACGAGACTTGTGGCTGAGACACTTTCAATTTGGGAAAAAAGAACCCCTTGGCTAACTTTTTCTTACCTTTCCAAGCGCCGGAGATCTCCGCGTCGATTCTACCAACACTTGGCAGCCGTAAATTCCGCTTAGGCAAAGTCGTCCCCGGGCATGAATAAGGCAAATCCGACTGTGTGAAGCTCAACTCCAGCCCGAGCCAGAGATTTTTCGCTCTCAGCTCCTCTCTCTCTCTGCGTGGCTCCGGTAACAGCCGCTGCAGTTTTTTCCACAAGCCTCTAGCGGGAGCGCGCTCACTGGGAGACTGGGCAGGCCAGAGGAAACATGTGAACGCGCAATTTACAAGGTGCTACTCCAAAACGTACCAATGCTCAGGTTTTTAAAGCGGTCATGTAGACTGTATGGTGCCCGAGAACCGCCACTGCTGCAAAAAAAAAGAATGCAAAAAAAAAAAAAAAGTCACAACGGGGGTTACCGATGCAAAAAAAAAACCAAAGCCTGATGCAAATAAAAAAAGTGCAGATAAAAAATAAAGCCACAATGGAAATTAACTACACAAAAACAGTGGTGATGGGAAAAAAAGTTACTAACTGCGAACATAAAAGGATGCAAAATCAAAAAAGCCACAACAGAAGTGAGCTGCCGGGGACCAATAATGATGATGCACCAGTGTTTTATTATCTCGGCACAGAAGACGACGGCGAGAGGATGAGCAAAGAAGTTAGTGGAAAGGTGATTGTTTAATTTCGCTTTGTGTGCTTTTCAATGTGTCATTTGGTTAGGCCATGTAGCACCTGAGTCGATACGCTGGTGCATCATCATTATTGGTCCCCGACAGCTCACTTCTGTTGTGGCTTTTTTTATTTGCAACCTTTTATTTTCGTAGTAAGTACCTATTTATTTATTTATCTATTTATTTGCATTGCCATTTTTTGTGTCATTGTGGCTTTTTTTTTAATCTGCACTGCCTCTTTTTTTATTTGAAGGCTTCATTTTCTTTCTTTTTTTTTTCATCAGTAACTTCCGTTGTGGCCTCTTCTTTATTTTTTTTTCATTCTTTTTTATTTGCAGTAGTGGCGGTACTCGGCCACCGTAAGACTGTCTTGTATATGACATAAAAATTCTGTTTGCATTTAAAACTTATCATCCTCACCCTTAAATGTTACTCTGTGAAACATTTTTTTGTTTGTTTTTGGCCATGATAGTTCACTAAATCGGCGCCCCTCAAGTATGAAAAGTATATTTATATTTTATGTGCAAGATAAGATATTAACTGGAATGTACAAGAAAAAAAACACCCATCATAATAATCCTGTGAGAACAAGTATCTATCTACTTCAAACATGGTGTCTGTTGAGAACAATTCAGTTTTCTTGTGCACACAAGTTATTGTCTTAAGGTAACTAGTTAATTATCTCGTGTGCATGAATTGATCATCTTTTGGGAACAAGTTATCATCCAATGCACGCAAGTTCAAATCTTGTGTTCAACGTGTCATCTTTGCACACCTTATGTTTGACTTGTCTGCACAAGATCTTGTGCACACAATATATTTTTATGGGCACAAGATGGTTGCATGTCACTAAAGTGTAATTTAACCAACCAACTTGTCCCAAGATAAAAACTTGTGCACACAATACAGTTGACAGAGCAGCTTTTTATTTTGCCTGTACAAAATTTAAATAAAAAAATAAAAGTTTGCGTGCATAAGATAATAACTTTTTCCTGGAAAATAATTGTATCATTTATTCCGCTGTGTGAACAAGTTGATGTCCTGTTATCAAAATATAATCACCTCATGTGGATAAGGTATTATCTTTTGTGAAAAAAAGATAATTATCTGGCATGAGCATTATTATTATTGCAAGCACACAAAATAATAGAATAACATCTTTAGCAAACAAGTTGTTATTTTTAGCACACAGTGTAATATGTTGGGTGCACAAAATGAAGAATAATACTTTAAGGCCTTTGTAGGACTGATTCATGGTACTGGGAGATGATGGAAGCTTTTAATCTGGAACATTTGGATACTTGGTCCATGAGTGATCTGGACTGCATTGTAGCTGCTTACAAGCTTACAAGTATCAAAGCCCTCACAAACAACATGTTCTTTTTGTTCTTGCCTTTAAAGAGCTAAAAAGATCTGTGATAAGTCATAAGGCCAAACTTCAAAGTGATTTTCGAATTGATCTCATTATTATAAACCATCCATGTTGGTATCAAAAGGACAGCTGGCCTCAGGAAGAAGCAGACAGATGTTCAGCACAAAGCTACAGTGTGTGTGTGTGTGTGTGTGTGTGTGTGTGTGTGTGTGTGTGTGTGTGTGTGTGTGTGTTAGAGTTATTGAAAAGCGTTGAGGGCAGTCAGTGTATCTTTTAATGACATGAGGCTTCTCATAAGGGAGGAAATCCCCTGCTCCCCTGCTGCCTTCAAGTGCTATTACAATTATTCTGTTCATCATTTTAAACCCAATTTGACAGTAAAAATGCAGAAAAGTATGAAATGAAACTGCAAAATTCAATATTTTCTCATTTGTTTTAGGATACTACTGGATACTAGGATACTAGGATACTAAGCAGGACTAGTAGCTGAGCCGGAGGTTGATGAGTGCGAATGACTCAAGTCTTTTTGCACATTCCAAGCATTGTTTCCTCCTCCTCCCTGCCCCAGTCCCGGGCACTGAGGCCAAGGATTTTCCAGGGATGGGGGAGATGGGGTGGACGATGGATCAAGGAAGAGGAAGGATGACTGGCTTTTTCCTCCTTTAACCTTTTAAGGAAAAAAAAAAACATCTTTCTCCAGCTGAATAAATATAAATAAGACCCAGAGCAACTTGCTATGATTCACCAGCATCCCTCACCTGCAGAAAAGTGTTGTTGTTGTTTTAAGGGAATATAAGGAAGGAGCAGAAGGTGAAAACAAGGTGATGACACTAATCTTTTTTTAAAAAAAAGTGATTATTTAAAGTCTACTTTTGCATTTTAGGCTTGGTTACAAACTCTCAAAGCTCTTCCTTAATATGGTGGGGCTATTTTATTCAAAAGACACTATACGATCCAGTAGGGTTCAGAGTTGTTTTTGACAAATGACTTGTTATAACTAGAGTATTTCATCATGTTTTTATTGGCTTTCTTTTTAATGTGTATGCACAGTGTTCCTAAAACTGCTCGGTTCCTTTGCAGATTGCATTGAGTAATTGTTTCATTACTTTGAGAGGCTGCAGTTTACCAAGATTTTGCATGACAGCATATATTGAGAAACCTGTTTTATTCTAAGATATATTGCAGCCTTCCTAAAATAATCAATATCCAACACTAGAAAGGAAAATCCAATTTCACAAAACCTAAAAAGTGCTTGGTGCACTGGCAGGGGTAAAGTTTTTGCTGAAATTGAGTCTCAGTTGTTGCCAAATACTGTTTCATCAGGTCATTAATGCAAGGAAACCAAAGCACAACAAACTCATTTTCTTTTTTCGGTTTTGTTTTTTCTTTTTGGGGCTCTTGTGTCTTTATTGAGGGGATAGGGCATTGGGTAGAGTGAGAAACTGGAGGGGACAGCAGAATGATATGCATTAAGGTGAAACTGACCCCAGGCTGCTGCCCACTTTAAGGACTACAGCTTCTGTTTGGGACACATTAACAGCTAAGCCAAACAAGTCTCCTTCAGATTGCTCCCATTATATCGAGTTTGAACCCTCTTTCTTAAATGCTTTTCTGTGCCTCAGTTTAAGTGCTGAGCAAAATATCTGAGAGTGAAAACCTAGGTAGGGAAGTATGATTTAGGGTCCTCTGGAGCAGACACAATGACGTTTGATCTGACTAATACTCAGAATTGGAATGGAAAAATAGGAACATTGTCTCTTGTCGGAATGAAAAAAATTATTTGTCACCAAAAACTAAATACTACTCTTCCTTTAAGTGATGTAAAATAAAGCTGACAAAGCTCAGAGATGAACAAGAACGACTCACCTCACACAGTTTCTCCTTTCACCCATGAGATGACACAGTGCTTGGGTTGTGTTACTGGCAACTCCGGTAAAATTTCTTGTCATATCCCTTTACTTACACAAGAATTTATTTCTATCTGAACATGTATCTAAGCCACTGAAGAGCCATTAAGTATAGTTCAACCAAGACACCAGCTCCAGGGAAGCTATTTAGCAGCTGGCTCTAATGTCAGACCTTAATGTCCTGTTGGGAAACTTAACAGAGACCCATAAAAGTAGTGTAGCTGAACCCCTATTCTGAAAAGTAACTTACTGATGATGCAGTATGAATTATTTGAAATCATCTGAGCGGGGTCTGAATAATAGATTCTCCTCATGAATAAGTAGTTAAACTTCAAATGTTTCCCAAAAGAACTTCCCAGTCACAGATATAGTCCCCCTAAACTTAGAAACAGAGGTCAGTAGTATCCTTCAGCCATGATTCACTGAGCTGAGTGCCTTTTTGATGAAAAGAGAGTGTAATTTTACCATCAGAAAATATTTTTTACATTTTATTTGCATTGCATTTTGACAAAGATTTTCCTTATTGTGTGTCAGCCTGTATAATGCAAGCCACATTGCTTTGACGATGCCTCAGTACACTAACAAACGATAGTTTAATTTGGCTAAAATACTGTTCACAGAAACCATATGGGGCATTGGGACCAATGAGTGCCAATTCAGCACATGACGCCTGACTCATCCTCTCTGCTCTGAGTCACTCCCTCCCCTCCTCTGGTCCAGGATCTGTGGCTCTCTGCTGGAGTTGGCTCCTCTCCCCAAATGTCAACCCCGCCACTCCACGGGCAGGAAGCCGGCTGTGGATGCAGACATGACCCAACTGTGGAGGAAGGGTCTGTTTTCATTTATGTGGTTTTTTCTTTATAAAGACAAAGGCTGGGTGTGATGGTGATGTGGCAAACAGGGCAAGCTGAGGGAGTGGAGAACATGACGCTTTGTTCCAACTACCAGTATAAAAATGTTTCCTTCCCAGTCTAATCAAATTTGTGAATAATGTAACTTGAGCCTTTAGGCTCTACATGTGCAGTTTAAGTTGTGCACAATTGTGGTTGTCATTGGCATGTGTCTCTTTGTTAACATGTGGACAACTGTTTGTATTCATTTACTGCTGCAAGGGCAGCTAAATCAGTGCACCATACAAATCCAAGGTGAAATTCCTGAAAGAGACAATGAGGTGTGTCATATCGTATTGAACTATACTGTATCATATCATATCATATCATATCATATCATATCATATACGGAATTGTATCTTATAATATTGTATCGTATCCAAGATAAGTTCCCTAAAGGGATCAATACATTGTATTACACATGTTGTGTTGTACACATTGTCTTGGATACAATTTGATAAGATATGGTATGATACAATGCAATATGACACGAGTTTCTTTAAGGGTCAATAAGGGGTACTGTATAATTTCATATTGAATGATATAGTGTTGTATTGTATCGTATCATATTGTATCAATTCATATCGAATCGTATCAGATCGTGTAACATCATATGGAATCGTATCTTCTCTTATCAAATTGTATCTTCTCATATCATACCGCACTGTATCCTATCATATCCAAGACACATTCTCTGAAGAGGGAAATTAGTTTTATCATTTTGTACCATATCGCTTGTTTTGTATCATATTGTACCTTATTGTTTTGTATTGTATCCAAAAACAGATTTCTTAAAGGGTATCTCATCCCATTTACCTCATCATTCAGATTGTTTTGTTATGTATTGAATTCAACCATATCGTGGACATTATATCGTATCAGCACCGTACCTTATTGTATCGTGTTGTGCCTCACCAGAAGCTGCCCAATGGGGCTTACAACTGTCCACACACTGACCCAATAAAGTAACAGAAAACACCTTCCAAAAGTCTAACAAGTGATTTATTATAACAAAAGACCAGACATAAATAATCCACCAAAGATTAACTAAAGAACATTTTAACAAGACAAATGAACACCAGGATCATATCCAAACGCTACTGTGCAAATGCTGGTTTCAAGAAACAGAGAAAATCCCGGACTTACCGAGATATTTGGCTTATTTCAAATTCAAACAATGACGGGAGGTGCAGCCATTTTGTCCATACCATATACAGTCTATGATCATATTGTATCGTATCGTATCACATGGTCTGGTTTTGTCTTTTATCTTGTATTGTAGATGGATTTACTGCTTGGAGTTGAGTAACTCTTGCGATGTATGTGATTTTGCTTTGCTGCTCATTCTTCCTTTTTTCATGTTATTTTTCCTACAGGTTTGGGCCAACATCAAAGCAAAAACATACTCCTTCCAAGCTCATTACACAAATGAGCTTTGGGGCCTCCTGCACAAGCTGAGCAGCAGACATGGGACAGATGATCCTAGAAGTTTAAAGGTAAACAACTCTAACAAGGTTTGAGTGTCTCACTGGTCACAGGAGCTTCAATTAATGTGTTTTTTGCCCATACATCTGAAAAAACAGGAGGACCGATCTGGCTGTATAGTTTCTACAGTTGGTAACACAAGCTGCATATCTCTGGGGATGGAAATCTGCTCAGGTCAGCAACTCTATTCTAGACTAAACCAGTCCTTGCATGATTTGCCTTAAGGTTTATTTAGATATTAATGGTTCACAGAGGATAGACCACCACAAATGGGTGCATCCCTGATTATTAGCTGTAACCCCATGTAGAGGTTGTTTTGGAATTCACAGCAATTGCTTGCATGTCTGTCTCTCTCAATTACAGTTAGAATGGCTGAATAATGTAGTTATGGTTGCCAGAAGATGAGTCCTACAAACTTTGATGATCCCTAATGTTTGTCTTACCTACCTCTGTGAGGGTGAAATTCCTGGTTTTGACTGAAACATCTGAACTGTTAGACAGATAAGCACATCATGCCTGCAAATGAAATACTTAGCCCAAATATCTCTGCATGAGGTTAGCTCCATACAGCCGTCACTGTAGTAAACATTTTCTGCAAACTTTCTCCTCTCAACAGAAAATCTATGAGTGATTTTGTATCTATTATTAAAATTTTGCTACTAAAAAAAGGCTGGCATGTAATCTGATTCAGGGTTGTAAAACTGTTGAACTCTAAAATGAGCTGTAAATTGCCCCTCATTGCATCAGATGGAAAGGCGACCTGCTGTGATACTGTTGGATGTAAAACTGTGACCAGCGTGGCCTTTGATAACAGGAGCTCTCACTCTGCTTTCATTTCAAAAGGGAAGACAAAACTTAGTTTGCCATCTGATAGTTTGCATTTAAGTTCAAATTCCCAAACTGACCGATTCTCATGATTCTGATCAACAAAAAGTACAACCAAGACTTCCACAATAATTTTGCTCTCAATCGTCTCTTTTGGATGAAAACAACCATAAATGAGATTATCTTTGAATATTCTTTAAATTATTGTTCCCCCAAGCTGTGTGCTGCTTGGTGGTTTTGAATAAGCCACAGATTGAATATGCCTCGAAACATTATAATAGAGCAGCTCCATTAACTAAACCAATACACTCTATAATAACTCCACATTTGCAATAAAGTCTTTTAAACAAGAACAATTACAGTGAATAATTACAGCAGATTAGCCTCAAACATTTACTCATTAGAGTAAACCAACTAAAGAGCTTGGCTGTTTGAACAATCCTGATTATTGGAACTTGCCATTAAAGAAAGATCATTTAATCACTCAGCAGCTCCTCTTATGGAAGCTGAACTTACTTCAAACTGGTTTCTAAATAACACAAAATAAGAAAATATAGGTCAATGGTGCCTGGAGTATCAAACTTTGCTTTTCAATTCAGAAAAAGTGTATTCCCAAAGTGCCATGATCCCACAAAAACAAACTTACTGCTGAAGTAAACACGTTTATTGAAAACACAAACACTTTTTCACACAGGGAAAAAAAAATAAATGGCACATGTTTTTCCTTCGACAGAGCAGAAACAAACAGAGCAGAAACAATCTCCCTGGATATGATAAATACAAACCTACTGACACATTTCTCTTTGATCAGAAGTCGTTTGATAATGTTCTCGTTGCTCCTGTGGGCGCGTTTGCTATAAATGGACGGGACAGGAGCCACCAGTAACAGGGAACAGTTTCATGTCATCTCATTCAATTTTTATTATAAAACAAACTACAGCTATACCAATAAAGTGAAAACAGTTTTAAAAAGATGTAGAAATTAATAAATAGATATGAGGCGCTACTTCACCTTCACCTACATCATCTTCAGAAAGGAACAAAAGATGATTTAAAATCATTCTGAGATTCATCGCCGAGAGGCAGCATCCACTGAATGTCACTTTGAGTCTCAATCCATCAAATCAGCTGGACCTGGTCCAATTATCTGGAGCGAAAGAAGGCAAACACACCCAGGGTTAGTTCACTGCTGAAACAAGACAACATGCTCTAACTACACAGACTTTAAAGGGTCTTTTCTCTGAGTCTTAGTCCCTCCATTACAAGCAAAGGAAATGAAAATGACAGAGAGGGTATGGGTAAAAGCAGCATTTCTTTATGGTCACCACTGGATCTGCTGTAGGTCAGCTTTGACAGCTGTTTGTGTCTGCACACACAGTGATTGTAATCACTGAGAGAATGCACAGTAACAGCTATTTTTTCCTGTATTTTACTTATATAATAACTAGATGTGAATAAATCTGCAATCTGTTCATTCTCTGTCCTGCTCAGAACCACTGGGACTAGATCACCGGTAAAATCTGTCATTATCAATTAACCGAGGACATGGCATTTTAGTGAACTCACGGGCACAACCAGTAACCAGTTCACTAGCTGTTATTATAACTCATGTCGGGTAAAGTTACGGATCAAAGTGTGATAGTCCGCCCAAAGTCAAAAAAAGTTTCCTTAGATTTCCAAAAAGATAAACAGGGTGTTTGTGGAAACTGCAATCTGCAGGACATGCAAATTTTTACTTTGAAATTTTTGTTGATTTTTTTGCTTTCTGTATTACCTGTGTACAGCATTTAATTTCTCTTTCTGTGAGCTGCTAGAACATTTGAATTTTCTGTGTGAAGTGTGAGTAAAGCCTATCTAAAGCCATGCAAAACTTAAGTAAAGTTGTTATTACCTGTCCAAACGGTTGACCACATCCCTCACAATGTTGATGAGACTCTCGTGGTCTTGAGGGTTGCTGACAATGAGGCTGTGAAGCTTCTTCATGTAAGAGTCGACTGTGTCAAGAGTGGGTGTCTCTCCACTACCTATAACACAAAAAATATCTGATGTCAGCAGTTGTTTTTGTGTTGTGAATATTCCTCACTGTTGACCAAAGAGTCTACAACAATCTTTACATTTGAGTAAGTTTTATGTTTTGACAACTCCTAAGCAGTAGCTGGGATGCCCACTGAAGGGCACAAATCACACATGAAAACACCAATCAGACAGACACAGCAGCACAAGCCACTACTTGTCATGCTGATGTGTTTGCGGCAAGCAGCGTCGAGGGCTGTCCCCAGCTGGGTCAGAGAGTCCAGCAGGCAGAAGGAAACAGCAATCATCAGGCTGACAGGATTTTTCTGGCTTGTCACGGTTCAATTGTGTGTCAAAACAAAAGCGTCAAGACCCGGAAAAAATTCAATGTGAAACAGAAAAATTTAACCAAGAAATGAAGTACCTCTGGTTACTGTTTTTAATTAGCATACAGAGTTAACTGATTCATAAAACTGAACCATTCAGCCAAGTACCAGAAAAATCAGGGTTGGTTGTTGCTGTTTATTAATATATTGACACTTTCTCCTAAACAGAATGTGCTGAAGAAGTCCCCTGGGGTTAACTTCAACTGGATTTTGCAATCACTTCTCATTGTCGAGCTCTTTGGAAATAATTCCACTGCTGTTGTGTGTATTTGTTCTGTTTGCAGAGTCTGCCTTTCTGCTGCGTGAGCGAGAAATCCAAATAGGCGTGGAGAAAAAAAACCTGTGGGTGTAAGCTCAGCATGGGTTCTGTGTGTGCATAAAACAAGTGTGAACAGAGGAGACAGCTTTGCTCAAATTTAAGTAACGAACAGAAATCTATTAAGCAGGATTCACGGGCTCACATGCATGGGGTCGGTTAAAAAGAACAGTAAGTGGTTCATCTGGACATTTGTTGAAGAGTGGATCACTTCAGGGGGAGAGACGCTCGAGATCAAAGCACAGTAAATACACAGTTGGTGTGAACACTCTATCATTATTTATGTCTCACCAAGGTAAACTGAGTGGAGAGCTAATAACCTACAACAGTGGCTGTGTCTGGGAATAGATTACTGCTATGAGATATCAAGTCTAAAGCAGTTGATAATGAGCATTGATCAAAGTGAGCAAATCTGACCCCCAAGAGGTCAAACTTTTTCCCCCCTTCTCTGCAAATGGCACCTTTTTTTCTGTCTAAAACTCTCCAAAATGAAGTTAAGTCCATACAGTCCCAATAATGAGACAACATAATCTCTGTCAAATATATGGCAAACTAAGGAGGCTGAAGAAATGTCTCATTACAGCAGTGGTTCTCAAGTCCAGTCCTTGAGGCCCACTGTCCTGCATGTTTTGGATGTTTCCCTGCTCCAACACACCTGATTCAAATGATCAGCTCGTTATTATCGTTATAGGTTATTAAGCCATTACAGAGCTTGATAACGAGCTGATCATTTGAATCAGGTGTGTTGGAGCAGGGAGGACAGTGTTGGTTTTGCTGTTGGTGTTACAATGTGGGTCCAGACGACTATTTGTAGGTCTACCCAAAATGTATACATCCTGCAAAGCACAACTTTCTACATAAAACATGATCATCATATCTATGATTTTTTTGTAGCTGTGGCTTATTGTAGCTTATTGGCTCATTGCTCTGCTGGGATTCCATGTATCACTTTTGATGACACTGCAATAACTTTAAATGCTTGAAAATACTGCTTCCTGTTTGATAAGTTGCAAATCCAGGACCTCAAATTATTAGAAATTAAGGACTTTTAACCAAGACTTTTTTCCTTTGATTGCTATTGTTTAAATTTTGATTTAAGAAGCCAGTATGGAGCTGGTGTTGGGCCATATCTATTGTGAGCTGCACTTGGAGACAGGTACCTGTTCAAAGTCCTTAAAGCTTCATTGTTAGGATCATTAATGACCACAGATCAAGGGTGCATGACCACGGGTTGCATTTTACACTTTTTGCTGTCCTTACAGTAAGTCTTACTTACTTCCAGAAAATGCTCCCTGAAACAGTGGCAATCTGCACCTCTTGTACAACAACAAAAATCCCTCCACCTCTGATATCAGTGGGCTCTCATGAAGAAACTGTTATTTTCTTCTCACCTGGCAGAGGGACAGAGGAGAAGCTGGAGGTGAGAGCCTGGCGAAGGGTCTCCAGGTGTTGATGGAGAAGCCCGTTGCGTCCCCTCTCTTGCATCACATCGCCTTCCAGCCTCTCTACCGCCCCGCGCATGCTCTCCACGTGCTTCTGCAGTGCTGCGTTCCTTTCCTCATACTCCATATTGGTCTTTCGCAGCTGCCGCATCTCAGCCTCACGTGCTGTTAGGAACACATGAACACGGGGAGAAACTCAGACAATGGTAGAGCGACAGAGGGAACAGAGAGCAAAATACAGCAGTTGGTGCCATAATCAATTATTGAACGGCTCAAAGGGGTGTGTTTTTTTCTAGTTTGGGGCGTTGCGGAGTTCTGTGCACTGTCAAACTATTCCAGGAGCACTATGTTCTCCTGAGGTAGCAGAGAGATGCGTTAAGAAACACTTTAACAAATGGAGCCTTCATAAAGTCTAAGCACACCAACTTCAAAGTATTCCCAAGAATACAGCTCGCTGTGCTTGAGCTCTTTACCTTTGCTGTGGTTGAGGAACTCCTCGGTGAAGATTGGTATGTCAAACACAGTTCTGTCCTTCCCTTCTGCATCCTTCTGTTGAAAACCAGAAACAGAAAGGAAGAAAAATAAGCAGAGCAGAGGAAATCACTTGCCACACACCGATAGCGAAAGGTGGTCATTCATCTTAGCGGGCCGTGGGTGGGGGCTAATTGATTTCATACCTGGCCACAGGGGAAATAGAGCAACATACTCTGAGAAATAAAGAAGGCAAAGTAATTTCATCAACAGTCCTGCTTAGAAATCAAAGGCTGAGGAATGGTTTGAAAGAAAAGTAATTTACTGCTACTGCTACAGCTCATACAGAGCAGGGTTCACTTGTTTATTTCCACCCTTGTTTCTTTCTGATGATTCCCTCGTCTTTGAAATCTGGACGGGAAACACCAGCGCTCCCACAGGAATGCTGACTCCAATAGAGTCACCTTGGCCACAGTCATTCAGCTTTAAGACATACTTACAAAGGAAGCCTCTTGATTACAGGCAGAATTTAATGATCATGAATTACACACTTAGCAAAAGCCAGAGTGTTTGGATCACAAACACAAACGCGGCACCAAAGAGGATTAACCCAGCTTTAGTGATGCAACAGTAAGCACTGGTGTGGAGCAAGGAGAGGGCAAATTCAACAGACGTGGGAAATTCTGAGCATGGATACACAGACCAATGAAAACTGGGTCATTTTTTAGACAATTATTTAACAGTTTAAATTTGGATTTTAATAAAAATTATGCCAGTTTTTATTTTTTTACCACATGCTGGTTTTGAGGATCTTCACATGTATAATGAAGACCCTGTCTGATTGAACTACTGTCAGTTAGAATCTATTATCAGACAATTCTGAAATAAAGAACCAGCAGTTCAACATAAATCTCTCACATCCTGATATACTTTTTTTTTTTGCATAGGTGAGGGGGACTCTTAGTGGGAGCAGGCAGAAATACAAGGGTAAGTGTACTGGACCAGTGACTGTTTATGGATTTTATATCACTGCCACGTGTAAAAGGATGCTTCTGCAAAACAAAAGCGACAGCAGTGCAAAGCAGCAATTCTGCTCAACAACTTCAAAACTTACTCACTTGCAGTAAATGTTCCGCACTAGGCTTTAAGACAACTTTTTTTCACAACTGTTAGGCAAAAAAATATCTATTTGTGTGCAAACATGCCAGAACATTTTCAGGACTTTTGTGCATATGGAAAAGGGACTTAGGACTGTCAGAATCTCCACACAAAGGTAGTGAACAGAGGATTAAATGAGATGTTCCCTGATCAAAAAGAATGACTAAGTGTGGAAGAGCAGAGAGTTACCCACCTCATGTAGGGCCTCATTGGCTACCTGGTGCCCGACATCTGGAAAGAGAGAAAAGAATAAAAAATGAAGACAACAGCAGATGATTCATGTTTCCCCTGGCGCAGCACATCTTTGCTTCGTCGTGAACTGATGGAGTGAATCAAGCTTATCCAAAAAAATACCGTCTCAGCACTCTCTATTGTGAATCAGCTGAAATGTGGCACAGCTTCCACTATAGGAGAGCAGTTTTACGCCTCTCTGAGCATTTCTGCAGAGGCAGGGCTGTTTCTGTCATCAACATTTTTGATATTTTAACAGAGATTTATCCACAGTCATAAAATCAGAACAAATAATAGAAACCATGTGTTGAGTGAGTGAGCACAGAAACAGCTCCTTGGCCTCAAGGTGAACTCATAACCTGAACTACCACTACTTTGAATGCTGAAATATCTCCCTTGCCTGCCACTATTCGACTGACTGAGCATCAGAAATAATGAGTTCTCAGATCCAACACTGCGTGATGGAATTTATGCAAATGATGTTTCCAAACTTTGCAAACATTTGAAGGTGAGGGGGAAATCAATTTCTGGGGAATTATTTCCTTCATCTGTAGCTGCTTATTTCCTCAAAGCTGCAACACAATGCATACATAAATATACTTTCAAAAAACCAATTTATTCTGATTTATAAGCCAAGAACTAGCTACTCTGGGTCATTTAGTGGCTTGGTGACTTGCTCATGGGCGTCTGTTTGGTTAAATCCTCTTTGTAAAATTTCAACTTCTTTTTGGACATAAAAAAAAACATGAGATATATCTGCCCTGCCTTCTACTTCTTTTACCAAGCTCCAATAATGGTGAGAAAATAGCCACAGCAGCTGGTCCCAGTGTTTGTTATCCTTCCACTTTTTTCCATTCCACCTTCCGTCCATCCACATCTCACCTCCCCTGTGCCGTTTCCCCTTCTGCTTCTCCTGGACCTTCCTGGTGAAATGTTTGTAGGCCTCTGTCTTTTGGTACTTCTCCAGTTCCCGCATGTAGCGCTCTTTATCTTTCTCTGCCTCATCCAAGTATCGCTGCAGGGGAGAAAGACAGAAAGGTGAGAGGAGCTGCAAGGACTCAGCCAAAGAACAAGAAAAAAAAAAAGCAAAGGGGGAAAATGAGATTTGGCCAAAACAGGATAAGAGAGGATTTTGGTTGAAATGGCTCAATGAGAGGCAGTTACAAATCCTAATCAGGATTAGTTACTGTCAAGAGACAAATTGAAGAAGTTTTCAAGAACGAACAATTAATAATAATCATCCAGATCTTATAATTAATGAAAATACATCTTGTGAACCCAAATTATTTCAGAAATCTTATTAATAAATGGAGCAATCTTCCTCTGCATGTGGTTTTCTCAACACTGTACTGTACTTTTGCTACAGGTGTAAACACTGAAAGTAAACTTCCTGTGGTGTTGTCACATTAATGAGCACCAGCAGGGAATACACTGTCTGGAAGTTAGTCCTGCTTAGTTGTGTGTTTGCTGGTGTTTATGAAACAGCAGTGTCATGTGCGAGTGCATGTCTACATTTAACAGTTATTTGACACACTGAATCTACACGCAAAGCAGTCACTTCCCTGAAAATGCAGGTGAGAGGTTACATGTAAGTAATAATTCTTGTAGTTCAAAAATGGCAGACAAGAAATTGGTTAAAGTATAATGGGGTTCAGTCTATAACCGGCATTGCATGTCCTGCAATGTGACTACTACACATGCAGAAATAAGAATTACTTGGGACCAAGGTTATTATTGTTAACGAAAACTAACGAAATGATGAAAACTAGAATTGAAAAAACATTTCCGTCAGATGAAATAAATAAAAGCTATAAAAGAAAAACTATAACTAATTGAAACTGTATTGTGTGTTAACAAAGCTAACTAAAATGTATTGAAATAATAGATTTCGTTTTTGTCAACTTTGAAGTGATATGGAATTGATTTATTAAGCTCGAGCAATTTTACGTGAGCTAGCAGCACCGTATGGCACCTCACAGTTTGTCATCTCTTGTATAGAGTTGGCTTCTCGTCACCGTTCTACCAAGAAAAATGGCGACAAGTCCTATATGATATTTCTTTAAATACAACAGCAAGAAAGATAAAAGCAAGTGCCTTGTAGTGGAAACTGGTGATAAAGTATGTGGAATACTTCTCAAAGGAAAAAACTTCACAAATCTGAAAGTCTATTTGAGAAGCTCACAAAGAACGCTAATTGCGAGTACCTTGACCAAGTGGCCTCTCTGAAGCGCTCCCCTGAAAAAGAAGCAACATCTCGACCAGGAAATAGCACCGGGAAGTGGGAAACAACTATAATGGACCATATAGCTGGTGGTTAATAAAACGCAGGATTATCACAAATGGGAAGATGCACTAGTAAATATGTTTATTGAGACTGGGATGTCTCCAAGATTGTGTCAATTGATTGCCTTTGAAAAGTTGAGCCAAAATTCAAATCATCCGGTGCTGCACAAGTGAATAACTTCATTGGAAAGTAAGAACAACTAAATTTAATACTAAAACTAATAAAAACTCAACAAAAACTTACAAACCCACTCTAAAAACTAAATAAAACTAACTGAATTAGAGAAATAAAAAGCCCAAACGAAATAAAACTAAGCTACAGGGAAAAATCCAAAACTACTCTAACCTTGCTTGGTAAAAACGATTAACTGTCAGCCACAGCAAAAACTGACGTCAATTTTATAACTTCATAGCTTTATACTGTGATCATATTTTCTATTTCTATGAGAGGGCATTTGAATCAGTTTTGACATCCTTCTGCTATTCTTGCATCACAGTCAAAGCTGTAACTAGGACACATGGAGATGCTATCAAACTGTATAACACAAGAATTGTCAGGGGATAGCAAAAAACTACAGATATAGTCCCGTTTAAGTCCATGTATTCTCCAATAAAAAACAAAACACAACACTGACACTTTGCACTCTGCACACTCTTGTTCCTACACTCCTTGAGAGCTTTGTTGTAAAATTAGATGAAAGTCTCTGCTGGTTTGAGGAAGTGTTAAATTTGCCTGAGAACACGCTCAAGTGTTGGCATGTTGTGTTTGAATATGTCAGTGCAGTCCTCTGGAGCACCCTTGGTGCAATTACTGAGTAATGACAATTAAAATCTCTCACTTTGTTTGTCAGGGACCACAATTATTCTGCTGCTGGCCTCTCAAGCTCTTTGATAGTTTATCCAATCCTGTTTGAAAACTGGACCTTCTAAGTGGGTCAATTTTGCTGCTGTGAAATGCTCAGTGACAAACAAAGCCTAGAGGAACACAAAGCTACACTGGCTATGTTTACATGCAGTCATTAACCCTTTCAGAACCAGAATACTAGACTGGACTGTTCATTTTCCACCGTGCTGCTGTGGTTGTTGTTGTTGTTACTGTTGCTATGGATACAGGAAGAAGAGGCGGAAATGGCGCGCATTGCGTCCAGAAGTTCTCCATACATCGCTGTTTTGATTGGGATACCATGTAATCAAGAATAACCCTGTTTGCTTACGTATGTAAACAGGTTATTCTGAATGTTTCAGAAACCAGATTATTGACCTTAACCCGAATACGGACTGCATGTAAACGCAGCCACTGTTGCTTGTCTGGGCCGTCTCTCTCTACACTCACCTGCTTCTCCTCTGGGGGAAGCTTGCTCCACTCATTGCCCAGCATTCTGGTGATCTCTGGGAAGGGAACGTCTGGACGTTCTGCTCGTAGCTGCTCCCGTCTGTCATTCATGAAGCGAACGTAGCCTGTTAGAGGGGCTTTGGGTGCATTGCTGTCCTTCATCGGCTTCTTCCTTTTCCTCCCCTTGGTCCAGCTGCCACGTCTGGGCTTCTGTAAAATCACAAAATCAGATATTTTTTGAAGGGTTTAGCAGTCATCCTCCATTATGCTGAACAGCAGGACATTTTTTTTGGTTTATTTGGGAGAAAAACAGAAAAATATGTCATTTGAAATCAGTTTGTTAAAGATTTACCTCATCTCCATTTCTCTGGCTGTTGTTGTCGGCATTACCTCCTGGGGAGCCGGTCTGTTCATCCATTACTTCTTTGACAACAGGGGGTATCTAGAGGGAAACATTAGGAGATATTATAATAAATAATACTACATAAAATGACCCTGGCTTGTATCAATGTATGATTTCCTGAACAGTGATATCTTTAAGGATAGAAATAACTAACTGAGACAGAAAAATGTGGACACATATTGCTGCCAGCTGAAGGTTGGTTAAGCCTTTGGAGACAGGCTAGGACTAAGGCTTGGAGCATTATCTCCAAGGGACACAGCCAAGCCAGGAAATAGACAGCAGACTTTTCTTTCAACAGCAGTAACCTTTTTTTTCCACTTTCTGCCTAAACTCCTCCCTGTCTTGGCTCCAAACCTCCTCTTTACCAGCCTCATTTCCTCTGATAGAAATGTCTTGCTGCTATCAATCACTAGTGAGCAAGTGAGCAAAAAAGATCACATAACCACCTTCACTGAGACGCAAATGTTGCCTGCTGTTAACACGAACAGGTAATATAGTAGCACTGCTGTGTCATTAGACATTAGGGAACGCCTGCGTGCTAAAAAATGCTTTTGGAAAACATTTGTTTTGAAGCTAAACCTCTTTCAAGAGACTTTGAAACACAAATTTGTATTCAAAAAATCCCCCACTGCTTTTACATTATCACGCTGGTGTAAAAATAGGTTGAATTACTGAAATAAAATCTAATTACAGGTTGTGCTTGTTCAGATTATTTGTGGGCAAATAGCCCAGGTTAAGCTCTTAAAAAAGAAACAATGTCACCATGCTTCAACTCTGACCTCTTCTAAATTACTGCGTGGGAAGTGAGTCTCTGTATCCTGGAAGTGGTTTCTGCCCCCCTGACACTAAACACTGTGGGAAAAGTCAGAGGAATAAACCACACTACCACCAAAAAGCCCTTTTGGGATCAAGACTATGTGGGGGGAAACTCCCCTTACTACAGCAAGCAGTTATGCTGACTGAGTTAGGGTTTCCTTTTCAACATTATAGTGATGCCTGCAGTGATTTTTTTTAAGTGATAAAATACCTTAATCACTGATATATTTCTATTTTTAAAGCCCCCATTATGTGCTGCATGTTTTGTTGAACTTGTCTTTGCAAAACTGAGTAAATAATTACCTCCCTTGCAAAAACAAGTACAACTTAAATATGTGGAGGCTTAGTTGCCAACAAAACAACTCAAAGGATCATTTAAATGATGAAAATTACTGTTAATTTCAGGATCCTCTGTTGTACTGTCATCTTAGCTTCTACATCTAGGTTTAATGTTGGAATAAATATTTGAAGTTTAATATTTGTTTAAAGAGAGTAAAGTTACACAAGAGTCAAACTCCTTCTCATAACATTATGTACACATGCACAATCTAATGCAACCCAAATTAACAGATCTACCAGAAATGAGTAATTCAAGGGGTTTCTAAAACTTCTGTTTTATGTTGACATGATAACACTGGTGATTATTGTACTTCAAATTTATTATGATGACAAAGAGAGCGGTCTCTTGTCCTAAAAGGTGTTGCTTTTATTTTGTTCTTCTGATTTGCCAGCACAAGGGGACCCAGATATTAAGAATGCCTTTCAACAACCAACGCCCACAACAATGTCAACGACTGATTTTAATTACCAAACCACTATAATCTCTGCTTGTGTTAACATAACTGAATATGTACTGTAGTGATGTTGTATTGTTGCATTGCCCATGTTTACACATGACTGATGATAATACTGCTGATCTTGTATTTTGACTTAGCTTACCCTGACCAATAAACTGTGCGGTAGCGCCCCCTGCTGGACAAAAGCCAACAATGCACAACTCAATCATTACATATCAGTACTCTATTTCTTTACCGTAACAACGTTATAAAACGCTTTTAAGTGGATAACAAAAGAGAATTTTTTAAAACTGTGTGTACCACGTGTTTTTATGCCTCTCAATTAACACAAATGAATTATTCAAAGTTGTTTGATCAGCATCAATAACCTGAGCTAACCTCGCTAAATAACATAGGCCACATTAAACATAGAACAGCGCATTTTCAACATTATATAACACCACCCACATTTTTACGATAACCTTAGACTATATCTATAAGTCACAATAATGTACATAAATAGATAACACAAGATGCATTGTTGTCTAGCGTCTGGCAAGCTAACGTAACTAGCCACCGTCGACTGGAAGACCTTAGCACGCTACAGAATGGTATCTGTAGACTTTATCGTCTATAAATGTCTGACATATATGCTAACAGCTATTACTATCAAAATCCCAGCCCCACTCTATCTCATTGTTTACAGAAATGCTGGTGGAAAAAGACATCTCAGCTAACAGCTAGCCCTGCCGTTAGCTCATGTTAGCATACGGCTGGCGGTTAGGTCCAAGACGGCTACAAACGCTTGTTTTTAAGGTTCGAGAATTCAGTATGATGCTATTTGAAACTCATTAAATGACATATATTATGCGCAAAAAGATACAGTTAAACTCACATCTGATATCGTTATCCGTAGCTGTTATCTATAGGTCCAAATGAGTTTTCACTATCAAAACAATACAAGGCACAGAATCGGAGCACATAGACAGGCGTGCATCGCGTTACCTCGCCCCTCATTACAACCACATTTTCTTTCTCTTCTTTCGTGGGTTAGTAACAACTACAGCTTTGCCCTCCTTCTGGGAACTGCACATCGTGTGCCATGCTTTGTTACTATCACAAGGGTAAGAATACATCAAATGTCACACAAGAGAGAAAGTTAGTCAGATTACTTTATTCTATTAACCGACTTTAATTTTTTAGGAATTAATTTGAAACCTCGTGATTTATCAAGGCTATATAATTCTTTTAACATATTGAGCTGAGTGTCATTGTTAGTTATCATTATGAGGAGTTGTGCAGTTCCACAGTCACTCTCTTTTAATTGAGGACAGAGAAAGAGACAAACTTAGGTGCCACTGCGCTGAACTGTTCTACATCATCTGTTTCTATGGCTTCTTCTCTCTTCTTCTTTTTTTTTGTATTGGCGGACTAGACGCATCCGAGGCGTATTGCTGCCCTCTGCTGTTTCCATGCGTGTAGTGAGCGTGTGCATGTTAAAACAGTTTCTCCAGCTGCTCCCAGATCTCTGAAAAGTTTCCTCCTTTGGGATGAGTATCTTTTGGAGTGTAAAATTACATGAGACACAATCGCTGACTCTCCACAATCACATCATCCACCCAGGTGTTTCCCAATAAGACCGAGCTCACTTTTAGGACCACAGTGTCCCAGTCTTATTCTGGTGATGACTACAGTGTCCCTCTAGCTGCACCCATGGCAATTATTGTTTTAAAGGCCTATCCTGGTCTCATTTTTCTTCATGTGTAGCTCAGTTTCTTTACGGGTTTTGCTTTCTACTGCTGTCCGCGTTGTGTATTACATGCTGGGAGGAGAAGGATTCTAGGGGCCCATGATTGACAGGGGCCAAGAGATGCCCCTAAGACAATTATTATCCTGACAAAAATTTTCACACTCTGTGAAAAACGTAGAGTTAAACAAATATTTTAAATACACTATATTGGTAACACTAAGTTCATTAAGAAATGAAAAACATTTCTTAATTTCTAAACATTTCTTCAGTCCACCGATAGCCAGTGGAGGGAGAAAGAGAGCATGATGCCTCAAAAGTCTGAGAACCAAAAACAAAAGGAAAAACAGCTCAATCAGGAGAATGAAGCAAGGGGTCAACAGTATGTCACCATGTTTTTTTCACAGGCAAGGTGGCTCAGTTAGTGGTTCATGTGATGGAAAGTTCTGGAACATTAGCCTGTTGTCTATTCCCAACTTTGTACATACACTCTTGTTTTGGTTAAATAATCAATGCAGGCAAACAATTTGCAAGCTGCTATGCCTATAGTCGGTTTCCCCCACAGACACAATAAGAAGAGCAGCAGCTGTCTGACAGCTGTCTGTTTTTTTTTTTCAAGTGACTATTAATCAGAAAAATTTATGTTCAAGTATTTGAAGGAAAAGATGGGTTTTTGGAATATAGAGTATCAGTCTTGCAGCAAGTAATTGAATCTAAATGAATCAAATTGTATTTTCAGTGCTTCCCCTACTAACTAACTGTCATTATGTTCTTTTCACAAATATGGGAATGATAGTCAAAAATATTATTAAAACACAGTTTTATGAAAAATAATACGTACATTTTTCTGAGGGGGGGCAGTAAGATTTCTTTTCATGGGGCCCTAAATCCCGAGCTGTACCCCTGCTCCAGACCATAGATATCATACATAGACGCCTCATCGCGTGCTAGAGCGTAATCCAGAGTAGCTGCCATATTGGGTGAGTTTCCTCATTCGAGACTAGCGCCGGAGCAAGACGAGTCAACGGAGAATGAGCAACAATGCCCGTATTTTGTGCATTTTACGGTTGCAAAAACAGACGCACCTTTGAAACCACGGATCACGTATGATTAGATTTCAAAAGTAAGATTGAAAAATAATGTTAGTTATTTTAATGTGTGACAGCGTCTTGTATTGTGGATAATTTTCTGCCATTTGAAACAAACTGTGTGAAAATTGGATAAAAATTCGGGGAATTGGGCATCCCTACCTTCCTCAGAACTAAATGCACTGGAGACGTACGGGGGACCCATCCAAGTTGGCGGCCGCACCAATACAGGAGTTCAAATTAGGCAGCGTCCGTCTACGACGCGTCTATGTATATTATGTCTATGCTACCAACGTAGACACCGGCGCGTGATTCGGTAGTGTACCGGGGGAGGCCCAATCAGGTCGCGCTATTGTGTACAGTCACTGTAGACATTGCACGTCCGTAGACAGGACCCGAGCAGCAGCTAGCGCCGTACTAATGTATACGAGGCTGTTAGCTAGCCGCGTAATGAATGTGCTGTTTTAGACTTCAGCAAAGGTGTGTTCATGGACTAAGACACGCCCTGGAAATGCTCCCCCACGCCCTGCCGTTGTTTGAAAACTAAGTATAGTGAGTTTCTTCACATGTTAATTTACTGGTTAAGTTTGACAGCAGACCAGAGGAGTGTCCAGCTAACCGGGCTAAGGCTAACTAGCTAACTAGCTAGACGGCTACAACACAGCGCAGCTAGCCTGTTAGCAATCTGTTTTGTGAACTACTTTGGCGTGTCTCCACTCCGGATAAACTACGTATTTTAACCTGAAACGCGTAAGTACACCTTCAGATCATATCTTAACGACTGTAATAGCCCAACAGAGTAACAACACTGGTGTCAAAGTCACATTTGGACCTGCTAACGTTACACCGCCTGTTCGGTGGGTGGCTAGCTGAGTTACAAGCAGTTTGTCAACAAAACGAAAACGTTATGACAGAAAATGCAGCTCTGAAAAACACGATCAACAGAATAAAAAATTTACAGAGCAAGATACACCACTCATGAACAGCTATGAGGGGCTCTATTAGAGTGAAACGTGAGTTATTGTTGATTGGACTCATCACAAATCCATAGGAAAGTCTTTATCATTTGAATTTTTATTCTGTGTTTAATTTACTCAAACAATCAATAATAAAGTTGTAAAACCATTCCAGCTTGACACTTCCTGGATACATTGTTTACATCTTGGATGAATCGGTTTGAGAACAACACACAGTTCTGTGGCTTCTGGTCCTAATAGATGATGTTTGTGTTGTATGTCAGGGAGGTCCTGATCATCAGCCTCATCTTCTACTAAACACTTTTGTTTTTCTTATTTACAAAAATTCATGTCAAACTAAGCTGTTAATTTTATCACTGATCATATTTACTGCACAGTTTGGCATGAATTTATCAGATATGCATATTTCTACTCGTGATGCTGGTAACAGGTTTAGGCTTTCACTATAAATCCAGCAAATACAGAATTAGTGATACTGTGTTATTACTTATGAATAATTATATAATTTGCATGATAAGCAAATTGATTAAATAAATCATGTCTTAAACTTATTCCACTCAAATGTAGAATAAACAGTCTAGTGTATAATGAGGCTTAGCAATGACACATGACAAATGTCTATTGTAAAACACATGTTTTAAATCACTTCTTATGTTTTGTGAACTTTGCTGAGGGTGTCAAAGATGTTGTGTTGGACAGGCCATGGACCAACAAGCTCAAAAAGACAATAAAAACCTACGATCTCTACCACAGAGATGTGCTTGTTGTCCAAAGGTTGTTCAGCCACCTTCTCAGTCACCTTTTTGAACTTTTTTTGCACTATGTCTAGGATTTTTATCCATCCTTTTAAAATCTCGAGTCATTTTCTCCTGTTGATTTAGTGAAACTATCCTATTCCATTGTTTATTTAGTATATATCAAGTTGGTAGTGTTGCTTTATAGCTCTACTGATACTTATTATATTTCACAAAGTGCAAGTGTCTATTTGGCTGTTTTTTATTTCTACACAGCTGACATTTTAACCACAGGAGTGTAAATTTTAAGTGACTTGTGAATTGTTTTGCAAATTGTACTCAGTTTACACCAGCTGGCATTAATAATCGGGGTGATATCTTTAGCTTAATTTGCTGATCCCTTATCAGTTAAAAAGAAAAGTTCCTGAACAGCTCTAATCTGATGTATGATAAGGGTTTGGACAGTCCTAGTTGTTTTCCAGTTTTCCCTATTTTGTTGTTCTTGTTCTGATGGTACCGTCACTTAGCACGTGTTCCTGTCATCAATCTTTAATTTTGCTGCTGGTGATAAATGATCAGCTGTTGAAAAAGTAAAGAGCACTGTTTGATGAAACTGAAGGGCAGGGTTTCACTTCTTTCCCTCTGTGTTTCTTCCACAGTCATGTGAACCCCGGATGAGATCTGGACCTGAGCCTTGAGCCATCTATGATGTCCAGAGCTTTTCCTGTTGCATCACCTGCTTCCTGTTGGTCCATTTAATCAGCCATTTACTATAACTCCTTCACCAGTCCTGTATCTCTGCTTTATAACAGTATGTTAATATACGCTGACCCCTCCCAACCCTCTGGGATAAGAATCCCTCAAAATCAGGCTCTCCAAATGATATGATAGTAGCAGCCTGGATAACTTACTGTGCCTGCAGGAGCCTTGCTCGGGTTCTGCTCTTCTTTTCCTCCTCAAACTCCCCTCCTCCATTCTGGGAGACCTTCACAAGTGTTGTCTCCAGCACCAGAACCATGGGAAATAGCTGTGTGTGCCGGGAGGACAGTGACTTGGAAGACCATCACCGTGGTTCATCAAGAACAAATCGGGGACAAGCTAGGCGGGTTGACCATGGCACAGGTGTAGGTGTTGATGCTGGAGAGGCCCGAAGCAGTCGACCTAGGGACCCAGTCAGGCCGCCACGTCGAGGGAGAGGGCCCCACGAGCCGAGGAGGAAGAAACAAAATGTGGATGGCCTGGTGCTGGACACATTGGCTGTAATTAGGACACTTGTTGACAAGTAAGTCAGATACCAGTTGCGTTTTGATGATAAAGTGAGAGTTGTCTCTGTTGTTCAAATGATGGTGTGTGTTGTGCAGTGTTGTTTACGTTGACAATGACGTTGACAAAAACGAAAACAACACTGCAGAATATACAGTATGTTTAGCGTTTGACTGACGAAATGCTCATGAATTTTGTAACTCTGTTTGTCGTCAACCACTAATGTTTTCGTCTCGTCTCGTCAACGTAAACGCACATTCATCTCGTCCCATTTTAGTCATCTAAGACTTATGTTTAGCTTGTCAACGTCACGTCTTCGTCATGAAAAAAAAAGGGGCGTTGACAAAATATTTTCGGCGACGAAAACAACACTGGTGTTGTGACAATGTTTTGGTTGAATTTCATGAACGCTTGCTTCAAAGTATTTGTCTGTAAAACTCAGGCTCTGACAAACTCATTCACACAACATCAAAATAGATATAAAGATATTTTTCAGGAGTTAAACTGTTGGTGGACGTTTTGCTGTCTCACTCAGAAATGTGACATCCACGACTTGTTTACAAGTAAAGTCCTGCCTTTGGGACGACTGATTTAAGTGTAATTTTTCTTCAGAACGAAGTACACAGAGCAGCAATTATGCTGAAATCTTAACTGCTTAACCTTAACTAATGGTCAGCCACATTTACCATTGATAAGTTCTACGAAGAAATTCAGCACATGGTTTGTAATTACAAGTTGATGTGAGTGTTTATTCATGATTTGACTGAAGATAACAACCCTCTTTCGGCTTTGTAGACTTCGTAGAATGAAAAGGTCAAAATGTTGCAAAATAGAAAAGGTCTTAAAAGGTGGAGCTTAATTTTTTTAAATAAATTGCAGACAGTCAGATATCTTCCTATAGCTATACACAATGAAATCAAAATGGTGCAATTCTTACAAGTACAAATAAAACAGAATGTGAATCAAACTTAGTACAGATAAAGTAAAGGGAAACAGTTTTGTGGTTGAGACACTATTTTTCTCACAGTGATTTTGAGATCTGTTGATTGTGCTGACTGTCACAACTGTCTCATGATCAATGGATGTCATCAAACTTCTCTGTCATCAAAAGTGTTTCCATGTATACATGTATTAGCATTTCAGTCCAAGGCTTTTTGCTGCAGGTCAAAAGCAACACAGCAGCTTTACAAATAACACTCTTATTATCATAACCTAATGTAATGTTTGTTGTCTAAACTAAGGTCATGTGTTATTGTTGTTGTTTTAAAAAGTCTAACTGGAAAATATAAATGCAAAACACACAGTTGCAGGCACTAAATAAATAAACCACCCATTTTAAGATATGGACTGCAGGCTGATAGTGTACAGCCAGGGATAGAAAAACCTTACACCTGCTCCACTGAGGTCCAGGCTCCACGCACGCAGCTGCAGATGTTGGGACATTTACTTCTTACTTCAAATCGGTAGAGCAGATAAGAGAAGAGTTTGTAAAAGTGAGTTTCCTTGCTGTGTTGAGTTTCCTGTCACTGTCCGGATGACCTGCTGAAATGATTTAGCAAGATTATTTTATTCTTTTTAGTGGACCTTAGAGCTGTAGTCCTGTGTACTCTGAGTTATCATTAGCTGAAAGCTGGTTGATTACTGTGGAGAATCTGACTAACAGCTGTTCCTGGGAATTATCAATGCAGTTTCATTATTCGTTTATTGCATTAGGAAACCTGAGGATCTAACGCTGTGGCTGTCAAAACAAAACCAGCTCACAGCTTGAGTTTAGGCAGAATAAGCAACATGAACAGTAGCATCATCAAAAACATCAACTGGAGTATTATCCATCACAGTCATATGATGCCTTCATCTTTCATGAGACAGCAGTACTGTCACTAGCTTTTAATGATATATCAGGAACAGGCATTAGTATTTCAGACCGAATAACACAGTGTTACTAATTCTTTCCTATGTTTGCTTATGTTTGCTTAGAAATATGCATATGAAAGAATATAGTGCACCATTTGGGGTAAATGTTTAATAAAGATTAGAGAAACAGTCTAGCTCAATGTTTTCAAATTCTGTTCTGTTTTCCAGTGACCAAGAGCCCCCATACTCCATGATCACTTTGCACGAGATGGCAGAGACAGGTAAGGAAAAAGTGAACACATTAGCGGTCTGAGTTATAATCACAGATTCACAAGTATCATTCTTATACATTCATTAATTTCACAACATTGATAATGTATAAAATCACATCATGAATTCTTTACAAACATGTATGAGTGTTATTTTCCCCACCTCTTGAAACAAAAATAACAATGATTAAATAGTTCAGAAACCTAAGACGGAGCTAAGAAATCTATGTATAGTAATTTCTTTGGTTTGAAATATTGTAAAAATACTGGAAATATGATGAAATCATCACGCTGGTTATTGATGACTGAATTGCGATTGATTAAATCTCATGATATCGGGTTGGAATTGTAATTTAAACCTTGTAATTGAACCTACCATGCCCACTGTTTGACTCTATTTAGGTGGAAGGAAGCAACCTTGAATGGGCACAGACCAAAGCCCCTAAGAAGCCGTTTTTCTCCACCTCGCTGTTTCGCTGCCGTGTTGCTGTTTTTGCTTTGCACTGAAAAGTCCATCTCTCCCTCGCCTTTTTTTCTAACATGTTTATGTTTTATTCAACTATTCATGAAGTCAGTTGCCACTAATGTAATAGAACTCAATTATTGTATGATCTTTACTTGAGTGTGTAGTGCTGGTTGTTGATCCTGAAGATGCTGATGTTTAATAAGTTTGATCCTTTAGCTGTAAAACTTTGCATCAGGGTTTGGAGACCGCTGATCTGTCATCTTGAATCACTGCTTGGTTATTCTTGGCTTTCCCAAAATGCTCCCACACAACTGACCTCTTTTGTTTTTGGTGTGGATTAAGCTTTGCTGCTTGGTTGCTCTGCTGTGGTTAAGCTAATGTAGCACAGCCTTCATGACTCTTGATGAGCAGCGCCTCACATTAGATTGGTGCACCACGGGTGTCACTTTGTTTTAATTCCATGCAGGTTGCACCGAGCATGGTGTACCATTCCCTTTTTGATTGAGTCAACAGAAACACTCAGTGTAGTGTAGTTAATGTTGAAACAGGTTAATTGCTATGTCCCTGCAGTGGATAATAATCGAAACAGAGTGGTCATTTAAAAGGCTGACACAAAATATACTTGGCAGTGTAATGCGCACTGAGTGTGTTTGATATCATTGTACTGAAGTTTACACACCAGGGAAAGATTTGTCTTAACATGTTCACAGAAACGAAAGTTAATGCAACAGACAAGTCATACCAAACCAAACTACAACCAGTCTTGTCAGTGTTTTTGTTATTTTGACTGTATTTATTTTAAGCAACACAAATGAAGTGTATTTAAGTCATTGTAAATCCGTCTTGAATATGGTATCACTTCTCCTCAGACTGGCCTTATCTGTGCTCCACTCTGGTTTCCTCTGCCTCCCCTGCATCCAAGCCTCCTGTGATAACGTGCTAAACGCTCTTGGTACTCTGAGTTTGAAGTGTGGTCCTTTACTATCTGTCAACATCAAGTTAACTATCTGTCCTTAATACAACTTGTGTTTTAATGGAAGCTCAGGCATGAAAGTTGTAGAGGGGAGACCAGAAAGTAGTCTATTTATGAAATCTGTCTTTGTTGTACTTCAGCTCTTTGACAGAGGTTTTTAAGTTGTGTTTTCATGATATTGTCAGTATAGCTGTATGACAGTATTTACTTTGAGACTAAACACGTTTGAACACTTGGATAGTTACTGCAGCTTTTACCACCATCAAAATTCCACCATAGTGGCTCAAAAGTGTTTCACCTTAAGGAGAAAATGATTCAGAGGTCGAAAAATGAGAAAATCAAAATTACATTGTTTTTAGGTTGAAATGAAACCACCAGCTGTAATGAAGCTGTACGGTTTGGGCATGCCACAAATTAGCTGGAGGATTTATTGTTTATTCTGCCTGGTGGAAAGTTCAGGAATTTTAAACAGGTTTCTGAATGTGACGTCTCAGTCCCCTCGGGCAGAGCTTGTGTAGAGTTTCCGCGAACTGCTGAGACAAAGATAATTTAGTAGCTTTGTAAGCAGCTGACGCCAGAAGTTCTATTCCCCTGATCCCCCGATCCTCTGATCAGTGACATGAGTTGCCTTTTTGATACCTCATTCAAACCACTTTATCTGTGATAAACAACAAATTCAGCAATCTAAACATTAGGTTGATCTAACAGCAAACACAGTTCATTTGAGTTGAATTGTGTTGTGTTTTTGGGATAGGGTATACTTATAAAGGGGAAACCTCTACTGACAAGGCTCACTTGTCTGTTGCTATCAGTCCATTTTCCTACGTCAGTGCTTGTCTGACACTCTCTGACCCAGCACAAGGAGCATGCTGCTACATCACCTACGGAAGGGAGGTTACAGCTCAAACGATCACTTTGTATTTGTGTTTCTGTATTTTTGTCACTTTTAGTTTTCCATATAGATATCTTTGCTTGTTGGTGAAGAATCTAATTACTGTTAAAGAGAGCTCTTGCTTTAGTCTCAGAGTATCTCAGGTTTGACTCCACTTGAAGCTGCAGTCAGTGTTTGTGTTTTTGTTTTTATACGCATATAATGGTGAATGACACTCTCCTACTCTGTGTGTTTGTGTCTATTTTTATGCAGTAGCCTTTGACTCTTTGTGTTTGTATCCTCTGTTGTCTACATATGGTGTTTTATGCTGGCAAAGCGTGGTGTTGTAAGGTTTTACAACAGCCAAGCTGAGTATTAGCTCACAGATACTGAACCCTGAAGGCAGCCAAGCAGCAAGTCAGTCATTTTGTGTTTGACACGTGTTTGAATGGTGTTACATTATTCATCAGCCAATTGGCTGTACCTCTCATTAGTGTTAGAGTGAGCTTTACTCACTGAGTCATCTCATGGACAGGAAATGGATGTTTTGGATTCATTCTGTGTGTGATACCCACAATCCAGAATATTGTCTTACTAACCAAGCAGCGTTCAATTTACTGTCACATTTTTTGTTATGATAATAGTGAACACCTGTCTGTAAATGGATATTCCAACAGGAGCGTCATGATGCAAAGTAAAGCTGCTGTCTGCTCTCCCTTGGAAAAATAGAAAAGCCAAAGCATTTGTTCAGTTTGCTAAGACGGTGTTCTGGGCAAATATTTTGTTAGTGGAACCCATGGCTGTTCACTCACTGTTTCAATTATTTTTCCAAAGTTGCTTAAAAACTGACAAACTTTGTCCAGCAGCACATATGTTAAATGTTCTCCTATTATGCTAGCTGCTCAGAATTGTTTTGCAGGAATTTATAAGAGTGTAAAGTCATGTTTACTGAACTAATCTTCCTCTCTGCTTCTTCAGATGATGGGTGGTTAGAGGTTGTCCAGTCTCTGATTCGAGTGATCCCATTAGATGATCCACTTGGTCCTGCAGTGATAACCCTTCTATTGGATGAGTGCCCCCTACCAACTAAGGTAAGTGTCTTATCTTTGTGTACTCGGGATGAAGGATGTTGATTTTTATTGATACTAATCTTGATACTAATCGCACTTTTAAATATCTTGGCATTAGTGATTCAAAGGGAATGTTTTAAGCCAATCATAGTTTATGTCAGGAAGGGGATCAAACTGATTTCTTTACCAAACAACTGTTTTATTCATTTTTTTGACCAAACCCTAAATTTTAATTCTTTTGACATAACATTTAAATGCATCATGATGAGCTTTTGTTTCCGTCGACTAATCTAAATACATTATCTGACCTTAATGTCACCTTGTTTAGTCAGCTAACTGGATATTGTCCTGCCATTTCAACACGGATTTAAACATTGGATTACCATCTTTACCATATGGGAGATCTTACAGAGTATGGGTGTGATTACCACAAAGGGGGAGGATGACTGTTCTGCAGCAGCAGCAGTAACCAAATATTGACAAAGGTTTTTAACTTAAACACAGCTGAAGATATCTCCTTTGAGTAATGTGTCACCTGTTGGCTGGAAATTACATTTTATTCAAGAACTCTGGTGGATAATCTTTGCATGTTTGTTCGCTGATGAATTGAATGATGCGCTCAGCTGGACTTAAAGTTTGCTTTATAGAATCCAAGAGACTTGATAACCGTATCAATACGTTTAAGCTACTGATTTGGGTTTTTAAAAATGTTAGACAAGGTCCTCATTGAAACCATGTTCTGAACCCCATCCCTGATCCCCTGAGAGTGGTCCTGAAACTAGAACATTGCTTGCCTCAAACCTTTAACATCCTGCAATGAAACACATAGAATCTCAAACCTTACCCACATCGGTCCCTCTGCGGCGAGTGCAGCTCTTTTCAAGAAAACAGTCACTGCCTTTGTCTTCAAATTGACCTTTTCTGTCATGAATATTGTTGGGAATTTGCATATGTGTGTGTAACATCATAACAAACTGAGTCATTTGGCAGGCTGCTGATTCACTCCAAATCACATGCATACAGATATTTTGGAACGTTTTCTGTGACTTTTTCTGAACCAAAAGTTTGTTGTAGTTGGTAAACGGAAAAAAAACGGAACTGATTTCAATTTTGAAGGTGATCTAAGTAGTGTTGGGCAATATAGCATCAAAATTATATCACAATATATCAAGTCAATTTGCTATAACGTTACTTATGACGATATGGAAAAAAAATTACATATTAGTGATTGCTGCTTCTGAAAAACAGGACAGGAGTTTTTTATTTTTAAATGTGTCCTCAAACATAAAAGTTTGACAACATTAGCCCTGTTGTCTGTTGTTACACACACGCCTGTTTGTCCTCGTGTAAAATTAATGACTCAGGAAAGTCCCTTAATCCACTCGCAATATTTTCTCCTATGTGATCCACGGGAAAATAGATGAGTGTTGTTTTCGTTGACAACGACGTTGACGACAATATTTCATCAACGTCATCGTCAACGAAAACAACACTGAAATAGTTGGTTTTCAAGACAGGAGTTGTGCAGCTTCCAGGCATAGTCTATGTAATGAACCTCTGGGCTGATATGGGGTTCGGAGGTTTAGTTCAACCACGTCAGTCGTACAGGCAATTTTTTAAATTAAATTCGACAGCCTGAATCGGCACCATGTCTTTGGCCTAACAATACGTGACCACTTCGGTAATGTACCGTCTTTTTTTTTTATTGTATGGAGTGCAGTGAGCGCTCCTGCAATGCTCCGTTAAGTCATTTGTTTACTGTTACTCTGAACACCAGTAGCTGCTTTCATGTGCTCATCACATGCCTTCAAAGCCTGCTCATATTCAGCCGTGTGTTTTAGGTCGTAATACTTGTTAGCCGCGTCAGCCAAACCACATCCACATCACAGAGGTAGCTCCCTTTTTTGGCACTAGATCCTCATTTGAGAAAGAAGTTGACTTTGCTGTGCTGCTCTCGCTCTCCGACATTGTTGTTGTGTATACAGTAGGGAACGTTATGCGTCATCGCGCCCTTTCAGTGTAAATACAGTAATATGACAAATTTATATCACCAAAAAATGTACACCGGTATTACCGTACACAGTGTGATAAGGCACACCCCTACATCTAACTGCTTGTGTACCATATCAAAGTTTGAAAGTCTGGTACTTACAGTGGAAATGAAAAACTTTGGTTGAAACAGGTAATCAGCTTACAGTGCCGAGCATAAGTACTCAGCCCCATCAGGCTGTTCCACAAAGAACAGTTTTGCAACTTGGCTTCAGATCCACTTATTCAGGCTTTTTCTGATGATTAGCAAACAGAGGCAGTTCAACAAGAAGACATCTGTTTGATGCACAAACAACCGACCTTGTGAGATTTCCCTGAATATAATACATTTTTCTGGAAGCAATCAAAGGGTATCTTTATCTTGTTTTGTAATGACCCCCCCCAAAAAAATAAAAAATAAAAATAAATAAATAAAAATAAAAATAAAAATAAAAAAAGTAACACACACACACACACACACACACACACACACACACACACACACACACACACACACACACTACATATATATATATATATATATATATATATATATATATATATATAAGACCACCTATGAAAAAGTTCAAGGGGGGTGGATGACTTTTGCAGGGCTCTGTAGTTAGCTCCAAAAGCAGAACTTTGACATGTTATGATGGTGCTTTGCTTTATTGTTTGTTTTTTATCTCTGCTTTCCAACTCTTTTTTTCCATAAACAAATAAAATCTGCTTTTAGACCCCCTGCCGCCCATCTCCAAAGTAAACTGAGGACAAAGGACATAGATACTCAAAACAATATGAACTCTCCACAGTTTGCAACAGAAAAGTATGCTCCTCTCCACAAAACACTTCCTGACTCTGGACTGAAAATTTAAAATATAAAAAGTTTCCTGCATAGACACTTAAATTTTCTCTGTCCATCTTCTCCTGTGAATACTGTGAAAATGTGTCTAAAACGTTTATTAAACACAGTGCACCATCTCTTCTCTCCAGGATGCTCTCCAGAAACTCTCTGACATGTTGAGTTTGAGTGCGGCCCTTGCGCGACAGGACGCCCTGATCCCTGCTAAACACAGAAACACTACAGCTGTCCTCGGATGCCTGGCAGAGAAACTGGCTGGTACAGACCACCTTTACACACTCTAGTGTTTGTACTCCTTTGGTATAGGGTCTTTTATTCTGATGCTTTCACCAGCCTGTTTCTTGCCTCAGTGAAAGTAGAAATATTAAACAACTCTACCCCATTTGTGAAAAATTCTCCCTGGTTTTACCAGCTGAACTTGGGTAAAGAATTATCATTGATGGTGATTTTGTGACTTAATGTGCAGTTGGGAGAGGAAGTAGTCTGTCAGATTAGTTAAGCTAAGCAGCTCTTAAATACCTAGTCCTCTTATTTTTCACATCTATATTCACTAAAATGAAGAGTGAAAACAGAATGAAAGAGCATTTTCAAAACTTAGACATGTAGATTTTTTTTTTTGTTATGCTCTTGAGAAACAAAGTAATTGTCCATTAATTATTCAATATTTGGAGATCCTAGAATTATATTTTTGAAAAACAGCTCCCTGACTCTTTTTTTTTTCTTCCATTTTTCAGGTCCAGCCAGTATTGGATTATTGAGTCCTGGAACCCTTGAGTACCTTTTAGAGAGCCTGGTGGGTTAACACACATCCTGTGGTACTAGCCTGCATGCCAATGATCAACTTTGATGTGAATGTGTTTAATTGAAATGTTCAGCTGTACCAAAGTTCAGCCTTAAGAAAGATAATCTTATAGCTTCACTTGTCTTATCAGGAACAGCACTGAGATACTTCCTTCTCAACATAATGGGAAATTGATGATACAGTTACTGTTTCCAAGTATTGACCTGACAAAAAAATTACAGAATGTTGACCGTAAACTCCATACAGCTCCTTAAGTGTAAAGCCCTTTGTGTGTTTCTTTGGACCGTGTCTACAAACACACTGAATTTTTGGGTATAATTGAAGTACATTTAAAATATTACTGGAGCTAAAAGATGTGTGTAGGTGTATATAATTCTTGCTTGTTTAGATGAAAGGGAAGCAATGCAAGAACCTGTTATTTTCAGTTTAATGAATACTAATTATTACAAAAGTAAAAATTGTGTTCTGAACAACGTGAGACAACTGAGAAAAGGTCAGTGAGTGCTTTTTAAAACAGTAAAGCTACCAAAAAGAAAGACCCTAAAATACACTTAACTGGAGTATCTTCCCAGTAGAAGTAGAAACTAAAACTGACTAAGCTGTCAACCAAAACAAGTGAGCTCCACCTCCTAATCAAGTGTAAATAACAGAAACAAAAACTACACAAATGAGTGAACATGGAGAAAAAATCCAACTAAAACCTGTCCTAGCCCAGGGATAAGATGGAAACTCCGCGGCACAATAATCAAAGCCGCAGCAGTCCTACGAATCTTACAAATACTCACTAATGAGGCAAAGAGCCTAGAGATGGTGGAGGGAATCTAGGGGAGCCCGTCAGCTCTCGCTGTTTGTGGCTGAGGAGTTAGACCCGACCTGAGATCCACACCTCCCTCTGAGCCACCATGCTCACACACTTGCAGACATTACAGGTGGTTAAAAACACACTCACAGGGAGGGGTGTGACTGCAGCCCTAAAAAATGAACTTGAACTGAAGTAAAGTCTTACCTTGCATAGAAAATGATATTCTTAGTGTACTAGCATAACTTATAGCACTGTATATAGCAGCTGTATAGTAGCTCTGTATGGATTTAATAGGTGTGATTGATATAAATATAGCTAAAGTTGTTTTATATTTCTGTTTTAGGTATGTGAAAAAAAACTCTCAGTTGGCAAAAACCAAAAACCATTTGTTTTTTTGTCTTGTCTGTTTTTTTTTCTGCAGAGCTCCGAGGCGCACCCTACCGTCATGCTGTTTGCTCTCATTGCTTTGGAGAAGTTCTCCCAGACCAGTAAGTTTATCAGCACTGAATTTGAGGACCAGATCGTATCCAAGTGTCATAGTGAGATAACTGAAAACCAGGGACATAGTGACAGAAATAACTTGGAGTTGAATGGTTACTTTATCAGCTTAATGAGCAAAGAGACTCCCATTGCAACGACAACAGGCAGTTTAGTGTCCGTGACTTCTCTGCTGGTTGTTTGTTTGCCTTTGCAATTCAAATATTGTGCTGTGAGGCGGAGGCAAAGATGTGCTGTCCCTCACAACACTTTCCTCTGTTTATTTACAAACCAGTCAGTGGAGAGGAAAGTTGTTGTGAGAGCACAACTGTTCTGAAGCTTGTAAATAGCTGGAACTCAAACTCCCTTCCTGTTTGCTGTAATCAACACCCTCCAAACGCTTTGCTCTTTTTAAATATCAAAATAAACTACAGGTGCTTTTCCTATAAGCCTTGGAAACTGTTTGTTTAGAAGTTTTAAACTGGCTCTCACACTTGATTCGTACATTTCTCTCCTACATAAGCCTTTACAGAAATGTTTTCTTTTGTCATTTTCACTGTTTCTCTGCCAGAGGTTTATTTTCAGATTTTGTTTGGTTGTTTTTTTTTTCACACATGCGTCGTGTGTTTTCTTGCCTCTAGGTGAGAACAAACTGACGGTGTCGGAGTCGTGTATTAGCAATCGACTCGCTGTCCTTGAGTCGTGGGCAGAGCACACCGACTACCTCAAGAGGCAAGTTGGTTTCTGCTCACAGTGGAGCCTCGACAACCTGTGTAAGTTACCTAACTGTGCGGAGAGAGGGTCGCGATAGTATCTAATTATTTTATGTTCAGACACATACCAAAGATGTGTGATAATGATTCATTTGCTGTCCTCTGTCCAGTTTTAAAGGAGGGGCGTCAGTTCACCTATGAGAAGGTCAACCTTACAAATATTAACGCCATGCTCAACAGCAATGACGTCAGCGAGTACCTCAAGATCTCTCCCACTGGCTTAGAGGTCAGTCTGTGAAAGAACAGCCACATCTGATCACAGCAGCCCTATTATACATTCAGGTTTTTTTCAAGTGTTGGTATAAAATCAGAATAATTTATGGTTGCTTTCTGCTCTCTCCCCAGGCACGGTGTGATGCCTCCTCCTTTGAGAGCGTACGGTGCACATTCTGTGTGGATTCAGGCGTTTGGTACTACGAGGTGACGGTCATCACTTCAGGCGTGATGCAGATCGGATGGGCCACCAAGGACAGCAAGTTCCTCAATCACGTACTTATCATTGTCTTTACTGTTACGCACTTCAGCTGTCTATCTTCTGCAGTCACACACTTAAGCCTGCTGTATGTCTGTGTGTGTTGCAGGAGGGTTATGGGATCGGAGACGATGAATACTCATGTGCGTATGATGGCTGCAGGCAGCTCATCTGGTACAACGCTCGCAGTAAACCTCACTCTCACCCCTGCTGGAAGGAGGGTATGCACATAGACTCACACAGTTATGATGAAGGAAATCATTTCTTACTGTCTCCTAATGAAGCACTTTGAGGAAACTCTGAGATACTCCTACAGAAGAGGGAACACCTTCCTTTCAATTTCAGAGGGATATATTTAGATATTATTTTGTGGTTTTAGCTTCTCTGGGGAGTTTAGTGATTCAAGCACCTACACACTGCAGCCACAGTCAGCTTTCAGGCTCTATTTTACCTCCCACACAAAGGGATAACAATAACAACACTTTGCCAAGACTTAATCCTGCTCAGATTACGTGTTTTCGTTCCTGCCCTGTTTAGGAGATGCAATCGGCTTCCTGTTGGACCTCAGCAAGAAGCAGATGATCTTCTATCTGAACGGACACCAGCTGCCACCAGAGAAACAGGTCTTCTCCTCTGCAACGTAAGTTCAGTCACAGACTCTCAACTCGGGTTCCAATTGCGAGTTTCTGTCTTTCATTTATATTCTGTTGTTCCTTCTCCTTCATCTTCCCTCACCTTCTCTTGTCTCCTAGGTCTGGATTTTTTGCGGCAGCCAGCTTCATGTCCTACCAGCAGTGTGAGTTCAATTTTGGGGCCAAGCCTTTCCGTCACCCACCGTCTGTCAAGTTCAGCACCTTCAATGACTTTGCTTCCCTTCTGCCTAGTGAAAAGATCATCCTACCCAGGTGAGAAAGTTACTGTTTCTGACTATAGCATTTAAAAATTCAGTGCAACCCTAGAATTGACCAGTGAGCGTCTCCTTACAAAGTGTAGAGTTGAAATGTGAACCGTCTTTTTTGGTTGTTAAAGTGCAGCTTTTGTGTTACTCATTAATTTGACTGCCTTAAAGACCCTCTGTTGCATTTTCTTAACTAAACTAGTGTAATGATGCGGTAAAGAGAGTCATAATACTGCCAAGATGTGGAGAGACACAGACCATCATCATCTGTACAGCAGATGTCAACCTCCTCATTTCTAGACTGGAGCTTCACTTCAAAAAAGACCTTTGTTTTGGCAAGGTTAAGGTCTTTTCTCAAGGGTTTTTGGTAAATATGACAGTGGCCAAGTGTACAGGATACCCTGGATATGGAACAAAAATTAATCAGTTTTATGTTAGAACTAGAGATCTTATCAAGCAGTTAATTTCCTTGTTTTTTTTAACTGAAATTTAAAGCCTGACTTACTGACTTGTCTTGAGGTAAGAAAACATTGAGTAAATAGTTGTAAAGAGCACATATTAAAAAACAGGGCCAAACTTAGAATCAGAGTCTGTGAGTAGATAATGTCTGATTGGTTAGCATGTATGTTGCAGATTAGTTGAGCTATCACCACCAGCCTTTTGTCCTCTGTCCAAGTCCAGGTCCACACACCTCTGGTGGTTACACACTGCTCTGTTTGAGTGGCTATAATCCAGTTGAACTAGAACAGCATTCATACAACTTAATCTACATTCTGAGATCAGATATTGACAAACTGTGCAACAAAAGGAGGAGCCATGTTTTACCTGTACTTGTTCATATCCAGAGCATTGTGAGGGTGGCTGCACTACAGCTTAGTTGGAACATATGACCACCTTCTGTGTCTTTATGAATTAGTATTGATTATTTGTTTAAACAAGAAAATCTTGTGCCATTAGGTGATGAAATTTGATCAATCAGTAAACACACACACCTCTCTAATCAGCATCGTCTTCTTGCAAAGCTTAATTCACTGTTTTATTGTTAATGTTTTTGATTCTTTCAAAATAGTTTTAATGAACAGTTGAAACTTTGTGAGCATTCATGTTGAAGAAATGTGTCGAGACCGCTGTCCTCTGCTTTAGAACAGTAATGATTAAAAAAAGATCTGCCTGCTTTGTCCATGAAGACACTACTGGCTCTTTATAAATGTGCAGTCATCCAAGAGGCTGTGTCCGACTATGCCAAGAGCACAGATGTCCTCAGCAAAATAACTGATAAAAGAAGATTTCTAAAATGATATTTTAGAGAAAAGCAATGATACAATGATGTGCTGTAAATACATGTAGTAAACCTCCAGGTCAGGCTGTGGCACAGCTCACTTATAAAGTTGTGCTAACAGCATCTACCTTGTTTCCAGAATGAAACAGCTCTAGCTGAATTTGTACATGAGAACACTATCTGCTCTGTGTGTGTACTGGCCGATCTTTTAATGTGCATTGATGTGTGTTTGTGTGTTTTCCAGACACCGGCGTCTGGCCTTACTAAAGCAGGTTAGCATCAGAGACAACTGCTGCACGCTTTGTTGTGACGTCATGGCCGACACTGAGCTGCGGCCCTGTGGACATGGGTATGTGTGCATTAGAAAAATAAATAAATATTGCTTGAAAATTAAGAACTATATATCCTGCTCAAATTAAAAATATTTAAGGTCAAAATTATTTGGAGATCAAATGTTTGACAGCAGTCTGTCTCAGTGAATAATTGCAGAAGACTCAACTGTATTTTCTCCTTTTTAGCATTTTCTTTGAATGAAAAATGAAACCTCCCTCCATGTTTTTCCTCTTGTCTTGTAGTGGTATGTGTATGGAGTGTGCCTTACAGTTAGAGACGTGCCCCCTGTGCCGCCAGGACATCCAGACCCGAGTCAGACTCATTGCACACGTGTCCTGACACACTTCATGCTCCTCCTCCGATGAGGCGAGACACCCAAGCCCTACAGCTTCCTCCTCCTCCTCTAATCCCCTCTCACCAAACAAAGCTGTGAGTATGGTGCCACAGTGTTGTGATGACACCAGAACTGTTTCTTCTGGTAAGAGGAGGTGACGACGGAGTGACGGGGAGGAGAAAAGGGGACAGTTTAACTACAGATGGACCCCTGGGAGCTTTATCTCATTTACCAACATCCCCTCTTTTGTAGTCCTCTGACAAATCACTGCAGGAGTTGGGCCAAGAATCATCAACTTTATATTCTGAGTGATTTTCAGAGGAAAACAAGCAGAAGTGAGGAGCAGAAAAACGTATCCACATAAAGACAGAACCAACTTCTCATCTACAAGCCCCAGTGTATAGTTACCAAACTATCTGTCAATGATATGAGAATCCCCCGGAGCTTTCAGCCCAGGGCTACTCCTCTTTACTCCAATCACAATCATCTACAGATTTAAATGGACTGAGTAGCAGAAAGAGCATGGCCTGCAGTGCAGTATTTAACACAAGGTACCGAGTGGTTTTAGATGTTTCTCATTGTCATTTTATGGGTAAAACATGCAACGTTGTATTTTCAATCTTTCCCCTTAAAGTTTTACCAATACCCGTTCTTTGATTTGCCTGCACTAAGTGATCGCCCTCCTGGTATCTGGCATCATCGATAAAGACACCTCAGAGTAAAATGTCAGATTTGCTCTTGGTGTAAACAGCTCAAAAGTTGCAAAATGATCCTATGAGTTTGGTTTTCTGATTTGGTTTACAAAAGCAAAAGTTAATAATCAAATCAGCTGTCACACAGCCAAGATCACCGAGGACACTATTTTACTTTTACTAGTTAAATATCAAATACTTGAATCTGTTTTTGACCTTGTGATTTTCAGCACAGTTGACCCTGCTGCTTTATGTGCTTTATTGTCTTTGCTCAGATGTGATGATGTTTCCTCATTCTCAGTCATGTATGTAATAACTACAACAGATAACAGGGATTATAATTTACAGACGGTGATTCTGTAACTGTGATCTTGTTTTGTCCCTGGGTTATGAAAAGAAGTCTCAAAAGGGGGTTGTAGACAATTTAATTTCCATCAACATTTTCTTGGATTGCTTGTTCTGTGCTAAAATGTGGCTACAACTTGAAATGTCGCATGACTGTGTGTCAAGCACAGAGAGGCTGAAAAAGATGAAATGTCCTGAGACTTTTTTTCCTGTCATAACAAATGTGCATCTATCAACATGACTCCTTTCAGTCTAAGTGTTAAAGATTCATTCTTCAACTCAAGACCAAATCTGACATAGACAAACTTGGATAAGAGGTACTGCAGGGTGCATTGGTTGACAGTGTTGTGTTAGTGACAAGTAAATGGTTTCCATCAAAAGTGAAGTGGTAATTTGCTTTTCTAAATATGAGTCTGCCCAGTAACCAAAGGTCAGTTGTTATATGGTCGTAGTTTGGTTCTTATTTGAAATTTAAGTTCATACTTAATTAAAACTACGCAACAAAGCAACTTGACACCAAGAATGTTTGCTGCCCCACAGGAAAAAGTGCAACGTGAATTGCTACAAATCAAAGCAGCGTCAGTGAGGTTTAGTTATATTCGGATCAGGATTGATCCATCTGGCAAAAAAGTTTACCAGATGGATCCTTGATTCGGGCTGAGTAAATCATGGTTTTCTTCTATGTGCGTTATTTAACAAAGTCGATTTCTCTGTCAATATGCTGCTGCTGCTTCTTCTTTCATCTCATGTCTCTATAGGAACCTCATATTTCCTTTCTCTCTCTGTCTCCTTTACTCAAAGCACCTCTGGGCTGACTGAAAGACTTAAGTATTTGGAAACAGGTGACTATTCCAACGTGTAAGAGATAGTTGCTCAAGAAAAAATGTATTTATGTATTTTGAAAATACTCAATGACATTTCAAATTGTCTCACCAATTATTTTTTTTCTAGTCAGGGTGTTTACAAAAGATTTCTTTTCCAATGTGCATGGACAGAAACTGTTGAATCATCCAGCCTATATCAAAATAATTTCTTAATGACAACTAGCATCCCTCTCAGTATGACAGAAGTCTGGTCGGGTCACTGTTTGCTATCATATATTTCCTGGAGCACCTTAAACATGCAGGAGAGAGAAATTATACAGTTGGAGATGAAGTTCAGGATTGTAAAGAATAAGTTGTATTTATAAACATCTATTAAGGACTTTTGCCCCAGAGTTCCCAAAGATGTGGTTGATTGGAGAATTGTTGTTTCCTGGATTGTGATATTTGTAATAAATGTATGTACATGTGATTACTTTTGTTTGACTTGGTGTATTCATTTACATCTCAAATTGCATTTGTCAGACTGTCACTGCACTGTTGCCAGAGCCGGCCCAAGCCTCTTTTGGGATTTTGGGGCCCTCTATTTCTGCCAATAATATTGATTGTTGATCATTCACACACCTACTACAGTATAAATTTAATGCACCTGACATGTCTTTACACATTTAAGGGGGTGGCCTAGGTAAAAACATATATAATACCAATGCAACCATACAAATAATACCAATAAATGGCTGATGAATCATGTTCAGGGTGCCACATATAGTTTTTAATCTCAAAATGTAACACATTCAGGATGCTCAGTGCACAGCAGGAGGCACATAACGGTAGTGGAGCTTTGACATATCGGCAGTAAGAATCATAGACCTACATCAGCAACAGCACTAAAATGTTTTTGCTTTATTTTATTTATACATTTGATCATACAGAAAGCTTCACTCATACATGCAAAAATAAAAGTTATTTCATTCTTTTTTCTTTGATTGCTCTTGTGGGGCCCTCTACTGGCCATGGGGCCCTTAGCAGACACTTAGTTCGCTTATGCCTCTGACTGTTGCTTACAATCAGCCTTAAAATAAGTGAGTATGCTAATATGTAGCTCTTAATATAAATATATCTAGGCACCCAATGCTCTGGAAAGGAAAGCCTCTCAGAACTGAAGGACATGCTGGATGTTAATGTGAACCATTTAAAAAGAAAAGTGAAGAAGTGGTGTCTTCTTTTGTTAAAATGCTGAATGATAATAAACTGACAAAGTTTCACATTGTGTGGTGGAGTAATCTCATGAGACTGAAGGTGTCCTGTATGATTTGTTATAAAAGTCACTCACAAGAGACACCTGGTGAGTTCAAATCAGGACATCACTGTTTTTGTATTTTGAAGTGGCTGATTCCTGCCATGCTGTCTGGCAACTAACCCCTCACAGCAGTGACTTTTAATGCCTTAGAAGTCTTAATGCATGTTTGCTTGTTTTGCTTTCGATGGTCACAAGTATCAGTTTCAATCTGTTTCTCGACCGGTTAGAAACTCCTCACGGTACCTTTAAACAATTCAGAAGGAAAAAGTCGCATTTTCCGTCCAGTAGGGGGCGGTAATGTAAGGGTTTGCAAACCGATCGCCAAAGGAAAGGGGGGAACCAATGTCCACTGCTTTTGTTCTCTCGGACAAATGTTGGGACGCACGTCTGTGCGCAGTTTCCTTGGTAACCACATTACGCTGTGTATTTACCTTACACGTTCATGATTTGTTCAAAGGCATGGACGTCCAAGAACTGAGTGAGTAATTTCAGACACTTTGTCAGGCATCAGTGCAGGTCATCGTTGCTGTGTTTGATAACTACAGTCCTGAAAAAGACGGAATAAACTGCGCGAGTTCTGACCAATGATCGTCAGTCGTACATGTGTGTAGAGCTAACGTAAGCTAACCATCATTAAGCCTCAGCTAACTGACCGAAAGATCTGTGCTTCATTTGTGGCATCAAGTTTGACTTATAGTTATTTGGTATAGGCTAGTTGACTGATTTTAACGGTCGATAGTCCAAAACCAAAAGTGCAAAAGATTTCTCTTTATCTATCAGGGATGCATATATAAAGGTCCTTTCACATCGAGACCGTTTTTGTCGTGCGAGTATTTCGGACGTCAATATTATTATGTGTTTTCTAAACGTCTTTGTTTTAACTTTCATCTGTGCTAACGTAAGCTAACGGTTGTTACCATAGTTTTATGTGCTGTTCTGGAGAGCAGAGGATATGGTGTCCATGATTTCCAGAAAGAATGTCAACACAGGAGATATGTTAATCCAAGTTCTTCCTCTCCGCGTTTTTCAGAAATGCAGAGCTGTGGAGACAACATCATTGAAATTGTCGACCCGGACGAAGAGGTTTTTGCTGTCTCTTGGTGGGCTGTCTAGGACTTCTCTGATTTTCTCTAGTAGCACTCCACTTGTAATTCATCACTAAGACCACTTGTGTTTTTTCATGCACTCTCCTGGTTTAAGTACTGTAGTCTTACTGTCTAATGATGGCAAAACTGGCATTAACTACTTTCTTAGAGCATTAGCCGTGCTCAGTGCTCTCTACCTGGGCAGACTAGGATATAAAACCTGACCATGTGCTTTGGAGTCTTGAAAGAAGTCCTTTGTCTTTTTTAAGTTTGCTATTACACTAGTCCTCACTTTTAGGTTAGGTTCACAACAGGTGTATCCTGGCTCTGTGGGTACTGCGGGTGAGAGGGATATCACTAACCATGATGTCATCTCTCAGGAACTTTCATTCTTCTTTTCTTCCTTTCAGTTCATCAGCTGAAGAAAAGGCTTTTGACACTGTTATTGGCTGCATAGAGAACATCGTCATTGGTAGGATGTGTTAGACTTCTTGACTATCTCTCTCTCTCTGGATAATGAAAGCCTTTCTTGTATTGAGACATATGTCATAAGGATATTGGGTTAAAGGCTCCTATAACAATGTCAAGAGGTCTATTATTCTTTTACGCTGTGTGAGAATTATAATACAGGACAAGCAGTTAATAGTGACAATGACTTTTTTTCAGAGGAGGGGTTCGAGCAGCTACAGCAGAGTTTCCTGGAGAAACACTACTTGGAGTTTGATGACTCAGAGGAGAACAAGCTCAGCTACACACTAATCTTCAAAGAATATGTGAGTTTCTTAAAGGGTAATTTGCATATCCCTGATCTACAATTAAGTACAGCGGTATAGGGCATCATTTCTGTGAGCAATTATAATCACATTAGTGGCTGTTGTGCAGGTTGACCTCCTGGAGAAATATCTGGAACAGCAGCTGATGGAGAAGATCCCTGGCTTCAACATGAACACATTCACAGATCTGCTTATGTAAGATGAGACTTTTTTTTTCTTAAATTGATGACCTTAAATGTTTGACTGCTCAAGTGCGCCCAGAGGTTGTAAATTTTCAGGAATGAGGGCTCCACGTTAAGTAAAAGAGAAGGTGACCTTAATGTTGAAACTATGCAAGGGCAACAGAAGTGTGACGAACAGGGTGGTACCAAGGGCAGGTTTGACTTCAATTAAAGTTCTCTGTGACCATATTTGGAAATGATGATGAATTTCCTAAAGACTGAGACAGTCAAGATAAAAGATTCTGACACCTCTCAATCGCGAAACATTTTTGTGTATCTACTCTAAACTTTGTTTGTGCTTCATTCTTGCAAGAATTAAATGTGCCCTCATTATATATCCTGAACTCTGGTTTCTGACTCTTGTCATTTAACAGATATAGCTTGTTTTGTAGACCCATTGCTCATAACAACCTATCATAGTAGGCCAGTAGGTGGCATTATATTGCGATGAGAAAGTGACAAGGCTTTGCTTCCATCTCTAGGCAACACAAAGACGAGGTGCCGGAAGACATCTTAGTCAGGCTGCTGACATTTACTGACTTCATGGCCTTTAAGGAGATGTTTCTGTACTATAGAGAAGTGAGTGTTGCTGCAATTCTGTCCATAAAAGTTTTTTTGGGATCTTGATTTGAATGATTTGTTCTAATCCTGGTTGTATGAATCTCTTTTTTTTTTTTTCTAGGAGAAGGAGGGTCGAATTCTGGACCCCAGTCAAGAACTGTTAGTAACATCTTTAATGCCTACAGCCTCAAAACACAAAAGCAACACTGAATTCCAGTGACACACACACACACACACTTGTGCTCGAAATTGCTTACTCCATGTGCTTCTGTGTGATTGTATCCATGGGCCTTTGGGAATCCCTGATATGTGGTCCTTGTATTTTGTCAGTTCTGTGCTCTGACAGAGAGCTGCTGGATACACTCAACAAAAATCTACTATCTGTTCTCAAAAGGCCTTTAACAGAAAGTTAATATATGCATTTCTCTTTGTTTAAAAGTGTGAGCATTAGAGAGCCTGTTAAAATGGGTAGCATGGATTTGGACGGTGGAAGGTTTTGGTTCCTTCATCTCAGTTAACCATACCTTTTGTCAAAATAGCTTCTGGAAATATTTGAATGTGTTTAACTGAAATGAGCAGAGAAAAAGCTGAACCCTGATTGTACAATCTGTGTCTTACAAATCTACACACCACAGAAACCCTAAACTTAAATACTTGATATGTGTTTTGTATGTTATGTCAACCCACTGTTTTTTTTTTGTGATCCACTAACCCCACATTAACAGGGTAAACTGTCAGAGCCATATAAATACAAAATTAGATCAGTAATATCTAATAGGGTAAGCTGTATGTATTATAATGTTTTTAAATTATTTGTAGAGTTTTGTGCCTGTCAAAGTCATTTGGAAAGTATAGTAAGTGTTTTTGTGTGAAACCTTGGTCATATTTCTGAATTAAAGTTTCAAGTACAATGTACAAATATTGTATTTTATACATGACAGTTGTAGTTGTAAAATAATGTGTATGTAACAGATTATATATTGTTTTAACATGTTGGTAAAAGATAATTTCCAAAAAAACAATTAAAGTATTTCATTGAAATCACAACTTTATTGAAACATGTTCATGTAGAAGTCCCAGAACTTATTACAGGATTTCACCTGCACTCATATTTTTTTTGTACAAAAACACACAAAATATCTTAAAAAGGCACACAAAAGAGGGGCTGAGTTGAAACAAGCAATTTCAAAATAAAAGGTGGACATTTTTCTGAAGCTTTGAGAGTCTGAGTGGAACAGTGTTGAGTCAGGCAATAATTGCCTGCAGGAACCCAGAACTTGTGTGTTGTACTGCAGCCACTATTTAACAGTCTATAACAGTCTCTGTTTATATTATAATATGTAAATTTATTATGAGTGCTTTGGCTCTGATCATACTGTATTAAGTTAATATGTTTCTATATGAAATACTAAGAGGAAATCAACATTGACTTCTGCAGGATACGAATACCTCACACATTCTTTTCATCGCTACTGCAGTGTTAGGTGGAGAATCATAGTTTAAAACACAGTCATGTTTGTACAGTAAAGTCTTGAAAATGACAAGCAGTCCAACCAAAACTCTGTAAACAAGAGACACTGAAACTTTGAGTAAATAGTTATTTGGTGAGGCTGTCAAAGTACAGTAAGTTCTAATACACACTTAATAATAGCTCAAATCAAATCTTTACATCACTGAAGAAAAGCAATGAACAAAGCTTTCATTTACACCATAACTTATTTTTTTTTTCTTTTAGAATTTCATTCAATCTAATATTGTTAAAGTTGATCTCACTATAAAAACTGATATTATGTAAAACAATAATCTGGAGAGTGATTATAACTTAAAATATAAACAGGATGAACTTAACCTCCTCCTTTCAACATTTTTAATGTATGTAAAAGTCTCGCTCTCAAAATACCTGATGTTGATGAAACACAACATTTTTGGGAACCAGCAACCCAAGTCATGCCAAAGTTAGTGTAAGGCTTTTGGCAGCTAACAGGCCTGTGTAAGTCTAAAGATACAGCTAGCTATAAGTTTGGTTTCGTTAAGTTGAATATACTGACATATGTCAGAAATAGCCTTTTATGATTCATGCGTAAAGGTGGGCCTGAGGCCTTTTAAAGCACACATGCCTCTGTGTTTCATGTAAAGCTATTGCCAGCCAGTTGACTTTGCTGAGCTTTGAAGAGCACACAGGGAGCAGGGAATCAACTAACTTGGCTGTAATGAAAACTAATCAAAACTACCTATAACCCACTCCTACACTCACTTATTTATCCTGTCAAAACTTCTTTCTGTACAGAAAGCAAATTGTAAACACAAGATACAGTCTTGTTGCAGTTATATCCTGTAGCTCATGTCGCAGTAAAAATTACATTGACTGGCTTGAATTATATTAAATTAAGCGGCCTACTATTGACAAGTACTTTATTTAATCTCATATTAAAAAATAGCTCTTTGGATTGGGAAAGTCAGCGTTTATTGGTGAGTGACAGTATTCAATTTTGGGGAAAAGAAAGAAGACTTTGTTGACTTTTTCCTGCTCAGCAGTGTAGATTTGGGTCCTAAGTTGGCACTGTGTTAGTGGCGGCATTCCCTCCATCTCCTTTCCAGTCCAAGTAAGCGAAGAAAGCACTGCCCCCATATGTCAGTGTGACCACAGCACTGAAGAACTGTATAGATGGAGAAACAGAGACCCTTAACACATCTTTACAGAGTTCAGAGTTCAGCAGGACTAATAAATCACGGATGAATACTCTATTATCACACCAATAAATATTCCAGGTGGGGCCTGTATGTCTTTAATCAGCTTTTCAGTTCTGTGATTTGCTGTCAATCCTGGTGTTTTTGTGTTTCCACGCACATAAAGGTAAATGATAAGCTTGTGATAAGAGATGTGCGTGTGTGTGCTTACGTTAAATACTGCCATAGCTGTAAACCGGCATGTACTTTAAACTTTGAATGCCTCTATAAAACTATTATCTATGTCCAAGTGTGCTAATTTCTGATGTCTAACAAGCACATCACTTCCTAATCTATGATCCTAAATTCACCCCCATCTTCCTCTTTCTGTGTTTGATTGAACATTGGCTTCAATAAACAGGGAAGGATGGAGGGCAGTGGCAGCTGTAGTACAAAGGTAAATGGACTTTTAAATAACAATCACATGACAACCATGTGAGTCATAAATAGCCTCAGGCTTCAACTTTACTAAGCCTCTGTGTAAGTTTCATGTGGGTGTACCTGCCACAGCCTGACAGGTAAACATGACATTAGAATTGTGGTGTTAGCTAAGAAGTGACAGGAAGGCCCAACATGTTAATGAGTGCCAAAATAACACAAGTAATTGCCTTTAATAATGGGGTTTTCTCTCTATGTTTACCCAACATTCCCTACTTCTGCAAACTCCATTTTAGAGTTTTCATACAGTATATTTTAGTAACTAGGTAGGTTGTTTATCACACAAGACACCTGGTAATCTCAAGAAATTCAAATCCCAACATTGTCTGGACTTTACCTTCAGCACATGTCCAAAACAGCAGATATGGAGCCCCTTTAACACATGCATGTTACTCTTGGAAATTTCCTGACAATGTCTGGGAGTGATACAGAGGCAGGGATGTGTATACTACAACTTTACCTGGATTTTTCCAAGCAGCGCCCCAGTAAATTGTCTGTGTAAAGTCTTGGTGAGCAAATGCATGAACACAGCAGGTAATAGTTTGGAAAATTCACAGCATCATGAAACACACTTTCTCTTCTTTACACTATCTGTTGCATGAGTAATGATTTGAGTTGCAGAGTTTCTACTGCAGAGGACTTAAAAAAAGAAAAAACAACTTCAATATTATTTGGAGTGTTATCTTTTTAACTCTTTCATGACTTAGCTTCTGACAACAGATCTGTTATCACTGTTATGTCTGACTGTTGACTGGGTTTCTCTTTCATTTATGCAACTTGATGAGATGTAACGTAAGTTGTTTTTCTAGGATAATTGAAGTTGTCCAAATCTGACCCTCCCCGTCTCTTCCTGCTCACATTCCCTCACTTCCCCGCACTTTCTGGTAGGAAAAATGTACCAAAGACTGAACATTTCCCACTGTTAGGTAAAAGTGTACAGGCAAATTCTTGACAATGTCAAAACACATTTTATCATGACTTACAAGGTCAGGTATTGTAATGTGTTATAACTGGCTCACACTCCAGATTCCAAGTTAAAGAGACACCAACACTTAACAGATTTATTTTGCCTATATCACAACATACAAGTGTTTATACAGCGCTCCTTTTACCTGCACACATGAGCTAGCTCCAGTCCACACAGACTTAACATTTAGGGGTTGGCTGCTGAGAGTGAGTTTAAAGTTTGGGCCATTAAAATGGGACATTCACTATAATCCCTACAATATGCCAGACTGAGTAATGTCACAGTGTTTTAAGGAGTGTGCTGCATATGAAAAAGACTATGTGAGTGTTTGGGTGGTGTCAGGTGTCTTACTGCAGCAGCTGCGAAATGTCCGTAGAATGGTAATCCGTGAAAGGGATGTACGGTAGCTGCATTGGCCAGAAAGGCAGTCAGATAGAGGACTGTTGCAACGCCGAAGTACCCCATCACCTGTCAAAAAAAGGAAAGTTATTAGCCATGAATACCCTCAGACCCTCGCCTGTAAATTTTCCCTGGTGTACTTGTTAGTCAGTCCAGTGTTTTCTCTCATATCACCATGTCTAAATCTTGCCTCCTTATCGCCTCTTGTTGTCATTCTTTGTGAAACACTGCTAAGGTATTCTTGGTCATGACCCACTTCACTGTCCTATTTTCTAAACCTCTAATCATTTGATCAAATCTCAAATGAGCAATGACCTTAAAAACTAATGATCAAAATCTCATTGCCTTCTCTTCATATTCAATCCCTCTATCAATGCAGAGGATGACCAAAAGCCACAGGACCTTGGATCGAGACAATAATCGTAACATGTTTTGTAAGTGTGCACTTCGAATTTGATCTCTACAAACACTCACAGTCTGGTTTACAATAACATAATTCATATAAATTTGTTTGGTTTGATGGCCCAGTGGCTGAATAACCTGAAGATTTTATGATTTAAAAAAAGACACCACTGCATGGACATGTGTGCTCCAGGTCACAGCAGAAAAAGGTTGAATTGAATGTATATATGTGCATCTTTGCTCACTAATCATGAGCTTCTCTTTCTCTCATTTGTGAACGAACTACACTTATTTAGATCAAAATAATAATACAAAAAATATTAGCAATTTTATGCATGCCTGCCATCATGGAGCAGAATATTTACAGCTATCACAATCTACCCAAAAATCAACATCCTGCATTTCTACTTTCTCCCCCTCCACTGTTTTTTTTCTTACCGTCAGGGTCCAGGGGACGAAGGTGAGTTTTTCTTGGACGTTAAACAAGATGATGAAGAAGAGGATGGTGGTGAGGATCCACAGAGTAATGGCCACAAACATCACCCAGCCGTATGCTGACGACCTTGTGTAAGGGCCGCTGGCTATCAAAGCCCAGTGGAGCAGCCCCAGGACCTAGAGAGGGTAGAAAAAAGACACACAAGAAAGAGAGAGAAAGATGATCTTTAAGTCACCTTAAGACAAACCCAAACTTCAATTAGTAAAAACAAGCAACAGTCAACATTAGCTGTGATCTTTAGTTGTAACATCATCTATGGTCACAACTCTACCACACACATTGACATTCTGGTACTAAAAAGTGAAATTCACACCTTTCCGAATCTATTTCAGCCTCTGGGTGTCTGAATGTACATTAACAGAATTTTCAAGGTGATCTGTCCCCTCCTCATAGTACCTCTGTAGTGACATCCTTAGAGCCTGACCCAAGGGTAAGAGCAAATCTATCACCCTTATTCTCTCTATTTACATGTGCATGAATATATTTTATATATAAGTATTGTATATATTTTAATATGAGTTTTAATTGGGTTTTATTGGGTAGTGTGGGGCATCTCTCAATTCAGAGTCCTACTGTCCACATGCTGAAGTGTCCTTGGACAAAACACTTGACCACACCGGTGCTGGCTACACCAAGTGATTTTTGAAAGTGATTACTCAAAAACTGATGGATGCCTTACAAGCAGCCTCTGCCATTAGTGTGAATGTGGTGTGAATGAGTGGTCAGACTAGTGAAAGCTCTATATAAAACATCTTCTATTTACCATTGGCTTTTGAAGTCAGCCTCAAGTGGACACTAGAGAAGTTGTGTTTTCTTGCACTTTCACATTAGTTTCATTCTTGACAGTAATGGTTTCTGCTTGGTTTGCACTGAAGTTCAAAGTTGGTCTGCCTCACAGGGCTAAACATTATTTCTTTAATCAAAACTACATTTCCCCTAGAGCTTAGGGAATTTAGAATTTAGAGTATAGGAAATATGCATAGAGAATGAAACAACGTTTACAAAAGACTTGAGTCCAAAACTTACAGAGACATCAGATAGACAGAAACTACACAGGGGTCCTCGTTTTCCTCTTTGTATCTTTGCACGTGTGTCCCATGAGAAAGGGCATAAAGGGACAGTCTATTATGAACGCAGGGGTCACGTTTCACTTTTTACACACCTGATACACACAGACAGTAGGCTGTGTGACTTTAGCTTTTAGAGAACACATAGTTCAACAGAGACCTCTGTTTTGGAGCAGAGGAACAACATACATTAGCTCTTTTACTACAAAACTATAAAACTGTGCTGTAGTCCACAGTCTGAGTCCAGTTTGCAGTCTAACTTTGCTCACGTCTATAAAATGTTGAGTGCTGAGGCATCATCAGTCCTCAACAACAATACAGTGGGGTAAAAAAAAATTCTTCTTACTGCCAATGATCAATCATCTATGAGGTGCAATCATTTACTCTGCAACAGGTTGGTATTTATTTATGATGCAAATATGTTCTATAATGCATCACAGAGCCTTTTATTTATGAATATTTTATTCTGAGCTGGAGGGTTGAAACAGGAAACCAGCTCCTCTATAAATTTAGCACTTGGAGATAAATGAACGGGGGAGCTAAAAAGGAAAATGTTAAGTTTCAGATACGCTATTCATGCTATTCAAACAAAAGATGATTTCCTCCTTAATTTCGATGTCCTAATTTTACAAATAGGCCCACACATTCTGGATTTCTAAGGTGGGATACTTACACCCAGTGTGAGGGGAGTGGTTGGGTAAAGTATTGCACAATTTAAACATGAGGGATTTATGTTATGCAAAAACAAAATGTCTGTGCTGTATGGACTCCACAAATCTTAGCCAGTCCCAAGTTTGAACACCAGCCAGTAACACAACAGCTGAAGTGACGGCCTTTGGATAGGGCTCATTGGATCTGGCATGAAGATCTACGGTCAAACAGTTTCCCTGTTCTCATCATTGTTGATGCTCTGTTGATTTGTCTCTATCCATCTTCCCCTTTTTGCATCTCTTTCTCTCTGTTCATGGCCAACACAGCTGATGACTGTTTTTCAGGTTCTGCTTGAGTTTGTGCCTGTTAAACGAGTATCTGCTGTGGCTAAATGTTACAGGTCTCTGCTAAAGGTTGATTAATGTTTGATTTCTGCAGATATTCCACCTGCTCTTTTTGTCAAATGAGATATCTTAGTCAAGGATTTGGCACTTAATGAATCAAAATTGATTGGTTTACTGTCATTTGCACAGGAAATGTTACAAATTAAACAAAGTTCACTATTACTGAGTAACTAAAAAAGTGGGTGAAGCTTGAAGTCTTGGCTCAAGGGTTTCCTGACACACCTTACAAACCTCCTCTGTGACGATTCTGGACCTTTTATACTATAACCAGAAGACTATAAAGCAACTCTTAATGGGTGCAAATGTTTGACTAAAATCATTTTTAAATTGATCATTGACACTCTCTGCTCCCTCTGCTCTTAAACACTGAGTTAAACTTCAGTGAAGAAGTGGGATAGTAAAAGGGGTGTGCATGTGCATTTGTGTATGTGTGTGTGGGAGACTAAAGGGGACAGAGGTCGCCTACACCTGTCAGTCATTCAGCAAGTCACATGGCTTCTGTGTGAACAAAGCTCAGTGCAAACAAATCAGTGCAGCTACACTTGTCCTGCTGCATCTAACATTTTTTTCCTGTCAAAGTATGTAAACATGGAGCCTTCTTGATTTCATTCTCAGATCTCAACTCTGGGGCCAGTTCCTGATGAACCAGACCTGATGGTGCAACTTTTTGATACCTGCCAAACAGAGGATGAGTCCTATGACAGTCGTCCTCTGTGTTCATGGACTGCAGGACAGGTGACATGGATGGTACTCAAAGGGAACGTTGTTGACATGTATTCAAATTAATCTGCAGCTGTAAAAATAACTTGCTTGCAATTTGCACTGTGTGGCTTCTCTTCAACTCATCCCAAGTAATAAAACTATCAGGTTTTGTATTTAACATGGCTGTCTCTAGTTGAGCTTAGATTAAATGCATGTTATCATTTCAACTTTAACATAGTAATTTAATAAATTACTTTAAATAAATAATAAAATAGCTAAAATAATCATTTCAAAAGTTAGTTAATGAGCATATTAGCAGAATAGATCTTTATTGTCAATGTTGTGAAACAATAGATGATAGTCTGGCAGGTCTTTACATCAGCAGTATAGAATAAAATAGAGTTTTATATTTGCAATACCGGACTGTTATAGCTTCAAAAACTAAAGCAAAAAAATGTCTATGTAAAAATGACAGCATTGCCATCAATAAAGGTGGTTTGTGATATGGTAATATTTAGTTATATTTATCAGTCAGATCTTTGATCCCTTGCTCACCCCTCCTGTCCGTACAGCTGTGGTGGCCTTTGAGGACAAGAAGCCTCTAAAATGTGTAAAAAGTATCATCTTTCTTTATTATTTTTTTCCAAGTTTTTACCAACAAAATTACCTTTCAGTATAATTTCTATTGTACAAATTAACAATCAGTCTCTTCTTCTTTGCTTTCCAGTCTGTGCCCACTTAAAAAATACTAAACCTTGTAATATGCTAGTCTGTAAGTTGCGGTGCAAGATGGGGCTCTTTGTAAAGCAGACCTGCTCCATTAGATAGTAAAAGCTGACTCTAAAAGTGTAGTCCATTTCATCTTGGTAGCTGGACTTACTCAGATGCCAGTTGGAAATGTCATAAAAACACATGGCTTCAACACTCAAGTCCTGTTTGTTTGAAAGTGATCATCTTCTTTTGTGTAAGTCAGTTACAAGAGTTGTGTTTGGTTCTATCCCAGAACATAACGTCATGTTGATTTCTCTCAAATTATCACACAGTGTGTTGTTACAACCTGGGAGTGGCTAATGATGTTAACAACAACAGGAGCTAATGGCAAAACAACTTCCTGCCTTCTTATCAACTAATAACTGGAACACAATCCACCCAGAAATCATGTTATTCCCAGTTCTAACATCTGACTTCTGTGGTAAATGCAACCTCAGATTTAAACAAAAAAATTACATTTGCACTTTTGTACACACTAATACAATCATACCTGAAGCATACACGCCACATTGTTAGTAATGGACCTTGACAGAGGTTGTGAGAAATCTGGTGAAAGTTTTACTGCCAATAGTAACTTTAGAATGAACACTTGTGTCTACCTCAAACCTACAGCACTGTGACTCAGTTATTGTCCAACAGATATCGGCTCTACACATGCGCCTTCTTCAGCGCATCAAACTAGCATTTACCTGCACCATAAATTACTCCAAAAGTTTCAGCTGTGAAAGGTCAAGGCTCCATGGTCTCAGAAAATAATCCCACCTCACAACAAAACATAAAACTCAAGATGTGTGAGCTTCAAGTTTTAGAAACACCACTATTATGGGACTGGTCTGTGCTAATATGGTTTATAATGTGAAGAAACAGGATATCAGTTTTAGTATCTGGCAGTTTTAGTCTTAATATTCCCAACAGAAAAAGTAGAGTATGAAACAGAGCTGAGCTGAATTTCTCTCTCAGCTGGAGTACACAGAATAGAAGTTTGTTGTGAAAACAGACAAAGGGAGTAAAACAGAGTAGTGTGAGTTGGTTACATACAATTTCGAGCATCATGAGGATGGCTGGGATACTCCTGATGAAGGACATGTTCATCTTAGTGGTGACATTAGAAGCCAGCCCTCGGAGGCTGTTGCCCCCCTGCTGAGAGGTCTGGCTGGTGGGGGAACCGGTCTCTGTGGTAACCTTGGACGGGAAATCTGCCATGGTTATAAAGCTTATCTAAAAACTGACCTAATGACTCCGAAGCTTCAGGAAGGGAGTCAGTCTGAGGAAGAAATAAACGTCTGTGATGAAGGTTTTCCAGCAGACTTTATTCCTCTAACAGCTCCGGATGTTGAGACAGTTAAAACACAGAGTACATCCACAGATGGCAGCAGAAAGAGGACAAAACAAAAACAAATAAAAAACTCTTAAAGTCCAGAAAGCGAAAAAAAGATCCCTCCAAATAAGTGTCCAAGTTCAGATATCCAGGGAACTCCACCTGCTCTGACAGGTGACTAATGGAGCTGTGCGTCTATACTCCTTGTCCTCTCTCTCTCTCTCTCTCTCTCTCTCTCTCACACACACACACACACACACACACACACACACACACACACACACACACACACACACACACACACACACACACACACAATATTTCGTCATCCTCTCCCTATCAGCTTGTGTCTCTCCCTCTCCAGTGTTTCCCTCTGGCACCTCCCATATGGCTCAGTGGCCTCTTACCTGAGTGACTCATTAACATGTTTGAAAAGTGGGAGGGCGGGTGGAGAGGGAATAAATGTACCTATTGACACTGTGTCAGTCTGTGTATGTGTGTCTCTGTGTCTCTGTGTGAAGATGGATATCTGTCCTTCACAGGAAAACATGTACTGCTAGTCTGAGTTTTACAGATGACATATTTTTCCTGCTGTGGAGCTGTAAATCTGAAACTAAAAATGACATTTACACAAGTGACATTAAGAACATAGTGGGAGGAAGTACTTTATGCTGGTTAATTTAGCGTAGTGTTACTCAACTTTTTGTTTTAGTCAAATGCACAAAAACAACAACAAAGTGATACTGAAGTTATGTTGGTATTGGCCAAACCGCCCTTAAGTCAGCATCCACCCTTGAAAAACTGACAGCAGTCGGCCGCTAGTTTCTTCTCATTTAAAGCATTCATGGTTTCACTAAGCAGATAATAAATTAAAACTTTTCTCTTTAACCAAAACACTTCATAAAGCTTATTTTGAGGCCTTGAATTAATGCCTTAGTTCAGAGGATGACGAGACAGTGGATAAAATTGGAGTGTGGGAAGAGAGACCAGTATGGTGTAGCAAAGAGCAACTGGTAGAACTCAAACTCAGGCCGCCCGCTTTCAGTGCTACAGCCTCTCTTTGTTAGGCTTGCAAATTAACCACTGAGCTACACCAGAGCCTCTTTGATGTTAACATGAAAAAAAAAAAACACTTCAAGTTTATATAGGCTAAAACATGCAGCTCAATATACACAAACACAATTCCTGCAATTATAAATATGGGTATGTGTAAGGGTGAATGTGTACAACTTTACACATATGGTGTTAATATCAGGTGTACACAGATAAACAGGGATGACCAGAGTGTAATCACAACAACCACTAGACAAATACAACACAGATCAAGACATTTGTTGTGTTCACATCCCTGAAGGTGTAAGGGTAATAGTTGTCTATTCTACAATCAGAGCCTTATTTTAATATTCAGGGTTAAATATCACAGTTACAAAGTTGAAAAATGCCAATTTTAGACATCGAACCACTTTGTAGGACTGTGGAAACAGAGAGGTGGAAGATGGCGGCTGTGAAAAGGGACCTACTCCTGTTAAAATATAAAAAGGCACAACTAAGTAAACAAGAACAAAATGTTTTTAATATGCTGGTAATTATACAAACATGTAAACATGCTTATGAATATGCATGATATCTTTAATAATAAATCCAGTTAAATACTCCACATTACTCTATGTTTTTGAATCTATAGCTCACAGGCTAATGAACACTGAGACTAAATGAGGAGATATATTTTGAGGTTTATTTCTTGTCATTAATGATCTGCTTATTTTAAACTATTTTAAAAGCTTTTAACACAGTGGGCTGTGCTATTTCGGTCCAAAACGCCATCTAGTGGAGCTAAATATACCTGCAGTCAGTTGTTGACCTACTCCTTGCCACCGCCACATCATGTCCCAAGTGTTTGTTAGGAAAAAAACAATTATATATTGTGGTTATCTTGTGATTTGTTTGTAAAAGTGTAACTTAAATCACAGTGTTTAACCACATTAAACACTGCTTCTTCATGGCTGGTGAAAAAGTGATTAAAGAAGAACAAACAGTATCGTTTAACAAGCATGCTTTATTGACTTCATTTAAAGGTAACAGAGGAATTAAATGTCAAAGCTTTTAACATTATTAAGTTTCAAATGATATAGTTAAACTTTAAGGGATTGAGTATCCTGCTTTCATTCATTTGTCCTTAAATTCAAACTTATAAAACACACACACACACTGATGAGAACACACAGCAAAAACATTTTCCCTACATCCAAGTCATTCAAAAGACACACACAAGAATTCAACTCAAGCGCTGAAGCCAGACATTTTGTTTTTCTGCAATGAAACTATTATTTTAGTGGGTAAACATTCTCCTTCAGCTACAAATAAATATCAAAGTACCAGTGTTGCCTACATTTAACACGATAAAACTAGAAAACAGACTGAATGAGGGATTGATAAGCAATGATGGCACCTCAGAGGAAATGTTACAACCTGACATCTTTTAGTGAAGTCACCTTTTCACCTGCTTCACTAATTCTAACTGTGGTAATGGTTATGGCAATGTTACATTTCCCAGAAAGCCCTGAATCATAGAAACATTCCCAATCAGTCATATCTAAATAAAGCCTGTGACCAATATCCCACTTCTGTAACTTTAAATGGCCACTATTGAAGATCATTAAAAATGGTTCAAAAGTGAATGTTTTCAACCTCCATTTATAAATATAGATTCAGTGATTATGTGTTGACCATAATTCATCGGGAAATCTACACTCTCCTCTCCCCCACCCAACGCCTTTGACGCTTCACCCCTCAGTGCGGTGGGTGGTACCCTGACTGGCGGCGCCCGTGGGCAGCAGCTGTGGGCTTCCCACCATCACTGATGACCCATTCCACTATCCCCACCCCTACAACCATAGCATGTCTCTGAATCTCTGTGTATGTGGTGTCAGTAATGTGCTCATGTTGCTGAGGGTTTTTTTTGTCACTGCACTCATATTAATGAGAGCAGTCTCTCTTTTTTTACCTCCTCCTCTCCCTCCCTCTTGTGTGTACTTTCCCCGTCTGTAAATGCAATTTCGTTGTGCACAGTTGCAATGACAATAAAGACCATGCCATGCCATACCAAATTAACCACCATATTTGCTCAATAAAGGAGTAAAATCCCCAAATTAAAACATTTATTTTTCAAGCTGCTTCTCTTAAATGTGACAGCTTAACAGACTGTCAAAGTAAGAAGGGTATCACAGTAGCCCACTGAAAAGCTAATATGTATAATCTGAGTTACAATATATGCCACACATTTCCATGTTAGCCAGCAGTATCTACAAACCTCCTGACAGTGTCTAAATCTACCATCGAGGTTTTGCAGCCTAAGTGTTTGAGCATGTGTAATTCATTATTTTTTTGTCTGCAATGGAAAGAGTTCAAAACTACCTCCTCTGGAACTTTTTGTCATCATGATCTGCAGTTTATAGGCTGAGTGAAGTCTTTTGTATTAAAATAAAATACATTGAAATGATGTCTTTGCTACTACAGCTGGGTTTGCAGCAGCTTAAGACAAACGCAGCCCAAGACTCATTTAATTTTCTTTTCAGACTAAAATAAAAGAGTTTTACATTTTCAAGGTGGACATGCTTGAGTCACGGTCAAATTTTCACTGGTTACAAATAGCTAAAGTTAAGATTAAAAGAAGGCCAATTTTTTTTTAACCAAAAATAAATGTTGAAATCTTGGTTTCCTGCTAGATAGCAATATTACAAGGTAAAGCATTTTTTCTCATGATAAGGTGAAAATGACAGATAGGCCTCTACCATGACTCAGGTGTTGTTATTAGTTTCTGACAATTTTATTTACAGGAACAATTAGAAGATAAATGTTTGCATTAAGGAGTGAAACAGCGCCCCCTGTGCTGTGCAAGTCTTTGTCAAGGAGGTCCAACGGCTGTATGTTACTGGTAAAAAGGGTGTTATCTTTGCAGGCTCTTGATGAAATAGTTTTTAGAAATCGTGAAAAATATTCTAAGTCTGTCTGCGAACTAAACTAAGGGTTTTTTATTAAATATACTTTGAATCACAGTCTCACAGCTGCTGCCTGAAGAGCTGCATTTGTACAACTTTTATTTATTCAAAGCTAAAAAAGGGGTAAAAAGGGCTTGGTTAATAAATACTGAATTCCTCTTCGGGGTCCACATGTTAATTATCTTATATCAATCGTAAACAGCGCAGGGAAAAGCACATTTTAGTATTTCACACTGCAATTTGACAATTCTTCATAACCAGATTACACATCTGAATAAATAGATTGAGCTTTTCTGACATTGGATTTGTGGTCAACGTTTCTCCACTGCTCATGTAGGAAGGATGCAGACAGGTGAGCTTCCTTTAAGTCTCAAGAGTAGAACTTACTGTTGTTTATCTTCTTATCTTTTGGCCTGCAGCACAATCAAAGGAGAACAGGTCAGACTGAGTATTCGTCACATTTAATTGTTACCCATTCACACACCTTGTGAAGTTGAGACTCACTTGTGTCTCTCGCTGGTGCTGGACTCTCTGCTGAGGTTCTGACGTGGGAGGCTGGAGCGCTGGAGGTTGGTGTGTGTATCGTACAGGAAGGGTTCACTGTTGAGCTCGGCCTGCTTTTTCTTCAGCTGGCTAGAGGATGAGTACAGCTCCTCTTCTGCTGTCTAAAGGACAAGAAACACCTCTGAACACACCTCTAAATTGTCAACATTATAGAATTGCTGATGTGTGTGGTGTGTGTTTCGTCTCACCCCTGCTTGCTGCACATCAATGTAGATCAGCAGAGAAGCTAACTCTAAGTTTTCACTGTAGCCGTTCTTTAAAGGTACAGAGCGGTAACCTGGTGAAATAAACAAACATCTGATAAGCTCACATTTGAAACACTGAATGTTGAGTTACACATCACATTATACAACATAATTTTACGATTCAAAATGCTGTTTAGGTCTAGATCAACCTGCTTAACAAACACAGGGCAAAGAGGAGCTGTAATAACCGTCACTTTACATGTTACCAACTGAAAGTGCAGCATTTATTCCCCTCCGTTGTCTTGCTATAAAAATAGATGTATGATGGTGCGATCAAGGTATTCCCTTAGTGTGCTTGTATCATAGATGTTAGCAACATTTATAATAGGGGCATGACAGAGAGGATCCCTGTGAGCCAGTGGGGTAGAAGTGTGTGTGTAAATTTGTGTGCATGTCAAATTTACACTACACAAGAAGAGAAACCTCATTGAACTTGATAGGAAGTACATTTGTGTATGAAACATTAGGAGTTGATGAATTTGATTGGGTCTGAGTCAAGACTTTGAAGCTAAAGTTGGAGAAAATCACAGCATGCTTTTTCTCAGTAGTCCTACAGCAAAACAAAAGGAGGCAGTCTGATGTGACAGAGGCTGAAAAAAAACGTGCAAAACAGGGAGACTGTGGTGAGAAGCTGCCTTTATGGAGTGCACTGATCGATGCTCAGTCATCTAGCCCCCCCTTGAGGATTTTAAAGATAAAGATAAACCTTTAATCATCTACTTTATGCATATAAAACATATAAAAATGTTAACTTAGACCGATACAGAAAATGTTGTATTCAAAAAATAAAATAAAATGTAAACAGTGAACAAATAAGGATGAGATATGTTATTATTGTACATTATTTGAGTAATTATACTTCAGAAAAAGAAGGTATTTGCAACTGTAATAAATGTCTGGCCCATTAATACTGCACTTTGAGGTAGCATTGAGTTATTGTTTGTTAGTTGTGCTTAAATTCTGAAATTTATCTAAAAAACTGAAAGTTAGGGGGAAAAGTCGTTTTGCAAAAGTCAATGAAATTCAGTAGATTAAAAAAGTTAATTTCGTTTGCTCCTATCTATGTAAAATAAAAAAATGTAACTTGGTGTACATTTTCTTGAGACAAAGACTGTAGGGAATTATCATCAGGTTTTACTTCTTCATTAGACGGCACAGAAACTGCTGCAGAATCACTGTCCACTCTTTGGCGATGTTTTCCTACAATCAATCCAAACTGAGACAACTGTATCCATACATGTGATATTGATACTTTAGCATTTACATATTATTCATTTGTTGTTGATTACTATCAAAAACATCTTTTCCAGGTGAGGGCTTCAACAAAACTCCAATAACTACTTGTCTTCATGCTGTCAGTCACTTTTATTTCATGACATTTTTTTGCTATTGTCACATGACAGGGGAGACCAATCAAACGGTCAATGATAGAGTATGTGTTAGTTTTAAATTTAAATCTGCTTATTAAATCTTTCTCGGCTGCTTATTTTTCCTGTTTTATTCCTGCCCATGAAATACTGAATATCAGTTAAAATGCATTAAAAAGTATCTGTATTGTACTGAAATTTCAAACCTTAGCATTGCCATCCCTTCATCATTCCTGAAATATTGGGATCATTTAAAATAATAAGAAAATATTTGGTCTTGTGGTTTATCGACATTCACTGCTGTCTGTCTAATTTCATTTATAAATCTAAAATTAGTGTTTGTGAAGAAGTACAGAGAGGATTCTTCAGGAACATTTGACAGATTTTATTTCCACCTAATTTAAGGAGCCTTTGCTGCTTGATTTTTATACTTTGATGAAATCAGGAACTTATTAAAATTGGATCAAACACATTTTGTTTTCATTTTAAATCAGCAGTAAAAATGGGTTGTGTATACTGTTTCATATAGGAGTCAGAATCTACCAGATGATGATACTCGGGATGAAAATTGTTCCACAATCGTGTTGCTTTGAGAAGACTGCAAGCTTTCTGTGTTGTGTGTTTATGTGACTCTGTGCATGGTTCCCACCTGAGCGGAGGCCTTTTACAGGAAACATGGCCTGAGCCAGGAAGTTAGGGTCTGAGAACATGTCCTCTTCATTGACCACAAAGCGCAGGAAGGTGAGCTCAGGCTCATACACAGAGAAGACTATCGACTCTGCTGGGGCTTTCCACACCGGGTTCAGACCGTTATCATCTGCATCACACAGAAAAGCAGCACTATTTGAATAATCAAAAGAGTTCCTCATTGCTACCAGCCACAGTACAACTTTCACTGTCCCCATCCCCCCCATGCTTGTTTCCTTACGATGCACTACGGTCTTAAACTTCTCATCTGTGTGTCCACACAGCTCCACCTCCACAAATGGGCTGGCAATGCTGCGTCCGGACTTTGGAAGGTGTCTGGCTGCGATCACCTGCGGAGAACGAACACATTGCAAAATGTCTGCCACTGCTATTCATCCTGTTTGCTTACTGTTGCAACATAAACACCTGCTAGTTAACCTCACGCACCTCATAAAAAAAATCAATTTTAAAATAATAATAATAATTTGGGGGTCTTAATGACTAATCAGTGTACTAATTTGTTAACATAGTAGAGTTCCTGAACTTAAAAGCAGATTGCATGGCAACAGTTGCACAAATGGTTATGGTGACTTCAGAGTAATTGTTGAAAGCAAATGCTTTCCATGTCTGTACTTTGGAGTGCCTGCCTTTGCCACAGAAGACCCAGACTTTTATTTGAAGACCGAGGCAACAAGAAAAACTTTCTCAATACGTTTCCTAAACCAGAAATAGCTACAACTATTTTTTTTCAAAGCCACAAGACTCAATTTATGAAAGCCTTATTTCGACCCACAAAACACAGGAAGTGCTCACTTACCCCAGTCTCTATTTAGGGTCTTTTCAGTGTTTTGTGTGTTACTCAAGTATTTAAGGAGTACAAGGTATTGTGCTCCGTCCAAACTAACTGCTCAAAAACTACAAAGTCAAGAGTTAAAATAGTACAAAGTATTAAAATCCTTTCCTTTTAGTGCATAAATAATTAATTACATATTATAGTGTTTTTGCTTTAGATACCCTTACAGAGGACAAGAAATACACATTTTATGATGTATAAAGATATTCCTTTATTAGTCCCACAGGGCGAAATTCCAAATGATGTTGGTCTCTGTTTTGGTTGGGAGACTTTAAGATTCAAAATATTAAAGATTGATCAAAAAGAGCATTTACACCTGTCACAGTTTGGACTCATTGAGTTTATTTTGTGTATTCCTTTTCAGCTGAATTGAATTAGTTGAATTGGTTAAGGTTGGTTTTTCTGGCTTTGTGTTATGTTTTTGTGTTTCTTATTCATTTGTTTCAGAGGCTGGAGTTGTGGTTTTCCTGGTCTGAGGCTCTCAACAGGCCCAGCTGCAGCCCATCAGGCTCCAGTCAGCTGCAGCTTCTCACCCCTTTCTGGTTCCCAGCAAGCTGCCTGATCACCTCTGCTTTTTCTGCAATAACTGGACTCTTTAAAGTCCTGTCTTAAAGTTATTTCACTAGAGGATTGAGACGATAAAGCTTGTGCTCTCTTCCCTCTTTTTCAGTGCCTCCTTCTGAATGCCTTAGCACCAAACCACACAGTCCAGCCTCAACCTTACAAATCTGTAAGTTCGTTTTTTGAGTTACTTCTATGCACCTCCTGTGGACATGTCTGCTGGTCAGCTCTCCTCATTTCATCCAGTACCATTAACTCTAGAAATCTCTTGCAAACCTTTCCCTTGTCTGTGTCATGTACCTGCAGTCTAATTAAACTGATTTAAAGTAAAACATCACAAAACCCAAATCACAGTAAAGCTAATCCCTTTTGTCATATTACTCCTAAAATAGCGTTGCGACAGCTGTTAAGCAGGATGGATCCTACCTGATCAAAAGTTTTACATCTGTAGGAGCTCATAATGTAACCAGTAACAAAGAAAAAAAGAGTCTGTATTTAAGTAGACACTTACCCTAACCAAAATGTTGTACTTGACTTTGGCCTTGTCCTGTTGGGGGTCATAGTTATCATGGCGCATGAACTCTGGCTGCAGCACGTAACCCGTTTGTCCATTCAGGCTGAAGAGGGCGCTGTTCAGCTGGGTGAATTTGTCTGGGCACAATCACACAGAATTGATAACCATACAGCTGTGATCACAGTTGTAGATGGTCTTTGGGCACTAAGCTAATGAAGTGATCATAAAAAGCCTCCACAGAGAATTGGATGATGGATGTAGATGTGTTGCCACATCCTGTCACTCTCTGTCCACTTTCCCCTGAATATTTGGCAAATTTACATAGTTATTGTGCTACTACAGTATAAACTATAGGAAAACATGGACAACATGACAGACCCCCAAAAGTGAAACCAAAAAACTCAGAGCTCCCCCCAGACTGGATGTACTTCATAGAGAGATAAGACATTGATCAAACTCTAAGATCAAAATGAAAGTCTGAATTTTTCTAAAACATCAGTCATGATGCAAAAGTTTCCATCATGCTAATTTGTGTCATGAATTTGGTTTTCACTGTTTTTTTTCACGATTAAAAGACGCTGTAATTTGATGTAATTTGACACATACAGCTCCAGAAGTGCTGGACCGACACAGACAATCACTGGCTCCAGAGATATTTAACTTTCCATGAATGAAGGTGTCAACAACAAGCTGTTCAGCTGTAGACCGAGGTGACCTGACAGCTCTTTTTGTTGTATCAGTGAGTAATATGTGGTTTGGTTAGTGGACTGGGGGCTATATTAATACTGTGGCTTCCCCACAGACCGAGGCTCCATAACTGTTACCAGCATGATCAGCACCTGTCCCGAGGAGGTTGAGACATACCTTCCATTTTTGAGTATAGCATGCTACTATTCGCCTTTTATACTGTTGATATTCTGATGTTACAGTTCAAAGATTACAGTGTGTGTAGTTTAAGAAATGAGCGATAGCTTGCTGTGTTTTGTGCATCAACTTTTTGATAATTGCCAACTGGGACACTTACATATTTATGCCCTCAACAGCTGGGTATTTCTAGAAATACTGACTATAGTTTTGTCGTTGCTATGTTCAAATGTGTTCCCACTCTGGCCTGGCAGTAAACAACCTGGCATTACAAAAGCAAACAACTCTGAGCTTGATTCCCTGGAGGTCTGTGCTTGCTGCTAACCTTGCGCAAATGAGCCAAACAGACACCATCTAATTCACGTAGTGCATCATTACGTCACTGTGCACCAGTGCTGTTTGCATACTTACAAATGAGCTCTTATGCATTCATGTCAAAGCAAAGAACATCTCTTAGATGCAAATCAACCTCATGGTAAAACAGACCTTATTCACATTTACATTATATATTTAAATCTAAACCATTATAGATGTACCAAAGACAGTAGAAAATGGGTAGAAATGATGAGAATGATCATGGTATTGGTTGAGAAATCAATATTGTTTCCATCCATATCAATAAATATTTTTGTCATTGGTGTGATCTCAGCTCAGATAATCTTCTGTACCTGCAGTCTGGTAGTTTAGTGCCACCATGTGACAGCCCACAGCCCACAGTGGATAAGGGTCATAGTTGGAGGACTCGACACGCTGGCCTTTTGGGTAAACTCGACTCAGAGCCTTTCGGTTGTACTGCAGAAATTCCTTAGTGCGGCTCTTTCCAGGGATCTTGTTCTCCACAAAAGACCGGATCTCTTTGTAATTGTAGCTGTCTGGAGACAAAGAAGAGGAAAGTCATCTATAAGGTGCAGAGTCAGCTAATGTGCGCCTATCACAGCCAAAGACAAGACTGAAACTGTGCACAGTCTGTGTTAACACCGACCATCTTTATCTTTGTATTTCATAGCTGGTTGTTTCAAACTGTCTTTACATCTTCTTCGCTTTTTTCTCAAATGAGGCGTCAGGTGATTTGTGATTGCAGGTTGCACACTGTTAGCTAGTTAGTTTTTGCTAGTTCTGAACATCTGGTGCAGACTGTGTAGCTCGCTCAGTATTTTGGGTCAAATTGAACAAAATAGGTCAAAGGTTTTTTAAATAATGTGATGATGGCTGCCAGTCTTATAACGGCAAAGTCTGACATCTTCATTAACTTCTGTGTCTCTTACTGCTACAGTTAGACAGAAACCTTTTATCTCCAAAACCACAACTTCACAGGAAGAAAAAAACCCTTATGTTTTCAAGTCACCTAACTGCATGAGACTCAACCACAAGCTTTCTTACATACTTTCCATTTGTTAAATGTTAAAAATCCAACTGCCCTTTATAAAAGATGACAAAATGGCTGGGATACAAGGTTTCTGCCCGACAGCAACATTATGCCAATAATAGGAATTAATGCAAATACAAAATGTGGTAATAAAAGGTGTTGTAAGAGTAGGCTTTTTATTTGCATGTGCAAATGTAGGTCTGTGGCTCACAGGAAACATCTTGGTCTTGTGATTTTTTCCTTCAGCCACATCCTGTTTGTTTGAGAACTAAACTGTGGTGCAGGAACAGCAAGAGTTGATCCTCACCAAATAAGGTGAGACACCTCAGAAATAGACAGTCAGTTTTTCCTCTGTGTTTGGAAACAACTCAGCACCGTTAAAGAAGATGATGAAAATGGCATTTGGGACGATGATGATAATGATGATGATGTTGAGGTTTCATGATGATATGTTGTTTAGTTGCTGTGGTGATAGCCATACAATATACCAAAAAATGTACGAAAATAACAGAAAAAAAATCCCTCTGCACATCCTCTAGCGCTGCATGGCAACATAACGTCCAATTAGATTTCAAGCAGTTTGTGACACTGTGTGGCCATGTGTCCATGGTTCCTTCTGTCTAGATCTGCATTGAGCAGTTTCATTTTTATGAATGAATTTCTCCGGATAAGCATAACCTTGGAAAATTTGAATCAAACTTTTAAAATTCATTTTACAAATCAAACAAAAATGTTGAAGCACTTATTTGAATAATCCCTTTTACAGTGAAAATGAATTTGTAAGTTCAGAAAATAACAGTTTTTGGACTAACTACAACACTCTCATTTAGGGCTACTGGACTATGGCAAAACTTTGGACGATTTTTTAAAACTGTTATTCAATATGATAATTTATACTTTGACTTCTGAATTACATTCATTTACAAAAAACAAAAAATCTTGAAAACTGAAAAATGCAAGAATCTTTGAAAAATGCATGAACGAGTAACAACAGTTTTACCTTTTATAGCCTCATATTAACCATGTGAGAATGGGTTATGAGAACAAAACCAGTGCTACATCGCAGGCAGCACAATAAACGTTCACTTTAACTAACATATTTTTATAATAACAGGGAGCAGTGATTTCAATTTGAGTTAAAGTAATTGTTCAGTTCTACTCTTATCTTTCCAGTTAATAAGATCCAACTGCCGGGATACAGCCAGCTGGTTTCCAAAGAGGTCTAATGAAGCCCAACAGTGCTGGGCTCTATGATGAAAATACCGACTGACACTTCATCCCAAATTATCCAGAACTGGGCAAAAGCGTGGAGTTAAGGTGGAGTCGAGGTGAGTGGAGCACACCAGTCACTCAACTCAGCCATGCCCCTATTTACTACTAACTATGCAAACTACTCATTTAAAAGTTAGTCCCAGAGTGGTTGTCATAAATGAAAAACCGAGGAATCAAGACCAAAACTGTTTTGTTTCACTTGTCTGAACCAGACAAATGAGGGGTTTCTTTGACAGTAAAGGGACTTTGGCACTGGCATTTGAAGCCAATCTTAAGCTGACACTTGGGGAGGATCAATGCAGTTTTTCCACTTTTGCACCACATTGTATTTACTTTTCAACACCGCAGGTAATTACTTGCTTTTCATCAACTCTTCACAGTGAAAAGACAGACAGTTTGGACTGTGAAGTTGCGGTAAAGCTTGTGCATTTGAGGTGTTGTAACACCATTCACTATCATCTTGTTGCATGTGTTTCTTGGTCTCTGTGATCTGTGTGCATGTGCATCGGTAAGTGTTTACCAAAGTGGTCCTTCTCCTTGCTTCGTGGCTGACAGTAGACTACTAGGTCTGACATCTCCATGGCAACCTCTGCTTTCTTCTCCACTTCCTCCTGCTGTCTGATCTGAGATTGGACAGACACACAGCCACTTCCTGTTTGTACATTTACGCTGACAGGCCACCACTTCAACACTCCATTGTTACTTTACAGTAAAGAGTATGTTTTAATGATGCACTGTAGACAGTATATGTATGATCTGTCATAACACTGATATGTGCACTAGGTTTTATGCTTTCTTCTTTATTCTGGTTCCAACACTTTACATTTCCTTATAGATTTGAAACACTGACCTCTTGTTCCCTGTTGTACTGTCTGTTCATCTCTCTCTGAGTAATGTTCCAGGCCAGCTGGTACCATTTAAACAACTCCTCCAGAGAGTCTACTGCCAGGTCAAACTGCAGACTGTCCTGCTCCATGTCCTGCAGAGTCAACACATGGGGCTTCCCATTCTTGCCATTCTTCACTGGAAAGAAAGTTGTATGCAGAGAGGCACAGCGAGTATGAGGGAGTGGGCGACGCAACTTCCATTTAAACTTCTATTTTAATTTAAAAAGATATGACTAAAAGACAAAAAGTAATGAATTAATAATACAGAAAAATGCATTTTAAAACCAATACTCAGCTGTAGATGGAGTGATACGCTTTTTTGTAGAGTCTCATTTAGATTAATTCATGAAACATAATAAAAAAACATTGAAAACAGAGAAAAATAACTGATTAAATTATAAAAATTGCACCGATAACATCCTAAGGTCATTTCAAGATTGCAGACGGTGCAGCAGTCTCAAGGAAAAGGTCGAGAAATGAGCGTTTATTGTATGCGAGATAGTCCTTAGTGACTAGTTACAGCTCTAAAGAGCATGAGTGTTGAAGTAGAATTTTTGATCTGCATCATTTTCTGATTACACTTAATATTATATTTACCAGACAGCAGGTCTGTGATTTGTTATAACTGCTCATGAAACAAAATGACATGCAGAAAAATGATCAGATCTGAAAATGACATAAGTGTCCATAAGAGTAAATTATAGCCTAAAAGTGTTATAGAGAACTTCATATATAATTATGAAGTTGTGTTTGAACCATGAGTGATAAAACGAGTTTTGAAAAGTGTGTGAAAATTTTGCTTTTTTTTTATATCCCAAAAGAAAACATTTTAAACACAGCAAGCTGCCTGCTGGAGGTTTGTTTGCAAACTTTTTTGATTATATATATTCTCTTATGTAGAACATGAAATCAGTGTTATTAACTCATTTCATATTTCAGATTATAAAAATAGCATTCTGCAGTTTAAATTATCGAGTCTTTCTTGGCTGCGAAGTCAACATAAGCACAGTTAGTATTTCAGAGAGAGTAATGTGTTCTGAACTGAAATAATCATTTATTTAACAATTCTATTCTGCAAAATACTGTTTTGTGGTTTACATTGTACCTCTTAATTCAGTTCTCAAATAAGTTGAATGTTACGAAAAAAGTATATTTCCTAAGTTGCTGACCAAATACTTGTTAAACTTTTAGAGAAATCAACATTAGTGTGACTTATTTGTGCTGGACCTTATATTAGATTTTCTGTACACCATGCATGCGACTGGTATTTAAACAACTCACAGTTTTGGATGCTGCATTTGGAGATATCAACAACACCCTTGCAAAGTTCCCCCAGTGGGTTGTCCTCCATGTCCTGTTTAAACACAAAAAATAAAAATGATCAACACATAAATTTTAACTTTAGTAGTTTCAACATAACTGACCTCTTACAAAACCACGGCCTGGTGCTCACCTGATTGTTGGTCTCAGGTGAGGCGTTGTTGGACAACTCCTCCACATGGTTAGAGGGGAAGAACAGCTGCAACTTTCCACCGTGGTCACCTTTCCACCTAAGGTGGTAAATGAAAAGGATAATATGGATTGTTCTGGTTGGTTGCTTTCATACCTGTAGCTTGTTTGTTGCTAATTCAGAAAAAAAATGTTGTAGAATTTACACTACACACACTACATTATTGAGAAGAGGGCCAAGCACACATTATCACAGTGCCGTCCTTTTTGTCCAGCCTTTTCATTCAACTTTTTCAACTTCTTTTCAAAAAACATGGATAAACAAAAGCCAGACATACTCAACACACTTTACATTTCAAGAATCCAGCTCTAGGACCCCAACTAACATCAGCCTTATAATCTACAAACAAAGTGACTCATGGGTTGGAGCACGGTTGAAGTCAAATGTCTCATCAATGCTTGGGTAGGTGAGGATGCTTGTCAAATGTTGGACCCCACTCACAAAAACCAAAAAGTTTGAACTTAAGAGTAAGCATATGTACAACAGGGGAGTTCAACGCTCTGCAGAGCAGAGTCATTTTGAAACTTCAACAGCAATATGTGAAAGTAGAGGTGAGAGAGGAGGATCTGGTGAAAAATTCTCCTAACTTGACAAACTGGATAAAATTCTTCTCCTAAACCACGGCTTGAACCAGCAGATGTAGTAGAGTCTGGTCATGTAGCTGTGAGGAACGGAGGTCTTTTGTAGTTCTGCTCCATTTCTCCACACAGAAGGCCACTGCTGGGCTATATTTAGCCAAGTATAATCAGATAAGAATGTATAATGCAGCGGAGTAAACTAACCTTACAATGTAACCAAGACTCAATGAAGTGATATGGCCTGTTGCTGAACTCGTGTGTTTGTTTGTGGGTAAGACTCACCAGTCATTGTTCTCCTTGGAAACATTGTGGATCAGAGCTCCTGTGCTAAAGCTCAGCTCATCTGGTCTTTTAGCCTGATAGCTATAAACAGCTCGTACTGTACTTTTAGGCTAGAGAAGAAAGATACATATACTGTCATAAATGTGTTCATAAAAGGACACACAGAAGGATAGTAGACAGCCCAGGCTGATCATTTGGAGTGGTTTCATACACACCAATGCAGGCTCAATCTCATTTGGTTCCACATAGGTCTTCATTTCATACAGAGAGGCACAGTCTTTCTCCTGTTGGTGCAAACAACATGTTACTAACTTTGGGGAAAACAAAGAGCAGGTAACAGATGTTCAAGAGGAGATTTAAGGTATCTTTGAACCTGGGTCCTACATTTATCTCTCATACTTTGGGGGGTCTTAAATGATGAAGAAGTTTTAGAGCCGCAGGTCTCAGATGCCTCAGCTCAGGCTTTATTGACTTCAATGTTATTCCTGCCAGCATTCCAGTCAATTCATCAAATTCTTTCACAGATCACTGTCCTCATTTTCTAAAGACTTTATACCAATTAGTTTCTAATTACTGTACTAAACCCCACGTACACGTTTTCAGGTGTATTTCAAGGAAAAACCCAATGGGTCAATGCAACACACTTTTTTTGATCAATACTTTTTGTCTCCTACAGTAACTTACTGTGCTGAAGCGCTCCACCAGCTCAGGAGTGACCGGGTAACGTAGCTTGATCTTGCGATACAGCGGCTTCTTCCTGAAGTAGTTCACCAGCTCCACTAGGCTCTCAAACTCTGTTGTGGTGCCAAGCAGGTAAGTACTTCCCTTCTTCTGGATGCGGCAGTGTTTCACTTTCCCATCCCCTCTACAAAAAAGAGAGAACTCAGTTAATCTAGAAACACACCTTCCTATCAGTTGAATAGAATTTAAGTGTCACAGCACCTGAATGTGATGGCGTAGGAGTCTGGTTCTCCCTCTCGGGTTCGGATGAGGAAAGCTCCGTCTCTGGGAATCCTCAGCAAGTAATCCTCAGCCTGACCTCGGCTCAGATTACCATAAAACCACCTACATAACACACACAAGGAATTTTATATTATGTGTGTGTGAGGAGAGTGTTTTTATTCTTTTCGTGCCAGTAAAACAGAATTTAAACATATTCAAATAGGGATAGTTTAAATGTGTCTAAGAGAGAGTGAAACCCAAAGAACAGAGGAAGAGGAAGTGCATGGGTGGATATGAACCACCAGTGATGGATGAAACAATACCCAGTATTAACATTTTTTATATCCTCAAACGTAGCGCTGTTTTACTCTGACATAGAGAGTAATTCAGATTATTCGGATTACGGTGTTGATTTTAATGCAAGTTTCGAGTGTGTCTCAATCATGGGAACTTTCTGTTGATATGAGCGTGTAAAAATATCAACATGTGCATCAAAGACTCAAAGCTTTGAGACACTCTGTAAGGGAAATTAAAGGAGGTTGTCTCAAACTGTCAGGACCACAGAGCTTTACAAAAAGGACAATCCATGACAACCTGCACCCACACCTGCCATGAAAGTGGGGTGAACAGGAGTCAAGTCATCCACAATAAACTTTGGCTCAGGTTGGGACATTTTATATCTGCATGCACATCTTTACCATGTGTGAGGGAGACAGAAAGGATGTTGGGTGGATTCTAACACCTAATATAGTTAGTTTTCTTCTTCTGCTCTCTCCGGTGTAGCAGGTGAATCCCTTGTAATTTCCTGGTAATCACTACCAAAATTGAGAAGTAATGAGGCTTGATTTAACTGTAAGGAAAAACAATAACAGCACTCCAAATTGTATCTACCTTTTACTTTCCAAACCACTGTTTCAAGCAGATGCCCTCCTTCAGTGTGTTTGTATATTCTCACTCTTAGAGAAGTGGCACTAAATATACATGTTCATAGTGGGTTATAGTCAGCTCCTTCAGGAGGAGTCTCAAGAAGGACGTCAACTTGAAATGTAGGTGAGGCAATGAAAAAGTAAAATCTGGGGGGAGGCACACCCCAAGTACACAGAGGGTGTAATCCTTGTAGCAGTGGTTCCTGGTTTAACTCCTGACCACAACCCTTTGCTGCATGTTATCCCCACTCTCTTCAGCTGTCATATCTAATAAAAGCACAATTGCAAGAAAAAAACCTACAATCTGAAGTTGTTCCTCATATTTAGGATTCAACATCCAGCTGTGAAAGGAGCTGAGCTGGCACATTAATGCTGACTAATTAAAGAAGTGGATTTGTAAGGTATTTGTCAACCGTATGCGTATTAGCCTCTGTGATTGTTGGTCAGCTCAGCCAGAGACATGAACATACTCAAGGCTATAAACAATTAAAGGAAACAAAATGTCATGATATCAACTCAACTTCACTCTGTGTTTGATGAATTTGACTCAATCTTAATGTGAGTGAGCACAAAATAAATGTTAAAAAACTACATCACGGTATCATAATATAATGTATAACAAACCCTTCATGTAGATGTGGGTCAGGCTGTGTCATGGGGTCAGTGAGGCGCAGTTCGAAGTCTTGGCAGCGAAGCGGGTTGTCTCTGTAGTGCTGGATCAGGGAGTACACGCTGGGAAAGTGCAGGTTTGGAGTCAGGTAGTAATAAGTGTGACTGCCATCTTCACCTGAGTTAATGCGACAGTGCTGGACCCTCCCACCGCGCCTGAAATACACGCAGAAGATGTGTTTATATAAACAAAGCGTACTAACCAGCACATTGGAACTAACTTCCTTGTTTGAAAAATATAATCCATTGAGAAAAGGATAAAAGACATTGTTGAACAGATTTAATATGTTTATAATATTGCAATTAATATTACAGAAGAGAGAAATATTGCAGCCCTACTTTTAGTAATTTCAAGTAGTGAACTGAGCTGGCTCATACTCAGATCTATGATAATTCAATAACATGGGCTTGAAAACAGAAACTGTATGTTATACCAGAAGGAGAGCGTGTAGCCAAGGCAGGTCTCACTGCCTCTGACCAGGAAGGTGCCGTCTCTTCCCCCGGTTTCCCGACAGTAATCATGGATCAGCCGCTCTGCCATGCGTCTGCCATCCGTTATTTGGCCAAAAAACCACCCCTCTGTGTTGAGCAGGTCCCGATACTGAAAAACAACCATGGGTAGGAAAAGAGTTTTCACAAGTAAACAAAAATTGTCAAACTGAAAGACCACACTCTTGGACGAGAAGTAAGAAAAAACTCCTTTAACAACGCAGAACAACTTTTTTTCTGTAAACCTCCTTCTCTCTTTTACCTTTCTGGGATCCTCTTCCTCCTCTTCATACTCCTCTGCGTAGTACAGCTTGTCATCAGAGATCATGCAGTAGTGCTTGTTCCACCGCTGAGGGAGAGAAAAGAAATTTCACATTCAACTGATCTGATACTGCTCACTGGGTCCAATTGTAGATTTATTAATATCACAAAGGAAATCCTTTCAATGATATCAGGTTTAAATGAATATTTGAGCTCAGTAGCTCATTATGCCTCATCAACAGTGCAATTGATTCAATGATACTGCTTTTCTCAAGGATCCTGAGAACTGCTGCAACAGCTAGCGTTGTAACAGATTTGTTGACATGAAACTGTTAGGCACAGCAAGTAAAAAAAAAACAAACTGATATACAGTAAAGATAATAATACTCATCCATGCTTTGATGCATCTCTCAGTTCACCTTAAACCTTAGCCCAGTAAACCATAGACATAGAGTATACTCTGTTATGAATCAGAGGGGAGGATAATAGTAGACAGGCATGTTGGTATATGTAGTTCTTGTTGTTGTTGACACATGTTGACATTACCCTTACCAAAAAAAGGTATACTTAAAGTAAAATTTTTGAAGTATACTGAAGTTTTTAGTATACTTCCCAAAGCATACTTTGTACACTGATACAAATATACTACCACTGTACTTACAAGTAAACTTTTTGGGACTAAATTGGCCCAATTTTAGTTTATAAAAGTACACTTGAAGTATACTTGAAAGTAAACTTATTGGTATGAGATTAGTTTACTAGTTATTAAAAGTACACTCCAAAGAGCATACCTTTATTTATTTTTATTTTTTCTTATGGGTAGGACAGAGTGGTCAGGATCGAACCCCTGACCATAGCAAGAGTATATTCTTATTGAGTATACTCTTAAAAAGATATATGGAAGTATTCACTGACCAAGTACACTTACACCTCAGGCACAAACACATACTTAAGTATATCTTGATTAAAAGTGTATGTATGAGAACAGGTTAAATATAATTAGACTTTTAGTATAATTCTTAGTACAAGTCAAGTATACTTCACATTAACTTTGATAAGTATATCTCTGAAAAGTCCATAACAAGTAAACTAAAAGCATACTTAGTTGAAAAACAGCATACTTTAAGTACACTTCAACATACTTATTTTTGGTAAGGGTACTGCTTTCGATGTCACGTTAAGCCCTCTTCCATGAGAGCATAACCATACAGGATTCAATCCAGTCTAACTGCCCACATTATCAGTGAATAGCTTATGTTTGTGTTGTCTAGGTAGGTAGGGTTAATTGAAGACTTCTTCTGTACACCTTAACCTCTCAGTCATCAGATTCCCTCCTCTCTCTTTGATCTTGCCTCCTCTGTGCAGCAACAGAGATTCAGGATGCTCCTTGACATGGCAGACACAGGACTACTTCTGGTCTAACTGTAAACTAAGGTCCAAGGACCACGAGTATATCATTAGGATGACTTCTGATATAAGACAAGAGTGCAAGGGCCTGTTCACGTCTACTGTCTTCAAATCTGCTGCTGAGTGCTGTTGTTGAATCTTCAATTTAGACTTCAGTTCAAGTGTGATGACAACAGATCCCACCAGTCAGCTTAAAGGTAGAAAATGCATGCCATCATGGCAGTACCTGATCGACAGGGTCCCAGAGCTCAAGATCCCCCTGTTTCTGTCCTTTCCTGAAGTCTCTAGTGATTCCTCCTCCCTCCACGCTCAGTTTCTTGTGCTGCAAAAGGACAGCATAAGAAAACAGAAATGAAGAAATGACCATGTATCACAACAAAGAAGAATTATGTGCACATCCATGCATATTATACACACATGGTACCTTTAGTATGATCTTGCCCTTCAGCTGTGAAGGTGAAGGCAGCTGCTCTGCCAGTTGTTCCACAGGTTCAGTCAGAAGTTTGTCTCCAAAGACCTCTTTGAAGATACGAGCCATCTGACGCTGCTGCTCGATGGGACAGTGCTCCTCTATGGACAGGATCAACGGAAACCTGAGAGAGAGAGACAAACACAAATATCACCATATCAGGGAAATATGGGGGGGGCTTTCATATACAGTCAGTTCAAACAAAATGTTCTGTTCGCTTTAAAGCGAAAAAACACAAATAACTTTACATGAGAATGAACGCTGCTGTGCATCTCTTTGCATAAAAGGTAAAGGACAGCATGTTGTGAACTCCTCTGCCATTCATCCTGTTATACTAATGCACCTTTTGATAAGCACTAGCTTTCTAGCACTGTGTTGGTCTAAGGCTCAGACACTTTTGGCTCCTCCAAGATAGCATCAACCACCTTTGCACCTAACTATGCCTCATTTTAAGACCAACGCAACCACAGGCACCAACACAGGCAAGAATGCACTTGCTATTTAGACAACCTGGGTGCTGGGGGTAGAACCAACAACTGCATTTGGTAGAAAAGACAGTCACACTTGCACTGCATGTCAAAACATGAGTGCAAAGTGTATGATAGGGCCGAAGAGCTTTGATTAGCCTTTTTACTAACCACTGACACAATAAACATTCAGACACAGACACTGCACAGTAAAACCAATATTAATGACAGACAGTACACAAACATGTTTAACATAGGACCAATATCAGCTGATATGTTCATGTCTTCCTGCTGACAACGACGAACAACCAAGCTGAAGAAAGCAGAGTCAAAGTGACCACAAACCACAACACAGTACAGGCTACAGCAGCGTTAATAGTAATATTAACTATAAATAATTATAGTTAAGAGGGAAGTTGACCTGATACAGCTGCTGTTATTTTCAGAAAACACAAACTTTTGCAGGTCTGACGAGACAGTTAAACATTAGTGGCTTTATCCACATCAAGGGGGTTATCTTCAAACTTCAACTTCAATACAATATAGTCTATAGAAATAAATAATTCTTTATAAAAAAAAAGAACTAAGTTCAGCAGGTAACTCTCCTGAGTTACGTTTTAATGTTATTAATTAAAATTTCATTTAAGTGCCATTTGGAGTGCTTTAAAAATTTGTTTAAGCAGTAAGAACACACCAAAGTTTCATAAAATTAAAAAAAAAACTTAATATGTGCAAAAAAGAGAAAAATGAATGTCGTCTGTCTGTGAAAAACTGTTTTTCGTGAATGTACTCCATGTTTATGTATCTGTGTGTAAGTGTAATATCATAAAGTTTGAAAAATAAAGGAAAGCACATTTATTGATTCTCACTCTGATGCGACAAAGGCGTGATTGTTTATGGCTTTGACCACGTCCTCAAACTTGATCTTGGTGGTTCTGGTCCAGCCATGGTAGATGATCGGCTCCCCTGGTCCCTCCCAGCAGTCCACTGAAATGATTCCGAGTCAATAAAGACAAAAAGACAGCAACATTTTTTGCAAAATTATTTTTGATTATACAAGTGTTCAGAGCCAGGGAGACTCAATAAAAATACACTCACATTCAACGCAGCGACATCCCAGACGCAGGCAGCGGATATAAGCCTCTGTGGATGACTCACTGCGGAGCTGATCACCTGTCAGGTATCTGATGATGAATAACAACAAAAAGGACATGTTAGTGAATTTTCACTGAAATAAAACATATACATTTTAATTTTTACTTATAACTTGATTATCCAAACTATCTTTCATCCTTGCTTGAATCCATTCTGTCTCCTAACTCCCACCTTACGTTGGTTTTGGTCCATCTATCACTAACCAGGTACTATAAACACACACCACATACTCTGTGGACCTCATTTCAATCATCTAAAATTCAGATGAAAAAATTCAGGTCCCTTGATTATCATGATGTCACATGAATTTAGCCAATCAGTGCATCCTCTTCTACTCTGTAGACCTAGTACAACATACAGGGTGAATTTTTCCTCATTTGTGGGCATGCAGCTGCACATTTTTGTATGTGAATACTAAATGCAGGAATACACCATGTGACTTCTCTCACTAACGCATCCTCTAAACATCAGGAAATCACTGAAGCTCTGACTTCAGACGTCAGACCAGGTTTTTGCATATCCAAGGCGCGAATGTTTTCTGCTTCCTCAAAAAAGGAACACACCAGCTTTGCAGTTCACCACACCCCAGTTTGAGACCAACACACTCATGGGTGCTAAAGATGAAGCAAGTTTACTCACAATTTGAACATTGTGGGGGCTGGGCCGAAAAATGACGAGTGAAGGAAAATAATAATTCCTGCGCTGCATGCCAAAAAACTGCACAGAGCTAGATTGCAGCCCGTGTTGTGCGTGTGTGTGTGTGTGTGTGTGTGTGTGTGTGTGTGTGTGTGTGTGTGTGTGTGTGTGTGTGTGTACATAGTCACACTGACGTGTTGTGTGAGGAGCTGATCCAGTAATGAGACAGAGGGTTGTTCATGTCCAGATTTTTGATTTCGGAGAACTTCTCATCCCAGACAGAGTTTTCTTTGGAGAACAGAAAGCTGAGGAACTAAAACAGAAATCGGCAAAGTTTTAACAAACACACACTTATTATACACAGCCTGTGTGGCGCTTTATTCCTTTAGACAATATTCTCATCCTCAAACAGTTTTTCTTCCTGAGCAATGGCCTAAGCCTAAGCCTACTCAGTGCCAAGAGGCTTAATATGACAACATCACTTTAAACTAAGAGCTGTATGTATCAGAGTCTGTTAAAACATGCAGACAGATCGGAGTACCTCGCTGACAGTGAACTCGGGATCGTTGGTTTTCCTCATCATGTCATCAATGAAGGTGGTCATTAGTTCTCTGACCTTGTTCAGATCACTGGCCCAAAGCTCCTGAAGGGATAATGCGACAAAATATGAAAAACATTACAGAAAACTCTGGACTGTGTTTCTGTATCACAGAAATGTCCCTTTAAAAAGTTAGAGGTTTTAAACAATGTCAGTCCAAAATGCCAGAAATCATCTTTCGTAAATAATCATAAAAACAAAGTAACTTTATGCAGCACTTTTCCAGAAAAGTGCAACACATTTTGGACCAAAAAGAAATAAAACAAGTAAAAAAAGAGCAGGTAAACAACTTGATATGTTCTTGGACTTCATACATTAGTATCAATCGTACCTTTTGCTGGTAGATGAGGAACCTCTGGAAGTCATGAAGCATAACTGCTGACGCATCTGGTTTATCTGTGTTACTGCGAAATTAAAGCGAACAAACAAACACGTAAACCAAACTGACCTATTTTCAAAGTGACTAAAAAGGCTGCTTTATAATCACGTCATACTTCATAGAGACTGAATCTCTAACTAAGACAAAAACAAAAGCTCACCCCAGAATAAAAGCACAGGATTCCTTTTTGAACTCGTCAAGTATCTGTGTTGAAAAATAACAGTAATGAAAATGCTGGAGAAGTGCAATGACGTACATTCAGTTTCACTTTGAATAAATTCAGACTCACCTCTTTCTGGTCAAACATTATATGGTTGTAAAATTTATGAAAATGCTCAAAGTCAAGCTTGTCTTTTTTTGCTCTGATTTCCTGTAAAAGAGGAAAACACCAGCGCTGACTGAGACAACAAGATCACAGAAATACAGAATTTTTAAGTGCTTCATTTCCCTAAAATCTGTAAAAAGCTTTCATTGTTGTACTGGCTGATTTAGGTCAGTTTTAACTGGATTATGTGTTTAAGCCCAGCTGTAAAACTTCAGCATCTACTGTATCTACTGTTTTTCATCATGTTTTAAACGACATTATGTAACAAACATCAACAGCAAAAACACAGCATGATAATAAAATAGATGGAGGATAGCTTTCTTGCGCAAAATTTCATAAGCTTCTGCTGACGTGGCTTTTACGTAAGATGACATAAAGCATGATTGTCCAAACAACAAAAATGAATGAAGCAGAGCATGGAAATGATGAAGACATCTCTGCTCTGTACAGTCCACCTTCATCAGCTCAGGCTTATAGAGGGACTTCTTTTGGCATAATCTGATGAGATATTTCATAAACCCACAGACAGCTAAGGTCAGGCAGGGTCTGTGTTCAAACAGCTGACAGGAAATAACACGGGCAATACAAACTTCTAAGGTCTCAATACTGACTGCTGTCTTCTTGTTATTTCACATACAATACCTTAAAGTTGAAAAAAAAGTTTTATGGGTTCGATTAAAAGAAATGTCTAATGTTAAAAGTAGATCTGATCAGATTTTAAAGCTTATATTCTATATAACATTGACAAATGCATAAGGAAAGTACCTGAAATTTGTCTTTGAGCACTCGGGTGCCTGGGGCCTTGTAGTTGAGCAAAGGGAGCAGAGCCTTGAGCTCCTTTATGGAGATACTGGAAAGAAAAATAAAAGGCTGATTAGATGTACATCCCTAAAAAAGTTGGGATGAAACAGCAATTGATTGCTCAAAAATCACTTAAACCCTACACTTAGTTGAAAGAGAGTGAGGACAACAGCAAAACCATCTTTTCAATCAGCAATTTACAGTGTCTCAAAGTGTGAACTGTGAAAGTGAAGTTGTACTACACTTAATGTTGGACTTCTTGAGTGTGTTTTATTTTCACACATACTGTTAAATATATATATATATAAAGTATAATTGAAGTAGTCAGTATGAAAAGTTTCTACATTTGCATGGAAAAGAAAAAATTCACTATCCTTTGAAAGTAAAATGTACTCATTTCAAAACTCTTTCACATCATATAATACAAAAGGTAACAAACAAAGGTGTTCTGATTTGTGGACAGTGTGTGAAAGAATAACCAGATCATACCTGTTGGTTTTCGTCTGATTAACAGAGTACATCTGCTTCCTCAGCCAACTGGAGGGAAAAAACACACAAACATCATCAGAGGGATGAGTGTCGACCACCTTTAACTTTACAGATATATGAGTGCCTGTTCCCATGAGTAAAATTGTAAGTAAACACTGTTATGACCTATATTAAGTTATGATGGTTCCTCATGTCAAAGAGACAAAAGCGCTTGAAGTGAATGCGTTAGAAAGAAATATTCATGAGGTGCAGTTAGCGTAGTGGTTTAGGCGTGCATGCTATGTGTGAAAGCTGCAGTCTTCTTCTTAGCAGCTTACTATCAACCACGACTATATGCTGTATGTTTCCCCTCCAATTACTGCTCTGCACATTTGTGTGTGTGTGTGTGTCTGTGTGGACTTTCCTACCTATCCAAGAGGGGAACTTGGCGCAATAACGCTTTCACCAAGAGGGGACCACATAGCCAACAGGGGACATTTTTTAGGTCCCCTCTTGGTCATGCTATAAATCTTGCCAAAATCATGTGTAACACACTCTGGTGAAGTTTTCAGAAGTCCACTGATGGTCAGGTAAGCTTTTGTGTGTGTGTGTGTGTGTGTGTGTGTGTGTGTGTGTGTGTGTGTGTGTGTAACTCTCTATAAGAACTGGAGTAGGCGCAGCCAGTGTCTCTTGTCTTAGCAGCTCCAGTCCTACCAGCCATTTTTGTGCCTCTTCCACAGAATCAGCTGGCAATATGGAAATAAAACCGATGTTAATACAGCACTAAACAAATATTTCGCTGTGTGGGATGATAAGCAGGTTTCAGTAGTACTCTGTCATAGAGCTCTTTGTTTGACATTCAATACATTACTCATGGCAAAAGGTGTTTGAAAATGTTTTTATTGCACTTATTAAAGGAAGAAATGCAGTATTTTTACACAGAGTTACATATTGAAGGTTTAAAATGAATTATACCTGGTTTTAGTTCTTAGCAGTACTTATTATTCGTATTGGTGTATGTAACATTAAATTAGGCATTACTACGGTGAAAAAAAACATTATTCTTAAAGTAAAATCCTGTATTGAGTCTGATTATAGCACACAGTTTAAAACACATAAACATCTCACCTCCCAGACTTAGGGTGTTGAGGACAAACTGTGATCCATAGAAGATTGTGAAACAGGAATTTTCCTCGTGTTTGTCTTTGCCATCTTTAAAACGATCAAAGTCCTTCGAGTTCCTCCCTGGACGAACTTCTCTGATCTCAAACAGGTCCACTGAAACCGCACACAAACATTGTATTTGTGGGTTAATCTTTGAAGGAGGTGGCAGGCTGTTTGGAAATCATTGTCTTTGGCACCTGTTGTCACAGTCGTGCAATAAAGGTAAAAAATCTGATTTTTTTTAAAATTCTTTTTACACCTTTAACTCTTACAGTGTCACAGTTTAAGTAACGGCAGTAACAGCAGGCTTGTCGCAACGCTCTGTGACGCTGGCGAACAAACAAATCAAAAATGCACACTACTCTAAGCTTCTACAAATGTGATGTAACACTGGCCCAAAGACTTTGCAACTGCACCACTAACCCTTGTCATGATGCAATGTTATGAGCGAAATGAGTTCCTCTGAATTCAATGACAGTGCATGCTGCACAATGTCTCCAGTGCAGCTGCAACCAAAGGGCACTGGAAGGTTCGCCTGCATTTGTGGAGCAGGTTATTGTTAAAGTAGATAGATGGTAAAATAAGAGGAGTGGTGGCTTCAGGTAAAATAGGAAAAAGTCAAAGTCAAGTCACAGCCAGAGTGTCAAAAGTCAGAGTCTGAAACAAAGCCTGGAAGTTGTCAACATCCCTGAACTCATCATCTCTTCAATGAATGTAAAAACTAATACAATACACTGGACAAGAAAACCACAAAAGTAGCTTTAGTTAAATCTTATTTCAGGGAATTTGTGTTGCAAAACTTAATTCTAATGATATAAAAAAGTTATGAAAAACAATAAACAATAGATTATGGGGCAGCAGTAGCTCAGGAGGTAGACCGGTCGTCCAATAACTGGAAGGTTGGCGGTTCAATCCCCCCCTGTCCCAAGTCAATCTGTTGTGTCCTTGTGCAAGACACTTAACCCATCTTTCTCCCAGTGTGTGTCCTCCATCCACTGGTGTATGATAGTGAGTGTAGTGTGGTGGTGGTTGGAGAGGCCCTAAGTACAAAGTAGCAGCCACGTCTCTGTCAGTCTACCCCAGGGCAGCTGTGACTACTAAGGTAGTTTACCACCACCAGGGTGTGACTGTGTGAGCAAATGAATGATGTATCCAATGTAAAGCGCTTTGAGGGTCTCTGATAAAGCGCTATAAAATCTGATGCATTATTATTATAAAATAAAAAATTGTTGACATAGCAGTTATTTCACCACAGTTATACTCACAGACACCATCAGTCTTGTCTGCGGTGCGTGTCCAAGCCACCTGCCGGGTCTCCATGATGACCTGCACAGTGAGCCTTTCGGCCTTCTGCCGAAACACCGTCATGACCACGCCCATCTCCAGGTCCCGTTTGATCAGAATCTTCTTGTACTCCGTCATCTCGCCCTGCTGGCCCCAACCGGACATCTCTGCAGCTAAGACAGGGCAGGAGAGACATTCAGACTCAAGGCCAAATACATTGGGGGATTGCTCAGCTTTAGTAACCACTACACCGGTGCAAACACAGATGACAAGTATCTACTCAATAAAACAATGACACATGGAAGGGTTAAAGGTAACATGAAAGACTACATCAGCCTACACGAGGTTAATGGTATCAACACAAACAGCTAAATACAGGGTTTCAAGTAACTTTCTCTATCTAACTGTGTTAATGGACAGAGTGAGCTAAACTAAGAGATCTCTGCACAAATCTCAACTCCCAGTGATAAGAATGAGAACAGTGAAAAATCATTTCCAAAATCTGTTTGTAAAATTGTGTCCAAATTGTGTAGTGTTCATTCTGTTTACAGAGACAAGTCAGACTAAACGTGATTTGACATGGCTTTAAAATGACATGCGTCATAGAAGGACAGCCAGAAGCAGGAGTCCCTCACACTGAGTGAAAACAAACATGAAATATAGCTGCAAAGGAGGTACTCAGATTTAATGAAAAAAAAAAAAGATCTGTTTTAGATGAAAGCAACAGAAATTGTCTGAAGTAGCTGATCATTACAGGTTGAGTCACCTACAAGAGTTATACTGATACGTGTCAGATTTCATGTGCAGTTTTTTGTGTGTTTGGACCAGTCATGCAGTCATCTAAAAAAAGACCTTTATCTTGTTGTAGCTGTCACCAAAAACTTGCAGGCTCTATTTTTTGGTATGTGTGCAGCTTTAGGTTTAGTCAGAGGTCAGATATGCCTTTAACTGACACAACTCTTAATCACACTGCTCTCTCTTATTCCTTAGTTTTAGTTTAACTCTGCTAGAGGCTTGAAATAAAGGTTGAATTTGGAGTTGCAGGTCAAGACAAAAACAGAGCAAATATTTTAGGAACAAAACATCTCGAACTTACACGTCCGTCACGTCAACTTGTACTTATGTCTTTCTAAAGAAATGCCACAAAGAGCTGTTTCAAAGAGCTGTTGCTTGACCTTTCTCACCATGTCTGAGTTCTTTTTTAGACATCCAGAGGAAGCTGACATCAAAACTGCTCAGATGAGTGGGTGGAAGTTTCACACGTCAAATTTACAGCAAGTCTTTTTTTCCTTTTTTTTTTTTACAGCCTTCCTCTTTCTCCAACACATTCATGCAGTTTATTAATTTGAAAAAAGTTTTAAATAATCAATAAAGACCACCTGTCAGTCAGGTCACCTGTCCCTGTCATGCTAAACTGTTAGCCTTAATATCATCAGATATCAGTTTGTATTCAAAAGCTGTTGTGAGGAACTTTCTGTTTGTGTAAATTTTGGCACTGCTTTGAGCAATGATGCTGTTTTTATCACCATGCTGATTCATCCTTTACACATGTCGGTAGTATTATCTGGTACCTATCCCCCCACAGTAGTTGAGTCATTAAATTTTACCCTTAAGAAATTGTTTAGTTGTTACTTATGGCCTTGTTTGCCTTTTTCAGTCCATAAAGAGATTTAAGTACCAATTGCAATCTGTTTCACAACTGGACAGAAACACCTTACAGGGGCTTTAAAATGGTATTAATGACAAAAATACAATCTGATAACCCTACACTTATTAGAGCTGTATGAATACTTTGTGTCTCCTCCCCAAGAAACAACAGCAGCGTTAAAAACTTCTGCATGTCTTCTCTGCATACTTCCTTTCTAATTCAGTCCATTTCTTTCACCTCTAGCCTCTTCTCTTGGTTTAATTAGTCACTCTATAGTGTTAAAAATCGATATTTTTCATTGCATACGTGCCAAATTACAGCGCTGCCTGTTAACTGTCAAAACACAAGATGCATTTTTCCTTCATTTAGGTTAAAATAATTGACCTTCACTTTAAATGGTTTCTTAAAAAAACGTTGAACAAAGCAGCAGAATAAACCAGCGTGACTTACGACGCCATGTGTAGCCTACACACTTTCAGAGTCAAGAGTGTGTTTAACTGGTACGACAGCTTTATCTTATATTTTACTGGCAAATGTCCAGAGATATATATTTATAAATATGTTTAAAAAAACAGTCTCAAAGGAAGAGTTCTGCTAAAAGAATTAGAGACAAAACCACAGCAGATATAAAGCCAACAAGCTGATGCAAAACGCTACGCAGCCCCCAGGGTCTTGTTCTTGTTGATTTCCTGTAATCGTTGCAAAGTATGTCATTTTGTATTCTTAAGTTTAAGACAGTGCTTAGACGGTCATTAAAAAACAAAAGAAGGTCAAACTAAAAATTACCGCAGCTTCATCAACCTGATGCAACATATGCCATATATTAAACATCCTGGGTGTTTCAATCTTCACTGCATGTATACATTTAAGAGCTAAAAAGTATCCTTGAAAGTACTCAATGAAATAATGATGAACAGAAAATATCACATAGCCTTCTCTGTGTTTTTTTGCTGCTGAAGCCTTTGGTCATCCTGTATGAAGGGACTGTCCCTCCTGAAGCAACTGTGTCCTTATTTAGACTAACAAATTCCTTCATAGTCATACAGACGCTCATACAAAGCTTATACAGTGATGTAACTCAAGGTGTTACAGAGCAATGTGTCATGTCAAGTATGCAACAAGATACCCACACAGCTACATAAGTAGCTGTGTTAAACAAGAATGTGACAATGATCAACTCTGACGATTGTTATCATATTTGCTCGGCCTTTGGTATAAATGTAATTCCATCCACGCAAGACCTTCAATGTATATGCAAAAATACAGGCACCTACAAACTATCTACTTCAACCAAAGGAGATCAGATTTCCTTTTTTTCAATAATGTAAATTCACCAGGCAACGGATAGAATTACAAATGCAAAAAAGGCAGAAAAAATAATCTTTGATCAAATAAGTGTGTAAAGGTCAGATGATACTGTGGTGAAGAGAAAAGAAAGTGGCCTAAAAAAAAAAAAAAAAGGTCAACATGTGCTGGGACGTGGAGATGTAACCAGTTCTTTACCAGCATGGTTTTCTTATATTTGCAAGCCAACACTTAACAACCTAACTTTCATTAGCTTGCTTATTTACTGTGTAAGTTAGTTTAGCTCCCTGCAAAGCTGTTCCCTTGGAAGGTGGGAGCTCAAAGGAAATGTGTGAGTATGCAGAGAAAAACCACAGCTTTTCTGAAATCCACTCAGAGTTGATTTGCTTTTTACTGATGCAAAGTTGTGCTGTTCAACAAACTACCAGTGTTGCTGCTCCAGCCATGAATCATAAACCAGATGGGGCGGCACAGGTCACGCAGGTAACCAGGAACATAGATGCTTGTCAGATATCACAGAGAGACCCATTTTGAGACAATTCTTGCATCAATAGTGAAATAACAAAATCAATATAGCATTACTTGAGAGTTCATGCATTTTAAAAAAAAAAGTCTATTAATTAATTATTTATTGTATTATTGGAAATTTACATACATGTTTACCAATGTTACTGAAACTATTACTGATGCCTCCTCACCTCATGATCTTCAGAAGCAGAGCAGACCATCAGCAACAGGCCTGATAAATTCTCTGTTAGCAGTTGTAGTGCCTGAAACTGCTGTGAGGGGGTGGGTGGGTGACAGACTGGATGGTTGAAAGCAAAGTCTTGTTTTACTTTTTCCATAGCAAATTCTCACATTGTGTGACACATGACACTGTTATAAGACAACTAGATGAGAATTTTGTCTGAAAAAACACTGCTTTCACGTGCACAAGACATGAGATGAGAGGTGTCACTTTGTCTGCAGGGGGCATAAAAATTGATACAAACAAATGCGGTTTTTGTAGATGTACACGAACAACAAATTTTTGAGCATCCGATATGTTGGAAAACCAACACAGATAGCAAAATGGGACTAAAACAATCCTGCTTTTTACCCAGGATCATTACAGTCACAGAAACAATGACACCTGGCGAGAAAGTAGCGTTGTAGATAGCAATGTTGAATCAACAGTGATCATTAATATTCTCATTATAACTGACAGTGTTTTCAGTTCATTGATTTATGATTGAGAGGGAAATGATAATGTGTCTGAAAGGTCATAGTTCATTGGTGAAGCATTATTTCATAGACTAGTAACCCATGGAAGATCATAAAATAAAAAAGAGGTGGAAGTATTAAATACATGATAATGTATACTTTTGTGGAAACTTAACTTGCTCCTGAGGCTTTTAAACAGGAGGGTTTACTCCACTAATCATGACTTTATTTTCTGTTTCCTGACGCTCTGATCAATCAAACGAGAGCGGGAGCAGCGTCTGAAACCTCTGGTCTCAACAAACTGAGGAGATGTGGAAGTGCTAAAAACTGCAGTTGAGTGCCTGCTTGAAGAGGCTCTAGAAACCACATCCACGGTAAATCAAAAAAGCCAATTTTTTAAGTCCGGTTCAAAAAACGGGTCGTGGTCCAAGTAGATCAGGTCCAGTCATGTGCCTGCTATGTGGGGAGTGTTTTAGTATTTTTATTTGTTTATTTTGGATCCCCTCTTTTGAAATATATATAGATTGGCAAATGAGTGCCACACCTGCCTTGACTGATAGGCAGGCACACACTAGTTAAAAGGTCGACCAAAAGTTATGCTGAGTCAGCATTACCAGTATTGTGGCTTCAAAGTTTTACTCCACAAACAAATAGTTGGTGTCACTGACGCAATGTCCATTTATTACACAGTCTATGGTCTGACATGTCTTTCCCATGACACTGCAGAAACGTCTGCTATGCTCCAGACTTGGTGGCAACAGCTGAAATCAATGATAATAATAATTTGCATAAAATAAAATTTAAACAAATATTCTTACTGAAATGAACTGACAATTTTTTTTCTCCTTTGAGGATGTTTGTGTATTATTAACTTCAAAGATAATGCCTGATATTTATGAGCAATTACATTAAAGCACAGAAAGCAGGACATAATATTTCATTGTGTGTTTAGATTATTGAAGGCACTTGCTGTGATTGCACAAAAGTTTGAAGAACGTTGATATGTCACTTTCAGTCAAGAATTAAATCTTTTAATATGAACTAATACTGGTGCCAATTAATTTTCAGATTCTGACATTAATAGAATGATATAAACATCAACCGTTCAACGTTGGTGAAACATTACGTCAATCGGGTCTTGTTTGGGGTTGTGTAGGGCCCAGTTTGATGTTCTGTGAGTAATGCGCTTGCTTGGTATTACCAACTACAATGATATGAATCCTGAAATTAGGGCTGGGGAATATTGGAAAAAGTTTATCACAACATATATATATTTTTTTCATATCAGTCGATATCGATATATATCACGATATAAAAAAAATCACTTGTCAATCGTAAATGTTCCCTGTTACTCTTAAATAAGATTTAACAGTGCTTATTGGTAGCATGTCTTTTGCAATACAACAAGCTACTGCATATGTGAGGTCTTTGTGTCACTTTGACTTTTGTTGTAAGGCGTTGAGCTAGAGAAAGCAGATTGAATGGTCGCAGCAACTCCCCTTTTTATTGGCTATTTGTATAGTCTACCAAAACATGGCAGAACGACGGCTATCGAAAAGCATATTGACCATGTTTCATATCGATATCGAGGGAAATTAATTTTTGATATACTGTATATCATTATCGTTCTATCGCCCATCCCTACCTTAAATTTTATTTTTTGCTGTAATCTATGTGCAATAAATAATTGGAAAGGATGTAGTCACCAAGGAATTCAACTTCCCAAAACTCTTATTAATGATGAAATGAAACAACATTACCATGATTGTTATTTCCACTGCAATCTCAGGTATGTAACAAAAACACCACAAGGTTTTCATGAGGCCGTGTTGGTGAAAGCTCTTGCTGAAGTTCAATAGTTTGTAATGAAATTTTGGCTTTTCTATATTCTGACATTGCAAAAACTTCTTGGTATGAACATACTAATAGGAGAGTTTACAGCCTGTCACAGGTGTTTAAACTCTTACCTAGTTTTTATCTAGTGACCTAGAAACAGTATTACTGTTAATTTTTAGCTTAACATGCAAACCTTTCTTGAGAGTTCCTGGTTTTGCAAGTAGTAAGATATGCAATCTGTCAAAGACTTAAAATATGACTATTTCAGGGGGTTCATCTGTCAAGACAGTTTTTAATAGAAGACGGGACAACATGCAGCCCTAACATCATTTCATTAACCCCCATTTAAAAGAAAAACATCTCAGTAGAGCTATATGATTATCAAAGTTAGTCAACTGATCCAAAAAAATAAAATTATAGTCACAACAGTAGGCTTGTTGCCTCTCATAAATAGCAATATTTTCTCTAAGCTGTCAGAGGATGAGTCTTGAGGGGATAAAATAAAAGTGTGAGGTTTTAGATCTCATGTTTTTATGGACTGAGCTGTCTCTGTGTGATACCACTTTTTGTTTAAACCATAGTTCTTAGGTCGCTGACAGATGTTGACCCAGAGATGCATGTAGTCCACATCACCATGTTGAATGTTTATTTTGATACACCTGCACTGTTCGTGATAATCTACGATGCTGAGCGACTTCGCGATGGTAATTGTCTCTTTCATGGTAGATGGGAATAGTAAAGTGTAAATGTGTACAGCAGGTGGACTGAAGACGCCCGGTTAGATCATCTGCAGCCCAGCAGATCTGCCACAGCGACAGAAAAAAGCGGATTTCCCCTCAGCTTCTGGATCAACTCAGTAACCCCGCAGTCAACAAAACACGAATTTACAGACATTTTCAGAAAAGTTTCAGACTTACCTTAAACGTGATATCGACTCCTTTCCACCCCGTAAGCCTGTTTTCTATCTGCTCATGTTTGTAAGTACTGAAATGAAGCTGTGGAGGGTGTAGAGTGTTGACAAAAAGGCCAGCCGCAAAACGGTCAGTTCCTCTATTTGTGTGTACAAGGAAGTAAAAGTTAACTTGCATTATATGCATGGTCTACATGTTATAAAAAAAGTCCGGAAGCAGGGACGGTATCTATGCAAACTAGCCTGTGCAACATTGAGTGTGGCGAGGGGGACTTTTAACTGTCAGGAAGTTATTCAAAACTAAAACCTACAAGCCGCTTTATGTAAAGCTGAGAGGAGCCTGAGGACGGACGGAGAGCTGCAACACTTGGACCCATCATCAGCCTCATAGAGCAGCTGTGCCGTTAGACTGTGGAGGCTGAGATCATATCCTGATACTTCATTTTAAGTACTGTTAAATTCTGTAGTTGCTTATTTAACTTCCAGTAAATTATAAACTAGTGAGCCAACCGGAATTATAGTAAAGATTTGTTATTACAGCAAAAGAATAAGGATTTGGCAGGGGCAGAGCCAGGGGTGGCCAGAGGTGGCCATGGCCCTCCTCAAAATCTGTTTGCCAGCCCCTGAAGTCTTTAGTATTATTTTTTTTTAGGATGGTAAGGGAAGGTCCCACCCTCCTTTGCCTCTGGTTGGCTAGAAGTGCTGGGCTCCGATTGGTTATTCCTCATGACTGTGAAATGTCATCGTCTGTCGGGTTAGGGTTAGCAGATTCAGAAGTGCGATTATGTTCTGTAGTGTTCTGTCCGATGTACAGAGCCGACAGCCCGCGTTTACCATGAGCGTGTGATGACGTTTCTACCTTTTCTAGCCAATCAGAGGCGAAGGAGGCGGGGCTTTACCCTACCACCCTACAAAAAAATATATCGCTGCCAGCCCAGTGTCCTCCTCTAAATCCATAAAAGTTGTTGGTTATTTGCTTTACCGGGGCAGTGCTTCAGTATCTGTTTGAGTAGTGTTGCAGCCAAAGATGGTATTAATAAATCCAGCAGGTGGTTTTTATATGTGTTGAGCCAATTTATGTAGCAGCCATTACTGAGCTGGTGGCTAAGCTTCTGCTGCAGTCTGTGACAGCAGTACAGATTTATTAGCAAAATACTCAGCTGCTGATGAAAACACCTTAATAACTCCAGTGTTTCCCTCTATAGTGTATTTTGGCGCATTGACGTCATAGATTAATATATATATTTACTTCTTTACTTCTTTATCTCATATCATATACTCAGGCTGACATGCTGCGCCGTGCCTCTGAACTACTCGGCGTACCACTGATTCTGGTGTTCTGGTCGCGAGCACTTGCTGCTCATACTATGCCAGTTTTGTTTAAGATGGTTTTGACAGCCCAGGGTTCTGGCTCCTTTCCATCATGTTTGCCCCCATAAAACAATAAAAAAATGGTCATTGAGTACCAAACTATGCCCGAACATTCAGCACCCCAATTGAAAGTATCTATGTATGTAGCCACACATTCTCTTGTGGATGCTAGCTTAAGCGTCTCTCCCAGCCCCGAAAACAGCTCCTGCCTACCGCAGGAAGAATGGAGAAAGGAGTTAACAAATCTGCTGCATATGTGTAGCACTTTGTGATGGATCATGCTAGATACAATAGTCAATCAACAACTGCATTTAATTGTCACAGGCTAGTTTTATCAGAGGACACACTCCTGTAATCATGCACTATTTGCAACCATATTCAGGCCATAATGATTACACGCAGCTTCTTGATTTTACATGCTAGCTAGATAAGGTATGTTATACAAATAATAAATGAGAAATGCAGGGGCGCGGGGATGGCTGAGCGGGTTAGCCGCCCCCATGCATTGAAAATGCTCCCTGGGTAACAAACAGATAAAGAACAAATGTATAAATTAAGTCTACAATATATTCCTAAATCGTATTATTTCTTTATGTTGTACCAATAGCATTCATTTCACACTTCTACCTGATTTGTTATCAGAAAAATTGAGGATTGTCATTTGAGAAAAAGCATGCACTTTGTTCTTTCTCATAATTTTGGTAGTTCAATAAGTTGCAGCTCTTTTTTCATCCATACATGGACGCATGAGCACATATCTAGAGGCGCTGCTCGTCAACAGGTAAGCTAGGCAACTGTTAAGTGCCCCAGGCCAGTGTGGGGTCCGGGACACTGACAAACTCTGAGCACAACAGAGGCTTAAAATATGCAAAGTCAACAACGACCATAAGAGACCTCCTCAAGGAGGCTCCGCTTAACACCTGACAGCAGTCCGTCCTGTTGCACTGTGAGGTGTGAGCTGCTCTTTTTTCTGTGCTTAAGTTTCTGTATGAAAACTATTCAATAAAAAATGAAGAGGAATTATCCATCTGAGAGTGAAGAGAGGCAGAGGAAAAAGGAGGAAGAGGAAAAAAGACATCAAGGCAATGGTAGGTAGATCAAATTCATATTACTGTATTTGATAGAAGAGAGGGACACTTAAATAACATTACTTCTGCTAGTATTACATTTCGACATTTTAAGGAATAGCACATTTTTCTATTCAGAGAATTTAAAAAAGAACTTTTGATGATACATTTATATATTTCTCTACAAATCTTTTAAATTGTGGGGATTATAAGTTGTTATGCAGCCCTGAATTCAAAGGACATTGTTGTTAGATTGGCATCAAGGTATACTAAATTATAAATCATACCCTCAGAATGCACTGAGTAGTGTTTATTTTGAAGGTACAGCATAAAGAAATTGAAATATTTAGTCATTTCCAGCAGTAAGATGTTGGACACAAACACTGCAGATCTATCAATGCATTTTCCTTTTGCATCCCACATCAGCCACAGTGTATTTCTCCTTTATACTCCAGCCACAGGTGCCAGGTATCAGAAGCAGATGAGGGAGTCAAGGGTAACCTCAGAGAGAAAACAATTGATCATTTTACCAAATACAGTGTTAAATAATTCTTTAGAGAGACAACAGACATCAATTGCTTCCAGTAGTGTCTGTGAAAAAGTAAATAACTAAGTCATGTGTTTGTTTCTTTCTTCTTTTGTCTGTCATGGTCTTAGTGAAGGTTTGCTTTGTAGGCCCATGAATCTATCATCAGAGTGTCTGTTGTCAGACTTTGGTGTGCACATACTATGCTGCATTTTTTGACCTTTAGGTGGGGTTCAGTGTATGAGCAGCAGAGGACCAGCCCCCCTGCTGACAGCCTCGCCTGTTCGTGCGCTTATGGATGAACAGATCAACATTAAAGGATGCTTTCTGATGCCTAACTGTCCTGTCACTGTGTGTGCACAGATGCACAGTGAAGATGGTGACCTCTGGGAGTCATTCGCCCACTATGTTACAAAAGCGGATGGGACTGTCAACTGTAAGTGATGGTTAAACTTCCACAAGACAACTTTTTTCCATTTGTTGATGTTTTACTTTTATTGGAAGACACTTGATTACCTTCTCCTCTCTCTGGTCCACTAACTCCTGAACAGTGACTCAGGATCACTCAGTTGGGGGTTCTTATTTGGGCTGTGAGCCAATGGGGCTGTTTGTGAATCTGCAGCCAGCTCCTGGAGAAAGAGAAGGATTGAGGTAGGGTTGATGGCCAGTTTACAGAGTGCTAAAACCCTGCACTTGAAAGAAAACATCATATGAAAAAGGTTACCTGTCATCGTTTCTTGACTGAAATCTGCTTTGGTCCATGAGGCTGAGGAAAAGAAATGTTGAGACTCCATATGAGGTGCTTCTGTCCTTACTGGAGGGCCATGTGTCACCGAGCAAAGGTCAAAGCAGTGAGCTTGCTGCAGTAACCACTGAGCGCTGGTACATGGCACCAGGTGTGAAGAGAATAGACGTTCGTCAGGATGGAATTGTAGGAACTTTATTTTTACCACCTGGTGAGCATAAAATATGTCAATCCACCTTCACGTTACAAGACTGTTAAGTGAAGAGTTTGTACCTTGAATGATACTTGTACTGATGCCTTGCAGGTCCTGGCCCTTTTCCTGCCATGTTAGACCTGTGGGGATTGGGTGGAGGACTGGTGGAGTATCGCTCAGCCCTGTTGGCATCCAAGGGCTATGCTAGCCTGTCCCTAGCTTACTTTAATCACCAGGACTTGCCTGGTCCGAAAAAACGGTTAAATGTGGGTGATTCTTATTGCAAGGTAAGAAGAGATGCAGAATTTATCCTGTTGTCCTTGTATCATGTGCACCTCTCACTTTAAAAAAATTAAACTGTGGTTTAGTTGTTTTTTAAAACTCTAAAAAAACATTGTGTGTTAACAGGCTGCTTTCCAACTTCTACAAGATCATCATCAGGTCTGTGCAGACAGAGTTGGGATCATCGGGCTCTCCTTTGGAGTCTTACTTGCTCTTCGAATAGCAACCCGAACTGGTCTCAGAGTATGTCAGTATGGTCTCTCTGTTGGCCATTTTAAGTCTACAGAATGATCAAAATCACAGCTGCTTGTGAGAAAAGAGAGTTTACAAATTCTTGTATGAAGTTTGATAAGGTAACACTGACTGCAGATTCTTCCTTTTAGCCATCCTGTCTGATTTGTGTAAACGGCCCAGTGGGAAGCTCCTTCAAGATCCCGGATGATGATGATGAAGATGGCTCATCTGAAGAGACAGAAGGGTGAGTGGTCATTAAAGATGAGACATACTTTCAAGCACATATTTCAGTCACAAAGTTCAGCATTACATGACACAACCTCCAAAAAGGCTGAGAACCTGAAAAAAAGGTCCAATAAAAACACAGAGTTTGATGGTTTAAAAATCATGAACAGCAACACATTACAAGAAAGTTGCAATAGTGACAACAACACACTGAAAAAGTTGTGTATTGGCAAAAAGAGTTGCTTGGAGGAACATCTTCCAACTGGTGAGGTTGATTTGCAACAACTTAGTAGTATGACCAGGGTACAGAAAGGGCTGATGGGAGGAAGTTGAACACTGTGTGAACTGCAAAACTGCCTAGAATTTAAGGTAGTAGAAGAGTCCTGCTGGTAATCTGACCTGCCTATAGCCTTGACTTGTCAACTTTTAAAAACATTTGGCATTGCATAATTTGTTTTTCCAGTTCATGAAAGAAAACACAATAAAAAAAAACCTGTGTTAAGTCGCTGAAATCAACTATCAGCCATAGGACAATAGTTCACTCCAAACTCCAAAACCTATCCTTGTAGTTCCTAAATGTTTACAGTGTTGTTAAAGGAAAAGGTGATACAACACAATAGTTAACATGTCTCAAATTTGTTGGTCTCAAATTTAAAGTCAGCTAACATAAAAAAAATAAAAAAAAACAGTAAAAAAAAAAAAAAAAAAAATAAATATATATATATATATATATATATATATATATATATATATATATATATTTTAACTGTGACGTAAAAATGCCAAAATAGCTGATATCTGGTGTAAAATTCATTCAGAACTTTACCCTGATATTCACTGAAAAATAGGAAATTGCTCAGCTGTTTTTAAAACTTTTGTTAACACTTGTTGAAAGCAATAATGTTGACTTTGTCTACCATTTTTTCTAGTGATCAGGAATATTGGACATATGATGACCTAGGACACGTTACTTTCAAGAATGTCTTCTTTCCTGCCCACATGTGTCCTGAGAGCAAAGCAAAGGTGATGTGTGGGACCTAACAGCTTCTCTGGCTCCACAAATAAAGACTGCACTCACACACATGCTCTCAAACACAAATGTTCATGTTCAGATGTTATTAAGAGGAAGTTTGCATTTTGTGCTTTGCAGATAGAAGACCTTGCATGTCCACTGATGTATGTATTGGGTGAAGATGACCTTAGCTCTCCGAGTAAAGAGAACGCAGACCTGGTAAATTATTTTGACTGGGCTTTAAATAGCAACACATTTGTTAGCTGTATTAAGAAGCTTCATTCAGTATTTCTAAACTATACTTTTTATAGTGTCTAACTTTTGCAAATCTTGATAACTGAGTTTGCAACTATAACCAATCATTAAGCTTGACTTTAATTCACTTATGTTCACGTTCTTATTGCACATTCATCGGGTGTTCTTGTTGATAAAACTCCAATTCATTCTTCATCAGATTGAAGAGGCCCTGAACGCTGCTGGTAAATCTCATCTGTTTACCCGCCTATCATACCCGGGTGCTGGTCACCTGATTGAACCTCCTTATGCACCAAATGCAAGACAGCCACTATACATGGTCAAACCAAAGAAATGTGAGTCCTATCTTGTTACATTTTTAATCTAAGGTTGCTCACTGTAATGTGGAATATGTGCTGATGTTCAAAGTGATGGAAAATGTTTGCTCTTTCTCCTGCAGCCTTTGTCATATGGGGAGGTCACCATGCACTCCACGCCGCTGCACAAGCAGATTCCTGGAGAAAGATGCAAGCTTTTATGGAAAGCCATTTAAGATAGTTGAAGTCCAAACCCCTTCAACCTGGATGTGGTTTTCTGTTGACCTCTTTGCCTTTAGGACTCCATTAACAGCACTGCAAAAACAAAAAACAATTAAAATATTGCAAAAATGTATAAAAAAATTGGAAAGAGGAACTAAAAACTTGACACTGAACACCACCAGAAGGGATCAAAGTTGAACTCAGGAGAATTTAGAGGAACATGTGCTGTTAGATATACATGTTTAATGTTGCTTTGGATGATTTTTTCTGCCAGTTAACAGGGAAACTGCTGGCTAACTGCTGACCTTTAGTGTTTCTTGTGCAAACTTGCCTTCTTGTGTGTGTGTGTGTGTGTGTGTGTGTGTGTGTGTGTGTGTGTGTGTGTGTGTGTGTGTGTGTGTGTGTGTGTGTGTATGTGTGTGTGTATTCCCTGTAGCTTCTATGCTTTATTTGATTTTTTTACTCCAGTAATTTTGTGTTCAACATGCTGATTTTGAGTCTAGCTTTTATTTTTCCTTTTGGTTAATTAAATGTATTCCTCTTTAAAGCTGCACATAGGTCCTCTGCTTTTTTTTTAACTATCATATGTAACAAAGTGCACACATGCACTAAATCTTATTATAAACTGATCAGTTTTTCAGCTATCTAAACCCTATTATTCCATTATTACTTATCAATAAAAGCTCATTTACAACCACAGATCTCAGATGGACGGCTCATGTGACTTGACATTGTTAGTTTTTCTTTAAATGGAAACCACCAACAGTTTGAAACTTGACATTTAATCGGTGCCAACAGTTATTCATATCCAATCATGCCAGCCGATAGATTCAGGTCTTTCCTGTTCAGATTTTTGTCACACCTACAGCAGATGCACAGGAGTGTTTCATTGTTTACTCGGTGATGTCTGAAGGTCCAGAAAAACATCAAAATTTACGTAGCATCTGTGGCTGTGGTGACAATGAGGCAGTTTGCACTGAAGAGGATGGTGTCATGTGTCACTATACACAAGATGTTGGAATACTTACAATATATCAAAAGTAAGAGTTTCCTTTACCTTTTGTTTGCCAAATAGATTTGTGTTTAAGTTGAGCTTTGAAATCTTTATTAACATTACACTGCTTTTACCCTTAAAGTGTACGTATACCAATTACAGGGCAGCAAAAGAGTCTGGCATTATAATATTTAGTCACCATCTCCCTTAGTTGAGGTTACGTTTCTTATGTAAGCCAAGAGGGTGTGTACCCATTACTTGTGTCAGAGTCTTTGTCCAGTCCTCATTATTGATACTTTCATTTTTCATCAACAGGGTGGCACTAAAAACTTTGCATCCACTGGTTGAGTCTTTTTGGAGGCTAATGTTATTGTTAGCTTACCTACAGTGACATTATTAAAGTCAGACTCAAGTCTGTGTCATGGACTTGAGTACTAAGTTACAATTCACAGATCAATTTGGGTTAATGACTTGCTATTGTGTCTGTGTGTGTTCCACCCGTGGCTCAGGGGGAAGCAACATAAGGGAGTTAAGACCAGTCAAGCAAATAATATTGTTTATCGATAACAAAAGATCTTGTCAAACAAAGGAAAAAGGTGTCAGGCTGTGCTGCGTGTACTGGCTGCAGGTAGAGAGAGACTGGGAGGAGCTTCAGGTGAGCCTTTTATACTCCAGCCACAGGTGCCAGGGATCAGCAGCAGATAAAGGAGTCAAGGGTAACCTCAGAGGGAAAACAATTGATCATTTTGCCAATAACAGTGTGAAATAATTCTTTAGGGAGACAACAGACATCAATTGCTTCCAGTAGGTGTGTCTGTGGAAAAGTAAATAACTAAGTCATGTGTTTCTTTCTTCTTGTGTCTGTCATGGTCTTAGTGAAGGTTTGCTTTGTAGGCCCATGAATCTATCATCAGTGTCTGTTGTTAGCCTTTGGTGTGCACATACTATGCTGTATTTTTTGACCTTTAGGTGGGGTTCAGTGTATGAGCAGCAGAGGACCAGCCCCCCTGCTGACAGCCTCGCCTGTTCGTGCCCTTATGGATGAACAGATCAACATTAAAGGATGCTTTCTGACGCCTAACTGTCCTGTCACTGTGTGTGCACAGATGCACAGTGAAGATGGTGACCTCTGGGAGTCATTCGCCCACTATGTTACAAAAGCGGATGGGACTGTCAACTGTAAGTGATGGTTAAACTTCCACAAGACAACTTTTTTCCATTTGTTGATGTTTTACTTTTATTGGAAGGCACCTGGTAACCTTCTCCTCTCTCTGGTCCGCTAACTCCTTGAACAGTGACTCAAGATCACTCAGTTGGGGGTTCTTATTTGGGCTATGAGCCAATGGGGCTGTTTGTGAATCTGCAGCCAGCTCCTGGAGAAAGAGAAGGATTGAGGTAGGGTTGATGGCCAGTTTTCAGACTGCTAGAACCCTGCATTTATAAGAAAACATCATATGAAAAAGCTTACCTGTCATCATTTCTTGACTGAAATCTGCTTTGGTCCATGAGGCTGAGGAAAAGAAATGTTGAGACTCCATATGAGGTGCTTCTGTCCTTACTGGAGGGCCATGTGTCACTGAGCAAAGGTCAAAGCAGTGAGCTTGCTGCAGTAACCACTGAGCGCTGGTACATGGCACCAGGTGTGAAGAGAATAGACGTTCGTCAGGATGGAATTGTAGGAACTTTGTTTTTACCACCTGGTGAGCATAAAATGTGTCAATCCACCTTCACATTACAAGACTGTTATGTCAAGAGTTTGTACCTTGAATGATACTTGTACTGATGCCTTGCAGGTCCTGGCCCTTTTCCTGCCATGTTAGACCTGTGGGGATTGGGTGGAGGACTGGTGGAGTATCGCTCAGCCCTGTTGGCATCCAAGGGCTATGCTAGCCTGTCGCTAGCTTACTTTAATCACCAGGACTTGCCTGGTCCGAAAAAACGGTTAAATGTGGGTGATTCTTATTGCAAGGTAAGAAGAGATGCAGAATTTATCTTGTTGGCCTTGCATCATGTGCACCTCTCACTTTAAAAAAATTAAACTGTAGTTTAGTTGTTTCTTAAAACTCTAAAAAAATGTTGTGTATTAACAGGCTGCTTTCCAACTTCTACAAGATCATCATCAGGTCTGTGCAGACAGGGTTGGGATCATCGGGCTCTCCTTTGGAGTCTTACTTGCTCTTCGAATAGCGACCCGAACTGGTCTCAGAGTATGTCAGTATGGTCTCTCTGTTGGCCATTTTAAGTCTACAGAATGATCAAAATCACAGCTGCTTGTGAGAAAAGAGAGTTTACAAATTCTTGTATGAAGTTTGATAAGGTAACACTGACTGCAGATTCTTCTTTTTAGCCATCCTGTCTGATTTGTGTAAACGGCCCAGTGGGAAGCTCCTTCAAGATCCCAGATGATGATGATGATGATGATGGCTCATCTGAAGAGACAGAAGGGTGAGTGGTCATTAAAGATGAAACATACTTTCAAGCACATGTTACAATCACAAAGTTCAGCATTACATGGCACAACCTCGCAAAAGGCTGAGACCCTGTTAAAAAGGTCCATTAAAAACACAGAGTTTGATGGTTTAAAAATCATGAACAGTAACACATTACAAGAAAGTTGCAATAGGGACAACAACACTGAAAAAGTTGTGTATTGGCAAAAAGAGTTGCTTGGAGGAACATCTTCCAACTGGTGAGGTTGATTTGCAGCTACTTAGTAATGTGACCAGGGTACAGAAAGGGCTGATGGGAGGAAGTTGAACACTATGTGAACTGCAAAACTGCCTAGAATTTAAGGATTTCATGAAGAGATTCAAGGAATCCAGAGAATTCTCTGAACTAAGTGGAAAGAGTCAAAGACCAATACTGGATAGTCATGATCTTCAGACTCTAAGGCTGCAGTGCAAAGAAAACAGCCATAAACCCGATGTTTGAGTGGCACCGCTGACTTCTTTGAGTCCAGTCCATGACCATTCAAGTCATTGACTTAGGTAAAGTGGGAAAATGTCCTTATATGACCAAAACTTGGATTCTCTGTGATTCTGTGGCCTGAGTTTTGGAGCAACGCATGTTGCCATCCAGACAATGCCTTGAAGAGAAGACCTTGGAGCAAGACAATAACAAACCACAGTCTGCGTGTTTTATGACAGTGTCGCTTGTCCCTTGATCTTGGTCTCAAATTTAAAGTCAGCTAACATTTAAATAATAAAAAAAAACAAAAACAAACTGTGACATAAAAATGCCAAAATAGCTGATATCTGGTGTAAAATTCATTCAGAACTTTACCCTGATATTCGCTGAAAAATAGGAAATTGGTCAGCTATTTTTAAAAACTTTTGTTAACACTTGTTGAAAGCAATAATGTTGACTTTGTCTACCCTTTTTTTATAGTGATCAGGAATATTGGACATATGATGACCTAGGACACGTTACTTTCAAGAATGTCTTCTTTCCTGCCCACGTGTCCTGAGAGCAAAGCAAAGGTGATGTGTGGGACCTAACTGCTTCTCTGGCTCCACAAATAAAGACTGCACTCACACAAATGCTCTCAAACACAAATGTTCATGTTCAGATGTCAGTAAGAGGAAGTTTGCATCTTGTGCTTTACAGATAGAAGACCTTGCATGTCCGCTGATGTACATATTGGGTGAAGATGACCTTAACTCTCCGAGTAAAGAGAACGCAGACCTGGTAAATTATTTTGACTGGGCTTTAAATAGCAATATATTTATTGTCTATATTGAGAGGCTTCATTTAGTATTTCTAAACTATATGTTGTGCGGCAGGCTTGTAGTGAGGACCCAGAAGCAGACACTGAGACAGAGCTCAACGTAAAACGATTTTAATGTCCAAAAACAGAAAGGGATAGATAAGGGAACAAAGGAAGTCCGGTTGGTTGGCTGGTAGGCTGGCTGTCGTGTGGGCTGGAGACACTGCAGGAGAAACCAGAGGAGACAGGAGTTAAGGGACATGCAACGAGTCACAAGGAGTAAAGTTCAGAAAGTTATACCACGAGGTTTTGGCCAGGAGACGCGTCTTTACCGCTGGGCAGGGTAGACAATACTCAGGCGCTGAGACTGAGGGCTGCAGGCTTCTTAAAGTCCCTTGATTGGAGACGAGTAGCAGGTGTGTCGTCTCACTCAGCCTCAGCGCCGGGGGAGGGGAGGAAGCCCTGGAAAAGAGCACAGCCAGAACAGGCAGATAGGGAAAAACAAGAAGTCCAGCCAAAATAACACAGGATGAGGAGGCGTCTCACCACAGTACCCCCCTTAACGAACGCCTCTTGGCGTTCTGCCGGGCTTGTTGGGGTGGGCAGCGTAGAACTCCTCCAGGAGTTGGTGGTCCAGGATGAGGGAGCGGGAGATCCAGGAACGTTCCTCTGGACCGTAACCCTCCCAGTCCACGAGGTATTGGAAGCCTCGCCCCCGAGGCCGCACGTCCAGGATTTTCCTTACAGTGAAGGCAGGGTGGTCATCAATCAATCGGGGGGGTGGAGGGGCGACGGAAGGAGGGCTCAGGGTGCATGAGGCAACAGGTTTTAACAAGGAGACATGGAATGTGGGATGAATTTTGAGAGATGAGGGAAGTTTTAATCTCACCGCTGAAGGGTTGATGATTTTCTGGATAGGGAAGGGACCAATGAAGCGGGGGGACAGCTTGCGGGACTCGGTCTGCAGGGGAAGGTCACGAGACGATAACCAGACCATCTGACCAGGACGATAGTCTGGTGCTGGAGAGCGGTGAACGTCAGCCAGGCGTTTGTTGCGCTCGGCCGTGCGGGTGAGTGCGGCCCTGGCCGATCTCCACACCTCCCGTAGACGCCCAATGTGCTCCCTCACCGACGGGACGGCCACAGGTTGCTCCTGTTCGGGAAACAGGGGGGCTGGTACCCAAAACAGCACATGAATGGGGACATACCTGTGGCTGAAGAGGTGAGGGAGTTATGGGCGTATTGGATCCACGGGAGGTGCGTACTCCAGGACGCTGGATGATGGGCCGCCACACACCGCAGGGCCGACTCGAGGTTCTGATTAGCCCGCTCCGTCTGGCCATTGGTCTGTGGGTGGTAACCCGAGGAGAGGCTAGCTGCTGCGCCCACTGCCTGGCAGAAAGCTCTCCAGACCTGAGAGGAAAACTGAGGACCACGATCTGACACGATGTCACGGGGAATCCCATGTAATTGAAATACATGAGTGACTAGGAGGTTAGCAGTTTGGAAGGCAGATGGGAGCTTGGGTAAAGGGACATAGTGAACAAATTTGGAGAATCTGTCAATGATGGTGAGTATGACAGTGTTACCTTCAGAGGGAGGGAGACCAGTGACGAAATCTAAGGCTATGTGGGACCAGGGGCGTGAAGGCACAGGCAGAGGACGCAGCAAGCCAGCCGGAGGTTGGTGGGAGGCTTTGCTTCGGGCACAGACGGAGCAGGCAGCAACAAACGCCCGTACGTCCCGGACCATCCCCGGCCACCAGAACCGCTGCTGGAGGAATTGGAGGGTGCGTTGAAACCCGGGGTGGCAGGTGAGCTTGGAGGAGTGCCCCCACTGTAGGACCTGAGAGCGTGCGACCTCAGGGACGAACTTTCTGTCCGGCGGGCCGGTTCCGGGGTCTGGGTGGTTCCGGAGGGCCTGGTCCACGATAGTATCGATCTCCCAGGTGGCGGAGCCGACGACACAGGAGGCGGGGAGGATGGTGTCTGGTTCACTGGGGTCCGGAGTATCCAAGGCGTGGATCCGAGAGAGGGCGTCTGGTTTGAGGTTGCGGGAGCCGGGACGATAGGAGAGGGTGAAATTGAATCTGCTGAGAAAAAGGGACCAGCGGGCTTGCCTGGGGTTGAGGCGACGAGCGGAGCGGAGGTATTGCAGGTTCTTGTGGTCTGTCCAGATTAGAAACGGTTGGGAAGCTCCTTCCAGCCAGTGTCTCCATTCTTGCAGTGCCCACACGACAGCCAGTAATTCACGGTTTCCCACGTCGTAATTTTGTTCCGTGGCTGAGAGTTTCCGGGAGAAAAAGGCGCAAGGATGAAGCTTCTGGGTCTGAGAGTCCCTCTGTGAAAGGACGGCCCCTACTCCAGAGTCCGAAGCGTCGACCTCCACCATGAACTGAAGCGAGGGATCTGGATGTTTGAGCACCGGGGCTGAGATGAAGAGGGATTTGAGGTGATGGAAGGTGGCGTCTGCTTCGGGGGTCCAGGAGAATGGAACCTTTAGGGATGTGAGCCGGGTGAGGGGAACTGCGACCTTACTGTAGTTCTTAATGAACCGTCGATAGAAATTAGCGAAGCCGAGGAATCGCTGGAGGTCTTTGCGGGAGGAGGGGGTGGGCCAGTCACGGACAGCGCAGACTTTTTCTGGGTCTGGGCGTAGCTCCCCCTGGGCGATGATGTAACCAAGGAAACTGACGGAGGAGGCGTGGAACTCGCACTTTTCGGGCTTCACGAAAAGGCGGTTTTCGAGGAGGCGCTGAAGGATGAGTCGGACGTGCTGCTGGTGTTCCTCCAGGTTTCGGGAGAAGATCAGAATATCATCCAAGTAGACGAAGGCGAACTTGTTAATCATGTCGCGGAGGACATCATTAATGAGGGTCTGGAACACAGCAGGAGCGTTGGTGAGGCCAAAGGGCATGACCAGGTATTCGAAGTGGCCCATGGGTGTGTTAAAGGCCGTCTTCCACTCGTCCCCCTCCCGGATGCGAACCAGGTGATAGGCATTCCGGAGGTCCAGTTTTGAGAAGATGGTGGCTTGACAGAGAGGTTCGAAGGAGGGATCAATGAGTGGTAGGGGATATTTGTTTTTAATGGTGATATCATTTAATCCACGGAAGTCAATGCAGGGACGGAGAGAGGAATCTTTTTCTTCACGAAGAAAAAACCAGCAGCCAGGGGAGAAGATGAGGGTCGGATGAGTCCTGAGGTCAGGGAGTCTTGAATATAGTCCTCCATGGCCTCTCGTTCGGGCCGAGAGAGGTTGTACAGTCTACTACTGGGAAGAGGGGCTCCAGGGAGCAGGTCTATGGCGCAGTCATAGGGGCGATGAGGAGGAAGAATGAGAGACTGCTCCTTACTGAATACCATTGCTAGGTCATGGTAGACGGGGGGAACCGAGGTGAGAGATGGCGGTGGAGATGCTGACTTCTGTCGGTGGAGGTGAGGATTGGCGGAGCGGAGGCAGTGGGAGTGACAGTGAGGGCTCCAGGCGGAGATTGAAGATGTGGACCAGTTAATCTGAGGGTTGTGGATTTGTAGCCAAGGGAGTCCCAGCACCAGGGGAGAGTGAGGAGATGGAAGCAGGAACAGCCGGATGTCCTCCCGATGATTTCCGGAGAGGATGAGGGTGAGAGGAACTGTGCAGTGGGTGATGGAGGCTATAACTCTGCCATCGAGAGCGGTGACCTTACGGGGAGCCGGGAGTTCCTCCAGGGGGAGCTGAAGCCGCGCTGCCAGTCCAGCATGAATGAAGTTATCATCCGCCCCAGAGTCAATAAGGGTTTGGAGGGAAGTGGACTCCTTTCCCCACAGGAGACAAGCAGGTACCAGGATGCGTTTGGGAGAGCTGGCAACGGAGGAGGTATGGCTCATCAGTGTGCCCTCAGTCACGGATGAGCCTGGCCGTTTAACTTGTTTGGGCAGTTGATTAGAAAGTGACCGGCCTGGCCACAATAGATGCACAGCCTCTTCTCTACCCTCCTTCTCCGTTCATCCGGGTGAAGCTTAGTGTGGCCGATCTGCATGGGTTCACCTGCAGATGGCGCCGGATCCGGGAAGACTGAGGGCTGCAGAGGAGACCCGCTGACCGCAACAGAGGAAGGGGAGTCTATTCTAGGGACTAAGGAATGGTTTTTCTTCTCCCTCCGTCTCTCCCTGAGGCGATTATCAATTCTAATAGCTAGTGCTATTAGCTCCTCCAGGGAGGAGGGCTCATCACGAGTCGCTAGCTCGTCCTTCAATTGTTCAGAGAGACCCCGAGTGAATATCCCCTTTAACTCGAGGTCCCCCCACCCACTCTCGGCCGCCACAGTACGGAACTCAATGGAGTACTCCGCCACTGACCGAGAGCTCTGGGTGAGGGAAAATAGCCGCTTGGTACACTCGGGGCCCTCGACAGGAAAATCAAATATTCTCGGGAGCTCTTCGGAAAAGCGGGCATAAGAAGTGAACAGAGGTGAGTCCCTATCCCAGACGGCTGTAGCCCACTTAGCGGCCCTACCTCTTAACAGATTAATGGTGTAAGCGACCTTAGCTCGATCTGAGGGGTAGCTAATGGGCTGTTGGTCAAATACTAAGGCGCAACGAAGCAGGAAACCTCTGCAGCCCCCAATCTCCCCAGCATACGGCTCAGGAGGAGGGACATAGGGCTCTTTGAGGGTAGCGGGTGGTGGAGGAGGTGAAGAGGGGACTGTACTCACAGAGGGGGGGAATCCTGGTTGTTGTGGTGGAGGCCGAGGGAGTAGTTGCTCCGCCAGCTGCGACATTTGAATGGAGAGGCCATGAAGCGACTGATGGAGACTCTGGAGCATCTCCTCATGTTGGCCAATCCGCGTGCCGAGCTTCTGGACGGCTAGCTGAACTCGGTCTGGGTCTGTTGGGTCCATTCTCCTGGCCTGAGTATTCTGTTGTGCGGCAGGCTTGTAGTGAGGACCCAGAAGCAGACACTGAGACAGGTTGGTTGGCTGGTAGGCTGGCTGTCGTGTGGGCTGGAGACACTGCAGGAGAAACCAGAGGAGACAGGAGTTAAGGGACATGCAACGAGTCACAAGGAGTAAAGTTCAGAAAGTTATACCACGAGGTTTTGGCCAGGAGACGCGTCTTTACCGCTGGGCAGGGTAGACAATACTCAGGCGCTGAGACTGAGGGCTGCAGGCTTCTTAAAGTCCCTTGATTGGAGACGAGTAGCAGGTGTGTCGTCTCACTCAGCCTCAGCGCCGGGGGAGGGGAGGAAGCCCTGGAAAAGAGCACAGCCAGAACAGGCAGATAGGGAAAAACAAGAAGTCCAGCCAAAATAACACAGGATGAGGAGGCGTCTCACCACACTATACTTTTTATAGTGTCTAACTTTTGCAAATCTTGATAACTGAGTTTGCAAATATAACCAATCGTTGTGCTTGACTTTAATACACTTGTGTTCACGTTCTTATTGCACATTCATCGGGTGTTCTTGCTGATAAAACTCCAATTCATTCTTCATCAGATTGAAGAGGCCCTGAACGCTGCTGGTAAATCTCATCTGTTTACCCGCCTATCATACCCGGGTGCTGGTCACCTGATTGAACCTCCTTATGCACCAAATGCAAGGCAGCCACTATACATGGTCAAACCAAAGAAATGTGAGTCCTATCTTGTTACATTTTTAAATCTAAAGCTGCTCACTGTAACGTGAAATATGTGCTGATGTTCAAAATGATGGAAATGTTTATTCTTTCTCCTGCAGCCTTTGTTATGTGTGGAGGTCACCATGCACTCCACGCCGCTGCACAAGCAGATTCCTGGAGAAAGATGCAAGCTTTTATGGAAAGCCATTTAAGATAGTTGAAGTCCAAACCCCTTCAACCTGGCTGTGGTTTTCTGTTGACCTCTTTGCCTTTAGGACTCCATTAACAGCACTGCAAAAACAAAAAACAATTAAACTATTGCAAAAATGTATAAAAAATAGGAAAGAGGAACTACAAACTTGACTCTGAACACCACCAGAAGGGATCAAAGTTTTAACTCAGGAGAATTTAGAGGAACATGTGCTGTTAGATGTGTGTGTTCAATGTTGCTTTGTATGATTTTTTTTTCTGCCAGTTAACAGTAAAACTGCTGGCTCTAAGGTGCAGGTCTGACTTGTGTCATCAAATTTGTATAAAATTTTACTAGCCAGATTCGGGTGTTTGAGGTAAAGACACTGTGTATCTGTGGTGAAAGAATGTGAAAATACATTAAAGAAACAAGATAATTTTTTTCCTACTTTTTTGGAAAAATCCTTCAAGATCCTGCGAGAAACTTTCTCTTTAAGATAATTGTGGCAAAGCTGTGACTTACCTGTTAATGTATAAGCAGTATGTTTTATAGGAGAGAGACCTGCACTCTTACTTGGAAACGTAAGAACTTTGTTAGACCACAACATTTTTTCCTTTTGGTCCTCATCCTATGACTGCTTTAGCGGGTCCAAAGATTGCTCTAAATCAGGGGTGGGCAATCATGTGCCATGGAGGGCCGAGAGGCTGCAGGTTTTCTTTCCAACCCAAACTCCACCAGGTGATTTCACTGATTACCTTACCTCCAAGCAGAGAGCAGGGACTAATCAGTGAAATCACCTGGTGGAGTTTTGGGTTGGAAAGAAAACCTGCAGCCTCTCAGCCCTCCATGGCACATGATTGCCCACCCCTGCTCTGAATCCTTAGTGTAACAGTTTAGTGTAATCCCCTTTATTTCTGCTAGATGTTTTAAGGCCCTGCCGGTGTTTAACAATATCACAGTTTCACATAATATAACATTTTGCAATAACAATAACAAATTCATGGTGAGATATTTTAAAAGAAGCAATGTAGCTCTAAGTAGCTCGTTGTCTGGCCATTCATAATGAGATGTACTCTGCTTGCTTGAATCTCACAGTATATAACTTCAGGGTTTGGCTCTTTGCAAGGAGCCATAATTCGATTTTGACGTGCCTGTGATGAGAATTTATTCTTGAGCTCCAACGTGTTGACTAACCCTCCAAATCTTTCACTGTCAACCAGAGAACAGATCTTTTAATATCATGAGCTCTGGCACTGTTATGGAGGAATGAGTCTGTGGATGCTCCCGTTAGAGTCCTTCGTAAAAGTAGAACTCGTAAAACTCACTGGGAGTTTTTACCTTATGGTTAGCATCAATATATTATTATTAACAGTTGTCATAAAAAGCATTTTCTCTCATGCTGGGGGGCGTCTAATGTTAGGTTATCTCATGGGTCAAATACTGTCTAATTATGAGGATAAAACAAACATAAATGTTAAGAGAAGTCTCAACATGTTCATGGAGCTATGTCTCTCCTGTTCCTGTGGAAACAGCCATAAAGATCATAGATCAGCTTTGCATGTGTGACCTGCTTTAGTAATTTGCATAATAGCAGAACAGACGGACTAGTGAGGGTGAATGCAGCTTTTTAGTTTCACACCTGTTTTTATCACGAGTCACAACTTTCTCACTGCAGATTAAAGCTACTGATGTGCATGATCAAATAAAGAGAAGCTAAACTCATTACAAAAGTCCCCTCCAGTCAGACAAACAAGAGCAAGCAGGACTTAAATCCTCTCAACAGTGTAGTATTTATTCACCACACAAACACACATACACATACTGACAGACACATCAGTCTTCTTCTGATTTCTTCTTTGTTCAATTACAAGAAGAAGGAATGAACATTAAAAAACATACATGTCTTAATCGGTTCAGCTGGACCCTAGATATTTACCAAAATGGCTCTTGGATTCAAATCGAGAACTGTGTTTGGGTCTTTGGTGGGTGCTTTTTCTGTCACTAGGGGTCCTGTGTGTGTGTGTGTGTGTGTTCAACATATTGATACCATCATCAATTTGGGAAAAGGAGCTGCAAGGTGAGCACATGCACTGCACTCTGATGCTCTACCTATTCACCCTGAACCTTGAAGCAGACCGATTTATTTTACTACAAGCATATAGTGTTACAATGTTGAATGTCTGAATTTAACCTTGGCAAAGCTTCACAACATCAGATGCACTAATGTTGGTTTTATCCTCAAACTTGTTTTGTGGCTGAAGAGCTTTGTCAGACTTGAGCTGGGAATCATTCAAAGCTACCTTTTAGGCATCTGAGAGTAGCAAGATTAGTCAAACAGGTCTAAATGTGCCCTCATATAAAGCAGAACTGGCTCATGTTTAAACAGTGATTTTAATTTGTCAAGTAAAGTACTTTGAGAATGTAATTAAGTTTTTCTGTTTTTTTTTTTTAAGTTTCCAGCCCAAGATTTTAAGAATTAAAAATGAACAGACATCTGCTGGGCCCACTTGTCTTGACCCCTTCAGTATTACTCTATCTATTCTTCACATTTCAATAAATAACAAGAAAGTCAGTGACTTGAAATGGTTTTTACTTCACAGGAGTGCCTGAAGTAACCCTGACAAGGTACTTCTGTCATCAAGAGCAAAGGGTGGCTATTTTAAAGAAACTAGAATATAAAACATGTTTTCGGTTATTTCACACTTTTTTTATAAGTACAAAATTCTACATGTGTTCATTCATAGTTTTAATGCCTTCAGTAATAATCTACAATGTAAATAGTCATATAAAAAAATAAAGAAAAGACATTGAATGAGAAGGTGTGTCCAAACTTTTGGCCTGTACTGTATTTATAGAGTATTCTGAGATTAGTGTACCCGAGGAACATTGAAACTTTTAGGGTCCATTTATCACATTGTGCAAATTTTCTGAATAACTATGAAGCATCTCAGTCACTTATGAAGAATAATGCCATTAGTCAAACACTTGTAAGTATGCACTAGCTCACAAAACAGCTAGAAAGACACTGTCTGTAAGGGTCATGTCTCTCAAATTGAGATTTTTTACAACAGTGTAGAGATAAAAATGTACGATTAGTTTTCATTCTGAAATTAACACTCACATATGAAATGACAGACATACTTCCTTTTAAAACTTTGTAGAAGAGGAACCACTTCTCTACTGAACTATGACCAAAAGGAAACTTGTCTCACATGATAATATTAGCCACTAAAGCCTGCAGCTTGTTATGGGAAAGACAGTAAAATTTTCATATTTTCAAGACAACTTTCATCCCAGCTGCAGTCAGTGGTTTTGCGTTTCCCTTTGCATGGGGTGGGCTCAGCTTTAGAAATTAAATAAAGAGTCAGAAGTTTAGAGGTCTAAACTGCTGAAGGGGCTCCTCTGCCTCTCCACAATCATCAACTCACTATAGCTTTTGTCTATTCGCAGTGCACCCATGACTTTCATTTAAATGTGTTCAGCCTTACTCCCAATGTGTGTTTGGGGTAGATGAGAGTAACTTCAGTCTTATGTGTCATTAAAAGCTGCAGCAGTTCGTCCCAGCAGACCTGAAAACAGGATAATCTGATGATGCCGTGTATACTGGACATAACTCTGAAAGTCAGGCATGAAGTTTTTCTAGCTGTTTCAGACCTTGTCAGAGTCAGCTGAAGTCTCAGCACAGTAAAACTGTTTTTGTCAGTCCCCAAGTGGTCGTCACTACTCCTGGTCTTCCTCAGGCTCCCTCAGGCCCTGACTGTGCAGAGTCTTCCCCGTCATTTCCATTATGGCCTGGGCCTCTGGATCCATATCCAGAACGCTCCTCTTGCCGCCCCCCTCCTCCCCCTGAAACACAGAGTAAAAAGAAATGCCACTAGGGTTTTATTTTTCATACATTTCAGTAAAACAGACTGTAATGTAGACCTATATGACTGCCACACAGTAAAATACGTCTACATTAAAGATTCAGAATGTGATTAATGACCAAACTGTAACTGTGGCTAGGATAGGGGAAATACTGCTTAATAAAACAATGTTTTAAGGACTTTAAACAACCAACTATCTCATGAAGCAGTAGCCTCGTGGAGAGTAAAACCTGCACCCAGCTTTAGCTCAGCATCACCATTTATTAGTATATCGCACAGCTTTTCAAGTGCGCTCTGACACAATTCCCACAATCATCAGTAAACTGTAACTGTCACACATAAATGTCACACACTTCAGTTCAATCTTCAGAAATGAGTCATGTCGTATGTGGTTCATGATTTCATCTTCTCCTATTGAAAATCTTTGAAAAATGTCATTTCTCCGATAGCATCAAAAGACAATTTCCTTAATTTATCTGGACAAGTTGAGACAAGACGGACAGAAAGGGGGATTCAGTCTCTACAATGTGATATCCCTAACTTAAACAAATCTATAAGAAAGCACGAGTAGACATCTATTTCACAGGAAAGATAACAAAACTAAACTTAGTAAGCCCAACCCAACGATCATGTTGACATTGCTTCACATTTACAAAGCTGTCTGCGATGTCTGCAGATATTATCTTTGGGATTTTTTAAGAGGTCAGACATTGGCTGATGGTGAATTTTACAAAATGCATTCATTGGTCTCATTAAACGGTCCGTGTCTAATGTAGATAATCCAAATTTTGTTTGGAAATTATTGAACATGTTTTATACCAATAGCAACTATCTTTCAACACAGAGACACAATCTGTTGTTCCTGATCTGTTTCAGCCGAAAGGTGAAATCACAGGTTATTTTGTATTAACCTGTATTCTGTAAGTCTGACACTGTATGAGCACATGTCTGACATGCAGTCATAGTCATGGGTTAGAAAAGTGTGTTTTTAAACCCAGTAATACCAAACAAAAACTGAGCTCTTATCTTTTAGGTGAAGAGGTCCAGAACTAGTAACTTTGTCATCTTTTGACATTTGTTTCATTTAAAGCGCATGGCTTTTTAATTGTGGAAAAAGAGAAAACAAATTCTAAGAAGTTAAAGGGATAATTTGCTGTTTATCTTTAACCACCAAACTTAACTTAATCTGGGCAACGCTGCGACTGAGTAGTTTTTTTTTTTTTTTTGCCCCATTTGAGGACATTTCCTGCAGGTGTTTATGGATAATGAAGGCACATAAATCTATACACAACAACTGAAGCAATCTGACAGTCATAACACAGTTCTCAGACCTCAGTGAGTTTCTCGTTTTACAGTTTTAGGAAGTGTTTTAATCTCTGATACACGTTTTCTTTTCCAACTAAATTCTTAGTAAAATTGGTCAGGGGTTTTTTATATTTCTACGTAATATGGGTGTGAGCATGTACAGGATTGATTTAAAAAAACAATATAGCATGCAGAACTGTCACCCTGTATAACCCCACTATCCACACATTGACAATTGATTTGTGCCACAACCCATCCAGCCTTTGTTCCCCCTGTGTTTCCTGTCTGCCTTTATTGTGCCAGCCCTGCAGCTAAAAGTCAACAACTACATGGTCAAACAATAGAAGAGAAACTAATCGTCTGACCTCTTCTGGTTCTGGAGGTTTTCCAACTGCCCAAACTTCCATGAAGTCCAGCGTGAAGTCCTCCTCACCAGAGAGCTGAGGGCTGCCGTAGGTGGTGCACTTGGGCCGCGCACGGCTGTGACCACGGCCAAAATCACAGTCTAACCACAGGCCGAAGTATCCGTGCTGACCGCCCATGCCCTGATGGCACAACAAAGAAACATACGGATCAGATATGCAAGGGGCAGATGCAAGTGTCTAGATTATTTTTTAGAAATTCCATCATAAAACTAAAAATGTTGCTAAAAAATTAGCCACCAATGCTTAAATTGAAATTAAAAACTTATCATCAAAGCAGCCAAAACAAAGTTTTTCAGTGAAAGTGTGAAAGTGAAGCTGTAGATGATAATGAGGTCATACCAGTGATCCTCATCAGAAGAGATTAAAGTTTTCTGAACGGTTTTTAAAGCTGCATGAACTGAGTTGTCATGTCACCAAATCAGAATTACAAGAAAACTAAAACCCTTACTATCATCAATTGTTTTATCCTATATCATGGTTAAGGTTCCTAACTTTCCCATATTAGACAGGACATCATGAACTAAATGTGTCCCCCTAAATTCACAGTACATCTCTATGATCACCGGACAAAATTTGGCAAACCTTTCATCAGATCTGAACCAGCCAGTGGCCAAACATGAACTGATAATGTCCATCAACCCCCTCCCTGCGCCCTGAGGGTGGTGGGATGATATATTGGTTCAGTGGGTGAGTGACGTCTTGCGCTATGGAGTTTGCTTGGCAAGTGATGGACCTCTTATTTCATTCTGTGAAGATTGGTGTGGGGGGACCGATGATTTTAGCGATGATGTGTTTGTGATGCGTGTGAGTTTGGCCCGGTTGGTGACAGAAAGCATATCAAAGAAACACGTGGAACAGTACATGTGCTGACTTTTTTCTCTCTTGCCATAAAAAAAGTGAAAAAAGTTAACACTGGTGCTTACTGATGCTTGCATGGGTGCTCTTAAACCAATGTCCAAATGGGAAAACTCTTGTTAAAATAAAGGGTATTTATTACAGCAAATCCAAATCAACCATATCACTGTTTCTCCACCATGCCACCAATGCCACAATCAAAGAAAATGTGCTCTTCCCAATCAGCGACACCTGTCACTGTTTTTTTTCTTCCCAGATATGACTGTGAGCTCACTCCCTGGTGTCACTTCCCATTACAATAGAAGTTACCAGAATAAACAATTAAACAACACAAACAAGCAAACATCAAAACAAATACTTAACCTGGCTCCTACAGTACAGAAGGGTGGTTTGAATGATGGTTGATATATATTGCATCTTTATTTCTTACTTATTTGATTGTTCTGTTTTGTTTTGTTTTGTTTTTCTGATGCTGGAGGAATTTTTATTTCTTTGAAGGAAACTTCACAAAAAAATCAATAAAGTCTATCTAAGCTATTCTAACCTAAGAGAGGTTTATTGATATAACTTGCATAATAAAACCGACAACTCCAGATTTCCTGCTTTGATATTACAAAAACAAATCATACCCACATTGCTGTGTCACTGAGCTCCTGACAAAACATTTTGTACCTTATCTGATGCTGAAAAACTTGGCAACCCTGATCAAGTGTCAAGTGATACAAATATTTAGGAGCTAACACTTTACCCATACGAGCCCAACCATACTGACCCTCAGCAGGCTGGTTAAATAAGGAGACTCTTCCTATGATATGTCTGATCTGCTTTGTTAAAGCAGCTTAAACTCACCAGTCCATTGGGCATGGTCTGCTGGTTCTGGTTAAGGTACATGAAGTGTTGGTTGTATCCTGTAGCTGTGTAAACTCTCAGTGTGGGAAACACCGTGAACAGGAAGCATCTGGAGTTGCCTGCACACACACACACACACACACACAAACACACACATTTACAAATGATGAAGATCTGACAGAAGAGTCAAGTGACTATTATTCAAAAAATAAATATTACTTCCTCAATGTGTCATTTTACTCCATTAAACTTGATCTGACCTTCACCAAAATAAAGGTACTGTTCTACCACAGGAATAAACTCTTTCCTGTGTGGGTTTGAAGACTCTATGTGGTCTAAACTCTTTAAATTCCTCTTGTACATGTTTTATTTCGATTCTGAAATATAAAATTACATGTGGTTCAATTACTGTTTAAGTTTAATTTAGTGAATCGGCTGCTTGTACCAGTTAGCTGCTACTACACATGGATTTGTACATGAAAGATTTCATAAAATTTGTGACAGTCATGATAGACATGAAACTGCTGTGTGATCAAACCGAGCAGGTCTCTTACCCTGGAACTGAGGTTTGACCTCCCAGGTGTGGGAGGCGAAGCCCCCAAATACGTGTCCCTTTGTGTCTTTCAAGAGTAGCAGTGTGGGCCCACGCTTTATCAGGCCAGCCACCATCCTGGTGAAGCTCTCACCGTGCAGCCTTGTGGAAAAGACAAGCCTCCAGGGGGCACTGTAGCTGTCTGGCAACTAAAGATAAAGACAGAGTTAGTGTGGTAGAAAATTTGATATGCAAAACATTTCAAAAGGAAGACTTTCTCAGCTGCTCCTCCATCTTAAGGAGTAACAAAGAGAAATTTGTGAGTGAAACATATTGTAAAAATGATTAAAAATCATAAAAACGTTTGAACATTAAACAGAAATTAACATCTTAGTCCCAAAAAAATAACTAAATTGGAGTGAAAAATGATCCATGACACCTTTGTAGTCATCACACCAAAGACAAGTGAATTCAATTTGGATGAAAATCAAACAAAACTTGTATTCTGACCTGTGGTGCCAGAAACATAAGAGTGGGAAGGTCCAGCAGACACTTCAGGTCTTTCCAGGGCTTTTCTCTGCAGGGGGGCAGCAGGGTCGGGGCCGGCCTGCCACTCAGGGACACATTCAAGCCTTCAGCTACCAGCATCTCCAGGTACAAAGACACCTGAGAGACCCTGAAAATCCAATCCTCCAGGCAAGAAACATCACAAAGTCCCTGATCTGAAGAGAGAGCAGTATGTAAAAAAAGGTAGGAGAGAAGAATCAACAATCGCTTTTCCTTATTTCTAATGCACTCTGAAAACAATTAAACCACATGTTTACCTGAGGGTTTGAGTTCAGAGCACATCTGCTCTGCCAGAAGTTTAACACCCAAAAAGCCATCACCCATTCTGTCAGGCTGCCAGCCCTGCAGACGCCCTCTTTGGACCAGAATCTGAACTACAGCGGAAATCAGGTCCTGTAGGAACTACAAACAAAGAGAAGCAGAGAGAGAAAGGGGTAGACATCAAATGCAAAAATCAAGTAGAGGCAAAATTTCCACAGAACTGATGTATTATGTAACCATTTTTTTTACCTCTGCAACCTGCTCACATGTGACAGTTGTTGCCACACCTGCTGCAGGAGTAGACATAGCCATGACAAGAGGAGACCGTTCCTCTGCAGTTCCTCTCAGAGTATCCGCCAGGAAGATCACTAGCTGCTCTCGGCCGACTCCAGAAGCAGCAGGGGCGCTGGTCTTCCCAGAAGCTCCAGGGGCTGCATGTCCAGGGTCAATACTGCACATGCACTGATAGACCCTCTTCACCATCGAGTCTGGTGCTAAGCTATTCATTGAGGACTGGAAAAGATAAGGAAGTAATGGAGTTCAATGGGTGCCACTGTTGATTTGTTTTTGACTCCAGCATCAATAAATTATATCCCGCCCAGAAGTTAGTCATGGTACTTCACCAATTAAATAAATTGAAGTAGAAATAAACTTATTAAATACATATATTGCATGTGGCAACATTAGTGGTTTGACAGTGTTTGTTTACAACAGAGAGATAATCATGTCTAAACAAAGAAAATGAACATCTCAGTGCTGACAGTCTGTTGCTCATCTCAATAGATTTTGCAGGAATTTCTGTCTTGTCTGCTCTTGTGCAGAAATGTGACAATGGATGACTGATAATCACTCAGTAGAAAAGTGGTGAACAGAGACATAAGTCTGTCATCAAAGCAGGCTGTTATATTTAGATACAGAGCATTTTCTCTAAAACTCCTCCACTGAAAAACAGGATGGAAAGACAATACCTTGATATGAGCTGTCAAGTAAATTCTGTATAATTGTGCCTACTCTCAAAGTTTCAATCTAAGACAAAAAGTTTTTTAATGAGACAAAAAGTAACGCAAAACTGCAGAGTCTGCATTTTTCAATCTACATTTAGTCAAACTGTTTGAGTGACTCGTGTTTATTAAGTGGCTGAACTGTGTTATGGTCTCACCTGCAGCATCTGAAGTGTTAGAGTCTTCCCTGAAGATCCTCCACTGCCCTGAAGTCTGTCAAACACTCCTTCAATCACAGGACGCTCCTCTGGGCGAAAGCGGGCAAGCCGCTTCTGCACCACCACACTTTCTGTGTTACCCATGGTGCACTGTAGGTCCACACATAGAAGGACAAACATCACAATCATAACATGCAGGTGGAGTCACAACTTACCACCCTCACATTGAGTAAACATGTGCTGAATAGATTGAAGATATTACACACAGCTTTATGATTATTGATTTAAAAGTAATAAGGAGTCTACTGTTCTAGGGTGTAATTTATCAAGTGTCTCACAGTCTCTGTATAAATATAAGATGGCATTCACGTGACATTGTAGTATTATCTCAGCTGTCATGTAGGGCTGCATACTGCACCAATAATGTAGAAACACAAATGTTTAAAAAGGGCAGAATAAACTTAATTCCAGCCGGTTAACTTAATAGCAATGAGGTCCAAACTTTTCACCAGCAGAGGGTAAAACATCAGACCAAAGGTGGGTAACGTCAATGGGTTCACTGAGGTTCACACTTCGACATATGACGTATGCAAATGACACATACATATGACATCCACAATACATACATGCTTATTTTCCTCATTGCCAGTTTTTAATAAAGTAATCGTCAAATGAGTCTGTGTGTCACTAACCTTTCAAAAAACAGCAGCTCGGGTTTCCATCCTGCATCTACAGGCTGCAAAAATGTAAACTTCCGGGTAGTAACTGAGTGACACTTTCAGTAGCCCATCCGTTGAGACCAAATGTCACGTGATCAGTTGTGATTGGTATGACATCGAGAGGCAGGGACACGAGTTCGTGGTTGGTTGTTTGAATATGATTTATTCACACAGTCAGTCGGTTACATTTATCCTTTGTAACTTGAATTATGCTGTAAGGTAACGCGTTTAATGCATTTTTTAGGTAAAGCAATGTTTATGTACCGCATAGAGCAAACAGTTACTCAGCTCCAGACACCCAATGGATGGCTAACGGTCTTTGGTATTGAGGCGGTTCCTCTGACCGTGCTGCGTTCAAGATCATAAAATGTTGAGACCGGTTGAGAAAACGTGAACGTTGAAAATTTTGTTGTGTATTTAATGTTGTGGTGGTCAGATGAGCAAATTCTGGAATAGCAGCTGAAGTTGAATGTTTTTAAGCTTGTAAACGTTGTCTAAAAACCAAGAGAAAGACAGCAAACAGGTCTGTTTCATTTTTTTAATTGCATTGTTTCTCCTGTTTCAATGAATAGGCCTTTGCATACATTTCAGCCTGAGGCTGAACCTTTGAATAGATCTGTAGCCGACAATAGTAAGTCAAAAACTTCAAACTTATAAAGTATTTACAGTCTACTTAAAGGTTTCTGCTTGTTGTTACCATAGACTGTATATAAGATATATATATATAAGATTGTATATATATCTTATATACAGTCTATGGTTGTTACTGATACCATGTGTGCAATATATGTACCAAGCTGTTGTTTCCCACTTGAGGGGGCCAAAAACTCAAGATTTCCCAGTCGCTGCCCAATTTTTCAATTATTCACGTTTACTGTGCATGACATGCTGTGCAGGTATTCTTAAAATCAGCAAAGATGGAAATAGATTAAATTCTAATTTTGCTCTCATGAAGTTACAAAGCAACAAAATATATCGCATCACACTATTTTAAAACATGTAACGTACTTAGAATTATTTACCACAATGATGGTACCTGCCATCAGAAACACTAAATCCATTTGACTGGTGTAGATTTCCAGATATTAGAGTAAAAACAAATACACAAAACTTTTTTTTCAAATGACCCATTTGACCAAGCACAAAATAATGTAAATGAAACAAGATGTAACCCAACAATACACCCAGTAATGCCATCTTTGACCAGTAGAGACTGCACAGGAGCAGCAGAAAAGAGGACAGTCACTGCAGAAGCAGCAGGCAGTTAAAAACGCCTTTTAAGGGCATGAGAGTCTCTTTGTGAGTGCACTGAGCTGGGTGTGTTGCATTGTAATGAAGTAGTGTTGTGGTATAGTGGATGCACCCACATCAGCACAGCTGAATGTGTAGGTGACGTGCAGCCATCTGTCCACATCAAATAAACAGACTGGTGAGAACCGGATGCCAGTGATGAATCAGAGTCTACAGTAGAAGATGTAAAATGAAGATTTTAAAAAAGTCATTTCAGAAGCCATGTCTTCAGCGGTTCATTTACCGGAATATGCCGACTCCAAAAGTTTATTACTGGAACAAAATAAGTGAGTGCTCCTCTTGGCAGCTTGACTGCCACAGTGGTTCTAATGGTGAGCTCAATACAGAACCAAATCACATGTCATCGATTAACCATGCTGAAAATAAACCCTGTTGTTACTCAAACATACTGTGGCTGCTCACTCTCCAACTCATGAGCACTCCAAACTGAAACACCTGAGAAGTGTGGAGTCAGGTACTGCAGTCAGGTCAGAATGTTAACATGGGAAAGACTAAAAAAATTACTTTCGTAACGTTGCTCAGTTTAGACATGATGAAAGATGAGGCTTTTGGTGAACTCTCACAGAGGTTTGTTATGTAAAAAGTACAGGAAACAAATAAAACACACAATACACTGATCTTCACTCCAACACTATCTGTCTGTCCGTTCATTTAACCTCCACAGCCCCTTAAACAGAGTGTGTTTTGCTGGAAAAAAGACATGATATTGGTTATTACCTAAAGATCACACTCTCAAACATGTGCTTGGATATAAAGCAGGAGAAAATTGCAACATAAATCAGAGCTGATGTAAGCTAAACAGAAAATCCCCCCACCTCCAGTGTACAGCTGCAAATCTTGTATAAGTGGTAGTACCGAACAAAGCAACCATCACAACAACAGTTAAACCAAAACGTAATCTGCGTTTCTGTACACGGCAACTGTGCTGCTTACTTTAAGCCACTTTGTTTCTGGGCTTTGTTTAAACAGGAGATTTTCCTACTGTAAGGTGCACTCAGAGAAAACAGCCAGACTGGGGGGTGATTTGATAACCCTGAAGTGAACTAGATCATCACGCACTTGTTCGTGTGTGTTATGTGAAGTTTAAAGCCTGGTGACCGTCGGTGTCGTCTTCTTTTCACCCAGGTGCTTTTATAAACTGCAAAGAGAAACAGTAGTATGAAAAGACAGGGGAGGGTGCTTGCTGCTGGTAAGTCTCCTGAGTAGTACGGGTGCACTAAGGGGTTAAACTTAGAAGTGGTGAACTGCATACTAGACTATACCAGCCTACTTATATCACTGTAAACACCCCATCTTAATTTAGAGCCTCGATTATACCAGTCTGACAGTTTGTTAGATGTGCAGACATTTGTTGTGATTATTATGAGAGGACTCTTCAACTCAGATCTGTTAGCAGGTTAGCAAAAAATGAAATCATTGAAAGTTGTATGAAGAAATACTAACAGCATCAGGGGTAACAAGATCCAGGAGGCACTAACATTATCAAAGGTAACAAACTGTAGCTAGCTGTTGCTGCAGGCATGTCTTATGTAGTACATTTCATACCATAGGTGTATCTTACAGGCAAATTATCAGGCAGAGCTCATTGGCTTAGAGGTTAAATTGTGGGTCACATGCTAGAAGCACATCCACAAACCAGGCTGCCTGGGTTCGTTTTCCAATACTCAGCCCTTTGCACTTCCCTCTTTAACCTCTCTCCCCTGTTTCCTTCTCCGACCACTTCTGTCCTCTCAGTGAAAGCATAAGAGCTCATTGTAAACAGAACAAAAGACAATAAGCTAGTGATAGAGCCTGGGATGTACAAATAGGTGTCAAATTATCATAGAGGCTATATCAGACTGTGTCAGAATCAGAAATGCACAGGATGAGTATCACACAATCAACATGAATACATTTAACACAAGACTTTAACAGCTAACAGACACACAGGGGGCTCAAAATGTCTTTTATCCAACTCACAACATTTACTCATTTTGTTTTGTCACCGGTTTTACAGCTTTGAAATGAGGAAGCACTGAGATTGTGACAGTCTTTCTTGACTTTGGCAGGTTTTAGCCAAAATAAACCTTCATAAAGTGGGGAAGTGAGACATTAAGCTCTATGTATGTTTGATGTCACCATATGCAGTCAAAATCTGGTATAGCCTACATTTCAGACCTGGCTCTTTTCTCCCCTGTGCTGCTTCTCATTCCCCATAGCCTCATCTGTGTTTCATGCAGGTACAGACAGAGCCATGTGAGACACATGTTTCACAATCACTTGAGCGTATACATACACAGGGAAACTTGACTTTGTTACCCTGAACCGTGTTCGCTGCTTTATACTGATTCAGCTGTCAGCAAGTTGAGACTTGACAGCATCTCAGTTCCTCTTTCCTCTTCTCTGTGCCCACTAACCCTCCTCTCAGCTACATCCCTATAAGGTAAAAGCTTCATGCTGACTGACTGCACAGGAAATCCACCTTCTGATAACTGAACAAAAAAGCCACAAAAAAAAAAAGCCACAAGTACCCTTTGATGGACTGAAATTGTCACCAAACTTCAAAGTGTTCTTCATTTAAAGAAGAGCTACCCCGTGTTTGTTAGCTGAGTGTTATCTTAGTCACCATGAGACTTTCTCTTTTTATTCTTAGATAAGAAGAGAAGTAATGAACATTGTCCCATGAGATTGGAGATGAGATTTACATTTGTCCTTTCATTGTTCAGAATACTTTATGTAAATAAAGTCTCAGACTCCCATTAAACAAAACATTTCTTTTCTCTGGTTTATACTCAAATAGATGATGAAGTCTGTCAGCAGTCTATGAGGTGTGTCAGTTTAGCTCAGTGGTTAAAGACCTCATTAAAAGAGCTGGTTCTTCTTTCAGTTCTCAGTTTGGCCCATCACTGCATTTCACCCCTGACTCTCTGCTCTACATGATTCCTGCCTGTACAAATAAAGGCAAATACGCCCCCCAAAAAATACTGAGAAACAAAGAAAATGACTGTGTGTCAAAAAGATCTTGCAGTAAACCAACAAACACATGAATTTCCGTCCACATTCAGCTCAGGTGCCCTGGTGATTTGCATGTTTGTATCAAAGGATTTCCACAATGCAGACACTTTGGAGTCAGAGACACTTGTGGTGAACCTGACTATCTCTCTGCTGTAGCACTGCAGGCTTCAGCTGTGCCCAGTCTTTAAAATGTTGCTCTAACATTTGAGCTGATATCCATGTAAGCGATCATGTATAGTGAGCAGGTGATAATGCAAAATAGAACTTCTTAGGATGAGGCAGGACCCCAAAGTGAAGCTGTGTCTTGGAGTTATCATTATCCTACTTAATACCTGACTACCAGCTAAAGAGACATGACTTGTTAAGTTATTTATGCAGGTCAGAGTCGATTGATAGTTGATAGTGTTTCCAGGGCATCAGCCTCCCTCCAGATTGCCTTATTATCAAACTAATCATTTTCACTCAAAGAAAATAACAGCAGTACTTGTATTGTTTCCTGTTTATTTTTACTTTACTACAGTGCTAAAATTCAAACTGTATTGCGATTTTTGGTTGCTTTGTGTCTGTCTTTTTTCTAGTTCAGCTGATCTCTCATTAGTCTCTTTTCAGGCTTCCTCCTCTTGACTACTTATCTTAGCTGATTCAAACATGAACCACCAGTGTAAAGTTTTGTGCTCCCCAAATACACTGAGAGCAGTATCAGTGTTATCCTCTATGTTACTTACCAATGTTCCAACAGTAATTGTCCCATTAGTCAGCAGAAAGAGGTGAAACCATGAAGTATTTGTCATAGTTTTCATAATGAATATGCCAGTCTCTTTTCCACAGGCTAATTTCACATGGTTAATGTGATCTGGTTAGCTTTTTTATCCAGCCAACTTTTAGTTTCTGTCAATTTTGGCACATCATGAAAACAAAACAACAACTCGTCAACTACTTGCTTTGACAGTGTTGTCTGACAAATTTCTTATTCTGCTGATTTTCGACAGTCAAATGTTTCAGTAAATGTAACTATTATATGTGGCAATAGGGCTGTCTCTTTAACTACAAGGTTGTCTCTCTCTCTCTCTCTCTCTCTCTCTCTCTCTCTCTCTCTCTCTCTCTCTCTCTCTCTCTCTCTGGTTTCAGGCATAAAAAGTTACAGAATAAAAATCATTGATATTCTCTTTGCTGGTCTTGTTTTCTCTTGTAGATCATAAAAAAAGGAAGTTTAGGTCCATTTCATTAATGTTAAATAACTCCACACAGAAGCCTCAGATCACTTTTTGATGATTTTGCACAATATAAGAAAGAAACAGATTGACCGAATGAAACTGACTCTCTCTAAAGGTACACGTTTCTGCAAGTATTCTGGTTTCTTGTCACAAATGATAAGGGAAATGATCCTGAATTCCACACTCACCCTTTACAACTCAGCCTAGAGCAAGTAAGTAAATAAATACAAACACTACATAAATAAAGAAACCATTTTGCAGGAAACCTATCTCTATATTCAGCTGCATTGAGGGCTGCTTTCTGTCTGTAACAGCAACTGGGTCATCTGCTGTAATGAACCAGGATGTCATTACGTCTCTCATAATGAGTAGGGGTTTTACCAGTTTGACTAAAAGGTGCGCCTTGTACAAACACACCTGTTACTGACGGCAAGCAAAGCAAGTTCTCTCCTCATGAGGAAGAGCTCATTTGTTTCATATTGCTCAAAAACTGGTTTGACATTTGTTCAGCCAGTTAAAAAATGTAAAGGTTCACGCATGTTATTATTCATACAAATGGATTTAGTGACTGAAAACGTTATCAAAGTATGACTTCCAAACAGTAATGCTGCCAAAAGACAATGAAGGGAGAAATTAATGAATATAAGATAAATGTTCATTTCACAGGGATGGACTCTATGGAGAGAGAGGTGATCAAAGTGTGTCTATCCTAAGCAGCAGCAAAATCCATCCTCCAGTTGAGTCCAGACAGTAGAGATATGTTGGCTGATGATGTTGTCTGAGGCTGATGGGATGATGACATCTACTGCTGAGAAGTCTTTGATGAGATTATGAGCACTTAGGTTGCAGGAAACAAAAGCATGAACAATCTTGTAGACAACAGCAATATGAATGGCTATGAATGAGAGTGAATGTAGAGCTAGTTTAACAAGTAAAACTCCTGTGATGAATTTTCATCTGGTAATGAGATGGGCTAAAAGTTCCTCAGGAACTTTAAGAAACTAACCAAAGACATCTTAAAGCTATTGTTGCTTAAATATTTAGAAGGTCAGAGTTAAAATTCAACCGTTTGAGTCAGATAAGTGATAGTCTTCAAAGAGTCTTATTTATTCTTTGACCTTGAATTGTGGAGCAAATTGAAATGCTTCGCTGGAGGAATCCTTAAACAGCGCCTGAGCTCATAAACTGCAGCAAAATCACCTGGGGATATATCTTTTCAAACTTTGAATGTTGCGATAAATACCGATGTTTAGATACTTATCTATCACATTAGAAAAACAAGGGTATGAGTCAGACTGTGCTTGTGAATGCCTGAATCATTTATGTTTGTTTTGGTCTCGGAAGTCACACGTGTCACTTGAACTGTCACTTAATGCAAAATTCCAAGTCAGAAACTCAGAGAAACTTTAGGTTACCTGAGTCTGAAATCCAAGATGATTTTAGCCCATCATTAAAGAGGTGGCATTGAGCTGTTCATATTTTTAAAACAAATGTTGGTCGTCTGTATTCGACACAAACGAAATTCAGATTACAAGGTTTACACTTAATCCACAGGGAGACCAAAAAATGAGCTGAAACTCAAAGTTCTCCACAGAAGATTTAGATTTCTGCTGAAATATGATTTGCAATATGATCTTATCATTAGTTGTTTTGCTCATAGATTTGTTTGGAAAGTTATCCATTAATTACTTTGTTATTAAACATAATAATATCAAGTCGGGTATACTGGCGAGAGCAATATTAGCATTTAACATTAAACCGGACACTACAAATTGAAAGCATGTGAATACACCGAAGCTGGAAAAACTTCTCAGCTCAGAAACAGGGAACAACTGAGGGGCAAGAGAATAGCCATTGTCGAGGGGTAGTGACCAATCAGAATCAAGTATTTAACACAGCCGGGTGATTAATAAGGGAGCTGAGTAATGGAAATTAAAACACATGATTGGGTCTCAAGAGGACAGCAGAAAATGAAGGCCTCACCATTCAGCTGCTAAATGTAACAGAAATGCAGGGTACACATTCATGCCTTAGTTTTTCTTAATCTAATATTATGTATAATCATAAAACACTTGCATGTGCACTCTGCTGCATGCAGTGATCTTTAACACTGACTTTCAGTTTGTTCTTATTATAAAAAAGTGAAATAAAGAATATAAGACTCCCTCTTGTCCTGGAACATTGATAGATTTAGTTTTGCCACTTTAGCTACAAGATGTTTATCACTCGGCTAAGAAGTGTCACATCAGATCCTTCAGTGGTGCTGAATGTGGGCCAGTTTTTGCTCATCTAATAATATCTGCTGTGGGGAGGTCTCACTGCCTGTCTGCTCTGATACTTCTCTGCACACTCTGAGCTATTTCTGCTTGAAGATGAAGCTGCTTGAAGTAAGAAATTAGCTGAAAGAAATAAAATCCAAGATTTGGAGAATGACTATTTTGATAACAGTAATGGAAGAGGCCTAACACCAGGAACCAAATAGACGAGTGGATCACAGACAGCTCACAGATCAGTGCTCGATTTCTAAGACAGGCTCTCTGGTTGTTTTACAGTCATGTTATGCAAAACAGTCACTCAGAAGTCCATTAAAATTCAAAGTCAGTCTCACTTTAATTATACAGCTCTGCACACAGAGGTAGTTGACCTTTCACTGCGTAACCTCACAGCTTCAGAGACAGTACAGAGAGCTAACAAAGCAGGTTCAATAACTGACTAAATATTTTACTGGTCACCACTGATCCATGCAGAACAGAGAGTTATAGTTTCATTAAAAACCAGAGCACCAGGAAATAGATTTCAGGGTTTATTAATAACTAGGGTAAGAGGGGGGAGGTAGATTTGAAGAGAAAGAGAATAAGATAAAAAAAAAAAAAAACAATGTTGATTGAAGACAGGGAAAAAAGGGACGGAAAGCAGAGTTATATAAGACAATTCTGAGCACTGAAAGAGACAAGGAGACAATTGAAGAAGAGAGGAGGAAAGGAGGAGATGTGTGATGCCTTGAGGTGTAACTCTGAGAGGAAGGTGAATGGATCAGCTGAGCACGCTGATGGTTGTATGATGTAAATATGTGACATCCTCAAAAACACAGTTCTTCTTAATGGGATGGGTGGGAAAAAGGTTTGACACGTTTAAAAACTAGACACCTCAATTGTAGAAAAAATATGTTTGATTCAGTGTTACTCAAATTTCATGAAGCATTAGGACTATAGAAATCACCTTATTTTCCACCCCAAGGATTGTAATTTTCACCAATTACAGAGAAGTAACTATGATTATTTGTTGTACATTTAGCATCATGAACACAGTGCAAAGCAATACAATGCATGTAATGAGATATAAAGCGATACAAGGAGGTATAAAGAAGAAAAATATTATGATTTTTACAAACATCAAGCTGCTAAGAAATGAAATGCTTACCAAAAACACGTTCAACAGGGCTGTCAATCTTATATGCATTCATCCAGATGCAGCTAAAGCCACTGTGAGGATATATTAGCTGGTTAAGATACATATTTAAAGTTATAGTAATACTGCTTCATGACCTTCAAAATGGCCAGCGGTGTCTGGTGAACTGATTAACTGCAAACTGTTTAAACAGACTTTTACTTTTGTGAAATTTTCTCAGCAAAGACACATTTGACTGTCAAAATGACACAGGGGAAATTTCTCCAGGAAAAACAAACACTCCTTTACATTTACATGACAAAATCAGCAAAGAGATGAGAGGTAGTACCTTGTACAAAATGAGAAAACCAGAAAGTCTCTCATAATGGCTTTAAGCCTGAATTGTGTGAATTTTTTCCACTCCTGTGCATTTCACAGTTAAGCTATTGCAGCTTTCTTCTGCTTTTGAATGACACATGTCAATTAAAAAAGTCAACAGTAATATGCACTTTTGTTTAATTGAGTCAAAACATCAACAAAGTACTTCAAGTTTGCAATACCATGTGATCATTTTACAATATAAGCAATACAAGCTTACAGGTGCAGCTAACAATGTTGATGTCTGTCTGTCTGCTTACCCACTGTCTGTCCTGCTTCCAGTTCAAACACGCAAACAGTACATGTACATTATGTACTCATACATCATGCAAATGCAAACAGCTTTGTCAACTTAGGTTAACACTCATGACTTACATTTCAGAAGTAGAAAAACTTAATCCATTCACTACTTTCAATTCATCAATAGCTGGCTTCTGACCCAGGATGCCAAACCAACCGAACAATGACAGCAGGAAAGACAAAACTTCATGCACAATGATACTCAAAAAATAAGTTGCATTTAATATGATACATGCAACTGTACAAGAAAAACAGAAAACCAAATCAACAACGTTCAAAATTATTAAATTCATCCTCTACACCAGAATTCTGGTATAAAGTTTTCATGTGGTACTATTTATGAACATAAACCTGTTGTTCTTGTCAAAAGACGCCTTTTTTACCATCAAGAATGATTAAATGTTTTGCGAATTGTCCTAGCTGTCCCAGTCGACTGATGGCAACAGAACCACATCATCTGCAAAACAGCAATACTGTAATTCTGGGGACTCCAAACCCAGATCAACCCTGACAGGGGCCAAAACCAAGCATGTAGTCGACATGTATTTTACTTACTTTAAAAGACACAAAAGCTAACCACTTTGGTCAAACATAAACCTCTTGGTTCTTAACATCCTAAATGTTTGAGGACGGGATGAACAGAATCTTGTGTAAAGAATCTGAGGTAAAGAGTCAAAACTCTTAAGACTATTGATCATAGTGCAAACTAAAAGTTCTGAGTACCTCTAAGTATTCATATAGCTAAGATAAAACTCCTAAAATACGACTTTGAACTTGCTAATTGGTACATTCATGAGATTTGTTTATCACACACACACACACACACACACACACACACACACACACACACACACACACACACACACACACACACACACACACTTGCACACTCGTGCAGATTGACCGGCACTTGAAACACTGACTCCTTTTGCTGCACACAAACAATAGTGGCTCATGTCATTTAAACTCACATAAGAGTAATTTTTCATATGATCACTGTAAGACGTAGAGAGTCTGGTCATCGGTAGTGATAAAAACTCAACGAAAGTCTGACGTCACAGCACACAGACGGCTCTCTGTAAGCTTGCATGGAGAGTGTAAACGCTCCCAGTAAACTCAGTAAACAGATGCTCATTTGGGCTGGAGAATGAAGTGTCCCTCAGCTCGTTAGTCTCTGACAATGGCATCTCTGTGCCAACTCTGTGCAGCGCTGGCACACAGGAGCTCTGAGAAGCGGCCCATTCACACTCACATTCCCTCCCTGTCGCTCCGTCTTCTCTATTCACATGGCCTGGAAGAATCTGAATAGTGACAGACCCCACCGCCCACCCCTGTTTGCTTTGCCCTGTTGCACAAATTTCAAGCTCCAACCCCCCTTGGCCCTCCCACCAACTAACGTCTCTCCCCCTCTCTCCCTCTTTACTCAACTGAGATCCCCAAAAAGGTTTTTCACAAGTCCCAACACCCTCTCAATGTAGCCTACATTTCATTAAGTCTACCTGCCACAGCGAAACAAGGAAGCATTAATAGATACAATCCAAGATCCCAAAAAATTAACTGTATTAAATATTAATAAAATTAGATATTGGTGGTTTGCAAATCATATAAGGCTTATATTTAATTCAAAATAGTACAAAGACAACATATCAAATGGTGTAGCTGAAAAAAAGCTGCACCAGTTTCTTGGGTTGTCAGAGTGAAAATGTTGTCCCATTTTTCTCGGATATGAGTTCCAGCTGCTCAACAAATCAGGATCTCCTTCATCATATTTCTTTGTTTCATATGAACCACACCTTTTCAGTCAAGCACCAAGACTCTTCTTCTACTGAGCCATGCTGTTGCAATACCTGCAGAACGTGGTTTGGCATTGTCTTGTTGTATTATGCAAGTTTTTTTTTTTTTCTGAAAAAGATCTTGTCTTGTTGGCAGCACATGTTTCTTTTAAACCTGTTTATATTGTTCAGCATTTATGGAGCACTTTGGGCACTCGTACCATCATAGATACTGGCTGTTGAACTATACGCTGATTACAAGCTGGGCGGTCCCTCTCCTCTTTGCAGCAGGATGTGGCGTCCGTGATTCCCAAAATGGATGTTGTGCTTTGATTTGTCAGACCACAGGACAGTTTTCCACTTTGCCTCAGTCCATCTTGAGTGGACTTGTGGCTCAGAGGAGTCACCTGAGCTTTTAAATCGGGATTATATATATTTGCAAGTACAGTTTACCTGTATTTGTGGATGTAATGGTAAGATGTGTCCACAAACAGTGTGTTTTGGAAGTGATTTTGAAGCCATGCAATGATTTCCAATAGAGATTCAAGTTAATTTTTACCACCTCAGAGCCTAAGGCTATCCGGGGTTAGTTTTGAGCCTTTTGTACAGAGATTACTTTGAATCCTCTGAATCTTTTAAGCAGTAGATGGTAAAATCTTCATATTTCATGCAAATTTGATTGGAAGATTCAAAGCTTCATCAGAGATTGGTGAAACTCTTTTCATCTTTACTTCTGAGTGACTCAGCCCCTCTGAAATGCCCTTTTTAGACCCAGACATATGACTAAGCTGTTGCAAAGTGATTTAGTAAGTCAAAAGACATTGTTATGCTTTTTTTTTTCTTTTTACATTACACAGCTAGCTTTTCAGTCTTCTGTTGGGCCTCTGACTGTCTCTAGAAGTCCTTATGAACTCATTCAGAAAATAAGAAGCTGGTTCAACATCAATCCCCCACACACACAGATGACTCAGAGCTCTGGTCCGTTAGGATTTTGGACCCCACTGAGCTGTGACTAACCAAATGTTAAATCAGTCAAAGTGCAGTGTTAGGAGAGCGGGCTGAGAATAAAAGAGGACCAAATGAGCAACCCTGAAAGGTCTTTATTTCAAACCTGACGCTAACTGACTCCCATTGTAATCTAAAAGGCTGAAATACAGATGTCATATGTTTCCGCCTTTCAGAGGGAAATAGCAAGTGTCTAAAACTGAGTGGACACGGATGCATGCACAATTAGAGCAGCATTGTGTTTGCAGACCCTGATTCACAAACTCACCCACAGTAAATCCCCATCCACAAAATCAAGTCCAGAGTATATTATCAGCAGCCCTTTTGTAAAAATGAAACTAAGTTATCATCACCTGTGGGAGAGACATTATACGGTGCAAAAACAATTCTCTCGTGTTCTGTCTCTTGTTTCCTCTCGCTGTCCTTCTCTCTTTTCCTCTCTTTCACACAAACACACACACACACACACACACACACACACACACACACACACACACACACACACACACACACACACACACACACACACACACACACACACACACACACACACACTTATGCATGCTAGAACAAAGCACATGACTTGCTGTGGGCTGTAAAAAATGCTGCTGAGTTGAGGAGGTCTGAGGAATGCAGGAAGGATCTGAGTGGTATCGCTCTGCAGGAACTGATCTGACAGTCCTTGTTTGGACACTCCTACAGGTCCTGTTTGCTAACATCTGTTTGTGTGTGCCTCTCTCTCTTTTTTGCTCTCTCTACAGCCCATCAGACAGAAACAGATTGTGCAAAAGCAACTGTAAGACTGATAAAACTGCTTGCCATGGTCCTTGCTGACTGGTGCAGTCAGGACATGCAGGACTGCATGGGCTTAGGGCATGCAGGGGACTATGAGGAACAAGGGGACAGACTGGACTCCAACACTGAACACAGTGACAGTTTTTGGTGAAAAGGCGTTCAGAATTTTCTAGACTATGTTTGGTTGTAGCTCACACTTTGTGAATCTGTGAAAAAAGACAGTCTATCCACTGAGAGCACTGCGTTAGCAGAGCAGCAGCAGCAGCATATTTTACCACCTCTGCATTCATGCAAAGTTTTGAGTGTGGGTTCATCACATTATGATGTGTTCACAGCTTTAGAGACTGCAAATGTGAAACAAAAAGTAACTGTATTTTTGATGGGTGCATACAACAAGAGTTAATCTTTCCCCATTTTGCAGCCTGAAAAAAAAATTAAAAAAACAGGTGTTATCAGACAATAGTGAGATGGAAAGTTGTGAAAAGCCTCCTATGTGGCCTCAGGGGTTTGCACACTAGCAGCTTTGTGAGGCCATAAGTACACAGTGAGGTGCTTTGAGCTAATTTTATAGTCAGGGTAATGTATAACAGGTGTAAAGTTACCATGCTTGTCATAAAAGCTTATCCTTTCAGCATGCTAACATTTGTGAACCAAGTGACACTGTGGCAGAGGAGATTGACATTCATTTGTTGGTATTTTGCCGCGAACCAAAGTGTTAAACAAATGAAATTTTGACTCAGTGGGTCACCCAACTTAACAAAATGACTGTTGTCTGGGGCAAATCTGAATCCTTTTAGTCTTTGTTCTATACATGAGAGTTTTGGGCTGTAACTTAGCTTTTCCTTTAGTTAAAACACACAGAAAGGAAGGAAATAATTGAATGAATAAATGAATGAATGAATGAATGAAATTCCAGCTGTAGCCAGAGCCAGCCCTAAAATCATTAATTCAGAGATAATGTGCCAGGTGATCAATACTTATTGAACTGTATGGGCACCAAGTCATCTTGTAGTGTTAAAAAAATGTGCAAAAAACTACAGTTTCCCAGGGCCAGCTGGTTTTTCATATCAAAATGTTGCTGATTTGACCAAAAGGTGGGCAAGGTGTAGCTGTTTGCCAGGCATCTTGGCTTATGGCCTCCATTCCACCTCTTTTTTTTAGAAACTTGTGAGAGTCACAAGAACTTATACTGTCCTTTGTCTTACACTTATTTCTACTGTCTTCATCACCAGGCTGTCTTATATACTTGATTGTGATTGGTCAAAACCCCACAACAAACAACTTAGTGTTATCCAAAGCATACCAGAGATAACTTGATCAAACATGCAATATTTATAAATTTATATCTGCCTGTTGACACTGTGGCGAAAATGTTTATTTCCATCTTTACTTGGTCTTGAGGGTCATGAAATAGTGATATTTACTCTGCACAGATATAAAAGCAGCCTGAAGAGCTGCTGGACCAAAACCATCTCTGATAAGGAAAAGTGAAGCAACATCTTGTCCTGCAATCCATGCAACAGCAGCAGAGCAAGCGAGTTCATCTCTAAGAATAACTCAGACTATAGACAGTAGTGAGGATAGCAACAAAGTCAAAACAAAGTGCTTCAGCCATGTTTAACTGTGTGTAAACTGTAAAGCTCTGGGAAGGAGAGCTGAATGAGGACAGAGATGTTGACACTAATATCCCTGCAGAGGTTCACCTTGTTGGTATTCTCTTTTTCATAACCACCTGTTCAATATGCATTATCTCTCACATTACAGACACCATCCTTATTCTGACAGGAATATAACACAACTGTTGCAGGGAGGCAGATGTTATCTTTTGAACGTGAAAACTACGACAACATAAAAGCACAGCACAGAATCAAACATGAAGTGTGCTGACTTTCAGTGATTCCTCAATTTATGTTTCACAAAGAGAAATAAAACTCTATTGTACATACGGCGCCAACCCCATGAAGTTAGTGTTTTGAGACACATAACCCCTGTTTCAACCAGCCTCAGCTCCCACAGACACACACTTAGACAGACACACTCACACTGGACTACATCCTCAACTTGCCTCATTTCAGCCTACGGAAAGCCACATCAACAACACAGAAGCTCTGTCATTATGCAACCTGCTATTACAGCTTATACACCACCCAGTTAGCCTGACACACACACTCTCTATCTGTCTCTCTCTCTCTCTCTCTCTGTCTCTCTCTCTCTGTCGAACAGACTCAGCAGAACTCATGTTTGATCAGTCGCTCAAACCATTAATCCATTCCTGTGACAGCTGTAGCAGACTAACACACACACATGTACCACACATGCTGACGTGGAACAGCTGGTAGACATTGACTGATGAAACAGATCAGCAGACAGTCAGTCATATTGGAGATTTACCATTCAAAGAGACAAGAGAACACGCAAGTGAGTTGTGCTTATTGGAAATCAATGTCCGGCAATCAATTAGCATTCCAAGCCTCTGTGAACACATTAACCTAACACACCTCACCTGCCATTAAAATCAAGTGTAACAAGCTCAGTGACTGAGGACTCAATTATGTGGACGCACAGAGGGAAAGTATACCCGACAGAGCACTGAGGAGTGGAAGACAACCCTGTTTGGTGTGTAAATAATCACATCATTGTCTAAATAATCACATCTTTGTCTGTAATTACAATGAGGAGAGCGTATGTTAGCTTAGCAGAAACCGTCACACAGCTCCTGTTTATTATTAGTCACTGAATAGTACTGCTTTTTATACAGCCAGCATTTAATAAGTGACATATTCATTTAGTGAGGTCTAACAATGACAGTAAAGACTTGGCAGGATGATCAGACACTGCGTAACTAGAGCTTTTTGAACGTCCCTTCCCTTCTTCAGGATTGCAGACTGGCTAAAACGGGTTACAATGGTGACCATGGAAACCCTCAGGAGTCCCTTAAGCTCTCAGAGACAGTTGCTTTGTGAGCCCTGAATCAACAAGTGCCAAAATGTTCCCATTACGTCATCCTGAAATGGTAAAACAGACATATTTTAAAATAACACAAAAAGGGACACAGAGGGAGGAATTAAAACAGTTAGCCTGCACAAGTTAAATAGCAGACATCATCGAACTAAAATGGTTCATAGTGGGGTGGAAGTGGGTCTTAACACTGGTTTTCTCATAGAAGTAGTAGCATTAAACAAAGGCAGAGGCAAACCAGTACAGCACATGCAGTTATAAATGCTATTCAAGTTTCAGTGACATTTGAAGAAGTGCTCTATGAAAAAGCCAATCTCTCATTATTTGTTTTCTTGTCCATTGTTGTGTCTTATTTATTTTACAGACATTACCATGACAAAGGCAAGGAACTCGAACCACATCCCAAAAAGGTTTTGGGGTATTTGTAAAAAATGCTTACAGGGCACCCCAGCGAGCAGGAATTTCAGAACAACAGTAATCTCAAAAGGAAGTAACATTACCAACCCGATCAACCACCTTTACTTCCATCAAACTGCCAATTTCATCATTAAAGAAAGAGGAAGTTGAGTTTCGAGTTATGTGTTGTATTATCAAAGCCAATTTATCACAATGTTGTAATTGAAAGTAGTCTTTATCCTGGTTGTTCATGAAGCAATATAGAGCCAGTTTACTTTCTTTATCATTATAACATTGTAAGATTTCTTTTAGGCTGAGGTTGTTATAAAATGTAAATCTGATAGCCTGTCAAAAATCGTGCTTTACTGAGTTTTAATGCACTATAATCTCACTATCCAATGGCAGAAAAGGGCCTTTGGTTTAGAATCATTTGTATATTAACCAGTTTCACTTGGGTTTACATTAATCCAGTGTGGACCTTGTGCTGTGTTTCATGTTTAATCCAGGAAGTTAAAAACATTTCACAGCAGGGACAGTTGAAATGAAGTACGAGGACATTGTTTACTGCGTTTTGAAAGTCTGGATGCAATGCAGGGGTGCACATGTCTCTTTGAAGGGTGCACCCCTGTAATTTTCAGGAGCTCTGCCCACAAACTTTTCTGGAGTTTCTTGTTCACAAATCTTTTCCCTGCAAGACAAGGGATAGTGATGGGTACAGGGAGGGTTGAGTCTCAGGACGCAGGATATGACATCAGATACACTCTGCTGACTCCAAAGTGTTCTGTCAAAAACACAGTGGCACATGAAGCAAAAAATACATACACTGAGAGTTTGTGATGTATTTCAGTGCCAGAGGGAAACAAACAGCTGTGCAGACATCTTCGCTATTCCTGTCTCTGAAATGATTTACTTTCTTGCTTTTTTGTATGGCCTTTATTGATAGATGTAGGTCAGCAGATAGAGCCGAAAAAGACACAAAAAGACACATGCACAAAAGACACCACAGGAGGGAATTGAATCCGGGCTAATATGTACATGGGGCACGCCTACAGACCTTTAGGCTATCTGCACCACGATTCACTTCCTTCAACCTTGATTGTTTCTGTTACTTTCATTTCTTGTGGCTCTTTTGTTTTGAAAGTTATTGCCTTTTCTAAACATCATCTATTCAGCCCATTTATGGGAAATTTCTCCAAAACTCCCTACTGTGTTCTTGCATCACTTCATCTCCACTTCACACAGAAATTTTAAAACTGGCTCAGTAGGAAAAGGTCCAGATAAGTCAGAATGTAAAATCTGCCTCTCTTCTCACACGCAGCTCTCTCCAGGACTTCTTTGCATGAGTAAATACAGGATCTGTCAGGTTTTTAAAACTTTTGTCAACAAATCAGAAGTATATTATGATAAGGTCAGATAACTCATCATATGCATGATCATAGCCTGCTCAGTCAGACTTAGGGTTTCCATTGACCTACCGGGCCCAAAATTATTTGTGACAGAAGACCGATGAAGTTGGTGCTGCAAGATGAAACTTTCAGGGCAAAGTTTGATAAGCTCTGGAAACAACATTCCTGCCTGTGACATTAATGATCTACCATGAAAGAGGAAAGCTAGAAATGTGTTGATGTCTTGAGCGGACGCCACCCTAGTGATGGTGGAAAGTTAACTTCAGGCGGTTCATCAGATTGGTCGATACCGTCTTCCCAACAATGATTTTATCCTTATCGTTTTTTATGGTGTTTGGGACACTCAGCTTTCGACATCGATCAATCATCCTTCATGCTTGTTCATCCTCTGAAGTTACATTTGTTCACGTGAGTCTGTGGGATATTGTTGAGTGTGTGATCTCATGGTATAACGTGTGTGTGTTCAGAGGACCGTTAAGTTAAAATAGGTCAGAACTGTCCTTATATGAGTGTTATCCCTTGGTTTTTAAGTTGGTTAAGATCTTAAAGTCAGCTGGTGTGTGGCCAACCTTTCTTATTTAGTAGTTCATACCAAAGAAATGTAAACTTCAAAGAAACACAAAAGAGTCTTTGGAAGGCAGCTTTTTCGAAAAACATCAATTTTTATTTGAAATGACTGATTTTGTGCCCACTTCGTTTTTCTTTCTTTTTTTTTTCATCAATTTTTTTGGAAAATCTCTTCTGCCAATGTCCAAGATAGCAATGTTCTTACAAATCAAATTAAAAGCTAAAACTCCAAAGAAAATAAAACTCATTAAAAAAAGTAAAATAAAATAAAAAGGAACAAAGGAAAAAAAAAAATCTATTTTCCAGGGGGGCCAGGGGGAGAGAGTTGAAACGAAATAAAAAGAGATGCTACAACCGAGAAATGGCTCCTCCTGGGTTGGGTTGATAGGCTGAGGCCCATAAAGTAATGAGCCATGTGCCGCCCCCGTGTACAGAGGATAACCAATCACAGTGTAGTGTCCGCAAGATCCCATGATGCCCCACTCTCCCTGGGAGACTAAGGCAGTCAAACACAGTAGGTTACATTATTCATTGATGACCCTTAAGTGGTCGATCATGATCAAGAGATGAGACACCAGAGGGAAAGATCTCCATTTTCAAAACATTCAAAGTGCTGCTGAGGGACGGCAATGATGGAATCATGTTTCTGTGTTTCTCTGGCTAATATTCTCCAGTGAGATTAAGAATGCCATTCAATACCACAAGGTCTTTTAGAAAACCTGACCCAGCCCTGTACATTTCCAAAAGACAACAGTCACGTCCAACAGAAACAGAACAAAGGCAAGTAGTACAACAAAAAGTGGTCGTTCTAATGAAAAGTCTTATTTGGACTTGTGATAAAAGAGGCTCACAGCACTGAGTCACAATGTAAAGTCAGGAGGATGACAGTCAGTCTCAGGACAAGATTTAACAGCTCAGTTTGGAGCTGTAATCCAAATACAGACATCTGGCTGGAGGTGAAGAGATGGTTGAATGATTACTCAAGACTATGACTTAGGCCTGTTATCACAAAGGTTAGAAAATGGAGATCTCTCCCTCCTGGAGATAAACAGTGTATCATGACTGAGAGCACACTCTTGAGTCATATCACAAAGTAAAGAGTTTCATTTCAAGGGAAGGCATTGGCTCTTGTCAGTGAACTTACTCGTACATAATTTCAAAATGAGATTTTGAATTGAAACTCTTTATTTTTTCACATCCTCGTTGTGTTAAATTCACTCCTCCAGTTCTGAGGCCTTCAGCAGCTCAGCAGAGATGAGAGTGAGTATGAGATGATAATGCACAGAACAGTAGATAACCAACCATGAGCTGACCAGAGAGAGGACTGAGGGTAGGAGAGGAGGGAAGGCAGTTTCTGATCTTGAAGAGCACCGACACACTCGTTTTGAACTCTGCATTTATGTTTGCACAATGCTTATCTAGCATATTCTCCTATTTCCTCTTTCATGAAAAGGTCAATACCACTATCGCATCAGTCCAGTCAATGTGGAGCTATGGCCAAAAACAGGTTCACTTAGTTTAGAATTAAAATTAAAAACAGGGCCTAACAGCAAGCCTGGGTGATGTTTTTAGAACATTTGCATGCTTCTTTGTCGATTTTGTATTTCAGGCTTCAGTAAAAATGTTTGCGACAAAGGGTAAGAGGTTCTAGTTTTCAGATTTTGCTCCTCTGTGCAGAATCAGGCTGGCTGTTTTATCCAGTGTGTTTGCGTGTTGTTCAAATATATCAATTTATGTGCAGTCTGACTGAAGGTGGACTTTTAGAATACATAACATCTTAGTCTGACTGAAATCATATCCAATCAGATTTCCTCTAGTCATACTTGGTGATGTGGGCGGGGATCAATTTTCTCTCCTAGTCAGACTAAAACAAGTAAACAGTCCAATTGTAATGACCTAAAAGGGGTATGTCACCTTCTTTGTGAAGGTGGACAAACTTTTGTTCATAAATCGTTTTTGGCCTGATACTTCCAGTTAGATCACCTAACTCATCTTTAACTCCAAGGTTCTCCTCAAATGTAAAGTACGATAATGAGTGTTGTCATGGTCAGATATCTTTACACTAAGTTCTCCTTGGAGTAATCTCACTCTTTGCTTTGATCTGTCTTTATTCTCACAAACTAATGAGCTCACACAGATGCTTTATGGAAATCGAGTGGATAAGTGCTCTCATGCAGATGTTATCACTTTAGTGGTGCACCAACTGAATCTGGACCCTCAGGATCTTTGCCGACACACAGAGAAACTTATCTGATTCTATCTATCAACTGACTTTAGTGCTGTCCTTCAGAGTGTAATGATGGGCTGTTGAACTGAACTCAGTGTGTCAGTGCGTTCTTGCAAATGAACAGAAAGTTCGCCTTCAGCTCTCACGTCTCTGTCTGGAGCTCACTTTGACAGTAAAATGAGTGTGCTTAACTTAAGTCATTCTCTTTCACCTCTTCATCCTACCTCACCCTCTCCCCCAGAGGTAGCAGCCCTGCCCCACCCTCACCCAACCCACCCGATCAGATCCCTCCCCCCCTCCCTCTTTTCCCCTCCCCCAACCCTTCACCAACGCACTGCTCTACTCTGTCTGAGCGTCATAGTTGGCTCCTCCCGCTTTCTTCAGCTCCTCACGGATGTTGTCTTCATCCAGTTCCTTCGGGTCACTAAACATGAACTCCTTGGCAAAGTTCTGAGGAAACAAAAAACACATTATAAGGAAAAGAGCAACACTAAAGTTAAGGTGTTGCTTCATTCTTGTAATACCCGTTGCAGCTAAAATGAAAACCTTGATAACACTTTAGAGGCATACTCCTGCTTAAAAGTGCATTGCGGGCTTAAAAAACACATGCAAAGTCCTGGCAGGTAATCTACAGTTGTGTAACTACAGCAAAATAACAAACCCGTTTGGCATAGACTGGGCAGATTTGTTGTTTCTTCACCTGCTCTACAGGTGCATTGCAAAGGACTATCTTATTGTTCTCTCAGAACACACGTTTTTCCTCTTCCAGCCTTGATTCATCCACTTGACAGATTGTTAGAATCAGAAACAAAGTCGACATAAACTGATTGATTAGTAGAACATGAGCTAATATGATATCAGATGTTCACTATTATGGCCTTAAAATATCACAATAACACTATGATAGTGATATTTATGGAAAACATTAAAATAAAACAACACAATCAGTCAATCTGAGGAAAAGCAAGACAAGATCAGAACAACACATTATTTCATAAACGTAACCAATGAGTGCAATAACTTTTCATCTGTTTCCAATTATGTTCAAAATTCTGATTTATCAGCAGCTTTGTGACCAAAACTTCCTTGGAGATGACATTGTCTCATTAAACGATTGTCCTGCTTTAGTTTTGACTTTTTTCTGTCTAGTTTGTCTAAAACCTGAGGAGAAAAAAAGTTCAAGCATTGTTCACAATAAATCTTGAACATCAATTTCAAAAGTGCCTCCTCATCTCTCAGAAGCTACTTGCTTGCAGTCTGCCACCTCTTATTCATCCATCCTCTGGCAACCAGTGTACAGGACCATAAGCATGAACATATGGTATACCACTGTGATTATTTTTAGCATAGGAATATTTTATTTCTTTTAAAGTGGAAATAAAGAGTAACATCTTGCTGAGCAGGCCCCTTTTTCTATTCATATCTGCGCTCTTTATGCACTTTCACAGTGACGCACAGAATAAGGCCTTCAGATGGTAACAGGGATGTTTGGTAAGAATATAAACAAGTGCTTGCTTTTTGAATTTTATAAGAACTTAAATCTGATTTTATTGGTGTATTAGGTCACCATGAAACAAACCAGAGCTGAGGAAGAAGGAACAAAGTCTTTTGTCAGTCAAACCAGATTTTGCTGTTTGATGCAAAGCTTCAAAACTTTTTGTTCCTTCTCTCACTTCAGTGGTTCTCACCTGGAGATGGAAGTTCATGACAGTTCAACAAAACTACCAGCTTTTAGGAGAAATGTAATCATTTCCAGCCATCTATATTTTTAAGGTCACATATGACTACCATATGATTCAAATACTACATCATATCATCTTTTACTTAAAACAGATTTTTAGTGGGTCAGTCCAAGTCAGGAAAAACTCAGCTTTTAGACCGCTGTTTTAATTTTGCACATTAAAAAAGTTATGAAAGATAAATGACAAAGAGCATTTGAAGACACCGTTTTTCACATTGGCAGTATCTCATGCTGTTGCTCCTGTATTTTTGTATTTATGATGACGCAGCTAAAAACTGCAAAAAGCTTTTCTTAACTAATGATTTAATTTTAAGGTCAACTCTGCAAACCAAAATTCCCACGCTACTTTTTAGATTCACGTTTTTTGCATCCAACTCTCACAAAACACTATTATTCATGCTGTTAATCTCTCGCATACCTTTCTGTCACAAACCTTAGTAAGGGTCTCTTTGTTCTTGTTTTTATAGCACATCTGCTTCACTCTTTGTTTTATTTGTCGATGACTTTCATTTTAGAGTTCTGGTTTTTACTTGACCTCAGTCATGTATTCTCCTCCTATGATTTAGAGGTGAAATGGTTTGTTGTTTTATCAAAAAAAAAAAACTTAATTATACAGTATAAATGTGACTAGCATTGTATTGCCATGCTGTCTCTGTAAACACCCTCTTCTCCCAGAGGCCCCATTATAGTTTTGCTTCATGTAACTCTAATGATGACACTGATTACGTTAATTGTTATGTTCAGCTCACAGCCTCTTACCTGCACGATCTCTTTCACTTTTGCCTTGTCTGTGCTGATCTTTGCACGTGCTAGACCGCCAATGTTTTCTCCGATCCAGGTGATGAGGGTAAACTTTGCTCGTTTGCTCATGGCGTCTCCTGTCGTGATCCGGATGAAGCCGAACAAACGGGCATCATCTGAGGGAAGAGACAGAAGAAACTGAGCGAACAGATCGAAGGTGTTCATATAGCTCATATTAAAAATGCACACGCTTAACTGCATTCATGGAAACATAAAATGTTCTGAACTGCACTCATACAAAAACCATTCAACAGAACATGCACACGCTAACATCATATGACAGAAAGAGGTACTTCTGCTTTAATTCTGTTCTTTATAAATTCAATCAAACATGTTTATTCTTATTCCAGAAAAAAAGTGTCCATGTTAGTTTCTACATCTGTATCCTGAAAATGTAACCCATTTATACTGGGATCAGATCAGCTGAGTCCTTCATCGCCAGAGGACTCATACTTGATTTAACAGAAACACCGTAACAGCTGTAAATGATTGGCCAAGTCTGTTTTAACACCTGGCAGGTACTAACTGACCCCCTGTCATGGCCATGCTCAAGTCTTCCATGAAGAGTGGACCATAACTGATAGAGCTTTTGTAGGGAAACACAATCACAACATCTCCTTTTCATGACAACCATTTAGGAATCAGATTTCAAAGCACTGCTGATCACTATTACAAGACAAAAAAATAGACCTGGAGCCATAATCTATTTTTGTTAATCACAAGCTGTAGTGAAGCTGCCTGAGAATCTTCCTGCAGCCACAATGATGTAAATTATCGACACCATCAGCTTTCAAATCAACTTCCAGGTGGCTCAACTGAGAAATCAAAAGTAATCTGCAAGCTAAACATACAGATGCAGCTAATCATGTTTAGTTGGCAACTGCATCAAAAAAAGCTGACAGAGTAAATCACCACGGACCCGTGGAGGAAAACTTTAATATATCAAAGAAACAAAGAAAGCAACCAAAGTGGAACTTCTAGAAACAGCTAGTGCTATTGCATTAACAGGGAGTGACCAGAATTATCTCAGAGCAGCTGCACATCACTGTGACACTGATTGCCCATTTTGTACAAGCAGTCCCGCAAATTTAAACACACTGTAATTCTAGGTTAAGCTCTCTGAAGCTGTCTTTCCCCTTCAAGTCATGATTACAGACCACACAGGAGTATAAGTACAGCACTGATTTGAATGGTTAATGTAATAATAAAGATCACAAAGTACATTTTATTGCTTTCATTTGATCCTCAAACCAAAATGCTGATGACTGTTTCACATTCTTCATATAAACTTTGAAACTGCTTTGAAAGTGACCTTCATGGGATCACTATTACAATGAATCATTAGTATTAAAACTCTGCAATTAATTGCAGTTTTGAAAATTAATCATTTGACAATCATTTGTTTAAATCATATAAAATTCAATCAAGCAGATTTATACTGACCCAAAAATATGCTTTTGGCCTCTACCAACCAGTAAAACTGTTTAAAACAAAAGCATCGATTTAAATCACCAGAAACACACCGAGCTTCAGTTAGCAGCAGCTCAGCTCACAGCTCCTCCCAACATCCTAAAACCACTAAAGAAAAGTGAAGCAGCACAAAATTTAACATGAAACTGCTTTACTCATTCGTAATTTTTCTGTTTGGTTTCTAAAAGATGCAGAAAACACAAGCAGCTCCTGTAAGATCCTCATTCCATTATGTTACTATTTCAGTCTCACTTAACCAGTCATGCAACACTGCCAAAGCTCATACCCTGATTTAGCTTGTGGCTGCTGTTTTCTTCAATTCGGTGGATGTTTCTGTCGCTAAGCCTCTTGTGTTTCAAATCTTGTACTAATTTCTACAACATTTTCCCACTTTTTGTCTTCTCCTCTCTGCTGTCAGTGCTGTCCTTCCCGCAGATTGATTTAATATGTATGTGATCAAGTTGTCCCTGGTAATGCTTTTGCTACTCAGAATTAACGATCATTGGTATAGGAGGATTATGAAGTCACATATTGTGAATGAATAAGATGAAGATTAGTTTCATCAACACAACATATACTGTAACCACAGTCTGAAAGTCTACCGTAAATGTCTCTGCCCTCTGTGAACAAAAGCAAAATAATTAAGTGCTGATGAATAACAGATGAACTCATAGCTCTGCCTTTGTTGTTCTGTGTGTTTGTGTGTGTGTGTGTGTGTGTACATGTACATGTGTGAGTGTATGTGTTTGTCCAAGCATTGAGGAAATATACAGGCCAACACACTAAATGAATCAAATGTTTTGTGAGGCCCGCAGCTGTGTGTCACAGACCTCTCTGATACCATGCTGGTTGATCTCAGGTGGTCCTCTGACTGTAAAAAGGACACACAACCAGTCTGGAGCTTAAATTTGTTTCCTGTATTTTGTCAATGCAAGCAGGCATGTCACTCACACTGAACCAACCTGAAACTGGAGGCTTAAGCAAAATAAAAACACTGGGGAGGAAGAAAAACCTAAAAATCCTTCTTTGATTTAATTTTTGTTACACAATTATGTGTACATCATCTCTAATTCATTTCTGTATTACTGGATACCGAGACAACTACGCATCAAAAGACTGTGACGTAGCAGCTGTGAGAGGAAAAACCTGTGTTATAAGAGACAACTCCCAACTAATAAGGGTAACTTGTAACAGGTTTGTAACATAACTGGGTGTAGAAAGGGCACCTCAGAGAGTCTCAGAAGTAAAGATGGGAAGATGTTCGCAACCTTGAAAAGCTGTTTTCATTCATTTCACATAGCTCCCCAATGTTTTGGGGGACTGTGGTTGTATTGATTGGTTTAATACTTGGTATAAAATGCTTAACACAGACAACAAAGTTAACCCTGAGTCAGATTTCTTGTATGTGTCCACAAACTTGACTGGAGGGATTGATCATCTTTCTCAGGGTTACATCTCCAACTGGAGCCAGCACACCAAGAACCCGCCACAATTATCCTACAGGAGCAGGACTAATCCATCAGCTTTAAAGCAAGCTGTGACATTATTTAATTTAAAAAATAACCTGTGGGGAAATCTTTCTGCCTACAAATGAACAAAATTAATTATAAATCTAATAAGCCCTCTTCTAGGCTCCTGCTATCATTAAAACAGGATGTAATAACTATCATATCTGCAGGCAGACAACACATCTAATAACATGTCATAAACTAACTGCTGAGATTGCTGGTTGTCAGATAAGATTATGAAAATGGTACATGCACACTATGACAGACGTGTTGAAACTGATAAAAAAAATCCTCAAGTTAAACTTCATGACTGGTCTTTCATATAGTATCAGTGAGATTTATGAGTATCAGCGATTTAAAGCACCACGGCAAAGAAGAAAACTGCAAAGGGAGAGCCAAGTGAGTCTGAAAAGCTTTGCACTGATGTCTGTTTTTCCTGTGATGGCTTTAGGGCATTTAACAGGTACACGCTGTTTCAGAAACTTCATTTAGATTTATTTGTACAGTGAAGACAAACTGACAGTTTTAGAAGTCAAATTGTCACTTTCCCCACTTCGCTGTCTGACAAATACACTTCGACTGTGTTGTTGGCTCTGTCTGCAGGCTATGTGTCATTATGTAACAACAACATGAGCAGATTGTGGTTCTTTGTCTTCCAGATGTTCCTGCCCTGTGTGACTGACAGAGGCTTTCTTTACCCGGACAATGAGCTGCCGGGCAAATCCTCACAAAGAACAGTCAAAGTACTTACAGAGAGATATCTGACACTCACATTTCCTTTCTGGGTCAGAAGAGGATGAAATCTACATGTTAATGGCTAATGATAGGTGGACGCACTTGACTCCATCCGCACGCTGTCTAAGAGCCAGCTTTTCTTTAAAAAGACCTCTGCAATGCACCACTGACTGACAGAAATCCAGCCAAAAAGGCTGTGACCTAACAGAATGTGAGAGGACACCCTGTGTTTACAGAGACATTGAGTTTTTGCCTAAGCCAAGCTTATCCTCTTATAATTCAGTGTTATAATTACAGACCCCCCTCCACACACACACACACACACACACACACAACCATGAGGGACAAAAGAGAGCCAGAGCTCTTTTAATCTGTTGTATGTTGTATTTTCTTTCATTTTTTTTTTCATTGTAGTGAAATTGAATACAAGTGGTAAAAACTGAAGCAGAGGAGTAATCGTGACTTTTGGTAAGGCTCTGAAAATGTTGCATCCTGAGGGAAAACATCTTTAAACTCCACACCCTTTTTGCAGCACAGGGTTTCATATGAGCTGCTCAAGCAGGAGCAGAGAAATCACAACAAGGGAATTTATTTTTACACTTTATAAAGCTTCCACCAGAGCCGCAAGGATATTGAAAACATATTTATAATCAACAAGAAATTGTAAATGAAAAAATCCAGCTTTTGTTTCAAAGTTTCAAATTCATGTGAACTCAGTACAGAGAAAACTAGTTATAAGAGCCACTAGAGGTAAAAGGAAGTTTAGTATGCTTGTTGTATCATTGTTCGTACTATGAAACTGTTTCAGTTCTCTATAGCTATGACTTGTCGTTGAATCAATTATGTTCATTTGTTACGCTGTGTACATAAATTACGCAAAACATTAATTGTTTTCTGGATCACTGATGGCCTAGTCTCCTCAACTCACCATGTACAGAGGCAAAAGTCCTCATTGCAGTGTTTTCTGGTCCAATGTCCTTCCCCACTCTCTATTCTCACATTTCCTGTCCCTTCAGCCGTCCTATCTAAAACTGTAAAAATGCCTAAAAATATAACTTTAAAAAACAAACAAAAATTTAATTGTTTTCTAGGTGCTTTCTTTCTCTTTAGACTGGTCAATTAGTCAGACTTTGAGACCATCCTCATTTTTAGTCCTTTTTTTTTTAGACCTTTGACACCATCACTCCAGGGCCACAATGGACTTATTGGATTGGGGTGGTCCAACCAAAGGCACTGGTCTTTTCAGGTGCATATTCCCACTCAAAAAGCTTTTTTTTTTGTACAATTTTGGTCCCAACCAGTAAAATCTTGTTGAACTATAATAATTACTGTATCAAAAAGATTTCGTATTCATGTGTGCAGGTTTTAAAGTAAGTGCAAAAAGGGGAAGTTCACATTTACACTCGATAGTACCAACAATTAAAAACGTGTTGCATTAGAGAGTGGTAAATGCTGCAGACAGCCTGTTGCAACACTGCCAAAATTGTTAATTTGAGAATAAATCCTCCCTCTGATCAGGCAAGTAGCCAGCCATAGTTTGGTATTTTGGGACACTATTGGGTAACCAATAAGATTGCAGGAGAGGGGAACATACCACCTCAGGCCAAAACCCTGGACATTCCTCTTCTTCTATCAAACAGAACAAAATAAGATGTGTTCAGTTTGCCTTGTGATTTCCTGTAAAGTGGACTGTGAAGAGAAATCAGCCATGTTAAGATGAAGGGCGAGATAGCTGATTTGGAAACTTAAAAAGAAAAACTGTTTGCAAAATGCCAAAATATGGTGGGCATGATTGCCCTTCAGTCCTTCAGATGTTCCAATCCTTGATTTACAAGAACCACACCATGTAAATAAAACATGTTTAAGGTCTAAAAATGTCAAAACGCCGCAACGAATTTTATGCAAATGATCTGCAACATGTTTAACTTCTAAGGAGTAAAACTCACTTCATCAAAATACTTCCAAACATCATCTGATCCCTTAAAAAAAGGAAACCATCAGCCATATTGTTGATGGTCTTATTTAGTTGTTTTGTTTTTGCTGTTAATGTCAGTCTGTTTCATAACCAGTTAAAAACACCTTACAGGAGCTTTATGTAAGTGTCAAGAGGTCATTCGATTTTTCAGAGCTGCATTGGGAGTTTTTACTGTGAACCCTACAATCTTTATTTACTCTCCTCTCAGATCAGAGGAGCCGCACATCAGCAGGAGCAGCTACTCTGAGGAGTCTTATCAGCACAGCCATAAAGGATGTCAATAGTTTCCACTTCTTCCCTGTTAGTTATTCTGTCAAAGTCAAGGTGAATTACTTTCTTTTGTCTAACTGTCTTTGCCACTGCTTGAGATGCCAAAGAGGAACAAACACGGCCCTCACCCCGACCTGCAGCTAACCCTCACACCCACACTTCCTCCCCCTGCTAGATTCTTCCTGGTTTGTCTTCCCTTTAAAGTCGTGCTGACTCTGCAGCCGGCCCTCAGCCCTGTATAGAAAACTCCAAAGAAACTACCACAATGATGAGACAGCAAAAAGTCTTGTCGGGAGAGACGTTGTTCTGCATAATTTGACTTCATTTTCGCACGCTAAAGGTTAGAGGGTGATATTGTACCTCCTTGTGTCTGCTCTCTCAGAAACTAAGTCCCTCTGCGACAGTGTCTGTAACGAGAGCTGTCCCCTGTGAGCAGAGTCAGGTGGGATTGTGAGGGAGCAAAGTCAACAAGTCAACTCAGGTTCCTGCTCGAGGCAGAATGAGGGGATACTTACATCAGCTAGTTAGCAATATACGTTTCTGAGGCAGTTAATCTCTGATTTTGGCCACCAAAAGGCAGAGATTGTCACTTATGCTCAGATTCCCTTAATAAACTGTCTTTATAAGTATGGTTTGATATCATGAAAGCAGGGTCAGGGACATCACAGTCAGAAGTCTGCATTTATCTGTAAATCAAATGTCTGATAGAAATATTTCACCTCCAGCCAATGATATCATCCAGACATCTTAAGTACCACAAATGTGGGTAGTGATGAATCATGTTCCAGTGTTACCTCCACTACATTACATGCAAATGACTCTACACAGCTAAGCTATCACAATCCCACCGCTAACCATATCAGACACGATCACAGTATCGATTAAAGTTTATTAACTGCTTCAGTGGGAGCCATCAGATAAACCAAGCTCAGTAATCCTAATTTTCATGTTATTTACTTGAAAATACACCACACTTTTTACACTGAACTAACATCAGCGTATAACTGAACTGTTTTCCCAATATATAATTAAAATAATGATTTTCTATCACCATCATTCACATGGGACAAAAACCCACCAGCGGCCTCTGATTGCAGGTTTGTAAAGGTATTTGTTTGTATTGTTCAGATCTGATCAGCTTCTTTGTTTCACAGCAATGTTTCCAGTGTGACTGATCAACAGGTTATTGGTAGATCACCTCACTCTGTCTTGTATTCACCTTAATCAAGACCTTTCACTCGAGAGTGTGTTTGGATACAAACAATCAATACATCAGGATACAGGCTGGGATCTTCACTATGTGATCAATCCAGAAGAAACAATTTCAAAATGGTCACCATGTGGTAAAAGTCAATAAGATTGACCCTCTTGGTAAAAAACTTCCTCTGAATAACTGCTGAGATGTTTCACTATAAGCCGGTAAAAAACCATGACCCGCAGCCTTACTGTACAGCAGAAAACCACACAACGGCTACAAAGCACAGGCTGGCCTGCCTGCAATACACTGCAGTAAAGGAGTTCAGAGAATGCTGCTCTGTAATAATAACAAAATGATATAGAATTTAGGGACACGTGATATCAGATTTTGCTGACAGACACAATGATATTTTCAAACAAAACTTGGCCAATAACAGTAAAGATACACACATATACACTCTTTTTTTTCATTGCAAAGAACACTGAGTTCTCCTGTACCAGAATGTACATGTCACTCTTATTGTGTACATTTAGAAATAAGGCTGCAGCTGGGTCCACCTAGGGGCCTCCACCCCATGGACATGGCTGGACCTCCTTTAAGGGGAGGCACCCAGAAGGTATCCTCATTAAATCCCCAAACTATCTCATCTGACTCATTTCTATGTGAAGGAGCATTGGCTCTGCTCTTCCCCCCGGGTGTCCATGCTTATGACCCTTTCTCTAAGGCAGGGCACGCCACCCTTTAGAGGAAAGTCGTTCTGGCTGCTTGTACCCGCAATCTTTTTCTTTTTGGTCCGTAGCCAGAGGTGAGAGCTGGAACACGGACTGGCTGGTCATTCAAAAGCTTTGCCTTTTGCCTCAGCTCTCTCTGTACTTTAGTTTTGATGCCATCGTTGGGTGTTCAGAGATTCTCAATACAGACTAGCTCTCTTAAAACAACAAATTTCTCACTTAAGTTTAAATACCGATGCCAATTCACATGTTGTTTTGTATTTTTTGTCTGGCTTTAGACAAAAAATAATGGTATATTTGTTTTACAGAGCACTTTTCAAAACCACGTTACACAGTGTTTTACAGGTGCAAAATTAAACAAATTAATAGAACAGGCAGACCATAAAATCATAAATTCATTACACACTCTAAAAGAAATAAAAGAACTTTGAAAAATAATCCAATTAAAATTAAATATTTAAAGCCAAGTACAATCAGAAAAAAGCCATAAAATTGGATTTTAAAGAGATGGCTGGCTCTGCTGGCCTGATGTCCTTGGGCAGTGTTTTCAGTATAAAACACAATGCATAATAAAGCCACACATAAATCTGCTTCTTTCTGTTTGGACAAACTTTGAATTGAAGAAAAAAAAAAACATCTGCAGACACTAAAAAGAAAAGGGAAGGAAACTGATATGTGACAGAGCTGCTTTAAAAGCTGATAAGCAGTGCCTGAACTCAGGACAGTATTTCTTTAAACAAACACATTGTTGAACCACATTGACTACACTTGACTTTTTTACATTTTGTCTGCTGATTTCAAATTCCTGTTGGCATGCTTAAGAAGATGTAAGGAGCGATGCCCTTACATTGATCCAGGTTGTGCACACCAGAGCTGGTCTATTTCACTTCCTCGTTTAGTTTAACATTGCTACTTAAAAGGAACTCTCCTCCTCTTCAAACCTCACTCAAGGATTTCGTCTGCATCAGCTCCTCCTACACTCACAGTTACAACTTCACTGCTAAATAAGGAAAACAAGCCGGCAGACAGGATGATGTCTGATGTGTCATCTCTGAACAGGAACCAATGGCAAACCCACCGGCTGAAGAGTTGTAAAGCACAGTGATAAATGTGTTATTTCAGCATTTCACAGGAATGTGAGCTCTGTAATATCAGGAAGAAAAAAAAAAGGAGCAAGAGCCTGAGGCAGCAAGGTTTGAAGAGAGGAGAAGGCATCAGAAACAGCCACACCCAACATCTGAGCTGATGCTTTGCTCTAGAGGACCCAGACACAGGGGGACTGACGTCGTACAGCACTGTTTCTCTAACCCACTGACAGTCATTATCAGACAGCTCAGTCTTGTCTCTTCAGAAAATTTCTCTCTTTTTTAAAAGCTTTTTCAAGAAGAACTTTGACAATACTTTACTTGATAGCATGGTGATGCCTAGGGGGACAAAATGCTTAAAGGTCAACTCATCTAGAAACATCGCCTTGAGTTTGAAATAAACTTCTACACTTTGGCATTCATGCTCTGGATTATAAGCTGCACAAATGCATAAAGATTGTCTTTTAAAGTGTTTCCTGGTCCTTTAGACATACAGGATATTGTGGAACAGGTTATGCAATGTAATGCATACAGTGTTAAGTGCTTTGAGTGTGTAGTTACAGGGCCCAAGGCCAATGGGTGACTGAGTCTTAAAAGATTAGAGCTCTGCCAAGCCAAGCTGTGTGGTATATAGGCTATTACAGGCCACACACATGCCACACAATGAAGACCAGTCAGCCATATGAGATAAGTCTAACTGAAATGTAACACTGGTGTTGTAAAAAAAAACAAAAAACGCATTACCTGTGCACATCTTCTTGAAGTCCTCATAGTCAGTCCCTTGTCCTGCAGGCACGATCATAGGGCCCTCATATTTGAATGCAGCCCTGGAGGATGCAGATTAAACCATGTAGTTATTTTCACTCAGTGTCTTACTCAGTCTTATGATCTGTTGATTCACAACAATAGCGTGATGTGCACATCGGACCCATTTTACAACACGCAGCGATGCGCAGAATACCAAAGACGCCCATGCAAGGTGGCAGCTGTGTGTCAGCCATGTGTGAGTGTCACTCCTCTAACATTATCCTCTATGAATACAGGACAAAGGAAATTACTTCTGCCCCGCTGGGCCTGATAACAGTGCGGTGTGTGACCGCTGAACAGCCAGAGTACAGATCCGCGAGAGCAGGACTCTGTGAGCTACATGAAAAGCAGATAAAATGTTAAACAGAGAGCCTGCAGTCAGGGTTTCATGTGTACAGAGTTTAACAATTCAGCAAGGTGTCTGCGGCTGGTAAACCCCCGGTGTGCCAGCCCAGCGCATATTCAGAGGAAGAACCGCCTTGAAATAAGGGGAATTTAAAGTAATCATGTTGATTACAAACACTCACAGGTTAATTACTTGAAAGAAATGCATTTACTGTGTCCTTATGGAGTAATGTTTCATTCGGCTTGCTTCAAGCAGGCTGAACAGGGATTGCCTGAATAAAATGTCAACTTTTATAAAGGGTCCGTTTCTCATCTTCGTATAGTCTCCGTCGCAGAGACAGCGCAGTGGGCGTTAACATGCTGTGTGAATTTCAATTAAAACTGAGATTTGGTCGAAACGCCGATTACCTATGAAGGTAAATTAATGCCGAATTAGATATTTCAGTGTCCATATGATGCTACGGTTTAGTATATTACGCACAACTCATTTTCTTATGTTCAATACCGTACAGAAGTTAAAACTCTCATTTGACAAAGGGAGTATGGATAAGTGACCACGTCCCCACACTCACCAGTTTGTGTCCGTGTTATCGTCTCTGACTTGGTTGTATGCCTCTCTGCAAGCTTCTTTATCGATTGTGGTTGCCATTTTTCAGTTGGACGGAAGTCAAATTCAGTGAAGTCGACGCTGAATTTAATCTACACAGTATTAATAAAGCTGATAACTTCTGCAGCTGGTGTCACGCATAAAAAACTCTGAATGATAATGCTACACAATGGGCTTCCATCCAAAATCACGACCACTGCACTGGAGCACAAGATCCGTCAGGCTCAGGAGAAACACACGGCTCTTCTTCTTCTATCAGCTCCGTTCATTTCCTGTATTTCTCCTCTTTATGGGCGGAGGTGATGGTAGTCGATCAGGTTGCAAGAGCAGAGACAGAGGAGTCCACCAGACGCTGGATTCACCGTCTCCCTCCTGTAAATGGTCAATGTGACAGGGCCGTTACCAAGGCAGCGGTGACATACAACAGCTGTTTCCGGTATGAAATATCAAGATAAAATAAATGAACGTGAAAAAAAAACAAAAACACCTTTTTCCTCTGAAACATAACTTAAGCCACAACACACTTTAAGGCTAATACTTAACAGCAAGATAAGGAATGATGTGATAAAATAAAATGGGGTATAGTTTATTTATTCATCTATTTCATAGGGGGAAATAAATTCTTACACAGAACAAGATAATTATAAAATGTTATTATCATTATTATTATTATTATTATTATTATTATAAAATGATACTTTGGGAATGTTAGTATTATTATTGTTGTTGTTGTTATTATTATTACTATTATTATAAAATTAGACTTTGAGAATTATTATTATTATCATTATTACTACTCTTATGCAGAAACCTTTATCAATTTTCCTACAGGATACCACCAGATCCAAGTCTGACCATATCATTAATAATAATTGAAAAGATAAAACACAGTTATAAAATGTGTTTGTTTTTGTTTTTCAGTCCCCAATTTGCAGCAGAAGTTCATTTACCCAATTTAAGTAGTGCATGATTGAGAGAAGAGTCATGTACAGATATCATTTCTAGGAAACTGAAGAAAAAAAAATCAAGAACAATATTATATTGAGAATTCAGACTTGAATGGGGAAACAACTGAAGGGTGATCCTTGATCCTTGTGAGAAATATAGTCAACAAATAGATTATATAAGTGCAGTATCAAAACGGAATTTATTCTGAGGCATAGTTTTATGTTTAATTTTGAAATACACTTTTGATTTTCTGTCATACAAAAGGAGAACAGAGTAAAGAATAAATGTGTCAGGTCGTTGGGCACTATTATTTTGAAGGCAAAACAATCTGTTTCCCCTTTTAAAAATGGGAAACTTGACACAGTTCAATGAAAAAGCAAATTTTTGCATTTAAAAATGACAATAATTTTATAAAATGGTGTGTCATGAATTAAAATAATGAACCAAATAACGACAATCGAAGTTATCAAAGGAAAGATTCAATAGAGGACTCCTGCAATATTGGACAGTGAGATCGTAACGCTGTTTCTTGCAAAAACGATCATCGTAAAAGCCGAGTTGTGAGCATAGACGTATAAATATTCATCTACATAAAAAATATTCAACTCTTTTCCACACATTCATCTTTTCATTGAATTCATTATTTATCGTCGGCAGGAGTGGGTTGGGCGCGTGTGTTGGCCACATGTGATGAAAAGAGCCACAGGGCAACGGGGGTCAGCATACAGCACGAGGTCAGAGGTCACTCAGCCCACCAGCTTTACCCGACTTGCTCTGGTCAGGTCACCGACGATGGTAAGGTTTGAGCAGAAGGATCACCACCACTTCCCGGCACCAAGTAGTCTGTATGAGATCCTTCTCCTAGGAGTGCCAGTTTCTATAATTTCACCACCACGCCCCCTGCTGGTTCTCCAGCATCCAACACACCCAAACATTCAGAGGGAGTTCTCACTAACTGTAACTAGTAATTATAACAAAAACTATAGTCAAAATAGTATTAAGCAGCAGTGAACAATGACATAAGCGATCAAATAGTCATCTCATGTAATATATAGACTAGTACATAGAAGAGTAGACAGTGCAACATAAAAGTATTACTCTGGAAACACACAAGTGTCTGCCTCTCGATGTATCTATTACATTTCAGCTTGAAACACCAACAAACCAGTGACATTGTCAATTTGTTTGGGTTTGCCCATTTTATAAGTAAAAAACCATAACATTTAACGCTGTGATAGCTGAAAGTTTTTAAATAGTTGGATTTTATAGTAGGAATTAAAATTAGGTTGCTCTAAATCAATACATGAGCCCAGCACTTGAAATGTGAGGATGATTCTTTTCTCCCAACTGTTTTAAAGGCCGGGGCCAAATGTTATTCTTATTTTCATAATGATGGTTCAAACGTATAAAATGAACTGACAGATGATCATATTGACCAGGAAAAAAGACTGAATCATGTTTCCCCATCCATAATTCAGTCTGCCGTTTTCTCCACTCATTCCTGTATATAATATATTTATTTTCCTGCAACCAAATCGAAACACTCAATAACATTTGTAGTTGTGAATGTAACCGTAGTGAGCTGACGGTGATTGGTCCATTAGATCAAACGGATATCCGAAATCTCTCGCACGATCAACGTTTACGACTTCAAAATAAGACTACCACTACCGCTGATAATTTGACTTAAAGTCTACTTTTTAGAAGAGAATCGATTTTTTTATATGTCTCATTGGAGTCCAAAATATCTTAAACTTTTAACACAGTCTTCAACATAATAGCAGTAAGGCCCCTCAAAAACATAAATTAAAGTAGTGTAGACTAAATATGGTTACATGTACAGAGAAAGATGCTATAAATTTCTGTGAAATTTCAGTTTATATCACATATTTTGTAATTAGCCTGCCGTTTTATAGAAGTACCTGCCTTGGGACCATGCATAAAATTTTGATGTTGCGCTTACTCCAGTATACTCCATACCATATTATAGTGGTCATGTGACGGATAACTTTATTTTGAAAATCTTAACCGGAAGCTAATTTGTTTATATCGGCATCTTGGTGATGTGCTACGACGACGTCTGTCATATTGCTCCCGAAAACACAAACCTTTCGATAACAAGGTAACAGAAAACTGAAGTGAAGAAGTCATTTTTGTAACATGTTTCGGTGTGTGTCATCTTCATAAAACCGCCTCACTGTGCTCGTTTAACCCAGAAAACCCTTCCGCCTCCAGCTGGTCCTTTCTGAGACGCAGTCTGGTTTTTCTGTCAGATGTCCTCAGATTTTGCAAATGTGAGAGCCAGAGACTTTAAGACTGTGACATATTTTCAGGATGTAAATCAGTCCGAGACTAAACAGGAGATTCTCTCTGACTGTTTGTGGCTGACTGGAAACCAAACATACATGCAGAAAGATGAGACCAGAGACAAACCACTTACACCAGTTTAGGTTTCTAGTTTATGAAGTTTGTTTTCTTATATTAGTAAAGCACAATGTCTGATGTCGGTTAATACCAGTATCTGCCTCTTTGTCCGTGACTCTTAGATGATGCCAGCCTAGAAGACAAGGACAAAATGGACAATGGCAAAGCAAGTCGTGTGTGTCGACCCCACCGGATCAGTGAATCAGCCAAGGTGTGTGCGTGCGTGTGTGTGTGTGTGTGTGTGTGTGTGTGTGTGTGTGTGTGTGTGTGTTTGTGTGTGTGTGAGAGAGAGAGAGAGAGAGAGTTACACTAACTTAGTGGTTCATCAGTGAGAACAAATAAACTGGAGCTCAGTTCAGAGTTTTATTGTTTAATAGTTTGAACTGATTTGTGAATGAAAATGGTGGTTAACAATGTTTCATAGCTAACAAAGGTAAGATATTATGAACACATGAATGTAAATGTTAGAGTGAAAATACAAGTGAACCACAGAAGACATTAGTCAAATGACAGAGGGGGTGTTACACTCATTGTTATGCCTCATATTGTTCCTCTGGTCGCTGTGTTCACAGCTCAAAATATTCCCTCTTAGATTGGGATCTTCGATATAAAACATTATATTAGCCTTGGTCTGAATATTTCATTTCAGTCTCTTCAAAGCACTTCAAACTCTCCAGAAGCTTCATCCACTGTTGCCATTCCACAAAATAGGCATGTCAAATCATGATATATAGCTAGTTGTGTGCATTGTACCTCAAACCTGACTCAGAAAGTAAAAAACAAACAAACATATGAGCATTTTGTTTACTGTGTCCTTTTAATGAGACAAACCAGCTGGTCTCAAATTGGTCTCATCTCATGTGGCTCTTGCTTTGCTCTCGTGTGGCTTTTGAAACAGGCTGTTAAGAGCAGATTACAGTCTCATCGTGAGATTACTACAACAAAAAAACTACCTCACAGTTTGAAACTTTTCCTACCTTTAGTGTTGATATGCAACACTTACACTGATATTTGTAGAATATGTAAAGAGCTCAACACCACCTCTTTAAACTAAAGTATCAGGAGCTATGAGGCATCCAAAAACCAGGCAGCTCCATTGTCCTCAAACGTGTTGTGTTGTTTTTGTGTTGTGTTGGCAGGTTTTCCACTGTGTGGACCAGCCTGTGGAGGTGCTGCAGGGCCTAAACGAGCAGCGGCAAAGCAACCAGTTCTGTGATGTGGTGCTGGTGGCAGACGAGCAGCAGGTCCCCGCTCACAGAGCCCTGCTGGCGGTTTCCAGCCCGTACTTCCACGCCATGTTCACTCTGGGTATGAGGGAGGAACGCCAGCAGGAGGTGAAGTCTACTGAAAAGATTTTATCTATAGGGAAAGAATAAAAGAGGGAATTTTAGATATACAATGTTAATCTCTCTTTGTAAACCTCAATCTGTGTGTATGAAATTTTAAAATTGTTCATGTTGTGATGTATACATTGTAAGAACATGATCAGTTGTACATCGATATTATCAAACCACTGGTTTACCACCATTATCTTCTTCTTCTCTGCAGGTGGAGTTGGTTGGGGTCTCCTGTATAGGTCTTAAAGCTGTATTGGACTTCTTGTACAGCGGTGAGCTGGCATTGGATGGAGGAAACATAGACTATGTTCTGGAAGCTGCTCACCTCCTACAGGTGAGACTCCATCCAACACATGATATCAGATGTAGAGAACCATTTCTCTAGATAGTGTTTATTTCTCTGTATGTTTTGTAAAATAAGAAAGGTAACACTTCAGTGCTCTTGTGTTTCAGGTGTGGCGAGTGGTGGATTTCTGCTGCCAGTATCTAGAGCGTGAGGTGAGTGAAGACAACTACCTCTACCTGCAGGAGCTGGCTCTGCTCTACAGTCTGGAGCGACTGGACACATTTATTGACCACTTCATCCTCACTCGCTTTGCCACGCTGTCTTTCACCCCTGATTTCCTGCGTGACATTCCTTTCCACAAACTCAACTCCTACCTCTCCAGTGGCCAGGTGAACACTCTACCTGTAAACCACCCCAACACACCATGATCCACAGCATGTTTACTGTAAAGACTTGTGCAGTAAGAGTGACTACTCTCTTCATCTCCAGGTTCAGCATGACAGTGAGCAGGCTCTCCTCCAGGCCTCGCTGCAGTGGCTCAGCCAAAGTCCAGAGCGTACCCACCACGCCAGACAGCTCCTCTCCCACATCCACCTCCCTCTGATGCCTGTGGGGGATCTGGTCGGTCGGGTGCTGCCAGTTGTGCAGGCCCTGTTGCCTGAGGAAGCTGGCTGTGAGGCTCTGGTGGAGGAAGCCGTGGGGTATCACACCAGACCTAGTGCTCAGCCGCTTTTGCAGACAGGACGGACTACGCTGCGGGGAGAAGTAGAGTGTCTGCTGCTGATTGGAGGAGAGGTAAAGATATTGAATGAAGCAGGGCATCACTTTGGCCCAGTTTGTGGAGCTGACACTTCATGATCGGAGGCTACAGTCCTCATCACACTGGTTGAAGAAACTATTACCAGTCCTGTCAGTATTGGGTAGAAAACAAAAGGAGGAATCCAACCTAAACTTCACCTGACCCCTCGACAGCACAGACACCGTTATAAGAGCCACAGACAAGAGTTCTGACAGGGTTATCAGTTTGACTCAGTCACATGAAGCTGCACTCTGGTGGCTCAGCAAGCCCTAAAACCGGATTCAAAAGTGCCCTCTCCTCTGGTTCGCTGACTGTGTGCTGTGTTGTGGCACACCTGTCAGACTTCCCTGTCAGATGTGTTGGCAAATGTCACAAACGTGATTGGAGGCACCACCAACACACCCCCACATCATGTGCAAACACAATTTCATGCATACACAAAGCAGTCCAAAAAGGGTTAATCTTAGTGAGCAAGGTAGCACAATTTTTGTGGATCAGCAGTATTTAGGTAAAGCACAATCACACACACAAAAACAAGCAGGACAGGGTGGTTATAAAATCATAACTTTGTGCTCCAGCAGGTTAATGGCTGTTTCATATTTTAGGAGGGGGTGATTAAACAGGCATTTTTTGTCAGGAAAATAGAAGGGCACATGGATTGCTGCCTGACCTGACCTGCTTTGTGAAGTCATTATCTTCAATCTTTGCTTGAACAGGAGCTTATCAGAAATCTGTTACCACTTCTGTTTACATCTTCAGGTGTCGGAGCGTGGAGAGGAGCTGAGTGCAAATGTTAGCAGGCTGGACAGCGAAACAGGAAAGTGGGAGGTGGAGACAGAGCTGCCTGCCCAGCGGAGCCACCACTGCCTGGCAGTTCTTGGGGGTTTTATCTTTGCTGCAGGAGGCAGCTCATCCAGAGACAACGGTGGAGATGCTGCCTGCAACCTGCTGTACAGATACGACCCCCGTCATAACCAGTGGACCAGGGTACTGTTCCAGAGCCAGCTTTTATCTCAAATGAAAAACTCTGTGGGGGAATTTAAACAGATACTAAATAATCTATTAAAGGAGGTGATCTTAGATAGAGCCAAATAAATCTGACACCCCTCAGCTGCTTTTGCTCTGTCAAACATCCTGTCTATAGAAGTTTTTCGTTGACGGTGTGTTTATTTCAGGGTGCTTCAATGAACCAGCGGCGAGTGGACTTTTACTTAGGGGCGGTTGGAGAGTGTCTGATTGCTGTTGGAGGGAGGAACGACACCGGAGCTTTGTCCTCTGTGGAGGTTTATTATCCTGCTGAGGACTGCTGGACCTATGTAGCCGGACTGCCCAGGTAAGAGAACATGAAAACACCCAGTTTGATGTTTAATTGGAATTTTATTTTGTGTCCACATAACGTTATCTCCCTAACCTGTTACAGTTCAGCACATGGTAGCTGCTGACCTCATTGAAATATCAAATCCAATTTTGAATGAGTGCTGTAAAGTACAGGATGTCATCTGTGATGTAATGCTGAGGTATCTCTCTTCTGATAAAAGCCCATCCGCTCTGATAGTGAACGTTTTCATGCTGTTTCATGAAACAAACGTGCTGACTCTGTGTCAACTACTTGTGTGATTTCTTTTTTAATCTCTATTTTCTCTATTTTTAAAAAGCATGAAGAACATCAAATTTGTTTTTGTACATTAAATTTCAGGAATAAAAGACACCAATTATGCATGGAGCTAATTTAGTTGATTCAGTTGACCTTTCCAACTTTTAATAGTTTATCAAGTATTGGATTTTCACTTTACAATGTCAGAGCAGCAGATTTGATGGAATTAAGATTATTTATATGTATAACAAATTGATGAAGGTCCTAAAGTAATATTAGTCCTGTACGTAGAGCTTTGATTGCTGTGGTTAAAGTTTCTGAAGATGTAGGATTTTTCGTCACCCTTACATTTGTATTTGACTTCCTAATTCTCGTCACTCTTAGGTTTACATACGGCCATGCTGGAACAGTCCACCACGGTGTTGTCTACATCTCAGGCGGTCATGACTATCAGATTGGCCCTTACCGCCGAGATGTCCTAAGTTATGATCCCTCCAGGGACAGTGATGTTTGGGTGGAGCGCCAGGCCATGTCTCTGGCCCGGGGCTGGCACTGCATGGCCTCCCTCAACCACCTCATTTATGCCGTCGGAGGCAGCGATGACCATGAAGACACCACAGAGCGCTTTGACATCCTACAGGTGGAATCCTATGATCCTCGCAGCGGACAGTGGACCCAAGTGGCGCCGCTGCTTCTGCCCAACAGTGAGGCGGGACTCGCTGTGTGGACGGGGAGGATCTATGTTCTTGGGGGTTACAGCTGGGAGAGTATGGCTTTCTCAAGAGCCACTCAGGTGTATGACCCGGACAAAGGTGCGTGGTCTAGAGGGCCAGACCTGCCTAAACGCATTGCTGGAGCGTCAGCCTGTGTGTGTACTGTAAAGGCCTCTTTGTCATCACCATCTAAAGAGACAAAAAAGATTGGACAAGTCATGGCGGGAAGGTCACGCCCAACGTAGAGCTGATATAATTGTTTTTTCAAATGTGTTTGAGGACGCAGGAAAATTTAGGAAATAATTTGATCACCAGCCTAGAGGCACAGCAGGGTCTGAACACAGTCTGTGCTTCATTTCCTTTCACAGTTACCCATTGTCTGAAGACTCCAGTATGTCGGTATAAAAGTGTCCCTCAAAAGAGCAGGACACATGTCTCTACTTTTCTTATTTATAAACAACCAGTGCAGTATTTTTAAGTGAACTTTTAATGTGTGTGTTCACTTTTAAAAAAATTATTGAGACCTTTGACTTTCGTTACATGCAGTTTTCCTTAACATTGTTATTTTGGCGTTACTTTGTGTCACTGCAGGAACGCAGCACTGTGGCAGCAGACAGCTGAGCTGAGCTGAATATATAATGAGCTCACCAAAAGCTTTTCTATGTGAACCGTACCATGAGGAGCTTTTTGAAGACCAAAGGTGGGCACAGTTTATCAACAATTAAACTATATTAACCAGCAAAGACAATAACTTTGACAATCTGTTAGTTCTGTTCAAAATGAACTGAGGTTAGTGGTAAACTAGCCATGAGTTGGATTTTCCGTCCACTTAAATAAAGGTTGGGTGATACCCGGCAGCAATCAGAGGTCCCCTTTATCTGGTGCTAAAATATTATGAAGTCTGATGCAGATTCAGTATACTGCATAACACACTTTACAAACACATCACTGGGGCTACTGGTGACAGCAAGGGAATCAAATTGACCGCACAACTCCTAAATATATGTTCTGCTAGAGCACAAACTCTGCTCAGAAAGCTTGTGTTTAAGATGTTAAATTAGACCAAATCTAACAGGAGTTTAAGATTTGGATTGTGGTTTATTTCAAAATAACCTCCACAATGAAAATGATTAAAAGAAAATAACTTACTAGATAAACTGGCATATGTCCACCTCTGGTGAAGGTCGATAGAGCCGACTCTTGCTATGTCAAATGACCTGGATTGAGGAGCCATCAATAAGAGAATCTATGCTTGGATGAAAAGAGGATTCAAACACTGCACTAACATGGTAAAATGGATTATAGACAACTTAATCTTTTACCGAACCTGGATCGTGGTGACCTTCACCAATACAGCAAGAGGGGGAGCCGACTGCCTGATTTCTAACATCTTAATGTTTGTGTGAATTGTAACAGAATTAACAAATTAACTTTTATCAAAGCTGACTTCTTTCATAAGAGACCAATAGTTAACAAAGATCATTTTGACAAACGGTGTCCATCTCTGGCTGTAGCATTCAAACATCTCGTTTTGAAACAGAAACAAGAGCACGTAGGAGCCTGTGAACATTCATGATGTGTGATGTTATGAGGGTAACTTGAGGCCTGGATAGTTCTTTAAAGTGTGGGCATTTATTTTAAGTCAACAGACTGGTTTGAACTGACGTCCTCCTGTCACCAAAGCACATGTGACATTCATATGTAACTCGCTTTTCCAGGGTGCCTATCTCAACACACTGTAATTGATCTGTGAAGTTGTACATATATATAAACAGTGGTTATAAAAGGTCCACACACCCCTGTGAAAATGCCAGGTTTTTGTGATGTGGACAAATGAGACAAACATAAATCATTTTACAATTTTTTTACAACCTTTCTGTGACCTCCTTCAAAAAAAAACTTCTGGTTAAGCCGGTGTTTTATTGATTTCGACGTATGCTTGTGGTCATTGTCATGCTGAAAGATGAAGTTCCTCTTCATCTTCCGCTTTCTGGCAGAAGCCCGTTATTTGTTACTGTTCGCAATCCCCTCCAGCTTGACTTAGGCCCCGGTTACAGCTGAAGAAAAACAGCCCAAAAGTATGATGCCGCCACGATCATACTTGACTGTGGGTATGCTGTTCTTTTGGTGATGTGCAGTGTTGTTTTTGTGCTTCCCTGGAATTATGGCCAAAAAGTTCCATCTGGTTTCATCAGACCATGATACATTTTCCCACATGCTTTTAGGACACTTCAGATGTGTTGGTTTTTGCAAAACTTTGATGTTTTTACTTGACAAGAAAAATTTTTTGTCTTGTCAACCTACTCCATAGCCCAGACATATGATGAATACAAGGGATTGCTGTCACATGTACTACTACTTAGTTTCTGCAGCTCTTTAAATGTTGCTGTTGGCCTCTCGGTAGCCTCCCTGACCATTTATCCTTGTCTCAATATTTTACATCACAAAAATCTGGTATTTTAACAGTAGTGTGTCGACTTTTTATGTCCACTGTAAATTAATAAAAGAGTGTAAAATTGAAGCATCTTGGAGTTTTTGCATTTTATACAGTTGTACAGTTGTACAATACTTACATGTGAAACCACTGAAACTATTAACTGACAACGCTGAACACACAAAACATGTCAAAAACAAAGTCTTTTATTCATCACAGGGAAAATACAATATAAAAAAGTTTGTCTTTGCTGATACTTTAGTCACGGTCATAACTCACTTTGGAAAGTGAATAGCTTTTTTAAAAACTCTCCTCTTTGTCATCACATTGCATTGTTGAAAATAATCTGTAAACAAGCCACTTAAGGGTTTTAATGTGTGATTCTGTTGAATATGATGCTGGTCTGAGTTGCTATTGACTTTAGTTAATCCAGTTTCCTCTGGTCTTGCTCCTGGATGCCTCATACAAAAGGGTAGTATGGATGAGACTTTACCCTGAAATGAACACAACAACAACACTTATCACACTGTAAATGATGAGACCAATACCTTGAAAGGACCGTGCAAATACGTACTCATCAAGCCTGCATGACCTCCACCCTCGGTCCAGTCCTCGCAGTGCTGTCATATCTTCTTCAGCCAGATTGAAGTTAAAGATCTGTGCAAAAACAACAACAGCAAAGAGCAAGGCTTTGGCAACAAGGTTTACCAGGCAGCCTGAGGAGGGTCTTCTGTGACGGTCTAGCTCACAGTATATTGGTAACTTTCTAAATCATATACCGCAGGGAGATTTTACCTTTGTGTTTTCAAGGATGTGATGAGGTTTGTCACTCTTAGGGATGACCGAGATCCCCTGCTGCACATGGTACCTCAGCAACACCTGGGTGAACATCACAGGTAAATAAACTAACATGTTCAACCACATTACAGTTTTAACGGCTCACAAATCACACAGACTGACCTGCGCAGGACTGCGTCTGTGCTTTTTGGCGATATCTGTGACAACTGGATCCTCCAGGAGTTTGTGTGGATCAGTGTCTCCTCTGAATCTGAGGTTTTCAAGACAAAAAGACAAGAGCACAGAGTTAATTTTTCTACAAATGATGATGTCCAACTGCATCGTCAGCAACATCATGGGACTGCACCTGCAGCCAGTTGTGCTGATGTCCCTCATTCTGCGTTTTACCAGACTACTTCATACTCATTGAGTTTAATCTCAGAGGTTTTAGATCAGATATGGTTGATATGGACAATCAAATCATTGGCATAGGATAAGGATGCTTTATAAGAACAGAAGCAGGTTTCTCCACACATCCCAAAGACAACTCAACTTTGACAACAAAAGTAGTTCCTCTGCAAAGAATGATAAGCAAAATTAGCTACATGACATGGTTATGTGGCAATTAATGCGTTTTTTGGAAAACAAACATTTATCCTAATTTATCTAAATTCAATGAAGTACAGTTTATGATAACACTTTATCTGTCTTCATCTCCATTGTCCCTATGTGCAGATGTTAATGTGCCAATTGCTGAACAAATTACTGTAACCTGGACAAGTAAACCATTTTTTTTCTGACACAAAAATGCCATTTTTTGTAGCTCTAACTCTGCAGTGTAAACACACAAAAGTACATCTTTATAAATGTGCTTTGATGCTAGTATGTGTCTTACAGCTCCGGGGGCCTTCCAGGTGAGCCAAAGGGGCTGAAGGCAGTCAGTGCAATGTTCCTGGATTTACAGAACTCTATTAATTCTGTCTGCACTAGGTAGGGATGAAGCTCCACCTGTGAACCATACCACACCAAACAAACCATGAGTGCATATTGAAGCTGATCTTGATTAAGGTTTGGTCAATTTATGAGACTGGTAGCGGATGATAAGCTAAACGTGCAGCACCTGATTGACAGCAGGAGGCACCCTGCACAAAGCGATTAGTCTCTCCAGCTGCAGGATGTTGAAGTTGGACACACCGATGCTCTTCACTTTGCCCGAGGCTTGTAGGGCTTCCATTCCCTGCAGACACAAAAGATGGCATACATAATAGTTTAAGAAAGACGATGTAGCTTAAAATGACAAAAAGCAGATTTTAATATGTATGTTTTATGCCTCATATGTAAAGGCTACTATAGTTGACTGTGATATTACATTTACTGTATTTTTATTGGTGCATACTTTTTCTTTCATTTTCTATTTTTCATTCATTTTTAATTCGTCATTGATTTGGAGCCATCTGGGAAATTCGGCTGCATTTTAACACAACACAAACGAGCACACACAAACAAATACACACTTACCCTCCATACATCTACATAGTCTATGTCAGAGGTCAGCATCTGTCCATTCTTCTTTGGGAAAAGCTCATCACCCACTTTCTAGAAAGACAATTAGGAAAGGAATAGTCTCTCTTTTTTTCAATGTGGGATCAATTGCCATTTTATTATTAAACCAACCTATAGGCTTCAAAATTGTACATCACACTGGCTAAAGACATCCATGTTAAGGTGAGGATACAGCACAGTTTTAGCTCTGTCACACTATTTTGTTGGTGCATCCTACCTTTAAACCAACAGGGAAATGTATGAGATAAAGATCCAGGTAGTCCAGCTGGAGATCATTCAGAGACTTATTTAAGCACAAAGGGATGTCCTCTGGGGCATGATAGGTCACCCACAGCTAAAAAAGGAACAGCAGTTTAAGAGGAATTACATTGAAATACTACTGAAAGCACCATACCAAACATTAAAAATCTTTGACAATCTATTTACTTACAAATGACTATTTTTCTGAATGTGGTCCTCTCACTAATTCAAGTGCATTTTTGAATCAATCAGAAAAAATATCTTATCATATTTTAACCCAAGAGTGAATTTAGTTTGTCACTTGGCATACTTTACCCTACTCTTTGCACAAAGAGCAAAACATAGAAGTGATGTTATAAAAGACACCTTTTCTCCTCAGTATGTTACTGGTCCTGCTGAGAACATTTCTGCACCCACCTTACTGACGATGAACATGTCCTCTCTTCTAATGATGCCTTGTTGCATCTTAGAGCGCAGAGCTTTACCAATGTCCACCTCATTGCTGTAGCTGTGGGCGGTATCTATGTGGCGGTAGCCGGCAGCTATAGCAGCCTCAGAAGCACACTGGACTGAGGTACGGGGAAGATGGCGGGACTGGAATGAATAAACATCTTTAATGACCTTGTCCACTTGGTTTCATCTTCAATCTTATCAGCGAAAAACATACTCATCAAAAGCTTCAGGCTACATCACAGCCTGCCTGGTTATAGCAATGATTGTGTTTAAAGGCTGTGTGAAACATTTGATTCTAGTTGGTTGAAAACCCAAAACAAGGGAGATAAATTCTGAAGCAACTTCAGGTTTAACCTGCTCACATACATCATACCAAAGTAATCTGTGGAAAAGAGACACCGTTTCTTTTGTTACTCTGCTATAAAATCACAAGTTTCTGCTAACTTGTAAGATGGTAAACATTGAGGCACTGACAGAAGTGACAGTATTTGTCTCAGGCTGGTCTTGAGCGCTGGGAAATTGTAACATTATGCAGAGACACAGATGTGAGAGCAACCTGAGGAGCTACTGGACCCGTACCTTCTCATAAAAGTTTAAAAAATGAGTGTCAATGTGGGCAAACATGTCTGCTTGATGAAAATGTTATATTGCAACAAGAGTGAGGGCAACATCCATGCTACAGCAATTGTGGTAACCGTTATAGCATTAGTATTATGTACTGTCAAAAGAGTGCCAACTGTAAAGCCCAGTTTAACGTTACCAGCAGTGGAAATGTTCAGATAAATGTGGATTATAACACATAAAAGGGGTGATGTTTTGACTTGACTTTGAATTGAAATGTTTGATTTAATGTGCAGCTTTGCGGTTTTGTTAGCTAAATTCACAAAGTCTTTTGGTAATGGGTAAATTGAAGTGATGAGTAGTTGATTGAAAATGTCTACAATGCACCTTTAGAAAAAAAAGATGTTTTATCGTTATCACATCTGGTCCAAATTATTTCTGCTGCTGCTGCTGATCTCTGGATTGCTGGACAGGATCTTCTATCAAGATATCATTAATGTTCTTTACTCTCTGTATTTAAAATACAAACATTAAAAAATTACATTTTGGCCTCAGTGTCATCAGGTAGAGGTGAAATGCACCAGACTCTTTTCTGTACATTGAGTTAATGGGACATTTTAAACAGGTTGTTCCAGTGTTACTTTAGCTGTTGAAAATTAGTCACTGCTGTTAAGGGGTTTTGACCAATTATAATAGGATCATCAACATAGACTAGTTCAATAATAATTCAGTAAGACTAACTTAAAATCAATTTTTTGTAATGGTTTCTATGCAGAGTAATAAGCAGAAAAATATGTGTGGAGAAGGTGGTTATGTGAGCAACAATCACAGCACAGTGAGCAGGATCTCAAAGTGAAGCTGTCAAATATTTTGTTTAAGTATGGGATGTACCCGATGTTCCTCTAAATTTTTTAATCCTTTATCCAATTATTTTATTTTTCAATATCCAGCTCTAGACTACTATACAACATTATAACAGAGCTGGAGCTTCGCATAATTCAAGGTTAAAGCTCCTTAAAACACTGCTTACATTTGACAGCTGTGACCTTCTTTTCTTTCAGCTTTTGGCGAAACATCAAAATGAAACAACTTCATTTACCAACTTATAACTCTATTCGCTTACAATGACGTGGAATCCATATTTGCCCTTTGGCCAAGGTTTATTGCCATTTGAACTTGATTAATTATCTAACAATCGGGATCCAGGTATTTCAAAAGCCTTTTTGAGCAAATTACTTTTCAGGAAATAACTCTTAAACAGTATGGAGGAATATAAACAGTCAACAACATGACAAGAAGAGTATAAAAGGAAACATAAAAATGAGTGTTAAATATACCTTCCATGTCCCTAGACCCAACACTGGCATTCGAGCCCCATCATTGAGCTCTAAGGTCCTGGCCACCTGTGTTTCCTCAGTGGAGTTCATTTACACTCTGCAGCAGAGAAACCGATGCAGCGTTCACTTGTCACACACACAGTGTCAGAGCCTTCCTCTTCCTCTTCCCCCTTTTCCCCTTTAAACTGCAACTGCTGAGTCAACGTCCTCTTTCTTTGCTGATTTAACTTCTCGGTCTCATGTGTTTCTTTTAGTTTCCTCTCCTTCACGACATTGTCTCTCCTTTTCCAGCTTTATCCGTCCAGTAGTTAATTATTGGACAACCACAATACACTTCACCAGCACCAAGTATTTACCCAGTAAGTGAGGAGGAACATGTTGCAAAGGTCACTCTTCTCATAGGGGTAGCAGTACACACACATACACACACACACACACACACGCACGCACACACACACACACACACACACACACACACACACCGACTCAGTCTTGCATAGGTGTGCTGTAATAGTATCAGTTCAACATTAGGTGGGGCTATTTGATCATTTAATTGTGAAGCTGTAGGAAAAATTTAGTAGTCTGTAAGGAAAAAACAGAGTTTTGTTATAATGAACAATGATAGATGCTTGACTGTGGTATTATGACTCACACAAGAATGTATTACTGATACATTTGTATGTCAGATAATAAAACCTCTATAATCATCTATTTCAATGAGTAGGCCTTGGTACCTTAAAGGATGTTTCAGGCCTTAGAGGGAATTTATTTAAATACCAATTTTATCCATAGTCACACTGAAAGCTGATGTTAAAGTGTTCTGGTCAAGTCAGCGTTAGACTTTACATCAATTCTTGACAAATGGTCTTTACTTAGACCCAACAGAATCCATTGTTCTGAATGAATGTCCAATTGATGTTCAATAACACCCAGTCAGTCGGACAGTAGTTAGACAAAGTGGTTCAATTTTTAGTGAAGGAATTTTATCCTCTGTCTGTTAAAAAAGAGTCCAGAGATAGCTGGTAAAATGCCAATATTGGCTCTGATAACTGGCTAAGACCAATATTCGTTTCACCCTTACAGACAAGTATCTTATTCCAATAACACACCAACAATCATACCTGAATTAAAATGTGCAAAAAATATCTGCTAATGCCATTATAAAAACTCATCTTATGACAATTAGACACTAGAGTCATATCTAGTTTACTTTTAATTATTTCACCTGATGACAGTATGACAAGACCATCGCTCTCCCATTACATTGAGGAAATTGAAGAGGACACTGTGTCAAATAGACATCAACTAAATTGAAGAAAACAGACATGAAGAAACAACAAAACCTCACATGGCCTTGGCTTTGGCAGTGTTACAGGACTAGATAAGAGAAAAGATGATGCCAACAGACTAAAGAAGTTTCAGGGGAGGGAACCTTATAGCCCTGCTCTTGTGTGGCAAAATACTGATGTGTGGACTTGGTAGTGGAAAATAGTCAAAATTTACCATGAAAGTGTGAACAGCCTTTGAAACTGAGAGACCATCTTCTGAGCTGTACAAACATTCACATCAGTAAAACTTTTCTTGAATTAGGACTTAGTGTGAACTTGTTAGTTCCTTTAGCTGGTTGATGGGTAATATGGGGGATAATACAACGTTTGCAGGTGGTTAGCCAAATGGACTCCATTATTGGTTTAGATTTATTGGGATTTTGGCCCCTCAGTTTCTTGACTCTTGTTCCCCCATGGTCTCAGTGAATACTTGATTTTGACTGGTTACAGGTGACATTTACTTTGCATTAGACACCTATGAGGTAGTACCAGAGAAAGTGCCTTTTTAACAAAACTTCATTTTAACAGGCAGAAACTTTGATACAAACTATCCTTAAGGTGACCAGCATTCTGCTGCAACTGCATGTTCAATATGATTTAAGACAATGAATATAAGATTAAGAATCAGCTTATGCTAGATGATGACACATTTTCAGTTTAAAGGAACATTAAACTTTTGTTGCTGTATCCTGTAAATATCTGATTTTATGTTATGCTTTCATTTTTTTCCCTGAGAGCCTTCTTGTTTTAAAAAAATGTGTATCTACAAATTTTATCCAAAAACCAACATTGACCGTTTCATCATGTTTTTATTAGGTTTCTATTAACAAAACTACAATAAAAATTTCCCAGTAAAAATATCTTTGTACATGAAGACAACATTAATGCAATATACAGAGAATATTTAGAGAAATGAAATGCCTAGCTAACTTGCATTGCATTAAAGTTTTGTTTTCCTAGCATGAGTACATAAACATTTATTTTGCTTTACAACATTCATAAAAATGGAAATTTAACATTTACTTCCTCTTATTTTGGCAGCAAGCAAGCAGGCGATGTATACAGCATGCACAGTCTATGATGCTATCCTAGCTGAAGTCGGAGGTTACATTGCATAGACACAAATTACATAAATACACAAACAAGTAGAGGTTAATATAGGTTGCTTGTATAAAATATAAATATTATGTCTGCTCATATCATCCAAAATTACAACAATAATGGACCATGAGATGTGCTGTTTCCAAGTTTTTTGTCACCTTGATTTCTGCGTCTCTAACTTTACTGGATGGATTACATTTCCAGGCTCCTTCCAGGTCAGTTTATGTGACTTTAAGCTTTGGTCACTTCATGGTCCATGCTTCAGGACTGGGCCTGCTGTATCACTGGTCCAGGTCATTGCTGTCGCGGCTGCGGGGTCGATAGTGCCTCTGGCAAAACTCAGCGATGCGACCACAAGCCTCTATCATGAGTTCCTCAGGCACAGTCACCACAATGCGGAAGTAGTTTGGAAACTCAAATGCCTAGGATAGGGAGAGTTTGTTATTCTTCTGTAATTTTTATCCGAAATTCAAGTGTTTTTTAAAATGCAGGGACAATCAAAAAACAATAAGCAAAGGCAGTGTCTTACTGAAGCAGGTAGACAGAAAACAGACTGCTCGGTCACCAGCTTTTCAGTGAAGTCCACGTCATTCTTAAAATCTGGGAAGTGATCCATCTCAATCCCCACCTGAAAAATGTGCACACATGAATACATAAAACAAGAGATACAGAGAAAGATGTTTATGTGTCTAAGTATATTAAAAACGATATACAATAAGAGGACATGGATGTATACAGACCATGAGGTACATGGCTCCTGAAGGCATCACAGGGTTTAGGCCGGGAACGATGGACAGCTCATTGTAACACAGCTCTGCATTGGACTATGAGGGGAAAGAAAAACCATCCAGTCAGTTTCATGGGATACACATGAATGAAAGTCAGAATGAGTATAAACAAAACACACCAAAACATGTATGAGACAACAGACAGATCATGGGCCTTATAATGGTCTGTTAATGCTTGTATATTTCATTTGGATCACATAGAGGTATTCATTAGTAATTTCATGTCTGTCTCATGTCTTTCATGTCATATTAGTTGCATGGCCTTGAAAGTTGACATTATTTTGATGTTCCAAAGAAAGTGAAAGAAAAGATATTTTATATTCAGTGACATAAACTCCCTTTTACCTTGAGAAAGTTGATGGTCTCTTGGTAGAAGCTTTGAGGCGTGTTGTCAAGGATGCTCTCTAGGGCTCCCTGCACAATGCTGCAGGCTCCAAGAATCCGCTGACTCAGTTTCACCAGACCCTGTCTGATCTGCAGTGGAAGTATAGTTTATGTGTTGATAAGACAACTGTCAATGATAAGTTTAATTCTCTCTCCATAAAAAGGATAAAAAAAAGTAAACCCTGCTTACCTCAGGTCCAAATATTTCATTCCTGTCGTGGATGAGGATCCACCCCATCCTCCAACCAGGAACCAGCCAGCGTTTAGCCAAGCCACCACAAGACAGGATGGGGACGTCACTGCTAAGAGTCGCCATGGAAGGAGAATCACAACCTGGGAAAACCTGGAGACAAGAGCAGCAACAGAATACATTATCATCTGACATCACTAAATCTATGAGGAGTAGTGGATAATCCTAATGCCAGGGGCTACCGGGCTTTTATTTCCAACAAGTGCTCAAATTCATAGTAGATATGAACAAGTGTGTAATCATCTGAAATCAATCTGGTTTTTAAACCTCAAACCAGCTTTTGTACCGACACACTGGGTAGACCATGTTTCCACTATAGCAAAATGGATAAAGTTGTGCACAAAAGTATTTGTATTGCTGAAAGTTTTTGACGGTAAAAACTTGACAAATGGTTAGAGCTCTAATCAAATGTGTGTTTAGGCACTGATTTTTATATGAAAAGCCCAATGAAACCACCTGTTAACCGATGGTGAAACATTAAAACAAAGTTAATGTGACTAAGATTCAAAAGCTTTGCATTTTATCGATGTGAGGGTCTTTTTATTGCACTGGCCAAGCACAAGGTAAATCTGATGAAAATATAACAAAGGACTCTTTTTTTTTTATTATTTAAAAAGTAAAGTAAATGCATGATCTGACAGCTATAAAATCCAAAACTGCATGCCTCACCTTTTTTCAGTGCCTAGCCAAAACCTTTGCTATAAATCTGTCCATTAAAAACTTCACTAAACGCACGTGTTAAAAATTGTGCTTATCATATAACATAATATTTATTGTGTGGGTGAAAGAGAAGCCATAAGGGGAACATAAGTTGAGAGAACAAAGAGAGGGGGGAGGGTTTAAATCTACAGTAACCACAGTAAACTACGCTCCACCCACACAAAGCTGGTTCTCATTAAAGCCAAGGAGCTTCTCTGACGCAGAGCGGGGAACTGCCCCGCATCCCATTGGCTGGACTGCTGTGAGTGACATAACAGCAATGTTCATCTAAAATATGTCCAAACAAAAAACGTGCCTGCGTGGATCTGCAATTTAAAACAGTTTTTGGCTTGTGGTCATCTGAGCTCACTTGACTTGAGTGCAAAACTTGGATTGAGTAAGAATAAGTAAAAACACACTCATCAGAGAGGAGAAGCTGGGTGAGCAACAAACAACTTAACATGAATAACAACTGATCAAAAGCAGCATAGCCCCAACCACAAGTCTAGTGCCAATGTGCAGTATTAACTTGGGGAGCAGAAACAGTTTGTTCCAGAGGAAAATTAAATGCTGACTTCACTCATATTCGGGTCACACATCTGGACACACTGTGCAGATGTGCGGGTGTAAAATCTAAATTTACTGCTCATGCCAGTGGGATAATGTCCCACTGACTCAGCCAGGTGAAGTTCACAGACACTGTGGCCCCTCAGTCTCTTAATGGCCCCTACAGCCATAAAAGAGAGGCCTTACTTCCACACCCCCACCCTACTCTCCACCCATCATACGCCCCCCATTCCTGCCGTGTTTCTGCTGCTCCAAAACCCAACATCTGCATTAACTACAACCACATGCAGACAAAAAAGTGCAAAGTCATTCTGTGCTGCTTTAGTTCCATCTGAAATGGTCGGATGCTATGGAGATAATGTGAATGCACCCAACAACCCCATCTTTCCCCTCAAAACAACAAAACAACCAGAAGACAACAAGTCAAAACTTTCAGAATTTTCAGATTTTGTTGATCATCTCTCGCATTTTACCTCTTGATGCTCCAACTAAGATGTGGACACTCATTCTATCCCAAGACCAAACCTCTTTCCTCTTATTCAGTATCAAAAAAACCTACAAAGTGAGGAAAAGTAACTATCAAAGTACTTAAACTGAAGACACAGCAGACAGTGATGTCCATTGGTCCATTGGCCAAATCAAAAATCTGCATTTATCACTGCAGGTTACCTAATACAGCACTTTCTAACAAAACTATGACCTTATCTCCACTTTTTGATAGAGCTGACTGAGTGTTTATTGGCAAACAACATAAGGGTGTCTGTTTGCTCTAGACTGTCTGTGTGAAAAGGAGTCTACGTGCATGCACACTTGTTTGCACGACCTTTAACCAAAAATTGACCAGCCTAACATCGTCAAGGCCAGCATTGACGTTAGGGACTGAATGTTCAGATGATCCTTTTTTTTGATAGTCAACATTTAGATCCAGGCTTCCTTCCATCTGACGCTCCACGTCAAAATAAAGAGATGTTGCAAGTCTGTTGGTGACATCAGCAGCGTACAGTATATATTTGCGTTATTGATTTTGTCTAATGTAATCAGACACCAGTTTGTTCCTTTAGATAAGGGGGGCAGATGTGGTAGAGGGTAGAAGAGGTCTGCTAAGGCTAAGTTGAAGGTTTAATAAGGATGAATCTTTTCACTAGCCATACAACCTTTTTTTCACTATCTTTGCGAGCGGTGTTAAAATCAAAACAAAACAGGGTGTTTTTAGGTCGCCATTGCAGCAATCTGTCATGTATGCACAGCTGAGCAACAACTTAATCACCTTATTCACCTGAAATGGGACCACTATGTACGAAATGAACATCATGCTGCATTAAGCAAGTGTCAAGGCTATTAACTTTGACCATAAATGGATTGTTTATGTGTTTACTGAGGTAATTAACAACGTGTGAAGTGGGGTCATTGTTTTTCTGGTTGGCTAACATATGGTGTAAACAGACTTCTTATGGCTGAGTTGCCTTTTTCTGGCCATTAAAAAACGTACGGAGGGAAGAAATTTTGGGGCTGCATCTCCAGGACCCCTGTTTTATCGTGGCAGTTATGAATGGGGTTAGAGTGAGGGATACGGTTACAGTTAGAAACTACCCATTAATGCGTTGTGTGCTGTTGATCACAACAAGGGTCTTATCAGCCTTATCAATTGAATTCCTTGTTTTAGTTAATATTGCTGTAAACTTAGGTCCTCCTGTGGGTCATTACATTAGGGACAAACATGAGGCTACAAAAGTGCTGTAAGCATCCCTGTCAAATAACTGATTTATTGTGCCTGACATACTCCTGTCTGATGTTGCTTGTAAATGCACATATGATTAAGCTAGACTAATAAAACAACTTGCCCTTTGAGGTAAAATTCTCTGAATCTGTATCTAAATCTAAATCTTAACCTTGGCATTGTGGTCATCAGACACAATTTTTTTCAGGCCTGGTGCCTGTGTGCACCTCTATTATACAGACTCTGACTCCATTAAGAAGCTGTCACTTCACCACTTTAGTACATTGATTTATTAAAAATATATGTTTTTCTTCTCATTTCCACTTGAATTTCAAACTGTAAAATTTTGCATGTGCAGCTTCTATGTTACACTATAATTGATGTCTTGCTGCTTTCTTATATAAGATCATTTCAACTTTAAAAAAAAAAAAAAAGTATATTTCATCTGAGTGGATCTTTGGATGATGTTTTACATCTCCATCCATTTTCACCTTTTTGATTATTGCCATTCACCAAAATACAAAAGGCATCATTGAACCTGCTCTGTAAAAAAAAAACTCACTGCTATTTGAACTCATGATATCCGAACTTGTTGCACTTTTGCAGCCTGAGTGTAAAATTCTGCCAACATCCTCTGCTTGCCCCAGCTGAACCCCCTACTCACTGCTTATCCAGCATACAGCCTTGCTAGTCACTGTTTCAGGCCTCATTCAGCACATCACCAATAATCCCCCCTGTGCTGACCATTCAGAGCCCGGCCGAACACCACCAAAATGAAATAGAAAAATGTGCCTCGCTGGTGTTACAGAGGGCCAGAGGTGTAGCTGTACTCACCATATCACTGTAGATTTCATCAGCCAGAATAGGAAGGCAGTGTTTGGAGGCCACTGAGGAGAAGGAAAATATTTATTTTATTGTTTTATCTGAAACAAAATTCAGTGTTTGTGATCATCTTAATGTTTAACATAGCATCAGCTCACCTTTGATGATCTTCTGCAGGTGATCCCTGCTGAAGACAGAGCCACACGGGTTGGATGGATTGGTAACAACCAGACAGGAAGTCCTCTCATCAATCAGGCTCTCCAGATGCTGCAGGTCGGCCTCCCATGACTTCTCAGGCTGAAATCAAAGAGGAGCAATGAGGGCACAGACATTGTTGAGCATGACTGTACACATGTGTTCCCAGTAATGTTCAAGGACAGTAACAAATACAAACATAAAGAAGCAGCTGTCTAAATGAGGTTAAATCAATCGGATGTTGGACTGCATCCAAGATGGTCAAAATATCAGTCCCTCAACAGCAGAAACAAAGCTACTTTACAGTGTTTTCATCCTCACATCTTCACAGACACGTCTCCTCCAATGACCCCGAAATTATTAAACTGGTGAGCATCAGTTGGATTTGTGAAATATTTCTCTAATTGGTAGAGGATATTAATACCACAGAGTTGATTTTAAGGACAATTGAGTAAATTACTATAAATGTATGTGGTAAAGCTCTTTAAAATTTGGTTAAAGGCTCAAGATCTACTTCAGCTTTAAACAATTTTCACCAATTTTATCTCATTCAACAACGAAAGGAGAAGAGTATGGTGGCCCATTTAAATGAAATACATTAAAAAAATTCACAAAAAAATGCAAAAATATTTCATGAATTGCAAAAACAACTCACATCATGTAAAAACGTTTGGTTGAAAATAACTTTGTGAAACATAAAGACATTTATGAGATGCTAAAAATTTTATTGAATACCTCGATTGTATAAAAAAAATCCTTGAAATGCATAAAAACTAACAAAAATAAAAATTTTTTACATTGTGTGAAATATTTCTGCATTTTTAGAGATTTATTTTTAGTTTAGAAGTTTAAAAGGAAGTTGCTTATAAAGTCTATCCAACCACTGTATTCCTTTTTGTAAAAAAAAACAAAAAAACAGTAAAGTTTTATTTTTCTGGCTGTTTTTTCCAACAATTTAAGTATCATTTCTTTACCTCTTTTAGTGTGATAATAAATAATTTATCTTAGTATTAGACATACCATTTTTTTCTTTCAGAGAGGAACAAGCATACATCATAAAATCTGAACCTCTGAATTGATATTATCCCTCATATCCAAATGTCATCATCGTAAATGTGTGTTTGTTACAGGCAGAAAAAAGAGGATATTTTGTGTGTCAGAGTTAAAGATCATCTCTTACTGACCAGCAGGTTGTAGAGTTTGACCTCAATGCCCATGGAGACCGCCAGAGTCTTATATAATGAAAAGCCCGGGCATGGGACCAGGATGTTGTCCCCCGGGTTACACAGGACACTGATAGCCAGGTCAATGGCCTGGCTACAGCCGCTGGTCAGAATCACATCCTATACAAGAGAGCGGAAGCACTTGAGTTTAAACAGCACAGAATTGAAAATCTGTTTCTATATTTTGACCTGAATAAAGCAGATTAACTTCAGGACCTGTTTTCTGATGTGATTCAGATTTAACTCAGGCAAGTTCTTCACAGCAAAGAAAGTGTTTTTGATATCATACTGTAATAAACTATTCCCATTAGATCTCAACGTGGTTAAAATGCGAAGTTAATAAGAAGTAAGCACCTCTGCCTCCAGAGGAGCCTCAGCACAGCTGTAAAAGTTGGCCACCGCCTTCCGGCTCTGTGCGTAGCCTGCAGAAATAATAAAAACAACATGCAAACATAAGCAGACTATATATGATATATTGCCATCAGCTGTTTCTGATTTCGAGAGGAGAAATCTAAACCTACTGAGCTGCCTAACTTGGCTGTAAAAAGAAAAAGAAAATATAGTACCCAAACTTCAGATTTATAAGCAAGCATTCAGATTCTTTCTCATGTTAGCTTTGGATTAGGACATTTGGAAGTTTTTTCATTTTTTATAATAAACTATGTGTATTAAATACTGAAATCACGCTGAATACTAGATAAACTTGCATGTACTAAGGTCAGACATTTACTCTAAACATATTATGTCTTATATGCAGGCCTACATATAAGTGACACTTACCAACAGAAGGAGCATAGCCGTTGTATTTTTGGGAGTCTATGGCGTCTTTCATGGCCTGAAGCACTGCGTCATCTGTGGGCAGGTTACCAAACACAGTAGGATCTCCTGCAGGGACAAAACAGAAAACAAACAAAAAAATTATTATTTTATGAATGTCGAATACCTGCAGTGCTCTACAAACCACTTAAATTAAATGCAGTGTGTAAATTTTGGCAACATGTAGCAGAGGAGACTTGTCAAATACAGAACAGAATTAGAGTAAAGCAGATAGAGACCAGCCCTCTTCAGCTAAGGCTGTTATCGTGTACCACTATATTTCTATGGTCACACAGAAAAAGTAGTCACAAATATGTCTTCTTTTTTTCAATTTAGTGAGTCGCACCACAAAATGCACCAGTGGAAAAAATGCAGAATATGGTAGTTGTGTGCAAAAGCATTAGCATTGCACAATATTTTTTGATGACAAAAAGAGGATTCAAGGAGTCTCTTGTCCCTCTGAGGACACCGTTGCTTCACTGATGAGAGGGGTGAGCAAGGAAGCGTTTCAATATGGAATCTGGCTCCAAGATATTAAAAAACACATTTATGAAATATGAAAATGTCCTGAAACAAATGTGAAAGATACTTGATGTCATTGAAGCTTCAGATAGACTTCTTGAGCTGATAAACAAACTGAAGTTCAATTTGATGCATCTGTACAGCCTACTGGAGCAAATGAAACTATCAGAGAGAAAAGATACTGTATAGTTAATGTAACGTCTGAAACCAGTGCAAGCATGTAGGCACTTGACTGAAAAACTACTCTTACAAATACATAGCAAGGACTATGTATTTAAAAAGGTAAAATGTTTTTTTTCTGCTGTCTAAGTGTCCCCAAATAAACACAACCTGAAAGTTTCTCACAGAGGCTTCAAAGAGTAAGACATTTAATCACTTTTATAGTCACACAGAAGACCACTCACCAATGGAGAGCGCAATCATGGGTTTGTCTGGGTTGGGGGTAAGCTTCATCCCGTCCACGATGGCTCTGATGGGGTTCAGCGTGTTGTTGGCCATCTCTGATGGCTTCACTGACCACCGCTGCCTGCGGCTCTTGGCTTTGGTTGGATACAGGGTGCCATTCACGCTGACGTGGTGGAAGCTGTTCCCGTGGACCACCTTCCCATTCACCCCAGACCCATTCAAAGTTTTGGCATTGACAGTGTTTTTGTCATGGACCCCCTTTCCATTCATGTGGACCAAGTAGGACTTGTTATCCATCCTGGAACTGCTAAATGAATAAATGAATGAATGAATAAATATTTTAAAAAATAGATGGAGAAATCTGAAAAAAATGAATGATTTGTGCACACATTTCCCTTAAAGGGCATCACCGAGGTAGACATTCTGGTTTTAAATACAGGCACAGTGTAGTGACACATTTTAAAGGGAACTTTTTCCATGACAAACTTTTAAAGAGCGTTAAAAATATAGAAATAAAGACAAATATAAGAATAATGATTTTTAAATCTTGTCTTCTCAACATGATATACTTAGGTTTATCACTTTGTATTATCAGGTAAACTATTATCTATTAATCTAATTCTGAGTGCATATTTAAAAAAAACCCAAAAGTTATCTTCACCTTCTGGCAGTTTTGCTCTCTTTGCACCGACAGAGATGAGAATCAATGAAGTCAAAACCGGGTTTCAAAAAATCTCAATTTTAGAATTTCATAAAAACTAGGTAATCTATCACAAAATTGACAGATCAAATTACGATGATAAATCCCATTAGAGGAATCTGATATATGACAAAACGTGCATTTCTCTATCGTGCATCTATATGGTCAATATCAAAGCATTGATTAAATGATAAAATGTTCAAAAATAAAAACAATAATAAAATAATATGTTTGTACTTACCTCATTGTTTATGTAAAAAGTCTTCTCAAAGAGCTACAGCGCAGTTTAATTATTCTTGCTGAGGGTATTAAGAGGCTAGCTGACGTTTTAAACCGGTTTTATAGCAAAATCCGGAGAAATGGGTGTTGAGCCCTGCCCTTATCTCCATTGGTGGAGGCTGAGGGATGTGCCATTACACCCCTCTTACATCACTAACTAGAACCATACCTTCTCGAACCCTTAATAGAGTCAATCACCGGACGGAGGAGGGGGTACAGTGGGACGCTCTCCATGCACGCGGAGGGACACCTCTGTGGCGTTTGCGGGAGTGCGTCACACGCTGCTCACAGAGATGACATGGTGCTGAGTGGGTCGTCAACAGGACGATAATGATCCAAATATTTAACATGTCCAGTCATCTTTGCTTTGCGTCAAAAACTTCAAAACTAATTGGTTGACATGATAAAATTTCGTGTCGAGTTATCACCGAGGGCAACTGCAAATACCTCAGACATGTCCCTCACCTGAGTTTTTTCACATTTCAACCTACTCCACCAACTTCTTTCAACAGTTTATCAACAATACTGATTTAACTGCAAAATGTTGGCAATCTTACACACAGATGGAAAGTTATATAAACATGCACACTTCATCATCATAACAACGTTTATGTTATCTGTGGAATCACCTTTTTAAAGATGTGGTATGCAAGTCCAAGTGTGAAACTCCATACAGTTTTGTGCACTGGTACTCATGAGCAAAACCGCAGATGCCCCTTTTCCCTTTTTTTGCCTCCTCAAACAGCCTGAGTACACCACTGTGTTATAGAACCTGTGTTTTTTCCCCAACATAATCAGAATGTATTTTCTAAAAAAAAAAAAAGCTGTGGTTTGCATTCTTATATTGTATCAAATTAGGTTTTAATAGAAGTGACTGTGTTTAACGCCATCCTCCAATCAAAGAAAGCTGGTCCCAAATTCTGACCACAGGCGTATGATAGGAGTAACTTTAGGCCATCCTCCCCTCACCTGTGTGCTCCTCTGCCCAAACAAAAAGTTACTTATTCACGGTAGCTATGACACACTCGAGTCTTATCCATCAAAACATGTTGTTATGTTATGATTTCATGTGTGTAGGTGTTTTTCACATGTGGTCCCGCTAACTGTTCAGGTCACGTTGTGTTAAATCAATATACCACAGCAGACAAAACACACCAATGATGCTGGACTTGTTTCGGCTCCGAGTCATCTCTTAGAAGTATCCTGTTTCCTCACGTTCGGTGAACTACCGTATACAGTGTTGGCTGGCAGCGAGGGAGGGGAGGAAAGCGGGTCGGACCTAAACAACATGTGTGGAAAAACTACTGCTTACATAACAGCCTGCCTGTCAAACTCTTTTTTTTTTCCTAGACTGTAGAGTTTTCGTGTCTAGCATCATTCATTTTACAGTCCTGCAGAGTGAAGTAACACCAGTGAGGCCAAGGAAGTCTCCAGAGAGCACTGGGGAGTGTTAGAGGAGTGAAAATAGCAAGAAAGATTTTAGGACATTTCGACAACTTCTGTTTGAAACAAATGCAAAGAATACAAAGAAAGAAAGAACAGGTTTTTTGCACCAGAGGGTCACATGTTATCATGAAATCAAGGATGCTTCTTATGAAGATGAACTCATTGAGAGTTTCCCTATTGGTGAGGCTGAACGAACCAGAAGAGATTGCAGTAGATGGATGTACAGGATGAGTCTGGTTCTGCCTGAGGTATCTGCAAAATGCTTTGCTAATGATGAATTTAGATAAGACTGAATCTTATCTTGATGTCAAGACTTAATTCATACAAAACGTTTGTAACAACCAAATAAGATGATTTGTAAATCATTTAAATCTTGTACTTTGTAGTAGAGTGCAAAGATAGCATGGAGTTGGCACCAAAAGTTTTGATGTTTAAAGGAATGGAAAGGAATGCTTATCATAAATTTAAGGCCAGCAACATGCGTCACAACAGTTGATAATGGTGTATGTTTGCCGTTGGATTGCAACACCCCTTCTTGTTGCAACACTCTGTAGGTGTTTGAGGTCTCATGAGACCAGTTTTTGAGTTTTGTCAGTCAAGTGTTGTCTCATTTTTGCTTGATATAAAATTTCAGCTGTTGAAATTCAGGGTCTCCTTTGTTTAATTTTTTGTTTCTTGTTTCTAAAACGGTGACAAGCTGGGACAGCACCCAGGGTCTTCCACCACAGAGCCATGCTGTTATATTACCTGCAGAAACTCACTGAAATATAGAGGCATTGTCTGGATGGCAGCATATGTTGCTCTGAAACCTGTGTTGATTGTTCGGCATTATTGGTGCCTTCCCACATGTATAAACTAGATGTGAATAGGCACTTGTGCATCCCCATACCATCAGGGATGCTCACTTTAAAGTGTGCTTTGATTATGAGCCAGGTGGGAGCTCCCCGCTTTGGAGCAAAGGATAGGTCAGATTTTGACTCATCAGACCTTAGGACAGGTTTTCTCTTCACTGCAGTCTTTTTAAATTGGGCTAAGGCTCAAAGAAGCTGCTATTGTGTCTGTGTGTGTGTGTGTGTGGACTACAATTACAAATAGTTTCTTGATGGAGTGACAAACTGTGTTCTTAAATAGTGTTTTTGGGAAGTTATATGAACTGATGCAATGATTTCCACTACAGAGTCGTGGCTGTTTTAATGTCATGCTGCTTAAAAATCAAATCCAACATTTTTTTTCCGGATTTTCTTAATGTATGTCTTTGTCTCTTACCCGCCTTTTTTTTTTTTTTTTTAAATGTGTTGTTAAAATTGAAAATGGGCCTTTATTTTGTATAAAACAATAACAGGTTACCGTTTCAATATATTCATTGCACTATTTCTGAATTACATGTCTGGTTTAAATGATCTTCAAACATCAGAAGCTATTCAAATGAATATTTTCCAACATTTTGGGGGATTCGGGGTTGTCAGATTAAAGAGAGTGATCTCATGACTCTTTTTGTTAAGTGTCTTATATTGACATTAATTTGTTACTAATTTGAGCTTTTTTAATACTGAGTAACTGACTAACAAAGTCCCAACACAATTAATGGTTTCATATAATTTATACTCAATCTATAAATTTAGTCTTACTGGGGTGACTCTTTTGACATTATCTCCAGATTCATTTGGCAAGGAAATCCGGTATAATATTCTGCAAAGAGAGAAAGAAAATAGAGGAGCGTCACTTCCTCTTCTCAGGAATTATTATTTTGTGCTTTGCAGTTAACTCCCAGGGGCATCTTTTGAGCTTGAAAAGCAGCAATGATATAAAATTGTTACAGGCCCTCTTGGCAGCAAGTATGTATTAAGTATCAAGCATGTAGCAAGTATTAAAATGTAAGATACTTGTTGTTCTGATTTTCTAAATAAAGATAAATAGGAGTTATTTTTATATCTTGGTGATAAATGAAAAACAAATCCACCAATAACCAACTCAAACTGGATCATGATAGTCCAGGGCAGAAGACCCACTCATGTTGTAGGAAAAGATGTCCGGGTGCAGTGTACATATGGTGGGTGAGTTTGACCTAGTTCATCCAAAACTGCAAAGTCATGATGTGGTGCTCCATCATGGGGGGACTGCTCACCTTCATAAATCAGCCTGTTGGGAGAGTCAACACGGTCTTGACATAATTAGTTCAAGCTCTGGTTTGGAGTTGCCTCAGTGGCCTTTTACATTCTGAGATGTCATTATCATAAAGAATATAATTTTAATGAATGTCATTTACATTTTACTGGCAGTAATTTTGAGGTGAAGGATGTGGTCTTGCCTCATCTGCCTCATCCAACACTAATGTGTTCTGAGATTTGCAGGATTAGATATGCAGGATGAAACTGGTCTATGTCAGCTCACCGCTGTAAACAAAGTGAGGTGACCTACATTTATAGACCCAATAAATGAGTTGTTTTATTGTTGGAACCCATGCTGTCTATCTGTTTTAATTACACTGTACACCAAATTTCAATGTAGCTAGGATGTTATGGAAAACATGAATAAATACAGTCAACAATGATTTGCAAATCCTTTTTAACTTATTGAATACACATCAAAGACAAGATATTTAATGTTCAAACTAATAAACCTTAAGTTTTTTGCAAATATCCACTCGCTTTGAATTTTATTCCTGAAACACGTTCCAAAAAAGTTGGGGCAAAAAATGACAAAATGAAAATAGAGAAGTGCTCCAAAAACACCAACAATTGCAGAAATGTTAGTGATTTCATTTCATCATCTACAGTTCAAAATATCATCAAAAGACCCAGTGAATCCAGACAAATCTCTGCGCGTAAGCAGCAAGGCCCAAAACCAACATTAAAAAACACGTGCCACATGGGCTCAGGAACACTCAGAACACTTTGTTTCGTTTCTACATCTACCAGTGCCAGCTCAAACTCTAAAAGTAAATGTGTGCTGTGGTCCAACAAATCCACATTTCAAATAGTACTTGGAAATCCTAGAAGTGGTGTCCTTCAGGCTAAAGAAGAAAAGGACCATCCAGACTGTTCTCCGGTCAAAGTACAAAGCCAGCATCTGTGATGGTCTGGGGGTGTTTAGTGTCCATGGCATGGCTGACTGTCACATCAGTGAAGGCTCCATTAACACTGAAAGGTACATACATACAGGTTTTAGAGCGGCATTTGCTGCCATCCAAGTCACATCTTTTTCAAGTCCCTGTTTCTTTCAGCGAGACAATGCCAAGACACATTCTGCACGTGTTATGACAGCGTGGCTTCAGAGTTGACGACTCTGAAGAGGTACTCGACAGGCCTGCCTGCAGTCCAGACTGGTCCCTTATTGAAAATGTATGGTGCATTATGAAGCACAAAATACAACAACAGGGTCTCAGACTGTTGAGCAACTGAAGTTGTCTATGAAACAAGAATGGGAAAGACTTTCACCTCCAAAGCTTCAACAGTTGGTGTCCTCAGTTCCCACATGCTTATTGAGTGTTGTTAAGAGGACATGTGATGTAACACAGAGTTAAGCACACCCTGTCCCAACTTTTTAGGAACAAGTTACAGGCGTCAAACTAAAAATGAGTGAATATCTGAAAAACAAAAACAAACCAATTAAGTTTATAGTCTGTTGAAAAAGGATTTTGGTCCGAATAGCTAATTTCTGTACCTGCTCACACTTTACGAGGGATGAAACATTCTCATAACTCGGGGTATCAAGAAAGAAATTTTTGCATAATTTTCTGACCAGTAGGAGGGCAGACTGAAGCTGTTAGCAAGGTGACCAAGGAGCCACCAACCTCTTTGCCTCTTCTTGGGTCGACCAACAGTTAGGTTGAGTTAGTATTTCCAGTACGGTGACCGCTCTGGATAGCTTTCAGAACTCGTCTTAAAAAAACAATGAGTGACATCACTGAAGCTATGTCCATGAAAACAGTCTACATACACAGTCCAAAAGTTTCAGGAGTTGCATGCACATGTGAGTATAGTTTAAGTGAAAATTTGATGACAACAGTGATTTATTAGTAAGCGAAGGCTGATCTGAAAAACCAAGGATGACCGGAGCAGAGACCTCTGTGGAACCACAATGATAACTTCAGATCACCAAAATTATTCAAAATCTTTGCCTGGGATCATTGTGATCTAGTAACTGAGATATCTCATTGAGAAGCTCTATACTTGCACAAGGGCTTTATAAACAAAAAAGCACGCATACTGTGTTATTTAACCAGGTTGGGACATCAAGCACCACATGCTCATCTGATGTAATACTGATAAGGAGGAAAAACAGCTCTGAAGCTTTGGCACATATGACAATAAATAAATAGAGAGAAGTGTTCAACAGAAAAAAACCCCAAAACAAACAAAAAAAAAAAAACTAAAAATACGGTCATTGATTATTTTCCAACATGCATAACAATGTTACGTGACTGTCCGCAGCACGTCTTACCAAACAGTTGGATATCACACTATCACTCAAATAAAGCTACTATCACTTATTGTACGATAAGTTAACTTCGTATGATGCTATCATTTCCAGATTTACAATTTTAGACATATGGTTTAAAGTAAAGCACTGATTGTTATTTAATAAAGGATTGAAGAGCATTTATATAATGACTTGATACAGCCACAGTCCACCCTTTAGAACTTTGTACCTCACCATGAAATAGCCAAGTATCAATGCCAGCCATGAGCCGGACACGAAAAACACATCGTAAGTAAGCAAGAGGACATAAGAAGATCAAAAACACCCACTATTTGTTAGGACTCCATCAATGTGGATTAAGTGGAAAATATACTAATGCAGGTATTAGTGATTGGCTTGTAACTTTCTGTGATAAGTAAGTTGACTGTGTGCTCCAAGTCCAAAACACAGTTTGTTATTGTGAACTGTGTTGCTCTTTATCAAGCTGGACTGCTAGAAAGACTTCTGAATCCCAGCTCCTCCACCTGCACCCTCGTGTTGCAAGCTGACATGCAAAATAAAGCACCTCAAGTAGAAGACCAGAAAGGTATTTTAACATGTCCGTGTTTTCCATTTTGTTACTGTGCCTTTCAAAAGGATAGCTAAATGATTTGAAAATGGTTGTATTTACTTACTAGTTGAAGCAAATTTGAGCCATGTGATGTCTTATCTCTACTCACAGATTCTGTATCAAAATTTAGAATTTGTGACCAAAAGACATTAGGTGTAGAGTTTTAGTCTGTAGTATGTGCATCATTTCCCACCAGGCTTAATGGTTCAAGAAAAATAGTCAGAGTGGAGAGATAAGAAGGCAATAGCATCTTAATGCAACCTCTGAATATTTTTGCAGTCATGTGTGAACAATTAAAGTAGTTTTCCAAACACAATGGTCAACATCTGCTGGCAATTGCAGACTGCAACACAAAGAAAATGAGCCTGGGATCTTTCGATCTTTGCATGTAACAAAAAGTACGCCTATGAGTGAATAAAAAAACAAATGTTTGCAGGTGAAGCCCACTACTTTAGAGAATGACGGTGACATTGGCTGGGGGGCCTGAATGAAGTTAAAATAATGCATACAGTTTAAGCATACTGATTATATTGTAGTCTGGAACAGGAATGTGTTGAATGGACTGTCAGTGATAAAATGTTCATATCATTAATTATGGAGTGGGCTCCATGATTGCTCATCAGTCGGTCAAATTAGTTGTATTTTATAATTGTTGGACAAAAATCCCGGTCATATGTTGTGTCTAAGTTGTAGTGCAGCTACTCACCACCAGTAGGAGCTGTATACCCGGCCAGTGTTTACTAACATAATGCTATGTTACTGTTCATGTGTATGGACCACACATACACACACTTATGTGCATATATTAAATTGATTTACTTTGTAAAAAGTTTCATAAAAAGTTTGTCCATGTCTTCCTTCCTTTTCTTTCTTCCTTGGACAGACTATCTTCCATCAAACCCCAATGGGAGAGAGACTTGGGCATGTCCCTGACCTCTGCTCAGTGGGAGACAGTGCTTAAAAACACAACAGCCTTATCTAAATGTTTAAGATATAGAATTATTCAAATCAAAAATTTACACCTACATCCTACCAACACCTACATCACACCAACAAGATTAAAGAAAATCAATAATTTCCTCTCACATTTGTGCTGGCATGGCTGTGGTGAGGCAGGAACACTGATACACCTGTTGTGGTACTGAAGGTTAAAATACCACCCTGTCCATTGGTTTGCCTTCTTGGCACTAGAGTAAAAAACATACAACCAATATACTAACCCTAACCCTAATCCTAACGAAAGATCACACTAGCCCTGGAACTTAATAAAACAATATTTGGAAAATAAGTTATATGATTGAACTTTCTGTAAATGACAGAAAGTCACATACACACCTTATTGTCTATTATTGTATGTTGTAGTGCATATGTCTTCTGTGATGAGTTTGTTGATTCATGTTGTATAAATGGTGTACATGTTTTTTTTTAATTGTTTTGTTTTGATAAAGGAATAGAAATATTAATAAAAATAAATAAATAAATAAATAAAGTCTACATCAACAACACATTTCCTGTTTGTTCTGTTTAAGCTTTTTGAACAGGGTGTATTATTCAAGGATCCAGTTACTGATCAATCCTGAGGTCAAAAGCCAGTAGCCAGTGTCCTTGATTTACCTCCACCTTTAGGGCGGGCGCTATCTTCTCTCCCCTCAGCTTCACTGTGTAAATATATGAACTGTATGCAAACACAGGGGTCGACCGCTGACCTCAGCGATGACCGATTTTAACAGTCTTGTTCACATATTTGACCATCATGCAGGCAGTCAGTGTACTGTCATGCCACTGGACATCCCTCCGTACAGAGCTGACGTCCGATGAGATGATTGGGTAATGTAGGGGTTAGGCACAAAACTGACCAAAGACGTGACTCCCAGTGGGATGGTCTGAAGAGTGAGGTCCATGCAGTATTGGTCCATGTCTGCTGAACGTCAACTCAAGATAACACTCAGTGTTCATGTTGCAGATGTAACTGACCAGAAAGGATTTTGTTGAACTCTGAAAATCTCAACACCCCTTTAGGATTGAACTTGTGGGAATCATAAATGTCTTCATAAGACTAAATGAGAGTCCAGCAGTCTGGACCAAAGACCAACACACTAACAAAGTAAGAAAAACAAACAAACAAAAACAAAAAACACAAACACAAAAATCTTCAACACACAGCTCTGGGTCTTTTATTCTTATTTGTCATTGATTTAAATAGCAAATAACAGCAAAACATCCTTTTTAACAGAACACTCAAACCTTTAAAATGCAACTGCTACAGGAGATACATTTTTCAATGACATCCAAAATTCACTCAAAATTCACAAAGTTATGTAACAGCTTTAAACACTCACAAAGCAGCATATAAACGTAAACATAAACTCTTTTTGGCTTAATCTCTATCAGGGATGAAAGCAAGAAAAGTCCGGTCAGGTGTATTCTTGTCAAGTTAATGTAACTAACTCTTTTAACAGTCTACCAGACAAAGAGGAACCCAAGTGTTGTTTGGAGTCATGTTTGTTTCCACCTGATGAATACTGGCCCAATAATGAGACTATTGAGTTCTTCTTAAAGCTGCCTCCCCTTAGCTTCCATATGCTTCATTTAACTTAGCACCAACTGCTGCTTTAGTGTCTTTAAGGTTGTACAGGAAGTGTTAGATAAAAACAACACTTCAAATTTGATAAAAACATGTTCATCTTGTCCGTCGCAGCACGGTTGTTATATGCTCACATTCAATTTTGTTTAATTAAGAAACAGTGTTACTGTTTACTTTTCTATGATGTGTATCAGGTTTAATCTGCACCTTTAGAAAACACAAACTTACAGATCAGTCTGAAGCTGGTTTGAGTTGTGTTTGTGCAAATATGCGCTCATGGCTGATATATCAGTGCAATTCTGAACTCCGGTGTCAGTCAGACAGTCTATATATAAAAAATTAAGATAAAAATACTCTCAGGTGTAATTCATGCTCCTTGCAGCCTCATACTCCAGAAGAAGTCTTCTCTTGATGTTTGGTTCGTAGTCAGGGTCACAAACTTGTGAGTTGTCACCCTCACTGTTTGAAGAGGAGCTGGAGTAAAGGAAATTCACATCAAATGATGACTCTTCATTCTCTCCCTCCTCCATCCTCCTGTCCTCAGTGTTGTCACCACTGCTGCCCTGCTCCACGGGCTGCTCCACATGTCCAGGTGAGGATCTCCTCCCTGTCACTCTGCAACACTCCTGCCTGCTCAGCCTGACAACACTCACAGACGGCTGCAGCAGCTTGGACTGCAGCAGCAAAGTTTGACTCCGCAGAGACAACTTCAGCGGGTGTTTTTGGACTCTGCTGGTCTCAGCCGTGGCAGAGGAGCAATTAGAGTTTAAAGTTGAGGATATAACTTTGTAGGGAGGAAGGCTGTTTGAAGGTATGGTGTGCTTTTGAGGGAGAGACTCTGAGCTCTGAAGGACGACATGTTGAGGTAATCCACCATGTAAAGGGACTGAGTTAGCAATGCAGACTGAGGAGCGATTCCCTGACTGAGAGGTAGAAGGTTCTTGTTTAAGAGGCCCAGAGGCATTGAAAGGACAACAGTTCCCAAAGGTGGTCTGGGCTGAACGGTCCACTCTGAGTCTGTCCATAGCCTGTGAATCTGAAGTACAAGCAGGTCTGCTTCTCTTTAAATTTCTGGAAGAACACGCTTGAGTTGTTGTTGTGCAGCAAGTAGAGGTAAACTGATCTTGAGATATGTGTGCTGACTTCCCCGTGAGTGCGGGATATGGAGGACTTTTTGGGACCAAGGCTTCTGATTGGTTGCATGGAGAGTCTTTAACTGTTTTACGAGGTATGGCTTCACCCCCTGAGGTTAGTATCTGAGGACTGGAGGAAGAAGCTGCCTGCTGATGGTGATTTGGAGATGTTTCATGGCATTCAAACAAAGGGAGAAACTGGTCAATTGAGGCAATGTCTATCAATCGGATCACTGGTGACAACATGCTCGGCTGCAGAGTGTCTCTCTTAGAAGTGGGCAGATGTGGAGGTTCAGGCTGAAAGGTATTATTCTCTGATTCACCAGTTTCAGGGTGCATTTTAACCTCAGAGTTTGCTTGTTCAGACGTCTGGACCACTGTCTGTACAGGTGGATGCTGTTGATCGCAGGGTGATGGGATCAGGTTAGAGGGGGTGAGGTCCTCTGATGAAGATCCAGATGAAGAGGACTGGAAAAGCAGGGGAGATGAAAAAACACTGGCCTTAAGCTGCAACTCCTCTGAGCACTCCACATGACACTCCTGCAGGATGCTCTTCACCCATCTCTGGTGTTTGGAGCAGAACTGTGGGGGAGAGGTGGTGCTCTGAACACCCTCACCACCTCTCTGACTGATTTCTGCTCTTCCTCTGTCACCGCTCTCTTCCTCCACCCTCTTGACTTTCTCTCCATCCTCCTCTGTTTGCTGATGCCTCCTTAAATCTGAATCGTTGTCATTCTCTGAAAAACTACGATGATCTTGAGACACATCAGTCTCTGGCAGGTAACTTTTGACCGTCGTTTGATCAATTTCGTCCTCTGATGACCAAGAGACCCCGTCTGGATGACAGGAAGCCACATCTAATGGGAATAAAAAGGTAGAGCGTCTCTAACAGACAGTGTGCTTTATCATCAAAAATATTACAAAAGAGAGAGAGAAATAAAGATAGTTTAAAGTAAGTGCAGTTTTTTCTTCCTGGTGCAAATGAAGGAGTTGTTTGAATTCTCACAGCACTTAAACAAAGACAGCTGAGGACACATGTCTGTTATTCTAAGTATTTTACAGTTTGTTTTAAATCACCAGACTGCTGTGATGTCTCTCAGAAAACATGGTAAAGATAAATACTGAAGGGATCCCAACCTAAACACGAGCTGAGCTCCTGAAAACATGCTAGCTGCAGCTTCACTCTCCACCCTGTCAGACCTCTGTAGATATTACAGCTCCTTTTTAAATAAAGTAAGGTGACCATATTCTGACTTCCCAAAAAGAGGACACGACTACAAGGGGTGGAGTCACAGTCACACAAAGTTAATTTTGAGTTTTTCCGGTAGGATCCAGTGTTTTTATGCACTTCTAATGCGGTAAGTCCACGTGACACAAAATCGAAACTTAAGTACAAAACCCCGGACATTTGAAGGATTTTATAAACTTCCCTCGACAAAGCCCCAAAAAGAGGACATGTCCGGGTAAAAGAGGATGTATGGTCACCCTAAAATAAAGTGATGAGAACTCGAAAAGTTAGCAGTGTGATATGCTGCTGTTTTAACATATTTTTAGATACAAGGATGCTGATAAGAAAATGAACATGCATGGAAATGTCATTCACTCAGGGCTTTAGGAGTCAAATAACTGGAATGAGATGTAAAGTATGATCTTGACTTTTAGATTTATTATTCAGATAAATGCTGCACTACAACAACAGTGTGGATTCACTATTCACTATTCTCTTCATGTAAGAGCATTTGCACTTTTAATGAGTTCAGTCTGATCAGCTGCACCTGTAAGCTCATAGGCAGTAGCTCAAACTCAGAACTCGAACACAAACTTTGAGTATTTTTAATGCTGTTTGTATGGTAATTTTCCATCACAGCAGCAGCAGCACTAGTGGGACTACACTTCAGCAGCTTTACGAGAGTCAGTGAAGAGCACGTAATCAAAAAAAAAGACACTAATTTTGGACCTTCATTGTACCAGAATTGATGCATTGATGCTGAAGCTCTGCCACTTTTGGTTCAAATACATTTTAAAACGTATGTCACTCAAAGTGGTTGTAGTGCCTTGATGTTAATGCATGGTAAATATGTGCTCTTAGAGCAAGACCAATCTTGCTCTGTCAATCTTTTTCTGATATGAAATGAGTAAAATAGCTTTGTCCTTTTTATATGCCCAACAGAAACAATTGATCAGGCTGGAGCAAAAAGCTGTTTTGTTCTGAAAACATGTAAGAAATGAGATTTACCTATGTTGTATCTGTTGTGTGTGCATGTGTGTGTGTAGGGCTGGCTGTTTCTTACCACAGTGCAGCAGTTTCTTTAGAGTTGTCGCGATGCTGGCGGAGTCCGAGGCAAGTACTTCAATCAACATTTTCTCCTCCTGTGTCACAGGACTTCCTTGTCTCAGTATCTAATTCAAACAATCATAATGTACCAGTAAACATTCTTCGAAAAGAGCTGTCATTTTTATAAAGAGTGATCATTTATCAGTGTTATCCCTTATAGATTAAACAAAAAACTTCTGTGGATTTAGGTTTCCAGAGACTCCAAGTACAGCTTTATTCGGTGTTTGTTTTATTCATCCATGGACCTGTGTCTCTAATGTCACAATGGGAGTGGGACTGATTTAATAATGAGTACATACAGAATCCAGTAAACTCTGATCAGTTGCACACTTTTCAAGAGGTTAGTACCAGTGAATATAACAGAAAGTGGAAATTCAGAGGTGCACCTTACAAGATTAAACCACGTCATTAATCATCACATTTATATAAAACTGGGTGCAGTCGAACAACAATAAACCAGCATTTGGGTTGCCAACCTAAGAACTATATTCAGAGGAATATGTTTATGCATATGGTGAGTCATATATGGTATTCATCATCATGACCTTTACATTTTAAGTACTTGCAGTAGTTCCTGTAAACACAATCGATGCCTTATAATAGAAAAGTTTGCAGTACATTTTTTAAACACACACCTTGTCAGCGCAGGTATCTCCAGGCAGCACTGTCTCCAGCTTGTGCAGGTAGTGCAGCAGTCTGTCCTCTACCTTTTGGGCATAATGTTCACCATATTGATCCTCCATCTGATTCTGTAAGACAGAAAACACTTAACTTGCCACCTGGAAAAAGCCCTTAGTGAAATCTAAAGATTTATTTTGAATTAAGTTATTGATTGCAAAATCACAGCGTGCAAATCTCAGGGTTCAGTGTCATTAGGAATCTTAACCTGTACATTCCCAGCTTGTTTATCAAACTGTACAGAATAAATATTTCCAGGCATGAGGTGTTTTTCATTGTCTGTTTACTGTTTTTCTCAGTGAACTTTAGTACCAATGTGCCAAAGGTTCTAGGAAACTGTTAATGCCAAATTTCATTCCACCGTCCTATAAACCGAAGTTCATTCATGTGTGATGTCAATCAAGGAAACAAATATATTGTTTATTTCTTACATATAATCATATAAGGTACAACCTTTATGAAACATTGTCCTACCAGTGGGAACACTGACCACTCTGCATTTAGTGGAAGGTTTCATATCATGAAACTAGATCTGTAGCACCCCCTGCTGGAGATAAAATGTACAGTCAAAGCCTGAGGGGGAGATTCACACACTGATTTAATTGTCATTTAATACAACAGAATACCTTCTTGTAGTAGGGAGAGGTGTCAGATAACTGATGAACTCAACAGAAATGGATCTGGGTGTAAGATATTAAGAACTTTTTTCTACACTTTCAGGTGAGTGTACAGGTCAAATGAATACTTGCCTTCACATAATCTTCAAGTTTGTCCTTGTCCATGGCAAGAACTTGAACAAAAGCCTTGAAATCCAGATGGCTCTTCCTCATCACAAACATCTGATGTTGGTTCTGTGCATGAAAATAGACAAAACATCAGCCTCAACTGTAGAAATTATTATCTTAACAGAAGTGAAAGTGTCTCTGTTCTTACATGATCGATGCCATGTCCTTCACAAAAGTTTTTGAGAACTCATTTAAACAATCTGTGATTTATTATTTTATGAGATTCACGAGGTGTGACTGTATGCGTGGACATTTAATATCATGGCTGTGTAAATCACATCCAGTGTGATGGAAATCTGAAAATACAAGATTCAATAAGAACATGTTGTCTTATTAGTCTTATTTTGACTTTTGGCTTTAAAAGGTGGTCAGCTTGCAGAATGATCTGACATTCAGCATCTGTGACTGAGCATTGAGACTCAACATTGTACTTCTTGAAGGACACAGTTATCTTTTACCCCAAACAGGCAAAAAGACTGGGGTGCTTTCCAAGGCTGGACAGATGAGCTCACACTTGTCCTCTCTTTTTGCTCCCTTTTCTCCCTAATTACTTTACAGATGTGTTTGCAGATAAAAAACAGATACTGAAACAATGAAGGGCAACTATGTGAACACATTCAGTGAAAACAAACAGGGTAAAGGATCCAAGGCAGTGTGGGAATAAGAAGTGGGATTTTTAATTTGATGCAAGCGGCAACTGGAAACCAGTGAAGAGAAATGAGCAGTAGAGTGACATGCTGTTTTTGGCCAGGTTTGGATGTGCATGCAGGGAGGCCTGCTAGTAACGTGTTTCAGGAGTAAATGTGTGATATTATGAGAGCCTGTACCAGGAGCTTTTGCATGCTCCAGTTACACGCTCTGTCAGGTAGGGTCTGGTCCTCCTGATGTTGTGGCAGACAAATCGATACAACTCGTAACTGAGACCTGATTATGTCAACAGAAACTGAAAATTTAGAAGCTCCCTGAAGGTAGAATTTGCAGTGAAGTTGTTTTGTTAGTGCATCGGACTGCTCAGGTGTTCATAATGTTAGGGCCAGTACGCCATGATACTTGTAGCATTAGTGAAACACTTACTTTCTGTGTTATGTTGGGAACACTATAACAGTATGAAACCCCAGACACAACTGACTTAGAATCTAAATGGATGCAATCAGAAAAGAAGGACATTTATATTAATCACAGTCACTGAAACTTCCAACATTATAGAAGTACTTTTGTGCAACCTGAGCAGCAAAAAAGGTGCTCTGTCTGGAAAAAATCTTTCCAGTTAAAATATTATTAATGATCAATACAGTGTTGCAAAGACATGATAGATTCAAAGAGATTCAGGGGAGAAGACTTACAGACTGGTCTTGGTATTGAGGTAGATTACTAGGGAAAAAATGGTTTATTTTAAACACAGTGTCAACCAGTCCACGGCCCTCCCTTAGCATCCTCATGATGACCTGCAATGAGAGGCATTAACAGACACTGTATGAGGAAGAGTTACGCAGAAAGCAGTAAATAAGAGGCCAACATTCTCCCACAGCTGTATCCTGTACCATGGTTTTAAGGCCAAACATGATCTTCATGTGTTTGATTGGAGTCACCAGCCTGGGCAGAAGTCTGAAGGTGGTTTCCAGAAATTCCATCACTTTCTCAAACTGTTCAATGTTTATGTTCTTCACGATGGAGTACACCTGAGCGGAGCCAGCACGCAGTCTCAGTGAGTCTTCAAGGCTCAGAGGCTGAGGGTCCATTTCTGGCCAATCGGATGAGTCCAAAACTGAAAAACATTGCATGAAACCTCCTTTTATGATTTTACCATTTTTGAAACTTAACAAAGAGTGAACTTCTAAGTGGTTATTTTATCAAATATATCATGAAAAATTAGTCACAGTGCAGGTAGACTCATAGTTTTGGACTAACTGGTTTATATGTACTGTTACTGTGTACGAATAACTTCAAAAAACATAATATAATTTCACATTACTGATGTTAATTGTTGGAGATTACACATGAACAGGAAGAAAACCAATCCTGTAGCATGCCCAGTTGGATCTTATTCAAACTACACTCTCAAGTATAAGGATTTTGTATTCAAAGTGTAACTGAGTAAATGATTAAATGCACTTTTTGTCACTGTCTCAAATGTTTTGAGTATGCAAGAAATTGATTGACTACATGTAAACATAAGGAAGACATTAAAACTATGGTAATAGTATGGAAGCCTAAAGCAGAAATACATTCAACTGATTTATATACTCTTTTTTTCCCTGCAACAAATTATTTTAGCAGATTTCAAGAGAACTGGACTAAACTTCAGGTGATATACTCCCATCTCCAGAGCTGAATAAATGCACAAAACAAACTTGGAAGCAGACTAACTTGCCTCTTTATTGAAGTGAATAGCAGCATGGCAAAAAATATTAATTCTGCAGGCTTTTGACAGTCAAATATGACATTTTTTAAGTGAACATTATGAAAACAGCGCTTTTTCTTCATCTCGGCTAACACCTACCCCTCTGCCACCATTTCCAGCCATTTCAAGTTAGAAGATATTGATCATTAATCATGTTGCTGGTGGACTTTTTTGGCTTTAGGTATCATGAAAAGGCCTCAGTATGAATTTCAGTCGAACATGTTAGCATGAAAAAAAAACTTATAGTAGCTTTAAGATCCCCTAATAATGTCTCAACCACTTGTTAGCCCAAGATACAGAAAAAAAAGTCAGAGTCATGAAATAATCTTTAGTTAATAAGACATATAAATCAAAACACTCTTCTTCTCAGTAAAATTAATACATATGGACCCTAGTTCTGCAATATTTAACAGCTGTTTCATGGACAGTAATCATGGTGCAGAGGGACCTGGACTTGCTCCTTCATAGACATAACTGCCACCTGCTCAACTTTTAAATTATTTACTCATGATGTAGAGATTAAAAAACAAACATCTACAAGACAGCATTAACCTATCAAATATCATATCAAAAAATAAACTTACCTCCCAGTATGTCTCTCATCTTGTGTGTCCAAACATACTCTATGATCCACAGAGCTAAGTTTGGGTAACTTTGAGATGGCTGCAGCTCCTCTTCTTCCATCTGCTGATCAGTGAAAACACGAAGCTCATCCCTGCAGTGTGAGAGACACTGTCCTACTAAGCTTGAAACACACCATTTATAAATGCTAAACGACTACTCGACCCCCCAACCCGGCTGGGCATGTACTGACAAGTTGAGGAGGCCAGGTTTTGAACATACTTTGTTCCTGTACCGTTCACACATAGTTTCGTTTTCAAATAGTTGCAAATTACCTCCTGGTCAAGCTTGTTGTTTCTTTTCAAAATAAAATATTCAAACAGTTCTGCAGTCTTTTCGCAACTCGAAAGAAGCACTGGGCTTTTATTGTGAAGGTCTCCGTAGCCAATGACGTCGTTGACCAGGAAGTAATCTCATGTCTCCGTTGACATGTCTCCCGTCTTCACCTTCTACCCTAAAATTGTGTGTTTTCCTGTTTGCAGAGACGCGCTTTAACTGATTGAGGATAGAAGTTGCTAAATATGTTGCTTCTTTTGTTGCTGTAGTTTGTCCCATAAACCTAATGTGTACCAACATGCTAAATACTTAGCTTTGTAGCTTTTGGTTCTGTGTAGGAGGCGCGCGTGTGTATGGGCACCTGTGTACCCCGTCGGCGGTGTTTGGACTGGTACTAAATCCTGATCGGTAAAGGAGGAAAAGCAGCACCAAATCAACCACATGAGAGAGTAAGTTCCTGTTAAACCGAGAAATGTTTCAAACCTTCTTTGATTCTATCGGATTAAACCGTTTTATGTGAGGTCTGCCGTTCTGTGGTGAAACAATGGTGTCCTCTAGTGGTAGTGGTTGTCTGGGGCAAAAACCCACCTACAGTCATATAAACTCAACACATCAAACTATGGTAAAAACAAAAGCATTAATGCAGAACATGAGCAGTCACAGCCATCTACAAATGATGAGCTATAAAGGAAAGATGCCTGTGTATGTGTAATATGTACTAAAGAAACTGATGGAAGAAAACTAGTTTCTCTGTAAAGACTTGCACTATTTCAGTTAGTTGATTCTATGTAAAGGTTTGTTTTTGTTTAGTTTTATTACTTCAAAATTATTTATCTAATTGATAACCAATAAGCAGGGAAACTCTTCAATGTTAAATGAATTTGCCTAAAGTAAAAAGGATGAGTGGAGCAGCCAAAAAGTGGGTTTTGTGTGTGTGTGTGTGTGTGCACTCTTTTGAAGTGTGTCAAACTGACAAACGAGACCGGACCTGAATGAAAATAACTCATCAAAGCATTAACTTCTTTGTCTCTAAATATGGCTTGAAGGTTGTTTTTTACTTTGGTGAGACTAAATATTCCTCTTTTGTCCGGTTTTCAAACAGCACTGTGTGACTTGTGTGTCACAGCACCCAACTGCAGCTCCATCATGAACAGAAAATCAGGCATGTCTCTGCTCCAGCTCACCAGGATGGGGTTCAGAGTGTGTTTGTCTGACGCCAAGGTCTTGACTTTAAGGACTTCTACTCATTCACACATCTCACCCTTCCAGCCCCTTCTCAGCAGTCACTCCTACTCCAGCAGTATCAAGGTGCGCTCTTATCTTCAGTACATGAAACACAAGATCAAACCTCCCCCCAGTCCTCCTTACGGACATGTCTGCCAAGTAGGGGACCCCGTTCTGCGTTCACATGCAGCTGCTGTGGACCCTACAGCTATAACAGGCCCTGAGATCCAAAAGGTCATCAAAACTATGGTGAAGGTGATGCGGGAACTTGAGTGTGTGGGACTGAGTGCGCCTCAGGTTGGGGTGCCACTTCGTATACTGGCCCTGGAGTATCCTCAGAGAATGTTAGAGGAGAGTTCGCCTGCTTCAAGGGAAGCCCGGGGTCTTTCTGCACAGCCCCTGAGGATATTCATCAACCCCCAGCTGAGAGTCCTGGATGGACAGACTGTGCTTTTTCAAGAGGCCTGCGAGAGCCTCTCAGGTTTCTCTGCCACAGTTCCACGCTACTTGTCTGTGGAAGTATCAGGTATGCATGTTTACTCACCAGATTCTACATATTTTTACCATTTTGTGTAAAAGTTTTATGATCTTTTTATTCCACCAAAGATCAGGAATCATACATTCTGAAACGACACCAAGATGCTGAAAGGAAGTTAGTTTCTGAACTTTCAGCAGATCTGTCAAAGAGCAGCTGTTCATTCATCTCTGTTGATTTTTCTCCCCTCTCTTTTGGTTCACATTCAGGTCTGGATGAGAAGGGAGAAGCTGTCACATGGCAGGCCAGTGGCTGGCCAGCTAGAATCATCCAGCATGAGATGGACCACCTAGATGGAGTCCTGTACATCGACCGCATGGACAGCAAGACCTTCATAAATATCAACTGGCAGGCGTACAATGAATAACCAGACAAAACACAAACATTAACATGGTCATCTGTCTGTAAAGGGGATAAAATAAAGATAACTTATCCTGAGAGTGAAGCAGATGTGTGCCTGGATTATTTTCAAGTCAGTGCGCTCAACCTCTTTTAGTCTTTTAGCCTCATGGATTATTATTCTGCACACAACCAAAGCCAGTCCAGGTTTGATTTTGGTCATTCATTATCTTCAGACACACAAAAATGTCCACCACCCAGTTTCTTCATTCATATACAGATTTAATTTTATACACAGAGTGATACATTTTTAGTTGAATGAATGCTCAGTACCAGGATCAACAAGGAAACCTTGAATAGAAGCACATTTCACATATGATTAAATGGAAGTGCAAGACTGAAATCGTTGTTTTTCCAAGTTATTGTAATTGAAAAAGGTGTATTGGTCTACCTTTTCAAGTGTTTCTGGTCATGCTCTGGACCTCGAGTCAGTGATTGATGAATAAAAAAGCTGCTTTGTTCATGCTAGAGGAGTGTATGATTAATGTGTGGATATGACAAGATTCCATTTAGTTGCAAATTGGAGAGTGCTTGAGGATCTAGTATCTTACTTTTAGAGAAACACTTGAATACATCTTTTAGAAAAATTTAAACCCTTAATTTAGCTGGAGGGGAACTAGTCTTGTGGTTTTACAAAGTGGATTAATGAGTGGATCTGAGTGACGTTTGGAGAGGGCCTCAGGACATGTCTGGGACATGAGCAGGCAAGACTGAAGAAGTATGTGACTGGTTCTAGCAGGTATAAGATATATTTAAGATGCTCTTAGTGCACCCTTGTAAACTTAATGTCCACATCAGGACAAAATTAGGTGTTGAATAAGATGTTGAAATAATGCACACCATGTGTAGTTTTGTATGCGTGATAATGTGCATGGCCATTACTTCATTTCTGATAGATAGTTTACATTACTAGCATGTTTGGGAAAGTAGAGCAGCATTTACCTCTGAGTTTGGTGATTTTAAAAACAGTTTTGTGATCATAAGTTTTTTTTCATGGTTCAAATCATCGTTAGTTGTTTTCCATTTTCAACAGAATTTTTTAAAGGCAACATACCAAGCAGAAGAAAAATGGAATAAAACCTTTCAGAATACTGTAAGTGCTAACCATGAGTACTGGTCATGATATTCAAAAGATGTTTGCTTCATGTATTAAAAAATACATCCACACCAGATAGAGATGTATTGACCCTTTTTAATCCAGTCTGTGTTCAGGCCTGAAATACAGATGAAAACATACATCAATGTGCTTTACACAAAGTTACATATACGTGATATAAGAGCACATACTGGTAATTTTTTATGTCTCAACAGAACAAGGCATTGCAGACATTTTGGCAATTGTAAATACGGCCCCTTGGACCAGGTGTATCACAAAGTAATGCAAGCTTCAGTGTTATGATTAAAGTGAAAGAACTGAAGCACACTACTGCATCTCAGACTGTGTCAAGGCAACAATTGAACTTCTGATATTCTGTACTTCATTTAAGGCACTGTGATTTTGCTAGTTGTGCCTCATAAGTGCAATATTTTCCAGTACAATCACACAGAGGATGACTGGTCAAACCTTTCACCACAGATGCATTTCAAAGGATCTCTGTACCAGCAATCCCTGCAAAACTCATTCCCACAATATCTGCACAGAACCAAAGGATCTCTGGAAGCTTCCTTTCCACAGGAGCACAATCCCAGCACACTTAACTCATGATCCTCATTTTGGCAGAAAGTTATCCCTTTACAGGACCCAGCGTGGAACACGCTGCAGCTACGACACAGAAACTGAGGGTCCAGCTTAGTGAGGTCGCAGCAGTCGTGGTAGCTGATTGTTGCAATTGATCTAGGCTCTTCTCCCAGAGTTAAGGAGGCCATGGCTACACTGCTGCTGGTGAGATTTGGTGGTGCATTGGTACTGAAACTTTCATCGTGCAGGGGACCAGCTCTCCATTTTTTCATCTCTTCCATCGGATTGTCAGGAAAAATCGTGCGGTGGTTCTCATTAATGCAACGCTTCAGCAAGGCACAGTCAAAATCATGGAGGCTGTTGCAGTCTTTGCAGAGTTTAACAGCAAGGTGAGGAGATTGGAGACAGCTGCACAGCTGGTCGGCTGCCGCCTCATTCATGCAGACTTCGACCTGCAGACTGTGTGACTGCGAGTCTTTAGCTAGACGTCTGCGCTGCCTGGCACTGGTTGAAGAGCTTCTTTCCGTTTGTGACTCGGGTGGTGACGTGTTGGTAAGTTGGCAGTTTAGTGTGGAGACACAGACATGCTCTCGGCTGGACAGGGAGGCAGATGAAGAGGGCAGAGATGTTATTCCGTTGCTTTGTGTTTTGACGGCAGAGGATGATGCAGCGTTGAGAGCCACCCAGGCTAAAGATGGTGGACTCCCATCATCTTCTTCCAAGGCCCTCCTATGACGGCCATTTCCCTGAATATCTGTGTACAGATCCACGTCCACTTCTCCATCACCATGTTCCATCGGCTGCTGGTCCACTTCCAGTGCCTTATTGGTGTTGATCAGTACGTCCTGTTAAGATAAACACTGAGTTAACCCTCAGCAAACACCTTACTGTCACAGTTCGTTTGTTCACATCAGGGGTCATGATTTCATAATTCATTTGTCAGTCAGACATACCTGCAGATTGTTTCCTGTCAGTCTCTCCCTCACCACACTCAGCTCCCACTGGACCTCACCAGCATGCTCTCCCAGAGCATCTTGAAGGAGGCGACACTCACAACGGGCCAAGAAAAAGGCACATGACAGGCAGAGGAGGTCGTCCATAGAGGCAGGACTGACTCTGTGGGACTGGAGACGGAGCTGTTCATGTCGAGGAGAGCTGGGCTGGTATCCCAGCAGACCGAAAAGCCTCTCTATCTGTGGCATCGACAGCACCGGTTTGATGTGGTGGGTGAATATGCCAGAGTACATCTGGGAGATAAGATGGGCAAATGTAGGAGAGATCAAAAATGGAAAAAAAACGCCAGGTTCATCAAACAACAGGAACAGATTTTTAACTTAAATGTCACAATACAATAGGATATGATACAATAAGATGCAACATGATACAAAAATGCAATCACAAATTTACTAAAGGGAAATCTTATCTAACCTTGACGACTTTGAACTCCTCCCTCCAAGGGCAGAGGTACAGGTTCAGAGCTGCCTGTTCCAGGACCTCAAAAGCTCTCTCCAGGCCCCGCAGCCCTCTCCTGACATTAACACGCCCTGTGCTGGCTGCTGCTGTTGCTGCTTCTGTAAGAGACTCCTCCATCACCCTCAGGGGATCCAGACCCAGGCAGTGTATCTCCCGACCATCTTCATCCCTAAGTAGTCCCTCCACCTGCTTCCACAACTCCTCATCTCTACACACCAGGCTGGAGCCCTGACCCACAATTTGCCGCTCCAAACTGTGATCGTAGGCGGTGACGAGATCTTTGGCTCTCTGCCTGGAGATGCTCATGTCTTTCATTCAGCTGAGAGGTAGACATAAAGGACAATAAATCAAAGGCTGGGATCATGCAATCTGTTTTCTCTTGTAGTTACATGCACATTTCAGAAATTTATTTTATTGAGTTTTGGAGTAGAGTCACAAATTGGAAGGTTTTAAGCCAGCAGCTGTACAGCAGGCGGGAATTACTTAAATATGATCTTTCAGGGCAAAGTGCCCGATCAATGCACATCCACTGAACTCTCTGTTTTACCATGGAGAGATTTTGATAGTCATTCTGAGTGTGGGCAAAGTTCATAGATGCAGCAACTTAGATTGATGTCAGCTAACCTAACCCGTTTTTCAAGAGTGAATCGACAGAGTTGATGGATAAAACTGAACTGAAAAAGGGTTTCAGACTATCCTGGTGTAGTACAGCACCAAGGCAACTGATAACCTATTAATTTAGAGGGAAATTCAGATTAAGAGTAATCAGCAAATCTAGAGGTGAGAAAACACTCAATAAAAAGTCAAAATGAAGCGCAACTTCCTCAAGAGGATCGCAGAGTCTGAGTAAAGGATGTCGAATAGTTACACTCTCAAATACCACCCTTTGGTGCCCCTTACAGGTTAACACCTACATGCCTATGTAGTTCTCAGTAAAGTGGTCATACAAGTTTGACCTAACACAGTCTGCACACAACTTTGCTCCCATTTCTAGATTAAAATATGTCCAAATCATGCAGTGTTACGAGAGGCTGTCTGAAAAAAAAAAAACATGCAAAATTTGTTAAAAACCAAATAGTCACTCTGGTGCCAAATATCAAGAAAAGTGACATTTGATTGATTCTGTGACTAATTGATTCATTAATTTGAATAATAAATCCAAAACTCATGATCACAAAGTACATTTCATTGTATTTAACTGGCTTGAACTGATACCATCTCTGCCTCTCTGCTTTCTATCTTTTGATATGACAGTTTTCATGCTTTTTTCTACGATTTTACTATTTATTTTATGTGTTAAGATAAAAGATTTAATTCTGACACCGTCTTCATTTCTTTAAGGGGTCCTTTCAAGAGGGTTAACCTACCCTGTGAGACGGTACACAGTATATTATTTAGGGCTGTAAGTTAGTTTAGCTGGAGGTAAACACACTCCTCTTTGTAACCGAAAGTGAAACTTGTGACCTGGGTAAAAACTTAAACTTAAAGTACAAAAAGTTTTGACCAAGAATGATATCTCTTACTTGACATGTACAGTTAATGTGGGCCGCAGTTTATAACATCTGTCAGTTAAGTAGAAGTTGATCGTGACCAAGAGACATTGCTAAGATCGTTAGCATCAACGTTAGCCTATATTTTAAACTGCACCCACACTAGAAAGTTAGTTTTACAACCTGACTGTAACTAGTTTGTTTTTGTCACTATGAGATATTAACTCTAGACGTTCAAATGTTGCCTTAAAACAATGAGATAAACTCACAAAAAAGACAGTCGAAACTCGATTAATCAAAGAACACCAATCGACAAAGGTTTCACTTTGACTAATATGTTTTGAGACAAAACTCAGGAAGTAAAAACACCGTTGTCAGACATACTCAGAGAAGAAGAAGTTCGTGTTTCTTCAGTGGTAAGCCGGGGAAAAGAGTGTCTCCTGACCCCTCAGAAAGCGTTTTCGGTCGGGTTAGGGCGTTCAATCTTTCACAGCTTCTCAAGGAAACGTTCAATCCCCTGAATACTGAGTTACATGTTGGTACGGAGGAGAGGCGAACTGCTACGTTATGGTTACCCCGCAAACAGAGCTGAAAGTTGGGTTGAAATCGAAGCTTTAGATGACCAAACAGGTGCAACATGAACTCACCTGAGCCTGCCTTTCAATCAGATGTTCTCACTGAATCATGTCAAACACACCCGGACACACACACACACACAGTCCTCGCCGGGCGGCTGCTTGATTGTCCAGGTAAAGTAAACATTGTCACGTGGCACGGATTTCCCCAGATTCAAACATGGGTGCGCTTGATATGAGTATCTGGACGGGCCGGTGTCACCGTGCCCTGCAGTTTACACAACGAACAAATTTTTGATTTATCAAACTAAACAAAACACCAAAAAAATGCACGTAAAACTAAAGAATTCAGTTGAATTGACCATTTTTTCTTAATAAACACTTACAAACTACTACATCCATTGTACCTAAAAACAAGACACAACCCCAATTCCCAAAAAGTCTGTACTCAGTCAAGTGTTGATTAAAGACAGGTTTTATGTTTTGCAAAAAGGTCTGGATCCTTTATTTGACTGAAACAGAGCAAAGATATGGTGGCCGAGAACTGCCATTGACGCAAATGCAAAATGAATGCAAAAAAATAAGAAACCACAACGGAAATTACCGATGCAAAAAAAAAGAAAAAAAGAAACCAAAGCCCACTGCAAATAGAAAAAGAAACGGTGCAGATTAAAAAAAAAAAGTTAACGGCGCAAAAAAAGTGGCAGTGCAAAAGTTTACTCTCTGCAAAAATAAAAGGATTCAAATAAAAGAAGCCACAACAGAAGCTAGCTGCCTGGGACCAATATTGATGATGCACCCGTGTTTTACGATCTAGGCACAGAAGACAATGGCGAGAGGATGAGCAGAGAAGTAGAAAGGTTATTGTTTAATTTCGCTTCATTTACTTTTCAATGTGTCATCTGGTTTGGCCATGTTGCACCTGAGTTGATATGAAGTTGAACTGGAGGATGCCGGTGTAGTGCTAGCTTCAGTTCAACTTCATATTGACTCAGGCACTACATGGCCGAACCAAATGACACATTGAAAAGCACACAAAGCGAAATTCAACAATAACCTCTCCACTAACTTCTTTGCTCGTCTTCTTGCTCTGGTCTTCTTGATCGTAAAACACCGGTGCATATCATTGTTGGTCCCTGGCAGCTCACTTACTGTTATGGCTTTTTTTTACTTGCATCCTTTTATTTTTCGCAGTGAGTAACTTTTTTTCCATCTCCACTTTTTTTTTTGCATCGTTAACTTCCGTTGTGGCTTTTTTTTTTTTTTTTTTAAATCTGCACCGTTTCTATTTTTATTTGCAGCAGGTTTCGGTTTCTTTTTTTTTTTTTTTTTGGATCGTTAACTTCCATTGGGGCTTTTTTTTTATTTATCAGCACCGTTTCTATTTTTATTTGCAGCAGGTTTCGGTTTCTTTTTTTTTTTTGATCGAAAAATTCCATTGGGGCTTTTTTTTTTTTTTTATCAGCACGTTTCTATTTTTATTTGCAGCAGGTTTCGGTTTTGGTTTCTTTTTTTTGTGGTAACTTCTGTTGTGACTTCTTTTTTTCTTTTTTCTTTGCATTTTTTTTTTTGATTTGCAGCAATGGCGGTTCTTGACCACTGCAGAAAGAAACATATCAAACATTAAAATACTAAATTTTATTGTCTTTGAAAAATATTTGCTCATTTTATAGATGTGATTTAAACAAGTTGTTTGAGTAATGTTGGGACAGCTCGCCTTCATCATAGCTTTTGTTATATGGTGCGACAAATGTTTAACATCGAAGATGAATCAGGGCTGCAAGCAGGTGTCTTCAGCATAGGGACTATAAGTGAGCCCTGTATGACGCCATACAAATAATGGAGCTATCAGGCTTATAATGTAAATATGTTGGATACTGACTGTTTATTGAGTAACAGAGAAGGGGTGGGTTTAAGTAAGCACAATGCTTCATCTTACTCCTTTCGGACATCTTGGGTTGACATTATTATTATTATTATTATTATTATTATTATTATTATTAGTAGTAGTAGTAGTAGTAGTAGTAGTAGTAGAAGTAGTAGTAGTATTTTGGTTTGTTTTTGTTGCTTTGGTTATCGTTATTGCTGTTTTGAATATTCTCATTGGTTTTGTTTGTTTGTTTTCAGTTTACTTTCTTGTGTTTTCCGCTTATGTTCAAAAATATATATAAAATAAATAAAGATAAGAAATAAACCTGTTGTTCAGTTCATTTATGACATCTTTGAACTGTGCACTGGTAACATAACAAATGTCTCTCCCCAACAGCAGGGGACCCATCATCCATGACTTCAACAAGGATTTTCCATCTTTGGACTGAATAGTTTAGACCTACATTTTCTGAGGATGCAGCCACAAACTGTGTCTATGAACAATGGTTTCTTGGAGAAATTTGAGTCCATACAGTGATTTACACTACAGAGTCATGTATGTTATACAGCAGAGCCACCTAAAAGCCCAAAGACACTAGGCATTCTGGTTTCTCTGTATCTTTGAGTCATATCATGTAAATGTTGAAATCCCTAAATTCCTTACAATTTCCTCATTTTGACCTATAGTTCAGACCTATAGAAATTGCTTTTTGTTTCGGTTACTTTTACAATTCAGTATTTTTTTAATTATTCATAGAGCGGTTACATGTATGCACAAATCTTATGTAATATATCTTTTCTCCACATTATCACATTTGTTATTGTTTATTTGGTGGTCCCTATGGTGGTAAATAATGAGTGAATGTATAGCCCAGTGTATTTGACCTCTGAGGCTGGTTGCTATTCATAGGGGGGGATCAACCACGAGGTGGCAGCATTTTTGTTTGAGCGCTGAGCCATCCATAAACCGACTGCTCTGTAGTTATCCTGAGTTTTAATCAGTGGCTAACACACACAAACACACGAATTATTCGGACATAGAGGCGTGGCTACAGTGACAGTAGCAGAGGGGCGGAACTGTGCTCCAAGAGTTTAATTTAAAGCATCCTGAGTTGAGCGTGTTGCTCAGTACATGTCTAAAACTCCAGTCTTTGACACAGCAGCATCCTTCATTCATAGCAGGTCTGTGTAGCTATAGTCAACATGTCAAACTCGGACCGGGTTGTCTTAGCTTTGGGAGGAGCGGGGACTGTGGGCTCTGGGGTTGTTAAGGCACTTCTAGATAAAGGTAAGCTGACACCCGTTTTGACATGTTTTATTTCAGAAAGGAAAATTCTCAGCACACTCTGTAAGATAAATGTTTTATTGTTAACTCTCAATCGTATAGACTAACATTTTGGATACCGTCAGACCTACTTTTACGCATTGGGAATTTGTCTCTTGGATTTTACGCCGGCATTTTCTATCATGGTGTACTGCAGAGATGACTTTTATGAGTATTTCAGGGTCCGTTTGAGTGAAACATTTCTTGCAGTGAAATGTTGCGACTTGCCGTAATCATATGAAGGCGCGTGGATGTCTACATTTCTGGTTTTATCTACAAGGGCCTCACTTAGAGAAGTCTAAACAACAGCATTTGGCCCTCATCGTACCATGATGCGCTCTTCTCTGGTGTGCATTACGCGCGAGGTTATCTGTCTCTAAGGTCAGGCATCGTTATGAGCGCATCTCGGTGCTGGCTGCGCAAACAATGACTCTCAGTTCATTTGGCAGAGGAGCGCAGTGCTTCTCAGCCAAATTAAGTGTGGGCATGAAATCAAAATTAACCTTTGGCACGCACACTTATTTCAAGGCTGCAAAAACCTTTATTAACGCTCATTCCAAATACGTTTTTTCTAGTTTCTTTTCCATGGTCCCTCTTATCAAAAATCAATACAAATGAATGGAAGAAGTAATGCTACAATGCATCGTACATGCTTTATTTTGCATGTTAAAATAGAAATATTAGCAATGCTTGGATTAAGAGAAACACTGAGGACCATAAAAGACTTATTAGGCAAACACAGACATTCAAGAAATTGCTTATATTTAAGAACACCATCAAAAGATCAGACTTGTTTGAATACTTTAATGATTAACCAATGTTATGTGATTTTTATGCAAATCTCTGTTCTAAAGGTCTCTTTCTCCACACAATTAAATAGCAAATGATCCTTTAATTATTTCCTCTCCTCCTTCTTTTAAAATGATCACATCCATCTATCACCTGCAAACTAGGTGGATTGGAATTCCTGCTATTTCTACTGCTGAAAGTTTAGTGAGTTGTAGTGATATCTTTGGTTTGTTTGGTAAAAACTACACTGACCAACTATTTTTGGAGTCTGACAGGGCTATTTCCAAAGTCTGAAAATGTTTCTACAGTGTTTTCATCCATGCGGATTTCTAGATTATATAATCAATTTGACTGAGGATGGATTTACACACTGACCTCTCAAATATGTGTTGTCTAAAGTTAGAGCTTCAGAGCAGAGGAGGTCAGGTAATAACAATCAAAAAAGAAAAGAAAAATTAGCAACCTTTTTCATGCTTGTGTTTATGTGTATTTGTGTTGATATTTTTTTTATGAATTATTCATATATGTCAATAATTAGGATTTAAATGATGTCTGATGACATTAGGGGGGTTTCTGCTGCAGATGCAATCAACAAAGTCCCAAAGTCTGATGTGAATTTATCTTATTTAGGACTCTACTGTTCCTCATCATCAGCTTTTTTTAAAAATCAGATTTTGTGATTCAAGGCGGTCCAGTATATTTTTGGACCTTATCTAGGCTGTTTCGAACCTTAAAGCTGAAAGTAGGTTATCTGTTTTGCTTTGTTGCCTCTGTACTCAACATGAACCAGTGCAGGAGATGTGCAGGACGCAGAGTCCAGAGCTTTGCTGCCAAAAGAGAGCAGAAAGTTACCATCTGCTGCTCCATCATGTTTATTCCTCTGATGACCCTGATAGGCAGACGAAAACAATGACGTCCATTTATTGAATATCTATTTTCATGTAAGAGGGATTAGTCCTAATGTTTCTGTGTTAAAGGCTCTGTTATTCTCATGTGCACTACAGATTAATGTATTAACTAATGTATATTTTGTGTGTGTCATACATGTCTGTGTGTCTGTTGTTGTATGTGTGCAAAGGTTTCAAAGTTGCAGTGATCTCTAGGGACAGCAGCCGCCTGGAGAGACTCCGTTCATTTGTCTCTCCAAACACAAAGGATAACCTCACTACTATTGTGGGGAATGTGGGTGAGTCCAGTTACAGGTCCTCCTATTCACCCAAGACAACAACTGTTAGAAATTAAGGTCATCTAAGTGTCATTTGACAGGCTTAGTCATGCTGCACACGCATCACATTCATACAAGTAAGATTTCAACTCAGATAGCATAGAATAAATAAGAAATCAATACAGTAAGAAATTGGAGACTTACAATTTTGTCTGCTTTTTCACTTACAAGCCCACAAAAAGTTATGATCATGCTATGCATGTAGTCTCTGAAAATGTTTATAGTAGGGCTGTCGGCTTTGCAATAAGAGACAAACTTTTCCGTAAACTTTGTCCAGTTCTGGAGCACCAAGTATCCTTGGATACTGAAATTCTTGGAGCAACTTAGGGCCTTTTTCGGAAACAAGAGTGGTTTCTTAGCCAGAATTCAATTAAATGTGCAAAGATCAAAACACTCAACCTTTAACTCCAGATGATACACCTCAAAAAAATTATAAACCAAAAAAATCCAAAATAATCCCAACAATTTCCCTGGCCAAAAACTGATATAATAACCTTTGTGGTTCAAAATGAGGAGAAGCTGTTCCCGTCTCTAGATCTCCTCTGCATTGAAACAATATGTGTTTTTTAAAAGCTGACATAAAAACTGGTTCCACATAGCTACCTCATATTAGATTAACTACCAAGGCTGTGCCATATTTTGCCCAGGAATGGAAAGTCCCAGAAATTTCTGGTCTGAGACACAGAGGCGGTGGTAAAGCGGAGTGGAAAAAAACAAATGGGCCATCAAAGAATCATTCATTTCAACATGTTGTTCGTTTTATTATCATTTCCAGTTACCTCTTTTCACTGAAAATATGATGAAAAAAGTATCACGAAGATTAGATGCAGTGATGGATTGTTGGCTAGTGAGTTATAAGTCTTTTCAGGCCTTTTGGAAATTATTTGGTTATGTTCAACATCACAGGATGCCACTGTGATTAACCTGAGCTGAGTAAATTTGGTAAGAGCATAGGTTCTTTTCCAGGGGAGTCCCAGTACAGATTTTAACTATCAGGTTAGAGCCAAATCATCCATCTTTTGACTGATCAGGGGTCAGCAGTTGAGCAGATCATCTCACCTTGAACAATTGAGTCATCTCAAGTTAGCAATGAGTTTTGAGAGTCAGTAGAGTGGTGTTCAGTGGTACCAGTATGATACAACATCTAATAACTAAACACAAAATGAACCACAGGGCATTCACTAAAGCAACAGAGGAAATGGGCAACAATTCTGGACTTTAAAAGGATGGGTGCTTTTGGGTCCTGTCAACATTACATTTTGGATACCACCCCTTTATCAGAGCACTACAGCAAAGCTCCTGACAAAAATCAAAGTGATTTAAAACATGATGCTGGTTTCATCACTGACATTTTGGAGCTCTGACATTTGGGCCATGTCATTGCTGAGCCTCACTGGATGGGTTCCTCCTACTTTAGTTTCATGAGTTTCTTTTTGTAAACTAAAGAATGATGTGAAGCTCTATTATCTGTGCAAATACAAGTAACTGATCAGGACTCGATATCTGTAGGTGTTTAATATTTGAAAAATGGGATTGGGATCAGGCCCAGAAAAGCTGATTGTAACATCCCTTTCACCTTTGATACAGGCTTTGCACAGAGGTTTCAGTTGCGCTCAGCCACCAATGGATTATCTTTAGAGAAGGTTACATTATTGGAGTGATGGCCATTATGGGCTCAGAAGTGATTATCAGAGAATAAAGTAGATTAAGTGATTGAATGTTTACATACAATGGGCCTGGGCAGTGAAGGGGTCATTGTTCAAAGCTTTGAGTGTTTGTGGATGCAGCAGCAGCAGCAGCAACGGCAGATGTCCAAGCTGGTCTAAACCCACAAAGATTCAACTCGTCTCAGAGCACTGGTTTGGCTGAGTAGTTAACGCACATGCACTTTATGGAGAGGCTATAGAGCTCATTGCAGAGGCCCACCATGATTTTTACCTGCACGTTAACCTCCACTCTCTCTACTCCCTATGTTACTAGTCTCTTTATAGCTGTCCTTATCCAGCGAAGGAAAAAACTGACCAAGATGCAACTGTTAGAAAAGCGTGTATGTAAGTGAACCAGAGAAGATAGATTTCGATGACTGAAGTTATGAAACCTTAGCTTACCAGAGAAAATAAAACATGTAAATCCCCCCTGTCCCCACAGTATTTTCTCGCCTGTGACCAGGAACACAGAGAAGGATTGGTGAAAAGTTGGGCTGTCGATGGTAGGGCAGAGGCACAGTAGGAGACTCGAGACTAAAAGCCTGAGGGCTGCACTTGCACATGTCTTCATTGGAGGACAGCCAGGACAGGAGACCTGGAGGTGGAATCGCTAATGAGACAGACTACATAGCCTTGACATTGGTGAGACAGTTCTGACAGCCAGACCTGCAAGCAACAGTTAAGGGTCAGGACAGGTTGCAAATGCTGCAGAGATACAAGAACCTAAGGAACAGTCCAGCACAAGAGCTGGTGGCTGCAGGACAAAAGAGGAATTGGGCAGGGTGACAGTGACGGTCAGCTGAGGGTCAGAGAGTTCAGGCTGAAATGGCCTCCTGACAGCCAAGAACCAGCGTCTGTCAGGCCTCACAGAGAAACCAGACTGGACTGGTCAGTGGAGTCCCTGCAAGACCGGGGAACAAAAGAGAAGGGCAATAGATTTGATTAGATTTTTAAAGATGTTAGGTGCTGCAAGCAAATAAGACGTCTCCTAAAACTGTACATAGATGGCTCAGCTAAAAGACAGAATATATGAGTAAGGGGGCTGTACACTGTAAAAAAAATCATTGATAATACAGTTAAAACATTCTAATTTTAAGGATGACGGCTCATAACATCCATTATCATTGTAGTTCAATCACTGAATTACTCTACAAAAAGGTTTTATGAACAGTAAAAACCAAGTAGTTTGAATGTGAAATTGGAAAATAAAGATCCATAAATGTGAAAATACTGTCAGAACCATGCAGTTTCCCTAGATTTATGATAATAAACTAAACAAATTAAAATGTCAAAACAGGACATCAGTTCGACAACCTGACTATAATTCCTTATTTTTCCTTATTTTTTGTCATTATATGTTGTTCGGTAAAGTCTTGACAAATAAAGCTGCTAATAATTTACTCTGAATTATACAGTTTTTTTTACAATGTGGTTCTATCAGGGTAGACAAGTAGCAGAATTGCCACCTTAGGACAAGATGGCTGTAGGCCTATCTATCAGTCTGTCATACACACCTACACACACACAGGGCATGGAAGACAGGTACTGGCCTCTGCCTAAAAGTCTCTCCTTCATTCTTCTTTCTTCTCCAGGATCAGAGGAGGGGGCCGAACAGGCAAAACAGGACCTGCTAAAGGCGGTCGGGAAGGTGACGGACATTGTCTCCTCTCTGGGCTTCAGCTGGTGGCAGGGAGGGCCTCCACACACACAGTCACTCAAAGACCTTCATTGGGTGAGCGTGCATGTTAAAAATTGACATCAAAACATCAATTGATAAATGTTGTCTTTTAAATAGGAATATGTGCTTTTGATCATATTTTATCACTGGTGGTAGCTGAGAGAGTCGTCTTAGTAGTACTTTTGGTGAGCACAGTATGTTCTGTTAGCTTCTGAAGGGGTTTCTCTTAAGAAGAAAAGTTCTGGTTCTTGTCTCATTATTTCATCTTTGGTCAACAAACCTTCCAGGTGATTGAGACATTACTTTGCAGCACATTTGTGTCATGGAAGGCCTTTTTTCCACTGGTGAGGGACGACTCGAACTGCACCTATACCTTCATAACAGGTGACTTCTTCTGTCTTTTATTTCTACTTTCTTAAAGTGTTCTGCATATTAAAAATTCTGTCATATTGGGAGTAGAGATGAGGAGTCATCCATATTTTGGCTAAAATCATGCATAAATGAGGAACTGTGCTGAGGGGCGTCCCGTCTAAAGAGAAACAGTTGCAGAGCTTGCTAAAGCATATTTAACAACAATGTTTTAACCCAGCACATCTGGAGAAAATAAGAGATTGATGGAAAGAGTGAATTAAAATCAAAACAATAAGGTTGGAGGCCAGAAAGCCAAAATAATGACTGAAATAGTTTCACGGAGCAGATGAGAATGAAGAGTGAGGTCAGGTTGAACATTACCAAAAACTATTTATGTACAAGAAAAAGTAAAAAGGACTGCTACAGAGTGTTAATAGACTCTCTTGTTCTCTCTACTACAGGAGGAGCAGGTGAGAAATTGCTGATGCCAGGTACAGGCTTCCTGACGGTGGGGGCTGCCAGCACCTTGGCATTCTGCCAGGTACTACGAGAAGAGTACCCAGACGTGCCCTGCAAACTCAACCAGGTGAGACTCAAGTGGAATAACACAGCGAGGCCCTGGTATTTGTTTTCATAAGTTTTACAGTTTATCACAATAACACAGGGAAAATGATATTAGAACAGCTTGTAGTCTAACAACACATGAACAATCAGATTGCTCTCAGGGCCTATGTCCACTGATACTGTTTTTTTTTTTTTGCATTGGAAGCACCCAGAATCTCAGTTTCATAGCACTTCTTGTTGCTGCAGACTGTGGTTAGGTTATGAAAGCTGCCACAGCATTTCTGCATACCTTAAACATGACTGTTAAGCCCATTTTAAAATGCTCTGTATGTTTTATACTTATGTCAAGACAGTCATACAGATATTTATGAGTGGAGATGCTTAAAACAACTGAACTATTCTCAACAGAAACACTGTGAATGCAGCAACCAACAACAACTGCAACAACAACTGACACTCAGTTGAGGATGCTGTGCGCCGTAAATGCTGAGCTTCTTTTGTTTTCTATTAAAAAAAAAGGTACGGCCAGCGCAAAAAAAAAAAAAAAAAAAAAAAAAAACATCACAAATGGACACAGGCCCTTACTACTAACTCATCAGAAACTACCACCTACAGCAATACCCAGAGACTTTATCTTGGCCGATTACTAAACTCCTGACCAAAAGAATAATAAACATCTTGACTGCACAACTTCCTGAAACTTTGGGTGTCTAGTTGGGTGTGGAAAATAATTGTGACAGATCCTGTTACATTAAGAAACACAATAAGTCTAGACAAAGTTGGGTAGTGATGTTTTTTTTGGTGTCAGTGTTGCAACAGGGCGGGAAGTCTGCACTGCTGTAGATATTTTGAAAATAAACACAAAGTCGACTTTGATTTATCATTCTCACAACAACTGACACAAACATGATTACCGTTTACAGCTGCAAAATGAATGTAATTTACTCCTCTGTGTTTAAGAGCAGAACACGTACAATGCTTCCTCTGTTTATTTCATTTTGCTTTGTGAATGGTTAGCTTCAATGTTCTTTGTGTTTCGTTTCTTATTATAGTTTAGCTAACTTAATTCTCCTGAGAATACTTTTGTTTTTTGATGTCACAGACTGAAAGACGTCTTTTATAATCTCATGCTGAGCTTTGAGGCATGACATGAACATTTCTGGGGTTGTGAGATCAGGTAGAAAGATTGGAGCGCTTTACAAAGTCAGTATTACTGAATTGTTGTTGGGGCAGGGACCAAAAGAAACAAACTCACTGACAGTCACAGCAGATAAAGATCCCTTTTTTATATTTCCTGACCCTCATTTCTCACTTTTATGTTATTCTTTACCTTTACAGGCTGATAATCATATAGGTTATTCACATAGTGCTTACAGAAACAGACAGTACAATGTGTGTTATCTAATGGCATGAGTTACTATATGCTTTGGTGACAAGATTTGTCATATAAGTGGACAGTCATTAAGGACAAAAGTAAATGTGTAAGTATGAGTGGAGTTGGATTTTGTCTCACAAACGTTGGTTATAAATCGTGACTAAAGCAGATGGAAACCCCACGCTGTTAGACACACCCAGCAACCACTAGATTACTGAAACCAGTAAGTGTTGGAACTAGTAGGGCCATATGAGTGGGGCAGTTACACCGGTCTTTACAAATTTCTCTGCACACATCTGTTTGTGAACGCCCTCAAGGTGACTCAGTTCATCTAAGAGAATGAGCAAACTCTATTATGTTACTTCTTTTTACCTTCATGGCCCCTGAATCTCCTTGGACGTAACCACTTTAAAGCCGTTCAGAGATGCACTGCCAATACATGTAAAAAGAGAGTTATGAGAATTCAACTGAGATGACACAAATGCTTGGTTAATCCTCTCTAGCTCAGGACACAAGAGGTCCAAGAGTGTGGCTATATTTCTTAAATGATTAAAAGAGGTAGAAACAAAACTATTGACACTTTCAGATCAACATATTCAAGGAAGACATAAGATCTATAGTTTGATTTATTATTAGTCCAAGAAAACCATATGCAGTCCAGCTATTTCAACACTTCACACAGTCAAAATGGACAGACAGCTTCTAAACATTATGTGCCTTAAAAGACTTGTACAGCTTCATGTCATCTGGAAAGAAATGGTAGGGAGCATCCTTGAAAGCACTAGTAAGATAAAGAGGAAACAACACGGGGCCCAGTGCAGAGCCCTGAGAGACACCACAGGACAGGTACCGATAAGACATATTTACTAACACTGACTAACCAGTCTTGGCTGATCTGGAGATACCCACCCACTGTCTGAACCTTGGTCAGCATAAGGTAATCAAAAGAGAGGCAGTAGGTTGGTCTTGTTTTTGTGAAGAGTCTGCCTGTGAACCCTCACTTGCGTTCTCTAGCCTCCTGTTATGAATGTATCTTATACTGTAGTCTTGTCTGTGTTCTGATCATTCTTGCAGGTGAAAATCAACGCAGGTGTAGCCACTCCAGAGCGCATATCTCCTGGTTACTTGAACCACCTGGACCTGGGTGAAGCTGTGGCCACCCTTGTGGAAAGACCAAACACTTCCCACACGGTCTTCACCATCAACTGTCCAGCAGACTTAAAGACTGTCCTTCTGGAGAGAAACCTTTAAGGAAAAACCTCCCTCCAGTCTAACCTTACACTACATCGACACTTCCTCAGCTTCGACTTTTACTGAACTCTCCAAGAAAAGTCATTCACATTTTCTGTGGTTTATTTGCTTCTCCTCCAAGAATTGTTCACCAAATCCACGCACACCTTTTCAACTGTTTTCAAATGATCTGTATATAAACTGCTTCCTTTTCCCTTATTGAATTAGCACCTGTTTCCTCTGCACTAAGTGTTGTGATATGCCTGTAAAATCTAGTAAATTTGCTGAATGCACTTAAAAATGAGAGCTCCTACAGTCAAACTGTCCAATGGACTGTTACTTTGGAAAGGATGGGTTTTCGATTGAATAAGTTTAGTTGGATTTTAACAGTTGGAAAAAAAGTGTTATACATTTTCTTTTTTCTTTTTTTCTACAAACCCAGAAAGATTGAAAATTCCCTGTTAGGAGGTGATGTAGTGTTATGATGGGTGGATGCCTGTTTTAGCGAGCACAATAGATCACTGAAGTCCATACATGAGTATAAGCTTCATGTTATTCCACGTAATGATAGCTGGCGGCCAAACTGCCTGAAAACTAGTGGACTAGTAAACACAAATACAAAAACAAAGCTTTTAAAGAATTTGACAAGAGTTTGCAAATATCACATAAAAAAATCCTTCAGTTAATTGCATATTGAATGTAAATATTATTGAGAATGGCAAAGTAATGTAAATGTAAATCTGTGGACAAAACAAATCTGACATGTAATTAGAAAGAGTAACATGCAGGGTTGGTGTTCCTGATTGTGATGTGACCTGAAATGTTTGGACCTCGTCACTCTTGACGTGTCTTTTAGGAAAGTTGTATGTTAAGGATTGTGCTTTTTGAATCCTGAGATGTTGTGATTGAAAAGCTCTAATAAACTGAGGATATTGCAGACCTGAGTCCCTCCATGACCTGAAATATAATTGAGACACTCCCAACCTTTCATATTAGGGCGGTTAAATGTTAAACTGTTAAAACTATCAGTCAAGCTGCAGAGCTGTTCACACAGAGCTGTACTTCATGCAGATCTAACAAAACACAAGCCTTTTTACCTACTGTAGATCCTCAACAGAGCTCAGTTGTTGTCACACCTTTGTAATTTCATACCGATCTGGTCCCAGTGTGTCATTTGTCCACTGCGTGAAAGGGCTGCAGGACTACAAGAGGTAAGCACACAGTGGGAGCTTGACATACACACTCCCAGACATGCACACACCCAGTGCTGTCTGCTCTGCTAACTCACAGTGATCCCATCTCACCTCTGTTGTACCCCTGACTGGGGTTGTGCCAAAGTCCCCCTAGTTAAAAAAAAAAAAAAAAAACTTTGTCCCTCACCTAAACTAACCTGACATTGTCCTGACCCTCTCCCTGACCTGAACCCTTAGTAATGAATGACCCAATATGATGAATAAAAGAACAGACACATTTTTCACCAGGAACTTTGCCAAGACACCAGCATAGCAGTGTAATGACTTGGTTCCACTGTTACACTTAAGTGATATCAAAGGTGACCCAAAAGAGAAGTAGATGTTAGGCATGAGCATGAGAATTGGGATAAGCAGGGGTAATGAGATGGACAAAAATATTTCTGTATTTTGAATATGCTAGTTATTATCCAGGAATCAAAAAGATATCATAGACCTCATCTCTCTTCTCGCAGGCAGCGAGTGAAGCAATCTACGGCCACAGCCACCCCTTAATAATGATAAAGGGGCGATGATGATTTTCATACTGTTAAGGGATTAAGAGGCGACTTAAAACTTTATTACTCAGTGAAACTTCATCTTGCACTGAGGATGAGAGGGGCAACGAATGGAAGGAGCTAACTCAGAGAGGCACTCCCAGTTTCCCCGTTTTAACACATGTTAGTTATAAAACTTAAGTATTTGAAAAAAAAAAAGAAATGAAAACAATTAAATAGGAAGAAAAAGATTGTGGATTACAGCTTTTTGTTGCTCATGAAAGGCGGTGTGAGGGCTTCAAAGTCCTCTGACAGCTCATAAAATTTGAGTGAAAAACAAAAATAAACAGAAACAGAAACAAATTAATTCACATAACAAAGTGGTAGAAGCATGCTTTATAATGTTTTATATGCCAAAAATAAAGCAGTTTTAAGTTTTGAATGCAAAACAGCTGCACTGCCAATATTAACGTGGCGTCATTTAAGTTCATGTTTCTTTGTAATTTTATTACCTCTGCTCTGATCTTCTATGATAACCGTGGCAAAAGAAACCAAACAAACAAACAGACAAAAAGCACTTTTTGTTTTAATCTGAATACAGATACGGATCATTTTTGGTTGAATGGATACATTATGATGTCTGCACACCCCGACTTAACATTTGACTTTGTATACAATGGGGCTGCAGCAATGTGACTTGTTAAAGTGTATGAAGTTACAAAGAAGTTACAGATTTTTCTGTCATTGAATGAAAAGCTTTGTAAGGTCCATCCATGAGACAGGATAGTCTAACCCTGAGGTCACCTGGAGATTCCTGACACAAGCCCCTTTTACATGGCTCATTGAAGCCAGGACAGTAAATCTTTGCTGTTAGTGTTGATGTCCCAGAGACAGAATGATGGAGCAAAGTCCTCCTGTCTCTGAGTGGGTTTTGGGAGAACAAAAGTAAACCAGAGGCTAAATGGCGCTACTGTACATGTCACAGCTGACAGGCAGTGACAGACAGTGCTGGGTGATTGTGTGTGCATGTGTGTGCATGTGTGTGTGTGTCTGTAGGGTTTGGTATATAATGCCATGCTAAGTCACACAAAAGGGCACCAATATAATGCAGTTATGAGGTTCAGTGTAAAAAGCAAAGCCTTTGTTCCAGGCTATGGGGGAATCTTCGTGTAATAAGAGAAACAGATAAACAATGTATTTGCATATGAATGACCCAAATTTGCATCCAGAGCATATTTTAGTCTTGTCCCTGACTTGTGTGCAATCCTAGAAAACCTGACTTTGGTTTTGGTTTAAATGCACCTTTGAATAAATGACTTCATTTAAAATTACAGGACATCTAACTTCTCGATACCCCTTAAAGTCCCTTCCTGATGTTTTTTTTTTCTGTTTAAAGAGTTCTCAGTGGTCTTTAAACTGTAGTGTTTTTAGCCAAAATCACATTACCTGTGTCATTTTTAAGGGCTTTTCTTCTGCAGAGCTCCAGTAGCTCATTAGTCATTCACCTCTGAGTCGAGGGACAGCGCTGCTCCGCACTCTCTTCTTCACACTAGCTTGTAGCCTAACATAGCAGAAGTGGCAGGTAACATAGGAGCTATTCGGCTCTGTGACACTAATGTCTTTTGGGGCATGATGAAAGCTAATATCATAATTAGCTTTCTTACAAGCATTACAACCCACTAACACACACACAATTATTCTGCGACCGTCCTCTCTACTTCTCCGGGTCTGGCCTGCAGAGTGGAGCTCCGGGGGCAGAGCCTGAAGTTGTGACATAGGAAATCCCACTGTGTCTGAACCTGTCTCGGGTCTGTAAGAAATTCACAGCAATTTGACTGCAGAAATACTCAGAAATATAATTTTGCCCTTAGTTTTACTCAGCAGAGAGTACTTTAGCAGGACATGATAAGCACAGAGTCTTTTGTCCACAGTCGGCTTTAGAATGGACTCAAAAAGCCAGTTTCTCACAGGAGCTTTAAGGGAATTCGTTTCCTTATTAAAAAAGAAATTCTGCTCTTTGCTGCTTTGAATATGCTCAGCTCAGCTACTCAGTGGCTAAGTTCATTTTTCTCATTGAACTGATGAATGTTTCAGTGGCTGTCACTTCGCCTATTCTCTCATTCTGCTACCCTGTGAAACCTGTAGTTGCAGAGCATGCAGGGCATAGGTCTCACATTTCTGTCTAAACCTGACCCAAGCCTATTGTTAACACAGCAAAGAGTTTTGATTATAACATTATATTCAGCTGTGTGTATTTTCTTTTTGACAAAAAAATTTGGGGTCCTGAGGAGACATTAAGTTCTATTTTTGGATCTTTCGCTGAAAACGTCTGGGAACCTCGATCGTACACCAAGGTTTTGTCAAGGCCTCTTTGCAGAGGTGTAAATAGGCTGATACAGATCTTAAATTTGCAGAATTTTGCTTTCAATTCCCAACAAATCCTACATAAATAGTCCAGTATGTTGGTTGACCTGAAGATTTGTTTTTGTAAAAAAGTAAACAAGGTTAAACTGTCTTATTCTAGGCAGTAGGAAAAACAAATTTACTGAATGAAATACAAATAAAACAGGTTGGCAGGGTAGGTCTGACATATTTACATCTGCATAGCGTGACTCTTTGTCCTGTTTGCCAGCACAAGCATGCCACAGCCCCATATAGGCCCCTATATGTGCTCCCATTATTTGGGGCACCATATCCCTTAGATAAACTGAACCGAAGTTTGGAGGTCAGAGCCAGCTGCTTCATCAGAGGGACCATTGTTGTCCGGTATACTGTCTTGTTAATGCATACATGCTTTATCGGTCTTTAGAGACAGGGATGACTGGGATTAGATACAGAGTTTAGTATTGGTAGGTGGGGGTTGTCCATCAAATGTGTTGTTTGAACTAATGGGCTGACAGCTCAATTAGGTCAAAATATAATTGAACCGCAAAAGAGGGACCCATTGGGCCTCACTTTCTCTTCCTGTCCCCCACACCCCTCGAAGAAAGACAGAAGGTCAAACACAGCCACACAAACAACCACTTTCACGCTCTGAAGTTGACTCCTCTCAGTCTAATGGGAAAAGAAAACTGTCTTTTGTTTAAGACTGAGCGAGGGGCCTCAGTCTTCTAAATGAGACTCAATGGACAGCAGATCACACAGAAAGGAAAGTGACCCATCAGATTAAATAAAGATAAAAACCACAGGAACTAACTTTGATGTGAGCCAAGAGGGGGAGGAAATAGAAAAAATCGAAGAATTTTGTTTTTCAAAAGAATTGATGTGAATCTTTTTGACAGTTAATCTCCATGAGGAAATTAGATTTGGCTCCTAAAAAGACACAAAATACGACTGAACGTGGCTGCCATTTTGCGCCTACGGCCTCTCTCCGACCACCACCACACAACACTCACATTCTTACACCAGTGGAGGACACACACTGGGAGCAAGGTGGGTTAAGTGTCTTGCCCAAGGACACAATGGACAGACTAGCCAATCCGTTCTACCTCCTGAGCTACTGCCGCCCAGTCAGTTTGGACCCTTGACTTACTCAAGGGTCCAAACTAATTATCAGTTGTGATTTTCCTTATGCTTTCACACATATTAGGAAGCATAATCTATAAATATCAAGGACAATCTCCTTTGCCAACCAACGGCAGCATCTGAGCTTCAGGTATTTTTGACTTTATTAGACACCTGAAGTGATGAGAGGCTGAGAGTGTCCCCTCAGTAAGAGAAGTGTGGTGTATATTTATGCACGACACACAGCCTTGTAACTTTGAAAGAGCCTCCTATTCATAACAAACAGTCCTATCAACAGAGAGGAGTTGACTTGATCCTGAACACTGATCTTTTGAGCTGCGATACTGAGCATAAGGTACGAATCATATTCAGACAAGACTATGTCAATGATAGGGCTTTCTAGAGCCACCCTGCTGACTCCCCCAGTCATAACTTCTATCACTAATGGTCTTGTTTCATCAAAATGAAATCCTCTCTGTTTCATTAACATCAAAAAACCCTCTTAAGATCCCTGCTGTGTTTGGGTCCAGCTTTACAGCCTATAGACTCTCTAACTGGGAGGGACACATTGTAAGGTTTAGTCTACAAATCCAGGACCACACAAAACATGCTGACGCTAGAGCTGGACCTTGGGGTGAAACAACCAAGAATGTGCGATTTACTTTGGCAAGATCCCATATTTTATTCTAGGACAGGCAGGATAGAAGCAGCAGCAGGTAAATGGCGATAATTGCTCACATGCAGCACTAAGTACTAATATTTGTTTTGGTGAGTTACTAAATACACTGATGATTTAGTTCATCTGCTGGTGGTTTGGCCAGAGTTTGCAGGGGTGATAAATAAGGGAGGAAGATCATTTCAACAGTGGAGTATGGGTGTCAAAATGCTCCTCTGCTTTTGATTAAAAACTGGAGTGGCTGAGACGACAGGGATTAAAATGTTTAACAAGAATGAAAAACAATTTGTAATCTTGGCAGTGCAGAGCTGTGCCTTTCGTGAGAGAGGAACGGGACCTCAGCAAGGCTGTGTTAAAGCACTCAGCTGCTGAAAAACCAACAAATGGTATATTAGCTTGCCAGAAGACACCACAGGCTGACTGACAGGCAACATTTTAGCAAGGGGCAGGGCAGCTATGTGTGTATTTGTTTGCATGTGTGTGGTCAAAAGTGAAACATAACCTCCCCCTTATCTCGAGAGTCACTGAGAATCATCGCTTTGTGGAAAAAGTGAACAAGAAGATGATCAGTCTGAATGTCTGCTTTGTTTAATAGCTGCTGACATGATTGTTTTTTGGAAATCCTTGATATAGGCACACATCCTCCTGAGGCCTGCCTCATATTGGCAGCCAGCTTTGAGGTCAGGGAAGCACAGAGTCAGAGCTTTCAAGTCACGCTATCTCCACCAGGGTGTGTCCCACCCCTCTAACAGGACACACCATCATTGACACTGAGCAAAACACACTGGTAAACACACGTGTGTCATTAAGTCTAAAATGTGGTCAATTAGAGCCCCCCTCTCCTGACAGTAAGACAAACTCAACCCAACATCTGCAGTTGCATTTGTCCAAGAAAACCTGTTTAAGTAATTTTCCATTAGCTTGATTTTTGGCAGAGCAGAGATAGACATATGCACTTACTGCCTTTTGCTTGGCTTGAAATAATCTGAAATAAAAACATCAACAGGATGCAAAAAAAGCCCTGACAATAAAGTAGAATAAAATAACTTACACATGAAAGGCTGCAAATACATTTTTGATGGGATTAAAGAAAAGCCCCTAGATGTTGCAGAAACATGGTGAGTGGATTATACAGTATTTTTCACATGGAAACACTTTTAGAGCTGAAATCTAAGAAGAAAGAATTAGGTAGAGGGGTGATTAAGCAAAGAGAAGTAAAGAGTTGAAAGCTATAAAAAGGAGTAAATGAGCAGTACGGGTTAGGTGAAGCAATAAACAGACAGAAGCTTTAAATGGATAACAGGGGTTTGAAATACTTGCCTGCTGCAGCAAGACCCCATATTTGCCAAAGTCAACTTATCAAAGAATGCCAGGCTAGTAAAAGACATCAAAACAAAACAAATAAAAGCTTCTCAGGGTTTAACCGTTTGCTAAATCACAACACATTTGCAGTTCATGTAGTTTTCTCTTCAGGTTTTGTGACAGCTTTTTTTCTGTAGCAGCACCTTTACTGGAGAGTCTCCTCTACCTTTGCACCAGTTTGTTTGTTGGCTGCTGCAGTTGTTAGAAAAAAACATTAATCTTAAAATATGGAAACTATATAGCAGGTCTGAGGATATTTTCAGCCCTGAGTTGAGAAGGGGTCGTGGTTTCCTACTGCCTACAGGTGTAAAAGCTGTAATGCTCCTAAAGTTAGTAAGGAAACAAAACTGCATGACCTAAAAATTTCAAATTTTTGCACATGGTAGAGTTCTAGTTGACTGCCACACAGATTGCCTTAAAATTAAAATCCTGTTTGAATGTGCTTTTTTTTGCTGCAGTTCTTTCGAATGCATATCTGTATGATTAGGCTGCATGTTAAAACCTAACCCAGCTGTGAAAGATCCCCCTGACCTACAGAAGACCTGTGAAACTCTGAAACTGCGGCTGTGGTGTGACAAAGTAAGCGAGGTGCAATGAGACTTAAAGTGCAATAAAAGAGCATTCAGAGAACAAGAGTAAGAGGAGGGTGACATGATGGGTGGTGCTGTGGTGTGCTCTTGGTGGTGTTTGACTGATTCATAGTGGCATGTTGTTTTTTCCTCTGCTGCTATTTACCCATGTGCCCATCACAACCTCTTGACTCATGCAGGCATCGTCCCCAAACAGACCTCCTAACAACTGACGGCCAAATACAAACACCTCACACTGGTTGCTGTGAGTCTTGAGAGTCTAGAGGCAGGGAAATTTCTTCCATTGTGACATGAAACTCGTAGCTGCCCTTTACTTGATAGGTATGAAAACTGTTCCCAAATGTTTTTCTACATTGAAACTTTTCTCTCAGTAAACTGCTGCCTTTTTTTATTTCATTTGAAGGGCCTCTATAAAAGTCCTTATTTTCTCTTAGTTCCTATAAAAGTTATCGAGCCCTATCTTTTTATAGGTTTTGCAAGTTGTTTGGATCAGCAGGCCAAAAAGTAACTGGAACTGCAGTTTGTTTAATAAAACCCTTGCTGTGTCTTATTCTCAGACTCAAATCCTGTCATGTCCGACAGTCCCTAAAGCCAAACTGTTCGGCAGAGTCAACCTCCAGCCTTTAGACTTGAGTTTTCCAGAGATTTACATAACATGGACAGTATAGACCTCCTACAGTCTCATAAATCCAGCGTCACATGGTGTATATTTGTTGGAAATTCACTTTCAGTAAAGGACAATGTGTAGTTAACAGGTGTCCATACAAATAAGGATCCAAACAGGGTGAACAGGACCCCAATTCGAAGTGAAGGGGTCTTCTTTGACCATGAGGAAATTCAAGTGTGGGTAATGCCTTTCCTCCAATTACACTGCAAAAATTCCATGACAACTGTTTGTTTAGCCTCCACAAATTCACATCAAACTTAACATTTTAATTCAAGGTCAAGTTGAAACATGCATCTGCATGACGAATTAAAGTGATCATTTTACCTTTAAAAGCACCTTTTATCACTATGTGTGTTTGAGCCATCATCTTAAAAAATTCACATATAATTTTTAACATGTTCTTTGGAAAAAAAACTGACTCTCATGGACATTCATACATATCTAATGTTCTGGCTATTTTTGATATGGTTGAAAATTCAATAAACAGATTGTTGGAGAAAAACACTTTTTAAACCAAGCACCTTTAAGAATTAGGATTTACCAAGTGCTTGGACAAACAGGAAATTCAGAGGAACCCCAAAACAACATCACAATCTCATAGACAAACAACACACTGCAGTGCAACCCAACAACAAATGGCCACCAGTAAATGTCAGACCAGACACTGTACTGCACTTTATTCACTGTAGATATTCAGTGATACATAAGATGGATGAGATCTTTTTTCCTTTCTTTTGTCAGAAAACATAACTAAGTTGTAAGAGGTACCACTTTCAACAGGTGGCGCCAATATCAGCACAAACTGAAAGTTCCTTACAGGAGCTTAAAGTAACATGGGAGCAAGCAGGGATAAAGAGGTGGTCTCACCAACTCTGCTTCTGTCGTCTAGATTGCAGGGCAGGTTTTTGACAGTGTGGCCCTTTTCTCCATCAGAAATGGTTTAGTTAAGGGATTTTTCAGTCTTCTCTCACATCTGCGCCTTCAGTTATTTTACAACCTTAAAGATAAGCCTGAACATTTTTGCCAGAATCAACAGGAATTAGTGAAATGTGTCAGGTGTTACTTGTTGAAGATGAATTGACCTTGTTCAGAGGTACTGAAAAGACAGTCATAGTCATAGTCATCTTTCACTATCCTTGAAAAATAATAGGTGGAAACTGGTTGAATTGATTAATGGATATAGGATTATTCATTCAAAAGAGGCTAACTGAATGACTTTTTAAAAATTTTCCAAATCTAAAGACGTAAAAAAAGATTTCCCTCACACCTCTAAAGTTAATAAAACATTTCTCTGTTCTCTTTATTGAGCAGTCTGTTAGACACATTCAGTCTTTTCACTTGAGTATTTCCAACTTTTCACATTGAGAGTTAAACAACATTCATATACAGTAGTCAAAAGATAAACACAATATTGAGTTATTTACATGAAGGTAGTGGCCTGATCCAGTTTGAAAGCATTTTTTTTCTGTGTAATTACATATTCATGTATTCAACATAAACAGAAGTCTGTGTTTGTTATTGTCACAAATACAGGTAGTAGTTACAAATTTTGGTCTCGATGCATTTCTTCACATCTTTTGGACCATGGAAAAAAACATAAAATTAAATATTCAAGCAAGGAAACAAACAAAATAAAAAGTACATAATAAAAAAACAGAAGTTTCAGTCTGAATGACACTAGGCCTGCTCTAGAGTGACAAACATGACACAGAAATCACACTAAATTTTGCATGCCAAAGCCCTTACATTTTTCCTTAGCAATAATTTAATCACAGCTGGTCATGCGAGGTCTGAAAACCTCATTTCCAGCCCACTTAATTTACTTGGAGGTTTCAGCTTCATCACTCCTATCACACATCCTTCACACAGCCAGGGATTCAAAGTTTTTTTTAAATCTGTGAAATGATTTTGACACAGGGGTTCATTAAGACACGAAAAGCTACTTGTTTAGGTTGAGCACATCGAGTAGTTAAGACTTTACAAAGCATGCTTTGGATAATGGTTAATAATTTAAAAATATCTGCAGAAATGAAACACATCCGACCCTCTGAGGTAAACACAGTCTAAAATCTCAATGCATCGAAGATTTAATACCTTAAATGGCTTCATTAAAATGCATTTTCTGAGCTGCAAAAATCAGTCAAGAGTGCTCGCAATTCACATCAAGTAAACATGAGAAAATCCCTTTTATACCATGCACCTTGTAATTTTTTAAGCTCATGAAATTGACCATTTCTGATTGCTGCCATTCTAATCTTTATCAACTTTGGGGGATATTAACTATAAAAGACAGTTGTAAAAAAGGCTGATCTTTAGCTCTCCCTTTGACATATTTTGATTTGGGACTTTGTGAAAATAAATAAATCCAACGTAGGGACAGATGTGAAACTTTTGTCAGGAACCACTGTGAAATTCAAAGGTTATGTTACTTTTAACATGTAGTATCAGAGGCTCGCCCTGCTAATTTCTGACATGCAACAAAAAACACAAACTTGAAGAGTGGCTCAACAAAGTGCAACAGTGTTAAGACTACATACAGTCAGTATAAGGATAAACTTCACTAGAATAATTCTTTATGCCCAAAATAAAAAAAAATGTCTGACATGCTGTTACATGCAAACACAGTGACTAACAACAGACACTACAAGCTGGACTTTGAGCCCATAGCAATTTCTCCTTTTATATGACATCTCAGACTTCAGCTTGTCGGCAGGCTGGTCTGAAAATGGATCTACTGTTTAAGCTGGAAACAGTTGTCCAGTGTAGCATCAATGGACACTTAATTAACCGCAGTGCTTATATTTCTATTATTAATCTGAGGCTGTCAGACAGATTTCGCCACCAGTCTTAAAAACATACAAATTAAAAGACATAAATGCCTAGTGTCACATTAATGAGTTTGCATGGTTTTGTGGAAATAAACAAAAAGATCACAAGCTACAATTAAAATCAAATATTAAATGCATAGAAGAATTTTGCAGGATTTTCTCTTTGAGCGCTTACATTCAACAGCAGCACCTAAAATTATAACCCACCCCAAAAAGAAATACACACGATAATTCCTTAACAAATCCAGTGCTGTTAATTCAGGCACCACTTTGCTGTTTGAAACACACCTTTACGGAAGTCCCAGAAGAGCCTCGTTTGGCCCCGAGTTAGGGTCTGACTTGATGAGAAAACACTCTCAGGCACTGGTTAAGTCCTCTGTCGAGAACAGAGCAAAAGTAGTCATTCTGTTAAATATATAGAGTCTGTGTGATGCGTAACATGCATAACTTGCAGAGAGCTGCAGGTGAAGCTGTTTCTCTGTAGCAAAGCAGGGGTTGCTGGATGAACCATCAGGAGGGTCCTGTGACTGTTGTGCCTTCAAAATAAAATATGAGGCGTTATTTTGTGCACTTAAATAAAAACAAATATTTAGTTTGGTTTTGATGGTTAATTAAGTCGTTTTGTTAGGGAAAAAAAGCCATAAGTAACTTCCCTACTTTCTTTAATCCTGTTAAGAAACAAAAATCAACAAAAATGCATTCCTGTAGTACTTTAAGCTTTGTTACATTTGCATGGAGTAAATACCAAGTTCAAAAACATGTGACATGACATGTACACAAGACATTTAAAACTCTGTCTTTGGTGAGACATTCTCAAATTTGTTCCTTTTTACAGTCCAAAGACACAGCTTAGTGGAGCACGGCAGGCTGCAGTATTAAACATTCATCAGATATTAGAAGATTCCCCTGTAGAGGAATCACTCTGTCACTGGTAGTTTTGGAGGATGCCGGTTGAAAGTGTCACATTTTATTACATGCAGTGTCATTAGGGCCCGTCACTCTGAGTAGCAGTGAGGAAACATCACCTTGGGCGCCAGACAAGTCATTCAGGGACACACTCATCCCTCAATCCTTCAGTGTAAGGCATCAGTCTCAGTCTACTTCACTTCATCCGTTCTCTCTCTCTCACACCCCCCCTTAAAACTGCTCAGAGGGACCAGTGCTTCACAGCTGAGTCGGTTCTGTGATCAGGTCTCATAAACACTGAACTCACTGAGGCATGTGTCCAGTCATTTTTGAGAGAGCTGAAATGACAGGGCCAAAATATGATCATTTACTAACCTCCAAACAAGTTCAGGAACGTCTGTATCTGTTTGTTTAATATCAGTAATTATCCAGACTATACACAGATGAGAAAATATCAAATATCACTCAAATAGGAGCGCACCATGATATAATATGCATCACAAACCATGGTTGACAACGAGATATAAGCTTCTGCTTGACATACATCATTACAGTCCAGGTTTTAGACATGCTTGTCTATGTTCCTTCATGACCACCGACCAATCAGGATCAAGAGATGGGGCTTCTGATATCTTCGTACGTAACAATGGTGTACCAATGGTGTACCAATGGTATCATTTCAGGTTTCTTTGGAAAGTGCCATTGCATTAAAGCACATATGAAGCTTACAGAGCTCTCTATAACAGAGTTACAGAGATGAGTTTAACACAGATGAGAAACACTGATTTTGACATGAAAATACAGTGTTATAGGACACTGCCCCTTAAACTACTCACAGTCCTTAAACTGACTGCAAAGGCTGGGGGTCATCAGTGTTGACTAACACCATTCATATACAGCCAAATATTTTACTAGGAGTGATTTGGGGTTCAGTGTCTGGTCCAAGGACACCTCAGGATGGAACTGCCAGTCCTCTGATTAAGAGATGACAGGCTCTGCCTCTTAGCCAGAGTCACCCGCCTCTATGTGCTCACTGTACCCTGTCCTGCCTCCCTGTTCCTGTTTGTCCTCTGTAGGGCTCTGAGGTGGTGCTTTGTGTCCTGATGCTTTCAGCACTGCCATCTAATAACAACGGCAGCAAACAGAAATATCCAAAACAATATCCAAGCTTCACATACAATGATTCAACACTCAAAAATAATGATGGGATCATCGCTCTGTAGTAGTCCATGAGGTACATTCGGCTTGGTTTGAATCATATCTCCAAGACTGAGAGCAGTGTGTGAAAATACGCCAAGAAAAGTTACTTTAAAATTCAGAACAGGTACTCTGTTTATTATTCTGTTTATGAATGAATGGTCTAGATCTGTCTTGAGAATTCAGCCCAACTACAATCAGGCAAAAATGTTAAGCACATAAAACATCACAGTCCATCTCATTTCACATAAATGAAGATTTGGTCCTGTCCGAGCCTGTCAGCATTAGTAGAGTGAACTAACCAGTCAGGAATCTTGCGACTCTTGCATAAATGCGTACTGCTTGTCTTGACGCGTCAGACTAAGGGAAACTTTTCTACAGTCTAAAAATCCCTCTACAGAGTTATTTTAGCCTCAACCAGGAGATTTTTCTTCACTAAGCATATCAGCACAGTGTTTGGTGGAATAGTTAATAAGTTTGGTCGGGGAAAAGATAAAGATTGATTTTGTTTTGCACATGAGTCACGACAGTCTCCTGGGTGAAAAACAAACAGCTTTGTTGTGATGGTCACTATAGTTGTTGAAGAGTGCACGAGAAAATTCTGCAGATCTACACTTGTCTGGATAAAAACAAGTTTTAGTGAGTCTTTCATTTCCTGCTGTGCTGAATTTTAATAGAAATCTAACTTTTATGTTCATGACAGTGGAAAGAGTAGACTGAACAGGAGAACTTCTGTAAGTTCTTTGCTTACCGACAGTTGATTGTTGCTTGATCACTTTTTATTCTTTGAGTGATTTGAATGTTTTAAGCTGGGATTGTATATATTTTTTGGGCTACTAGGCAGCAATTTGGCAAATTTAATACCAGATTTGATGACATATTGAAGTCTTAGAGAAGAGTTATAGCCAACATGATTGCAAATAAAAGGATTACAGATGATGTGGCAGACAGGAGGATAAAAATCTGAACTCTTTAGCTGCTAATTCATCACAATTACAACGCAAACTCAAAACTGTACCCCTCCTTTTTGGTCCTAAGTTCAGCGTTACATCTTGTTGGTAGTTGCAGTAGTTTCTACTTGATTATCCAATAAAAGGTTTAAAAGGTAAGGTTCCAAAACAAATGTTTTTACTCTAGTTTTTGTCTTTTTTTCAGGATCATACGGTTTCCTTTATTTTTGCACTTTAACCCTGTCAATCAACTTTCTCAAATTACTCAAAACACATCAAAACATGTTTTTCAGAGAGTCAATTATGGACCGTCCTTTACCTTAATCAAGAGAGCTTGTTGGCAGATAGATGAGATCCTCCTGTGTGCAAAGACTCGACATAAGCCAGGGCACTCTGCATGGACGTCAGACAGTAGCCTTCCTCTCCTATCAAGTAGCTGAAAAGAGAAGCAAGTAAAAATGTCAATGTAAAGAAAGAGGTCATATGGGGACATCAGGGAGCTATTTCATTCTGACAAAGCTGAAGTGACCACTGCGGGATTTTCCAACTGTGACTAACGTCTTATCATAATAAAGAAAAAATTTGGCCTTTCTTCTCATCTTTCTGGACTATAATAGAATTTTTAAGGGTCGACAACCTTGAGGAAAAGGGGAGTGACGGATAGCTGGAGGGTTGATGTGTGACATGCACAAGTGATGAGGAAGTAGGTTTGTCCAGAGACAAGAGACAGCAGGCGGCTGGAGAACAAGTCAACTCTGGCTGACCTTTAACTAACGAGAGCAAGACACGAGACCCACTGTAGCCAGTACGCTGCACTGCACAGACGGACTCAGACTGCGTGATTGGGAGAGAAGATAAGATGCTTATCCTTTGACTGTGGTCAGGAAATAGTGAATAAAAGGTTGTGTTAACTTAGCTAGATTATCTGAATGTAAGCTAAGAAAAGAACATGATTTATTTAATATTTAATAAGCCTGTAGGGTAAATTTCCTTCAAAAAAGTAAGCAACATGGAGTCTGAGCAGCATATGAAAGTACCCTCCACTATGGCTTGGAAAAAAACACTCCTAATGTTGTGTTTTTGAATACTTTGGTGCATTGTAATACAGTCAAAGGTCTAGGATCAACTACTGTCCCTTTTTTCGTCAACATTTTTTTAAAGAAACACACAGGTTTGAAAACAGATGGTCAACCTCTGTTGACTGTGTACAAAGTGGGAGGAAGAAAATTCAAAGGAAAACAGGAGGGAGGAGAGCAAAATGAGGCTTAATTTGAAGCACATTTCATTTGATCCAGGTTTCAAAGTATTCAAATAAATTATCAAAGAAAAGTGAATTTTTATGACTCAGCAAGTGTCATCAGAGAGGCAGATTACCGGCGTTTTCTTTTTACCCTCGTCATTTGCTGTTATAGGATTTAAACCTTGATTAGTTGTGTAAAATCTGTAACCATGGCATTACACACCAACATTAAAATCCCAATTACACTGACCAACAGCTGACTCGATGAATCATTTTAAGCCTCTTGGCTCCCTCAGTCTTCAACCCAACTATCCCACTGAACTACACAAACATCAAGTGGGATTTCTTAGGAGAAGAAAAACCAAATCCCAAATATCCTGACATTCCTTTGCCACTGCCAATCTAACCAGCCGGCTTTTAAAAACCCACCGTTTTTTATTGCCTGGAGTAGACCTCCGGGGTGTGGTCTGAGCTCACACGCAATGACACCAAGAATCTCAACCCAAAACAACCAGCCCTCCAAACCTGTCCTAATGGATGGCTGCTGTGGGTGTCGGCTTGATTTTAACCTCAGTGTTAAGTAAGGTACGTTATATATCGTTACCCTGTTTTTTTCTTAAACACCCAGCTGTGATATATCCTGGATTCTGATTGGACAAAACTCCTTGGTAACCTCCTGACAAATTCCTTCTGAATAGCAAGAGCAATGCCAGGGACAACCAGATCACACACACACACACACACCATCAAATTAATCTGCCAGACAGAGTTCAAGCACAGCCCACTTCTGCTCACTGAACATGAGGCAGAAATATTAGTCCCTGTTAGCAGGCAAGATTTGTAGGATAAATAACGTGAATATTTTAATATTGGGTCTTACAGCATCTTCAAGTTGGCAGTTGTGATAATAACAACAGTGTAAAGAGTAGCATTTGTCTCATTATTTTTCTAAGGAGAGCTTAATGAGGACAAAAGTCAACACATACAGTCTCTCGAAAGACTAACAACAATCTTGACTTCACCGTGAATTGACATCTTCAGTTCATGGTTAATTTAAATGGTTCATTTTTTAGAGCTGTATTCATAAATATTTTGTTTTACTGACTTGTTATTTGTTATCCCTTGGATGAGCAACACATGAGCTCTTAGTTTGGGCAGGGTTTGTTAATTATTTAGTCAGTAAGCAAATGTGGCAGCTGTGTGATGAATCGACAATTTTTTTTTTTTTGTGCAGTGTTGGTCAGAGAGCATTTGTAGGAGCAGCAGCATGATTTAAGTCTTTAAACGACCACAAATTAACTTGCTTTGGAGTAAAGAAGAGTGACCGTCACTGGGAAGACTCAGATGCTGGACAGTCAGACAGGACAGTGTGAACACAGCCTGTCTGCTGCTCCAGTGATGACTGAGCCACATCTACGCTCGACACTCTGGGGTTTGAAGAAATCCTGTTTCCAGTTATGAGGAAGAAGCTTCACTTTCTATGATCGTGCAGAAATCTGATGTTTTCACATCATTTGAAGAAAAGAGGCAATAAACATGAGCCACAGATGAACGACAAGTGTGCCTCTCAACCTAAAAAAGGTGGAGGATTGGAGTTGAAAAATCAAAAGACACTGAGATTCATCTTGAGTCTTATTTCTGGGTGACTGAAGAGTCTCCGTTTACCTAAATTGACTGACTTCTTAAGTCTACTCCTGACTCCATTCACTCTGGAGTAAAAATGTGGCCCCAGGCACTCACTTTGTCAAACACAGTCATTTCTCTCTTACTGTGCAATTTTAATATTTTACACCATGTCACGGTTTATCTGTAATAGCATAAAACAAGTTACCAGTAATGTAGTGTGCAAATAAAACCTTAAACCCAAGCATGTCTGTCTAACTCAGTGGTTCTCAAGTCCAGTCCTCGAGGCCCACTGTCCTGCATGTTTTGGATGTTTCCCTGCTCCAACACACCTGATTCAAATGATCAGCTCGTTATCAGGCTCTGTAATGGCTTAATAACGAGCTAATCATTTGAATCAGGTGTGGACTGGACATGAGAACCACTGCTCTAACTGATTAACGCTGATTAAACAATATAATGTTGAACAGTAATGAAAAGGACCATGCATCAGTTCTTCAGTTCAGTATTAAAACTTTTATCTAATTTTGATGATAATTCTCACTAAAATTAAACGCCAGACTTTCACTCGTGTTCAGGATTTTTTTTAACCAACAAATCCAACACATTGGTCTGCCTTTTCAAGCCTTCCTCATGATAATGTCAGGAATCAAAGCTTATATGTAAACTACTGTGATAGTTGTTAGCTTGTTGGCCTTGTTCACGCTCTCTCTCAGCCCGCCTACTCCGTCTTTTTGCTTTTTAGACACTCAGACTCACACAGACTCATCCTTTCCTGCTCCTTTCCCTGCACTCCTCTCTTTACCTGTGGCTGCATGACAGCTTTTACAGTTGTAGCGCAACATGTTGAGAGTACAGTAGTCCACAAGTAACCTTTGCATCCTCTGTAACTTCCTCGTGCACAAAAACTTTGTGACACAGCTACCTGCATGCTTAAAAATAAAGTAAAAGTGAGAGCTGCAGTGAAGGAATAAAGAAGGGCACGCTCATATTTTTGTGCAGCTAACTGCCCGATCCTGCATGTTTTCAACACAAAATGATGACCACATGCTTCAAACACAACAACAAACACATGTACAACGAAAGCATCAGTCAGTTAAATTCATCACTCAAAGATCAGCCCCTAGGGTCCTTCACACAAATCAAATGATCTCACACAAGTCTTTTGAGTCAAACCTCACATGGAAGAAAATTAAGACCACACCAGACAGTCTGTATGCTTGGCATCACTCAACTGGCGACTCAATTCACATCATAAGTACATGCGAATAACTCTGTCCTTGTGAGGAGAACCATCTGGTACAGCTATGAACCTGAACATGCCATCCAAAAAACCCATTTCATTTTCCATTTCTGCTCAAGGATCTTTGCCCCCCACTTTCTGTCTGCAAGGTTTCCTGCTGCACTGTTACCTGACCTCCTGGGGCAGACCGAGAGTCATCATGGATGTTTAAAACCATACATTTAAAAAAATGACCGGAAGCTCAGTTAACACATAACTTTGACAGCCCTAAAAGAGAATTACATTAGATTTAAATGTATACAGTACAGCAGACAAAGATAGATATCGATGACCAGAAAAAGATGGAGTCAGCAATGGAGACACATATATGGTACGTATGTAGGGATACCAATCAGTGCAAAGACGCGACATAGAGGAATGGATTGAATCAGAGAGAGATAAAACAGAAAGCTACAGAGATACATCTGTAAGAAGAAAAAAAAAGAGATAAAATATAAAGATATATTTTATAATCATAATGATGATCATACGGTTAGAAAGTCATGACCAGTGAAACGACTGAAAGGTTCACTTTGCCCTTATTTTATGTCGTTTGTTTAAACAGGTAGGCTTAATCAACATCAAAATGTCTTTACATAAGTTACCAGAGTGAAGAACAAAAGTTCTGAAACCCTAAAATCCCTCAAATAGTTGCAGAGGTGAGTAATACACAAGCGAGCTGGGATTTTTTCAGGTTAACTCACGGCAGGAGCCGGACCGTTTTCTGCCTTCTTCAAAGCAGGTCCGTGATGGAGCAGAACAACAATCCATCAAAACTGTGACTAAACTCCGACATATTTCTGAATGTTTGGTGCAAACAAAGGAGAGGGTTATTGAGCATCTTTTTCCATCACAGTGACTCACCCTTCATGAATGAACTCCTCCAAAGCAGCACATTCAGCCACTAGCTGAGGACACTGGCTGCGTATCGCCACAAAAGACAGGATTGGCAACAGGTCATCTGCTCCGCTGTCAGGCAAGAGGGGAAAGAGGGTAAAAGAGGAAAACACAAGTAAATAAATAGAGAAGAAGAACAGATAGAGTGACATATACAGAGTGTGATGGCATGTGTACTCCTGGGAACTGAATGAAAACTAAATCAAATGTAGCTCTTAATGGGATAAGTGTTCAGGGAGGGAAATGATAAAGCTTTTTTTCCCCTCTCCCTGAGATCTTTAGGGAGGGCAAATTGCAGCCTGGGAGATGATGACAGTCTGATAGTATTCTCCCTGTGTGCAGACAGTGACCATTTGTTTATCAGGGCTCACACGCAGGGCTAACTGCTGGCTTGCTAGTTTGCGTGAGAAGGTAAGTTGTTGGCCCTCGACTGACCTGACTACATGCAACTGGATATCCTGCTCTTGCAGGTTCTGGAAGGTTTGGACAGGCTCATGTAACCACTGAGAGCTGGACCTCACAAGTACAATCACGAGCCTAAATTATAATCTCCTGAGTTCACTACTGTCAACACACACACATACATACACACACACAAAGAAACATCGATCCTCTCACACGAAAAACTGGTGTGTCTGCATTACAAGGATACAATGCACCCTTCCTGCAACACCGATTGCAGAGAGGGCAGAGTTCTCCATTACTGGTCCTGTGAAGCTTTCAGTTTAGTGAAGTGTACAACAAGTAATAAAAAAGACGCAGTAGGGACAGGGGTGAAATAATTCTTAACAACAGGATACAGGGGAAGAGAGGTGACCAATTTATCAACACAATAGAGGAGAGAAAAGAAAGGGGTGTAGACAAAAGCACACGAGAGAACAAATGAGCACCCAAGTGGTCAAGGACAAAGACCTGACGAAAATGGAAATGCTGTTCAGTGATTAAAAGAGGGCGAGTACAATAAAGTGTGTTTGATTGTGTGAGATTGTAATTTAGTAACTGTGTGAGGGAAAGTGCAAGCAGGCAGAAACGACAAGACGCTTTTGACATGCATTCGACAGATAAAAATAGGTTCATTTCTTCAGAAAGCTAATGAGTCCGTCTGCCAAAAGCACATAAAAATACCTTAAAATATGAGAACAAGCGATGCAGAGTTTTTAGGGCAGACATATTAAGTCCATGTAGATCCAGGTCATGGTTATCTCCACGACTCCAAAATCAGGCGACTGGACTGTGTAGACTTGAGAAAAAACTCTACAGTCCAGTTGCCTGATTTTGGAGTCTTCAAGGCAGATACATTAACAGATTTTAAAGTTAAAGTTAAAAACTCTCTAATCCCTACTGTATTCACTGATATTGATGTTTTCCACTGATATAAAAAGAGGAGTCAATGGTTTTTCAGATAAACAATGAAGGCTTTCCTTTTCTATACACTCCTGATTGTTTACACTATAACAAAAAAGTTGAAAATCCAAATGTATGATCAGGGTGTCCATTGGACTTGGATGCAGCAGTATTAATTACTTCAAATTGTTGACAAAAATGTTCATTAAAATGATTGTTTCTCATGGCTTAATAGACACAATCACGTAAATGGTGAATAAACTAAAGAGGAAACATTTAATGAAAATCTCTGTTTGTACTGTCCCAAAGAAAAAGAACATGGCAGGATTATCAACAGTGCCATCACTGCTCGTTTTACTTGAAGACAATCATCTATTTGCGACAATTGTGCTTTAATAGTTTTCACTGGCACACTGCATCTCTTTTGTTTTCACTGGATGATTGTTTCACGAGTGTATCTCAGCAAGGAGTCCGTTTTCTGCAGATTTTGCATAGAGGCCAAAACAAACTTAGTATTAGCTACATTAAAAAGCCCAAACAAGGCAACTGCTGCCAACTGGCATCTCAAAAAAAATGAGAGCCTCATTACAGCCAGCTGCCTGTTGGGTAGAAAGGTACACAAGAGACAACCCGTGGACACATTTTTGTTTATTCGGTATAAACACAATACTGAGACTCGTGTCTGATGAGGACTGAACCTCTTGAGGATTCAAAATGAATGAAAAACACTATGACTCTGAAAAGGCACCTAAAGACAGAGCAAAGTCTGCCCAGGATGATAATAATGGTGAGTCATCTTTTTTTTTTCAGGCAACACAACGCCTGTTAGCATATAGCATCCCACTCTAGCATTACCTTGCTCTGTTCACCAATTCTTCAGCTTAAGAAAGTAGAGATACTTCATAGTGCACATCTACCTTGTAAGACTCGTATATAGACCCCTGAGAGATTCAGCAAGCTTCAACATAACTCAATGAAATATAACCACATGTGGCAAACCTGTGTTGATGAAACAGGATTTTTTGTTTTGAAACATTTTTTTCGACTAGACAAATGAGATGCATAAGTTAGTAACACATTTCCTGCTGACCAAACAAAGGCATTCTTTCTTCCCACTGAAATTTTGACAACCAGGAGAAATAATTTGTCTTTTTAAAAATGATCAAAACCGCCTGATGAAATTGGGACCGAAATGTCGATTTGAATAAGTGTCAAAAACATTAAAAATAGACTGGAATGAATCCAGTGTCCAGACTTTCACTGTCTGTATCTCTGATCATGAAACACAAGACCTAAAGAGTAAAATGTGATAAAGACCAACCACAATTTTCCAAAAATGACTGATACTCTATTTTCATTTCATTGACAGCAGGCCTCATACATTCTAAGAGATTCATTAAAGAGTTCACCTCTCTGATTACTTGGGGCTGCATTTCAGTAGATGCGTGGCAACTCCAGGAGAAGCCAGGATGATTCAGAAACTTAAAATTGTTTCCTTAGTCTGCAAATTCTGTATTCCTATGCAAAATCTAATCATAGATAAAAAAAAAATCTGAGTTAAGCCTTGATGAGAAACATTTAGTGTGAGTCACAGACGCACGAAAGAAAGGAACCCTGTTGACGGATAGATAGATTAGATTTTGATTTAGATAGATCTGAAAAGCAATCACATATGGGGCTGCACAGACCCACAATCAGGAGGGGGAAAATGTCAACATTGGCAGACTGCAGGCAAGAAACTCCAGTCCACATAGACTTTCTTCATGGAGTCTTTTATCTACCTTAAATGTTCAATGTTAAGCTCCTTCCTCAGCAGCATTGGTAATTGTGACTTTGGACAGACAAATGATCAATGATGAGCGAGGGTTTGCCTCTGATAAACATTTGATCCTCTGAAATGCTGGTTTTGATTTATACGATCTTATACTCTGGCCAAAGTAAAAACATGGTTATAGGCAACGCACTGAGATGTCCGACATGACTGCATTCTTGGTCTCAACAGTGTAAACAAGTAAAGAAACCTTATTCTCTGTGGATTTGCCATGTTTTAGTCCCTTTTCCAGGTAACAAACAAGTTTACCTCTCTTTGTAAACTATTGTTTGTTGACAAGTTTACTTTCATGCACAATGTTTACAAAAGAAATCCTTCAACATCACAACTGTCTTGACTTCACTTCTATCTAACCTAATTTAAATGCCTTTTGGGGGTTAAAGTTTTGAGATGCAATATGTCTGATCAACTCTTTAATGCTGCCAACTCTGATCCCTTTACAGACACAGACAACAGCACAAAGAGACAGATATGGAGCAGAAGACCCATATAATCACAGCCTCATTGTATCAAGAGGAAAAACAAATAACAGGAGAAGATCTAATAAATATCAGAATTGGACTTGAACAATTGTGAATGAAAACAGACAGCATATTAGAAAATTCTTAAGACATTTTTGTATGAGTATATACACACTTATAACCAGTAAATGCTCCAGTTCCTGAAGAAGACCCCACCCAGCATGAAAAAAAACAGGCTCCCATTCTGTTTACTGTTGTGTTCACTCAAACTTAAATCTGTGGTTGTACAATATTGATGTAAAATATTTTCGGTCCATTAACTTATAGATGACAGTTGAACTAGGGAGTGGCATGTCTGATTAGAAGCGCATCAGTGCTCCCTCTCTTGGATGTGGTTCAAAGGATAACGTGAAGCCACAACAAGAAGATAAACAGCTTCCTACACATCCGTTTATTTGTCAAGGCTTCATTCAAACTTTGTCAACACAGAACAATTTAAATTGAGCGCATAGTGCACTTTATGTTCTCAATTATGGGTGCTACAACAACCCACTGAGCTTTTGTCTGGCTCGCTGTGCATCATCACGGATTCTACAAACCTCTTTTTTCTTTTCTTGCAGAGGCCCGTTGTTGGACCCTGGGTCTGTTCCAAATCCAGACAGAACGACCCACTTTTAGGCCTGGTCGGGAAGAGGCACTCAACAGGGGGCAATAGACCTAGGAGAGCCCCCGCTGAGCTGGGCATATATGAGCACTGATGAGACCTGACAGGGCAGCTACCGCGGCAGTGAGTCCTAAAATGATGTTTTGGCTTTTTTGTTTCGACGGTCTTTCACCCTCCATCAAAAACATGAAATCAAGACAGACAGAAATCCTTTGTTTTGAAGTGTAATTAGAACAGGGTGACACATTAATCTCAGTGGGGAGTTTTCCATCATATTTCCATCAATAAAAAGACTACTGCAGACACTTTTACATGATATGGATAGGATAAAAAGCCCATCGCACACACAAAAAAGTCACCACAGTAAGTTAGTCCCAACTTTCTGCTTGCATGTAAACTGCTTGCTTGACTTCCCTCTGCTAAGCAAAACAGAAACTATTTTTGTGGAATCAAAGAGGAATGAAAATGAGATGATTAATAAATGATTTCTTAATTATCAAAATATGAGGGATTGATGTGATTAAGGAAAAGCTTTAAAGAATGACTTGTTTTTTTGTACCTGAAACTGCTTTATTCTGCATATTTACTAGTTATAATAACGAGGTTTATTTGCTGGAAAAATATCTTTTTGCAGGATTTTGCTCAAGCAAAAATCAAAAACTCCAATCCAAAGCCAAAAGGAAAGGTTAACTCCTAAAAATTTTAACGTGTCACCTTTCCAGAGAAATGGAGGAGATCATTCCCTTCCTGTTTAGGTCTGACTTTATTGTTTCGATATACTTATGAGTATACCTAATTCTGAGGTTGACCATATTTTGGTATCACTGACTGTAGATATTAAATCAGATAAAGGACACACAGAGGCTCACTCACAGATCACTTAGTCTGATACTTAGCCTCTAATAGGGTTAAAGTAAGTATCAGACTATTTATCACTATACATAATATCATAAGTGTAAAGTGACATAGGCATTTGAAACAAATAGGATACTGCTGGTGTATTCTGTTGTGTCTTTCAACTGAATTCTGCACAAACTGTGACCTGATGAATGACATTTCTATGTATTTTCCCATCTTGCACATCTTTCATTCCCACATTCTTTTTTAAGTAGAACGCACACTTTGGTACAATGCAAGTCTATAGGCAAAAAATAATAATCAACATCTTTCATCTAAGATAAGCATTAGATAAATACTCTAACCTGAAACTCCTTTATTTTCTGCGTTTGCCAAGTCCATGTTGAGTGAATTAACTATTTTCTAAATATGACTCCTTTAGGTCCCTATCATTTGAGTACTCTCCCATCTCTTCCGACATCCCTGCACTGCAAAGTGGTCTAACCCCCTTAAAGATAAACCCTTCAGTATGTTTCACAACAACGTCTAAAGATTTCTTGTAAAAAAACAGCGAAAAGAAGTTTCGTGTTCACCTGCAGAGGTATGAGCGTCAAGAGTTTGTACTTCTTGCAGCTGATGTTTTACTTACATGGCAGCAGTTTTAGGCGTAGACTCCACCTCATGAAGACACCTGTAATCCTCTGCACAGACACAGATCAGTCGCAGCGTCCTCACTGTGAGACAGAAGCGTCAAAAAATATGAACCATGTATGAAGTCTCAGTCAGCATACACTGATCGTCCACAGTGTTCAATTACAAAAACATCCAAACAGTGTTGCAAACATTAAGAGTGGACTGGTGTAAGAATGTGAACTTCTTTGACAAGGATCAAATTTCAAAAGGCCATATGACTTGATGAGCGCATGTCCAAACAGTAAGTGGCACTGAATACAACCAGTATCCCAACAAAGGCAGTGCATTGCAGCTTATTGTGTTTGGGGTTGTAACACCACAGGGTGGTGAGTGTGCTGTCATTAAATAGTATGATGATGTGAAGCAATCAGATCCAGTGTTTATGGCCAGTTTTCTGCTGAGAATCTGAGTTCCTGGCATTGTTGTCGAGGGGACTTTGCCAGTAAAAACCTACCTTAACACCGTTGTGGACTTAACGCAACTTTTCACAGTCACAGTATTATTTGGTTGTACTGCTGTTTTTTGGCAGGCCAAAATTTCCCTGCTATGCAACTAAAAATCCTTCATGAAAAAGACTGAAGAACATGAAAGGGTTCAATGTGTTCCCATGATCATAATCCGATCAAGCAGTCCTGTGATGAGCTTGAACAACATGTCAGACTCTCAGATTCACAGAGGCTCATCTGTGCAACTCTGAGGGCTTTATGAGATCTGATGCTAATATCTCAGTGCCAGACTCAACATGATACTTTCTTAAGTCGGATTAGTAGTGAACATGACATTTAACCCTCTAAGAATTTTGACAACTGCAGGCAAAATGTACTTTCTGGGGTTAGAATACATCCTCCAGATGGGATTAAGAATGAACAAAGCGATTTTGGCTGGTTTGGAAATCAACAAACTCATCAGACAGCCAGAGAGATTCCACAACAATCTAAAGGTAATCCTTTTAGCTAGGCTTCCTGTAAACAATAACTCCAAGAACTCTTTGACAAAAAGAAAAGGGCTGGTTTCAATTAAAAGGTTTCTAAGAGGTTACCCAAATACCAAGCTTTATAATCAAGTATGGCAATAAAGTGGAAAACCACCAGCCATCCTGCATCAGTTAGATAGATTAACACATAATTTGACTCACCAATACAGTCTAACTTCCTTTGTGGACAGCAGTCTGTAACAAGAAGCTTGAGTTCCTGGACAGCAGACTCATAGGGGTAGGAACCTTGAAGAGAGCCAGGGTCTTTGGGGAATAGTTTCGAGGGAACACCAAATTCTCCTGGTGAAGCATCCTTGAACAGCTTCATACTCGTCTCAAAGGCCTGCTCCCTTTCCCTGTGGACCTTCCTGAGAAAAACAGGCAGAGGCTATCAGACAAAAATAGGCAGAAACTAAACAACAGAAGTTTCTAAAACAACCAAATGTTGTGTATAGAGAGTTCTTGTGATGAGGCTACAGATACCACCTACTTTGACTAATTTGATGGCTGCAGACAGCTCAGGCGAAGGTAAAGATTAGACCAAAAACATACGGCTGCAGATCATTTTGAAAAATGGTAATGGTGAAAAGTCGAATTTTGAGTGGTTTGTTTAAATTAAGAGGCAAAATCGAATGCTAATAAATACACCCAATGCAGGAATGCCAAAGACTGCAGCTCTTTAATAGACTTTGAGGCTGGTTATGATTTTGAAACTGTCAAAAACGCAAAAAGCATCACATCTTGTTTCAGTGCACAACAATAAACCACCGCCACGAAGTTAGTCTGTGGAAGCAGCTGTCATTCTTGTGCTGTGACTAATCATATGAAGTAAAGATGGTCTAAAAAATACACTTTTTCATATTTTCATACCAGAAATATATTTTTTAAATGTGAGTCATTCAGTCTTTTAGTAAATTCTGTGTGCCCTCTGTTCCATTTAATAGACTTGCAAAGACCAAGGGGATTAGGAGTAACACAAGACAACATCCAAAGGTAAAAAGGGAAAATATCACTCCTGAATACCATGGTCTGTGAATATAATCCAGTGCAGCATCCATAAGTACAGCTTAGAACTGTACCATGCAAAGAGGACACCGTTTATACAGCATGATCAACAGCCTGAGCCCTCTGGTGATAAACTACACAAAGTGGAGACATGTTCTGTTGTCTGACAAATCAAAGCTTCACATAAATTTTGGAAATCATTGACACCACGTCCTCAGCTGACGTACAGTTTGTGGTGTAGCACTGCCACATGCTGGTCACTGAGAGACTCTGAGCCACACTGTATTTTTAGTGCACCTGCCAAGCCAAACATTAATAACCTTGAATGTGTATAAATGTACGCCTGATGTGTCTACAGCCCTTAGGACCTCCCATAATTTGACTGTGTGCAACAATTTCATACATTTTTGAACAAATAACAACTGACATAGTGAATTTATTATTCACACACATCTAATAAAGCCTGATCCTCTTTTCTATTTCAAAAACATACTTGCTGCTTCTCACAGTTTGGCACCATCGGATGAAGCTCCATTAAGCCTCGATATTCTTATATAGATGTCATTACAGTGTGACTATTGGGTGAGTTGTTGTGATTTCTAAAGATGACAAGGAGAGCTTGGACAATAAAATGGTGAAACTAAGCAGACCTTTCTTTTTTGATTATTTTGGATTCAAAAGAGACAACTGGGTACAACCATAGGTGCTTTGTGAATTGTACTGAACAGCAGACTGACTATTAGTTACAGGAAATATTCTCATTCAAATACTTGTCTAACATCTAACCTGAGTCTTGATTTTAAAGGCTGTTCTACCTGAAAAGAGCCACCAGGGCGCTCCACAGGGGTGTGAAGAAGGCCTCTTCAATGCTGGCCAGACACAGGTCTTTGGAGGTGGCTGTGTTTAGGCACTCAAAGGACAGCAAACATAGTGACAGGAGCTGATCTGAAACATGGAGGAAAATGTCTTCATTTGTTATCTCGCCATTTTTACTCTGTCAGCGGAAAATGTGTCCAAACATTTGTTATCAACAACAAAAAAACTGTTTTTTGCCAGAGTTTAAACTGGTCTGACACTTTCCATCCATTACCAACATGCTCACCGATTGCAATGTGAATGTCCTTGACAATAATCTTCAGGTGTTCTGTCAGCGCTCTCAGCTCCAGCTCCTTAAAGTCTCCCTCACCCCGCTCTAGATGTGTAATGGGATCACTGGCTTGCTCTAAATCTGAGCCAGTGACATCTATGCTATCAGTGGGCTCGGCCCAGTCTAACTGAGTCAGAAACTGTTCCAGGTCCTCAAATGAGTTCTCTCTGTTAATTGGTGCCTGAGCGTGAGGTTCTTCTCCTCTCTCATAGTCATAGTTTGTGGGGAGGCTATGAGAAAGTGAGGGGGAAGAGCCAGCGCTGAAGCTCTGGCCACCAACACTACTGCCCACAGTCCTGATTGGCTTTCCTGGGGAGTCTGAAAGATAAAAATAAAACATTTTCGAATAAAGAAGTGTGTTAATTCAATGATTCAACCATTACCCATACTGATAAATTATGACTTCATGCTACACCTCTGCCAGCACAATAATACCAAAGTCAGTTTTTTAAACCCCCAAGTAGGATGGCCTCAGGATGTTAACTGTCACTCAGTCCACAGGAAATTACAAGCAAGATTTACATGACTGACCATGACTTTCATCACAAAGATAAATTCCCTGCATGTGTCCCAGATATTTTGGTGCCCAGACCTTCCATTTTACGCCTACATAAAGTTTTTATGCTAATAGTATCTCAGCATTTATTGGGTAGACTGGGACTGGCAGCTTCGCATCACCACACCAAATAAGTTCTGACTTCTTTGGTTAAACACTGGATGGATATGAAGTAGCAAGCCAAAAGGTGAAAACTGCTTAAGCAGCAAATAAAGACTTTCACACTTTTTATCCTTTGTGAGAGCACGCCATCAGAAGATCCCTCTATGGAGCAGAAGAAACACAGGGTATCAGGAAGAGGGTCAAACCATGAGACGTCTATCTGGTAAGAGTGCTCACCAGAAGTTAGGGAGGGAACCAAACCTGCTTAATAGTGGATTCTAACTTTACAAATGTGATACTTTGGCTGCTTGCTTAGTACAGGGGTGAAGGTTTAGTACTGAGAGCCAACTCCCCTCTCTAATCTCCCCTAGTCTATCCTATGCCAGTCTAACGTGAGAGCCACAAACTGATTTACTGGTGAGAAAGGCACAGACTGCCTCACCTTGTTCCCTTAAAATAAAAAATTCTTTGTCCCTAAAAATGTAAAGGGATTTCTGACAGCAAGTTAAGATCAAACTGACTCACAGGAATTTAACATCAAATCAAATGGGGTCAAGCTCATGTTTTATCCAGATTAACCTGCTTCACTAACACCCATTTCTGGCTTTACCTGAATGAAGCAAGTTGTGAGTGCTGCGAGAAGGCCTCAGCTTCTGGGCAGGACTCTGGGGCAGGCCTTTACTGACGATGGGGTACAGCTTGTTGTAAATCTTGTACTGGTGGCTTCTCAGCAGCTTCACCACAGGATGGTCAGACCGGCTAAGGAAACAGTGCAACATTAGTCAGTTTTCTAGTCAATTCTTATCTGACCTAGCATTATTCAATAACCAATAGTGTGATGAGAAGAACTGAACAGCATTCTGCAGATAGGCGGATGAAAGTCTACTGGATTTTCCTGTACATTTCAAAGACTGTACTTCTAGAAAGAATCCATTTTTAAAAATACTTTTTCTCTCTCCTTCTTTCGCAACTGGACTTCTGCATTTGGAAGACACAGAGCTCTTTCACTTCTGATTTTAGGTCTAGATTTTGGATTAACTGAGCAGATGATGGCATTCAGTTGTTCAACTTTTGTTCTAAAGGACTGAGGAGCTGAGCCTGGGCATGAACATATTTTACTTGACTTATATCTGCGAGTAATTGAAAAATTTAGAGTCACTGAGGAAAAATATAATGTCACTCCAGTGTCTCTGGAGTGATATTGAATTATTTATTTTCAGGTCCAAATGTTTTCTTTAGTCTTAAGTCCTTCATGGAATGCTGGTGACAGCTTCTATAAAATTATAGCTACAAAAAAAAAATCTTAGTTGTTAAGACAGTGTAATCTATTCTGTTTTGGTAGTGCATTTTCATAACATGGGTTCCCGTCGGTCTGGACATGGCTTACCCTGATTAATCATGCACCTGTCTGATGACTCTTCACAAATGCAAATGGAGAATTTCAATCTTCAATGCCACAAGCAGTTATCAAAAATGTAAATAGTTTATTCAGCTGATGAGCATTTGTTGTGCTGTTTTGTCGTTTAATCTGCACTTTATGCTGCCCATTGACCAAACGGTTACAATTTTGTGCAGCATGAACAGCTCTTCAGTTTTAGCTGACAGAGCCAGTACCTGTTTTGTGAAAGCCAGTTCACACCAGCTCATGCATGCTCAGAGTATGCTGACAAAAACACGACATGAGTTGAGATATAAGTACAGACAGATGGTTATTTTCTGGACAGACAGAGTTTTTCCGATTCAAACAACAAAAGTTTGAGCAACCTTGAGCACAGCACAACAAAATATAGCGGTTAGTTACCTGAGCAGGTAGGAAACTAGTCCTGACACTAATGTGACGTCATTTGGATTCTTCCTCATGTTGGCTTTCCACAGTTTAGGCCACTCCTAAAACAAGACCAGAATAAGAACATAACCTATTGGAAACCCTTATAAAAAGATATATAATTGATTTCATACTTACATGGTCTTGCTCATATTCCAGGACATTGGTGTAGAGAATGCGCTGCTCTTGCTCCTCTGCAGTCATGGCCCCAGGTGCTGCAAACCTCCTGTAATGGCAAACACACAAAGAAATACTCACATACACTCATTCTTGCAGAAACACAATGTTTACTTATCTCTGATGTAACTCCCTTCAACGATTGTAAGTATCAGGGGTCGATAAAGATTTTGAGTGCCTTTCACTTTAGAAACAGCACAAACAGATAACACTGCAGTTTCTCAGAAGAGCCCTACCTATGCAGTTCTGAGCACTGACAGAAAAACTGCACTTCTGTTTTAAGCTCCTGTGAGGAGTTTTTGACATTTATGAATTGGACTGAAATTCATTTTGGTGCCTTTTTATGATATCTAAAAGCAAACAAGACCATCAGGGATAAGATTGGCAGTTTGTATTCTTTAATTCTAATGCCTGAAAATAGTGCAAGGGGGTAACTGTCAGCCCTGTAGAAAAGGAAACAGCATTTTTTTTACATTTCCCACAAAAAATATTCACAACAAATTGTATATTTGCCTGTTAAAAGTCAGAAGGATGAAGGTTTTTTTCCACACACACTCCTACAGCAAGATAAGCAAAGACAGTTATGTCCACATGTGGCACAAAAGTTGACACAAACAGAAAAGTCCTCACAGGAACATTAATTGTAAAATTTGCACAAAAATACACAGACCTCGAGTTGAGACAACATACACGAAAAATCATCTGCACTTTACTTTCAGAACTCAATAAACAGTTTTACATACAAGTACCTGTATTAAACATAGAAGACAGCTAAGCAATACTCTTGATCAAAGCTTCAATTTTTGTAGTTATAGCAAGGTGAGGCCTGGATCACTTTTCAAACTGAGCTAAATAGCTAGTATTTATCTATTTTCAGATGGTTGAAGAAGACAGCGGCTAAAAACAGAACAAAGTTTTCACCTTTTTGAGTGTAATTTTAAGAAAGCTGTGGTGTACCTGTTAGCCTCTTCCTGCAATCTTAGTCTTCTCGTCTCCATCTTCCGCTGAAGCTAATGTTTCAACAATCATTAAGGAGACACTTCAAAACATCACAGCAATCCCACAGAACAGCTTTCAGTGAAGATGTTGAGTTTAAATCAGAGAAATCTCATCTTTATAGCTCAAACCAGACATGGAAAAATGAGAAAACACAAAAACAACACTGTATAATACATCTAGCCAAATAAACAGGTTTGAAACATTTGCAGCAAAAACACAGAACCCTCATGTAAAGTCCCAAAATAGTCTTGTCTTTAAAAAATGTAGGTGCTTATCCAAAGCAGGCTGTGACACACTACCCCCTTCAGGATTTCACAGAGCGATCCCTTCAGGGATCCCGAAGAGTTTTTTAAAGCTCTTTTGCTGGGCTGTTTGAGTATATTTTAACTCAACTGAATAGCAGAACAATGACAGCCATAATTGCCCTGATGGCGATTTACCTGATTAATATTTCACTGATCCTTTTTAAGGACCTGGAAAAAACAAAAGACAAAAAGGATACAGCATCTTGTCTGGCTTTGGCTATGATGAGGTTCTCCATCATCTGCCGCTGGAGAGAGAGTGTCTGCAATGGAAAAGAGATGAAGAAACTGAATTTTAAAAATGCAAACTAGGAGAAACTGAGGAATTAATATGCAAAATAACACTGTAAACACGAATTCACTTCCAGAAACAGAAGGCATGACAGTTCAATGAGAAAAATGTTTAATTAAACTTTTAACTAGACATGAACCCAAGACAGTTCCTGTACTGTTTTATCCCAGATCCTTTTCTTTCATATCTTGAAGTCTAACTAGTTTATTGTAGCAACAGTAGACCTGCAGCTCTTGTGCTAACTGATAAAAAGGCTAAATTTAACCATTGCATCTGTAGTCAGAAAAGACTTCTAATAAAGCCGTATTTGGTTTAAAAAAGGGATCATGCCCTTAATCAAAAAGGATCAACCTCTGTGAGGATCATTTCTGTAGTGCTGACTGACTCCAAGAATCACAAGTTGAGGCCAACAGTAGCAAAAAAAATAAATATATCAGTTTATGTACTTTGATCAGAAGCAGGGTGAAAGGTGAAAACAGAAAAGGATCCCAACAATGTGCAAAAAGTTCCTAGCAACTTTAAAAGTAAAAGCAATCTCAGAGATCTTCAGGCAACATCACAGAGGAAGCATAATGCCGTGATGTTAACATGATAACGCCTGAGGGAGATCTGTCAAATTGAAATATAATGTAATGTAAAAAACTTTATTTCAGACCCAGTTAGTCAATATCATTCAATGAACAAAACAACACAAAAGATACAAAATTTAAGAAATTCCTGAAGTTTAAAACACAAAGAGACTTTTGTTCCAATGCTTCCAGAAGCAAGAGGAGTATTTTGTGTCACTGAGTGTGGGATGAGCAAGGGACATTATGTAGTACCATTATGAAATGTTACTTTTACATCCAAATTGCTTAAAAATTCTTCAACAACATGCAGATCCTTTTTTGATTCCTGCCTTTAGTTTAATATCTGATTCAGATCTTGTAAAAAGAAAAAAAGGCATGTATTTGGCAAGGATTGGTAGTTGCAGGCAGAAAACAAAAAAAAACAGTACCATTTAACTCCAGTTACTGTAAAGAAGCCAGCACTGCAACAGGGATAAGGAGGCAAGAAAAGACAAGCAAACAAAACTATAAACAACCCTTACAATAGTGACCAGGATACTGTATTAAGAACATTTAGCTATCTAGAAGACTTTGCATCCCAGTTTAGACATTTCCAAACTTCAGACAAAATAAGAGTGACTGTGATTCCTTCAATACCAAATGAACATAGTTGAATATCATTCTTTGGAGAAGTCTGTCTGTGCTATACCTCACCCCAACAACTGCCTTCGATTCAAAGTTGGTTGAGGTCTTTAAGGCTTTTTACATTTATAATCACTTAAATTAAAACAAAAGTTAGTGTTAAACAGTCTAAAGAATGGATGAGACTGTCTAAATTTTGGACGGTCTGACTTAAAGCTTCAAAAATTTACCTTGAAAACCGCCTTCAGTTTTCTCCAGTAAGCTCGAAGCTTCACCCGAAACCTTAACATTTTCAGTATCTGAGTGATTTTAGAGATAGTTACACCTCAATAGTTCACAGACATCGGGATGAATCGAAGCAGCTCATGGTACTTGATGTCGAATTAATCAAAACGTCCAACGTGACGGTTAAAATTTCACGTCCCCCGCTGATCCCATATCTTACAGCCAGAGCCCTAAAAGAAGCCGAGTTATACTAATATACTGATCTCCCCACGACTGACAACCATGGCCCCCATTTAACAATCTTGCGTGGAACCGTGCGCAGATCTGAGCGCAGGATATCGTACGAAAGGAAACACGTGAGATTCATGACAGGCTTCGTGTCTGACCAATCCCAGCGTACGAATGATCGTGTCTCGATAAACGCGGCGGCTGAAATCGATCGTCATTTACGTGTCACGCCCTTAAATGTTCGTAGTTCAGAAGCCTCGCCCACTGAGGTCAAACATGGACATGAGAAATATTAGAAAGAAGCGAAATATTTTCGAGGTGGAAGTGGATAGCTTCACGTCTGGGGTGGAGACCAACAAGGACGTGCTCTTTGGAAGCATCAAAACTGGTTTAAAAGGAGTCGCACTTTCGTCAGAGCAGAATGGTAACAATGTATGGTGGCCGAGAACCGACACTACTGCAAAAAAAAAAAAAGAATGCAAAAAAACAAAACAAAAAAAAAACAGTTACAACGAAAGTTACTGATGCAAAAAAAAAAAGAAACCGAAGCCCGCTTAAGATTAAAAAAAAAAAGTGCAGATAAAAAAAAAGCCACAACAGAAGTCTACAGCGCAAAAAAAAAAAAAAGTGGCGATGAAAAAAAAAAGTTGCTTACTGCAAAAATAAAAGGATGCCAATTTAAAAAAAAGCTACAACAGAAGTGAGTTGCCGGGGACCAATAATGATGATGCACCGGTGTTTTTCGATCTAGGCACATGAGACGACGGCGAGAAGACGAGCAAAGTAGTAAGTGGAAAGGTTATTGTTTAATTTCGTTTTGTAAACTTTTCAATGTGTCATTTGGTTAGGCCATGTTGCGCCTGAGTTTATTTGAAGTTGAACTGAAGCCAACACTACACCAGCATCCTCCAATTCAACTTCATATCGACTCAGGCGCTACATGGCCTTGTAGTGCACAACCAATTATTTCATTTACTTCTTAATCTCTAAGGAAATCTGGCTGCTTGTGCTTAATGACAGGTTTGAGGTTATTATTTTGAGAAAGCCAGATTTTGCTGCGCTGCACCGCAAATCCGCACTTGATCGTATCGTACACGCACATCCAAATTGATAAATTGCGTGGTGGTTGTATGGTGGTTGTACAGACAGTTTTCTGCTTTATGTTCGTTTGATGAATGAGGGCCATTGTCTGCCATTATAGCTGGTTTTTATCATGCTGATTTATGCCGAGAATTGTCTGTTTCAAACACACAAAAACCTGTTCTACTGCAGACTGTAGGGGATCTGTGACAGGACACTTGCTGAGGGGTGAGTTATGTGTTTTGGTTAGAAGTCAACTCTGCAGCTCTACCAGCTACACAGGCTTTAAACATGTCCTGGCTCCAACATACATCGACAGCGCAATATATCGGCACCTGTGAGGGAAGTGCTTTGATTTCTTTTAATTTACAATGGGGGGAGATTGAGGCCCACCATCCATGAATGTATACAAATAAATATATCAGACTAATCAATGACTCCTGGTGCCAAATAGAGCCATTGTAGTGGAGTGCAGAAACTACAGTTCTTTGAGTTTCCATTTGAGGCTGGCTCCAAAAGCAAAGGAAACCCACCGAGGTCCTATAGTAGTGATAAAAATCACAAGTGTCCATACTATGTTCCCTACTTCAGTTTCCTATACGCTGAAAAAGCACCAGAATTAGGTGGTTATCCAACTGCAAAACCTCTGAAACTTCACCTGAAGTTGCATCTGGTACAAAACACAACCTTATCAGAAGTTGAAGTAAACAGGTACTTTCACTACTATGATTAGGAGCATGAGTATAAGAGTGATGCTTTTGTTATTTCATTGAAATAAGTTAATGAAATGACATAAGTCAATCAAATGCACTTATGAGGCTTCTGACCACTTGAGTCAGTTTCATCTGAATTCCAACATTTACTCTTTTACACACCTATTCACTAATCAATCAAGCGCCATTCTGGAGTTTAGTATCATGCACAAGGGCAACCTGATATGCAGAACCAGAAGAGCCAGAGATAATATCTTTGACTAAGGTTGACAAACCCGTTCTTTCTTTGACCCAGGGCTGCTCAAACTACAATGTTGCTGATTACTTTATCTACATTTCTTAATTCAATCTAGCTGCACTGAAATTGACTGTAGTAGTCTTTGGAGAATATTCCTTTGACAGGTGCTAACAGGTTGTAAGTTAGTTAAAAAATGTCAAAAATAACATAACAGCATGTACTTATCATCGATTTCTACTACCTTCAGCTCAAGACAACAAAATATATGGTCAGAGGACAGAAGATGTCTTTCCTACACTCAAACAAAAACAAACACACATACCAGAGATGTTTTCTGATAAGCCTGTCCAGGAGTGAGTCGTGCCAGGCGGGCTTCATAATTGGCTTTCAACTTCTGGTTCAAACGGGATGCTTCTTCAATAGGTGTCAGCTCCCTGTGGTGAGCAATCACAGTGAGGAAAAATAACCTGATGTACAAATCAGCATTTTGTCATGTAGGCTGTATCAAAGGCATAAAGAACAAACTTTACACCTTTGAGTGCGACACAACGGTCATCCTTTTCGGCAGTTACAATCTTTCTAACCAACCTCATGAAAAACACAAAATAAATCAGACACTTTACAATTATCTGTGAAAGATATTCTTTTCAAAATCAGTTCAGAACTAAGTGGATATGTTTACATTTCAGTAGAGATATGCCAACTTGAAAGTGTCCCAGGATCCAAATGTGTGGATTTGTGGGAGCCATATGTGATGTAAGCAGGCTCAGTGGGTAGGCCCTTTTAAAAAGCATCAAAAAACATACCAGTGTTTTGCAATCATTAGGAAAATGAAGTAATGTAAAAGTGAAGTGAAATGGAAATTGACCATTTTGAAGGTTTTTTGCTTAAATCTTGACAATTGCCTTTTACAGCTTACAGAAAAAACAGTATTCCATAAAATTATAATTGTATGACATTTCTCTAAAGTAAATCCTTTTTCAAATTGGTGTTTTGTCATATCTAAATGTTTTGACATGTGGGATTTGTGATTTCTGTGAGCTGTAAGTACTGATCATCACTAAATACAACAAAAGTCTTGAAATATTTCACTTTGTCTGTGATAAATTTTTGAATGTATGACAGTTTTAGTTTGTTAAACATGGGGGGAAAATGAATACTCTCATGATATTCTATTTTTCAGACTTTATTAGCAAATTGAGCTCTGAATCAACTAGGTCAAATATGTGAGGCCCTTATTTTCTAGTTTGCAAACGTATGCACTTCACTCTGTAACGCTGTTGAATTAAGGGGAACCTAATCACCCTTTTCTTTCATTTTCACTTCAGTTTTCCTCACACAGACTTACAGTACACACTCTCACAATTAGGTTTTTTGGAATATTGAAAAAATCTTAGGAAGGCAGAGCAATGTGTCAATGTTTTGTAAGATTAGCAGCTGAAAATAAAGATTTTACACAACAGTTTATACAAGCGTGATGACTACATACTGGACTATCTGCCAACCATCATATCCTGTTCAAGTAACATATTAAAGCATGGGGGTTATAAATAAAAGGCTTGTAAGGAACTGAGTAAAAAAAAAACAGCAACTTCTTTAAATCCTTGAAAACTACATTAGCCAAACCTTTTAATCCTATTTTCAATCACATGCCTACAGTTAAAATAACTTACTCTAAGACAGGAAAAGCCAGGACCCTGTTTGACCCAGTTTCACAGAAAATTAGCTAGGTAATAGAAGAGACTAGTTCCTAGAAATCTGTCATCAAAGCCCTGTTATTGTCTCCAATGTTTAACATCTTCTGTCAATCAATGGAACAATATTTGCTCTTACTGATGAAATCAGGCCTCTTACTTCTTGCCCATGTCCTGCGACTCCATCGTTTGTAATCGCTGGAAGATTTCAGGCGGCAGGAAAGGAGAAAGTTCCCCACTACCATCAGACAAAACCCTGCGGTGGCCTGACTTTGTTGGGCTGGTTGCTTTACGAACAGGAGTATCACTTGGAGAGACTGTGAGAGCAGAGGCAAGACAGAGAGAAAAAGACGTGATTGGCTGAGAGGACAAAACCATGTGGCTTTACACTGGCTTGCTTTGATTTGTGAACTCTGGGCAGGCTCTGTGTTAGCAGTGATTGAACAGTATGTGATTAGAGAAGATTTCTCTGATTGAGGGAGATGAATTCACCAGTATTTAAGGAAGTGGCAGCAGCAGTCTGACAGGGCTCTGATAAACCAGGTGGACAGACAGACTGAGTAGACACAAAGATAGAGACGTCGGGGGGTTCAGCATTCTTCCCTATAAATGACTTGGCTCGCTCCAGACATTGCTCGGCTAATCTCAACATCCGCTCAACCTCCACCACCACCACCATCTCACTGTCTTCTGAGGGAAAAGAACAGAGAAACATGAGAGCTGTGAGCAATATTTTCATGCATAATTTATCAAAAACAGGACTACTGTCTAAAGGTCATCACATAACATTTGATGTCTGATTAAGTTTGGTCCCAACATACAATACATGTGTTGTACTCAAGCTAAAAAGTTCATATCCATTTAAAACAATTAACTACAGAATGACTGTCACATGTTCACAGCTCAGATCTACCTTTTTTCTTGGCTAATACATGCATTTAGATAATTTTCTCGATAAGTTACCATGTCAGAGGTTTTTAAAACCTAGAGCTAACATAAACAAGGTTTACAATGTAGATGGCAGTATCCTTAATTTTCAAAAGCTGACTGAAGAGCCACTAATTACTCCTTGGGTATGCATAAATGAGTAAACCCTCTTAAAAGCAGTAAAGAAAACCACCACAAAGACCATAGTCTTAACAGTTATTTACAGTATTCCACATCTCATATCTTACTTTGTGACCCAGCCTCCTCCAAAAGTGCATGTGAGATGTAGTTGATAGTCCGAAGATATTCACAGTAAGCCTCCTAAGAAAGCAAACATGTTGTTAACATTACTGAATTCAGGAAATGCAGTAACTGCAGCTTCTGAAGCAAAATAATCATAATGATTACAAACTACAAAATATGCCTAGCCTTTGTGGCAAACTTCTGTTGAACAAATTGAAACTGCTGATGCTTTCTGAACAACAAATTCAAAAATTAGTGACAAAGTAAAGAGAATAATTTAACAATCTGTTCTCACTTCCAATTTAGGTAAACTTTATGAAGATTCAGTGCTTAGACTAGGACAGTCTTTGTCCTGTAGTTGTTCCTTTTTCATTCCTATAGCACACTGCACATAATATATAGACATCACTAATTCACTGGATTATAGCAGCATTAGAGTATTATTATCCTTTCTTTAATCCAGACTTAGACTTGTGTAAGTATGCACAAACTCCTTCATATCCAGCTTTACTTTAATATGTCCACAATGTCCAACAGATTCCAGACCTATTTCCACACAATCCTTTGTTTTTTTATTAAAAGCACAAGTTATATATCACCAGTTAAAGAGTAAATAGTGATATGGCTAATTTAGACTAAAAACTCAATGCTTTAAGCAGAACCGTGTGTTGTTTAACTTACTCAGTTCTGAAAGCTAGGTGCTGTTGTACATTATTGATAACACACTAATATGAATATAAAATGGTTGACCCAAAACAGTCAGACAATACTGGCAGATTGATAAATATGATTCTTTCTATATGAGATTTTTTTATAAGTATCTAGACTATGATCTTCTGTCTGAGTTTATTTTTGTTGCCAATTGTGTAACTTTTTAAGGTTAACTGATGGTAAAACAAGTGTAATACCCGTGTGACATTAAAATGTTGGTAGTTGAAGTAAAGTAAGGATATTTATGTGAACACACAGAGCCTACTTGATCCCACACTTGCATGAGTCTGTAGCACAAACACAACGTCCTTCATTCGGACAATAACCTTCCCAAGTATTGGTGTTTCGCTTTAACTACAGGACTGTGAGCAGTCAGTTTAAAGACTAAACACATGTTATTATGTTCAATTAAAAACATATATTTTAATGTGGTTAATTTGGAGTGTGAGAAGACAGCTGAATGAGAGTTTACACAGATCCCGTTAACCAGGACTCACATCCGGCTAACCCTCCGACCGGGGTGAAGTTAGTTCTAGGTTGGATAGTGGACAGACAAAAAACACTTTTTTATATGAAAATTAATAGAAAAATATAAATAAACTTAAAATATAAAAATGACAGGCGTATTTCATGTAGCCAGTAGAGTTCTATGATCCCACACTGATTCTGAGTCAATTTATCATCACATTACCTGGAGGCTAGTGCGCTAAAATGCTAATATTTATATAAAAATCAATACATATTTTTAAACATTTAAAATAAAAAAACAAGAGGTTATATTATGCAGCCAATAGACTGATATGATCCCACATGCATTTTTAGTCAATTGATTACATTATCTGGAAGCTATTAAGCTAGAATTCTGATACTTATGATTAAAAATACATTTTTTTTTAAATGAAAGACTTGAAATGTAAAAACAAGACATTTTTCTTATGCAGCAAGTGGACTACTCTGATCCCACACAGATTTTGAGTCAATTGATCCCAAAACCTGGAAGCAAATGAAGTAGAATGCATGTATTTATTTTAAACAAATTTTTATTTATTACATTAGAGATTTGAAATGTAAAAAGAAGAGGTGTATCGCAAGCAGCCAGTGATCCCACACAGATTTTGAGTAAATTGAACACGTTTCTTGGAATCTACTGAGCTAAAATGCTTATATTTATATATCCAAATTTATTCACAATAATTAATACATTAAAAATGGAAGAACAAGAGGTGTATCTCATGCAGCCAGAGAAGTGCTACGATCCCAAGCTGATTTTGAGTCAATTGATTACATGACCTAGAAGCTACTGAGATAAAAAATGCTTATATTTATATTTTAATATTTTAATGTAAATTTATACTTCTATATATACATACTTTTTTCACACATACATTTAAATAAAACTTGAATTTCCCTTCAGGGATCAATAAAATTCTTCTTCCTTTTAAAAATTGATAAAAAATTATGGACAGATTTGAAATGTAAGAACAAGAGGCGTATCTCATTCCAAAGAAGGTGATCAATTGACTTAGAAATAGGGTGGGGTCAAAGAACTGCACTGGCTGACTGGGATACACTTTCAGTTTTGAACTTGTAAATGTCTCAAAATTTTTTTTAGTAACGTTTATGTATAAATATCAACAATTTCGCTCAGTAGCTTCCAGGTAATGTGATCAATTGACTCAATTAGTGTGCGATCAAAGTAGTCCACTGGCTGCATGAAATACACCTCTTGTTTTTACATTTACAACCTATTAATATTTCTTTATATAAAAAGAAAGCAAATGTCTGTCGAGTAACTAACTTCAAACCAACTTCATCCCGGTAACCCTCTGACAGCTCCCGCCCCTCTCCGTCTGTTTACATCTCTACAGTCTGTGCTCAGTAAGCTTAAAACACTCCTGTCATCGTTATGAACCAGCAATCTTTAATCCTACCTTGTGTCTGTTCCCCCCGTCCAGTTGTATTGCAACTTTTGCCATTTTCATGGCATTTTGAAGGGGCTTCACCCCACTGTCAACAGTAGCCATGGCTTGTTAGAGACGGCTCGTCTTCTTCTTCGTCTACTTTTCTCTCTTTCTTCTTCTGTTTAACGGTAGCTTGCATTCATGTGATCGCATTACTGCCCTCTTGTGGGGTGTGTCAGCTCCTAAATAGTCCCAGCTCCAAATAAAATAAAATCAAAAATAAATAAATCAGTTCTGTTATCTGTTAGGCCTATCTGCCATTTGAGCCATGGTACTTCTTAAATAGTGGCATGACAGGAAATGTTGAGAACCACCTTTTCAGGTAGGTGGATAGTTTTACATGCCCTTAAACTTAAAGAAGCGGTTTTTTTTTTAATCAGTTTTGTGTGCTTTGACAGGCATTTTGAGAGCTTTGTAAAATGTTATTTTGAGGTCTCAAAACTGTTTGCTGTCTCATTAGGATCCTGAATGGGCCAAAAAAATTGCTGGGTATTTGGCAAAACTTAAGTTGGCCCCATCAAATCTCACTCCAATGTTTTATGAAAAGTTGGCAGCCCTGATAATTACAAGCTGCAATGTTTCAGGTCTCCTGCAATTGTCGCATTGACTTTTAGGGTGTTTCCCAAGTCGGCTGACTGTTAAAACATTTTAAAGGTGTTATGCTGCCTCCCACTGACCTAGACTGACATTTAGGAAGACTAAAGAAATATTAGATACCCACATTTCCCCCTTTTATTTTAAAATATAAGAGCACATTTTGCAAGTGTTTGTTTTAATTCTGGACCACCTGTAAGGGCCCTATTTAAATAATGTATGGCACAGGGTATTGAGCGCATGGTGATACAGAAGCAGGTCCTGGATCAGGACTCAGGCTGATTGGGGGCAGAGGCAACAATGGTTATTTTAAAAAGTACATTGTCATTGAGCAGCATTTTGAAGACCCTTTTTTATAAGTTTTTTGCTTTTCTAAGTATCCTGGGCCCTTTGCAATCAGGAAGTTGCACAATATAACTGGTTCTGACATGTAAATGTTGGGCTGGTAAAATTTCACGTCAGCAACCCGAGACAGTGAGAAGACTAGAGGTTGCAAAAATGGAAAAACAAATTTACATTTTTTATATTAAACTATATTAGGGCATATGCTGCATAACAAGAGGTGGTTCTGATGTTCTACCCCAGGAAATTTTGGGTATCTAACTCCTAATTCCCCTCACTGGGGTGAATATCTATGTAACAATGAGTGGTGGGGATTTAATAATGTAAAAGGAAAACACAAAACTATCAACAACTAATGAAAAATAATACTACTACCTCCTAATAAGATTGGATCTGTTATTTTTCACTTCGTAAATCAGTTTTTAACTGATAAAGTGATGGAATTAACTCATTAAACACTTAAATAAAACAAGACTTCCTTCTTAAGATGACCTGCTCCAAATGACGCCATTCAAGAGTGATTAAATGCTTAAAATGTGGCCTTGAAGCACCCATGATACAGTGCTCCCTCTATAGATCATTATGGCACCTGATATTGTGTGACAGATGATATCATTATTATTTTACCTTTACATAGCTACTTCAAACCTTTAGTCTGGCCAATTCTTTACCATATCCTGAGTTTCATCTTAACCAAAAATTTACTTTTATCAATGAGCATGTAAGCTTTGTTGTAAATGTCTGTTTCCACTTTGCGGTGAATTGAGACGGTCTCAACAATTCAAAAAAAAAAAAAGATCTCAGGTTTTTTAATTCAGTGGGCCTAAAAGCCACATTTTTATTAAGAAACATTACAATATAGAGACTTGTTGCCTCAATAATTTGGATTTATTGCACATAGTCAGCATTGCAGCTATTTCAGTTAAGAGTTTTATGTAAATACAATATTTTGGTTCACATCAAGAAAAAAAGTTTCCACTTTGAGCCTGCAAAACTGGGCATTGATTAACGACAATGTTGAAAACCTTTTCAGTGGCTACTGGCTGCTGCCTTCAGTGGTGTGGTGCAGCTTGTAGACGTGATTAGCCCACTTTGAAGTCTGTTTGAAGCAGATTTGCTTTCCCTCAATCTGAACTCTGCAAAGCAAAGAGGAGAAATTTGAATCAACACTTGAGTTGGAGATCACTGGTTTTGATGGTACGCAAGAGTGAATCAGTTGAGTGCCAGCAATCTAAACTAAATACAAAATCAGTTTTTGCAAAGACTATGGCATAAGAGCAAGTGAAACTTTTATCACAACACTGTCATACCACGGTGATCAAGTTTATTGCTGGTTCATGTTGATTTATTAAATGCATGTTTTCTAGCAATCACAGGCTATTCTCCATCTCTTGATCATTTTGTTAAGTATTTTAAGACATAATAATAGATCCCAAACTTACATAAAAGCCTTGTTTTCACAGGAGCTGTGGGTCTTGATTATGCTCATCACAAGTCTTTTTGGAATATTCCGATCACTAAACTTGAAGCAGCACTGTCCTGGCGCTGTGCTGAGTACAGCTTCAGCTGTGAGGAAAGTAAAAGAAGAGTTAGTACAAGCATGTCAGTGAGCAAACAGTGAGGAAGACGAGGCATAAACAGAGATCACTCACGTATGGCGGCAAAAGAACAGGCGATGAGCAGCAGCAGCCCCAGAGTAAAACAGAGAGTCTTCATGATGCTGTCAGTGGTATGATGGTGAGAATGTAGACGATGTTCTTCTTTTTCTCTCTCTGCTGTCATCCACTCTGAGTTCTGCGAATATAAACCCTGATGGACGGAAGAGTGATATCCATGATGTCAGTCTTGAGGCGTCATAATTCACACCCTAAAAACAGATTCTATCTTGGTCTGAGAAAGGAAATCCCTGTGGTGACAGCATTCTTGTAAACTCAGAATTACCTACCCAACCACACACAGAAAGAAAATTTTTCGATCTTATCTTGTCTGCATCTCTGTGCATTTTTAGGGCTGTTTAAAGGTCATCAACAGAGGAGAAGTTCTTCATATTTTTACTCTCAAATGAATACAGTAGTACAGAGTTAGAATAAGGAACAAGAACACCAAACATTTACTGTAGATTAAATTAAAGTATTATAAGTGTTACAGCTATGTTAAACTCTGATTAAATAAGATTAAATTCATCACCAACAGTATACATCCTAAGGCATTTATAATAATACCACAAGACTTCAACCATGTCACCCTCTCCTGACTGGATTTACACAGTTCGTTAACTATCTTACCAGAGAAAAATTTTCATGTGATTCCAGATGAATAATTTTCCCTTGGAGGATAAATAAAGTTCTTGTATTGTGTTGCATTAAATGGAAGTCCTTCTTTGCCATTGTTGCCAGGTGCTTGTGATAATGATGGTAATACATAACTGTGAAGTACTGTCAGTCAAAGTGCTTGACAAAGATTTAAAGTACTGTAGTGAGTAGAATCAGCTCTTTATTTAAAGGTACAGTATGTGATATTTAGGGACATCGTGGAGAAAAGAGTTGGTAGAAACTGAGTATAATATTTAAAAATGTGTTTGAAAGTGGATCAATGTTTCTACCATAAACTGTATGGACATAGTATCGGTGTCATCAACCATTTGTTTCTGAAGCAGAGGCCTGAAGCCTTTTGATGCTGATTTTTGGGGGGACTTTTATGGTTGGATTTTGAACAAAATCTGCCTATGCCATTACTAATACATCAATATTCACAGTGGACTTAAAGTTGGAGTTTTTCTTTAATTATTTGATGGCTAAATTTTTTTACATAAATGCAAATTCAAAACTTTGCCATATCCCTGATTATTTTGAAGGAGTTATCTTCGGTTCTAGATTCCATGAAATTGATCAATACTATAAACTTTCTTTATCTTTATGAATGTTTATCTGACCTCCTGCTGGATTTGACCCCTCACAGTGGTTAACCATGCTTTTTTTCTTTCTTTTTTATACATTCAGTTTTGTGGCTTTCACTGTCCTTTACGTATTGTTTTACTTTATACAAAATAATACAATAAAATATTATACGATAACTTTACTTATCTCAAAAGGGAAATTCATTTGTCCAGAACCTCATTAAAATATTTGGAAGGACAGTTAAAAAATTGTAAATCCAGTCAGGTGAGATGGTTGAAGTCTCCTGGTATTATTGTAAGTGCCTCAGGATGTTGAATCTGTATCCTAGCAACAGTATCATGGAGAATACATGTATACAAGTATTGTTATGATGTGACTGAATTCCCTTGGAACGTAATATGGCTGAAGAGCAACAGCCAACAGTTCAATATCTGGACAATACAACTTCTCATTGATGGTTATCTGAGAAGAGTTACACCATCTCTGGTTGACAAATAAAGCCAGATCTCCTCCTTTCCTCATGCCCCAAGCTTTGGCATCTCTGTCTTACCTTATGAGAATGAAGCACGGTAGATCCACACTGGAGTCCGAGTTGTTTTGATTCAACCAGGTTTCAGTAAAACACAGGAGACTGCATGGTATGCTTTCTCAGTCTTCACCAATACCTCCAGCTCATCACTTTTATTATGCAGAGAGTTGATGTTTACCATAATGACTGATGCAAGAAAGGGTTTATATCTCAATTTCAAAGCCTTCAACTTTTGCCTCACCTTTGTACCAGCACAGCAACCACAAATACACCTCCAGATATCTGCTGGAATTGGATGTTGTTGTCCAGATTTGCTCTGTCTCAGTGAAAGAAGCTCTTCTCTTATATAAACTCTTCTCCCAGCAGAAATATCCATCAATATCTAGCTGCTCCTTTGGTTGAGCGCAGGTTCTTGAATGAATGTCATTTAATGTTATTAATGATTGTTGTTATTTAACTTCATTTTTCCTTTGGCCTCCTTGCAGAGTTCAATGTACCCCACTTTTCTGTCAAGTCAGTCGTGCCCCTGATTCCTAATCTTGTAACTCAAATATCATTACAAATGAATAAATTACAAATAAATTCACTCTGTGTGGAGTGGCCCCAAAGCTATTCAGACCAAACCCTCTTTTTAACCAGACTGCAAGGGTGTTTATTTTTGCTTTTCTGAATTATTATGTATATGTAGTCAAGTGGACACTTAGGGAACTGCAGTTTTTAGCACTTCTTTATCTGCATCATTTCGCAAGACTGGAGGTTGCCGCTTGGTATCCACCTAGGTAACTAGTTACATGTATGTTTTTCTATTTACTGCAATTGCACCTGTTGCAGGACAAAAAAGAAGAGGATGTCATTGAGCGCAACAACTTTTTTATTGACAGACTTGATAGTAAAAATATGAAAAATGGAGGTTCATACTTATAATGTACTGCAGTAGCTTCTTGTTTTCAAATGCCATTAATATTTCACTGGTGAGAAGGATGAGCAGGGGGGCATCAAAATCTGGAGTAAGTCTAATAGCTAGAAATTGCTTGATATAGGCTACCAATTTCTGGATCACTTTAACGTTTGATTAATGCACTTTGACATGCCTCTTACTAAGTCACTTAAGTCAAACTTGGCCATTAAGATAATCTATCAGTCAGATTCTTAATTGAAACTCTGTCGTGCTCACCTGTTCCGCCAGTGACACAGGGAAGAAGCTCCTGTGATGTAAAGTGTGTTTCCCGATTTGTCAAGATTTTATGAACAACAACTCTTATCAATACAAATTATTATATGGACAACAACCAAACTCTTCCTATTTGTCTATCAGCTTTTGTATTTTGCGTGGACACTCTTTTATTAAAAATACATGTCACTAAAGTGTCTGTTCTGCACTGTGGTAGACAGATGGTGGCCTCCATGGAAGGAGGCATGCATCTATGTGGGTTTTAATAGACTGGACTTGAGTTAACAAAACTGTTTTTTATATTATGGTGGCTATACACTAAATCACACATACCTATAAATATTACATTTCATTTCAACTGTCCCGCTGAATGCTGCTAACATTGTATACTGTACCGTTAATTTCTTGATTTTTGTTTTAAGTTGCCGGATATAAAGATAGGTTTTCTGTTTGACACAGCAGACAGTAAAACACCGGCACTGAACTTGAACGGCAAACTGATTAGATCAATACAGAGATGACTTTGAAGAATTGTGGGAGGTCGGGGTTTTTTAGGGTAAAAATAGATTCTGGCGTTATAGATAAATATAAAATACCACCCAGCCAAGTTTAAAAATATTCTCTTTCTTTCCAGGTTAAACTACATCACCAGTTAACCATGAGTCAGTTCCCTTTATGTAAATCTCTGCGGTTAAGACCGAAGTGATGAGACAGTAAACTGCTTACAAGATCTTATCATAGCTGCTTTCAGACATGCCTACAAGCTCAACAATAAGCAACACATCTGCGACCTGTCTCCACGCATTTGCAACCTCACCAGCTTTTTATCTCATGATCATCATCTGTGACTGTGTTGCATTAACCCATCTCTAAGTTGGTCACATAGATTTCTTGGTGTCAGTGGTTCAGTCTAAGTTTCCATGACAAGCACAATAGAGATTAGATTTTTATTTATTTATTAAGGCCTGAGAAAAGTATGTACTTACTTTTTTTTTTACCTGTGTAATATTTTTAACTAAAATGCTCAAGTGTAACACAGAAGTTGAAAGAATGGAATATTGCACCTTTTATAGGTTAAAATACTGTAAATATTCACACATACACTACACACATAATTAGTCCTTTGGTGAGATTAGGCCAAATAGACTAACTAATGACAACTGGCAAATGCTTTATGACAGCCTAATTTGATCATGAATTGCTGCAACAGAAAGTGTTCAAAGAATAGTATATTAACACAGCAATGAGCATAGCAGGTCTTTATAATTCATTTCAGAGTACTTATCAACACTTTAAGTCAAGGTAACTTAGCCATTAACTCCAGAGTTTCTCTCAAAAACTTCATTTTTGATTTTTGATGGTAACTAAAGAGGTTTTTGTATTATAATTGTTATCATATTGTTTTTGCTTAGGAAGAGCAAGTCATGGTGGTCGTACCTTATAGTCATTCTGCCCTAATAACACCTGAGAAATATGGTCTATTTTTGTGTATCAAAACACACAATTACAAGCATTAATAGACTCACTAAAACACCGATATTAGTCTCATTTAAAATGGATCATGACCAAGGTCTCATTGATGATTTATTGACTGCATCTAATGCTGCAGGCAAGACACAGCTTGCATATACATGAGTACATACTATATTACAGAATGGTTACAAATAAGGTAAGAAGACACATGGTTAAAAAAAAAATCTGTGATCCTTTATAAAACAAAAATCTCTGTCAACTGTAACAATGTTAGGTAGTTTATCTGAAACTGGCCAACAAAACTGACAAAAATATTTCATCAGATATCTTTAAAAATCTCCTAAGTGGTCCATCAACAGAAGAAATGTCATCTCTTTTGCTTATTTAATTATTTGTCTCCTATGAGTGGAAATATCTTTTGCGAAACTCAATAGACCATCATTTCCTTCAGGGTGTAACTCACCATGAGGGTTGGTTGCAGTGCTATGAGTGATTTACTAAGTAAGAGGAGGAGGAGGCAGCTTTGGAATGACCTGTCTGGGTTAACAAGTGTTAAACCACAAGTGAATTAGTCATAAACAACACCTTACTGTAGAACGGGTAACACTGAGGCATTAGGGCTCTAGTTACACTTTTGATTCTGTTTGTTTCACAAGAAATGACCACATTTATCAAGTGTTGTTTGGGAAAAATGTGAATTTTTGCTACACAAATAACACAACGTATTGTAGATATATTACACAGACATATTAAGGACATAGTCATTTTCACTAACTGTATAATTGTTTCAGTAAGGTTCACACATGAATAGTCTTTTACCTTTGCTATATTATTACTGAGTGGGACTGTGTAAGGATCATAATTTGAGTTGAGGCAAGGGATTGATTTTTGTCATCATATTTACAACCATGACAATTAAAAATATAGGAAAGAAACGAAAAGTCTACATATTCCACTGAGCAACAGATGGCTATTAGACATCTAGTTTTTTAGACCTAATTTCAACCGTCTAGATTCTTTATATTTCTAGACAGAAGTTGCACTTTAACCCATTATTCGTTAACTAGTTATTTCAAAAAGCAACTGTGAGTTGCATAACTGATCTCCAAGTACTTAACCAAAACAATTATGATAGCCATTGAGTAATATACAGTGTAGTATAGTATAGCTGGCTAGTCTAAACTTAGGCGTCTAAAAAACTTTCATTTTTAGACCTGTGTTTGCCTGATTTTAGACCAGTAGTCTAGGCTACATTTAGACATCTATTAGACCTCTTTTAAACCAAAAATGCTCAGTGGGATCAGAGTCCTTTTAAAAATAAAACTGTTGCTGTTTTTAAATGAAAGGAAGTTTTAATCTTTGCTGTAGAAAGTAAATGAGTAAAATGCTGTTATAATGTGTTATGAGTCATTTAGAAGTATTGCAATTGATGTGAGTCTCTTTTATTACCGGCTAAAAACTGATCACTGACTAATGTAGACGCTTTTCCTTGAGTCCACGGAGTCCTCTTTAATGCACAGAGGAGGGCGCTGTAATGAATTTTCACCCCTACCAGCTTCCGTTAGCACTTCCGGGTTCCAATGTTTACATCTGGGAGCAGTTTAGAATTCACAGAGCTGTCTTTTTGGCTAATTAAAACCATGTTATATGTCAGGAACAACATTTACTCTAAATTTTAGGGCTTACACTCTCTCACGGTAGGTATTGCTAAAGTTATGACGTTAATGCATGTTTACATTTTGACTGTAAACGGTTCGTGTTCATTCAGGCTAACCTGCCAACGCCAGGCAGGTAGAATGAACACCGGTGATTAACACCTGAACGGGAACACAAACGGATTATTACAAATAAATACTACAAGTATTTGTAGAATTATACAAATACTGCATATAAATGCGAAGTAGGGTTTGACCGGATGTTGGAAATGTCGTTGCTGGAAGATGATTGATTGAACTAATTGCTTTATGTTATTATTTTTAAATCAATTGAACATATTGAAAGATTCAATAATTGCTCACCGGGTGTCATTATGGAATATGCGTTTTTTTATGGAGCGGTAGCTTTTTATAAATAAGGGAAAATAATTTACTTCGGCAGCGCTAAGGTTAACATTGCTCATGATAGATGAAACCAAAGAGAGGATATTACTGTTTCTTTCCAGGAATAAATAACAGTGGCCCTTAAGGACGTTTGCGCCAATGTCACATGACTGCAAAAAATAAACAAACAAAAGCATACCATGAAACACTTAACAGAGCTCAAAATCCTCTCCTGAAACTATGAAGCGTTTCGCAAGTTGCACGAATGTGGTTTTCAGAGAAACATACGCAAGTCTGGGACAAAGATTTAACAGTATTAATCGTGGTTATTATTTATATTCTACATTGCTAGCCGAGGATATGAGAAGGTGACTTGATGTTTTTTAATCGTGACACAGGAGATACTTAAATCTGAAATTGTGGTTTTATGCTGTAGTTCACTTTTCATGAAATCACTTCAAGTCATGTTAGTTCAGCCTAACTTTGGAAATTTATTTTTTAACCGGTACAGTCACATGATACCTAAACTTTGGATTGTGGCAAGATAGTGTTTGCAGGAAATAGTGGTTGAGATGGGAAAGAAAGTGCAAAACCACATAACTTATCATAATCTGATGTTAAAGGGGTGTTAGCAGAAGAAAATACAAATGAAATATTTGTGGTTATTCCTAACAACTTCAACAGGAAGTAGGTTTAAGATACTGAATAATTTAGTCATAAAAACAGATTATATAATTTTGAACACATTGAGCTTGGCTAAATATGTACATTTTCTGTCCTCAGTGTCAGCTGCTGATGGTCCAGAAAGGAGTAAACTATGAAAAAGAAAAGCAGACGTTCAAGGACATCGGAGCCCTCTGGCCAGACCAGTGAGACATCGATGACAGTGAACTTAAGTGAGGAGAAGAGACCCACTGGAAACAGAGGGAGACCGAGGAAGACTGACCCAGTTACCACCGATAGTCTCTACAATGATAGTACTGCAAAAGACAAGGCTGCTGATATAGACTTCAGTGTAATTGCAGCTGATGACATACGAAAAGATCCAGACAGCAAGTCCAGACCTGCAGGTGAGAGGCTAGAAATAGTGAACATATATATAAAATAAAAATAAAAAAAGACAATGTCAAAATAGTTTATAGATCTCTTAATTCAATATTTAATCTTGTAACTGACATATCACAACGGCACTACTATCTGTCGACTGGGCAAGCCGGTCTGCTGATGGCTGGTATATCATTATAAAGTCACATTGTTGTTGTTTTACATTTGACGTAGTATGACAATTCCAATTGATGAAAAACAAAATGACTGAATTTGAGAAAACATTTTATTGAATAAATGCAGAGGCTAAATTATTGAGCTGGTTTTCAGTCCAGCTAAATAATAAAGATACAAGATGAATTTTAGGTCTGCTCTGAAACAAAGAAAACCTGTATATATCCTTTGTTTTGTGCACATTAAAATCTTTTGGTGGATTTGAGTGAAGTGATGAAAAGAGTTTTGTTGTTTTGGAAGTGGCTGTTTTAAGTAAAGTGGCTGTTTTAGATATGATATGCTGTCATTCAGGGTAGGAAAAGTGTGTTTTTATTTAGAAAAGATCATTGTGATATCAGCTTTGTAAGGGGCCAGTGATGTCAGTCATTTCAACATGTCATTGATTAGCCTGATTGACTGACCAACTGATAAATCAGTCCATTCCAAATGCTATGAATCAGTCCTGCAGATTAAGCTCCAATTCTTTGCCAATTATCTTTGCAGTTTAAAAAAAACACTCACTAGTTGTTTCTCCCCACAGGTCGACTGTCAGCTGCAATCTGTCGGCTCTGCCATGGGAAGTTCTCACCTCGCAGTCTGCGACATGCCTTCAACAAGTGGCCTCAGGACTCCATCGGCATTGTGGATGATGAGTCAGACTCTGTGGCTCAGTCGCCCCTTGTATTCTATTCAGACTTCCAGCAGTTGGTTGGTGTCCAGTTGGACCGTGACCCCAGGCTGTCAGAGTTTATCTGCAAGAAATGCCACGGCAAGTTCTACAAGTGCCATAGCATCCTGGTCAGGTTTCTGCAGAGAGTCAACCTCCCACCTGTAGGGAAAGAGAATCTCAAAAACCAGTGAGTTTGCTCTTTAAGTGTTTTTGTGATAGGGGATTTTATGGTGGGCTTTTTAAGATAATTAAGCAGGGATTGAGCATACGAGAAACTGTTTCTTTAATTTTCAGGAAGAATGCAAAGTGCTCAGAGCCCTCAGTTAACCATGCCTCAACAGGTAAGAAAAAGCTTTTCATTTTTGCATTTTCTTTTAATACACAGAACCCCGATTACTTCACTGTTAAAAATAACACATTCGGCTGTTTTGATCCTAGCACCACCCTCCTTTAGCTCGGACCCTAAGTGCCTCCACAGTCTGGTGTCCTGGGCTCACCACCATGGAGAGGGCTGTCGTTATTGCCCGGACCTGAAGGAGGTGCTGGAGGGTCAGTGCTGGGGCTCAGTGAAGGCTGTTTGGGGCTGTGTTGATGGTCACAGATATATCATGGACACTCAGTGCGCAAATGCCACAAACCCAGGGTACTCTCTGAACTTAAGCTCTGAAGCTTTAGGGAGGGGTAATGGTGAGGAAGTGATGTCAGAGGAGGAGGACCAGGAACAGGAAGAGGAAAATGAGGATGAGCAAACTTGCAGGAATGAAAGGACTGCAGGTGGGAGTTTGGCTCAACATAGTTCACCTTCAGCCCCAGGACAGACTCAGAGCTCAGTGATGGCAGACTGGACCAGCAACACTGAAGGTGAGACTGAGACCCCCTCAAAGAGTGAGGGAGAGCCGCTGAAGAAGTCACAAAAGAGTGACCTACAGTAAAACAATGTGATGAAGTTTAACATTTTTGCACCCTGCATTCACAATGAGCATTTCAACAGTGCAAAATAACTCAAATCTTAGTATTGTCTTTGAAGCAAGAAGAGAAAAAACTCCAAGGCGCTCTCTTAATAATAGGATTATGTAGACCTTATGTCTATGATTTCAAAAAGGAATATCAAGTTTTGCTTTATCCAACAACGATAATTTGTCACTTTGCCTTAGTCCATCTGACGTGGACGTAGGGGCAGAAAAGAGGTGCAGTTTTAACCTGCATGTGGGGAAGCAGTTCACTTAGTGATTTCCACTACAGAGTCATAGCTGTTTTTAATGCAGTGCAGCCCAAGGGCCCAAAGATCACAGCCATCAGCTATTGTTTTTTGATCTTGTTCCCTTTCTTGAGATTCACACTTTGCATGTAAGGGACAAAATCAGCAAAGAGAAAACAAGGATCACTTTCTTCCCCAAGGGGGCCCCAGGAAGTTCTTGATTTAGGAAAAAACTAATCTAGGTCCATATGCATGGTTACATTTGAAAGAGGTCTATTTTAAAAGAGGTCTTTTCTCATCTCAGAAGCCACTATATTAGCCACAATATCAGTAGACTTTGAGTTTCCCACCAGAAAAAACAATGGCTCATTAATAATTTTCCTTCATACATCATTGACTCGTGTAATGGTGGTTTACCTTGTTAGATTTCACAGGTCCTGAGGGGCCCCATGCTCTCATTGAAGCCCAACTACAGGAAAGAGCTGCTGACAGTGATCTGTCTGACAGGTTGGTCACACTGTTCATCAGACTTTCTTCTGGTCTTACAACCATCAGCTTGTTGGAGAACAGCTGTTTTTTTTTTTACTTTGCAGAGATAAACTTAAGCTTGGTAAAAATGCTAAAACAAACTTCTCTTACTGTGTGTGCAGGGTTATCTCAGAGGATGAGTTCGAAGAGGGGACGAAAAGAGGGTTGTCAGACGACGAGTTGTTTAAGCCACACTCAGACAAGAGGTGGGTTTAGATAACTTTTCGCACACACTTTTAATTCTATCCAAAACTGCAGAAGTAAAATGAGAGTGACTGCCTACATGTGTCTTCTCCTTCCTCCAGAGTTCGCACAAACAAGAGAAAAAGAAGCCCAAAAGCTCTGGAGGAGCCCAAAATCAGAAAGAAACCTGGACCCAAACCAGGCTGGAAGAACAAGTTCAAACCTAAAGGGTATGAGGATTTTATTCACACAGCTGAGGTCCTAGAATTTCTTCATTGTATAAAAACAACTCAACATGAGCTGAAATGAAATTCAGTGTTGAATCTTCTCCGTTAAAATAGAGTGGATTTGTTTAGAGCACTCATACAAACAAATGCATCATCCACTAACGGTTTTAATTCTTTTGTTGTTCTTTCATTTAAGAGAGGAGCTGCCCAACATTTACAAGTGTCCTTATCAGGGCTGCACGGCCGTCTACAGAGCTCCAGATGGTTTAAAGGTAGGACTTACCAGATACTGACAACATGCTCATACAGATTTCATATTTCTCTTAAAGATTTCTTGTCAGTTTTTCTTTTGACTCTGTCCCAAATGGAGGAGTGAAATTCAGATGCAAAGTGTTTACAGATAGTGTGAATCCTCATTTAGTGCATTTGGTTTTAAAAGTTGTTGTGATTGTTGGTAAATTCCAGTAAAAAAAAAAAAAAAAAAAAAAAAAAAAAAGCTTTTTTTTCTTCTGAAAGACCAAATCTTGTAAAATAAAAACTGATAATAAAAACTGAGAAAGAAGACATGAGTTTAAGATTTAATGATAATGTTGGTTTTAGATAGTTTAGTTCATGCCTGTTTCTGTCTCACATTCAAAAAGCAGCAATGATCAGACTAGTAATATTGTGTGTTTACGATTGAAGCTTTGTTCTACCCTCGACAAATGCATTTACCTTAATTTTCTTTGAGAAAACAAATAATTTGTGGTGTTTAATAAATTAATGCATTATTACTGTATTATAAGTCAAGTCAAAGTGAGGCATTTTGAATGTCTAGAGGGAAACTCTCATCCCTTCCTGGATACAGAAGATGAGGCCTAACAAAACGAGGGAACAAGACAGCGGCCTTTGGTCATTTTCAGTCAGACCCAGATCAAAGAACTCATGCACTCATACGACGAGTAAATAGATGTCTTTACCTCTGATCAAATGCCTGGTTTCTTCATCTGATGGTTTTTTTTTAGAAACACATCAAGGAACATCATGAGGAGATGAGGGAGCGGCCCTGTCCTCATCCTGGCTGTAACAAGGTCTTCATGATCGACCGGTATCTGCAGCGACACGTCAAGCTCATCCACACAGGTGAGCTCAATACAAAGATAGTCAGTGTGTTTTCAGAGGGTTAGTAGAGAATGAATGTGTGCTCCGCTTCTCTGTGGGTCAGCTAGCTTCCTCCAGTATTGTGTTGGTGATCCCCAATAACAGGATCCTGCAGTAACAAAGTTTGAATTATTGAAGCCACCGTATCTCAGTACTGTTATGTATACCATGTTAGATTGACTTGATTGATTGTTAGATTAAATAATGACTGACATGGTTAGATCTTAAATGTTTAGTCACAGTTTTCTAACATCCACATTCTCAATCTAATAAGAGTTTGAACACTGCAAAATAATTACCAAACAGAATTTGATGGTTTGCAAATAATTTTGACTCTATCCGTTATTAATAACTGCAAATTCAGCATGCCAAATATTATAACTGAATTCTGTCACTGTTGAACTACAAACTACAAAATGCAAATTTTCCAACAGCATTGCCCAGTAGTCAAAGACTGGTTCTGAACTGACTTGAAAACATTTGGTGCATCATGACAAAAGTTATGACAAAGGAGACCCTGATTTGTTAAGCAGCTGAATTCCTTTGTGGATTAAAGAACGGGACAAAATTCAATTTTCAAAACTCCAGAAACTAGATTCCAGGGTTCCCAAACCCTCTTTTCTTAGTGTATAAAAAGGAAGAGGTAAAGTAATGGGAGGTATTTGTAAACATGCCCCTTAACCCAACTGTTTCGAGGTCTGTTGCTGGCATCACATCTTTCCTAAAATAAATGGCAAAATGATCACAGTGAAATTCTTTGTTTTAGATGCACTTGGAGAAATACCGTCCTTGTTGTTCAAGGCTGAGGTTTTATTGAACTTTTACTTAATTCTCTTGCGTCTGTGTTTTTCTAGAGGAGAGGAACTACATTTGTGATCAGTGTGGCCAAACCTTCAAACAGAGGAAACATCTTTCAGTTCATCAGATGAGACATTCAGGGGCCAAGCCACTCCAGTAAGTACTGATCCGATATAGATCTATTTATTTAAAATAAAGCAGAAGTCTGAGGCTAAACGGCATTTGTCAAGATAAGTTAATATAAATATTTCAGTTTGAAACCAGGACAGTCTGTATTTGATGTTTTGCTTCTTTTTCTGCTCAGATGTGAGGTGTGTGGTTTCCAGTGTCGCCAGCGTGCCTCGCTGAAATACCACATGACCAAACACAAGGCGGAGGCTGATCTGGAGTTTGCATGTCTGATGTGCGGGAAACGTTTCGAGAAGGCTCACAACCTTAACGTACACATGTCTATGGTCCACCCACTGACACAGGCCGAGGCTCAGAGAGGCAGCACCCAACAACAGCAGCCGCTTTATTCTGACCTGCACACCATCACCCTGACCGGGGAGGTGGTTCAACAGGACCAGGACAGATGACAGCAGGGAGTCAGAATACAGATCTGCTATATAAGTACATCAACTGTGGGACAGGGACCAGCTCTGAAGACCTCTTCCATAGTTTCCATATTTCATTGTCAGCTCATGGACTCAGATGGGACCCTGTTTTGTTTCTGACTCCAGTGACCAATAGAGAACTGCCTCAGTTCTGTGTCAGTGTAGCATTTTTAGCTTAGCTTTCATGTCTTAATATTAAAACAACTTCTTGTCTTTAAGTTTGCTTAAACATTTATTTACTATTAAGAGGGTATTGCCCAAGCTGCTGACTGTTAAATTAACTTATAGGCAGCTCCTAAAAAGTATCAGGTGTTTTAAAACCGAGACTTTGTCATCCGGAATGCAATTTTCATTTTTGTTAGAGTAACATATTCTGAGGAAACCAGAAGAAACTTAAATATTGTTTTCCTCAAAGTCACCAGACTCTTTATTAGAAACAGAAACTTCACCTTGAACTTACCTGTTCTGCAGGTATAAATTACTTTTCTTTATTTTAATGGAGTCTTGCAGCTTTAAAGAGAGCGATGTTACAGGTATTTCTAGTTTTAAATCAAGTTCTTCTTTCATGTTGCCACTTAAATCCCACTTCAAGTTCCCACTTAAAATCACATCTTAAGCTGGAAATAGGAGAAACACTTGTAGTGGATGTTGTCTGACCAGGATTATCTTCTTTCATTACAGACACGCTTGTTCTGTCTCTAATAATGTGTTCATCCAAGCAGAGAGACTTCAGATACTAAGCCTCAAAGTGCGTCATTACCTCTCTCTGTTCCTCTTTGACGCTAATACCAATATTTTCTAAAAGAGAGGCAGAAGGGACTCCTTGTTATGACTTTGAAGTATGTCCAAACTATTTCCTGTAGAAACACCAAAATCATATCAAAGTGTTCAGGAACTCCTGACCACAATCTGCGTTCTTTATGATAGAAGCTGCCGTTTTTGTTAGGATAAGTCCAAATATGAGACCAGAGCCGAGGCAAAAAAAAAAAAAATACTCTCTTTTTCCTGGACATTTTGGCTGCCTTAGCCTGCAGTGTCTCTATCGTCATGGCAACCTGTGAGCCTCAGGCCAGGCCCACAGCTGAGACCATTTCACTAATCAGGGACTACTCAGACATCACTGCATCACTTAATCACTTTCAGATCAATTTGATTAATGATAAAAAGCTGACTCTCAATTAGAATCTCACAGGGGCAAATGCACAAAGGCGCTGGCTCCTATAGATGCCAATAGAGATGCTATAAACTTTACAGCAGGCCCCTATACAATAATTATTGTATAGTGGCCACTATTGTTATACTGTGGACTTTTTCTTATTCGTCTTCTAGACAAATTTTGATTTGCTACAAGTCCAACAGCCTAAAGAGTTGTAGGGCAAATTTTACATCAAAATGTGCGGTTTGATCAGGATCGGTGTGCTGTTATTCTCGACTGTATAGGAATTTTTTTGCAACAAAAGTCACAAAAAACTGGGAAAATTTTTGAAGTCTGTCTTTGAAGTCAACGGAACAAGCAAAAAAAAAAAGCAATTATTGGACTTAAAGGAATATTTGTTGTAGGTGTGTTCCTTGTATTTAAAATCACAATAGTATTAATTATTTGAAATCTCTGAAAATCTCATCATCATGTACACTCCCCGGCAGTAGCCCCCTTGACTCTATCAAAATTTCCCAGAGGGCATTTTCTAGTATTTTACTTACCTGATGGAGATGCCACAATTTCAGCCCCTCATCCTCGTGTAACTTTTCAAGAGAGCTTTAGGGATGCTCATCCTGTTAATATTCCAACTCCAACTAAAATTTACCTCACAATTTAAAACTTTGCCTGTGACATCCAACATTTTACATATTCAGGGCAGTTAAGGGTTAATGAGCTTGGGGTCACAGTTCCTTGGTCAGGACAGTGAGGATATTCTCTTATCTGAGGAAGTGTAGATTGATCAGATTTCTTCAGTCTGTAAATATTTTGGTGACAAACGCAGTTTAAAACAACTATAAACTCTCAGTGAGCTGCAGCTTTGTCAGAAATATACAGATTAACTCATGTTTCAGCTAACTGTGCAGCTTATCAATCTAAAGTTGTTTTTCAAAAGTTAGTCAATAATATTCAAGGCCATTTGTGATCTGATTTAATACTGCACTCAATGCTGATCATATTTAACTCAGCAGCTGTGGATTTTGTACCTTGTGAAGAAGCTTGAGGTAACTCACAAAGTGGCTTCTCTGAAGAAATGGCATCTAAAAAAATAAATGTTTCTGTATTCTGTGAAGACTTCAGGATTTCAACCTAAAAAGACAAAAAAAAAAAAACACTCAAGGTGCCTCTGTTACAGATCTGATGTAAATATGAAGTTGCACTGCCTGTGGACTTAATGGATCCAAACACTCTTTCTGATTTGTTGGATGAAGTGTCCAGTATCATTCAGCAGCAGAAGTCCCGTCAGTGTGAGTCCCATTATGCAAAATAGTAATAATGTAAAGCTGTGTGACCTCCTTGGAGGGCAGAGTAGTGAAGAATTATCTCCAGCATTGTTCAGCAACATTGTGCTTTTATTTGGTCACTGTTTTTACAAAATTATTACAATGCTGCGTTCTCTTTATAAGTTAACTTCTGTGTTGTAAACAGTGGTAAGGGCTTCAGATGTACATGTGTGTAAAAAAAACAAAAGTCCTGTGTGCATTATGTAAATAAAGTGAAGGTCCCTTTTTTTTTTAAACAAAAATGAGTTTAGGCTGTTTTTGATAGTTTGTAAAATCTGAACAATAAGGTAAGAGGGAACATGTTTCTGCTTGAGTGCAGCAGGTTAACAAATGAACAGTAAAGTACTTCACGTACAAACATTTTACAACAAAGTGGAAGTAAATGTTCTCTTCAGACGCTTTCCTAGCTTGAAAAGTGCGCAGGTGTTCAGAGAAAGTCCATTATTGGGCTTTGGCTGTTAGGATCCAGCTGCACAGAGAGAGCTGCTGCCACCTCTGGGTCCAGGTCTGCACACTGGGACTGCAGCTGGTCCAGAAAACACCAGTGAAGAGGAAAAGATGGAGGTTAGAGTGGGGTGTTTATTAGAGAAAATCTGAGCACAGGCCCACTACAGATGCACACAGTGTGTGGGTTACCTGTCTGAGTTGGCAGGAGGACAGAGCAGTCGGAGACATCTGTGATAGTGCTCTCAGGAGAAAAAGCTTGGCCTGCCTCAGTATCTGAAAAGGCTCCATCTGACAACGCAAATCACAGACTTAATGTCAGGAGTGTTGTCGCATCTTTAAATATGTACACAGACAAAAACAAAGACCTGAGGCTCTATCACCTGATGGTCAGACTCTTTGGCGGGCATGAGAGTGTGTCCTTCCAGAGATAGCTGCAGCAGACTGATGTAGCAGAGGACAGCAGTATGGAGGAACTCTGGACAACTCACAGCTCTCTCACACACCTCAGCTTTCTGTAGGAGCAGCAGGCTAAACACACAGAACAAATTTAAGAGGAGTCATTTTTGGTGCGTATGGACCTAATCTACACAAGGAAAGCTCAAGTGTTTTGTTTTGACACTGATTGGCTCAGATTTTTATTTTGAGTTTCTGGCGACTTGAACAAGGACTTTGAATGAGACTTTTATTCTGGTATGATATTTTTTAATCAGACATAACTGGTACACGACTCTCCTCAAAGCCACAAAACTAAAACTGTAACTTTATCCTGCAAAACACAGGAGTTGCTGTTTTACTGTGGTCTGTATTGATCTGTGTGTTTCTGTTGTTGTGTAACTTCCTTAACATCAACTAAAAAAGTGGGAATAATTGATTGTAGTAGCAGCAGGAAAGATATTGTCACTCACAGTCTGAAGAGTTCAACATTCCCTCTGTTCCTGTTTTCAGTCAAATTATATTTCTGTCCAAATTTAAGCACAGGTCTGTCTCTTTAGGAATCTGCTCCATGGCACAAAACCCTCAAAATAATAATGAATATAACTGAATAATGACATAATAACTATAATTTTACTCTCACTTTTTGTGTTTAGTTTTGGTCATGAAAGACTTTTAGGGCCACAAGAAGAGAAAAGAAATTAAAAAGTCAAAATTTCGAGATCAAAATTTTGACATTATTAATGACCTCTCAACATTTTGTGATCTCGAAATTTTGACTTTAATCTCAAATTTTAAATTTTTTTAATCTCAAAATTTCGACATTATTCACCACGTTTCGACAATTTTAATCTTGAAATTTCAAATCAAATCTCGAAATTTTGACTTTTTTCATTTTTACATGATCAAATTTTGACTTTAATCTAAAAAAATTTGTCTTAAATCTGTTAATGGATATTAAAAAAATCTCCCTCCTGTTATTATTTTTTTTCCTTTTGTGGCTCTAATCCTCTTTCATACTTTTTGGGGTGTGATTACAGTTAGCATTTACATTGTCTTTTATTGACGGATATGTGACGTTTTTTAACAGAAACACTTAGTAAAAAACAAACCTGTAGAAGGCCCAAGGCATCAGACGGGTGAACTCATCTGATGTCACCATGGTAACTGACTGGTAAACCCCTTTATCTTGAGCTGGGTAAAAATGCAGCCTGTTAATTATCTGGCAATGCATGTATTCACACAAAACAAAAATTATTCAATGCCAGTGCTTCACACAATAGCTTCAAACGAGTGACATAACAGACATTCAATAAGAAATACCATTTGGATTAAAAATAACTAGCCAGTCTGCAGAGTTCACCAACACTTGCAGGAGGTCTGTGCATAAAGTGCTGGCTTTCTGATGACTTTCCTCCTACAGAGATAATCACAGGCAGAGAAAACACAGAAAATTAATCCTACTGTAGTAGCAGCAGAAGATAAATATTTTCAACTTCTCATTGCCAAACCTAACTGTGATTTTTAAATCTTTTAAAAGGGCAGATACAGTTTGGTACAGGGGTGCAAGTGCATTTCATTAAAAAGGAAACAGCTTAATTTTTACTGACTCTTACATTTCTGCAAATAAATCAGAAGTTTTTTTGGCTAAGCATAGTTACCTGAAGAAACAGTAGTGTTGACAGATAGTCATTTACACTCAGGAAAAACAGGAAAACCAGCACCTGGAAGAGGAAGTGAGACAACAACAAGAAAAACCATCAAAGGTTTGAAAACATACAGAAAGACAGTGTTGGCTTTTCACAGCACAAGCATACACTGATCCACCATAACAGCTTGACCACCTGCCTGATGCCTGAAACTCTCTTCCAGTTAAGTGAGAACCAAAGCAGCCCTCTGAAGGTGTGCTGTAATATATGGGGCACCATGACTAAAGCAGTAGATCATTCAAGTCTTGCAAGATCAGACTTAATTGTTGAGCACATCCTACAAATTTTCAAATGGACTGCAATCTTACTAACTTAGAAAGCAAGCGATCACCTCAACCTTCTTGTTGTGTTCCTTAGGACCACTGTCTTCCATTGCTTCTATTGTTATTCTGTGTTCATTGTTTGAGCACCAAAGCACCAAGAAAAATTCATCATATGTGGTCAAAATGTTGCAGCTGGTCTGTGTACATCAAAGAACTTTACAAAAACAGAACAGAACAGAAAATAACATGACTGAGTTAAGTAACATTTTACTCTAACTACCATTATCACATTTATAATTATAAACATCATTTATGGAATATAGTTGACAAACTTCACTGACAGCAATGACCTGTGTGACTTTTACTACATCTCATCAGCTTTATATCAACTCTAACCTTCTCCACTTAAACTCAAAGTTTTATAGAGGTAGCATAAACACAGTTTCACAGACTTTTGGGTAATAAAACAGTTCTTTGTGCTCACTTGTTGGTTCTGTACGCCCCTCTCCACTCTCAGTGACTTTACAGCAGCGATGACTCTCTGTGTGTCATAACCAAAATCATGCCAGGCACGGTGCAGGCAGACAGCCAGGGGCAGAGCTGAGACTGCAGGCACTGATGAGGATGGCCAACCTTTTTCTAAACTGAGCACAACATCATTTCTAAAATCAGATAACGGCTTTAGGCAGAGAGCATACAGGGGGGTTGAAGAGAGCTGAATGAGCGCAATCACAGTATAAGTGGTACAAACAGTGCATGCTGAGGATAAGGTTTGGTACCTGGAGCTCCAGCTGTGACAGTCAGTGAGGATCTGCAGCTGTTCTGGTAAAGTTTCTCCATCACACAACCGACGCCACTGTGACAACAGCACTGGAGACAGACGCTGCCACCAGTGCTACACACACACACACACACACACACACACACACACACACACACACACACACACACACACACACACACACACACACACACACACACACACACACACACACACACAACAAAATTAGCATTAAATTCATTCCTCATTCAGGCCATCAAAGCAATAAAGCACTACCTATTGAATCTTCATTCATAATGAAATCATAAATTTCCTTATCTTATCAGCCAAAGCATTTATTTTGGGGTTAAATAACTTGAACTAAGGCACAATTTCTGAACATACATCCGTTAGATTCTGATATTCACAACAACTTATCTTGCCTGAGATTGGTTCTTATGTGAGAACATAATCCTCAAACACTCATGGACGTTCTTCAGCACCTTTCAGTGCAAATACGCTGGTCCTAAATAAATGTTTCCTTTGTTTTCCTTTATGTTGCATTCACCTTGTGTATCATTAAAGCATATGTATAATAACATGATTTTTATTCGGTTAACTTTTATTCCAATTTGACAAATGTGGTCCAATTTATAACAAGTGAAATTTTAGATTTAAATAAAGAACTTAGCAATTTTTAAATCAGCGAGGACTTCATAAAAGAATAATAACGTACTTTAATGTGTGGCTATTTAATGACTCTTCTCAAATGTACTTTTGATTAACAGTTTTTGCATTTGTATTAATGTTACTGCATGTGGACAGATCTGTATACTGATTCTCCATCTTCAGCTCCTGACGACTGTATTCATCATGTTACTCATCTGTCGTATCCCATAAACAGAATCACTCCTGTTATCCCACTTGTGGTGAATTTTTCCAAATAACTCCTTTTAGTGGGAGAACAGAGGAAAAAATAGTGGAAACATTTTGCCAGTGGGCTATTAGAAAACATTTTTGGTAAGAGACAAGGAAAAAGTTGTTGTTTGTATTCACATTTGCAGCAAACACAAAAGGTTTTGAGCGTATGTGAATACAGCATCACATTTGGAGTCATGTGCACTGAAAACCTGCACAAGCTTTAAACTCATGGGGACATGGTAGTAATCAGGTTAAAAACACAGGTGCAAACAACTCTGCAGTTCAAGAACAGGATCAGAAATCTGACTCAGACTTCCCAGAGAATCCTCTTGTGAACATAATTAAAACAAATCTAAAAACCATATTGGTGAATGAGGCTCAATGATTTGAGATTTTACACCTTTTGCTACCCTTTGTGTTTGTGTTATCCTGAGCAACAATCTAGAAAATCTTGATTGAAATTCATGCAAAAGTTTATATGTGATAAAAACGGAGACAAAAAGTTGATAAAGTTCATTGATGGATGAAGAGCAGGCATTACCACAGTGGAGATCAGGAGAAGGGGACAGTGTAGACTGATCTGAGACCAGGCTCTGCTGAACTCCTCTCTCGGACGTCCACAATGTACACTGGAACATAACAAACCCTGGGGGAAAAAATAAAGAAAACTATTGACCTTTATCCCTTAAGCAGAATACCCATGATCAGATCTGAGATTTACATGGATTTATGTTGAACTCGTAACATGATACTCACTTTCAGGAAGTGTGCTGTCAGATGGAAGGACAGCAAACCAGCTGGAAAACACACCAGCCTCTGCTCCATATAAAGCAAAGAAAAGGACATTTCTCAACCACAATTACTGCACAACTGATCAAATTCAGTCCAAGAATGTACGTACATCTATCTGGTTAAACATTTAATCCACTGACCTGATGCTGGTTGACATGTTCAATCAGCTTCTCACAGTCCAAAGTCGTCCTTCCTCCTTCTGTCTTTACTGGAACAACAACAGCAGCTGGTAGAGCCAACATCACTCTGTGACACACAAAAACAGCTGTCAGTGCCCGTACATTCCTCACATACATCAAAATGATATTCCCCAGTGTTTTTGTGTACCTGTTCCATGTATTCAGTGTGTGTTGCAGGCTGAGCTCAGCACTAACGCTGGTCGACATCGAGGTCTCTTTGGTGGAACATCTCTGACCCACGAACTCAAATAGAAAGTCACACACAGCTCCTCTTTTACAGCTGCCACAGAGATCGCTCACTTCCATCTCATACACAACCTCCTACACACACACACACACACACGCACAAACACAAATACAGACAACAACATCACAAAAATTAACAGTTTTTAAAAAGTGCCCCACTCACTTAAATTGTGAAAAACAGGACAGAAAAACCAGTCATCTGTGCTCAACAGATAACCTGTTGGCATCATTCAACCGTTGCATACACACCTGTAATCTGGACAGGATGTCTGGCAGACAAGTCCCTGTTTCTGACCCTCTGTGATGTGTTTTTTTAGGAATCTTGTTGCTGTTGACATCAAATTTTAAGAACAGTTACACTTTTCCGAAGGCAGCCAAAAAGAGTTTTATTCAAGAGATTAAACAAGAGATGGAAAAATAAAAAAACAAAAACTTTTATCACACCAACAAAGATATTAATAGCCATACAAGACAACACATAATAAACATCAAATAAAATCACTAGAAAGTATTATTAGAGGGATAGTTCAAACAACTCTGCAGCTTTAAGCTCCAGAAAGAAAAGAAATCTATTAATGTACTGTCTTGCTTTGGTAAATCCTTGATTCTTATTGGTCAAAATCCCGTGATGACAGTGCTTGATTTAACAACCTTACCAAAAACGAGACGCCAGTTATATTAGGCTATAAAGACTTTTTAAAAAGCATAAATACACACCTAAAGAGCTGCTGGTCCATGATGGCGTTAAGCAGATGAGTGCAGAGTTTCTTCATGTCTCCTCCACAGCCCCCCTGCTCCTCCAGAAGAGGAAGGTAGTGCTCCAAACAAGCCCACTGCTGGTACTCCTGACTGTATTCACACACACACACATGCACGCACGCACGCAGGCACACACACAGGGTTACTTTACCAACAAAATGTATTGTTTTGTTGCCTGTGAAGGTGTGCATGTTTTCTGTCTCACCGTTCTGGATCTGAGAGAGCATCTTCACCTCTCTGTACTTGGAGCTCATTGGCCAGCCATTCTGAAAACACCAACTAGACAGATAAAAGGATCAACCCATCATTAGTTTAATAGCATATAAATGACAGTGTAACAGCTGCTGATTTTCTCTGATGCTTGCTATGCACAATGCTGTGCCCCTAAAACAAGGTCCCATCAAAAAGGGAGGCAGTCAACCCAGTTTACCTGATACTGTGGTTCGTGTTGTAGCTGACTGAATACAGGGTGCCTCCACAGGTGCAAGGCAGTCTTCCTCCAGGTGTTGTTTGTGTCTGTGGCATTGCTCCACAGGCTGAGCAGATTCTCCTCATGGTGATCACTACATGTACCAAATCCCCCTCCAGCATTGATGGGAGCTTTTCTGGCTTCAGGCAGCAGCCGTGGGATGAGGTACAGAAGCTGAATAAAAATTTAAAAAAGCAGTTCCATGTTAAGTTTGAGTAAGAATGTCAGAGCCCAAAAAGCTCAGCACTGGTGGATATGATTTCTACTATTAAATGCTTTTTAACCAAAACTTTATTGTAACAAGTCAAAGTCTGTCCAGTAGAGCGCACCACGGCTCTTTAGCCTCTAATACTCTCAGCACTGTCTGTGGAAGATGAAGCAAAGGATTACATACAAGCAGATGGTTGTCTATAATGTACTTGATTTAAAATTATATATATTCAAATATAATTAAAATACTGTCTGAGGAATTCTGCAGTGGTTATGGACCAGGTTTGAAACACTACCAGAGGGCACACTGCTACACTTTTGTTTGTTTGTTTGTTTGTTTTTTGTTTGTTTGGTTGGCTTGCTTGTTGGTCAGTTAGTTGATTAGTTAGTTAGTGAGTGGATTAGTTAGTTAGCATTAGTTAGTAAGTGGATAAGTTAGTTAGTCGATTAGTTAGTTATTTAGTTACTTAGTTAGTCAGTTTGTTAGTTATTTAGTTAGTTTGTTAGTCAATTAGTTAGTTATTTGGCTAGTTAGTCGATTAGTTAGTCGATTAGTCAGTTAGTCAGTTAGTTAGTTAGTTAAATACTTTATTGTCAAAATCTCTTCTGAAATTTAAGCTACTTGTTACTTAACCAAAAAGAAAACAACATAGAGCACAATATAACACCAAACAAACATCAGACACTGTCTCTTTAAATAATAGTAAAAACATTAGAAAAATATAACAAGCAATCTTCTAAGAACCTTTGCTAAGTCATGTTAGTACCAAAAACAGAACACAATTGACCAAAAAAGGGTCGCATTTAATTTCAGTTCAGATACCTTCTTATAGAGGCTGTTGGGGATGTAGTCATGCTGTTGTTGCTGAGGTAAAGTGTCTCTTCTGCAGATCCCATAACACAGAGCTGCCACACAAAACCTGGATAGCACCAAAAAGACAAAGAGGAAATGTGGCGGCCAGCACTGGTATCAATAAAAGGGCACCAAGTAAATAACATAACAACATGCTGTTTGTAACCTCACCTGACACAGAAGAACATGTCAGCCTGTGTGCTACAGACCAGTGCTGAACTGAGAGCTTCTCCAACAGGTACAAGCTTAGGCAGGACATGTGGGACCAGCCGAAACTGAGGACTGAGGGACACTGAGGTGTGCAGGTGGACCACTAATGCTGCTAGACCGAGTAAGTGTGCTGCACTCAGCGATGAACCCTTTCACACAAAAAGAGTCCAACAGCTTCAGTGACGAGGAAATAAAGCAATTAAGGAATAAAACAAGAACTGATACAGGAAAAGCGTAGACAAGAATATGTTGCAGATATATTTTGAAAAACAGATGCAGAGCTGTGTGTATTTATGAACCTGATTATGAAACAGGTCCCAGAGCCTGTGAGAGAGGCTGGAGAGGAGCTGTGTGTTACTCAGCAGCATGCTGACAAACCTGGAGGCCCATGGACTCTGTCTGCAGAGACAGAGAGTTTCAGCATGAACAGAAGTGACTTCATGGTACCATAAATCCTGATACTACAGAGCTGTGCACAACACTGTGCACTAAGAAATGTATTACAGAGACATTATTTATCTTTTTAAGTTATAGCTTTATGATATACTCATCAATAACTGGTATCTTACAGCAACAGATAAAAAGATCGGGAAGATTTTGTAACAATGAACTTCTTTAACCACTTTCCAAAGTCCCGCCTGCTAAAAGATAAGTTCTTTAATGTATGATATTTTTTAACGACTTAAACAGCACAGAAGCACAAGCAAAAGAACTTCTAAATCTGATTTCTGTTAAACCTTTATTTAACCAGATAAAAATCCAATGAGTTCAAGATCACAAGGGTGACCTGGCCAAGAGGTCAGCAGGACACGTCATAATTGAAAGTTGACAATTTACGGTAAGTTAAAATGCACATTTTTTGTGAGTGCGGTTCAGCATGGAGTGAAAGGCCCCGAGTGAAATGAGCTCTGATTTACTCTGATGTAATTAGGTGTTTGTTTTTCAAAAATATATGGCTGAGAAAACATGGAGCCAAAAAAGGTCATCTTATTAGCAGGGTTACAGTAAAAATATTTAAAATGTAGCTACTACACCTGTATTAAAATAAAAAAAATAGGTTCATTTGGTCACTTTTTTTCCATAACAGTTTCAAACTTAACAAAAAGTTGCAATACTCACTTATTGGGAGGGTTTATCCGTGAAGTGTTTAACAGACATTGGCAAAAGTTTCTTAGGATCATGTTGACAACCTGGTAAGACAAAAGACACACTCATGTATAAAACACTTATAATACTGTTGAACTGAATGCCACCTGAAGAGAAGAGCTGATATAAAAACATATGCAGAGTTTACTTTGACATGAAGCTCAGGAGACGGTGGAGGGTCCATGTGAAGATCGATGACTCTCCGTCCTACAGACTCATTGGGACAGCCGGGGAAGATGACACTCAGAGTGTGCGAGATTCTGGACAGCTGTGCCGACATCTCTGACAACACAGAAAAACATGACAGGAGTCTCTATGAAGGATTCAAAGAGTCTGCACACGAAATATGTATTGTAATATTGATTTGAGGCCATATCGCCCAGCCCTACTTTGAGATAACTCGGACCAGAGAGAGGACCGCATAAGTGTCTCTTACCACAGAACACACACAGGATGTGTGGGTGTGTCTGTGTGTTACTTGTTATATCTCTTCTCCAAATATCATACCTCCATCATTCCCCTCAGCAACCAGCTCAGTGAGCTCTTGCAGCTGAATCTTCAGGATCTCTACAGGATCATCACTTGAGTCCAAACACACAACGCTCTCTGAAAACAAATAAAGTTGGAACACAATATGGTTTGAGCCAAGCACATCTTTGAATCATTTAATCTTTGTCATATTTTTATTTCATTCTTAGCACAAAAAATCCCTGGGACTAAAATACATCAGTTACATAATCTGAGGAGACAGATACATATTTTTGGAAAGAAGCAACAAACACAGATACATTATGGTCAGTTACATCGAGTACTCACTGTCCTGCTGCCTCTGCTTCTGGCATTCCTCCACATAAGATGAATATTGTGCAGCAGGGATCTTATCTGCTCTGAAAAACAGACAAAAATGATAGTAAAAACCCTGAATAATCGTGCAGTGCAATAATCTGTGCTTTAGTTATATTGGTAGAATACAAAACTAACAAACTGTTGGAAATACAGGGCTGTAAAATATGACTTTTTTGAGAGGATAAACTTTAATATGGGGATGGTAAAATAATGTTAAAGAATGTCTGTGATGTTGAGAAATATTATAATTCTCTGATCGTATTTATAAATGTGATAAAAACTCACTTTTTCAGAGCTTCTATGAAACTCATTTGAGCATCAGCTTTGACAGGCAGCTGTAAGTAAAAGAAAGGTAAACTACAGCATGTGACGTAAAAACATCTGATAAATCGCCAGCTGAGAGTTTGTGCATAAAGTGCAGAATAAACAAAGGTGAAGTCTCTCACCACTCTCGGTGTCAGCAGAGCAGGGAGGAAACGTGTGAGGAAATAAGGCCTACGGAAAATGCTGGTAGGAGACAGAGACAGAGGTGTCAAAACCCTGTTTATGTCTCCATTTGGTGGAATATATCGACATTCAGACAGTGACGAGAAGTGCTTCAGAAAAGGAGCTGATAGCCCTCTGCGTACCTTGCCTCCAGGACTGTGGCAGAGATTTTTCCTGTGCTTTCAAACAGAGACACGGCCTTCTCCACATCCTGAGCAGCCGGGCACTGAGCAGAAAAACACACAAACATTTAACTGTTAGAGTGTTTGTCAGAAGATTTAACAGAAGTTGAGCAACAACACTGAAGAGAGGCTGTTTTTCTTTACAGTCCTTTTTCTCAGTTTTATTTTACACCAGACTGTCCTTCATTTGCCACTGTTGGTTTTTTTAACCTCACAGCTGTATACCAGTATGAAAGTCCACCGTTTCAGAGCATTAAAGTTAGTGCCTTAACAGAAGAGTAGAGATAAGCATTGGTAACCCTTTCTTTTACGGTACAGTTATTACCATGTAATTAACATGTAATTACCTGGTAACAACATGAAATTATCAGGTAATTACATGATAACTACTAAGTCAATACTGTCTAGCTACCAGGCAGGTTACCTTCCATCATCATACAAATTTGAAGCCGAATTGCTCTGGTATTTCCAGGATTTTCCCCGCCTCCTGAAACCACTTGCGCAGTAGCATTGTACGCATTCAGCGGGTGTCTTTGCACGCCCATAGGTTGTAACAAGTGTCAATCATAGAAAATAAGAACCCCAAATAGCTTTTGAAAATGGAGCTGCACAGAAAAAAGAAAAACTAGACAGTGTTGACTTAGTAGTTATCCTGTAATTACCAGATAATTTCATGTAGTTACCAGATAATTTCATGTTGTTACTAGGTAATTACCTGTTACTTACCTGGTAATATGTGTACCGTAAATGAAAGGGTTACCTAAGCATTTGATATCAAAGCACTGAAGCTTAAATTACTAAAAAGAACTGCACTGTTTCAGTCTAAAATAAAAGAGCTGGTATTAAAGATGAAATACCACATGACTCTAAGGCTTTAAAGGTTTTACTAAAGGCTTGATAATAATAAAAATAAGAGATGTGTTTTGGTGCTTTAGTTCTTTGGACCATCATTAAGGAGGGCTGTCATTTGTTCCCAAGCCACCAGATGTCACTAGGTTCACTCAGTCTGACACTTCAAAGCTCCACGTTTTTCACCACTAATTAGAAGAAAGCTTCATGGGGCTTCATCAACCCATCTCACACATACCAGAAAATAAAATCATGACGCACTTAACAAAAGGTATTCAAAGTGAGAAGGATATTTTTTACTCAAACCACAGAGGATTAACAGAAAGCAAAGAAAGCTTCTGTTGTTTTCATTTTTTATTTGTCACTATCTTTCCAGATGGTTAAGCTCAACTGTTGTCTTAAGCAAGCGGTAATCTGGATTATTTGACAGTGGTTTTACATAACCCTCTTCAGAAAAAAAGTATCACTGCACACTCTGACCTCCCTCAGTGTTGTTGGTCATGTGTTGAGATTTATCTTCAGCTGTTTGTTACAATTAAACCTCAACAAAGCACAGTTACAGTGTGAAGATAATTATCTGAAGACAAAAGAAGTTTTCAGTTTGGCTTTTCACTGCAGTTCCAGGGCCAAAGAGCAGTCGTGCATGGCATGCAGAGGAACACTAAATTACACAGCTAAGAGAATCATTCTGAGTCATTTACTCCAATAAAACATCCATCAACTGATGTCTGCGTATGGGTTTATTCATGTGTGTATCCATCCCAGAGCTCTGTAAGTTAACAACTTAGTTCAGTTTTCTGTTTGATCAAGTCTTGGATACAAATTGGCGACAAACTAACCTATTGTGCCGACACTGATGCCGTCTGCATAATGTATTAAAACAAAAGAGTTTCAACATAGATGGATCACTCTAATAACATTTGTTCAACTTTTACTGGGTCCACTTTAACTTTGTGAAGATCTGTTGGCTATAGATTGTTGGCGTTAACCTTCACGGCCATATTCATCACCTTAGAGCCACTCAGAGGGTAAAGGCTGTTCTTTAAGACCCTCGACTTCTTTTTATGCAGAGTTTAGATTTCTGCAAACATGGAGGGAGGTCATTTACATTCAGAGGGTCAAATCAAACAAATATACTCAATTATTTGTTACATCAAGAGTTATGTTTTTGAAATATATGTATTTTAATGTCAGTTTCTTGTCCTTGTAGTGCTTGCATGGTAACATAATGCCGTTTTCAAGCAGAAAATTAGAAGAAAGTTAAGATTTCTCTCTCCAGTGCAAATTACACTTTTCCTTTTTGCATCTGTATATTTTGTTGTATTATTTTTTAATTAATCATTCAGTTGTTGAAGTTTCTGGGTTCCGGATATTATTTGAAGCCTAGTGAATGAAATGTTTGTTTAAATTGTCTTTGCCATTTCTGTGGGCCAAGCTGATCATGGGGACTTACCACAATAGTCTGTCTGAAGTCCTGGATCATTTCTAAATGACAATAACGCTTAAGAACTGAAGAATACAATCAGTACACATACAAACCACTGGGTGTCACTGTTACCTGTGCTGTTGCTTCACCTGCAGCAGAAACAACTTCGTACAATCCCATGTCCTCCACAGATTCCTGCAGAAACCAAACAAAGTCACTGGTGTATTCTTCTAATCTCCTTAAAATCTAAAATAACAGCTGATAATAAGATGTTGTATACTTCAAAAAGAACCTTTGGTTTGAGCTCTGATTTACCTTGAGATCAGCCAATCTGGTCTTAGCCAGAGAAATGTACTCCATCAGGAGGCTGCGGTGCTTCATGGGCACATATGGAGGGTGCAGGATGTGAATCTGTCAGGTGAGTGTGACAAAGGAGGCTAAAATTCACTTCTGTATTTCCAAAGCCTTATCTAAAGATCACACTGTAGTAATCTGCTGTCAATATTTTAACATCTCCCCCTTTTGTTACTGTCACTGTTTGCTGTTCAAGTTTAACCTCAAATGCTTGTGAAAGGTTCATTTTTAAGCTCATAACTAATCAATTGAGTTATGACAGAGAGAGAGAAAACATGCAGAACTGGACCTTGAGGTGTTGTGGGGGTTCAAACGGCACCAAGTCTGAGAGGAACTTCAGCAAAAACACCAGAGATTTCTTACTGGATGCATGATAGCTGCTGCCCCCACCAAAAGACAACTGAAGAGGTGAAAGGAAAAAAGAAAAAAAAGAAAAGAAAAGGGAGAGAAAATGAAAGTCAAGTTCAACTTAACATTAGAAAAACTTTTGCTTTGTAAAGTTCGGTTACTGCAAGAAAAGCTCTGATAAAGTATAATAACAATGAGTGAAATGCAAGATCAGAGTTATAATACATAACAACCACACAGACACACAACCCCATCCTCTTTCGTTATTCTCAAACCAAAAAATTAACTTACATTTTTTTTGTTTGATCGTTCCAGGCCTCTGCTGTCAAAGGACAACTTTTCTAAAGATTTAACTCAGGATTGTGCTCAACAGTAAATGGATCGTGATCATGTAAATTTATATGAATGCTTAAATTCTCCTTCATATAAAGCCAAATGTATGTTGAAAAATGGTAAAACAGAATTTATCAGGATGATATTTATATCTTGGAGGCAACAATCCAAACAAATTGCTGGAGTTTAAACGCAGTTATGAACCTTGAACCAGTCGCTGTAGGATGGGAATATTGCGGGTCCCTCCAGTGCTGCCTGCCGAGCCAACAGGAAGGCAGTTATCATGTTCTCCAAATCATAGGCTTCAAATGCTGAAGTCAGCAGCCTGGACAACAGTTCTGACAGAAACAGAGAGGAAAAGCTGGTTAAGAATATTCAACAAGATTTCAGCTCCTTTTCAGAAGAGGCTGAGGGGATCTGACTTCTGTGCAGGTCTGTATGTCATAAGTTTATTTCACCACATGTAAAGAGTGTCTATTCAGGTAACAATGCATTTCATCTCATTTTCCTTTTGAGAATTAGGACCAACTTTAGGACTCAAGACTAATCAAACATTCATGAGTGTGTACCCGTCAGGCTGGACTGGGCACTGGGGTTGTAAACCAGCAGAGTGGAGAGGAAACACAGGACGTGTTTCCAGTTGACCTCATGGGTTTCCAAAACCTGCTGCAGGTGACTCAACAGCTGCTCCATGCTGAAGATCACTGCCAGCTAAGCAGGAAAAACAACAACAAAAACAGATGTTTACGAGACTTTCTGCTGACCACGACTCTGAAAACAATGAAACAGCACTTAATGTCCACACTGCAAAAACTCAAGCTGTACCTTGCTGATAAAAACATCATAATAGACGTATCAATATTCGTACTTTGTTACTGCCTAAAGCCCAAAATGATTCGCCTGCAGTTTTTATTTTCATAGTTCATAACATTGAATCTGTGAGGGGCTCAGTAAAATATTTAATGTGTGATAACGGTGTCCAACAAGAAGTGCAATATATACACAAATATTAACGACTGTATTTAACTTCTCAGTCCCTGTTCGTCATGTTTTACTCCACGCCCGTGTGTGTCTTCTCACCCCCTTGAAAACCAAAAAACAGGATTTTTTCACAACTAAATTGAGACTAACAATAAATGACAGTGAGTCATCATGACTGCACTCTGGTCTATAAGCCAGAGAGGGATGTGAATTCAAGATATCTGTTGCATGGAAAAATACAAGAGTTTCACCTATGTTTTTTTTCTCATGACAGGGGAGTCTTGCACAGGAAAGTTCTTTATTCGTGGCATAACAAAAGCAAGTATAACATTAGCTGCACTAAACAGTAAAAAAAAAAAAACAGCATGAAAAAAGTCATAATTACCATGAGAGGTCACATTTTTAAAGAGGGACAGAAACACTGACATGTCTGTGTCATCATGGTCTAAGGAGGGCAAAGTGGTTTATTGACCAAAGTACTTCAAACTATCAAATAGGGTTTAAAAATCCTGGAGACATTTTTACTGACTTTAGTAAAAGTCCTGTTAATGTCGGCAAATTTCTAAGTCATTATGAGCCATTTACCTTACGGAAAAGAGAGGTCAATAACCGGCTGGTTTTTGCAAAGGTCCACTTGTTTTGCAGAGTGATGGCATCAGACACTGAGGACACACAATACAGTTTCTATGTTCAGGATTTTCAGGAAAAAAAAAAGAGGCAAATTGTGTCAGGTGAGAGAATGTGTTGTCTACTTATTTTTAAACCTCCAAACCTGTACTTTCTGATTCCATTTTAGGTTCTTGTCTGTCTATAACGTGTCATTACCTGTCAGCCGAGGCTTGTAGGTCAGAGAGTTTGTGAGAGAGTGTCTGAAGAAACGCTGAAGGGCATCTGCTGATGCTGACACTCCACACAGCGAGGCATCAAATATCTGAATCCTGCACAAAAAAACACAGGACAAAGGAGAGAGGAACACAGACATGGAAATAATTCAACACTCTTAAAACTGATAAGTTTAGCTAAAGCAAATCATCCCGTGTATGACAATGTTGGAATATTCATGAAAAACTTGAGAGTAATGGTGCATGTTTGTGAAAAAAAGCACAAAAACATCCCATGGCTTTTTCAGTCACTCAAGTCAGACATCAAGACTGGATGTGCAGTGTTGCACCATGAATGGCATCTTTCTTCAACTACCTCCCCTCTTAAATCAACAGTTTTTTTCAGCTGCAGACAGAGTCAGGTGTTAGTGACAGTGTGAAGCTTGAGACTAGAGTCACTGTTGCACAGATCCAAGTGAACAGAAAGTTATCAGAGGTGCTGGGTGTTCTATTTCACAGTGGCAGCAGAAATGTTCTCACTTTGGTGTCGCTAGAAAACAAAATCATTACCCAGTCTGCTAACACAGACTGTTCAGAGTCTGAAGTGTTCTATTATATGTACTGTGTAAAGTTAGCAGATAACATGTCTGAACAGAGAACTTTATCAGAGGCACCTTTCCTTTTTGAATTATGAAAAAGATTAAGTACAAGTAGGAATGAGATTAAAATCAGACAACCTGCGTCAAAGGACTCAGAAAAGGTTTCTGTTTTTGTCATGATCACAGACTGTGAAAAAAGGGGTGGACAGGGTTGTCATGTGACTCACCTGTAAACGGACTGAAGCCTCATTTGAAGTCTCAAGTTTGGCATTTTGGCAACCAATCTTTGTTTTATTTTAGCCAAACTGTCACTCCAAAAACATAAATAAGGGCACACACGGCTGTGTATCTTTCCTGATTTTTGTGTCATAATTATTTTAACTTGTCAATCACAGGTTACCATGTCAACAGCACATTGTCTTCACTGTATGTTTAGAAAGGACAAGAGCAGGTCATAGTCCATGATTCATCCGAATTCTTGTAGTATCCTGTCTTTATCTTCATCATAGCAATGTGAATCTGGGAAGCTACTACACCTTACTGCTGAGTTTAAAGTTTATTGTCGGGCAGAAAAGGTCCCTTGCTAGTTAAACTACTTTAGCTCAATGATTAAACCTGAAGAAGAGGAACTTTAAAAAAAAAAGAACTTTAAATCAGTTTGTAAGGCATGCCCCACAGACACTCAATTTTGATAGCTTATTCAGTCACGCACAAAAAACATGAGTATCAGTTCTGTCCCTGATTTTCACAATCGGTGGATCTCTGCTTGTCGTGTTTGAACACAAGTTTCCTTATTCAGCAGGAAGCCTGAATTTCAACAACTCTGAAGTTAATAAATACTCAAGTACCATAGCTCAGGCCCTGGTCCTGCAGACTGAGGGTCAGACTGACTCTCTTCCACAGTGTCGAGAAGCCCTACAGAGGACAGACACAGAAAAACAATATAATGTTTAAGAGCAAGACAAAAAAGGAAAGTACTGAAATAATACCAAAGGAAAAATAACATCCATGCTCCAGAGGTGTGACAAGAAGTGCTTTTCTAAATATTTCATTATCACAGGATAGGGTAAGTGGGACAGGGCTTCATATACTCACAGCAGAGCATGTCATCCAGCATGGAGCTGCAGAGCAGGGAAGTCCTCCTCTCTGCAGAGACTGAGTCATGGCTCTGTTCAAATCCCACTCCCACCAAGACTCCAACCACAGCTGAAATGCATACGATCTTTGATCAGATTTATCCTCAGATGTAACATAAGTTTGACACTCTACAGAAAATATTGCACATTTGTTGATGTTTTGCAAGCAAACATAAAAAAGGGCATCCATGATTCCATCAAATTATTTCTGCCGTGGGACCACAAAGGTCTGACATTTACAAAACTAGTGGTTCAGGATCTACAGTAAAAATGAAGCAGCTCAACTAGTCTAGCTAAAAAAAAACTGCTTCAAGTTCATTAATCAGTGAATCAGCCCACAATTTGAATAAAGCAAACTCCGACAAGAGATTTATTTCTTACTCGACAAAACCTTCCACTGAACCTTCCTGGTCTCATCTTCTTCTTGTGGAAATTTGCAGCTGCACAGAGACTTCAACTGAGACCCCAACCACAGCCTCACCCCTTCATCACTGCGAGGAAAAATACAAGAAGAGGGAACAACCGAGCAGCATGTCGAAGTTTAAAGATGTCAGCCAGGTTTTGAAGTTTGATTATGCTTCTTCGTTGTTTGGAGCTCACATCTGAGTCTTTCTGTGAGCTGAACATGAGGAAAAATTAAAAAACAGCACTAACTTTGTCCACCGAGGGGCGTTCTGGCAACAAGAAAGACACTCAAGTTTGTGTGTGTTTTGTTTTCTGAATTTAGCAAAGTTTTTTAAGGTGACATATCTACAAATTCATTAATGTGACTTAACCAGCTGTATATTTTAAGGGTTGATCCTCACTTTCTTAAATTAAATACGACCCAAACAAAGAAAAAAATAATCCAGTTTTTGAACAGTAGAACAAAGGGAGAACAGATGCAGCTTATTTAACTACTTTCATTGTTTAAGAGCTTTTTTTTGCAGATCTTGCAAGTCGGCCCATTATTATAGGCCCCTGCCAATCATTTCCTGGCGTTTTCACATTAAGGCAGATTTTTTAGGTTAATTCTGACCCTTAGCATCTATTTTGATTGAAACAAGTGAAGAGGAGAGGAGAGGAGAGTAACACCAAATCAAACTGGGATCAAGTATCAATCCTAGAGCCACAAGGACTAAAGCTTCTGTATACGGGGCCTCTGCTCCACCAACTGAGCTAATCTGGAGCCTCAAGTGAACTATAATTCTTAGTCATATTAATAAAATGCCAAAAATTGCAAGTGAACAAGCAAATCCACAAAAAGTTAAAATATTAAAAGTCATCAACATACACTGACTACCCAGTTTATTTTAGTATCTGGTGGCGTCTCAATCAAAGTGCCATCTAAAATATGAGGCCTTTCACAAGTTAAAATGGGACTTTGGGAGATGATTCGTGGACTTAAATTTTTAAAAGATCTCTTCAAGACTCTTAGAAAGGGCCTTGATCAGCTGAATAAATACAAACAGAGCTTTTATTTAATCATGTGGCTGTGAGATATCACATCAAGATGTGGATTAGCTTGTTAAATGTTGAATATTTAGTATACTCTACCATGATAAGAGTTTGAAGTTGGTGAAAAGGATGTTTCACCATAGTGGTTTCCTTTTTTTATTCCTTGTTTTTTCTTGAATCCAGCTCTCTGTCTCATTCTAAAGTTCAACCAACAGCTTCATGAGTTTAATTCATGTCCATGATTTACCTCTCCAAAATGTGCTTCAGGGTTATGACGTTGTGAAAGTGAAGCTGGTACACAACCTCCAGGTTGGGTAAACTCTGTAAAAACACAAAGTTACTGGTAAAAACTTATTTTTTACAGTCATTTTATTATGTAGGGGACTCAAGCTGATTTTATTTTACCACAGGTCAGTAGTAAAGATTAAATATGAGTGAAAGCTCTGCCTCGTATATCCAAATATAAACTGTGTCTCTAAAGTAAATCACAAGAATCCTAAAATATGAGGGTCAAACATATTTGTAGGTCTCACAAACACACACACACCTGATCCCTTCTGTACTCCTGCCAGAGGAGTTTGGGGCAGAGGACTCCCTGTGACAGAAGTTCTCTGCAAGTGTCCAGCAGGGCGCACAGCTGGGCCTGCAAAGAGCAACAAGAGTGACAGTTTTACAGTTGGAATTTTGTATTTGACATACCAGTTGAAATGCTATGAGAAGAATCCTGCAACAATAAAAGTCAAAACCCGGGTGTTGACAGCAGTTTGTAAATGTTAAACCATTTATAGAACAATCTGCCAACAGACCTGCAGCACTGATGAAAGATAGCATCAACTTTCAGCTGGTAAAACCAGTTTAGCATTTGACAAGAGCTGAAAAAAACCTACAGAAACTTCACTTCACATGAAGCTGATATCAGCCATTGCCTGACAACTATCTGTTGCTAAAAGGCCACGGTCAGTAAAAAAATGTATTTTCTATTCAAAGTTAATTTACTATTCAAGAAGATCAAGCGCTGCAAAAAGATCAAAAATGGCCCTGGATAGAAAAAAATTCACAAATCTTTGAAAACATTCAGATTTTAATGTCTAAAAACAGTAAATGGGTTGACACGTTAACATTAAAAAATCTTTGAAATTCAACGTAATGTATCATGTGTAATTCAGGACTCGCCATTACAGGAGCCACCGTCGTTCATCGATGTAATGAACAGTCATGCTTTTGGTTCCCCTTTCTTGGTCTGTCTGGGCATAACCATAATCCTCTTTTTTTTTACTTTACGCAACTTCTCCATTTATTTGGTTTATTGCACTGATGGTGATGATGACAATGGTGGCGATACGTGAAACTTAATTATGAGGACATTTCTGAATTTTGCAGAATCGCTTACACTCTGAGTGACAAGGGCACTCAAACAATCAACTGTAAACTGTTCAGACTCATGAGCTTTGGAGGCTGTTGCAGATCAGCAATTTAGCAGAGTTGGATCACTGATGAAATGAGTGCAACTCATTAATTAGACAAGAAGTTAAATATGCTCTGTCAGTTGATTAAGAATATGAAAAATTTAATTCACTCTGAGCTTATTTAGTGTTTCAAGATTTTTTTCTATTTCAAATTTGATATTGACCCACAGCCACAATGTAAAAATACATACCCCAAAATATAACAGTGGTTTTGTGCTCGTTATCATGAGTTGATTATCTTATATTAACAAATCTTTCACCATAATTTTGGATTTACAGTCTAACTCAGGATGAAGTTTCTCAATCATATTGTTGAATAATTTCAATCACAGAACCTGAGAACAGAGACACATAAAATACTAAAATTTCATTAGATGATAACAGATTGAGTCAAGACTGCATTTTAGCTTACAGGTGCAGCATCTTCTGTCTTCACCATAGACTTGTTTTTTGCATTCACCACAGCTGCTTAAGTGTGCATTTTGGGGGGTAAAGGTTTCGGCCTGTCATGCACTATGCAGTCCTCAAGCAGGTGGCCTGGGTTTGATTACAACCTGATTTCTAATAATACTCAAAACAGTCTTATGTCTTTGCACATGAAATTCAAATTTGTGTTTACAGACATCTCTCATCCTACCAACAAACCTTGACAAGACTACTCGTTTGATTTTAGAGGCTTTTTGATCGGAAAAAAAAAAACTTGTTTGAGCATTGATTTAATTCTTCATCAGAATTACTCCACAAAGATTTATACCTCCCTTACGTCAGATACTCACTCTCTGAGAGGGACAGAGCAGCTCTCTTCTCTTGTCCTCTTCCTCCTTCTCTTCCTCAGTTTGAGTGATCTCCATCAGTCTCTGCAGCACCATCTTTACTGACACCCCTACAACAGGAACACCAAGCTGTGCAGCCTGACGCCTGAGCTCACACACTTTCCACAGATGACACAACAAATTCATTTCTCATCATCAATTTAGCTATGCCTGCTGACTCATATGCAAGATGTTGCCTAGTGCACACAATACAAAACAAACAGAAAATCCCTGTTGGCTTGTTCACAACTGAGAGTCTGCATGAAACACTCACCAAGCAGTGAACCTGCGAAAGAAGCCAAGACGTCTTTGGACTTTTCTTGTTTCTGTATTCCAGCCTGTGACTGGAAATAAAGAGAAGATTCATTTAAAACACAACGGTAACAATCACGAACCACTGAATTCAAATACATCACAATCTATCAGTTCCCATTTCTGGATAGTTTCCAGTAATTCTAGGAGAAATCTGAACATCATGCAGCTTTTGCAAACCTTTTGGAGCATTCTTCAGTTTCTTGTGCATGAAATATTCAACCAAAGGCAGTACTGTGAATCATAGAAGCTGCATGCATTCATACATCCTACTGTAACATTAAACAGTCCAAACCATTTATGGTCGCATGTAAACAATTTTGAAGTCAGGCAGTTGTTTGTTCTGAAGGCGATGTTAACTATTAAAAGCCACCTTGTCAACGCTCAGATTTGTAAAGAGTATCAAATGATTATTATTAGGGGGACACCAATTATGCAGCTTGGTCAATTATTGGGGCAAATGTCCAGCTTTGGCTGATTATCGACATTTACCTTTAAACAACAGGGCCAAAAACAATAAAGAAAAAGTGTTCTACTTTGGCTCCACTGCTGCTGCGTCTCTCAACCTCTAGGTCTGTTTTCTTGCACCACATTACCCCACAAGGGGCTAGAAAACACACAAAAGTGTGATGTAACTATATTGTGGGTATAACTTGTCAACTGTTATCTCCTTTACATGAAGAAGAAGAAGAAGAAGAAGAAGAAGAAGAAGAAGAAGAAGAAGAAGAAGAAGAACTTTATGATTTTGAACGATTAAGTTTAAATTTAAAAAGTTACTTGAACTATATAACCTGGGTTTTGTGTTGAATTTATCTTATTAGGGTAGGTACAAATAAGCTAAATAGCTTCTACCTACTCCTTTTCGATCTCCAAAAATATGTGAATTTCTTCTTTAAATTTGTACTGCATGTATATTTGATCGAATTACTAATATCTCTCTCTCTCTTATTCTAAATTCTATATTTTACAGTTTGTTTATACTGTCAGTGCAGCTGTCAGTCAGTAAAGCTACTTGTCTCATTAAACTCGAACAATCAGCATCAGTATCAGTCCTGAAAAACCAAAGGAGGACCACCCTGCACTCTCATGAAGTTCGGTCATTTCTTCCTCATCCTGAAGTGGCCTTACTCACCCCAACCTCCTTGAGAAGACAGCTGAGGCTCTGCTGCTGCTCTAACAGCTGGATTGCTGCCTCCTGCAGCTGCTGACCATCCTCCTGCTTTGGCCTCTTCGGCACACGACCAGCTGGAAATACAACAACAAGGAAACACAGAACACCAAAAGGCGCATCAAGAGGGCTGACAATTACTTTCATTGAAATCTGACTGGTCACTCCTGATGCCACTCCAAAGTTCTCAACTATTAATTGGCTGTTTGACTATTTGATTTCACTATAAGAGCTGTGTTGCAGCAGTAGTTTTCCTGTTTTAAGTTCTAATACTTTGCTAAACTATAAATTTGGACATACAGCTTTCCTTTTAGTGTGCAACAATACAATTCAGTGTTGTTACCCTTTCTTGATGGCATCAAAATTAGATAAATAGTCCATCAAACAAATCAATGCTATGCTATATTATCAAGACAGTTATGTTTACACTCATTCTGTTGGTTTGCAGGGATGCACAACATCTTAAAAAATATGCAGATACATTAGTTAGAGACAAAACTATGATTGCCTTGATGTAGTGATCTGAAATAGGAAAAATGGCTCATCTTACCCCACTCTCCCCTAATGTTATAAGTCCGTCAGGGTTCATACAGCCCACACCAGCATTCCCATTATTACTGTTACCCGTATTGTGGTCAATAAGGAGGAAACTAACATGATATTTTCTACTTTACAGTCAGTTTTGATCTGAAACTGTTCACATAAACAAAGGTTCCTCTGCTGTCAACTCACCGAGGAGGCTCGACAGGGTTCTTTTCTGGGGGACCGACTCACATGTCGCGCTGAGTGACATCTTATTCCGTGTAACTACATAAAATGAACCCTATTACATCTTAAAATCAAAACTTTGACTCCCATTCACTCCCTGACGTGCAAAGACGCAGGCTGTTTTGGTTTAGCTGTCCTCCATGCTGCCTCTACTCTCGCGCTCTTCTCTCGCATTGGTCTGTGCTATAGCCAATCAGATTACGCCACAGGGTAGTGGGACAAACAAAAACTAGCCCAGAGTTTTTGGAGTCCCTGTTAGTGTTTTTGTATTTGTGAATGTTTGCTGTAAAAGTTCAGGTTCATGTTAGATAACAACTGTCTGTATTTTGAAATCTGTGAATTTCAACCTGCGCATTTGTTTGTCAGAGGAGCAAAATCACCCTCACTGATGCAGTTAAGGAATTAAATGACAGATCAATCAGCACAGATGAAGAGGGGACAAACAGATCAATACATTTCAAAGAGGTTGTGTCTCTCATACACCATTTGTCAGCAAACAGGCCGTGTGCCTTGTCAGCACTGACTGACTAACCGTCTGATAGTGAGGAGGAGTCAGTTAGAGGTACATCTGTCAGTTATAGTATTGTAGCGTGAAGAAACAGTCACACCATTGGGCCTATAAACTGTAAGACAAACCCACTGTATAAAACTGATCTTTAACCTCTAGTGGGTATGTTTAAAAAATGCCAAATGGTTGTTAGTCTATTGGGGGATAGATAAATTTAGATAAATCAGACTTTTTTCTGGCCAAATTAAAAAATTAGTTTTGGTGACTTAAGTATATGAGACTAAATGAGGGAGTTTTGAGTGAACATGCAGTACTGCATTGTATGCTCTTTAAAGACAGCTAGAGGGGTTATTATGGAACAGGTCCTGAAACTCAACCCAAACATTTGTCGTGTGACCTACTTCCCCCCTTTCAAAAGCTTTTGAAAAGAATAGGAGCATCAGATTACTGCACTTTACCATGGCTACATCTTTTTATCATCCCAAACTGAGTGCATCTTTACTTTTCACACTAATTCATCTCCTCTCATTTGTGGAAAGATAAGACCTTATACAGATATTATGTTAACATGTGGCATAACCTACAGCTGCAGTCAACAGTCGATTATAGAGGGCTACATTAAAGCCCCATGTGGAGAGTTTTTGGCTGGTTATTAAACATTCAGAGATGAACAGAGATACCTCTTCATGACCTAAAAGACCAAACAGAACCATCAGCAACAAGAATGACAGTTTCTTTATAGTACCTTTTGATCTCTGTAAACACTGTGAGGGGGTAGGTGTCATAGCAGTATGCTTGAGAAAGGGGCTTCCTTTCCTTTCCTCAGCAAATATCCACACTGAGCAATGTTTCTGAATCAGGATGTTTACATGCACAGTTAAGCCGAGCTATGGTCAAAGCTCAATTAGGCAATTAACCGGACCACTGTCCTTGACCCACTTTACAGGCTCTGAGCGAGAATTGAAATATTGACAGAGGCATGCCTGCCTCCAATACAGTGGTGGTATGCCCCCTTTCAGCTTGTTATACTGGGTCTACCCACTAGATCACCAGCACAACAGTCAACACAAGTAGGCTACTAGCAAAAGTTTAACCGGATATACCTCAAACAATGGAAGCACAGTCATTTTTACAGCTCTGGACCTTTCAAATGTACAACAGCCTTATCTTTTTTAACGTTCTTTCCTCTTCTGGCGAGCTTTTGTTTACTACCCCGCTTCATTTCAAGGGCTGGAGCTTGCCCAGAGCTTGGCCAGTTTCAGTCTGATGGAAACACATACATGATAGAGAAAACTCAACCACATTATCCAAGTATATAAGTCCAACTATGATTTTCAATTTAGTGTGATTTCAGTCAGATTAGCATGTTTACATGTATTTTAGAAGTATCACTTTTTCCATAGGGGTTCCAAAATTGACAGTCTTATTGTGCTCGAGGTCAACCAAATATAGTTCTTGAACCTCTGTAAGATGTATAAGATTAAAAGTGAATTTGGTTTTGTGTATGAGCGAACGAGATTTGGAGTTGAGGTGTTGCACCACCTTTTCAATCCACACTGAATGGCTCTGACTGTGCAGCGGCAGGCTCCATCTTGCCCTTGACGTCTCCGATGACTCCTCTCGGTGTGCATTCTTCTCCCCGCTCATGTGTTTTTCTGGATTTCCCATCTTCATTGCGGCAGGCAGCAGGAAAACCGTCTCATGGGAGCCGGTGAGAGGAACTCATGAAAACTTAATGCAATGTGTCCTCATGAATTTTTAAAAGCTCTCTCCTTCTATTGTGCCTCTAATGTGCAGGATAGTAGTATAAACAGGAGTGCTGATGTGCAAACGATGCTGATAGCAAACCTGCCAGCAAGGCAGAGCGTCATCACCTGTCAACCCCCATGAGGGCCAACACACAGTGACACCTGAGGACACACACACACACACACACACACACACACACACACACACACACACACACACACACATGTTCAGTTACAGTGGCAGCTCTGAATCATAAGTCTTTGTCTGTCACTGCGGGGCAAAGTTTTGGCTAAGGACGGACTGGCTCTAGACCTCAGCAGGATTTCCTGTGTGAGTCTGTACTAAAGTTTGAGAAGGAGGCAGACATAATGAGCACATGCTAACGTCACTGCAGGAACATCCAAACTTAGCTGTCCTACACCCACATTAGTTCACTCACGATGCCTACTGAAACACATAAAAAGTAAAGAAATACATGATGTTTGTGTTGTGTTCAAACAAACTGCCTGGAAGAAACATGTTTGATAGTATTATGCCAAATTACATTTTTTAAGTTAGGTTTGTTTTTGGGTATTTTTGCCTTTGTTAGTGGACAGCTGAGACAGATGGGGATGGGGGTGGGGGGATACATTTAATTAGGGGCTGTGGCCGAGAATCAAACCAGCAAATGCTGCAACAAGGGCCACATCCTCAGTACGTGGGGCTTAGACTGCTAGGCTATCAGAGCCCTTTAGTTTTACTTTTTTTGATCATTTTCTGAATGACTATCTAAAACTTCAGGGCATACAAAGTTGAAAGAGAGGAGACAGAGATCTGAGGACTTCTTGTTGAGTGATTTAAGTAGAAGAGACACCAAACTCTGAGGTGACTGTACTTCATTGTTTTCTTTCGTACTGTTTTGAGCTGCTTATCTTGGCTTTCCTGCCTTTTCCTTGACCCTCTGTCACTCTCAGTGTTTACACAAACTATTGTTGGCCTTCAGACTATTTACTTTTGTTTGCCCTTTTTACTGCTTTTCTGTTTTGGTGAGTGTTTCCAGTTTTCATTACTGTACTTTCAGTAACGCTTATGTAGGTCAGGGAACAGATTCCGTTACAACATGTTCTTTTCATGACAAAAATCAGTGGGAAGTTTTCCAAAAAGCAACACAATTTGACTTGTGAGGACAAGGGAAGCATTGGTGACTCAGAGATCATAATGTTCTTTGTAAAGTGACCATTCATTTTGGACTTCCTCTCCTGTACCAGTCGGCCACAGGAGTTGGAACACACCAGCACTGAATGAGAAGCAGCAGCTTCAGCTCAGCCTGGAGGCTTTACAGCTGTGCTACATTCCTGAGAGCTCAGTCAAATCTGCTGAGCCTAAACAGCAAGTCCCAGCCCTCTTGTTCTCCACCACAAAACTCCCTCAGAGAACGTGTTAATGAAAGCAGAGGAGTCTGCTGCTCAACGTGTAAACAGGAAATGCAGGCTTTTCATAAAAATACCTGCAAATGAAAACCCCCTTCCTCCACTCATTCACTGGAGCTGTGAACCCTGTCTGGGAGTGGAAAGTTTATCTTTTTGTCTTGATTGTGAACAACTGGGAACTTATTCTGATTTTCTACCATCTTTACAAAGTTTATGTTTATGTTATGTGACCATGCTTTTCAGCAAGAGGTAGCTGATAAAGCTGGACCTTGTCCTCTGGAACTTTTTTTTTCAAAGACTTTCAACCACATTTTGTATCCTGACTAGTCTCCCCTTTAATTTATCCATTTTAAAACCCTGTTTTTAGTACCTGTCTTTTTCAGCACTGTTTAAACCCTGTTTTACTTTCAAGTAAGGGCACATGGTTTATCAGGAAACTCCAACTAGTTCAGCTTTGTGATACATCGACTAATGGGACAGCTGGTTATTTGGGCCAATTAACAGCATATTTAAATAATCTGCACTGGCTGATGGATACACCCATGAGGCCGGTAAAACCTTGCAGGCGGCCCCGTCAGCATGGCTGTTGTTGAGGAATGTTGAGGAGGTGGTGAAAAAGTGAGTTTTGAGCTCTATCTTTAGTTTAACTCTCTATGTACCCTGCTACAAGTATTTGCTTAAATGGCCTCTATCCTCATTGTCTATCCTGGATGTTCACACAATTTCCCCATCCTAAATGACAGCATATCAAATCCAAAACAGCTACTGGCTGGTGTTTAATACAGGTTCTGCTGTAATGTATAAAATAATGCAGTTTAATATTCATTCTATTTTGGATAAATCATATTCTAAAATCTCTGGCATAAAGTCAGAAATCTGTGGGGTTTTTTTCTATTGTGTGATTCATCAGTTTTCAGCAATATATTCTATAGATAGATTTTATAGAATAGATTCTAATGAGTATACAAAAATTATACTGTACATGGCTTTTCTGTGATTTTTAATACATATATGTACCTTTTTTTTTTTAATAATTACAGATTGCTGGAAAGAAACTATTGATCCATTACCAAGGAAAGACAACAATACTAAAATGATATTGTTAATATTCAATATCATGATTATCATTACAACTATTCCTGTGTCTCATCAACATGTGAAATCAGTGTTGGTACATGCTCCATAATTATTGGCATCAGCCACTGAAATACTGGTTTCACTCAACCAGTAATTTGGTTCCCATTTAGAAGTATTTCTGTGTTATTTTTGGCTGACAAGATGTGGACTACAGATTAAATTTAGGTAACATGTATTTCTCACACAAATAATTTCTCATTAGTTTGAATAGTTTTTCATTTTAGTCTCATGCCCAAGAAAAATAAAGGCTGTGGTCTTATCCCAGCTGTCTATTTGACACCTGAAGTCGTACAAAACAAACAGTTTGAAAATTCTGCTGAAGCATGTTTTTGGTCCTTTTTCAGATATGTTGTTATTTTTCAGATAACAACATATTGTATTGAAAGACATATTTTCTTTTGACTTATTTTCAGCTTTTAAGTACGTTAAGCAGCACCAAATCAAACTTCAGTTATCTCCTGAGCTCTTTCATGGGGTTTGAAAGGCATTCAAGTAGCATCTATCTACATGTTATCTCACATTAGACTCTTGGCATCAGTAGCTTTAACCTAACTCTCTTAAGATTTTCACAAGGCAGATTTCACATACTGTGAAACTGTTGTGATAATATGTGTAACACTGAACAACCCTTAGTTCTGTAATCTTAGTGTAAAAGTAAAACTTGACCATCACCAGGTGCAGACGTCCACATGTTCGAGTCCTGCAACAACACAGCCAGCTAGAGTCAGTTCATTCTGCCGTGACACTGACTTGTTAAACGTGTTTCTCTGCACACAAATATACAATGGCACCTGAAGTCTGCTTGAACAATATTTTTTATTTACTTTTTCCCCTTCTCTCCTCTCCAATATTCAAGTACATGGATTTACAGATCCAGGAGACACAATCAGTAGCAGATACTTTCAAAACACCATCATCATGTTCCAGTTTGATTCACAAATGATTCCACTTAACCCCCCTCCCCGCAAACTCTTCCCCAGGCTAAGACACATGGACCTCTTGTAAACATGATGCAAATCAATCTTTGCTTTTTGACTACAAAAAGTAATCTGGTACAAAAATATCTTTTCTTATATAGGTATTTCTCTGCTTAGGAATATTTACATTACGTACCTCACAGTATAATCTGATTTAAAAAGTACATACTGTAAAATCAACACAAAAAGGTCTCAGAGGGGTAAAAGGCCTTTGGTTTTCATGAAAAATACCAAAACAACGACAAAACACACAAAAAAAAGTCCATTCACTGTCCTGCGTACCACAACAGTGAGGAATGGATCGGTGATTGTTGGGCCTCTTGTAGCCAAGACTGTGGGACACCAAACTTCCACAGGTTTGAAAGGGTTCATTCTTGCAAAAAGCTTTGATAAAAGGACTGTGGCTACAATCAGGCGTCACTCCTGGGTACTGCAGACCCACACAACTTCCGCTGAGCAAAATACCCCAGGACAATGAGCAGCATCTCGGAGGTGCTGCTGAGGGCCACAATGAACGGTGCTTGGGATGCAAAATCGGCCTCCTCCCTGCGAAAAGACAGCTGCATGACAGCGAGGGCCAGCAGGCTGTTCTGGACACCAACCTCTATGCTGACCGTCTTCCTCTGAGGTGGGGGGAGGCCTGCCAGCTTGGCCAGGACGGCCCCTACCACCAGCCCCAGCAAAGGCACTGTCACCCCAACTGCCACAATCTGAGGCCGCACGTTGGCCAGGATGGACGCACCCATTTGGTAAGCCATGAAGATACCACCGATGATGAGCACCAGGCTGAACGGGCGTATGAGTTTGAGCAGGACACGTGTGAGGGCGGGCAGCCGCAGCTTCACCATCATCCCCAATGAGATGGGGATTGCGATGAAGAGGAGGGTGCCCAGGATCTTCACAAATGGCACATGCAAGGCGGCGTGCACCCCAAGCAGCCACCCATAGAGAGCTGATGACAAAGGCATGGCTGCTGCTGCCACTACCGTGGACACCAGGGTCATGGATATGGCCAGGGTAACGTCTCCCCCCAGCAGCAGACTATATAGGTAGCCCCCTCCTCCACCTGGGGCCGAGCAGGTGATGACCAGGCCAAGGGACAGAGCTTTGGGCAGTGAGGCCAGCTGGGAAACACAGTAAGCATACAAAGGCATCACCAGGAATTGACCCAGCACCCCTAGGAGAAGAGGTACAGGGCTCTTGAGGAGACCCCGCAGCACCTCCACCTCCACCTTGCACCCAAAGGCACACTTGTTGACAAAAATAAGGGGCAGCAAGGCAAACAGCACAGGGTTCTCTGAGAAATGGGATAGGCCACCCGACTGGATGAGCCGGGTGGCCGGGTCATCATTCCCAGGCTCCACTCTGATTGAATAGTCTGTCCTCTCCTCAATCAGAACCGGGACCGAGTCCTGGTCCAGGTCCAGCAGCTGGATCTGAAGCTGAGCCCTACCTGGGAACCCGGAGCGGATGCTGATAATGTAGCTCCTGGCCGGTCCTGCGTGGCCACTGTCCGTCACATTAAGAATGGAGAGGACGTCCGGGTCCAGGGAGCGGACTTTCACAGTCTGTTTCCAGCTCTGCCGGCCCTTCCTGCTGGCCGCTGAGCTTCTGTACCGGCTGGAGATTACAATCACGCCGTTGGTGTTTTCAGGGAACTCGAATTCCTGCGAAGAGTCGTCCCCAATCCTGAGATACCTGCTGCTGCTGTCGGCCGTCAGGTTGGTGTCGTTGCCGCCGTCGACTGTCAGATTTCCACTCGCCCACGCCCGGTCCGCTCCGCCGGTAATAAGGAAGAGACAACAGAATGTAAATAGCGTCCTCATTTTATTGACGGACAGGGGGCGGAGGGGCGCCGCAGAGACACCAATCTCCCCCGCCAGCGGCCTCCCCAGACGGTTACACCGCCGCCCTGCTGTACCAGAACGGTGGACTTCTCATTCTAGTCTCCGGTGAATAACGACAGCGTCTGCGGCGGCCGGCTCCACAACTCGTCTGATTCCCATTTTCTCGCAGCCTTTATACCGGAACCTAAACATCACCCCGCCCTGTCCTGTCCAAGCCTGGCGTAAAAGCAGGAGCCCCGGCACACAGTAAACACCCCCACAGGTCCCCCGCGGCCTCCTGAGGACACACTGTATGATAAATGTATGTCTTAGGACAAAAAAAACTAAAGCTACTTCTCCTCCTTTGTGGTAAATTCTCCCTGGTCTATGGAGACTGAGAGCATCATAGCTCAGCTGCCGTTTGCGTTCTGCTTACAGCCGTTACGGTTAAGCCAGCTCCATTTAGTAAACACACTTCCTGTCTTTGACTGCCAAAATAAGAGCCCACTATCAATGAAACGCATGTTGGGATTAAGACTGGGTACATGAGTTAAATCTGGCAAGTACCTCTTCAGGACATCGTCTCCAAGTGGCTCCCAAAACGCAGAGTTTAACTTAGTGTTAGCTAATGTTATTATCTGTAGAGTTCACTGTCACCACTTGTTTATTGTACAAGACTATGGATACATGGAAGTCATGATGTGGGCTACACTTTCACAACAGGATATTAATTTTACACAGTGTTAAACTGAAAATATTCATAAGTATTTTACAAAATGATGAAAATTAAAGTTTACTAACTTTTGGACAATGTTCAGGTTAAAAAAACGGACAAAGAACATGCTGAGGGGGGGCCACCCTTTGACAAATGCATCTCCCTAATCTCCCTAATCCTTCAACTTCCCACACTCACCCCCTACCTTTTTAAAACTATTTTAATTTTATTGTTATCATTATTGTGTGTGTATTTTGTATTGTGTATGAGGTTGTCTGCTTTGTTTTCATTGTCTCAAAATGAAGAATTAAAAAGAAAGTTTTGAAAAAAATGGACTGTGCTCTTTGGTCACTACATTTTGTTTTATCTTTTTTAAAATATTAGTAAATGCATTCCCCTTCTGAATCAGCGATAAAGTGCCCCAAATAAGTATGCAAGAAAAAGCCTGTGTTTTACCCTTTAAATCCAGTTTAATTCAACTTCCCGTAATTCACCAAAATGGGTGTGTTACAGAAGGATGACCAGGGTGGCACTGACACCCTTGAAACCTGTTTGGCCACTCTGGGTGGAGTTTTGCCATCTTTTAAGTTTCACTTCATCTTGAAATTTGGATACACTTCTGAAGTTCTGAGAAATTAGTGGAACTTCAGAAGGGATGGGCAGGAAATCCTAAATGGTTTGTTTATGCTTTAACTGTAAAAGATCTTTACTTTTAATGGTGTTATCAGGAAACTTAGTTTTGTGAAATAAAATCGAGATTGTCTGTTCTTATAGTAATGTGTAAGTTCTATCTGTGGACATGACATGTTGCTTTTGTATGCAATCTGTAGTGAATGTTGTGTGTTGATATCAATTCACATTAACTGTCAACACTAACAGCAACAGGAGATAACACCTTGACTACTTTGTGACTTTGCTTCAAACCCTTTGAATTTGGTTCACGGTCAACTCTTTTGACGCCTTTCCAACTCAGATGTCCCACTTAGAGGTCAATAGAAAGCACCATGAGTTAAGAGGATTGCAATTTTACTTCCCTAAAGTGTAACAGTATTTTTCAAAGAAGTCTGACAAATAAGAAGAAGGAGTATTGGATACAATGAGTGTTAAAGTTGGTTTGTATAGTTATCATGTGGTTAACTTTTACAGGTGTGTTTGCCAAAATATTTTTTCCTCTGAGATTTTGGAAAGTATCCTCTTATTTTGGAAGAGAAATCCCTTCACTTCCTTTGTCTCTCTTGGTAACTATGACTACCTTGATGTAACCCTTCATTAATCCAATCGCAGCGGTACAAACTGTACACTTTACCTATTTCTCAGCCAATGAGCAGGGGCGGTCACATGGGAGAGGGAACACCATGGTTTCTGTCTGCCGGGGTGGGGTGGGGAAACTGACAGGGATTACCCACAACAGACTCAGGGTGACATGCTGTTAATTTCCTGTTCTCCGAATAAAATGGCGGAATTGTGACCACAACAAAAAGATGATATAGCAAATGATAAAGCCATGCTAACCAAAATAACCTTTAAAACTGTCTTTAGTTCATCTCTTCATTTCACTTCCTTTCCTATTATCCAGCAGGATATGGAAATTGTCCTGCTCCTCCCTTTTGCCCACGTTATCCAGACTTTCACTGGTAGTATCTGTTTCCTGTCCTCTGAGCTCTGTAGTATCTTGTGACACTGATCCATTTTGCTCACATGCTGCACTCCCTGAGCAGTTTCCACTTACACGCAGACTGCCAAGTAGGCTGTATAGCTCATTTAGTGTGAACAAACAGTAGACACAACAGAGGAACCCGACTCTACTGCCCATCTTGGGTATGCAGGTTTAAGGGGGAACTCCTAATCTGTCAGCATGGTGGGGAGCATGCCAGCTTTTTATAGAACAGGGTCATACTGGGAGTCACTCTCATATTTAAAATGCATTTTTATTTCATAACATCCAGAAATTGTAGTCCACAGTGGTTCAATGAGGCCACTGGGTCAGTATTTTTAGGTGAGAACAACACACAGACCACCCACTACTTTACATAATGTACCAAAGTCAGTCCTTGAATGGCTTGTTGTTCATCATTTATTGTGCTTGTTGTGTGCCCTCCTTCTGTCAGCATGGCTAAGTCAGGGCTCCCAGAGAGAGAAAAGGCGGGGGAGTCCACAGTGGAAACACTCAGTGTTCGCCAAGACAACCTGCTGGGTGTTGACTTCAGCCCCCTCTTTGACATTTAATGAAACGACAGCCTGTGGGTATGGGGCTGCCTGCGTACACTCCTCCTGTCGGATCCCCTCCCCCCACCTGTATAATTTCTTGCCCATGATGAGGTAAGGTAATTTACCTCACAGCTTATTTCAGTCAGAGATCGATGTGAGCGCATCAAAGGAAATCACAAACAGCTCAGAGTTTTATTTCACTTGCAGTAAAGTCTTTGATGAGTTATTACAGGAAATCTACAGTTCATGCTGCCATGAGAGCTTTTTAAAACAACCACAAACTGCATCTGTGGGAATATTCATGAACGAATCAACAGCAGCACTTATTATCTGCCTGGCGTTGTGTTGCAAATGAGATCATAAGCAGCTGTGATGAGTAATCCAAACACTCTGCCCTGAAATTTCCATATAGCACTGGTCCACACTTTGTTCCACTGTCTAACAGCCTGGCAACAACATTGCAGCAACAGCACAGCAGAGCCAGGAGGACCGAAGGCCAAAGTCTCAGAGTGAAACCCAACTATCCTGCAGGGGAGTTTGAATTCACCAAAACCAACCATCGAGAAAACTCTCTGAAAACAGGGTGTTACACCACATGGGTGTGGCATACTTAGGGTTGGAGAACATTTAGGAGAGCTGCATGATGGATTATGTGTTTGTGCTAAATATAACAAGGGTAATCCAAGTGGATTACAAATTTGAGATGAGGGGTGCTGTCTGGCCCCATTGCAGAGGTTGTTGTTGTTCTGGTAAGTATGGTTGCTGGCCAGAGCCATGACCTTTACTTCATGTCATCCTCAACACTCTGCTCCTCATTTCCTGTGTCTGTCCTAGTTGTCCTGTCACATTAAAGCACAAAATCTCCAAAAATAATAAGAAGAAAAGAAAAGAAAAAGAAATCACACAATAAAAAATAAAATAAAACTTCTTTTAAAATAAAAAAATATTTTTACTGAATGCCAAAATACTTTTTCTGATGGCAAAAAAAATTCAGGAAACAGAAATATTTAATTGAAACACTAAAATATTTAACAAAACAGGAAAAAAAGTAAAAATATGCATTTTTTTTCTTAAAATATGTAAAATCCAGTTAAAAAAATTTGAAAAAAAGATAAAAACAAAAACACTAAGTAAATGCAGATATATTAAACAAAACAAAACAAAAAAAATACCCCCCCAAAAAAAACATTTTAATGAACCATTTTTTGATGTAACCCAAAATTATTCCACATGATGCAAAAATATTTTAGAAAAGACACAAATATTCATTGAATAGACACAAAGCAGGTTAACGTAATTAAACAGTGAATTGTTAATCCACCAACTCATAAAAGGCTTTTTTTTTTGCCATTTTTTTGCATTTCATAAAATGTTCAAGTGTTTAATGAAAAGCTTATCGCAGTTGTAAAATGTTTTTACAATTGACCTTTCGGGCCACTGTATACAATAGACTGTTTTTACATGAAAAATGCAGATTGCACTCCTCTTTGTTGTGATTGGTATACAGCAGCATTGTAACTAGGGTTTGGTTACCAGTGTGTACAATTTCTATCCAGCCTCTTCTTTTAGTGAAATTACTTATAAGTGTGGACTTTTTAGACTAGAAACAGTGCGAAATTTACTAAACAGTCATGAACTTCTTTATATTCAGATACCATTTAGACATGTTTTTGTCTTATCTTTTCATAATAAAATGCATGCATTTGATTATGTTACACTTGTATTCCTCCATAGAAAAAAGGCTCAGACATGAGTTCAAGTACGATCCATTTGCATACACTCCAAACAAAAACCACCAGACTCAAATGCATCAGAGGGCAAGATTTTATTTTCAGAAGATTAATGTACAAAACAAAGTGCTGCAATGTTCTGCTGAACTTTATGTATAAATAAACTTTCTGTGTAATTAAAATGGGCTGAAAAAATGAAATAATGGTCAGAGGATGAAAATGCGCTATCACAGGTGGATGTGTGACCTCATACTTTCAAATAAACTGCTGAAAGAAGGAGGCAATGATACCAGTAAAAGACCTCAAATGTCATCTCAATGCAGAGCAATGGTATAAAAAAAATTTTGTTAATTCGTGCAGTCTCTATACATTTCTCACCTATTTTAAATATCATGCTATATATGCAAATGTCTTCTGCATTTACCTGAAATATCAGAAATTGCCTTTGCAAACAAATATGCAGCCAGCGAGGTAAATGAGGGGCAGTATCTCACTCTTGTTGTATTAAAAAGGTCCAGCATGTACATCCCTGCTTAGTTACTCTGATGTCTTCTCCTCATGGAAAGAGACACTCCAGGATGATTAATTAATTCTGACACAGAGAAGTTTCCAAAAAAAATCTGTGTGTTGGTGTGGGAGTACTTCAACACCTTAAACCTCCCACCAAAAAACATCAAACAACTTCACGCTACACTAACTCAAAGAGATTACACAACACAATGATAAAACAATGTCCACCTATGACAACAACAGCAGCACAAGCTTAAACTCAGCTCAGACAGATTTAAAGGGAGGGTGGAGAAGACCCAGATCAAAACATCCCCACCTCATCTGGCAGGAAGAGAAGCAGAAAATTCTTTGTTTTGAATCTGACTGATTGATGTCTGAGGAGTTTCTCCGTGCTGCTGTGCGCTCTCTGATCTACAATCCTTCAGGCACTGAAAAGGGAAGCACCTATGCAATCCCCTCATCCCAAATAAGGCATTCAAAGCAAAAAGAAAAGGAATACATGCAAGAGAGCAGACCACAAACCAGAATAAAATAATGCAGAACACCGGAACAATCATTTTGACACTGAGACACAAACAGATTGTTCGCTGATGGTGTAAGAACATGAAGCAGGTTTAACTCAGATAAATCTGATGAGGAAAGGAGACCCTGTCAGGCCAACTCCACGTGACTACTTCTCCATTTGAAATTGCATTTTACACTAAACTGATCACCCACAAAATAAATGTTGTATCTCATGACCGTTTATGCCAGGGTGAGGAGGATCACAGAGCAGGCACAGGTTCCTGAACGCAAAACAGCAGAACACTATGTGAGGCTGATGGAGCACCAAACATAGAAACCCCACAAATATCAGCCTGCCTCCTGCAAGATAAAGCAGAATAAAACTGCACAACAGCAGAATAGCCAATAAGATCGTAAGTGCATATTGACGGTTAATGATGTTGAGTTGGGCTCTCTTGACAAATTCAACCTGATCAGCAGAGGTAATCAGTGAGTGTTACTGTTCTCACATTTTTACTTTAACATTTTCAGCACCGTCTCAGTTCAAGGTGCTGTGAAATTTTGGAATAATGTGGATGCTAGCCATAAATACAGTAAACGTGATGTGTTTTAAAATTAAAGATTAGTGTGGATGTAGCCTTAGTGTCACCATCATTACAGCGAAGGATGTCCCGATCCTGATGTCAACTATCAGATCAGCCGTCATTATCTGAGCACATTTTGTGGCAGACATGACATTTTAAAGCCACTGTGAGGAGTTTTTGACTGGTTGTAAAACAGACTGAAACTTCCTTGGCATGTACAGAAGTAGATCAACAAAGCCATAAGGTTTGATCAAACCAAAAGTTCTTCACAGCAGCTTTAAAGGGAAGGATAAAAATCCTTGAGAGAACAAAAAGCTGAAGAGATCAATAAGAAAATGATGAATGTGGTGAAGGATGCAGGTTTGTTTGCAGTCCCTTGGTTTCACCTTACCTAAGCCGTACAGCAAAGCTGGCAACAACACACAAGATGATCTAAAACATGATAAAACATGTTTCTGAATGGTAAAGTTGAACTATCTGGGGAAGAATTTTGATCTTATGTGAGTTTTATGACCTTGTTAGTTGAAATAAGTTAAATAATTTAAGCTAAGGACATCTTTGAGTGAACTTTTTATCTCTGACCAACAATAAAAAAAGCGATGTTCTATTATCTAGTCAAACATATCATTTTTATGGAGTCAGGGCTCAATGTCCACAGGAACTTGATATTAAAACAATTGAATTCGGATCCAAAAAGGTTATTGGGACATCCCTCATTAAAAATAACTTAAATTTGCAAGTGCCAGATTTCATGTTTGTGTCTCCTTCCTCCCATCAGTCACCTAGTCATACCACCTCATAGTGTCAGAGCCCAAAGAAATAGAAATACCATGGAGATGCATCTTTGACCCACCCTGTCCCTTATAATCATTATAACTGATTATTTAAAGTTTTGTTTCCATCAATGTACATTATACAGTTCCTAAAGTTGTTTTACTTCTTTTTACATAGCATACATCCAGAGTGTGTGATGTCAGAGCCAGAGAATGGAGGAGGTGTTGGAGGAAGAGGGATAAAAAAGGAAAGGAGGGAAAGGGAGAGAGAGAGGGAGAGTAAAATGAGATGCAAAGGGGAATTAAAGGGGAAGATAGAGACGGGAATAAATGGATCGAAATAAGAAGGTGAACCAGGGAGAGGTTCAAGCCTTCTCAGGTGGTATTTCTGGACGGTGTGTGTATTTATAGAGCGGGGGGATGGTAATCAATAGGCTCATTAAGTTCTCTTGGTAGAACAGTTCAATAGAGACACACACACACACACAGCTCGTGTTGCCGTCTGCTTCCACGCAGCTGTAAACGGCCGTCGCCTCTCCTGGAAGAGTGCTTAGTTTCGCAGAGCAGCCAACCTGCGAGGTGTGAAAAAGAAGTGTGAGAGATTCATTATTTGGAGCCTTTGTGAAATGAGAGCTGAGCTGAACATGTGACAAACTGCATGTCCCAGGTTTTATTAATGAGCTAACTGTACAAACCCCATTTTCAATAAAGTAAGGATGTTGTGTAAAACGTGTACAAAAACAGAATACAATGATTTGCAAATCCTTTTTTGACCCATATTCAATTGAAGACACTACAAAGACAAGATATGCAATTTTCAAACTGATAAACTTGATTGTTTTTTGTTTTTTTTAAATATTCACTCATTTTGAATTTGATGGCAGCAGCATGTTCCACAAAAAGCTGGGACAGGGGCATGTTTACTGCTGTGTTACCTCGCCTTTCCTTTCAACAACACTCAATAGGTGTTTGGGAACTGAGAACAGGCAGGCCAGTCTAGTACCTGCACTCTTCTACTATGAAGCCACTCTGTTGTAACACATGCAAAATGTGTCTTTGAGGAGGGGTGTCCTGAAAAGACGCGACTTGGATGGCAGCATATGTTACTCCTAAACCTGTATGTAGCTCACAGCATTAATGGAGCCTTCACAGATGTGACAGTTACCCATGCCATGGACACTGACACACCCCCAGACCATCACAGACGCTGGCTTTGAACTATGACCTAATAACAATCTGGATGGTCCTTTTCATCTATAGCCTGAGGGACGCCACCTCCACGATTCCCCAAAAAATATTAATCCAGACTCGTCAGAACACAGCACACTTTCCCACTTTGTCCAGAGAAGCTGGAGATGTTTCTTGGTGTTGTTGACATCTGGATTTGGCTTTGCATGGTAGAGTTTGAACTTGCACTTGGAAGTTTAGCAACAAACTGTGTTAACTGATGATGGTTTTCAAAGGTCGAATGTCACAGGCATTCAATGTTGGTTTTGGGCCTTGCTGCTTATGTACAGAGATTTCTCCAGATTCACTGAATGTTTTGGTGTTATCTGTAGATGATGAAATCCCTTAATTACTGTAATTGTACGTTGTGAAAGGCAGGTCTTGAACTGTCGGTCTATTTGCTCACGCAGTTGTTTACGAAGTGGTGGACCTTACCCTATTTATCAGTTTGACGATTATATATCTTTTTTTGTTGTGTACTGAATCAAATATAGGTTGAAGGGATTTGCAACTCAATGATTTCAGCTTTTATTTAGTTTTCCACAACATCCAACCTTACTGGAATTGGGGTTTGAAAAAAATAAATAAATGCATTCACTTCTGGCTCTGTGGTTGTGTTAAAAGGCTCTTGAATGATTGTGGACAATTTCATTTTTTCAACAAATTCCAAACCCTCACTTAAATCTGAAGATCATAAAATGGTTATAAATCTGCAGTAAATTTCTTTTAAATAGATTTGATCATACTGAATCTCTTTTCATGCTGTAGACTCTTTGAGTCTGACAGCAGTGAGAAAGTAACAACATCACTTTACTTTTACACCTCCCTAATGAGCGGCTGACTGGTTGGCATGTGAAAATCGCTCTTGCTCTCTCATTCCCTATTTATGTGCTCTTATTTCTAGAGATACTCTGTGATATGACTGAAAGCAAAATTATCTTAAGCGAGTGACTGAGCCAAAGACAAAGACAGATTCGGTGATTATAATTTAAACAAATATACATTCACCTGATGATCTTATCTATTCACCTTACAAAAACGACAAGAGTCTTTAGAGACATTTTTGAGTTACATTCCACCTCATATAATATCTTTGTGTAAATGTACTTGCAGAGCTCACATTTGCCACTGGATGAAATAATGCTAAGTGAAGGCAGAATATATTTCTCAGGAGCAGTAACGATAAGTGCACCTCCCAGTAAAAAGATGCTGTTGTTGTTTGCATTAGTAAGTGTGTTTGAGGCTGTCAATCAATTTTCCTTTATGGAGCATCTGAATGCATGCATATACATTTCAGTCTATGCATCAGAGAGTGCCCGGTGTGGATCACAGGCCTTGTCAAGCTCATGTTGATGTTTTTGGTTCTAGTAAGTCTCTAAGAGAAATCCACAGAAGCCGTATGAGGTGAAGTAGGCGTGAAAAAAGACGAAGTGAGCATGTTTGATGCCTACACATCGATGAGAACACACAGGTGGGTGCATGGACAGTTGCTTCTTACCCTGTGTGGGTGTTGGGCAGAAAAATAACAACTGCTTTGGTCAGAACCAAGAAGTGACAGCTGGACTGCACTGTGTGTTGCTTTGTCTTAGATTTAAGACAGAAGACAGAACCCAGAGCATTTGCCTTCAATTGTGTGTGTGTGTGTGTGTGTGTGTGTGTGTGTGTGTGTGTAGGGAGGGTTGCTATGTTAACTAATTTCCTGATCACATGTTCTGTTGTAACTGCTCATGTGCTTCTTGTTAGTCTGAATCCAATGACGTCAGTATTGCTTGGTGAAGAATGGCAGGATTCACTTCTCTCCTTCACACACACACACACACACACACACACACACACACACACACACACACACACACACACACACACACACACACACACACACACACACACACACACACACACACTCTGCATTTAATCTCTACCTGTGTATGTTTACCAATACCACAATCATCTAGAGAAGCTGTTACTTACCGGCGAGACAGCTGGTCCTCCTTGTTCTGGGCCTGTGAGCTTTCTGCACCCACCGAAGTAGCTCCTGCAGGCAGCTGGCTAAGCTGGTCCATCACCTCCAGCCCGCTTTCCTCAGCTATCTGGTGGATTAGGTCATCCACCTGGTCCTGAGGGGTGGTCAGTGTTGTTGCTGAGCTCATGGAGTCCTCCATCACCTGGAGCAGGCGAGACAATGGTGGATCACACAGGGATGGCTCAAAGTATGTAAGGCCTGGTGTGTGTGGTCTTTAGCGTCTTAACAACAAAACATCTGACCAAAGATTGTTGGCCACTCACACACAATCGACACTTCTTGATGAACAAAAGGAAATAGACAATATCTGAATCCACTCACTGAAGTGTGAACATCCAGGTTTTCAACCTGGCTTTCAAACTTATCCATGACTGCAGACATCTTTTGGAGGTCCGTGGACTTTAGAGCTTTGTCCAGTGCCCTTGTCACCTGACTCATATTTTTGGATACCTGACAAGACACAAACCTTTAGTGTGTGTTTGGAAAGACAAAACAGCTCCTATACATTATCAAAAGACTGACAGTGTTGTGATGTGTTAACATGACTACAGATGCTTTATAAACCTGCATTTAGACATACAGTAACAGGTTATAATCCAAAGCGGCATGTACTGTATGAATAAAATGGGTGCACACTGTAACTTACTCCTTTCATGGTGACAGCAGTTTGGACTTTGGAGGCCACTGCATCCACTCGAGACGCCATACGCAGCCAGTTAAGACCTTCATTCTTTTTCCTGATAGCGTTCTCTGCATACACTCGGGCAACATCCACATTCTTCTGCTGCAAAGCCTATTGGTGAGACAAAGACACTGCTATCATTAAAAAAAGTTGTCTCTGTAATTTAGTTACAGTATATAAATGTATTTTAACTGCTGGGTTAAAATGTTGGACGTCAGTACTCTACATGTGCAGAGTTTCAGATTTCAAGGTTAATTTGTGTTGCAGTAATCCCCAGATGAGTCTACAGGGTGCTCTGAGTGGCTTGTTAAAAAAAATCACATGAGAGTCCAGAGCGATCAATATGAGATTTGCTCACGTCTTGACATCACCAGATAACAAATTTCCTTCAAAGATGCAAATGTATAAAAAGTAACACAACTTGAGGTTCTTCATTGAGGTGGGAGGGACTTTAAAAAACAGTGGCTTCGATGAAATGTTCAGACAAAAATGTGTGTTTTCAAAGAATACAGTCTGAAATATGTTAACAATTTGTTGAACTGTAAATCATGTAAAGCTGTAAGAAGCTGTATCAGAGGGATAATAGAACCACACTCTGCTGGGCTTAATGTAATCATATCAGTCGGCTGAAAGATTTGGGGTACTATTGAATTGTTGCCATTTTTAATCTGCCCTGAGAACCTGCTCACTGTACATGAATCCTTATTTTCCAAATCTATTTAACTATCTAAATGGTTTCTAATGCAATAGTTTCAATGTGGATAAATTCTTTATAGATGTGTTTACTGTTAGGTCAGTAATAAAGCCAATCATAATGCTTTTAGCAGTCATAAAACCGGCAGCATTCGCAGCAGCTCTCTCCTTGTCTCAAATGCGTGTGAGCTGTTAGACGAGATAGAGGAAGAGTGCAGACTTTCATGACTCAACAGGAAAATATCTCTATGCTGCCAGATGATGATGATGACAACAACAGAGAAACATAACATCACTGTCTTTCCTGGAATCACTAAACCAAACATGCATTTGAAACAGAAACAGATATAGCTGATGACCTCAGAACAGAATCATTTACCTCCTTAAAGAATAGGCAATTATTATAACATCCAAGATATCAACATCAAGCACTCTATGTTTACTGCTCAAAATGAAGGACAATCTGCTGAATATATTGGACCAGTTAAGATTATTGAATAATCTGATCGCACACATTTCAATCCCAAAGGATGTTTAAGGGCGGTAAATTGTTATCAGACAAATTGAAAAAGAACATAAATGTATAAATAAAGATTATTTTCAAGGTCTCAAATGCAGTATAAAATCAATATGGTCTGATATTTTGTTTTCTATATGTATGCATTTATACTTATAGCATCAGTGACTGAGTCCTAATGGGTCTAAAAACATACAATTAAGTCAACTGTACAAAGCAAGCCGACTGGATGATGTCTGAACCACAAAAAAACTCAAGTGTTTTCTATTTCAATTCCCTCATTACACTGCTGACCTAACAGGTGTGAAAACAAATGTTATTTTAAGACATTTTAGGAGATATTTTCTTCATAAGTTCCTAAATGAGTACTACATCTTAATTCATGACATGATCAAAAAATAAGGACTGCAGCATTTAAAGCCATTTTTACAAATAGCAATCAATTAATGCTTTATTTCTTGCTCAAAACAACATGTCTGTCTGCACAGCCAGCCATGACCACAGTGCACAGGCACCATGTAAAAAGAGCAATGCTGACGGTGGAAATATTTAATAAATTCACCTGAGTGCAGTCAAATTCACCTCAAACATTATTAGTGAACAATCAGTTAGTGAAAATATGCTTCAGTTTTATTCGGGGAGCACATTTTCTCCCTCTGCTCTCTCTACCAGTGGTTAAAAAATCAATTCTGGGTATTTTTGGTTGATTTGAAATAAAAATCAGGGGGGCCTTCTCACCTTCTTCACTTTGGCCTGCTCCTTTTCAGACTCTTTCTCTGCTTTCTTAGCGAGTCTCTCCAGCTGCTTGGATGTGAACTGTGAACCAAACAAAAGAAAATGACTGATCATGAAAACATAGTTGAAGCAAGCAGGTTTGGATCAAATCTTTCCAAAAACATACATACATACCCTTAGATTAAACATCATGTCTGTGGGGACAGAAAAACACCAGAGTTAGAGACGTGGACAGAGGGAACTGTCAGTACATGTTTTTTATTAGTATTGCTCTCACAACACAACTCAAAAAGATCATATTTTCATAGAATATATCTCCTGTGTTCTTAAGTTTGACATATTTGTGTTTCTCTCCTGGAAACTGAAGCATCTGGATCCCCTGGGTTTGTCGTATCTATTCAGATCACATTTCTGATTTACATAGATGTCCAACTGCTATTTTCTGTGACAATGCTCAGCGTTAAAACAAGAGGTTGATTCAAAACAAAAGCATAAGAAGTCTCCTAATAAAATTATATTTGATAAACGAATGAACTAAATGTCAGAAACCGGTTTGACAGCTAGCTTAGCTTACACCCACCAAGGCTAACAGGCTAGTAACAGCATTCTGTTTCGACATCGTTTTTTGGATTAAAACAGAGGCAGGGTCGATCAAAATCGTCACTTAAGCTGTTAAAGGTGACTTACCATCCATGTTGAGGCGAGGATGATTCAAAGAGATCACAAGAGAATAATTTTCAGCTGATCAACAGGCTAGTGTTGTTTTGTTTTGACACCGAGTATTTTGAGCGCACTTCCTGGTTAGGGAGGAGTTCTTCTTCTGCTTTTTTTGCCGTTTGGAAAAACAACACAATGTCACATTATCGCCACCAAGTGGGACTCAGCCGGGTTCGGTAACATTATGAAACTCTGAGCAGACAATAAGGGAAAAAAATAATGATAATCGAAACTCGAAGACTCGAAAGATGGTCGCCCTAAACATCAACTGCACAAACATTTAATGATCAGAGAAAACATTTTATCAAAAAAAAAAAATGTTGAGTACGCGGAGTGCAAAAAAATATTAATACCAAAATTTTACTTTCAAGAAACAGAAAAATTCACAGTATAACCTCACTAATCATTTAAAAAGGTAGAAAATTAGCGAATTACTAAAATTACACACAAATGTTTGTCATGAAACGTTTAAATACTTACTATAAAATATTCAGAGCCTTCTGTTTTTGTTTGTTTGTTTGTTTTGTTTGTGTGGAGTGCAAAATCCTATTTTTGTTGTATATGAAACACCTTTTTTTGTTAAATGTATTTCATAAAAATACTGCCTTTCATATTTTTTGTTTTCATTGATCAATTAATTGCCACATTTATTGACAAATGTTTTTTGTGTTTGACTTTGGAGACAAATGCTATTGTTTTAAAGTTTTATTGAGGTTCTTCCTTTTCTTTTTCCATGTCAAAATTAGAATTACAAATAACATTATACCTAAACTCTGTATCACAGCTGAGGTGATTCTATCAAATATATGGGTTACTTGGTTATGGCCTTATCAAAAACTGGCTCAGATCAGACCTAACATTACTCTCACTTGTCCTCCCTTGTCAGTTCAGTGTAATGCAGCTCTGATGCTAGATGAGTTATCAAGTGTTTGATAAGTGCAAGGATCTAGTTTACCAACTGTTTCACTTTTTATCTATATTGCTTTGTTTTGTTAATAATTATACTGCTGATTGTGATTGGCCAATATCTATTGTGTATTCTTTCTTAATAGCAGACTGCACTATCAATAACACTTCACACCAGGATCCTGCTCACACTGTCAGCGTCCCCAACCACTATTACAGACTGTTAAATAGGTGACCTTTCACTTAACATCAGTGTTGCCCTGATTAAGGTACTATGGTGTTTGTCAGGTATAAACTAACATAAACAACAACCAGAAGTTAACAGGCTACCATGACTGTGCTGGTGTCCTCCCAACACACCTGCGTGTTTGAATGAAAGTTTCTCCCAGAAGTCAACAATTCTACTATTACCGTCACTGGCCACATAACTTTACCTTTTACAATAATGAAGGTAGTATGTGGTAAAACATGTCCATTGACATTCCTAACAGTTGCAGAAAGTAACAGAAACACATGGCTTAGATCTTAAGTTCTTGACTGTTCTGCTTCTTCTCACTTAGCAGGTCCTGTAACACTGTCAAAGCTCAGACTGTGTTGTGGTTTGTGGTTTGAGGTTGCTTTGGGTTGTTTTCTTCAATTTGGTTGATGTTTCTTTTGCTTCTGCACCTCCTCCGCTATTTTCCCTCTCTTTGTCTCTCCTGTCTGCTGGTGGCTGGTCAGCTGTTAACCACCAGTCCTAACTGCTGTGCTCACCAAATAAACTGAGGATAGTATAAAAAATGTACTTCACTGTCAGCCGTAGTGGTCAAAAAGTGTGCTAAACAAATCAACTGATTTCACATTTTATAGAAAAGTCTATCTAAGTCATACATCTGACTTTTGAAATAAAGCATAGTGAGATTTTAATAACTAAATTAAACTTCTTCATGCACAGGACAAAATCAGGTCTCGTGCTTCCTTCCTTCCGAACAGTGAGGAAGAGGGAGTCTCTCATCCAGAGGAGATATCCACTGCATCGCTCTCTCATCCAGGTAGGAACCACCTGGTGAGGGAGACAACACTTTCATGACATGAATGTATGAAGCACAGTTTGAGGCACACTATTTGGGACGACATGGGACTACATATTAAAGTTTCAAAACTAAACACTTTAGTCAAACAATTACATTAACAAACACACTGATATAGGCAACGTTAGAGCAACCACCCTTGTGTTCTGTAGGGTACAATCTCTGCTTCTCTCGTTGGGATGTGATGATGTAACCACTGCTGGTCACAAAAAGAAGTTTCTGCTATCATAAGTTTTAAACCTATAAACATGATTTAAGTAATATTCTCTGGCATTCAGATACACAACTTGAGGTGAAATGAACAAGTAGTTTGAGTGGACATGCTTTGAATAACAGATTTTCTTGCTGGGATTTTGTTGCCATCATTGAAGCCTGTGAAAAAGGCTCCCAGCTAAACCAGTCTGCTAAACCAGTTGGCAATTCCAAAACATATTGGATGGCAAAGACTCTTATACAAGATAAAATAGAGACTGTTCTCAGAAAACTCAACTACCATGTCTGCAATGCCTATAGAGTAATACACAAACTGCAAAGTGTGTCTTTTTGCAAAGCAGACACAAGATCTATTTGTGGTACTATTATCATGGCCATAATAACAGGACATGAAACACATTTGTAAAGTTCCTCAGAAATCTGAAAATAAAGAGTGTTTACCAGTTTTGTTGTGGACAGCTGTATCTTCAGCTGTGGTGTTCTGCAGCATCAAGTTCTCAGAAAAGTTCTCATTCCTAAAACATAAAAAAACACCAACACTGTCAAGGCCCTCTGCTTCTTAGGCAGAGTCACAAGGTTCTCTGCTGCACCTGCATATCACACATAGGCCTTCAAACATTCTGTATTGTAAACCCATTGATACACAAACTTCTCCTGGCCACCATGTGGAAAGGCCTGAGGAAATTCTGCTTAGGGTGGCGCTGACATGTGCCTCTGTATGACATGCAACAGAAACAGCTCATATGTTTGAATTAGTCCTTCAACCCTGCAACTGACTGTTGGGCCATGAACACCCTCTCGGCATATGTTGGCTGTGCAGCGAAGACAGTACCTTCAATGACAGAAGTGGAGCTCCCTCTGCTGGGTGAACCACAAGTCAACATCTTATTTAAACTGATTTATTCATTTCATTTCAAACACGTGAGATAAAAAGCCAGATGGTCATACAGAGAATATGACACAAAGGAGTACATGACTTATTATTTAGTATACATGTGTGAAAAGGAGTGGGAAGATGTATATACTACTTTTAATCCTGCTCTTCTCCATTATGTCATTATTTATCAATTATCCAGCTTTCTTATAGAGAAGCTTCAACCATCCTTCATGTTTTAAACTTATCAAACTGCAATAGCTTATAAAATCTGTGATACACAAAAATTGTAAAACAATTTAAACAGTTAAATTTGAACACCTCTTGACGTCCTCATTTAAACTGCTCCTTTGTTTCACTCCACCAACAGAAACATAAAATCTGTACCTAGTTGAAATAACCCCTAGGATTATTTTCTGCGTTTGATATTCTATAATACATATACATATATATTTATGTTATGTTTTACAATCAAGCTTTGAAAATTTTTGAATTAAAATCCTTCAGACTGTGCTGGTGGCAACTGTTGCGACCAAGTTGTCATTTCAAACTGAAAACAGTGTGTAAATTTATGACAAACACTCAAGTACTTAGATTATTGAAACAAGCATAATGATGGATTTTTCTTTCAATACCTTAAAATTTGATCTTTTTTTAGAAACACATGAAAAGTTAAATGCAGAGAAATGTTATTTATTTTAGTATTGTGGTCCAGAAATAATCATGGGACGGTTTTATAATTTGTTTCTATAACAAAACAGCAGTTTACACTAATTTATCCTCGTTTACTCTCTAAATCCCAAACTCCTTACTACTGCCCAGGATTAGTGCCTGTCTCCAAGAAGGAGAGAATGACGATTTGGGGAGGGCGTGGCAGAGACAGGATAGGAGCGTCAACACAAAACACAGCCTTAGACAAAGCACAGGTTCTTAGACACAGATCCTGACTCTACGATATGATAGACTCACCAAAATGTGAGTGCCATGTGTGTGGACATGTAGGGACTGTACAACAGCTGAGTGAAGCCTGATGGGGTCTGGAGCAAGCCAGAGAGAAATTACAGGTAAGGATGAACTACAGCTACACCAATGAATTCGATGGAAAAAAAAAATCTGAGAACATATTTTTTTTTTAGTTTGAGTTTGTGATTTATTTAGATCATATTCTCGGACTTTTACAATTGAACAGTTATTTTATGTATGAGCTTTAGGGTAAACATTGTCATAACTAGGGCTAATTTAGCCCATGCTAGTTTAGACCATGTCCATTACATACAGATTATAGTAACCGGGTAAATAAACAAAATATAAAGTAAGAATTATTTTGTTTTGGCTGACATTTATCATCAGTATAGATGTTTGGTATAATTTGACCCCTTTGATAAAACTGTTGATGATTACCTTCTCTATCATTGTACAAACACTACAATCATCATTGTTCAAAGGTATTATCAGTACATCTGTGTTGATGTTTTACAGTGGCATGTACCGTCCTTTCCAAGAAGGCGAAAGTATTAAGAAACCTCATTGATCGATGTAAATGATGATCGTCACTGCTTATAGGATGTAAACACAAACCTAACGCTCTTAAGAAATTAGCACAATCCAATTTGAATTGTGCCGTTGCTCTTCATACACAATCACCACAATCACACGCACACACAAACACACACAGTTGGATGTCCTCCAACCAGTAGGTAACTCACATGACGTGTAGGTCAGTCACAGGCCAATGACAGAACTCAGGTACTTCTTTTGGCCAAGTCTGTGCGCACACACTGGGAATTAGATGCTGGTTCTTACATCATTCTCAGTGTAGGGACACAAGACAGAACAACATCCAGCTGATTTATCAGGGTGTCAGGTTTATTGAAAAGGCATTAAAGTAAAAGCTTAAATGAAAATCTTTTGGGCCATACACTGTTGAGCTTTCAGGTGATTATTTTAATCTTACTGGGTTATTTTCTGATGACCCTGAATCGAAAACTCTTAAATTCAACATTTGGCCTATTTTACAACACTTTTTCTGTAAAGAGATCTTCTCAGGGGGCACAGGCAGAAAAGGTCTGGTCACCTTTGGTCTTGAGCCAAGCAGCGCCTTGGCTGAGGACCTTAGGTCAGGACTAGTATGGAGTGAGGAGATCAGAAATGTTGGGGTTCACATCCACTGTAGGCCTTTAAAGTTGATAATAAAGTCTTTGGGCCAATCATTTTCAGTGAAGAGAAGCTGATAAGTTCTAATAAGGAGTCTGGCTGCTGCATTTAGAATGAGCTGTTAGTTGTGCTCTTTTGGTTGAGACATTTGTACAGAGTTACAGAAGTCCAAAATGAGGAAATAAAAGCACAGATCATGCAATGCCCGAGAGGTAACAAGCAGAGGGAGAAGTGGTCTGTGGGCTGACCCCAGGAGGACTCTGCAAGTCAGCTTCACACTGATGACTGTGAGCTGCCCATAGTCAAAAGATCGAACTTACAAATAGGAGGAGAGTTAGTTAGGACTACCCAGTGATTGAGAGAATCTGAGGCAGCACTCAGATCTCAGTAAAGTTTGGATATGTTGTAGTTCTAGTTGTGTTGAGTCGCTTGGTTGCCTTTTGGTTGATTTTGTGCTACAGTATTCAATCGTGTTTTTTGTACTTGTGTGTTTAATGTTGGTTTATGTTCATTTTCTTTTTTGTGTTCAGGTGATTGATGTTGGTGTTTGTATTTGCAGAAATGATTTTAAAGCTGTCAGTCTTTCTGATGTCACATTGCCCCCCCTGTGGACAAAGCTGTACCTATTTGCTGATTATGTCTTGTATGTGTCCTGTATTTTTCTACCACACAGTAACAGTGAGTCCACCACCTTCACCTCCCAGTCCTGAGCCACAGCCTGCCTTCATCTCTCGACCTCCACCCACCATCCTCATCACTGCTCCATCACAAGACGACCTCTACGCCTCATCGCCCACAGTGACTATAGCTGAAGCTGTCAAAGAGAGGCGGCCTCTGTCCACACCATTCATGGTGGGAAATAAACTAGTGACCGGGAAGTGACTAAACACAGCCTGCCACTGAAGGTAGAGTGGGAAACAGGTAAGATCAGAGAGAGCCATGTAAAATCTAAAGCTGTGATAAGAGGTGAAAAAAACTATTTCAGTATCTGATTCGCATACTTAACAAATCTTAAACTATGATTCTTGGATAAAAGGTCCTCATCCACAACATCAATCTTGCTTTTATAGGAAAACTTTTTTAACTTTCTTTATTTGTGTGTGTCTGTCTGTCTGTCTGTCTGTCTGTCTGTCTGTACAGTCCTAATTGAGAGGGTGATGGACTTCAGGATCACCACCCAGCTGCAGTAGCTTTGACCTGACACACGGTGTCCCTGCCTTTTTAAACTCAGAGAAAGCTCTTTGTTGGCCCACCGGAATCTAAACATCATGGCGGCGCCCGGAGAAGTTCGGGGCTAACACTGCTTTGGACGGTACCCTCTTATTCTGAAGCTAAAATAAAAGGAAGGATGGACGCCACCGGGGAGGAAGAACCGGATCCTATTAGACTGAAGTCTGTTAAGAACAATAAGACCTTCACAGTGCCTCAAAATGATAGGGTAAGAGAAAGATTCGGGTCTGTGAGGGGGTCCTAAAACATCAACAGCATAATTAACATGATGTTTACTTCAAATCAGCAAATAACTCTCACAAACATATGGGATATATTTGACAAAGGCAAATTTTACACATGAAAGGTGGTTTCATTCACTCATGTTAAGTGGGATTTATATGTTCTGGTTCTGAGAATTGTTCACACTTTTACTTCCACTGCTTTTTTATTACAGCATCTCACTACATTTTACATGGCAAACAAAATAACATTAAAGCTCCTCATCAGCTGGCAGACAGTCTCAGCTGATCATAATATCTACAGTAGCTACACAGTAGAAAAAAACACTCGAATTTAACACAGTTCCAGCCAGACCATCTCACTACCTAATTTTCAGCTCCATGTATATGACAGGCCAAATAAAGATACTTTGAGTCAAAAACTTCCTGAAAATACAGGATTGATTCAAATAAATTGTCTGGAAATTTGTATTTGTAGCCATTTTTACTTATTACAATCAATTAACCTCAAATTTGTGGTGTGTAATAACAAGTGTGTCTGCGCAACCATGATTTGACCATCTACAAGAACAATCCCAACAAGAGATGAAATGTTCAGCAACTTCATTTTGGACAATTATGAAGCAAAACCACTTTAATTAGCTTTGGTTAATAAGCTTTCACATGATTGAAGAGCATATCTTACTGCCTCAGTTCCACTACCATGATCTAAAGTACATTTTAGATACTGTACTTCTTAAGTAAAATGTACTTTACAGGATACCCAGGAGATTACTATGACAGCAAGAAAAAGCATAATGACATATTTACAGCTAAAGTCATCATTATAGTCACATTAAGTCTCGACAGCAGTTGCCAGTGTTCATTGATAAAAAAAAAAAAAAAAACGTTTTTTGCTCTCTGTTTAAAGAAGATTGCCATCAGATCTTAGAGAGTCCTAAGTCTACTTTTGTTAGCTGAGCTCATGAGGTAACTTTGTGTTACACCTGTGTTATGAGGTGAAGTTAGTCATTGTCTGCATTAGCTGCTAATCTTATTACTGGCCTCTAGCAACATGTAAACATGCATGATAGGCATCCAACGATCCTCTATTAAGTAATTCCTAGAAAAATCCTTGCTACCCTTATTTACCTTCACTATTTCTTTTTTTTAGGGCTTAAGAAGCTATTTTGAGTCGACTCAGATTGTTTTGGCTTTCATTTGTTTTTCCATTTTGATAATAGTTAAAACCCACACAGGCAGTTCTTCTTCGTGATGGTTAAGTTTTGACTATCACTAATGAACAGATGGATTTCTTTTTGAGTGTTATATCAGCCTCAATTTAAACTTTAAAGTTTGGTGTAACATTTATTCTTGAAGTTTCACTCCAGACACTGATTAACCAAAATGTGCCAATAGTGTAAGGAGAACCTGCTACCTTTCTTTTTCAGTTTGGAAGCTGCAGGAGCGTGAGAGAGTTTGAAAAACTCAACCGTATAGGAGAAGGAACTTATGGCATTGTGTGTAAGTTATTCGTGTTTAAGACTTCACATTGTTCTCGTTTAAAATACAAAATGTTATATTGCATTCAGAGTTGAGAAACAACTGTTTTCTGGCCCTGTCATAGACCGAGCCCGAGACACCAAGTCGGATGAGATTGTAGCTTTGAAGAAAGTCCGGATGGACAAGGAGAAGGATGGTAAGATCTCTCCTTGAGTGTGTGTATTTTCAGTGAAGTTTTTCTTAGTTTTTTATGTGTTTTGTATGTATGGGACATCAGTGGTCTTGACAATGTCAAACTCTTGATGGAAATGTCTTTTTCTTTACTTTTTAGTGCTTCTGTACTCAGTTTGTTAACACCTAGAAATTAAGTTACTCCAGCATCAATTCTGTAACGAGAGAGACAAAAAAAACGCAGATTGAACAGTCATACGAGTCAACAGTTTTTCAGAAATCAGTAACATAGCAACAGTCAAAGAGTGGCAGTGGTGTTTGCGATTACACTTTGGTCAGTCACCTGTAATGATCTGTTACTGAACCTTCCCCACTGTCTTTCCTTCAGGGATCCCCATCAGCAGCCTCAGAGAGATCAACCTGCTGCTCAGGCTCAGACATCCAAACATAGTGGAGTTGAAAGAGGTGGTTGTTGGCAGCCAATTGCAGAGGTAATACACACACACACACACACACACACACACACACACACACACACACACACACACACACACACACACACACAGAGGTCCTCTATAGTTATCTGAGGATGTTATCAGCATGAATTACACAAAAATGGACAGTAGATGTTCAATAATCTCAGTTTTTAACCGTGGTTTAGTTGTGGTTCTGAAAAATACCCTGCTGTTGACAAGGCCATGACTTGGACTAAGCCGTCTTTTGTAGATTTTATCCTTTGAATGTGTAAATCTCATTCCTTTTCATGTATACACGTCATTGTATCACTCTTTCTATATATCTGTAGAGGAAAACGTAAAAAAAATCTTCTATGGCAGCGTGTGGTTTGTGCTGCCATCTACCCCACGGCAGCAGTGGGCATTAAAAATAACTGAAGAGGAATAATCAGTGTTGTCTGTTGGTGTAACTTGCTTTTGTTTGTAGACTTTACAATTTCAGTTTGTTGCACACCCAGTAAGAAACTCCTCACAGTAGCTTTAAGTAATCCCAGTTACAAAAAAACCACATCACTTCAGTCCGCTCGGTCAAAGAGAAAAACAAGTAGTTTGATTTCTTAATCTGGGGTTTGAGTAACTAGCAGGTTCATAAACAGTTTGGTTCAGCAAGAAGCCAACACAACTAATTCTTGGATTAGTAAACCCTCGCTGTGAATCTGTTAAAGTGCTTGTTTTACTGTTGACAGACTCAGGCTAATCGACCCAGTGTCTCATAACACTAGAACAAAGATCAGCAAGCAGCAATGAACGTCTTGTTAAAATACTGTAATCCTAAGTATGAAGGTTGTGACCCTTATCCCATCCTTTACGAGTGAGTAGAAGCCAGTTTTCAATCACTGTACTTTACTTTTTCTTTCATGGAGGATGACTAACACTCACAATGATCACACACCAACCAAACCAAATCCAAACTTGGAGCTTGAATCAAGTCTGTCTCAAGGACAAACAACAAACTCTTTCTTAGACGGAGAGAATTTAAAAAAAGACCACACTTGAATACAAAAGTTGATCTCAGATAGGATCTCTCAGTCATGTAGATCTAATACAAGTTATATAAATGGAGCCCAGGTGTAGCAATACTAAAACTCCTTTTTAACACTTGTTAACTCTGGTATTCTCTTTTCTTTTGTGTGTCTCCTCTTCAGTCTGTTCCTGGTGATGAGTTACTGTGAACAGGACTTGGCCAGTCTGCTGGAGAACATGCAGACACCGTTCTCTGAGGCTCAGGTAGGACAAAGCAAAATTCCCAAATCTAACGTTTCCCTCAAAGTCCAATCAATGAATTTACCAGATAACAGGGAATTTGTTTCATGGGTAGGATTTTCTGAGTGACCTTAAACTGATATTTGGAACCAGTGCACATTTATGTAGAGATTAGTATTTTTGGGGGGGGGGGTCAAAATGTGTAATTTGTAACATTAAAAACTACAACACAAAACCTAAATTGGATGCCTTTAGCAAATGTTTAATCAGAACTGAAACTTTCAACATCAAATGGAGGAGGCTCCCAAGTTTCAAGTACCACCGATTCTGACAAAGGCACTGGTGTGATGTTCAAGTTAATCAGATTATGTTGTGTGCAGGATATTAGGTGAGCCAGAGTGGTGAGCGAAAAGAGATCCAAACTAAATGACATGCTGCAGCTGTGCGAAAGTAGCACACTCTTTAATTAGTTTAAAATCTGCAAGTAAAATAACATGCCCCAAAGATGAACAGCTAAAACACCAGTAGCTCCATAATTGGTCGACCCTTGTTCCAATACCCAAATTTAACATTACAGCCAAACACAGGTCACCAAAACAACTCTAGATGACTTGCAGGCTCCATTCTAAGTGAAAACACATTAATGAATATGTGTTATACAAAGCAGCTGGTCTGTTTTATAGTAACACTGTAGACTTATCCTAAGTAGCAGTGCACAAGTAAGTGTATTTTGAATTTTGAGGAATTTTTTGAGCTTTTTGTGCCTTCAGCCATTTAAATACAGTAAATGTTTTCTTTTATCTGTAAAATCTGTCAGATTAAATGATTTGAGGAGGAACAAAAACTTTTTGGATAACTCCTCACATCAGTGTTCCACACTAAAGCTGTGATTTCAGATAAAGACATCACTTCCATAATGACTGTGGGAGCCTGCAGCAAATAAAAACTGAGCAGTTCTTTTATTAAGTTTTCCAAAGTATTGAATCATGAAAGCTTCCCTCTCACGAGGTGAACCACCAATTTAACATTTTTTTTTATCTGTGACATATTTTCTTCTTTCTCTTCTCTGTATTATCCTTTCCTCAGGTGAAGTGTATTGTTCTCCAGCTGCTCAGAGGTCTGCAGTATCTACACCATAACTTCATTATTCACAGGTAAGTCCCAAACACTTAAAAAGTCAGATGTGTAAAAGTACAACTTTTTCAATAACATTTGAATTTCAAACAACAAAAGTAAAACACTTTCACTACAAAAACTTTCACTGACTAGAGCAGATCTGAAAGTTTATTGCACTATCCCAACTTCTATCTACAGTCCAGCGTTTCTTATGGACAACAACTTGAGAATAATACAAGAAGGTGCTAAAAATCTGATTTTTCTCTCTAGAGAAAAGAAAGAAATAGGTTGTATGACATAAACAAATAAATAAATAATTGATAAATCTAAAATCAAATTTCTGATCAGGCTGAAAGGATGAAACGTACATCTGACTAAAGGTTTTGGATCTATGTCAGAAAAGATCCTCACACCTTAAAAAAAACAACTTTATTTCCACCATAAACTGAGAAACGTGATACTGTGGGCATTCCTTCAGCTTAGTTACAGTGAACCTCAGGCCTTAGTGACAGGATGAGGCATTTGTTTTTAGAGTCAGGCTTCTCTAGAAGTTAAAAAAAAAAAAACTGAGAGTCCACTCAGCTGTCCTTCGAATCAAAGTTTCAGACCAGAGCCAAAGTCTGAAAATGACAAAGAAGAGATTCACAGCCGGTGGATACAGGTAGTTTATCTCTGATGACATGAGCTCCATGCAAAGGAGACCTGCAAGAGTGACAGACACACAAGCATGTGGATTTAATCAGCTTAAACATTGAATCCAATAAAATGTCCGGGCACATCTTCTTCCTGTTGGCGAGCTGTCATGGCAGATATTGAATCTTTCTCTCATGAATGGCTGAAAAAATAAGAAGTGCGTTAGAAAAAGTAGGAAGCACATCACTCACTTTATCTTTTGTATCTCTGGTTGTTTTCAGCTCCTCCTGTCCTCTTTTTATCTTCCTCTTCCTACTTCACATCATTACGCCAGGCAGTTAGATTAGATAAGCAGACTGATCTGGTTTTCAAAGCTACCCTTGCATCCAGTGCTGAGTTACAAAAGCAATTAATTAAGCTAATGAGGTAAATTCAGAGTTCAGAGGAAGGCGCAGGTCCTTAGTTTCTCCATTGGAAAAAAAGAGTTCTGAAGGTTAAAGAGTTAATCAACGTTTAATAAATCAGGAAGCTGTCAATTTAAATCATGAAAGGTGGTATCTAGTCAGTTTTAAAATGGTTAAAAATAAATCAAGAATATTTGCTGAATAAATGTGGTTTAGGTCTAACAAAGAAGATCAACTTCTTTTTGTTTTATTTTATTGTTTGTTTTTAAATCTTTTAATGGATCAAAGTACATCTCTGACCTCTTAAATGTTTATACCCCCACACGTTCCTTGAGGTCTGCTGATCAGCTCCAACTCATTCCTAAAACCCGTATAAAAACCTGAGGTGATCGAGTTTCTTCGGCTGTGGCTCGCAAATTATGAATTGAATTGAAAGTCTTAAAACTCGTTTTTATTCCTTGGATTTTAGTTCACAATGAGAGTTGTGTGACCTCTGTCCTTGTATGTCTTTTATTATCCTAATCCCTGTGTTTTTTATCGCTTCTATTTCTTTTCTGTTTTTATGTTTTTATTTCATTTATTTTAATTCATTTTAAATGTTCTTTTACCTGCTTTTATGTCTTTCCTTCTAATGTTTTTACTTCTGCAGTGTTTGTTCTTGTGCAGCACTTTAATGTTTTTAATATGTGCTATATAAATAAAGTGGATTGGATTGGACTGTTTCTGTCATGTGAGTCAGGAGGCCCCTGAAAGTGAAAATAAGTTTGAATGACACCATGTGATCAGCTTTTATCTACATTGTCTTTTAAGGGGAGATTTGGGAGTGTGAGCATTAAACATAAAGTATGATGTGCGCTTTCAGGGGCTGCGAGCCAAGCTGCCACTAACTATAACTCTATTATTTACTGAGGTTGTTTTTTTTGTTTAAACAGAAACACAAAAGTGGTTGTGTTTTATAATATCACTTAAAACATTAAAAAATAAGTCATCTTCAAGTTGTTTCCTGGCTGACAGTAGGCCTGCCTGCATGAAAAACTTTGATAAACACTTACATGTGAGTATGGGGTTGATTTAGGCAGATATAAGAATTTGATACAACATTAAAAAGAAATCGAAACAAGTAATGAAACTGAATTTCTGAGTCAAACTCAGTCTAAATCAATATTGTGTCAGATATCACAAACAATGCAAGCCTCTAACAATATCCCACAGTGAGTTTTCCTTGTCAGCTACAGAGCAGCAGGGAACTAAAGGATGTTCGGCTGTTTACCAGATCATCTTATCTAAGCCTGTATAAATCTGGATTGTAGATATTAATGTGTATAGATTGAGTTAAAGCTATTTTCACAAATAGGTGAAAGGTGAAGGGGGGTGGGGGTTTAGACCTGGTTCACGATCCTCTCCAATCTTCTTACTAGGGACCTGAAGGTGTCTAATCTGCTGATGACAGACAAAGGCTGCGTAAAGATTGGTGAGTCATCAATGTTACCATAACCCCCTCCCTCTAATCACTTTATACCTGCACTGACATACATCCCTAACTCTGCAGCACTGACCTTTCACCTCTCTGACCTTAATCTACAGTAGTATTTTTCGATGTAATGACTTGGCTATAACATAATTCAGGATTGAAGCTTTTCACAGGTATACTCTAAAAAACGCAGTGTAATTTTTATTAATCTTGCTCTTGTTTCTGCTTGTAGCTGACTTTGGATTGGCCAGAATGTACGGCATCCCCCAGCAGCCTATGACGCCTCGAGTAGTCACACTGTGGTGAGTGTCTGGGTGAGTGTGTTGTACCCAGCAGATCATCAGTGTTTCACTTTATTGATTCTGCTTCAGTCTTAGCTGATGATCCCCTACCCTCCTTTCTCTGTTTATCTGCAGGTACAGAGCTCCAGAGCTCCTCCTAGGGACCAAAACCCAGACTACAGCACTGGACATGTGGTGAGGAATAAGCTCGTAATCTTACCATGCAAATGAACTTCATGTGGTTTTAACATCTAACTTTTTATGAACAGGAAAATGATGATTTACTTCACTGTATTTGACACATTTTAAGTGTATTTCTGTTATTTCATATGTCAGAACATGAAACCAAAGAAATAAAAGTTACATTACAAAAACATCATTAACAATGCTAATAGATATTGTTTACCTAGCACTTATTTTATCAGTTTTACCAGGTGTGTCATTTATTAGTTGTATGTTTAGTGAAGAAAGGAAGAAGAAAAGGGAGGCTGGTGGGCTGAACAAACTGGATTTGTCATGTTTCTTCTTTGCAGGGCTGTAGGCTGCATCTTGGCAGAGCTGCTGGCTCACAAACCTCTGCTGCCGGGGACCTCTGAGATCCAGCAGGTTGATCTTATCGTCCAGCTGCTGGGAACTCCAAATGAAAACATCTGGCCGGTGAGACTTAAGCTCAAGAGTTTCTGTAAATTTGATAATGAATGCCTGCAAGGCCTGATGATGTGACTGTGTGTGTGTCTGTTTGTGTGTCAGGGTTTCTCTCAGCTGCCCCTCATTGGTCAGTACAGTCTGAGGAAGCAGCCGTACAACAACCTAAAGAATAAATTCACCTGGCTGTCTGACGCTGGACACAGACTGCTCAACCTGCTCTTCATGTACAACCCGCAGCGAAGGTACTGACTCACACTCACAGAATATAGAGGTGTTAGGAGGATTGTGGCTGAAGTCATTTACAGACAGTTTGTCTGTAAATGACTACAATCTCATTTTCACTCAAAACACCACGTCAATGTAAAACAGTGGTTCTCAAGTCCAGTCCTCGAGGCCTCACACCTGATTCAAATGATCAGCTCGTTATCAAGCTCTGTAATGGCTTGATAACGAGCTAATCATTTGAATCAGGTGTGTTGGAGCAGGGAAACATCCTAAACATGCAGGACAGGTGGCCTCGAGGACTGGACTTGAGAACCACTGATGTAAAACAAAGCCAAGAGGGAAAAAAAACATCACTGAATAGCTGTGATTTTCAAGCACTGCATTGAAAACAGACATGACTTTGAACTGAAAATCACTGCATGGGCTTAAAATCGTTCTGAAAAATAGTTTGTAACCACAGTTTATTGCAGCATCCAAGAATGCAAGTTAAAAGTGTACCATGCAAGAAAGAAGAGGTCAAAAGCCAGCATTCATGAGGCTGTGAAGTTGCGCATTTCATGTATCAAATTTAAATTACCGCACACTTTAAAAGACTGGTTACTAAAAGGCAATGAATTTGCTATTTTTTGATCAAATATATTCTAAAACATATCTGTCACTCAGCTTTACTGTCAGACAAAGAGAGTAAAATCTGAAGCAGATAAAACCGGCCCTCCATTGAATGATTTTATTTGAATAACAGTTTTTTTTTTTGTGTGTGTGTTTCAGAGCTACTGCCAAAGACTGTTTAGAGAGTTCCTACTTCAAAGAGAAACCTCTACGTGAGTGAGCAGATTTCAGATCAGCAGAAAAAAACACTAAGACTGATCAATAATCAGTCATTAATCTTGTTTCTCTGCTTCTCTCTTCAGCCTGTGAACCGGAGCTGATGCCAACCTTCCCCCACCATCGCAACAAGAGGGCCGCTGCTGCTGCTCCAGCAGAGAGCCACTCAAAGAGGAGCAAAGTGTGACGAGACACGACACACCGGACTCTAAACAACCTCTAAAGCTGGCGTTTTCAGGAGGGTGCGCCTGAAGGACAAACGCTGGTGTCTGTTTCCACTGCAGGCTTATAACAGGAATTAGCTCGGAGCAAATGCAAACCTGTTGAACTCAGCTGAAGCCAACAAACTCGGATTGGCACAGATCGACACCCTGCTGGGCTGCCTGAACAGACCTCTGCAGTGATCAGTATGATGCACCAGGGATAAAGCGATTGATTAAAAGGCTGTAATCACACATTCTGTGATGAGGATCCAGTCATTCTGGAATCAAACCAGCTTGCTGGAGCTTTGTGAACCGCTACACTGTGCGTGTTTGATGAACCTTGTGAGTCAAGAGAAAACAGGATTGAAGCAGAACAACATGTATGCAGAAAAAACAGTCTTGCGGGCTTTCTTCTTCTCAGCTTGTCTATGACCAGCTGTGTGCCTGGTCAAAGTGTCCTTCGGTAAAATTCTGAACCCTCACTGTTTTTTTTGTTTTTTTTTTTACCTGTTTTTGTTGCTGGTTAAAGTAATAGGTTGACTTTTAGGAAACAAAGCTCTTTGATCATCATTTGAAACAACATTAGGAAATCTTCTCCGTAACAAACAGGCCTGCTAGAATCGCTGAATCAAGATGCTCGTTTTTCAAGTTAAGATTTCTTTCCTGCTCATTATCATGGATTTTCACAGAGGTTTTAATTTCCCTAAAACAATCAGACCCTGTGATTACAGTGTATAAATAAACCTGAACAATGTTACATCCAAATTCTTTCTCTTTAAGCCTCATCTGCTGAGAACAGGCATCAGGAGGGGCTGCAAGGCAAGCTGCTCTTATCTCAAATGTAAGGTCTTTTTAAAAGAGACCTACGATACTTACTGTCACCGTTACTTATATCAGTTAGTTTATTTTTGCACGACTTGCTAAGAATCTGGAAAACATGTCTGTGTTTCTTTTGTTTGGAAACTGCCCAGGTTTCGTGTGGACATCAAATTCGAATATGTATCAGCATGATAGGTCATTTTTAGGGTCAGGGTCCACTCATCCTTTGTTCATGAGGGTTTCACAATTATCTACAAAGGTTTTCCCCTGTCCAAACTCCAAATCTAACATGACCAACGTTCTCCTGAACCAATTCATTAAAACTTGTAACAACTCTAAATGTTTCCTGTTAGGCCTGAACGATATATCGTTTGACTATCGTCATCGCGATGTACGTGTGTGCGATAGTCACATCGCAGAGCCTGCGATATTGGAGGTGAATAAACTCATTTAATTTCAAGGGTAACCGACTGAGATACACTCCATGTGACTCTGCATGTGCTGTGCAGCGATCCACCAATCGCCTTCGTCCTTAACTCAGTTGCCAATCAGACTCACTTCTCAGTTGCCAATCAGACTACCCTGCCAGCTGTCAATCAAAATCAGGGAGGAGAAAACCCACCCCTGCACATGTTCTGCACATGGAGGGAGACGCGTGTCCGCTGAGAATTACTTTCGGAACTTTACTCATGACTGTTAAGCTCAACAAATAAGAACTGTATGGGTTTTAAATTGTACATTTCCGTGGACCACTCTACTATAAGCAGTGTGCGTTTTGCGAGGTGCATGCAATTCTCGGAGGACATGCGTTTCTCGGCACAACACCGCTAACAACAACAACAACGATCGCAAAATGAACAACGAACAAGCGAAAACCACCGAAAATGAAGATTTGTTGCCAAAAAGAAAAGGAAAGTCAGTTATCTGGAATTATTTCGGTTAAAAGAAGGATGATGTCGACCAAAACACGTCTTCTGTGTTCATCTGTTGCCACAATAACGTCCCAGCACAATAAAAGCTAAAAATATCTCTGAGACAGACAGAAGCCGTTCTACTAACATTCACAAAAAGAGGTAAGATCAGAGCAGATTAACCGTCCTCAAGATTTCAGCAGTGCAGCATAACATTAAGTGCTATTCAGGTCATCAAGTGAAAATACTGTATTTTTAATACCGCAATATATATCGCAGGGTTGAAAAAATCGCAATATTATTTTTTTCCAATATCGTGCAGCCTTATTTCCTGTACAAAAGCAGTGGGTGTTTGGAGGGCTGCGAGCTGAGCTGTCAATTACATGAACTCTGTAGCGAAACGACAGAATCCAGAAAATTGATCAAGTTGACTTGCCAAGAATCTGGAAAACAGATTCAGAGTCTGTGTTTCTCTTGTTTGGAAACTGCCCAGGTTTCGTGTGGACATCAAACAGTGTAATATTGTAGGTGTGTATTCGAATATGAATCAGCATGATAGGTCTTTTTTTAGGGTCAGGGTCCACTCATCCTTTGTTCATGAGGGTTTTACAATTATCTGCAAAGGTTTTCCCCTGTCCAAACTCCAAATCTAACATGACCAACGTTCTCCTGAACCAATTCATTAAAACTTGTAACAACTCTAAATGTTTCCTGTACAAAAGCAGTGGGTGTTTGGAGGGCTGCGAGCTGAGCTGTCAATTACATGAACTCTGCCGCTAAACAACAGAGTCCAGAAAATTGATCAAGTTGAAAAAAAAAAAACAAGCATTTATTTTCTTTAAATTACATGAAAGTGGTGATTTGGGAAAAGGTGACTGTCATTTTACTGCAGGGGATGATGGAAAACTGACAAACTTTAGTCTTATGTGTGAAGCCTGAGATCTGTGCTGACCCAAAGGAAAAAGGATTAAATGATCAAAACCTGTATTGAACAGCCAAATCTGAGCGGAGTACAGCCCTAAGCCTACTTACCAAATATTGAACTATTTAAAGCGCCTCCATGTGAACACCCAAAAACAAGAGAAGCTCTGTTGTTAAAATCACCGATCAGTATGAGCTCAGAAAATGTAAAACGAGTATCTGAAGTGACTGTAATTTAGCAAAGTGGGTAAAAAAACCTCCACATACATCGTAACAGAAATATCAAACCAGCTGCAGTTTCGTCTTTCATTTGAAATGTCAGTTTTTATTAATGCAGGATAAATTAGTAGTTATGGTTACAGGGCCAGCAGCACGTTTAGCCCCCTCACAGGGACATTAATGGCCGACCTCCCACTGAACCAGTATGTACCTCCACAAACACACGGACTGAGCAGTAACAGCACTCTGAGCTAACACATGAAGTGCCATCACTGGCATTCGGGCCTGCGGTCCTGATGCAACAGTGAGAGGTCAGAGAGTTCGTACACAACAAACATCCAATAGCAGTTTGATGCTGAACAAATCGACTGTGATGACAGCCAGCCCTGAACACAGTCATGAAACATTATGGTAGTGTCTACCTCAGAGGATGACTCTGTGTGTGTAAATCTGCCTCCAAAAAAAAAAAAAAAAACACTAAATAAAAATCTATCACTGGAGCTCTACCAGAAAACATCAACTAAAGAAATACTTCAAGTGTAAACATACCGAGTCTCTATAATAGTCAGTCAACTTACATGTTGTGTCATTGAACATGTTGGATAAATAGTGTGCAGAAACAAAGTTGAACAAAGAGAGATGTGCTTCATTGAGTCTCGGTAACACTTTCAGGTGACTGCAAGAACATCCACTTCAAAATCGACGCATGACAGCTCAGCTTAAACTCAGACAAATGCATTCTGGGAGTGCGGAAACTAATTTTTCTTTCAGCAGCTAACCATTTCAATCTTTTATAGGAGATGTTCTGGAGCTTTCCATCATTTAACACGACATCAAACTTTTTTATTTTAAAACATTTCGTAGCTCTTTCATTTCGTCCTCCACTTTTTTTCACCATTTTCTGAATGATGACAAAAAGAGTTATGCAATCACTCCTCACGTGTAACACTACCGAACCATCAGAAATTGTGACAAGTCACTGTTCAGCTTCCTTTAACAGAAAAATTATGTTTGAATATCATTCTTTCAGAGCACTTGGTGGACTTTGATGTGGGTCGCTGTTGGCTTTGTGGTTTAAGTGTGCAACCCATGATCCTCATTGCAGTGGTTCCTGGATCCTGGATGTCTGCCCTCACTCTCTCCACCCAAAAATTTCCTCTACCTCTTTATCTGCCTGAACCATTAAGAGCAAAAATACCCCCGGAAAAGATGTAGTGTTTAACGCCTTGTGATTTGATCAAATACTCCAGAAAAACTCTCAGGTGAAGCAACTGCTGAAGAATTACTGACTTCAGTTTTTAAAATGGCACAGATTATTAATCCATATAGAGAATATTCATCATCATGACCAAAGCTCCAAAACAGCTACCAAATGGACCTCATGATTTCCAGATTAAAATAAGGTGATGTTTGGCTCTCAATCAAGCACATCTCTCGACTGTAAATATTAAATATGAAGGTGTCACTGAGACACACGAACACACACACAGCTGTATGGGGACACTGAGGCAGAGATGATCAGTTAATTTAACCCTTCATCAAATAACAAAATAACAGGGCTCTCAACTTATAGACACTTACAATAAGACACACAAGTTTCATAAAAACACTGAAATGCATTCACACACTCGCATGCCAGGCAGGAGAACTAGCTGCTTCTTCAGATGTCACTGTCCTTCATGGCGATCCAAAGCAAAAGTGCACAATGGCAAAAAAATGTACAGTCCTTCAGTCAGACAGAGTCGGCTCAGAGAGGGGGCGAACTTTCAGTTTCCTCATGGTGATGCAGGTTAGGTGAAAAGTTCTTGTAGTGAATACGCTGTAGCGGCTGAGGGGAAATGGGCTCTGTTGTCCTAATACCAAATCACACCAAGATTTAGCATTTGGTCAACTTCCCCAACGAACATAAATAATACTTACCTGGATGATAAGAAGGAAGAAATGTAAGATATTTCTCTTCTTTCAATTACTCCTGTCATTTTTTATTCATGAGAGGAAGTGAACCAAGTGCTGGGCTGAGAGAAAGCATACGGGTTGGTACAGCAGTTAAACGGGGTTGAGGGCGAGCTTGTGGAGAGAAGTTTGATCCTGTGTTGGACAGGTAAGAAGAGTGAGGGCTCCTGTCTCTCAGCCCTCCATCCCAAAGTCCTCTGTGAACTTCTTGACCTTCAGCAGGTCTTCAGTGTTGACTGTGGGACGGGTGGTGGACAGAGAGCGCAGCATGTCCGACTGCAAAAAGAAAGAGGGATACAACTCATTTTTTGTCATGTAAAGTCAAATATTTCATGATCAATCAGGGTACATATTGAAGTTACAGCATTCAATTCAAGGACTCGTACAATCTCAGTGGAATCATCTTGTTGCTGAAGACGTAAACACAGAAAGTCTCACCATGCAGACTATTGGCTCCAGTAGCTTATCACTAGGCACATCCATCCAGGTCATCTCCAGGGCTGCGGGGTCACCAGGAGAACAAGGGGTCAGGAGGTCGTCTACCATCACCTGGTTGTTACTTCGAGACGGACCGCGAACCTGCAGTAAAAAAAAAACACACAAAGGTCCAGAGGTCATTGGGAAATCTTAAATCTAATAAATGTTTGGGCTTCATTTTATATTTTGTAGCTGATTGTTGTCTGGTTTTGTTGTATTAATTTGCTCATTGCAGTAAAATGTCACAAGAGGGGCCGTTGTTGACTTACTTTTTTATTACAAACAGATTTTTATTGCAAAGAAGTAAATCAAAGTAGTCTGGAAATAATACTGGGTCAAAGTTCCTGACCTGCTCACTATAAAAATAAATTAATAAATAAATAAATTTAAAAAACATTTCTTTGCCCATCTAAGAAAATAACTATTTTTCTAGTACAGCGTATCTCTTGCTAGATTTATGGGGTTGCTGGACTTTACAAAAGTCTTTCAAAAAGTTTGCTTTTCATTTCACATGACTTTTTTTTTTCAAGTCAGCAGCAAACTGAACATCATTACAACGTAATCCTCTTTATAATCTGATCTCTTAGAGCAAGTTACTAAAGAAAAACTTTAAGTGAATGGTGAATTAAAAATCATTCATAATATGTAAGCTAAATTACTGGTCTTAAAGACTTTCAAAAAAAGATCCTCAATACTGTACATATGTTTCTTGCATTGAATTCCCTGTGATTACTTCGTTTTGTAGTTTCATATCCATCAATAACAGTAGATTGGAAGATTGGAAAAGGATTAAAAGTTTCTGAAAATAATATTCCTGGAATTGACATTATGAATCTGTCACCGTATTCAACAAAGTTGCTAATTTCCTTGTCACCTTTTTGAAGTGTGTTGCAGACTGAACCTTCCTGACTGGCTGCATGAGAGCGTCCCGCACGATGATGCTGATGTCGGCACCAGAGTAACCGTCTGTTTTGTGGGCCAGCTGTCGCAGGTCGGCCTCGCTCAGGCTGTGTGGAGTATTGCCCAGGTGGAGACGAAACATCTGAGCCCGAGCTGGCTCCTCAGGCAGAGGGATGTAGATACGCTTCTCAAATCTGACACAAAACAGAGGAGAAGGCACATTACTAGTTGTTGAAAAATAAAAATTCCTTTTTTTGCAGGTTTAAGATGCACTGGAAGCTTATTGCACACAACCAGGAGCTGAATTCCAGACTGAAATTTTCTGTCAAGGGGTGCTCATCTATGTCAAAACATAAGATAGCAACAGATCCAGATGGCTGTATGACATCAGAATCATCCTGGTTTTGGTCGAATTCTGGAGATATGGGGAAAATCTTGTTGTTCATGTCCTCTTTTTATCGATCATGGCTGTCAAGGGTCCTGTGTGCAGTTGTTGTTTGATTTCTGATCCAGTAAAAAATCACCAGAAACCCAGATAAGCTGTTGTACACACCAAAACATGACGATTCCTGTCAAAAACCCTGGCTGACTGCGGGTTTTCAGAAAACAATGTCACATGTCAAAGATATAACTGGGATGTGCATTAGGTTGACCACAAACAACATCACTGCACCGCACAGTCTCTAAATCTGCTGTTGTCTTTGCAGGATAACTGAAATAAGTTTGTGTCTACTGTCTGACATGACTGATTTTCCTAACCAGCAAAACTCCCTCCTGTCAAACAATGCCTTCGACTTTGAGTCTCATTTTAGAGGAAATGTTGAAGAATAGTAGTTTGATAAATATCTTAGGACTAATAATACACTGATACAAATAGCTTTTAATCAACAAAAAGAGCAGGATCGTACTCATATCACTCTGAGTCAGTATCTATTTTCATGCCCTGTGTCTAATCTGGCATCCTCCTGTGAGTAAACAAAATATAGAACACTGTGTGCACTATGTGTTCACTTGCTTGTGTGTGAATTGTAACAAAGTGGTGTCAAGAGGTAGGTAGGGGTCTCTCTGTTAAAGCATTGGGTATTTTTAATCATTTTCATCTAAAAAGGCAGAACATATAATACAAACTTGTGACGAGACAAAATAAATGCAACAGTGGAGTATTGCAGTGACTTCTGACCTTCTCCGAATAGCAGCATCAAGCACCCAGGGGATGTTGGTGGCTCCCAACACCAGAATCCCATCATTGTTATTTCCCACACCTACAAAATCAGAGAGCGTCATTAAAACTTCCTGTGTTCCTCAGTGTGTTCAGGGTTGTGTTTTTGTACTTAATCCTTAGCTTTCTATAGTGTATCATATCAATATCATATTTGATGTTTTGCACATTTTTCCTCTCAGAACAGACACTCTCATCCAGCTCACCCTGCATCTGAACCAGAAACTCTGTCTTGATACGGCGGGCAGCTTCACTTTCGTTCTCGTTCCTTGAACCACACAGCGAGTCCACTTCGTCGATGAAGATGATTGAGGGTTTGTGTTGGCGAGCCAAGTCGAACAAGTTCTTCACTAGCCTGGGGGACACAGCAACAAAAATCATGTTTTCATGTAAGTTTACAGAAAAATGATCTTTTTACATCACAAACCAAATATGCTGTACTTGTTTCACTTGATCTAAATGTGGCTTCCAACTCTGATGTCTGCACACATGCTAATATGTATATTAGCTCAATATAAATTTATATAGCAGAGCAGCGAGACCTCTATACTGAGATTCCAGTAGGAAGCGCTGACAATTACTGTCTCTCTAGTCAGTTTTTTCCAGCCTTAACTACCACAGAAGCTGTGCACTTTCTTTTTAAATTTGATTCTATAATATTAACCAAACTGGACATGAAATGGACTTACAGTTTCTGAAAAGAGACGGCAGCTTTACCTCTGATTTGGGTGTTTGTCATGCTTAACTGTGGTCATTTTTATTGAACAATATTCCAATTATATACAAGTGGAAACTCTGCAAATGTCGTGTTCGGAAACAAGTCTAAAGGGCTTTTTTGAATCTTTTTAGGACTGTTGATGTTTCTCAAAAGTAATGCAGTCGGTTTTTCTCTGAAGTAAGTATCAGGTTAAATGACACTTCCAAAATAAGTTGTTACGAGACATTTTGATTGATATTTTCTCTGTATAATCTTATACTTCAAAACAGAAACATACTTTTCACTCTCTCCAAGCCACTTGGACATGAGATCTGAGGAGGAGACCGAGAAGAAGGTGGAGTTGTTGGCCTCTGTGGCAACAGCTTTAGCCAGGTATGACTTCCCTGTTCCTGGAGGACCAAAGAGCAAGATTCCTCTCCATGGAGTCCGCTTGCCTGAGGAAACAGAGAGCAGAAGTTGTATTGATCCTATGATGCATCCCAAGTGAACAGGCAAACAGTCATGAGTAGTAAATAACAGCAACATTTACTGAGTCTGCCAACCATCAGAGAACAAGGACGAAAAGTTTTGACTAAGAAAAAAAAGTACTAAGAAATGTATGTTTTTAAAATGATGATAAATATCATATTCGACAATCTTTTTAAATGATCTAAAAAACTTGTTTAAACTAACAAAAGTACACATTGTGCAATTGTGTTATAAGATAGCATTCTTATTTAAGTTAAAACATTGTACAAAGCTGTTTGTGTAAAAGACAGGATGATCCAACAGTACCAGTAAAGAGGTGAGGGAACTTGATGGGTAAGATGACGGCTTCTTTCAGAGCTTCTTTTGCTCCCTCCAGTCCAGCAACATCATTCCACCTGACGTTGGGCTTCTCCATTACAATGGCCCCTGAAGACAGACAGGTAGAGCATGGTTCAGATTAACAAAGTAAGAGACAGCACACCTGCAACCTCGGCACAAATAAGACCTAAGAGCTCCACTGAACTTCTAACTGTTACAAAAAATAGTCCAAGATTACATTTCACAACTTGCCTTCAATTTAGTTTCAGTAGTGTAGTGCGACTTAGTCAGTGAAAGGACTCAGATTATTCAATTTTCATCAGATCACCTCACTGGTTGAAGTCTCACACTAAATCATTTGACATCCTTCCCCTCCTGACCACAAGTTAAAGTTTACTCACCCATGAGCTGCTCCTGTAGTTTCTTCTTCTCTGGGTTTTCACCCTCACTGTCACTATCACTCCTGAAGACAAACACACAGAGAGGTTGACAGAAATAAGCTGACGTTTAGTGACATGCACTTGTATTTTGAGTAGTCAGAGGATAGACAGCATACTTGTCATTGCTCTGTGCCTCCTTGACTGGCTTTTTGCCCTGTTTGTCTTTGTTTTTCAGGTAGTCCTTTAGTTTCTCTGCTCGATCCAGGTACTGCATACACTTTGCTCGTATACTCTCCTTTGCCTTGTCACTATGGGCCTCATCTGGAAGAAAAAAAGAGATTCCGCATAATGTCAATAAAGATCACCAGTATTTTACCAACCGTCAAACTAGTCCTATTGCTGTTAGGCTGCAGCACTCCACTCACATTTGATGGCATGTAAGAAATATTCCACAGCATGCTGATACAGTCGCAAGGCCTCCTCATAGTTCTTCGCCTTGTCTTCCTCTGTGGCTTTGGTCACAAGATCAATAGCTTTCTGCAACAGGTACAAACACAGGTGGAAAAAATGTATACATGTCAGATGGAGTTTGTGCAAAGGTTAAATGAGCTAAAACTCCAGTTTACTTTCAATCTAAACAGAAGAGTTTTCCTCTTCACTTTACTCCAGTGGTTTGATAGTTGAGAAGTCACCGGATTCAAGGGTTCAAGGAAGTTTATTTGTCATACCCCACACCTTTAACAGTCTGTGGTACGAAGTTAGTACCCAAGAATAAAGCAAAGAATAAAAAATACAATACTATAAATAAAATATAATACAATAGCGAAGGTACAATACAAAAACAAAGAGCAAAATGTAAACAAAAGACAGTGTAAGTAGGCTGATATTAGCTCTGTTGCACTAAGCGTTCAATTTGAAAGCAGCACTTTGGCATATTAAACAGGTTTCTTTTTCTTTCAAGGAACAACATTTTCAGTTTTCATTTCAGATATGTTGTCTGTGAACTTTTTTAAGAGTCAATAAGGCTTTAAATGGTTTGCAAACCATCCAAATAGCTTTTCTAAACACACCTAACTTCTTTGAAACTGAGGTTGCAGTCAATCAAGAGTATATTTTTGACATAATAACAATAATTTTAGATAAACCTCTCTACCATGGCAGCTAATATCCTTTCTTTGATATTGGGCACCTCCATATGAGTTTCCAGCTGTCACCACAAGAGCTTCAACCACAACAGAGGACAACAAATACATTAAAAGAGTAATGCAAAAGACCCCAGAGGTATACTGGATTGAACAACAAAAACATGCTATTTTATAGGCAGTAACCAGACCATACTGCACATTAACTTCAATCTTTTCTCTTTCATTTTCCCTGGCATTAGTGGGGCCACAGCCCAGCTAACTCAGCTGCTCCCGTTATAAACAGAAGGACTCTACCGTTAACCAAGCTAATGTTAGCATCGCCACAACTATGGTCTCCTAATAAGACTTATAATGGTTCCCCTAACCCCCCACCATGGTGTTAGACTGATCTAAAAACTCTCATTTCGAGGACAATGTCACGAAAGGACTGTTCGCCAGCTCAGTTAGCTAAGCTGATATGCTAACATCGTTAGCTGGCTTTAGCGTCAGCTGTCCTGCCTGTTAGTCCGGGTTCAAGCTGCTTCATGGCCCGTTAGCTCCTCCAGCAGCAGCCTGCCTACCTGTAATGTTGACGTTGTCATTTCATCTCCCTCTTCTGCTCTCCGCCCAGATTTCTATCCTCTGACCCTCCCCGAGAATACACTTCTCTAGATATGAACTTATGAACAGCCTTATGAGGTGAGTGGGCAGACTGTTGTTGGCATGACAAAATATTATGTTAGCTAACAGATATGACAGCTCTCTCTGCCTCACAGGACCACAGCAACAACACAACACTGCGGCTGCTCACACTTCCGGTTCAACCTTTCACAATAAACTTGACAGAAACCTTCAACTACTGAGAATACACACTTTACCATCAAAGCTCAAATTACCACGAATATATAGTCAACAAAATTAACATTTCGTTTATTCTGAAATGTGTTCATTTTCTCAAAAACATAACATTATTTCTTGCTGTAGCCCTAATATTTATAATATAAAATTAAATATTAAATAAAATTATATTATTATTATTTCAACATTATACTCTTGATTAAAGAAGAGTAGGGGGCATGGGTTAGGTGATTAGATAATATTAAAATATTTATAACCTTACATTTGTGGTGGGTGAGTCAAAGTTGTCGCTGCCGCCACCCAGCGGCCAGATATGCAATAACTATAATGTTTTTCAGACCGAGTTAAACAAGAAACATTTCATCAGTGCCGATATAGAGCAGTGTTTTTCAACCAGTGTGTCGTGGCAGATAGTCAGGTGTACCCTGAGAAGTTATCCAATTTCACTTTATCGGTCTATTTTTTTAAATTACTTATCATATGCAAATAATATGCACTTCTCAGGTGTCTGTGCTGTAATCTACAGCCCCAGGTTTCACACTGGGTGAGTATGAATAAATTGAGAGACTATATTGTCATTGTATAAACCTGTATCTGGGGCTACCAAGTGTCATTTAGTAATATTTTTGGTTGGTGGTATGCCTCGTGATTTTTTTTGCAATGAAAATAATGTTCCATGGCTCAGAAAGGTTGAATAACACTGATATAGAGGGAACAAAACTGTGTCTTTTCAAAATATGCATTACATCTCCTTAGATATATATAGTATACAACTGACAGCTTATTTTCAGTAGCAACACTATGTCAGTACAAAGTGAAATGTAATTAATTGATTACTAGAAGCATTAATAATACAATAATAGAAAATAACAATACTATTTAATAAAAAGAATAATAAAATTATTATTATTCTTATAATATAACAACAATGAAAATAAAAACAATAATCTACAATAGCGATAATAATCATGATAATAATAACTAATGGATTTATGTTTTAAAGTAAAACACAAAGCAGTACTTGATTGAGTTGTGATTTATTTTAGTTATTTTTTTAATCCCAATGTGACTTCAATCGAATACAAATGAGCGGTCGAATAACAAATAATCAGACATACGGTATTATTAGAGCAGTTCATTGAAAGTCTAAGATACTTATTTATCAGAATATCTTTACCACTCCAATGATAAACATTTTACTAACAGGATTTTTTTTTTTAATTTATGGGGGGGTTATTGATTTATCTTTCAGCCAAACAGCTGATCCTCAACGTGACTGAAGGTGATGGCCGTAGCGGAGTTGATGGTTTGAGACATACCTTCTTAGACTTTCTGAATGGGTAAGTTCTTCAATAAAGAGATACGAAATTCCACACTTGGCAGTGAAAATTCAACAAACAAACCAAATTAGCCTTAAGTCAATCTTCTAAAGCTTTTACTAAGAGGAAAGTTTAGGGGAGATTTATACAAACCAAGAGCGAGGTAATTGTCTTTTACAAACACTGACCTGACAAGAGTGTATAAATATTGTCTTTATTACAAACCACACATCGGCAGATGTTATTTGTAAGAGTTTTATTTAGAGGTATTTACATCTGAGATTATTACATTGCTATTATACATTGTGTACTTGATCTTGGAGAGATGTCTCGAACACTTTGCATATGACAGATTTTTTTGCAGCAGCAGCACTTTTTGTGACTATTTAGTTTAATGATTGTGTTGGACGCAAGCTGCCACAGATTTATTACCTTTGGTTTAGAAACCCCTTCTTTGAAGCATTGCTTTGCATAGCCATGATTTTATAACATAGAAAGACAGGAGATCCAGGTAATTATCAAGAAAAGGAGAACAGAAAGTAAACAATCACAAATTTGAAGGGGTTTGAAAGCTTAGTCCATCAAGCTCGAAGAAGAGCAGCCTGTAGAGCTTGTTCAAGGCTGACCAACTTCAAAAATCAGATCTGTGCAGCAGGTTGAAGACACATGGTTGATAGAAAATGAAAATGTGGAATGATGGAGGGCAACACCATGATTGCTTTAATAGCTACAGGAACCAGTATCTATGTGAGTTTAAATATAACTTGCACCTGCCTCATACAAATGTTCTGAGGGAAGCAAAAGAGCCTGCTTCTCCTTTATCACAGCCACTCATGAATTCTAGCTTTGAAAAGAATTATATAAGTACTATATAGTTGCACACTTTCTCTTTTATAAAAAAAAAACTGTGTCACAAGACCACCAAAATAGAGGAGGGTCATAGAGACTGGTGACTGTGTCCTTTACTGTAGTACAGAGGGGTCATCTTGTTTTCCTCTGTTGCACAATGCTGCATTGTTTGAGGCCCAAAGGAAAACAAAGACTCTACTGAGGGGTCACTTCAGCAACATGCACCAGCTGAAGGTTATGGAAATAGTTTCACCACTGTCATGTTGATCCCATTAACAAGTTAAGTCTCAACACAGGCACTGGACTGGACAGATGAACCGAGACTGAGACTGAAGATTTTAATGAGTTTAGCCGCTGTTAACTCATGACTCTGGAGGCAAAAATACACCTTATGTAGAAAAGCCGAGTAAAAACATGGCTGCTTTAATATTTCCTATTGACTGAAATTATGAGATTTTTTTTTTTTTTTTGGTGAAGTTACTAGAGACAGTTTAGGTTCATTCTTGAGATTGGGAATGAGAGCTTGACGGATAAACTTAACTCTTGGTCCATTAACAAGTTTCTCCAGGGCTTTGGTCTTCAAACTGCACCTTACTGCCAAACTAATTTGACTGGATTCTGGCATAGTAAGTTTTCCAAGCAGCTGTACCTGTTGGTATCATACAGTGACATTCACCTTAAAAAATTCTGAATTAACTATTAGCTTAACTGCTTATGCCCTCCAGGATTATGGAAGGGCTGAAGCCTATGAATGTTGTTGTTGGGCAAGAGGCTGTTCACCCTGGACAGCTCCTCAGACCATCACAGGAACTGTCTTGCAATAAGCCAAAAGCACTTATAGCTGCACAGCCCATCAGTAAACTTAAATATCTGATAAATAACTCTGGTAAAACATTAATCACAAATTTATTTATTAATTTCAAATTCAAGTCACCCTCTCTGATAGTTTGATTTAGTCATTTTATTTCTCATAAGAAAACAGTTCTCTTATGACTGGTTTTTGTCTTTTCTACTGATAGGTGAATTCTTCTTGTTTGGAGCAGGAGTGGCCTCTGAAAGGTTTAAAATACAGAGTGTAGAATTAGAGAATTTTAAGTGATATCTCGTGGTCTGATTCTGGATCAAAACACAACAATTTCATATTTGGGTGATTAAACACTAATTTAAACATACTTGTGAATATAATACTCCATTTCTACTAAGTCGGCTCTGCTAAATGTCATCAACTAGTGTATACTGTGCCTTTAAGTTTCCAGTTTAGTTGTCATGGAGACCATTCAGCTCACATGAAGTGATCCGGACAAAGACTGTGAGCCTGAAAGCTTCAATGGAAAGAAAGGAAATGGACCTTGAGGAAAGATTATCTGTGAAACTATCATAATCCATCCAAGGGTAGTACATAGAAAATATATGAGATGAATCGAAAAATAAAGAGTGTACTGTAAATTTCACGGATTGTATGAAAGTTACATGATGGTTTCAGTCGAACTTTGAACACGCATTGGTACCTTGTAATTCAGTCACCGTAAATAAGTCTGTCGAACAGTCTGTAGCCAGAGAACTACTGCCGTCTGCATGAACAGTAACAAGAGACGAGAAATCTCATGCAAAGTGGAATGTGATAATAGTGACAAAAGGTGTGGATCAATGAGGGGAAGTAACACACACTCAAGTCATATATCATCATCAGATATAGAGGTCAATGTAAGGAAGTCATGCTAACACAGATAATATACACATGTAAAAAAAACAAACATAAAAACAGAGTTACATGTTTACACCATAAGAGTAATACTATTGCTCGCGTATATCGAAAGCTTGAAATTCTCTTATTGTGTGAAAATAAAAAAAAGGAAACATTACAAAGAGGGACTTGGACTACATGGAAAAAGGCACAGTTGGCGATCCTGATTACAACAGTGGTTTGGGATGATGTGCTAAAAGGTGAGTCTGTCAGACAGCAGGCACTCTATCAAGCCAACAGTAGCATGTAGTATAAAGACACACACATACACACACTTGGACCTCTCTCCATTCACACAGTTTCTGCTCAATGACCTGTGCCCTGACTCTAAAACAGCTCCTTCCTCTCACACTGTGAACTGACACATACATTAGAAGTACACTGGAAGGCTGTCACGGAATGATAGGCATCGAGTAAAAACAGGGAGTATTCACCAAACTGTGCTTTGCTGTGTTTCATTGGTCGACATAATCCTCACTTTCCTTTAGACATGTCAGTAACACTTTGCATGAAGTGTGCAGCTGATAAACCTTTCCAGCATCTTTGCTCAACTTTCTTTTACCCTCATGATTTAACACATTGTCACATGGGAGATTGTTAAAAACAGTTTTGTATTTTGTAACTGTCTCATAACACTATGTGACTTCAAGCAAAGCGTCACTTTCTTTCACCTGACCCCGCAGCACTAATGACTGCAAGAGGCTGAGAAAGAATTGGATAAGAAGGCACATTTTCGAGACAATACATCTTGTAGGTTAAATCTTACCAGCAGCACCACCATAGGCACACTTCTGCTGTGAATGGAAGGATTGGAAATAATTACAAAAATCATCCACTAGTATCATTATTTTGGGAGCGTCTCCCACCCTCCCTTGCTCTGCCTGGCCTGTCCTCTCCATTGATCGGCTGTAGTTGGTGGTTTCACGTCAGCAGGCCCATACGAGTGAGCTTGGCTGACAGGAAGGAGTGGAGGACAAACACCACCGGCTTTGGACCCGAATGGAGGTCAAATACCTAGAGGGCAGAGGGAGGCGGGAGGGAGGAAATGGAAAGGAGAAATGGCACATGGAACAGGAAAAGATAGTCATGAGAATGTTAAAAAGGGCAGAATATTTTTGTCACAATCCACCCTGAGATATCTAACATCTATGAATACATTCACTTTGAAACCCTCACATGCATATTTCCTTTAAAATTTGTTCACAGCTTGAGGTAACTGAAGACAGTGATTTCATTTTCAAAGCCAGTAAATTCAACTATAATTAGTTGTTCTGACTGTATGTGGTCTTAATGGTTCAATTCAGAAAAGTAGTTTATCTATCCTTTAATAAAACACAAGGTCATTGGTGTTGTGCTGTAATCCACTTCCCCACTTTATTGGGTACATCAGTCCCTATAAAGAGTAAAAAAAAAAGGAAACAACAAACCTCCATAGGCTGTAACTCAAAGTTAATTTGAAAAACCTCTTCATTAAATTTAATGTAATAATTCATTTCTACTTTTTATTTTTGAAGAAGGAGGGGATGAGGTATTTGTCAAAATGAAATAGTAATTTTATCACCCAAAGCAGACACCAGTAAGCTCTGCCCTTTATTTAGAAACTGGCTGGGATCTATGCTATCAACTGCTGCAGACGGGGTCAACGCTTCCATGTAATTTAGCTCATTTTAGGAAACTCCAACCCAAAGCTAACGCTGATGTAAGTGCACTCTTCTCAGAAGCAACAATTTTGTGTTCTTCTACATGCAGTGCACTGATCAGATGTTGGGGTCATCAATGAGACGGACATGCTCTACAACCAAACTGAAACTTTACCGCTAACTGGAGACCAGTAGATATCCCAGGTTACCTGGTGGTGTATGTGTGAACTGTGAACTCAGCTCACTCACATGAACTACAAGAACCGTCAAGAGTTCAACTTGGTATCGACAGCACTTCATGACCTTTCTGGATCAGAGAATATAAGCGGCCCACATACGACTGCTGCTGTCTGCATCACTTACCAACTGCAGAACAGAAGGCTGCTGTTTCACCAATTTTCGTCTATTTTCAGAATTTAAATCAGAAAACAAGACAACCAGAATGAAAGTTTGTCCTCAGAGTAAGTTTTCAGCTGTCAGTTTGTTTGCTTGTTTTTTGTTGCACAATGGCACAAACCCATCTTCAACACAATATGTTTACCTTATGGACGTACACTGTGTTAGCTGCTGAAGAAGGAAGACGGAGCTGAAAAAACAAACTCTACAGACATCTCTGTTTGCCATACATACTAAAATTTATGCACAAGGCAAAATTCAAATTGGCTCATCACCCGATCAGTGCACTGCAGGTAAATACATAAATATTTTGTGCCCAGGAAAACGGTTTATCGATCTGTAAAGTAAAACACAGAATATGTACCAAAATAGAGCACACACTCTGAGAAATGTCTTATTTTGAGGTACAGCTGACTCACTATTAACAAGTACCTTATAAAACCCAAAACCAAAACAATCTGTTCAACCCAAACAATAACACCATGCCTTAACATGAAATATTGCCTGGTTCCAGTTTCCTCACAGTGAGTTTTCTGTATTTCTGCATAATCAGGTCATTGCAGATAATCATGAAGTTAACAGAACTTTATTTTCAGTCCAAAAAGTTTCTTTCAGACTAAAAGACAAATCTGGGAATTATTGAGGAAGCTATAATGCCATTCCTTAACTACCCAACATTTCTCCCACTGAAAAACAAAATGAACATATAATGGGGGATTGCATATGATTGGATGTTAAAAAAACACTTAAACTATTTTTGTCTCACCATTTCCCCCTCCGGACCTCCAAAGTCAAGGTAAAGGTTGCGTATTCCATCATCGGCAGACATTTTAAGCTTCTCATAGGGGTATCTGTACAACACAGCGCCCCCTGTTGGTTCTACTGGCTCTCTTGTCACAGTGAAGCCTTTCTCATAGTGCAGCGTCAGGCGAACATCCTGTCTGTTCAGAGTACAACCTGGGAAAGAGGTTGAGAGAAAAAGAGGTTAAGAATAGCAGGTGTGGGTGAGTAATGTGTGACCTACATATAAATAAATACACTTGCACACACGGACACAAAACAAAACAACAACACTGAATTAAGCCAGAAGTCACAGCATGGAAAATGACAGCAGTCTCTCTTCTCAGTGACTAATGGAGATGTTTTTAACTTCTTTTATTAAAGCAGGATTTTGTCTGAATATTTCAATCTGTGCTGCATTTTACATGTTTTGAGAGAGTACTAAATAAATTCACTGTTTTTTTGACGGTTGAGACTGGTGACTCAAAGGGAGGGATGCAACTGCTGTGTGCAGTTTTAAAAAAGCATCTTACGCTCTGACAAAAACAGGTCCCATCTGCAGTGCTGTGAAGCACTTTGGATAACAATCTGAGTCTGTCAGTGGCAAAACCAGCACTTACTGTATAATGGACATGCTTTAATCAGGCACATTTGGCCTAAGGATTATGTTGCATCCATTACAGCCTGTTTTTCTTGCAGCAGCCAGCCAAAGCTATCTATTGGAGTTATTCCAAACCATTATGTACCTGTTAGTCAATTAGACCCCAAAGTGTATAAAAGTAGAGCCCAGGTTGAAAACATCAGAGCCCTTTATGATGGTGGTGCAGGTGAGCTCTCTCCCTTTAAGAATCACGAACTCAAACTATGATTTCTTTATTAGCCTTGATGGGATGTTGATCTCTGCAGCGGCCCGCAGACAACTCTATCTGTTCTGTAAAATGTCGCCCTCTGCAACAGTGAGGTAACTTGATCCAAAAGCATTTCCATGTGTCTCACTCTTACACCACTGGCCTGAATGTTCCTGCACAACTGTGCGTTTGTGCAGCAGCAGGACAGGGAAGAAGGAAAAAAAAAAGGCTGAAGCTTTCCAGCGCTGTTGCGGCAGCCAACTATTGTTCTGCACAGAGTGAAAACATTCCCCTCTACTGGCTCCAACTCCTGCTTTCCTACTCAGAACAGCTCTCTCTGAGCTGCACACTGCCAGTGTTGCGAGCCAGTTGCTAAGAAAAGGTTCCAGAAAAACCCCACAAACTTTTTATGTGAATTAGAGTTCAAACGCTTTTATAAATCACTTAGTTTTATATGCGTTGATCCAAAAAAAGTCATGTACAGGTGTTATGTGGGGTTGGATTGCAGGCAAATATCTAGAAGTATCGTCTGGTTAGGGGCCTGTTTACTCTTTCTGCCAGACTGCAGCATATTGATGTGACTGGTAGAAACTAAACATAGGGTGTTAAAAGGGTTAAAAAAGCACAGATTCATCATTTGAGCAACACTTGGCTCAAATAATGAATGAGGGGGAGTTGCTTTTATAGATTAGACAGGAGAGACAGGAAATGTGGGGAGTGGAGAGTAGGGGAAGCAAGACATGCCGCGTAGTCAGGAGTTGAATCAGCCACCACAGGTCCATTAAGATGGATACATACTATTTATTTGTACTTTTTTTTTTCCATCAGAGCATAAATTTGACTATTTTCTGGTACAGTTCTCAGTAAAAATAAACAAAAAGACAGTTTACTTCCCCAATCTTTCTATTTTCTTGCTTTTGTGATCGTCCATAAACTTGCTTAAAGAGAAAAATGCTGGTTTGAAAGGATCCACTGCGTTTTTTCATTCTGATTTTGCTGGTTGACTGATTGCCTGAACTTCATGTGATCAATAGTGAAAGTGGGCATAATATAACTTACTATGACCAGTTTTGGTGGCTGCCAAACTGGTCCACTTAAATGTATTCAGTGGATATTAAATGACAGTAGTGTTGACTTTTTGTGAACAGTTCTCTTAGCCCCGCAGTTCTCCACTCTTTGTGTACTGGATGGTTTGTTTACATGTTGTTTGGTGCTGAGCAGATCGTGTATGGTGGATTTACCTGAGCTATTCTGCATTCTACTAACATTAACTGACTGCCTCCCCCTGATTACTCACCGATGGAGACCTCTTTAATAAGCTCAGCAGCAGCGTGTGCCCCCTGCACAAGTGCTCGTGTCCAAGAAGACAGATCCCAGTGAGTTTCCACCCGGAAGACATGGGACTCAATGCCTCGCCCTGTGCCCGTCCGAGTAGCAAACACCAGCTCTGCACCTTGGGCCGGAGAACCCCGAGCGTTCCCAGAATGAACCAGTCTAGAGAAAGAGAGACAAAAGGACGGACTCATTTACATTTTTCATCTTACACAAATAGTCTGCACTGACAAGACTGTAGCTCAACACCTTATCAGTCACTTTACAAAGATGTGGAGGAGTGCTTTCCCTGAAGTGGGCCCCTGTCTAATGCTGACTGGTCAAGTAAATATGATCACCATCACGTTAGTGGGTTTTGACAAGACAGATTCATCAGTTGGCCAATTAATGACAGTAAAAAACAATCTGCATCACATCAACATTAACACAGACACATTTTTTTTCTCTCCTTAATGACCCCCATTCAAACCTATGACAGTTACTCGCTAAACTTTGTATTTTTTATTATTACAGATGGCCAGACAGAAATCTAATAGTCCCCCTGTGGCAATATCTTCATGAGCCACATGTTTTTCTGTCTACACCTCATTTATTCAAGTTCAGTAATAACATGCCTCATTTGTTATTTTGAATCAATTTCTGTATTTGACCAAATATATAATACAATAATAACAACGTGATACTGGCATCTTAAATCAGCAGATCTGCTCTCTTATTATTGCCATTGGAAACTGAAGTGCTAATACCAGTTGACTGCTTGTTTTGAGAACTGTATCCCTTATACTACATAAAGTAATATAATGACAATAATAAAAAAATAATAAATAAGCTGATCCACATCTTTATGTATGTACGTCTAATTTGATGTTTATAGTATGTCTCTAAACCAAATAGATTAAAAGTTTTGCCAGGGCAGTTTTGAAAGCTGTTTATCTTAATTAATTTTTTTTATTTGTATGATGACAAAAAAATCGAGATGAGAATAGTAAATGGAAATAAAAAAGAAACTTTGACTTATAATAGTTACTCTACAGTACAAAATTCCCACATTTCAAATACGACTAAATGCCTATTGGTCTCTTTCTATTGTTTTCTCACTTCCCTGTCAGGGCTTTCGTACTCACATGCAGTACTTTTTTTTCTCCACAGATGGGGGTTCCCAGCGTAAGTTTCCCAAAAATACGTGACTAACGACTATAAAACCTCTCTGAACAGACACCACCAACTTCACCATGACCTAGCACTGCACTTCACTTCCATTTTCAAATGTGAAGAGCAGCAGTTAACCTTTGGTACTTTCCATGAATAGCAGTATCTGTTATTGTCAGTAATGTGTCGTAGGCACAATGATCAGCAGAGGACTTGAAATAGTAAACTCCCACAAAAATACACAACTATGATGACAGTAAAAAAAATCTGTGTGAAAGAGGCAGACCGGTCTGAGATCTGAACACTCTGACAGCGTGAGTCACCCTGCTGAGTGTTGTCTCTACCTCGTGGCGAGCAGCGGGTGTGTTAGTAGAGGCATGGACCAGGACTCTCGGCTCCATGGTACAGATTCAAACAGCAGGATGTCCTTCTCCGTCAGAGCCATGACCACAGGCTTGTACTGCTGCCGTCCACCTTCTAACTGGACCTAAACAGAAAAAGTTGTTGTCAGAACTTTGAAGTCAAACTATCTATTAGTAGCAATGTATAACCTCCATTTATTGATCCTAAAATGAAAATCACCCATTCAAAGACAATATAACAGTTTAAGTCACATCACCTTAGGTTTTAAAGTAAGGTCACATTTCAAAGGAGGGATGAGGGTATATTTTTACAGCTGTTAACTCAACCTGACAGTCTGACCTGAATTTTTAACACTGTTGTAAAAATAGGACTCTGGAGTCATGTCTGAATTTTGGTGGAGTCCTCTTAAGAGCAATGACATTAAACCAGAAAGTGTGACAGTGTGGGTGAAACTGTCGCCAGTAGGTGGGCTTTTACAGGAAACAGTGCAATGACACAGAAACTTGCATTGCACTTGGTGTTTCCTGTTTGAACCCGGTCCAGATAAACAGACCCAGACCTCCATACATTCAACACTTCATCACTGTGAAAAATAAAAAAAAAACAAACACATTCACAGTAACTTTCTTGTTTTTGGCCCAGGTTCCAGTCACATAAGGAAACACACTCTTCCTGTGCGTGGCTGCAGTTCATACATCAGAGCTGATACACCAGTGTGTATGTTTGAGGTCTGGGTATGTGCAGTGACGCAGGTGTAATGAAGCAGGTACTGTGGCAGACTAAGCTACAAACCCCACTGAAACCATTTCCTTTAGAGAGCATCCTGTTTTAACTTGATATTAACCAAACCTGAAAATGCACCTTATCCCCTTCCAACACTGCCAAATAAAAAATTAATTACTGGCCAAGTTTTTCAAGATGCTGAAATTGGATTTTAATGTAGTGCATACTGTAGGTTCTTTAAAAGCCAAGGTGAGTAAAAACCATCTGAGGAGTTTGAAGCTGGTTATTTTTCTCTGGATTTGTCAGACCGGATATGTTTCACATCCTATTACACCAAGAGTAAAATTTAACTGGCATTAGGGAGGAAAATTAACCTGAATTAAATCCCAATTCTCAGATTGATCTCAGTTTGTACACCCTGAGGATAAGCCCTCAATGCAAACCAAAGTTAATTAATGAGTTTATCGGGTTTTATTCTCACCCTAAATGCAACAGAAAACACAGTGCTAGGTTTTATAGTTGTGCAGATTATGTTATACCTGTTAATTAAACAAAGGGAAGTAAATAAAACCTGAAGCATGTGCGTTAAAGACATAAATGAAGTAGATAACCTGCAATTTCCTCCTACTTACCTAAGTGTTTGTTCATGGCTCTTAACACTGAAGAAACTATTTTGAAGTGGCACACCAAATCGGCTCTGTACTCACCTTCCTCCACTCACTCTATTTGATTTAGAATTCACATTAAGATGTAATTACTTGTTTTTATGTCACTTTATGGATTGGCTCCCTCTTATTAATCAGACTTTTTAATCCTTTTTACCCCAGCACCATCACTCAGGTTGTCTGAGCAGTCCCTCAGGCTGAACGATAACTCAGGGGTGTCCTCGTCTCTTGAGTTGCTTGTGTGTGAAACCGACCTCATTCATGCATCAAATGTGTCAACTCAACACAGTATTTTAACCTAAGAAAGCATCATGTCTTTGACATCCAACTGTTAAAAGGCTTTCAATGTGGGTTTATAAATGTATGTGCACTATCTAAAATTATGCATGTTTCCTTATACAGGTGTGCGATATTGACAAAAAAATGATATTTTAACGTATTTCAGGATTTTCACAATAGTTTGCATCCCTGAAAAATGCGTATGTAAAAGTCTTGTATTATTCTAGCTTGCTCTTGTTACTGGTGTTTTAGATGTTATTAATGATATGAATAAAAATGAACTTAACAAAAACATTATTGACTTTAAATCGAATCTTTCAAAGTAAATATGACTTTACCAAATTTGCTGAGTATGTCTTTTTGCTGGCTGTTTTCTGACTTAGTCTGCAGATTGGTATCTTTTGAGAAACATTTGTAGCAAAACTATCCTCACAGGAGCGAGGATGAAGTACTTGAAATTAAATCTAACAACACTGATTGTCTGCTCTTCACCTCTTGAACTGCAGCCTCGCTATCATCAACACCACAGCCTGTTGTAAGGCGTGAACTCTGCATGTGTTCTCAGTAAGCATGTGCAGCTGTCTGTCCCATAAGGCTTGATTATAATCAGTGCATGTGTGAGGATTCTTAAGGCACCTTTTGACTGTTTTTTGTGAGTGAAATATGGATGTTATATTACGTACATTATTAAGATAAGATTGAAGATCTCATCTTATCCACTACATACCTCACATCAGTAGTTTGAGAATCATTTTATTTAGTTTTTTAGTTTTTTTTCCGCCTCTGTCTGTAAACCACTGCGGTCAACTTACACCATCTTTTACATGCTGTAGAAACAAATGAAACTTGACTTGACAAGCTATTTCACATGACTTAATCCTGGCCTCAAGCACCATTACAAAGAGTCTGGGAGTCATATTTGATTAGAGTGGGTCCCAACTTTCATAGTCAGCCTCTTATCACAGAGAGTGAGTATTAACTCAGAAATCAGACTATTATTATCACAAAATGACATGTCAATGCACTAATGTTATGATAATTATTCATTATCCTATTGTGATGATTAGAGCAGTTACTCACATGAGTCCTATTCTGCTATTAATATAACTGGCATTGCTTTATTATCATAGTTGTTATTGTTGCTGTCTGTCTGTCTGTCTGTTCTCCTGTGAGTCTGTCTTTAATCATCTCGCTCTTTCTCTCCGTCTCTGTCCCACTTCCTCCAGCCAGCTTGTCACTGAAGATGGCCGTCCATCAATAGAGTACTGTCCTAGTATTGTTGCCAAGGACTTGCTCATGGTCGATTGAGTTGGATGACTGTGAATAACACTGCTGGGAGTATGGTGTAGAGGACTGACTGTGTATGCGAAGTGTCATGAGGTCATTTTTTTCTCTGCTTTGTTGCTTTGTAAATAAAAAAAGTGAACTCCCATACCTCTAGAGAGATGAAACCTTGAATCCCCAGACTGCCGCAACAGCTTTCATAAACACAACTGAATGTATGAGTGATTCCTGGCATTACAAAAGAAGACAACATAACAGGCTGGATTGTTTCACTGAAGAAGACTCACCAGCTGTTGAGCTGCATATCCAACAGCGGCAGTGTTGTTTCTAACAAATGCTTCCTCTAATAGTGACATTAGATCACAGCAGCCACGAGCCAGACAGCAGCTGGAAACTCTTTCATTCTGACATCTATAGGTGGTATTTTTCTTAACAAGCATTTAAACGATCAATACAAAGATACAAATTGATCTTGGAAATATATATGATATTTCACAAAACAGTATTACACACAATAAGGGAACGTTTGATTCTGTTGTTGCCAATGGTAACACCTACCTACTAACCGACCTACCTCTGTGTTTGGAGAAAAGTTTTTTAAAAGTCTTTGAACTATTAACTTCCTCTACAATGAAACACATTTTATACAGACAAAAAGTAGACACTCAACACTTTCATTTTCATTTTCAATCGAAACAGAAAATGGAGGGAAAAAGGATCCAGTACAAAAATACATCATGTGATGTTGAACTAATCTGGGTATTTTGCTGACCTTTGACCAGATACCAAATGAAACCATTAACTGAAGCCCAACCACAGTTTTGGATGTGCTGGAGAAAAGCCCAGGTTTGTGATGACGTGATGATTTAAGGCACTTCTGAAACTATCAGAATGGATTTATTTAATAAGGCTTGGCACAAGATCACTGAGTCTGTGTGCAGGTTACACAATGCTGACCACTGATCAAGTGGTTATTTTTCAGTCTCACTAGGCACAGCCTACATAACAGCTTTATCTTCATTATACAGATAAAAATCCGCACTACAAGGTACAATCTGTCATCTGTGCTTGTTTACATCCAGATAGTAGATTGCTCCAGAATCATGGCAGCAGACATCAGCTGATACCACAGCCTGACTAATGGCAGGTGGCCGTGCTACACCTTAGACGCAAAATCTGACCTGCATTTCAGGCCTAAAAAGACGGAGATATCACTTATTTGTTTGACCGACAAGCAATTCTGGTACCAGCGTAGGAAGATGGTGATGATGATATTTAGCTGTTAACATTCCCAACTTCCATCACTGTGCAAAGTGATACACTGCCATAGCAACCAAAGAGCCAGTCAAGCAAAAACAGTAATACAACACCCGGACTTCAGTCCTCATGGTCTGTTCTTGTTTGGTGCTTTTTAGTCTTTGACATAATGAGGTTTTTACATCTGATCGAATCAGAGATAAACCAACTTTTTATACAAATTCTTACAGTCAATTTATCTGACAGTGATCAAAATTCAAATAAATATTCTGATGGCTCATTAGCTTTGGTAAACAGCCGACTATTTACACAACGTCTCCATCTGGTTGGTATTAGAGATGGCTTTAGGGTGGACATTAAACTAAGACGGGTGAGTATACTAAACAGAGCATGTTTTTACTTTTGACTTGATTTAGGAATAAAGTTTTTTATTCTGTGAAAGTAAATTAGCTAATGAATTGAATCTGAGCAATGCTATGTTAGGCTAGACCAGCAAAAATGCACTTAAGCCACCACTTATAGGAGTCTGATAGCATCATTAAGGCAACGCTGAACATTATCAGTGTATATCCTCTGCTGGCTGTCAAACTAACACAACAGAGATGCTTGGGGATTAAATGTATACAGATATGCTTGGATCTACCAAGGTCAATAATCTATTTTTATAGTCATTTGTTGTATTATTATTATTATTCATATGCTTGAGTGTTTCAAGACTCTCCATTTGTGTTATTCTTGTCTTTATCCTGTTCAGTGTTGATGCGTAGAATCTAATTTTTAAAGATTAGCAGTAAGCCCTGAGCAACTGAGAGGGATTATCACCTGTATAAGATAGCACGCAGTTGTTAAATCAATCAGCGCTGAAAATACCTGTTCAGCCAACCAGCCAATGTGTTTCAGATGAGGGTGTGTGGACGCTGAAGAAGAGGCCCCAAGGTAGGCGTTGATGTGAGCCAGGGTCTGTGGCAGCAGGGCGGCGATGTTGGTGTGGATGGCGGTGAACCAGGAGTTGGCAGAGGGGCCGTCTTTACAGCGCAGCACCACCGTGTGCTGGCCGTCCGGGGAATGAAGCTCCAGCAGTCTGAAGAGGACAAGGTTTATTTATTACTGTTTTGGCATCACAACATTTTTTAAGCTTCTAATGAAATTTCACAATCAAAAAAACTTACAATTAAAGGAAGAAATTAAAAATTCATCAGTAGCCGGACACACAGCCCGAGGTTGATTTTTTTAGACTGCTTTAATTTTGTGCTTCCATAACTAATAATAAAGTGCTGGAAATATTAATGGTCTATTGTTTTTAATTTGCTTGTCTCATCATCCATGTCCTTGACAAATTAAGACTCCTGACTGTACCAAACTCAGCTGTCAGGAACCAAAAAGCATGATCAATAGAGCTGATGAGTTTTTAAGCTAAACACTGATCTCAAAGCACTGAATACACACAATACCACCATTACACATGATGTGAGCTTTACTTTATGTCTTCTATGGTAGGAAAAAGACACTCACAAGACAGTCTACACACATGCCACTGCTTCGGTCTTGAAGCCATTGGAATAGGAAGAGTCTGACTTCACGTCAATCATTGCGACCAGTATTCAGCACCGGCTCAAGTTCAGCACCGGCTCGGCAGTTTAACAAAGTTTTATGTTTGAGTTTAAAATATTTCATTTGGACAGAAAAATTGTAATTTTAATCGTAAATGCAGATCAGTTCCAAATATCAGCTATAGGTCTCATGAACTACCAATAATCAGTGCAATAATCTATATTGCATAATCAATAATCTACATTGGACATCACTCTACTCAATGTTTTATTACAAGTGACCAGTATCAAATTCACCAAACACTGTGACCAGAATCAACAGGCTTTTGCTCGGGCCTTCATTTAGAAAAGACAGGACACCCCCAGGGTGGGGTTTGACATTCAGGAGAGGAGCCAGGTTACTGTATATAAGGTATGCTAAGACCGCTAGGCCACAGCCAGTGGATTTTACCCAACATTATTTTACTAAGTTTCTGGCTGTGAGAGGTCAGCCTGCATTAGTCTCTACTATTCCCAGTTTGAACTGCAACCATACATGTTCAGACAACTACAGCAGTGTCATTTCTTTTCTGGCTTACTTTTGATGACAGAGTGAACATTTAAACACTGATGATTCCTGGTGATGACGAGTTTTCAGCAGTTGACTACTAACTTAACTACACCACATTTATTTAATAACCACAAACCCAAAAAGCCTTTCACCGCAACCTTCACCCTCCACAAATCAAACATTCCAATGTCATGAACAAAATGTGGGAAAAAATTGCGCACACACCCAACCACACCTGAAATCCTGCGTGCTAATTAATTTTTCTGTAACCCACACACACACACACACACACACACACACACACACACACACACACACACACACACACACACACACTTAGGAGTCTGGGATTGTACCTGTTCTCCAGATCTGGCATGGTGAGGTTCCTGCTGATGAAACACATCTTCAGACTTATGACCTTTCTGTCTTTGGAGGAGGAGCTGCTGTGTTTGGGTGACCCCGAGTCCTCACTGCCGCTGTAACTGGGTGACTGTGGGCGGGCTCCATCCCAAGGTAGATCAGCCACCAGGGATGGCTTTTTAAAGAGCGGAGAAACCTCACGGATGTACTTCACTGTGGAGAAGCAAAAAAGTGGATATATCAGCTGATTTCCATCAAATACAGTAGTTGTGTTTCACAGGAACCAATCTACAGATTTGTCTCTACATAAATAAACAACAAAGGCAGATGATCTTTCTAGCATTGTTTCTATTGATCAATAATTCTCTTTCTAATTCACCCAATCATGTACAAAACACTACAAAAAAACAGAGATCCACAGATACAGATTTACTATCCTGTGTAAGGGTAAAGTAAGCAGTGTACACACAAACAGACCACTGATGAATATCCACAGATCTAGAGAAAGTACTGTGTTGATAGCTTGACCATCTGTGGGTTTCAACTCAATAACAGCCAGTCACTCAGAATATAATGTGCGGCCAGTTATGAACCGAGCCATAAGGAAACACTTTGGGCCGTTTCTGAGAGAAGTTCGCATTTAATCCGCACTTTTGGGGCCAGTTAGGGTAAGACTTTTTAAACATGGTGGGAGAAAGCTGTGGTTTCATCCTCTCAACAATCTGCCTGCAATTTCATGTGGGATGGAAAATAGATTTTGACCTGTGTTTATCATCCATAAGTATTCATATGGTGAGGAGTTCTAATGGAAATAATCGTCGATCACAGTCGGAGCCAAATACTTGGAATGTAAACAGCTCCTGCTATCTTCAGTCTTTAAAGGACAAAGAGGTCCCTTGTGTGAAATTATCTTAGAAAAACAAGAGTTGATGTCGCTGTACAGCTGCGCGCTCTGTGGGTCAGCTATAAGTTTGTAAGATGCTGGTTTTAACTCTGATGGGGTGGATACAAAGTACAAATTTGTCCCTGTGGACTTCTACACCTCCTTGAACATTTCCTCACTTGCACTCTTACTTTAATCCTCCTCCCTTGATCATTTTATCTCCTTGGTTTTTATCTTCAATGCAAGCTTCCTTTGTCTGTTTGAGTGCACAGTCAGTGTGAATATAAGTGTCTGAGTTCGTGTGTGTGTGTGTCTAAGTGTTTGTGTTGGCCCACTGGGTCATTCTGCTCTGTATGAAACCTGAGACTGGACTCTTAGGAGGTGAGGTCATTGTTGAACACAGACTGAGATATTGGGTTTGAGAGGATCTGTACGTGCAGCAGTGTGCTTGTGCACGACTCTAAAATGAGCTCAACAAAGAATACTAAGATGGCTTAGAGAGCTGCAGAGTGCAAGAATCTGTGCATTATTGTGTGTACACTACTCTATGTATGACTCAGAGTAATGCTGAGGCAACGAGCCAAGAATTGGAGCCTCATTTCACCGGCCCTCCTAACCACAACGCCCATACCAACAAGGTCTGGAATCAGTTCTGCAAACGTAAGTACTTTTGAGTAAGTGAGTAAGTAAGTGTGAGAGCATTCCTGAGTACCCTTGTTTGTGTTTGGGTCATGTGGGAGGGGATGTCTCTTCCGCTTATTCCAGCCTAATAATCAGATTTGGTAGAAAGATGTTCAGTAAAGATATTTTTCCTCTGGAGACTGAGTGGGCTTTCTGTTTATGTCTTCAAATACTTGAAGATCAGTTTATTGAGCATCACTGTGCTGCAGTAATCTGCATTTTAATCAACTCCAGTAAAAGAAACTGTAATATTTTCCTTTGCTTATCACAATATCACAACATAATACACACAATTAATCAACTTGCAACATAACTTTCCTACACAATACATGGCCAAATACTTCACAATAGATTTTTCCATGCTTGTAGACATCACATTGGGAAAAAAACAATCAGTATTTCTGTCACTATTTCTTCACAAAGAACATATGACATCAAAGCATGTGACGGGAAAGACGAGACAATCAACAATGTCACGTGTCACATGTCAGCGCTGGTATCTCATGTCAATAACTGAAAGGTTCAGCGATAAATGACATGAATAGATTTCCAAATTGGAAATATTTTGTCAGAAATCCAGTGGCATCACAGTTGCTCTTTTTGGAAAATAGAAATATGAGTAATGCAGTTTATAAGACAATAGGAAATGAAATGTGCTTTACTGCAAATATCAAAGATTCTAAGTTCAGTTTTCTGAGGAAGTTTCAGAATTGAAGATGTTCTGGGGAACAGTTTGCCTTGGAGGACAGAGCAGCTTCTGGTAACAAGACGATATTTCTGGTAGACCAGTCACTGCGGTTCTCTCAGGGTTGACTTTTTTAAAGGGGGGAATTATTTCAGGGAAACAACGCCCAACTTGCGTTGAGCCTGAGTAGGCATAAATCCAACTGGAGATGTCAGGAAGACACTCAGGCATGTCTGAACCTGGGTGTCAAAGCTGAAAAAGGGATTGAAGGTTAGGTGTGAGATTCTTATTCACTTTCATTTTTGTCAAATTCAGTAAATGTCCTAGAAATATCAGATAGCATTTTCTTTTCTTGCTGTTTGATTTAGATTTTCATGCTTCTCTTTGACAGCAACTTTATCTGTCACAGTCATGTTTATGAGGACCAAAGCTACAACATGAAAATGATTATATCTTCACAATTAAGCCCCGAAGCAGGGGCTGCTCAAGACTTAAAACATGCTGGTTAGTTTTTTTATTTTTACCTAGCATGTGTATTTATGAATTTTGAAACCAGCCCTTCAAATTGAATTCATATTTACAGGGGAAAAGGTTGCAAAAATAACCAGCAGAAAAAGAAAAGGACCTTCAACAAAGCCCTGAGGGATCCCATGACAGAAATCCTGACACGTACATGTATAGCCTGAGACATGCAAATACATCAAAGATGAGTAAGACTTAAAACAAGAAGAAAAAGAAATCAGATTTGAAAGAAAATAAACATGTTCATTCTTGACACTTCACATTTCAGATTGGAAAGCATGTCTGGAAATGTTGACGTTTGCGTACAAGACGAAAAAATTACTGCTGTTCATCAAACTGCCAGACTGGCTTATAAGTAAACCAGTGAACCTACAGCTGTACGTGTATGTGTCAGTTTCCTGCAAGAACAAGCCTTTCAATCCACAAGAGGGGAAACGAGGATATAGAATAATTGCATTTGCTTGCACTGGCGGGGTGTTTCACAATGCTGCTTGTTCCCTGGAAAGGGGAAAGTGCACACACTAGTTTATCAGAAGTTAACTTTCACTTTGAGTGAACAGTAAGATTTGGCTGATTTGCATATACAGTACATACTAGGGTTTTATGTCTAAAATAATAGATTTCCCGAAACTGACGGCTCTGTGAGTTAATGGTGAGACCTCTAGATGACGTTAGTTATCAGTGTTTGTTGAAATAATTTCTAGCAGACAAATAGTTGTGAAAAAAGGAAAAAAAAAAATGATGCTGAATAATCTGTTGTCTATTCTACAAACATCTTACACCTCTAGTTTGGGTTTCTGAGTCAATAAAATGTCTGAAACTGGTACCCTTTAGGGTTGGGACAAGAGGACTGCTTTACCTTAATCTGATTGGTTGATGGCATACAACTATATATGAGACATTACAAAGAAGAGATCAAACCATGAGTTATGTGTTTTGCTACTAAGAAGATAACCAAGCGAACAAGAAGTTGTCCATATTAAAATCCCTGAACACCCGAATTTCAAAGATATCTTCAGGAACTTTAATACTGTGACCGAAAACTTCTTTAATCTTGCTTTTTTTCCACTGTTGTCACATTCTGTTCTGCTGTTTATCTAGTTGGAAGTATTTGCCATCTTATAACTGAACTATTTACTTTCTTCTGTTTGTTGTTATGAACAAATAAAAGAGCTGGCAGCAGTTGAAGTCTTCCACAAAGCAAAGGAAATCAAACCCAGCCTCACTGAATGAAGCAGCTTTTAACAGCTGCGATGCTGCATACACACAGTCATTTTAATTCATTGTGCTGTCTCTTACAGCACTGTGACACCACTGTTACTGTTGAAAACAAGCTGCAGTAAAGAGATTTGTGTGTCATCCTGTAAGTGTTTTGGATAGATACCACTTGGACTACTCACAATTGGAAGATAATACATTACAAAGTAGGAGTTTGTTGATAAATGTGGCGCCGACAGTACACTCCAGCTTTGATACTGTACCGAAATGTAACTTAGATGAGTCAAGGACCAAATCTTGGTTTGAACGCATTATCTATCTATGTAATGATTCCCAAACAAGATCTACAATTAAGAGCCTTACTTGCAGCTTTAGTGACTGTGTACCAACCCTTGAGGACATGTCAGCTTCATGCTTGCTGAAGTTGACGTCCACAAAGACAGTGCTAACATGATAACTTGTAAAAAGAATAACATTTATTGTGTTACTATAACTTTTGAGTCTCATGTGGCCAATGTCCTTCTCAGTACATGCACTGCTACGGTGCTAAAAACAGCATCCGGGGAAAAAAAAAGACTGTTTGCACTTTACAGTTTAAATCAACACTCACAATAAAAACAGATGAGTTAGATCAGAGCCTGGAGCTAATGGAAATCTCAGAAGCTTTGCTGGTATTTGGTCATAAATGGCAAATAAAAACTACAGCCTGAAGATGGAGCAGTAAAAGCAAAAGGATCCCAACAGTGATTACAGTACACTCCAAGATAAACAAGCGTAGGCTGTACTTTAAGAGAAGAGGGTGAGTTTCTTGTCAGAGTTATTGGAAAAGTCAGTGATATTGTGTCTGTAGTTACAAGGCAGTTAAAACTGTCTCTTTTTTGTTGTTGAAAGAGCTCTGTGCTGATCCTCTGCCTGTGTCTGTTTGCTCTTGTAATGCTCACATGCATGCCATCTGCAGATAAAAGGCTGTCATCAACAAACACAAATGCTCTCTTAATCTTAATGAACATGTTGAATCAACCCAAGTTGGAAGAGATTTGATTTCTTCCTCAGCAGTGTGGCTCTCCTCTTTTCAGCAGCTGTAAGACATTTGAAATGCCGGCAGATCTTCATATGTTTACAGCGGCGTTTGGACTTTTCCTCATGTTACAAATTTCCCCAGTTTATCCTGCCAGGACTAATAACTCTTCCTCTTCACAGCCTGTTACTCTCGGGTAAGGAGATTTTTTAATGCATTCTGTTTGTCAGTCTAACCCTCTCTCCTTAGGAGCTGTTGAAAGAGCTCATTAGTTTGGTCAGGCCTGTCACTCAGCTCCACTTTTGCTAATTAGGCCTGTACACAGAGGATTGCCTGCTCATCCCAGTGTGAGAGCTCCACACATTTCTGCCTCTGTGTATGTTTTTATCTACATCAAAGTATGTAAGGAAGATCCCCCCGCTGGACCAAAAATCCCACGAGGCCAGCTCATCTGCCTCCTTCACACCTCACCGCCTGCACAAACAGAGGGGAAGAGGAAAACGAGGAAGAGGCTAGTCAAGAGGAAAACGTGAAAAAGTGGAGGAGAGCAAATGAAGAGAATAAGAGTCTGACTCGACACATATTTGATTGTGGTGTTAGCTGTTAGCGGTGAGGAGCTATAAACCGCCTTCAAACTGTCTTCCTCTCCTCTTTCTCATAATGTACACAGAAGTAATAATCTTTTGGTATGGCCCAAATAACCAAATAATAGCTAACAGAGTTACAAGTCATGCACTCAGACCCCAGCCTCTCCATTTTCCCCCCAAAACTGGCCAGAAATTCCCCTGTGGTTTAGTCTGTTACTCTCTTAATTCTCTTTTCTCATTCCTCTTTCACCCTCCTCCTCCCTCTATCTTCCTGCACACCAGTGTCCATTTTCATCCTCCCTCTTGTCCCCCTCTCTTTGCCTCTTGTTCATCCTCCTCTCCTTTGTTCCCACACCTCTCGTAAAGTCCTTCCTCCCTACCTCAGTCTTTCCCTTCCTAAACTTCCTCCTGTTTTACTCTTCCTTCTTTTCTGTCATTCTTTCTTTCTGTCTTTCTTTCTTTCTCTCTCTCTCCCTTTGAACCCATTCTGCCAGAAACCTAATGAGAACAATGTGTCTGAATGTAGCCCCAATAGAGACAGCATGTGCGTGTGTGTCTGAGCGTGTGTGTGTGTTTGAGTGTGTGTTCATGGGGTCCTTTTGTATTCATATGTGAGCTTGAGAAATTAACGATAGCACTTTTAGACATTTCTGAAGTAAGGCTGGGATAACTTATTATTTCAGTAGAGTGCCAGCACTGCTGTGACCGTGCAGTTCTCTCTGTTGTGAGACTTATAAATGATTACTGTCTTATCTTGTCTTATTGCTCTGTCTTGGCATACAATACTAAAGTTCATTAGACTTCATTAGACAATATTTCAGAACACAAAACTGAAAAACATTACTATATGCTCATTTTTAATTTGATGGCAGCCATCTATTAAAGCAGCTATGACACTGTGTTACATCCATATACTGTATATACTATACTATACTATATTCTATATACAGTCTATGGTTACATCACTTCCTTTTGTAAAAGTGGAAGTTTGAAGAGACCCAGAGGACCTAATTCTGGAGTTTTTTCATGATGTAGGATTTTAGCTGCTTAATAGTTCATGGTCTCCTGAACTATTGCAACAACACCTGGACAGCACCTGGACCCTTCTACTACAGAGCCATGCTGTTGTATAATATGCCGATGCTTTTCTGTATCATGCAAGGTCTTCCCTGAAACAGCGGGGTGAGCGACGCATTTCATGTACGCCCATAGGCTGTATCAAGTGTCAATCATAGAAAACATGAACCCCCTAATAACTTTTAAAAATGGAGCTGTACAGAAAAAAGAGGACTTGAGCACAAACCAGTCTTACTGTAACTACATGTCAACATCGCAAGCAGGGGGGAGAAAAAATTATGTTCTGTGTAATAAATTTCTAAAGTTTGTCCACAACTCCATAGGGATTGCTGGAGGAGGCGGGATTTATGACCTATACTGCAGCCAGTCACCAGAGGGTGCTGTTCTCTGGGTGGCTTCACCCAGCAAGGAGGCAGGTGCTGTCCATTCTATATACAGTCTATGATCAGACCACATGGTAGTTTTTTTAAACTTTGACTCAGTTCATCTTAAATGGGCTCAGGACTGAAGAATATGCTGGAATTTCTGTTTTTCAGTTATAATCTGAAATGCATCAAAAGTTTTTATCAACATTTCACACAGCGTTGTCTCAACTGTTTCGATATCAGTGTTGTGTAATGTCATTACAAAAACAAGGACAACAACTCTGATCTGCACTGATCTTCTAGACACATAACTTGTGTCTATTTAAAAGCAATGTCAGAGCCCGATATGTAACAATAACCCGAAATGTAATAACTGACCCAACATGTAACAAGTATCTACATTTTGGGCAAAATCTTATCACATTTTGGGCTCAGCTTCTTGTTACATTCTTGAGCTATTATTACATTTCAGGTTTTCTTTATTTTATTACATTGCAGGTCATTGTTACATGCCAGGCTCTAACAACCACCAATAAAAAAAAGACCCTCTAAAGCCTGTGCAACAACGAGGCATGACGCGCTACAGATCAACTGCACTGTACTGTATATCTCACATCATAACGAGAAAGCCTTCCCTGGGCTCCTCAAACACTGTAACATCTGCCCCCCTCCTCTTTGTTAAACTCCATAACCTGATCAGAGGGAAACCCTTTGGCAAAAACAAGCCTGAGTGTTTTTATCTGTAATGCAGCTCTAACATTTATAAAATTAGTTTTTTTTAGCAGTCAGAATATTCACTGTGTGACCTGAAAGTGTTTTTGAATATGTGTGCCAACTGTCTACAAAGGATAAAGCAGATTATAGACAAAAATAATCACATTCATCTTTCCTACTGTCAAAAGATTACACATCTATTCATCATATAAGGGCACAGACCAATGTTGGTTTACACACAGTGGCTCCCAGAGTACAACAACTGAACCATCATGGCAACATCAAGCGCTAAATACATTTTACAATTACAGTTAGACATTAGATTTGTACTGACAGGAATCAGACTGATGTCGCAGGTCATGAGAATACATGAAATAGATCAGTGTTTCCCACAGGATGGGAATTTATTTGTGGTGGTGGGTTAATAGAAACATAGTGGCTAGAGTATGAAGTAAACAAGCACACATGGTTATTCAGCATAAGTAAGTGGTTAACAGTCGGAGGTTGGTAGAAATTCTTGGAGCTGATTGGCCGCAGCCATAAAACAGAGAGAAGATGAAGCAGCGAAGGAAGAAAACAACTCAGTAAACAGCAAGCCAACCAGTCTTTGGTGCAGAATGTGAGGAAATCATGTCAGAGGAGAAAACCAATGAAAGCTCGACTCTACCTGCATCCAAAACCAAGTTTCCTCATCAGTACAGGAGTGTTCGGATCATAAGAGATGGACGATGACATGTAAATTAGTCATTTACTTCATGAAACATCCCTATAATCGCATAAATGTGAGTCTGTCTGGCTCCAATAATAGTGAGATGGTATGTATGGGTGCAGAGACAGCTCTACACCAAGGACAGTGCAACTCAGAATATCCATCCCTCTATACCTCTGATCCTGTTCAGGCTCCAAGGGGGATAGAACAAGTCCCAGCTGTCATTAGGCAGGAGGCAGAGTGACATGGAGATAAACAACAAAACATTCTCATGTTCACACTTACAAGCAATTTAGAGACAGCAATTAACCCTAACCAGCAGGTCTTTGGAGTGTGGGAGAAGGGAACCAATGCAAGCACAAGAGAGTATGTGCAAACTCCCCGTGGAAAGGCCCCAGCTGGGATTTGAACCAGGAACCTCCTTGCTGTGCGGAAAGAAAGTGCAAACAACTGAAAGACTAGTTGAATTACAACCGTTTTATGAGTGATATCACCTCCTCCTAAAACTGCAACAGCATCTTTTCCTTACAGCACCAACAATCCTTTCAGAAATAACACCGAACAGGATCTTCTTATGGCAAATTATTTGAGAAGTGGGTATCAGAACGATTTAAAAAACATATTTTGGGTGGAAAAACACTGGCTGATGACAAAATGTTAGCTTTAACTTACATGAAACTTTGCTAGCCTCAGACTTATTTATTATCATTAAACGATATTTCACTGGGCGGGTTTCTAGAGGGGCGCTATGAAGTGATGCTAACAGATCAGAACATAAACTGGTATAAAGATGTAAAAGAAGAAAACATGGAAAACACAATGATTGAGTTACAAAAATACCAAGCATGGTATTTATAACGAGTTATTCGATATCACGTTAGGAGGTTTTCTAAGAATGACAGAATGAGTTCAAGAAAGCATTAGTGTTTCCATTTTCAGCCATGGCTAATATTTAGCTTACTTAGAGCAGCTTCAATAAAGGGCTCATATGAACCAAAAACAATGTCATGCTGTTGTTGCATGACAGCTGGTTACTAGAGACACATCTGCATATCAAAGGTAACTGAGTTCATACTGACACATGGCTGACAAACGTGGCCTATTTCAGGATGTGCAGACTCATGCTCTGTGGCACATCTCGCCCCATGAGGACAGCATACGACACAGTGCACCGATGGTCGGCTTCAGAACAAAAGAAGAGTCTCATCAGTGGCCTCTGCGTCTGGTGCGGGCTCTCTTTTCCTACGTTACAAAAGGATCAACCTTTTTCTGAGCAGCGGGATGACCAAATAAAGACAGGAGTCACTGCTGCAGCAAGCTGCCACTAATCATTTGAACATATGGGATGTTATGTCTATCAGTCAGCTGGCGTGTGTAGGGGATTAACCAGTGGCATGTCTGGGATGTACGTCACGTGTTAATGGGCAAAAACAGAACTCATTATATCATTTCTGTGAGCTCTGAGAGGGAAAACAGCCATGTGGAGCAACAAGCTTAGCTGTGAAAGACAGCATGAACATGACTCGGATTCGATTTGACAAACAATAAGCCAAACCACGAATCATTTCAGATTGATTTGGGTTGTTTTTCCTCTGTCAGTGTTTGTCTTTAACACGAGCTCAAGATAATAACGCTGGGTTGAAGAAAACTTTTGATCAAGACCTTATTGAAAACAGCTGATGTTTTCATGGTTCACTAAAAGACTTCCTTTCAAATTATTTCAAGATTTAGACAAAAATAAGCCGCATTTTAAGCAGCATTTATAAGAGTATTTAGTCGTTATACTGTTTTTATTTGTTTATTTTTTTAAAACCTCAAGTTTTTTACTGAACACAGCTTAAGCAGTTTGTTTAAAATAAAAACAAGGAGCTAAAAGATTCTTAAAGTCTTTGTAAAACACAGAGACACTGCAGAGTACGTCTGCCACTAAACTGGTGAATATTTAAAATGTAATATGACAATACTGCAGTGATGACTGTTAATGCGTGTCCTGCCTCTCTGGTGCATTGATTCCCCTTTAGGATCAAGGCAGGACTCTTTAAGCGATTCACACTTTTAAGTCAACTGGTGTCTGCACCAGCATTGATAGTCAATTTAATGAAAATTAGCTACAGCTAGTAGTGGCGCCTGTGATGCTTGTAATGCTCTACTATTTGAATGTAAAAATGTAAATGTAAACTGGATATCAACAGAAACTAGACAGTGGAAAAGTGTAGCATTGGAGCTGGTAGGGCAGACCAGCACTATATATTCCCGCCAGAGAATATATATGTGTGTGTGGATTTCCCACTGTATGTTTACATGTTATGCCTCTCAAGCTTCTGTAACCCTGTAGCACAATATGAAATCACACACTGGGAGGCCGATGTTTTGCTGATGCAGATTCAGTGTACAAGTACTGACAGCAGAACAACGTCCTGATGGCACTACTGCATTGTCAGGATCTAGATTGCTCACCCATCAGTGAAGATACGTTGGCCTTGGAGGACTGGAGAGGCCCCTGCAACGCATTTTAGTATGATCCTCTATTTGTCAAGTTATTACCATCAAAAAGCTCTAGTCATGTAAAGTTTTTTGACAAATTCACTCTCTCACCTTATTTATTAATCTAATTTAATAAAGAGCACCATGCAAGTCCAGCTTACAGGGATATTCCAGCGTAAGATTAATTTAGGGTCAAACACACCGTAACACCGAGTTAGAGACCCCCTCAAGAGATGAATGTTGCCGACCGCTTGCTTCTCTAGTTATACCAACTTTAGTAATGACCGCACGATAGCAATACACAGCGGTCTCAGGAGCCAAACACAAACATCAGCTGAAAAACCACTCTATCGCAACAAATAATGCTCAGAACAGCACCTAACTTCATCAACAGCACATATAAGGTCCCAGCCATAGCACTAGTGTGGAATAAGATGTTTTGAATATTTTGATTTAGTAAGAAGGATAGGCGACAATAAGCTCTTGCTTCAGCCTATGCCTTTTCGGTCCAGTTTTCTTTTCTTGTAATCTACTGTATATATTGAATAGATATGACCAGATCGAAATAAACTTCAAACATCTTTTAAGCTTTGCCTAATTTCTTTAGCAAAGAGCCTTAACACTAAACATCATTTCTTCATGGAAATGCAATCAGAAAAAGACACTAAGGCAAAAGAACTACCGCATCTGCAGAGCAAAATGATTAATATGATGATTATAACTTCAAGGAAATGATAGAGAAATGATTATAACATTCTCCCTTGAGCTGCATCACCCCGCTGTGGTCGGTGATGGACTCGTCCAAGGTCTTCCTACAAACAAGCGGCTGCTGGAAGAGAGTGGGTGAGTTGTGTTTAGTCTCTTTGCTTAAGAAATAAGGCAAAGTTAAAAAGTTGTTCCATTTAAGTGTTCGTATCTGACTGAAAATTTTAACCCCAGATCAGATTGGATACCTTAAAAGTTATCAGCATACACATGACAGCAGCTTGTTGACATAAGTTAAAAACTACAACACTCTCCATCACTTTCTCTAATGTCTCTCTTTCCTCCCTCATGCAGCACCAGTATAATAATCAGTCCAAGTGTGCTGCAAGTGTGGAGCGGCATGATTTATCCCAGTCAGAGCCGGCAGTGTTGACCTTTGGCCTAAATACGCACATGCAAGCGGAGGTCAGGAATGTGGGGCACCTAAGCTAATTGTGAGAATATCTGGGGGTTTATGTATTGTTTGCACGGCACAGCGGTCTGGAAACCCGGGCCTCGTTCTGTGTGACTGCCATTTCTCAGAGTGGTGGCAGACCGGCAGAGACAGAGAGGGACTGGGAAGAAGAGCCTGTCCACAAACAACACGGCTCACTGCCTGTCACACTGACAAACAGTGACAGGCAGCTGACACATTCTTCTAAACAGAGGCCCATGTCTGGACTGCGTGTGTTGGGGCAGGAGGAGACACATCCTACTGTCTACGCCTGAGGGTTCTCTAAAATTGATTTGATATCTATGTCAGGTGCAATCAGCCAAACTCCAAATCAAGCTTTGAAATTATTCTTATATCAATGTGCTTCGAAAGCACCTTCAGTGTGTTACATTCACTGCAACATTTGCGTGAGGCTTTTGCAGGGCTTCAAACCATGAGTGGAAACGACCCTGAATGGACTCCCTTTTTTTGGTCAAATGTGAGCTCTCTACTTTTAGCCTTTTCATTGTACAGACTAGAGCAACTTTTAAAAAGAAGTCTCAAATGTCTGAGCTTTCAGTTCAACCATTCACAGCGATTTAACTAAAAGCTGAATCATAAATACAGATCTTTCCTTAACTAAAACTGACACATGTTCAAAAGACAAAATGAAGTTTCTCATAAAATAAAGTGTTTTAAATGGGCTTTTCTTCAATATTGAGATTCAATCCCGCTTCAGTGGCTTTACACTGAACTCTTGCTGCTTTTACGTCACTGACTGACAAAAATTCATTAAAATGATATTGATGGGCTCCAGGCAGTCCACTTGGTAGAGCGCAACCAGGGAATGGACTAGTCTATTCACTGACGCATGTCACGAAACCCTGATGATAGTTCTTATCAAGCTGATAAGCTGTCAGGTGAAATCAGTACAGAAGGGCTGTACTGCAGACTCAACTACAAGACAGAGAGTTAACATCATATTGTTTGACAACGCTACAAATGAGAGCATCCCAATTGGAAGTTGTGGTCAAAAAAATGTAAATGTAATTGCTGATCTCTGAATGTATGTTCATCCTGCAGAAGGGTTGTTCACATCAGACAGCTGTCACTGTTGGTTTCTGTTTACAGAGACTCCCGACTACAGTTTAGTAGATGACCTCCATGATCAAATGCTCTCTTTCCTTTCATGTCTTCACTTATTTCAATACTCACATTTCCCTTTCTCAGGCGCTGTCAGGATGAAATAAAGTATGTGTAACTATTAATCCATTGAATATGTAGCCCCCTTGATGTCTTAGTTATTCAAAAGCTCCAACATGCATAAAGTATTTTCAAAGAATATTGAATAAGTGAAAAATCATAATTACCACAAATAGCAACAGTTACTAAGGCAGAGATGGAAATAGAGGCGAGAGGCTACAGTCAGGCCATGCAAACAGTTTGATATATCTATGACTGTATTCTCAACCTGGTGATGGTTTGGAAAAAAAGACAGTAGAAAAACTCAGAGGTGTATCCAACCGTGAACACAGCGAATAGTCTTTCTTTCAGCCATATATCTTATCCCTGAAATGTCCTTTGAGAAAGTTAGAGTTCAAATACCTAATCGTCTGTGCTCATGGACTTAATTTAGTCTTGATCTGGAGTGTGTCATACACTTACAATCTAATAAGGACAAATAACAGCTCGTATGACTCAGAGCAATAACAAAAGTGGTCAGATCAACCCTTTTTTATGGCCCACTTAGAAAACTTTTTAAAAAATTGTGTATCATGGAAAAAATAAGATTGAGAAAGGAGAAAAAGGAACAGAGTAAAAGTCTTTTGTCTGGCACAGTCTTTTCCTGTGCTCACCTAGAGATGAACATCAACCCTCCAAACAAACACTAACGGACTGAAACAACGTGACATTGAGGTTCCACTGGATGAGCTTTTGTGATTGATTGGAACGTGTTAGACAGTTTAACCTCGCTGCTTTCCAAGGGTAAAAAAAAATTGGCCTGACTCTGACTTGAGTGTAAATGTGTCACACATCGATTACTTCCTACAATTCCAGCTCTTCAGTATTCATCCGGAGTTCATTCCAAGCCATTAAACACAGCATTTAAGCGTTTAGCTGTTCCTAGCCTTAAGTTTCCAGACCCTGAGGGCTTTGTGGCCTCACTTCCACGAATTCTCTCTTTTTCCACTTTTCAAAACATTGAACAGTTCAACATCAGTGCCATTTGGTTTCTGAACTCATCGCCACAGAGTACTGTCCTCAGATCCCTGTTTGATGTTGATGACATCCAAGTTCGGCTGTTTTTTAATATGTGGATATTTATAACAACTGTGAGGAGTATTTTACACAACAAAGTACAAAAAATGGAAGTCCCACGACAGGTTCTAAAAATACTGCTGCGATACCACAAACCAGGCTGCAACAATCACATGAGAAGGGCCACAAAATCCCGGAAGATCTTATTAGTGTATCCTTGAGATTCTTATAACTGCTTTATTTATCACCAATCAGCATTTGAAGTCAGTATAATGACCTGCAAAGATAACAATTATTACTTAGTTATGATCAAATAAAAAGCACTGCTGTAACATCTGAATTTTCCCTCCAAAGATCAAAAAGCACATCTCTTTAGTTATCTTATCCCGTATGAGTTGAAGACTGAACCATGTAGTAAATATTCAAAACAAAAGAAAAGGCTGAAAAACCAAAATAGTCAAGAGTTCTGGAGAGCTTTTTTTCGTCTCATTCACATTAAACTTTCATTTTGTGTCACATTTGACAACCCCAGTGGACAACAGTCTTTGCCGATCTAGTCCTCTGAATTTTTAACTCGTCTCTTCTTACAAAAATCTTATCACTCTGACTTTTGACAGCCACTTTCATCATTTATTGTCAACATAGGCTGCTTTCCCCAGCTGCTTGGCTGACACCTACCCCCTCACATTGGTTTTCAGGCATTAGAAGCACAGTTTAAAACTTATCAGTGTTGTGGCTAATGCCCTTGTCCGAAATGAATTTCAGTCTGTTTCATAAAGGTCAAATACTTAAAACTTGATGGTTCAAGAAGTTGTGTTTTTTTCATTTTTGTTATATGACAAACAACCCGAGCATGAATGAGTCAAAGCTCTAATTTTTTTGTTGTTGCCAACCAGTGATGTGATCTCACTGTACCTCATTTCTTACATTTCCAAAACACCACTCTCTCTTCCCAACATCCCCTGCCTCTCTTCAGCTGCTCTGCCAACAAAGGGCAAATTTTAAATGCCCCCGAAACAGACTTTTAAATGACATCTGACATACAGTGGAATAGCTGTGTAACTTTGCAGTGAAAAATGTAAACAAAGGTTATGTTTCTTCAACAGGCTGGTAATAACACCACGATTAATAAGAAGTGCACTAAAACATGCAAACTTCTCCCTCATGGTCTTTTTTTGCTTTTGCAGCTCACATAGACAAAAGCGTAAACTTTGGTCTGTTCCGTAACAAGCTAAAAGTCCCCAAAGGAGCTTAAAGTGAAGATCCGAACATAACAGAGTAAAAGTGTCTGCTTCTGTACTGTGCTTATCATAAACTTATTCACTGACTTCAACCAAAGTTAACATATTTGATGTATTCTTTATAAAAACTGAGCGAGAAAAAGTAATATGATTGATTTGATGTTTCTCTCCTTATGTCCTTGGTCAGTAACCACATCTTGGATTCAGTAACTTCATTTTACTTCTGTTTTTTTCATACTATTTCAAATATCATAACTGATTATGCTCTGCTTCCCCATGGCTCATTAACATATTTTCCTCTCTCTCTCTCTCTCTCTCTCTTTCTCTCTCTCTCTCTCCTGGCCTGCATAGAGGCAAGTCACACACAGACAAATCTCATCTGCTTCTGTTTACAGTGACCTCTTATCTTTAGTAACCCGCAGCCATTCAAATACACAGAGTACAATGTATCTAACTCTGACTGTGACCACAACTGTGGTTACTTTCCTGTTTACACTAATCAAAGGCTTTCTGTTCTGTTGATATTATTTAAACCATACTCCTCCTCCTCTTTCTCCTGCATGTGGATCAACCCTGACTGAGAGCCAGTTTACTTGTATCATGCCTGCAAAATGTGTCTATAGTGTAAGTTTACATTGGAGAAAATGTACCAAGCTTTATTAAGAGCAACATGCTACTACTTATATGTTATGGGCTACAGGTTTTTCAATAATCAGTGAATGATCTTAACTTTACAAAGAAAACTTAAAGGTATTCTTCATATGTCTGTTTCTACTTAGAGGGATGAGCAGTTGATGAATTTTGATATCTATTTTCTACCAAAACGCTGCAGGCCCTCTTGGCGAGGTCTCCCTCAGGACAGAGATTTCAATCTGCTGGGAAATCCTCGTAAACTCAGGTTGAGTAGGTCAAATCAAAATAAAGCTCAAATCCTTAACTTGTTACATCAGAGCAAAAGAAACGCACAACCTAATAAGAAAGAGATCTTTTACAACCCATTTAAGAAAAAAAATCATTGTGTCATATTGGTTATCTGTAACGCCTATCTTAACTTGGAGCCAAAACAACTCCAATGACATTTCTGATGACATTTATTCATAGCGTGCTTGGGTGCTCCAGCGGTGCACTGGTCTGGAGGGGTTGTGCCTTAAAAATGCAGCAAAGTGACCTCCTGAATGCCCCTGCAGCGATTCAGACACTGCAAAAATGCCCTTTCAAGTGCCTCGCTTTTGGGTAAACATGATTAAGTGCCTCTTAGATGCCCTTTCAGTGAACAAAATCAAACAAGAAGTGCCCACTGGATGCTGGATCCTTCCTGTGGATAAAATGTTCAGAAGTGATTTCTCAGGTAGCCTTTGTGGATAGATGGTATTAAAGCTCTGTTCCACTGTGGAAACTTGATGAATGACCTTATTTACATAGAATTAAAGAAGGGTTTGTGGGTCAGATTGACAAAACTGATCTGTTTCGAAATGATGAGGATTGATAAGATAACAAATTTTACTTGCATGTGAATAATAGTCACATTTATTGTTGCAGAATCACTTTCAAGGTGCTAAAAGTTTGGTTTCTGTCAGCTGATGCATTGTAAGTTGAGTTCAGAAAGTTCTGACCCAAACCAACTCCCATAACAGTGAGTTGAGTCAGTGAGATGCAGTGTGTAGAGAAGAGTTGCCCGAGTACAGGAGTCTTATCCCGGCCCGGGAAAATCCCCGCTCTCGCGTTGGCCAACTTACCCTCAAGCGTCACTTCTTTCCCCGCCTTCTTAAGCGCCTGCACCGCCAGGTCATGCGTAGCCTCCCGGAGGTCGTTACCGTTCACCGATAGGATCGCGTCCCCCACCCGGAGCGCCCGGCTCTGGTCGGCGGCGAGACCCGGGAAGATCTTGGAGATGAGAATTGGCATCCGGTTCTCACGTCCCCCCTTGATACTGATTCCCAGCCCGCCAGACTCCTGTTTGACAACTCGCACTTTGCGCACAGCCTCCGAAGACCCGTCCACACACAAGTCGCCCTGTCTCGACCCAAAGCTGGACCCGGGACTACCGTAGCTTGAGCCCGGGCTCCCAAAGTCAGAGTTTGTGCCGTTATTTGGGTACTTTCCGGGGCTGTTTAATCCGTAGTTCCCGTCGTATTGACCTCGACTTACTGCTCCGCGCCCGGGGCTGCCGCTGCGCCCCCGACCCCCGTGGTTCTGGTTCGGAAGTTGGTCTTGACCCGTGGACGGACCGCGGCCGGAGTTCCCAGGACTCTGTCCCGCTTCGTTCCCGTTCGACATACCATTTCGCAGGCCCGCCGAAGAGTTGTTGTAGTCCCAGTGGTTGCCCCGCTGTCCGGTTACATCCGTCTCGGCCGTCAAAGTCAGGGTTTCTCGGGTCAGTTCGGTGGCCACTCGGATCCAGCGGTCGCGGAGCAGAAGGTCCAGCTGACCGTTTTTGTCCGCTCGGGTCCAGACTGCCATTCCTGGACGGTTAGACTGCTCCGAAGCGGGCCGCTTTCACACTAAACTCATCATCAACTTTTTCCTCTTTTTCAGAGTGCGCACAAGCAGAGACGAGGCTCCACTGGCCCGCGTCGACACACCCACTACCACAGCGTGTCTGCAGGCGGAGGGTGAGGAAAAACAGAGGGACTCCCAAAAAAAGAGAGGGAGAGGAAAAGGAAAAGAACAACTGGCTGCGATGGGCAAGCCTAACAGGGCTTGTTGTTGACTTCAGGTTGTAAAGCTGTCCGACTTCCACTACAAAGTTACCGGGAACAATAGTGGATATCCGCTGAAACCTTTCAAAATAAAAGTAACAACCATGAACTCCCTAGTATGAAAATCTAGCAAGGCCATGCTTAAGAAAAATTGCTCGAGAATTTGTTTTTATTTTAGATCAAAATAATACAGAAAAATGTGCAGCAAATAAATTAATCCATTACAACATGTCCATGTAGATTCTCATTCATCCAGGTCATGGTTATCTCGAAGACTCCAACATCAGGCAACTGGACTGTGTAGAGTTTGAGAAAACGTTTCACCACTTATCCACTAGCTATTTAATCAAATTTTATTTTTATAGCACCAATTCACAACAGTCGTCATCCCAAGATGCTTTTCAAAGAACAAGAGAAGGTCTAGACCACGCTCATTGTTTGATGAATTATCAAGACCCAACCTTAGATGGGATTTGGCCCATCTCATCGAACATGAGTGACAGTGGCGAGGAAAAAACTTCCTTTTAACAGGCAGAAACCTTGAGCAGGACCAGACTCATGCCAGCCACCAAGCCACTGCTGGGTTGGGGAGGAATGTAGAGAGAGGAGTAGGAGAGAGGGCAGGGGGAGAGAAAGAGAACAAGATAGAGGGAAGGAGAGAGAGAGAATGAGTAAGGGAGAGGGAGGAGAGAGAGTAGAGAACGAGGGTGAGAGAGAGGGACAGGGGACAGCAGCAACATTACAACAACAGCAACAACAACAACAGCTCATGTAATGGTGGAACAAAATGAATTCAGTTTACAGGGTTAGAATATGAGTAACTATGGACTATGTTAAATTAATTTAATGTGATTACAGTCAGCAGGCCTAATAGTCTCAACTCTAGTTTTATGTCAGTGAGGATGATGTTTATGTCTGCACTAACAGTCCAGAGGAACCCAAGAGAAGAAGGAGCTCAGGGCCTGAGGCGGACAATCATAGACGATGCAGCTGGATTCAGGCAGGTCTGCAGCAGCCAGCCGTCTTTAGCATCAGTCCGGAGCAACCTAGGAGACTGGGGGCTCAGGGACATACAGAGAGTTCTGTATGTCTTCTTGGATAAGCGGCGAAACATCTTCTCAAATTCGACACAGTCCAGTTGCCTGATTTTGGAGTCTTCGAGATAATCCATTATGACGAAATCTAGCTATGTGATTCTGTGATAATGAGGGTAAAAAAGGAAAAGCTGTCTGTGACTTTTTGTCTAACACAAGGCTACAGAGAAATAAAACATTTGCAGAGCAGTTTTAAAGTAGTTAATTGTATTGTTGTATTGTTATCTATCTATTTATTTACTTCTTTTATTTATCCCATGTACAGCATTTTGATTGGTCACTGTCTTCTTAAATAAATAAACTTGACTTAGATATTTAACCAAAAAAAATAGTCTCTGAGAAAGTTCCTGCAGCAGAAACACAGCCTCATTGGCACAGACACTAAAGGAAAGTCTAACAAGTTTCACGATTTATTTTGAAAGGATAATCCACAGTCTTCCTGTTTCATTGCATTTTCCCCCACTTGTCAACACACAGTTTGTGTGATTGAAGGTGAACTCGGCCGGATGATAAGCGGAGGCAGCCAATCGATGAGTAGACCTGTAGATTATTTATTTATGAAGATAGAGGCGGGGCATCCACACAGCTTTATGGATCCACTGACTGTGCTCTAAACCAGCTTAAGTTCACTCTCTGTTTGAGCTGAATTATACAGCTGCATGAAGCTTTGTTTTGATATCCTACAGACATTTATGAAGCACCAAATCAATCTTCTAAAGTTGAATTCCACTCTATATTAAAATCTTAAACAGCAATTCTGAAAGTTTCTGGACGTCAACATTTATCAAACTCATCTGACACCATAGTTCAATTGAAATGGACTTGGGGAAACAAGAAAACTGTCCTATAGTCTGATTAATTGAAAATTTGCCATCGATTTGGAAATAATGGACACCATATACTTCCTTTAAAGGAGGAGAAGGACCACCCAGCTTGTTATCAGTCTGCATCGGTGAAGGTGTCTGCACTTGCACCATGACATGGGTACCATAGGTAAGGCACCATTAGTGCAGAACATTATACAGGCCATCTGGACCAGCCTTTTTCAGGAAGACCTTGCATATTTCAGCACGACAATGTCAAACTACACTCTCCACATGATACAACAGCATGGCTCAGTAGTGGAAGAGTGCTTGATAATTGGTCATCCATAATGAAAGTATTTTTGAATCATGAATTGAAAAACACAACAAAAGAGACCCGGAAGTGTTGAGCAGCTGAAATTCTATACTTTACAAGACCGGGGTGTTTTCCTTTTACTCACAAAACTCCAGGAATTGCTCTCTTAGTTTCCCACAAGCATCCGTACAGACTGTGTTCATTTCAGTGGTAGCATCAGACTGCACTGCTGAGACAAACACAGCCTTCAGCAGGTTAAAGACATGGCTGATTACTTCCTGTTCCTTTATTCATCACCTGCAGCAGCAGAGTCAGGACAGGGTCACATCTGTGAACATTTTTCTTACTGGTTATTTTACCTCCAATCTGATTTCTTAGGGGATAGAGCTCAGCTGATGCCGCCTGTGTAATGAAAAAGCTCCTTTCATATATAAGGAAACAAAGACTGGCAGACAACTGCAGAAATATCTCACCTTTCAAACATGAATTCAAAAATAAAACTAATGAAAGCTTCACATCTAGATCACAAACTCCCCTACAGCTGCTGTTTGTAATTCTGTATTTTAACCATGTGAATCACACAAAGTGGTAACAATGTGTATTTAGCAGAATAGGTTTAATGTCTACAGGTAAGACAGAGAGAACCTTAAAATGTCTAAAAAGATGAGACAAGTAATGACGACTTAATTGTCATTATATACTTATTCAATTGTTAACCTCAAGGATCAATGAGAGATAAATACGCATCTGTGTCATGTTTGTTGGTTGGATCAACTGTCCTCTTCTCAGCAGATTCATCAGGTGACACTTTTTGCATTATGCAAAAAGCATTATACAGACCCTTTCCAAAAAATTTAAATATCACTGAAAAGTTGATTTACATCATTCCATTCAAAAAGTTAAACTTTCATAGATTATAGATTCAGGGCCCACAATTTAAATGATTTCAGGTATTTATTTATTTTTACATTGGCCTTGCGGATCATAAAACCCATGAAACCAGCCCAAATTTTGCAGGTCATGAATGTTTTAAACTGAATGTCACGCATTGATCAACTCAAAGCACCTGCACAGGTTTCCCCAGGTGTCATTAAATTGCTTAAGTTTGATTCAAATTGTGGACCCTGAATATATAATCTATGAAAGTTTAACGTTTTGAATGAAATTATGGAAACAAACTTTCCATGATATTGCAATTTTTTGGAAAGGGTCTGTACATCGTGTAGCCCTTGTAAATGACTTGAGAAGGCTTGGATTAACAGGCAAGCTTGGAAAGTTGGGCAGGTGCAGATCACAGCATGTTACCACTGAAAACAAGCAGAAAAGAAGGAGTTGGATGGATGCAACACATCTGCAGCATTTGGACTTTTAATAGAAGGAGCGTTCCCTTGCTCACCCCTCTTCTTGGAGAATGATAGCCTTCACTGATGGTCAGATTTTCAGGCCAAAGCTTCAAATGTAGTCTCTAATCTTCTGAACACTACAGGTTTTCAAATGTGTTGTTGTAACTTATTAAACAACCAGAAACCCCAGATATCAATTGTTCATTTTCTTCACAGTTGTTTGTTGAGAGATAATGAAATGACAATTACTTTTCAATGGATCCCCTAATGAACTTCAATACTGGTCTCACTTTAAACCAGCATTTGAACTTCCACCCACAGCCAGCTGCTGGAGGAAAAGGGCTGCTGTGATACGATGAATTATTGAATTTGTGTCACAGCTGCCCTGCTGAGCTCTCCTCATTGCAGCTTTTTCTGCGATTATTGAATCAGTTTGACACTTTGGATTTAAATAAAACATATTCACCATAGAAACTCTTTACTTAACATCCCCTTTCAGCTGTAAATTAGTTTGAAAGGAGTTGTTTCCTTTCCGAGTATAATAATACATTTACAATTATGTGTAAAAAATGCACCTCTGTGGCCACTCAAGCTCCACAGAGCAGCTGAACACACTGTGCAGAGTGAACAGTAAAACTCGCAGACGCAGCACTGGTTGTGTTTGTTGTTACATTTTATTGCAGTTGAGGTTTACTTAGTATTTACAAAACCAGAGCAGATTGCAAGCGTCTATAGGGGGGTGAGAGGCGGGAGTATCGTCTGCTTGCTTCAGATCAGCACCATCATGCTGCAGCAGATAAAGATGCAGCTTTACCCCGTTACATTCACAGTGTCGCCGCTATCATACCCCATCCAGCTGTACCTGGGACTTCACAAGCATATCTAAAATGCAAAAGAGGCCTCATTATGCAGCAGCCACTCATTATAAATCCCTTTTAAGATGCTTAAAAATAATTGTTTCTACGCTGTGTACGAGCTTAAAACTTTACAATTCTGTTTCTGGATCTCTAAGTTACATTCATGACAAAACAAGGCAACCACAGAGAGCTAAAATGCTAAGGGTTACATGTTTACTCTATGCTGCTCAGCTTTCATCCCTCTTAAACTACCACCACCACCTAATGACCCCTCCACCCTCTCTCTCTTTCTCTCTCTCTCTCTCTCTCTCTCTCTCTCTTTCTCACAGTGTTTACTCCCCTAACCACAAGTGCTCTCCTCAGCTGCCCTCTGTCCTCTCATGCTGCTTCCCAGCAGCTGTGAGCAGCAGGAAGAGAAGTCATGGCGCTGCAAATACAGCAGATACACACACAACTGCTTCTTATTTAAACCTTTAATATGACCAGGGTGCAGTGCATATGCATCGTGTGTGTGTGTGTGATGTAGTTGGTAAGTGGCTGATAGCTGAGGTGGTGGTGGTCTAGATTCTCTTTCTAAAAAAAGGGTTCAACAACTCCAGAATAGCTTTAATAACAAAGCACAAGAACGCGTTTGATGCTCCAGCCAAACAATCCTTAAAGTAGGACCTCTGCTGGATTTGAAGTTCTCATTTATTCTCATATTTGTTTGATGTGTCGGCGCTAGACCCCTTAAAAGACCCCCCCCTTTCTGTGCATGTGTGTGTGCAAGGAGCGTGTGTGTGTGTGAGGGTGTTTGCACAGAGGAATAAAACATCAGTCCAACTGTTCATTGGTTCACATTGTTGATGGTCTTGGTTTGGAGCTGAGGTGAATGGGCCGATGATGACACGAGAAGCTGTAGATGACTGTGCTGGGGAGGAAGCTGAGGGTGACTCTGAGGGGAAGATGGAGGACAAATCTCCAGGTTGGACTGGCGTTGCAGCTGTGGTCTCTGAGGAGCAGCGGCGGCAGCAGCAGCAGATTTAGCCTCCCTCTTGGGAGTGTTGTTGAGGATGTCCAAGCTCCGCCGGCTGGAGGAAATGACATCAGCCACAAATTTGGTGCATTCGGCACAGATGTCGCGCAGCGTGCAGCCGTGTGCGTATAGGTGGGGGAACTCCTCCTCCACTGAGCGGCGAGTTAAACTGCGCAGAGACCTGCAGAGGGGACAAGGAGGTTTGGAGAGACTCTATATGTGCAATGTTGTCACAAAGAGCAGAGCTATCTGTTGATAATAAGGTTTTCTGTTATTTCTAACTGAAGGAAAACTCTTTGCTCATGCTTTTGGAGTTTGTTCTCTGTAAAAAATAAGATTTGATGGCCAGCACATAAAAGCATTCATACAGAAAGAGGTCAAATCAAAATCTTTCACTCCAATGAAAACCATGCTCACTGGGGACAAAATGACAAATACACACAAACGTACTTTTAAGTGAGGTTTTAGAATGCTATAAGTATTACCCATGAAGGGTCCGGGTCAGCTCTGTCCTTGAATCAGCAGAGAACCAGCACAGAAGTGAGGTTTCCAGCTGCAGCAGACAGGGCCAATTTTTGTACCTAATTTTGCTATTTTCCAAGGACCACTGATCAAAACACTTCTTTTGGGAAATTTTGTCCAGAATTAACAACTGGAACACAAAGCAACATTTTCCTCTGCCTGCTGAACACTGATCAGCTTTTCAGGTCTGTGAGCTTTAAAAAGAGACAAAAACCAAACTAGAAAATGAGTGAATCTGACAGCAACAATGACATGTTGTGACACAAACGCACATCTTCATGAGCCTGAGCTTAAAGCGGAAGGACAAGACTCAACAGACTGAAGGAAACTCATGGTTTTCATCGTCTTTTGTTTGGGACGTACTGGACAATTTAAAACAAAACATCTCAGTAATGGCGGTCATTTAAAAAGTAAAATAAAAACTGATTATACCTGGCTACCGTAATGATCGTTGTTCTAGTTTACATGCAACATTTTTTTTTCTCATTCATGAAACACTAAAATCTGGGACATTTCCAGGGCCAACTTTAGCCAAGGACAGGTTATCCAAAACAGGGACTGTCCCCGGAAATCGGGTACGTCTGGTCGCCTTAGATTATGACTGTGCCATGGATTCCCTCTGTATCCTGTTTGTCATGATGAACCAGCTGATTGTCTTTTTCTATTTATCTTATCTAATAAAACTAACACAAGAAAAATGGCCCTATGTAAAAAGACATACTAAGGAGGTCTTAATGGCTACTAAACAAAAGATTAAGGCCATCTTTAATGACTAAATTAACACTCATATTTGCTGTTATGAAGCCTGAATGTTTAGGGTAATAGGGATGACAGATGTGTAGCAGCTATGATAAGATCATAAACTCTCCATTCACACACACACACCGGCTCTCTTAGTCATTGTGTGAATCTCTTACTCTTGTTTCACGGTCCATCTTCACACAGACACAAGGAGAGAGGATATTAATGACAAGTGGGTAATTATTACATAATGGCTGCTAAGAGGCCTCACAGGAGGCACACAGTTGGTTATATAACAATGGTGGTGGTGGTGATGGTGGAGTGGGGGGGGGTTGGCTTGCGTAGACAATCTGTGATTGGCTGAAGTATCTGCTTAGGTGAGAGAAGGTTAGCGGTCAGCAGTCTGAGGGAGGGGAAGGCAGACTTAAATAGATATAACCCACAGTCTTAACCTGGCCTGAGCGGTTGACCTTGGCTTGGACAGGATTCAGGATTGGCTAAAACGACTCTAAGGAAACTGGGTGAGAATGTCAAGAGCTTAGAGTCCCTCCAAATGTTAAGTCAGCGTCACCTTGTTTCAACTCTGAGAATTGAGTGCTATGAATGACTGCATGGATGTTTCCTTTTCCTTACCTTTTGTGTTTTATGAAACTCTTTTTTAAATAAAAATATTGTCAACATTAAGATGGGTTACCTTTGTGATCGAATGATTTTAAAAAAGATATTAGTCTGCTGATTCCTCTTCTTATGACGCCATCTAGTCAGGACTTTAGCCTGTCATACTGTTTAATATTCAGTACCTGAACATTAATGACAAAGCCACCACATAGCCAGTCTAAATAGATTTCAAATGCAGCATCTAGTACTGAAGAAGCATAAGAGCTCAGCTGATCCTAAGAAACACTGCAGTGTCCACCTGGTTGTATGTATCATAGTAGGGGCCAGCTCATACAAAAGTGCTATTTTTATGTTTGGGAATCCTGAGATATGAGGGAAATAAAAGGATGAATGAGCAAAACTGAGAAAAATCTTTAACCCTCTTCAGAATTTCATATTTGACCTTTAACAAATGCTGCAGACAGATTTTTGGCTTACGACTTACTTACGTACAAATCCCTCCTTTAAGCTGTTTTTGTATCTTCCTCACTTGTAATATGAAAAGTATCTCTGTCACACTTCTGACAAAGACTTACTTATAGACCTGGCTCTTATGTCCATGGCTCTTTGGGGTGCTGTGGAAGCCAACAGTGTAGACAGGAATGTGGGCCATCTTCTTTGAGGGGATCTTCATCTACAGCACAGGAAGTGGCAACACAAAAAGAAAACATTAAGACAGAGAAAAAACTGTGAGAATGGTTTACCTGATTACAAAAAATACTTTGAAAAAAAGTATTTAAAGTCTCCAAACAGATTCAAATGCATAAACACGGAGGACTCCATACTTTCACGCCACAAGACCATTAAATGACACACAGTCACACAAGAACACTACCAGCAGAGAAATCACTGCACAAGAAAGGTAAAATAATGGGATACAAATAACCAACAAACCACCAACAAATCATTCAGAAATCACAAAACAGCACATACAAAATCCAAACAGCCTTAACATCAAACCTACAGAGCACAGACCCACACATCCAACATGGCCTGGGACCGAGGCAACAAATCAAAACCAACAAAAGAACAAAAGAAGAAGACGTCAACAGAAATTCATTGGGTGGTAAAATTGACAAAATGAGGAATATGTGTCAACAAGAGGCTCAATATTAAATTTCAACTGACTCTTATTGTTATACAGAGCAACACGTGGCAAAATATGAACAGAGCCAGGCTTAGTAGAGGACACAAAAAGCTTTTGATTACGTGCTTGTATTTAAAAATCTGTTAACAGTTACCTTTGCACTGCAGGAGCTGCAGACAGATCTGTGAGAGACAGAAAAATGAACATTTACAGCTTTATTTATGAATGTCACATTAGGGAGGAGAAGACGCCTATCTGCTTTTACAATCCCAGTTCCCCAAAAAGTCGAGAACGCTTTGTGAAATATTCATTCAATAAGAATTTGATGGTTTGCAGAGATCAGCTACTGAAGTTTTAAAAGTGTAATTTTGTGTCATTCTTGCCCTAAATGTTTTCAGTGGGACTGCAGGGCCATGCTGTTGTAATATGTGTAATATGATGTTCTGAAACTTATATGTATTGTTCAGCATTAGAGGATTTTCCCAAATGTGTATAGGGACTTATGTATCCTGTACCATCATGGATGCTGGCTTGAACTGTATCCTAAAAACAAGCAGGATGTTCCGTCTTCTTTTAAAAAGGTGGAGAATGTGGTCCATAATTTCTAAAAACAATCTAAAATTTCATTACATCAGGCCACAGAACAGGTCTATATTTTGTCTCAGTCCATCTAAAAAGGGCTCAAACTTTGAGAAGTTGCCACGTTTCTGGATAATGTTTCTACATGGTTTCCTCTTTGTATTCAGTTTCAACTTGAATTTGCCGATGCAGCAACTAACTGGTCTGTCAAAAAATAGTTTTTGGAAGTGATTTTGAGCTCATGCTGCGACTTCCACTACAGCGTCATATTTATTTTTGGTGCAGTGGCATCGGAGAGCTGAAGACTATTGGCATCAAGAATAGATTTTTAGCCTTGTCCCCTTTGCACCAAGATTTCTTCAGATTCTCTGAATCTTTTAATGATATTATGTTGTGTTGCTGTTCATGTGTTGCTTTCATCACAGCACCCTTACTTTTTCAGAAATGGGGTTAAATCATAAAATGCCAAGTCAGCTAAATAATTGTTGTTAAGTCTTTTAAATCTAGAGTTTCATTGCTTACTGAATAAAGGAAGTGTGTGGTGGACTTGTTACTGGTGGTGCAAGTTTTATAGGTCGTTACTCAAATTTTATGAAAGCCCTTGAGTGGGTTTGCTTTGAGGAAATGTTGGTTTATGGGTTTTCATTCTCACAGTTTTGGCCATGATTTCCCAACAATGAATCACTAAGTAAAAGGGTTATTCTCTTATTTCCACACAGCCTCTATAATGTAGAAGTGTTTCAGAGATGCACTGCTAAGTTGCTTGAGCCAGCAGCAGATGAACAAGTTGCAACGGGTGCAATATAATTTTTGTTGGGAAATGCAGCTCTCTTAACGGCTTCCAAAAAAATTGCTTTTTGATATTGGCAGGTTTAGATTTTTGCAACTAGTGCTGCAGAAGTATTTTGAAACACAAACAGGTATTACTTTGCTCTACAGAACCAACCATAACCAATCACAGATAGATATTTTCGATTGTGAAGATATTTACACCTCCACAGATTAGTTACAGTTTTTGCAGTTCATGGAAATATTGTTTTTGATTGGAACTAACAATTTATTACACTAGAGTCATGCAACAACGTGAACTAACAAGCCAGTCAAGGCAGCACCACAGCAGAAATGTTTGATCTGTAAGTTAACTTTCATGTTTTTGGCACTGGAGTTGATCGGGGCATAATCAGCAAAGATAAAGTTGCCCATTTTGTGCTCCAGGCAATGGAAACTGTTTGAAAATTAGTCATTTGGACCTTTATCTATTTAAGTTTTGGTTGTTAAATAATAAAATGTCGTTTAAAAACTACTTACAATTCTTAGAAATTCAAGAAAGTGAAAATGTTTGCGATACCTTTTGCACAGTAAGCAGGTAGACGGCCATGAGAAGAGAGGGAATTTCACCCTGCAGCAGCAGCAGATCTAAGAAAAAAAACACACAGTAACAGCTGGGCGTTCATTTACAAGAGACATTGTACAAAAAGAAATGGGGATGAGGGAAACTCCAATCTGTTACCCTTCCTTTCTTCAGGTTATTGTAAAGCTCTTTGCTCTGGAGGAACTTCTCCATCTCTGCTTTGACCAGCACTCGGCGCACATTGATGACCTCATCCACTGTCAAGGCGAGACTCTCCACAGGGTGGCTGAACTCCTCCTGGACACAGTGGGCAGCAAAAGAGGAGAGGATGAATACTTTTCAACATGGTAATCAATATCTGAGTTTCAGAAGTTAATCACATTTTAGATTTCAGTTTTTAAGTTTTGTTATTTTTCATTTCCAAACATTTTTCTGTCCATATTAAAAATGTTAACCAATTCTTACCAGTGTAATGATTTGTTGGTAAAATAAATATGTTTTTTAAAAACTTGACCTTGAGATTTATATTCAAATAAATGTTGTGCTAGAACACCAGAGTGATCTGAAACCATGACTTTAGAGGTAAAAGACAACTCCACAAGTGTTTCATCCACAGCTCTATGGTGACTCACATGTTCATAAATAGTGTTCTGCTGTACCAGATGGGCCTGGGTGATCAGATCTCTTAATACATATAAGAAGCAGTTAAGAAAAAGCCGATGGGAGTTAAGTCAATGGACAGATTTATTTATTTTTATTTATTTATTTATTTAAGAGCATAAATGAAGAGGTTTAGCAGCCTTCTTACTTTTTAAATTGGAAATGTTTTGTTCGTGGTAATGTACCATTCAGTCCCTTCTTTAAAAGCAATAAGTAAAGGTTTGGAGTGTCTAAATCTGGCTTTGTAAAAACACAGTACCCCTAAATGTGGTGTTTGTGGGCTCTCTGATGAACCCATTCTGCTAAATTTGATGAACAATGGAGGGTTCTGACTTTGAAATATATCTTGTTCAATAATGACAAAGGTCAGATTGGTTCGGGGGTCCTGCACCTGCTGGTACAGTTAATTTAACACATGTGCTCTGGTGATGTACAACCAATCAGGATGTGAAACGCCATTATTCCAACATACAGCCAGTCATTTTAAATGACGGCACAGGACCTCAGGCTGTTACCAAAAGCAGCAAAATGGCATCATGTAAAGATACTGCATTTTCAACTAGAGATCACAAAAGAAAATGTAAACTTTATACCACCATGAAAAGCAGAGGAGAATGGTTCAGATATAACAACCACTTGTGATGAACCTTTTGGGGCAGGGAACACTTATTTTAACACTTATTTTGAAACGTTGTCATTCTGCCGACTGATTCTTCTGGCCCTCATCTCTAAACATTCAAAGGGGATTGATTCAAATGAGAACCAAAGTTAATGAATCTACATTTTTTAATTGTCTTATTTACTTAAGAGTGAATTGGGATTTGATAGAATTTCAAATCCCTGGGGAAACTCCACATAAATGGTCTCACTCACCATCCACTGGTTCTCGTCTCCAGTTCTGGAGCTCCACCTGGTTTCTGTTGTCTCTGTGGTCTCGTCCACTGAGCTCAGAGACAGTCGGGCTGGGGAGGGTGGGACCCAGCCGTGAACTGGGAAGGAAGCTGAGGGGTTGAATGGATGATAATGGGAGATAATTGAAAATTTATCAGGAACAAAATACAATCGAATCACGAGGATAAAATCAAAGAGTGAACAAGAAAGAGCTGCAGATCCGGGTCTAACTACTCCATGAATTAGATATCAGCCTCTTTCATTCAGATGTGTCTCAGATCTTGCAGTGCTTGTCGATCAACTCTCACTGTACCATGTATTATTCATCTGGTTTCAGTGGAGAGATTGAGCCCATGCTGCTCCATCTGTAACTTAGATCACAGTGAGAGGCCTTCTCAGCGGCAGCTCTAAAAGAGGAACTAAGCAGAAGCTCTGTTGGTGGGAGGGGGTTTAAAAGAGACCACGCTCTGGGAGCCTCTTCCATCCTGCAAATGGAAAGTTTCAATTTGGCTCTAATGGAAAGTAAAACAGAGTGAGAGGGAGGAGAGTAAACGTCGTCAGCAGATATTATTTATTTCAGCTGTAGGCCGTTTACAGACTCATGTCCACACAGTGAAAACTGGAGAGCCCCCTGCAGGCAAAGTAGTAAACAACAATCCAGAGATGACTGGGTCTGGACTACAGCTTGTGGCGTGCAGCTGAGTGGTTCAGGTCCAGCAGACTGTTTTTCAAACAATTACCTCCAAATATGGATGTCTGTCAGCCAGGCCAGTACTGGAACCATGACCGTCAAAACAGGTAACACTGTCTCTGTGGCTAACCAATTAGCTTTCCTCAGTTACACTTTATCAGCACATCTTTCTATTTGATTCGAATCCATCACACACTCCCACAGCTTGATGGCGGATTAAACTTCTGCCAAGTCCCTGTCAGCAAGCCTGTAAGGTCTTTATCACAGTGGGCTCTTATTTCAATGAGTTCACAGTAATTCAATGAGCTTAGTGCTGAGATATACCTGAGGGTGGACTGTAGGAGGTGGGGACATAGAGTCTGCAAAACAAACACATTATTCCGAAGCTCTAATGGAGAAAATTAAACCCTTAAAAACATTTTTTTTCAATCAACATGCTGTAGTAAAAAGGATATAAAACAGTGTTTTTGTTTGACAGTCTCCTTAATACATTACTGCTTTTCTTCCAGCTGATAACCAGCACTGATGTTAATACAATCTGGTTTCAATAGTTTTAGAAAATTGGGTGTGATGTTGTTTTATGTAAAAATATCAAAATCTCTTGTTTACTTATTCATAAATGAGGACAAAAATAGAGCCTGTGGAAACAACAGACTCTCCGACATAAACAGCACTATGTCTCCCTCTGTGGGGGAAAAGTTAAAACTGCAAACACGAGAAGACTGACTGCAGCTTTTCAGCGCAAACAAACACTACAACAGCTGATCTTATCTGAATAGATGTGTTTTAACAAAACCAATCAAGTCTTAAGAATCAGTATCAGCAGTTTTTCATTCAGTCATTTTGGATATTTAATATTCGATGATTCACATCACATGATTATTAATTTCAATGTGAATCACTCAGCAGTGATTAATCCAGTGGAGATGACAAACACTCAGCCTGCCCACCAGACCAAAAGAGGATCACAAGTTACCTTCAGGTGTTACCATGACAACATGATACTTTAAATGACCATCACTGACTGGCCATTTGTGAGGCTCCCTTTGAAATGGGATGGCACATCCCAGAGGTTTATCATGACTCCTTTTCTGAGCTTGACATTTTTCAGAAGTTGATTTCTAATACTTCGGCAATAAAGTCATGCAGTTTTAGAAACTCTCCAAAAATCTACACGGATGTTTGTGCAAACTCAAATTTCTTTTTCTTATCTCAAAGGAACACGTAGCCTCAAGTCTAGGGCTGTGATTGCAAGGGTTCAATATGGATCATTCCCAACCTCCATCAGTCATTGATCATTTTTCTAAAATTCCCTGTTATTCATTCCTTGTCTCTGGCCCTGTGACTCAGTGGCTGACTCTTTAAATAGCAGCTGTTGATCATTTCAGTTTCAACATGTAGAAATAAACATCAATCAACTGATTACCAAATCTGTGACATACATTTACATACTGACCTCTGTAATAAGGAAGTGGGCCGGCACCTGTTAGCGTCCTGGACCGAGGCCTCTCCCCCCTCAGTCTGACTCCCCCGCTCAGCTGGGCCGACTCGGAGAGTGAAGGAAGCATCTCACCACGGAGCATAGCCAGGTCTTGCTCAGAGAAAGAGCGATCTCTTTTCAGAGGTGTGGGGTAGCTGTCCGCTCTCCGCAGTTCACCGTTGTCTGGAGACTCCTCCTCCTGTAACATTTGTGTGTTTCAAAAATCAGCCAGAAAAGTGAAAAACACAAGTTTCTTAATTAACAGAAAATAATACAATTCAAGTTTGTTCATTTTTTTTTACTTCCCTGCAACCTTAAACCCAATCTAACCTGGTGATAAAATAATTCACAGCAATAATTCATAATTCATTTGCGAGATGCATGTCCTTGCTCAGTTTTGGATTGTTCACCAACTTCATCTGTCAAATATCTTCCCTGGGGTGAGTCCCATCTGTGACAGGTGTAAACAAGCTCCTGCTGATCACATATTTTCAGTATTCAGCGTTGAACGATGCAGACTCTTAGATGGCAGGTGGCGCAATCGAGCCGTGCCCTTTTCTTGGTCTTTTTGGTGCACTATCTTCCTCTAACAAAAGCTCAGTTAAGCTGCACGGCCTACGGAGACCTCTAGCATTCGGCTTTATTTTAGCAGGTGGATTTGGGAGCTAATGAATTCTCTTCTAAAAATAGAACAGATAAGATTCACACTGCAGGAATCCTCTGGAAAATTTGACTTAGTGTGACAGTTTTTGAGTCTTATTTGGAATGACTGACTGGGGTTGTGGTGTATATAAATCATCTTGGACAAAATCTTCATCATTCTTTCAACTTTGTTTTTCAAGTTTCATCAGCTTATACAATCATATTCACCATTTTCCTTTTTTTTAAATGTCCTTCTTTAGCTCATTTTCTTACAGCTGTATTTTTTTTAGTTTAAAGATATTTTAAAAAATATGACTGAAATTAGACAAGAAAAAAGCTTTTAATCTAGTGTCGGAATTTGAAAGGATGAGCATGATACTTGAGGTAGCAAGTATATCACTGTAATTCAGTACAAACTGAATACCTTCAGTGCATTCATATGAAGATAGGAGGTTACAGCTTTTTCATGAATGTTTCTCCGACAATAAGTTATTTCTTCCTTTTCCATTTGATAAAATTTCCCAACCCTTCTAAATTAACAGATTACAGCTTCTAACCCCTTTAATCACAGCTGCTGTTAATATTTATAACAGGTACTCATTTGCTCTTCTGCCAGTGCCTGCTGGTGTTCAGCCGAGCAGAGCTGAGAAATTCAACAAAAGAAGGTTTTAAATAATCTTGCCATAAACCACACATGCAGTGAGAAATAAACCACTGAATAAACTGAATATTTGCTTCATGGTCACAAAAAAAGTAGAAGACGAATTCTTCTATCAACAAAGGCTCAAGTGGTAGAAGAAGAATATGAGCTGCACTTTTTGAATGGCTAACTCTGCTCAAAATGAGAAAAAGTATGGGAAATAAAAACTCAGTAGACCCCAGTAGACTCTAAATTAAGTAAACAAGTCAGTACCCATGGCTGAAGCAGAAGTTGGTTTTGACCTAGTTTGCCTATTGAGCAAGTTTTTCAAAATAGGAGAGAAACATTTTTAAGCTTTGACTTCCCAAGTCATTAAGAGTTAAAGAGAAGAGGGATTCACCCCAATCAATGTTCTGTCCTCCATCAGCACAGAGGCATTTTAACCCACTTAAACTGGAACACTGAGTCAGTGCTGATGAAGACCAGCCCTGTGAGACACAGACAATGACCCCAATCATCCCCCCACTTATTGCTCAGCGTCTGTCCTCACCTCAGATATGTTCATCTCCTCCATCTCGGCCAGAGTGGGAGCCTTGAGCAGGACACGAGGGCGGGATGGTGGGCGGCATCCGAGCTCAGACACGGACAGGTCGATGCAGGAGGTGGACTTGATGTTACAAGGACAAGTGTGAGCCAGACAGGGCAGGGAGCCAAACGCTGAGGTAAAGAACAAAAACACCATCAGGGAACAAATCAGCCTGAGAGGACAGCAATTCAGAGATGAACCATAAGCAGCAACTGAACGTCAATAAGACGTCACTCCACTCAGTTTGAGATTCAAGCACTAATACTTTAAACCACTATGCAAAAGTGCAACCCCTTTATTGCTCTCCTACTGCAACATCTGTGTTGTTCTGAGTCATTTTGGGTAACATTATAAAAGACTGTATTGCTCCATGAAATTCAGTCGGGCATAAAGGGGTTGTATCTTTTGATTTTTCTTATCAACGAGGGCTCAAGTCTTTACATGTAGTGTAGAGGTCATCACTCATGACAGTGTTTAACGCTCAGAGTGAACATTAAGCTAAACTACAGCTGGATTCATTTATTTTTCAGTGCTTATCAAGCTGGTGAATAGTTATTGAGCATGGTGTTAGTTCAGGCAGGCTATGATGTCAAGCCCCGGCTAAAGTACATCAATACTAGCCCAAATCAGCTGATAGCTTTATCTTGCCTACTCTTTCTGCTTCCTCTGCAAAAAGCTCTGCAACGCTAACCCTCAGCTCCTCCTGTCCATGTCTGGTTTTATCACCGTCATATGTATTGTCTCTGGTGCATGTTCGGCTCTGTAATCCAGAAGTCTGCTGCTGCCCTGACTGCCTTTGCTTTCCATGATTCAAGGGAGGTTTTTTGCTCTCTGTCTCAGGAATTTATACCTCCAAATAAAACTTGCTTTATGTAAAAGAAACATAAAAAGGTACATATTTAGTCTTTCTTGTAAAATACAGTTAAGGAAATTGTAAAAACACATGACCAACGGACAGATGCCATCCCTCATTTCAAATTGTCACAACTCATGATAATAAAGTCATAATTTTTCAAGAACTATTTAATGCTCATTCAAGAACAAATCAATTAACTTGATGTTTTATTCTAGGTCCTGTACCGTATTAATTCAGTACCTTCTTCATGAATTTCAGCAGACATGCCGAAAAAAATGACCCTCAAACCCCCCCAAAACTGCCTCTAATGTCAGTATTTGCAAAATAATACTTGCTAAATTATCATTTCTAGTTTTCACATTTCACACAGCAAGCTGTATTTACTCCAGTCACAGTCTCCAGCGTTCAGTGTGTTTTCTGACCAAATACTTTGACCTTCATCTGTAAATAGCTTAACTGGTCAATACTCATGAAACAGGAGACCAGCTCATCATGTGTTGTAACCCTAAATAGGAAAACACTATTGTTTCCTGCTACAGCTTCCAGCTGTAAGTGTTATGACTGTAGTTTGACCCTTAACAGGCTTCAGTACAAAGTATGCAGACTAAAGCATCAGCCCTAATCCTGTTATCTCACTGAGTGGTTGGTTCATTCACCTTCAATTTTATACTAACTCCCCAAAAGCCCAGCCAGAGAAAAGCAAGAGTAACAGTGAGGATCATCAGGTATTGTGGCATCTCTGTGCAGTGTGCTCATTCAGTGTACAAGATTTGGATTGGTAAGTGGTTCCCATTAAGTTGTTGTGGCTAATGTTAATCACATAAAGCAGCAGTAAAGCTTTGGCACCCTCTAGTTTGTTTAATTCCAAGAAAAAAAGCTGGAGATGGTTGTGCAATCTCAGCTGAATGTACACACAACATGAGACAAAGGTGATCTTGAACCGCAGCTGACCCCATATGGAGGTGGGCACGCGTAAGTAAAGATGAACATGTGGGCTTTGACTTTGAGAGGCTGTCTATTCTCAGTATCTCCAATACAAAACTTGGAACTGCGCCCATTCATTTCAAAAAAATGGGCAGCCAAAACAAAAGTCAGCCACTGAAATGGCGTATTTCCATCAGTCACTCACTGACCAAGTGACTTTAACAAGGCTGGACACAAGCATTTTTGCACGTCAGCCAATGAAGTACTGAGACACAAGCACAGATGTAAGCATTTCTTTACTCCTGCTCTTTTTAGAATTTCGTTGAAACAAGCACATTTTGACTTTCATGTGGTTTTGGTGGCAATAAAGAAACATGGGTGAATAATTGTCTATTTACGTCTGTTGCCTGAGAGGTCCACGGGCCTGAGCTTTCTCTCCTGCTTGATCTCGGCCAGGACAAGGTCATGGAGGGACTGCTGCTGTGGTGGAGGAGGAGGGAGGCTCCGCTCAGAAACCTATAGAGGACAAAGTGTTAAAAAAAAAAACAATTGTTGTTCCTGAGAAATTTCAATGACAAAACAGGCACATTCCCTTAAGTCCTTTATAAAAACCTCTGCAGAGCAACAGTCCTAGTCCTTTATTATATTTACAGACAAATTTACTTTGAGGCTACTCTTAATGACAAAACTTTGCATTGAAGTCTTGCTAGTGTTAGTTTAAGGTTTTTTTCAATCTTCTGCTTTCATTTGAAACACAGGTATCAAACTGGTGGTTCATAGTTGAGTGTAACAACCATACTTCGTTATTGAGAACACAGGATTCAAACACATGTTTAAGGGAACAGAGCAGCAATATTAAACCCCTTCTCATTAAAGTCAAACCACTGTTTATGAACAAGCAAAAGCTGCCAATGTGTATGACTTGTCCAGGGCATCTGCTGCAGCACTCATGATGGAAAGATGGATATCAAGAACTAGCAGAATGTTTAATTAGGTTGATTCTGTGCTTGGAGGGCATCAATATGAAGTCGTTGGCTGTATTAAGCAAAAACTGTCAGTGCCTGTGTTGGCGCTTAAAAAAGTTGCATTTATTTAGAAATGTATAAATTCAAAACCATTTACTTTAAACCTTTCGTTAACTGCAGACGCGTTTGTCATAGGTTGCAGCATTATTCTATTTTTATGCAATTCACATCAGTGTACTTTTTCAATTTTGTTTCATTTAAAATGTTACACCAGAGAAAGAAATCTCCAGCAAATCAAAAGGTCTTTAGGATTTCATTAATAATATTATATTTTGTGATTTTGTGCATTGTGTTTGTTTCCCTCACTTCACTGAAAAGTCACCAAACTGTCACTAAAAAACCAAAACTTTCAAAACCATTTTTGTGTTGTTACATCCTTGATAAGAAATAATGAGACCAGATGTAACAAAGATATGATACGATACAATATGATATGATACGATACTTTCTATCATCCACACTGGAATATTTGCTATAGACTCATGCTGAACATGTAGGGTATAAACAAAACAACATAAATAGGGGGATAAAAAGAGGAAGAAAGGGTACTTGTGATTTACTCTGGACCAAACAGCCTGAAGAACTATTATTTTGAATTTGGTTGAGGTAGACTCTTAATAGTTTTTAAGGCAGTTTGTATTGGGGTACCTGCTGGTTAGAACTCACATTCAAAAGTAGAGTTGAAGCAGTGGGTCAGGCAACACTCTTTGCATATGCTTGAGAACAGACTGCTGATTTACTGGCTGGAGGGGAAGGTTTCAGTCCTCCTCATAACTTTCATGGCAGTCTAAACTAAAATAAGTGAGCTCAGATTTTAACTGTGCTGAAAGGTTGCCATAAAATGCTGACACCTATTTCCCTATTATGCTCCCTGACACAGCCTAATATGATTAAAACATGGTACTTGTTCTTACTGCTGTGGTAAATTCACAGTACACCATATGGCTTAAACACACTTACTGGTTTAAGTGGAGGTCTTGATCTGATGAAATCCAGAATCATTTCATGAGCGTTTCTCTTCACTCTGGTAGGAATATCACCGTCTACCTGGGAGAGACCAAAGAAAGACAATAACACTGTTAATCATAAAATCAGGGGCAAACACTGTCCACTCAGAGTGTGGCCTCTTTTTGTACTATATAGTTCACTTTTATGGGAGGAACAAAATAAAATGAATGAATGAATATAATAAACTAACTTTATCTGCGTAAGGTTAATGGATTAAAAATATGCTTGCGTTGTCTCCCCATGGTCTGTGTGTCTCTAGAGTGTCCTCATAGCCACTAAAGCTGTCATATGTTGTAGTTCAAGGTCTAAACATATGGTGCATTATATTAACAGGCATTTTTTGGAAGCTATTTAATTTAATGTTTAATCAAGTAAGACGCGCCCTCCGCTCTTCATGTACTAATTTCGGTAAAACCAAAACGCAGTCCCAATAGAAAGCTGAAATAACAACAGAGTCCAGTGAATCCTTTCATTGAAACTGCTGCCAGAACAACAGAAGGCAGAGAGGAGACTTCATTAATATTAGTGTTCTGAGGCTGAATTATGCATCACCCAAAGGTAGCTGCCAATGAATGCATGTAACAATGCTGCAGTGTGTATGGTTTATTAGACAGCCTGAAAAAGAAGGTTTCAATGTCTTAACTCACAATCTTAAACAATCTAATTAACCATTTTATTCATCTGAAGAGATAAAAATCCTTTACACAGGTTCAAGATTTTAAAGGAGAAAGTCTTCATGTTTTTCGGTTTGATTTAACTGCTTTCAAAAGTCTTCACCTTTTTTGATTATAACAGTTCATAGCTACTAACTCAAAACTTACCTATCCACTGCCCTCAGCATTTACAATTAAACTGATATTCCAATAACTAAAAAAAGCTGTTATAACTCACATCACATTTAACACTCCCTCCGATGGTAATGTGCAACTGCAATGCCAAAAAGTTAAGATGCTGTGTTAAGTGTTGATAAAAACAGAATTCGGTGCTTTGCGAGTTAAATAAACCCTATTAGTCATTTAAAATAATGCAGAGACAATGCTTTCCCATTTTTGTTCAATAAAGGAATTCAGCTGCTCAACAGCTCAGGGTTTTAATGGGTGACCAGTTTATTTTAGCCCATGTGGTTATTTGCACTGCAGAGTTACCTCGGTTTTAATTCAGTGTCATCTGAGGGCCTAAAGATAACAGACGTTCAGTTTGGTTTTCTGCCTTTTTTCTTTTGTACAGAGATTTCATAAAGTTGAACGTATAAATCACTGTAGCTCCTGATTGAGTGTAGAGAGTGAGTAAAAGGAAAGAGAGACAAAAGGGACAAAAGGGAAAGCAGAGGTAGAAAAATCTGTGCAACTACAACCCTTCTCTTTCTGTTCACTACAACAGTCATTAACTATAAAAGCAGCATGGCCACTGCAGTGACTGCAAATTAGCTCATCAGACTGGCCGCAGGGAGGACCCCTGTTTGTCTTTATTTTCCCCTTTGATTGGAAGCTTAACTACTGCTTTATGACTGTCCGTCTGTCACATTTTCTTTTCCACTAATCTGACTGTAAATGCCACAGTATCACAGACCATGCTCTGTTAAAGTCGTATCTGCATGCACCATCTTATATTTTGTAGATTCACTGCTGTAGTTTACAGTTTTTGTATGTCAAACCTGGATCAAGCCTTTTTCTCTGTTGTTTCAGTCTTTTTTTTATTCCTGCAGTAAAAAAAAACAACTCCAAATGAAGCAGATTTCTTTCTAAGCAATGATGTGACTAGTGTCGGTCTAGGGTCTGTGATTTAAACCACAGAGTGGGGTCTTCTTCAAATAGTTGAAAGTTTCTATAGAATTGGACCAATTCAAATCAAGCACAGATGTGCAATAAAAGCATTGACAATTTTCTCTAATACTTGGACTGGTTTTTGATGAAGGTCTCGGCTCTCACCATGACTTTGCGTAACTGGAACTTGCGAGCTCGTATGTCCTGCATCAGCATCTCAAAGGGCGTGAGGCTGAACTCTGTGGGCAGTGAGTTGAACGGCTGCTCCTGCACCTTCTTCAGTTTCACTCCCTGCCGGAGCTCCTTCATCAGCTGCACCCACAGCCGGGCCTGGCATGAAAACAACAACAACAGGCACATCTGCATGAGTCGGCACCACGATACCGGCTGCATCTGTCAAACACAGAGTGGTATTGTTCCTGCTGTCACACTGTGCTCTCGCTCGCTTCATCTCACCCAGTCTCTGTGTTTCAGTGAGTCCAGCTCAGCTGTCGATCTGTCTTCCAGAGTTTCCTCTGAGGAGATTTTCTTCAGCATCTGTGCAACGAAAGCAGATACACACATTTTGTGCACTTTCAGTGAAATAATATGTACACCACTGAATGATAGATATTCCTGGTGTTGATGATTGTCAGTTGTTGCTGCAGCAACACATTTCCTAAAAACCTGTACAATATGGCCTCACAAAACCATTACTGTGAATGTAAACATGTCTTACTAATATATCTGAGCAAACAGAGTGTTGTGAATCATATACTGTGGAATAATGTGGACTTTCTGTAGTTTTTCTGACTTGTTAGGGGAGCTAAATATAAAGTTTTCAGTTTGGGAACTAATTTATCTGAAAGGTTCAAGACAACATGAATTCTGGATCATTTGAAATGCAAAATCTCACTAAGCTATGATTTTATTGGACTCTTTGTGCTGCTACTGGAAGTGTTTCTGCCAACCTCCTGCATGCACAAATGTTAGAAGAGAGCTTCCAGGGGCAAGTTTAGCTCAGCAGTCCTATCACACACCCCATGCACAGAGGCTGTGGTCCTTGAAGCATACAGTCTAGGTCTGATTCCACCCTGTAACCCCTCCAATTATGTCATTTTCCACTCTCTCCTCCCAGTTTCCTACTGTAGCCACTGTTATATCTAACTAAAAAGGCATAAAAGCTTGCAAATAAACCTAAAAAACACACACATACACACCCATTGAAAAACAGCCCATCTTTACAGCAAAAATAAACATGTTTACAGGCTGGTTCAAAAGCAGCCCTGGCCTGAGTAGCTCTTTTTTCAGCACACTATAATTTTCTACATAACTAATTAGTTTCCTAGACATCAAGGTTGCAAGTTTGGCATTTTTAGGGGTATAGTTAATTTGCGTGACAGGTGGGCAACCTGCAGCAGCTGTTAGCAAGAAGGCTAAAGACCTGTCTGAACTCCACCCTCTTGATTCATTCTTTGTTGACCAAAAGGCAGATTAAGCAAAAAATTTGAATAGGACAACTGCTGTCAATGCATTTCAAGACTCAGCTCCAGATATCAGTGGGTAATAACACTGACATTACATCCTTTATTCATGTAGTCTATGACTGAGCTCTGGAAGAAAACTGTGGAGGAAGCTGTTTTGGTTTTCATCTGTCTCTGCTCTGTAATATAAACAGGAATATAAATGCAGGAGTGTCTAAGCATGTCAAATCAAAGTACACACACTCACTGAGGTGCAGGTCTGAGGAGGCAGAAGTGCACTGGCAGAAATGAAAGCAGGTCTTGTAGACTTTCCTAAATCAACTTTCCTGATGTTTCTAATTTTGAAAGATTCTTCAGTTTAATAATAACTTTAACTATATGCAATTTGGAGGAGATACAGTGTGTCCATAAGATTAATGTGAATGTGCCAGAGAGGGGGACACAAAAGAGAAAGTTGAAGAAAAAACAATGACATTTGTTCAGATAAAACAATATCACAGGATTCTCGGTCATCTCCACAAAGTTTATCCATAAAGGTTTCACACATTTGACCCACAAGATCTGCAGTTTGACTAACACATCTTTCTGAAGACACATTAAGAAAAAGTTCTTCACAACAAATATAATTCATCAATCCACTCCTCGAATGTGAGGGGTTGGCAATGACAATCAAAGTGGTAAACTGCAAGAGCAGGTTCATGTTAGGTCTTCTATTCGGAGCTTTCTGAAACTCTATCCTCTAAATATATTTGGGAGCATTTGTGCAAATAACTCTTGTGGTGTGACCTTTCGTTCTATTTCATTATAAAACCTAAAATGGTAATGCCTGCTCAGAGTGTTATTGCATCAGTAAAGAATGATGTGTGCCTCAGGTATTACGAATCAGTCACTGTTATGTTCAATCCAGTGCAAACATAACCAAACAAGCATCTGCTGGAGATTCTGAACTTTTAATGATGACTTTACATTAGTTAGTATGAAGTTGTTGGATGTGATGTGGTAAATGTGGAAACAACGGTGGGGTAGCACTGTGTTTGCAGTATATTACAGTTGTAATGCTTCCAATTTAAAGACTTCAGCACCAGCACTGCTAAAGATTTAAGTTCCACAATATAGAAAACATCGGTTGTGTTGCTAATGGTCTCTTTTGCTTCAGTTGAATGATACTGGGTTGGCGTCTCGTCAATTAGAAAGTGTAGTGGGTGGTGCAGACCCTTGTTGGTCATCTTTAAAATAAGAGGCCAAATATCAGCCTTTGTTTGGTTTTTAACAAACTAACCTCTTTCGCATCTCTGATCTTGATGAGGAAGGTCTGCAGCTCCTGAGTCTCCACAAACAGAGCCCTGCAGACAGCCTGATAGTGCTCTGGAGCCAGGGTGGGGTTGGCCAGTCGAGATGCACATAGTGCCATCACCTGCCGAAAAGTACAAACCGGCCTTAAAACTCCATCCTGGTCCTCCTCCTCTTCTTCTTCCTCCTCTTCCTGTCCGCTGTAGCCCTCATCTGTTGTACCACTACCAGTGGTGCTATCGCCCTCTCCGGCCTGGTCTCCTCCCACCATGTGCTCGATGAGCTGCTCCAGCTGAGGACCGAGCTCCCGCTCCTCACTGTCATCAAGCCCCCAGTCCAGAGCTCGGTAGATGGCCACACCTAGAGACTGGACCACCTGGAAGGAGCAGAGAGGTAAAATTTTGAGCCTTAAAGACACTTGTGTCCGATACAGTATTCTTTGGAGAAAAACTGTACACCTGGTTGACAAAGATTTTGTCTTATAATGTTGGCTTGGATATGAATAACTAAGTTACACTACTGCACCATGTGCACAAATGCTCACAATGTCTGTTGTTGGAAGGCACCAATTGTTTTTTTTTCACAGGCAAACAGAAGAAATTAAACATTTACATGTAGACCAGATTTCCCAAGAAAAGCTGCTCATGTCTAAAGATTCATCACAAACTCACAGACTTCAAACTGGTTCTCACATATTGCAGTTTTGCAGTTTGTATTTATTTTTTATCCCGTGTGTACAGCACTTTGTGATACAAGCCATGTATGAAAAGTGCTTTATAAATAAAGTGATTGATTGATTGATTGATTGATATTGTGGCTACAATAATTATATGAGGGCAGTGCATTACAGTCACCACTGAAAACATCATTCAGTGTTAACAGCACCGTGCCCACAGATTGTGAGATTTTCACATGCATGGCTCTTTTCTTTTCTCCCCTAAAACCAGGTTTAGTTGGTACATTTGCAACAAACTGACGTTTTTAGATATACCATTCAACACTCACTTTAATGCAAAAGATGCATGAAGTATGATTGATGTGGCAATTACATTGTTGTAGCTACACAGATCTAGTTTTGTATGTGTGTGAAGCATAAATGAGATTTGAAGTGCAATGATGTTTGCATTCAGTAAAATGTCTTTTGCATTGTGAAATGTTTATGCAGTTGACCTTCAGAGCCACCATAGAAGATGTATGATGGCAATTTTTCAACTCCTCCAGCCAGCTCACTTCTCTCCATGCTTTGGTTTGCTCAGCTTGGACACACATAACTAAAAAGCATTCTTATGGTACGAGGAGCAATGTTCACTGGAAACCAGTTCTGCTACCTGATTTCAAGCCCATAAAGACTGATATGGACCAAAAGTAAATACAGTTTGACAGCCCAACAACTAGGCAGTGAACAGGTTCTCATTTGCTAGAATCTCATACTGTGTTTATTAAGTTAAACACGAAATACCACAAACCAGCTTATCAAACAGAGATATTTAATAAAAACAACATATGTAAGAAGACAGTGATTCAAAAGTGTAAAGCACAGAAGACACTTGATTGTGTGACTTAATTTCATAATGTGTGAAACAAGCCTGTTATTGCTGGAACCAGACAAGTGTGCCTGTTGAAATAAAGATGGACTTCGAGTCTTTTCTTGCTTTCTTACCTGACGCTCAGCAGCAGGTGGAGGAGAAGATCCATCAGTGTCATCTGGGAGGACAGAGAAACAAACTAATGTAAGCTCTCAACCAATAAGAAAGTGGGTTTGTTTTGACCAAGCCCCCCCCTCAAAATAGAAAAAAAAAAAAATTTGTACTAATAGCTGTCAATCATATTATATTAAAATAACTTTAAATACAATCATTTTAGATATAGATTTCATTCCATTTCAGATCAGTAAAAAAAAAAGACAGTTTTTGATATTTTTTCATAATATTTTTCACATTTTGGAAAATTAAGCTCCCTTCTTATTTATATCTTTATATATTTCTGTTTATTTGTTGGAAAATGACAAAGCACGGATGATTGTTGTGGACATTTGCGCTATAATCCAAGAGAAAAGCATGCCAGAGATAGCATAAATGCTGTCCTCACGGCAACTTGGCACTGATTGGTCAAGTCAGTCCAATTTGCTTTCACAGAACAGGCACAAATCCAATGTGCTACTAAATAAAAAGCAAATCAAGTTTTAATCCTCAGAGTATTTGTAGGATTTGATTTGAATAGCTGGCACTTCAAACCCTGATTTTGTGCTCCTTAAAGCTTCTGTGGGGAGTTTTACTTTTACAAAATATACTGAAATTCATACAGATGATTTTGGGGGATATAAAAAAGCAAACAAGAGCATCAGCAACAAGACTGAAGATTTTTATATTGTAATTTTTAATACCTCATACCAGCAGGAGGGTCGGCTTGAATCAGCCTTCCCATTTCTATATAAAATCTTCACCATAAAAACTAGCAGGATAAGATATTTTCAGCTTTGTCCACTAAATTGGTTTAAATAAAAATCCTTTGTCTTGTCCTCTTCAAGTCTTTGTCTTAAAGCAGTAACAGCCATGTTAAAATCCATGACAGCCCTTGTTTAATGTAAGCCTGAAACCACAACAGAGAGAAGAGTTAAATATGCTCGGCTGAATGAAGGAATTTGTTTCATTTTTAAAACCTTCCTCTGAAACTTGGGCCATATTTTTCACGGTTTTGCCACTATATTGGGAAAAGGATCCCATCGAATAATAATAATAATAATAATAATGATAGTAATAACTCTTCCACCTTACACGTGAGTCACACAGAGCTAAACCATATTTCAAAACACTCCAGTGACTCTTTAGGGCGTCTTTGTTTATGCCTATTCAAAATAAAAGCTTTCAATGAACAGATGGCACTTTGTAGTAATGTCAAGATACATATTCATAGTTTGAGTTTAATTTGGTCATTACCTCCTGTGTTTGGATCTAAAACACAGTATCAATTAGAAATGTTGCCAGAGGCAGCTTTGAACAATCTGTCTGATTAGTCAGTGAGTCGTCTGCAGAAAATTCAATATGGTGCACCAACAGGATGCTCTGAACTTTACAGCGATAACAAAAACAAAGTCTGCATGCTTTAAGTCTCTAATTCTAAAATGTCTCTGCATGTGTGTTTGTGTGTGTTTACGTGTGTGTGAGAGAGAGCGAGAGAGGGAGAGAGAGTAAAAAAGCTTTTTCTCCCAGCTCAGATGTCTGTAATGACACCCAGGAGACCTGAAAGCCTCCGGTCAGCAGCTCTCTCTGCAGAGAAACTCGAGAGTGGACGGGGATGCAGACAAAGACAGAGAGAGTGAGAGAGGACCGGTGGAAAGATCAGGATGAGGGAAGAGAGAGATGAAAGGAAAAAGTGAGCGAGAGACTTTGATCCAGCAGCAGCAAAAAAAAAGATGGACAAGTGGGGAGAGTAGGTGTGGACAAAGGGGGAGTCAGCCTGCCACAGCATCCTGCCCTGTCAACAACAAAGAACAAAGTGCTGAGATGAACACAGGAGCATCACTGTGTGCTCCATGTGAACACTCACTGCTCCAATCTGCAACAAAAGGTGACAACTGACACTGAAGGAGGGCAAAGAAATGCTCTATTATGACGCCCATCCACTTCCCAATAGAGTCTGCGAACATAAACCCCCTTCAAACCTGTCAGACCGGTTCAGATAATACCTGCACCAGTTTCCCACAGTTACAGGTCAGTGAACATAAAAGAGGCGAGGCACCCACACCAGAAACTCCACCAGGAGACCTGCTGCTCAGACCCCGGAATCACAAAAACACTGAAAACGCAACAGGCTGTGTAAAAGAGGATGTTTCCGTCTTTCAGACAAACTGACATTTAATGCTGTCCAGAAGCATTTTTGAGAACTATTAAATAGAACCATATTACTTTAGGATATTTATTGTTGTTAAAACACAAACAATAGTTGTTTTTTTGTTAGGTTTTTTTTTTTTTTTTTTAAGTTTCAAAGAGTCAGGTTTTAGTTTTGCATGTCCGGTGTCATCGGTAAGCTCATTTGAACAAAAGGATGAATCGAGAGATCAAGTGATTAGCATGTTTCAAGATATCAACCAATGTTGGCACAGGTAGAATCTTCCCTTTAAAGTTCCTGTTTGGAGGTTTTTGATCTTTATAAAATACACTTAAAATTCATGTGGATGCCTTTTACTCTTTACGACTAAAAAAAAGACCATCAGGGACAAGATTGAAGACTTTTAAATATTGTAATTTTCAATACCTAAAATCAGTGGAAGAGGGAAGGTGTCAGGCAGGCAGCCCTGTTTCTACATTTCCACATCTAATATTAAAAGATAAATTCTATATTTGACTGCAAATGCATGTATAACACTGTGTGACTAGAGCATAGCCTAATTCTAATTTCAGCCTGTCAATCAGCTTGTGCCCACGAAAAAGGCTGTGCTGGTTGTTTGGGCACGCACAAGCTTGGGTGAAGAGGACACCAAACAAAAAAGGACACACTGAGGGAAAACAGTTTCAGCAGAGAAAGGTGATATGACCAAGTGGTTTTTTAAAACTACGGCTCAAAAACACACGAGTCCACAAAACACCTAAGGTCAGTCACTTTAAGTTTTCTGTGGTGTGCTGTTAACCTGTGCTGTGTGTCTTAAGGACAGTGATCTTCAGTTCCCAACTGTGAAGGAAACAACAAGTGACAGTGAGACCGGTCCATGAGTCTGTGGTGAAAGACACTTCGTCAACACTGTGAAACAGCCCTTAATTCTGCTTCATACTTTTACCACTCTCTCAGTTGTTGTCTGCCATGATGGTGGCTCATACTACGGCTCAACAAACACCACCAGCTCACAGAAGCCTCCTCCTTACGCTAAACCCAATGTTTTCAGCAAATGTGGTTCAACACTGAACTGGAGTTTCTGTAATATACAAGTTTAATACAGCAGATCTTGCACAGTACCTGATTACTCATGTATTTGCCCAATTCCCTAGAACAAATCTTGTCAAGTAACTATATAAGAAGAAAACAAAAGCTAAAGTCAAAATCAAGGTAAACTGATCAGTTATTGTGCTTTTCATTGAGCCCACATCACACAGCATCTAAATGACAGTGTAACATTAGACAATGTTTAGGGATACATCCTCCAGACTCGGCTTACAAACTTTATCTCATTCATTAGCTTTAAGTAACACATTTCATCTGGGCTTAAGATGCAAAATCTTTATCCTGAGCTGGTCTGCGCTCACACTAACACACTCTCCCAGGACGGCCTTTGTCATCTGTTGCCATGGTAATAAGATCTGCGAGACAACATTGCAAAGAGACCACAAAGTGACAGAGAGTGAAACTTGGCAGGGGAGAAAAAGGCAAGTCATGACCGACGGCAAGAATCACAAAGAGGATATGAGCTGATGTAAAGGGAGGAGCAAACAGTCAGGTAGATACCTTCATCATCTAAAAGTGCATGTATGATAGAAGGGTCACCTTTGTGTCGACCCCAAGTTGACCTTTGCACTAAGGTGATAACTTTAAATCACTCTCCATTCGGTATGTTGAGTTACTATGTTTTCATTGGACTTTGAACATGTCTTGTGTGTGTCAACACAGCCAACAACAAGTTGGCATTGATTCTGATCCTGATGCTGATATTTGAAGGTAGTTCCTTGCAAAAAAAAAGAGACTGAGTTACTGATTTGCATCAAAGCTCCCCTGTGTGATCAGAATGCAGTTATTCTGGGAAGCAGAGGGAGGTGTGGAGGAACCTTGCAAATATAAACTTTTGAGAGTGTTTAACAGTCCACAGCAAGCAAGATAATGACGGGTCTCACTATTGACACAGAGGTGATGAGCACATTTTATCTGGACTTTGTATGTTGACTTAAGATGTACTTTGTGGATCACTTTCTCATATCTCAGGATCTCATTCCTTACTCTGTTTACTCTGCAGAGGTTTGGATACAGTCGAGCTGATGCAGGAGGAGGGTAATCAGAGACGAATCAATGACAAATCAGGAGCTTTTCTGATGCTGTTGTTGAATCATCAGATGAGCAGAGTGAATATGGGACACAGCATCTTTTTATGAGGAGCAGTTTGATTTCCATTTGACTGAATGTCAGTTATTTAAGATGCTAAGGACACTGGATCATTAAAGTGACCCTCACCCATGCGAGAACAACACTACAACAAAGCATTGTTGTATTTTGGTTGAGGATGTACTTAAGTTTATTTATCAGTAAAATGTTGTTCGGCTGGTACTAGAATAAGCGATCAGTTATAGTTATTTTTGATGTTTTTATTATGGTAGACCAAAAATTCAAGTCATAAGTTTTTGTGCTCTCACTGTAGCTAGCTCCCTAAATGATATGACATATATCCTATGCCATGGATACAGATGGCATTTTATCCGGTGTGTCAGACTTCTATCTGGAAAGTATGAGATAAAGTCACATGTAAGGTGTTTCTGGTTACTCGACCACAGAAATGCATTATCAGTGCAGACATGTGGACATTGCTCTGCAAGGACGGCCAAAGGCTGGTGGTGGTAGCTCCACTAATGTTTGTGACAGTTCGCATTTCCCTGCAGACCCTGAAACTGCAGCCATGAAGTCAATTCAGTCCTGTATGCTGGCTGCACATATTAAAAGGATTTGCGAATGGAACCAAAATCAACCCTCATTATTTTTTTCCAAACACAGATTTTCTTGCCAAATTGAAAAACTTTAAGAAAACTCTGAGTAAGAATTGGGTCTAATAGCATCTGGTAACTCTGCATGTGTTGTATGGTGAGAAAATAAATCTCTGTCAAAAAAAGGCTTATATATACAGCACAGTGACTCAGTCTGTATTAGAGTTTGGATTCCCAGCAAAGACGTTTAGGGCCAGATATTCACCGACAGATGATGACAGTGACGTCAGTAATCTGCACTCTTGTTCTCATACTCTCCAGCAGGGACATTCTCTCATGCTTTGATACCAAAAAGACACTCAAGATAAGGACATGGAAGCAAAACTGTTGAAGAGATCAGCTTTCTCTGACTGCTGCTGCTCACTGCTGGTGCTCCAGCTTTTATTTCTTCAGTGCCTGCTCGTAGCAGACAGCAGAAACTCATTTGGTAAACAGAGGGAGTGTGCAGCATGTCAGAGTGGAGGAGGTGTTTTTTCTTCTCTGTAGCAGTGACTCAGGCTCGTACATCAGGTGTACACTTACATCAAAACGCTGTAGTGCAGCTTCAGAGCCAGCTCGAATTGGGATTCACATTAACTTCCTCCTTCTCTGCGGACTGATGTACAACCTGATGAAGTTTAAACTTACAGAAATTCATTCAATACTCTAAGGCAACCGGCTGTGAATACTGATGATGCTGATGTGGGGTATTTTTTTTAATGCCGACAGGATGGGCGGCATGCAAACCCACCAACACTTGATTTCACTTCCATTTTATCACACTTAGCAGATCTGTAGCTCCCTCATTTCTTCAGTGATTGACAGAGATGAAATACAGGGGAAATGTGTCAGATTTTACCAGATTTGATTTGTTTCATGGCAGGTGAATGACTTTTGCAGGAGTGCAACTTTTTGGTAGACAGAAGTCAAACTTTGATCTTTTCTTAACCAGGATAGTTTGATGTGATCAAAGCTCTACAGAGCAGCTGTAAATCAAACTCAAGAGTAGGGATGTTTCAATCCTGATCTTAACTGACTGATCTGTTGATGAAGCTTTATTTTAATCTTTATTTGCTGTAAACAGAGCACAATCCGCGGCAGAACCCAAATATGCAAGTGACTTAGCAAAGGCATTTCCCACTCTCTCCAATGTTTTTTTTCTGTCAAGAAAAGCCCAAAAAATAATCCTTACATAAAAAAACCCACTGAGAAACAGATGACACACTCGGGACAAAAACAAACAACAAGTACATGGTAATTTTGCTTGATATCACCAAATGGAAAAGGGATTTATTTTTGTTTAAGCTAAAGCCATTACACCACTCTGAGTAGAGTTTTGATTTTAGATGAGAGTTTTACAGAAAATGATACCTGGACTTAGTGAAATGCAATAAGCTGAAGTTGAGTATATTCCAAATAAGCTGATTGGGATGTTTCTGCTGAAGAGTTTAGTTTTCATTTAAATTGTTATATAAGTTAAGAAACTTTATGTCTCGTTTGTTACCATGTTTTAATTGTTGTATTTTATCAAATGAAAAACAACTTCAACAACAAAGTCTCAATCAGCTGACCTGCTCTGTCATAATTGGCATATGCAACAGCTGGTGAAAATCTGATATTGGTCGACCACTAGTCAACAGTTCAAACTGCAGACTGTGGAAAAAATGGGCATAGTCTCTGTGATGCTATCCCTTCCTCTCTGAGATAACATGAAGCCAAAAAATGATGGGTGCCATATTGGAAATACAATCAAAACTTTTGGTCATCCTAAACATGGGCAAGTTGGTGGAGCCAAGGCTGGTTTTCAACCTACTGGCAAACAACCACATCATGTTCGCCTCTCCATCAGTTCCTAGTTTTGCAAATTATTTTGAACTATTTATTTGAACTATTATTTTCAACTACAAGGATTGATTTGATTTGTTTTATTTACAGTAAAAACAGGGAAATTTAAACTCTGGACATGATGGGAGTTCTGGGCCTTTGCAGCCAAGTCCAAGTGGAACTGCAGTTTTTTGCCTTTCTGCTTTGACTTCTTTTTCAACACCAGAGGTTGCCTTTTGGTTCAAACTCCTTATCTTCAGTCAAAAAGAGCTCAGTAACCAGCTTGAACACCTCACAGCCCACTAATACAAAGCTCCAGTCTTCATAGTTCAGTACAGTGCAGAAAGAGTCCGTTTTGCAGCTCCAACTCTTCGCCGAAACTGAGTGTTCAACTCTTCTGCTGCTGCATACTTTCATTGCCCGAGTCCACAATATACAGTTAAGTTGTGAAGAACTATGAACACATTTGGTCTTCACACCTTAAAGTGACTTCTTCTGTTCAACCAAAAGTGAACCACAAAGATTATTTCTGATTATTGTCACAAATCAATAAATAGAGCAATACCTGTACATTTTATATGCAGGAAACAAGCAACAAGTAAGTTACAGATTGATCAGATAAGTTGATCAAAAAGAGCTGCAGTGTTAAATTTTCAGGTTTTCCTATGACCACTAATACTATCTAACGTTTGGTGTGACTCTCAAAATACCAAGTTTAATTTCAAGATCTTCTAAAAGAAATAAAACCTCCAGTACTGACTTTGTCCCTTTGCTTGCACAAAATAAGACCCAATAATGGTAAAGTGGTTTGGACACCCTACTGTAATGGGTCGATAAAATAGTCTGCATCAACAATGCCTCATCCTTGGATCACTGCTGGTGTTTTTTTTTCTTCTTCTGTAGCCCAGCTGTCTCAAAATAATGCTGATTTGGGATGAATTCAGCCACTTAAAGCATGCAAATGGTCCTCTGGCTGCACTAACAATGTAAACAGAATCACTACTCTACTCGAGAGTGGCTTGATGCTGGTTAAGGGATTTGTTGCCCTGCTTTGATAAAGGCTGTGTTTACTTATAGATCAGCCGAGCATCAACCTACACAAGCTGCAAGTATAAACAAGCCAGTTAATGAGAATTAAACATCTCCTCTGTGAGAGCTCAGAAATAATGAGAGCGATGAAGTGTTTGCAGCAGAGAAACAGGGAACTAGTTCACCGGGATCTGAAGTACCCCCTCTTTGGTTCATTAGAAGGATATTAAGTGTCCAAAGGTGATGGGGAAATAAATGGGGAATATTTTCTCTCAACTATAGTCTGACTAAGCAGAATACAAACACAGATTATGATCTCACAACAATAATGAAGCCAGTGTGACCTTTAAAAATTAACCATTTTTGTTCAATATTTTGGCAATGTATAAATTTCTCAACTACCAATCCTTTGACATAGTTGCCATCCTGTTGCCAAGCAACAAGCCTTAAGCATCACCTAGAAACAAACTGTAAACTTCTCTTGTTAGATTCTTTCACAGGTGCTGCTCAGGTGTTACTATGGTGAATGAACAGCACAAACACTGCTTGTTGGTCCAGTTTGAAGGACACAACCTTGAAACAATTGCATGGACATTTAGATCAAGGTACTTTAAGGTTTAATGGGTTCCTTAAGTGTCCATAAGAGGTCCCTCTGCAGATATTTACAGCTAATTTAAACCTGACTTTAAGTCTAGTTGAAGTTACTGTTTTGGCACTCAAGCCGCTGAAGCACTTCTGTTAGAATAACACAAGACTCGGGTTTTACGCAAAGATGTGAGTTTCATTCAGTGGGGAAACAACAAGAACTGTATAATCCTTTGGGCTTGTATGCACCCTTTGAAGTCTCCGAAACAGACTCTGTAAGAGGGGATGCAAGGATGAAGCCGTGCTCCATGAATAATTTATCATTTACCGGCGAATACAAGTCATCACTGTTGGCATGAGGAGTGCGACAAAACACGGACTTCACTGTCCCAAACAATCCAGAGTCGTTTAGTACAGGAGAAGGCAGAGGAAACATGATCAAATAATTCACTTGAATGTGCTTCTTAAACAATATTATGCTTATAGAGAGGAACAAGACAGCTTGGAGGTGTTTGTTTCTCACTAACGAACAAGATGTTCCTGTGTACCAAACTCCGTCTGATATTTGATCATTTCTCATGCAGCTGTCTTTAACTCTGGTCCTTCCCGGAGTGATCACGATTTAATCTCTCCAGGGAATCACTAAAAGTGTACTTTCAATTCTGCAGTCATGCGGACAGCCAAAAGGTCCTAAATTTGTGCAAAATTAAACATTAATACTAGAATGCGCTGCATAATGCCATGTGCCGCGGAGGGGATGACCGCGAGAGTCTGGCGAACCAGTTGAAGCGCCAGACTTCTTATTAAACATGATTTGTGGACATGACTACACGCCGAATTGAAGTTTAATTGTAATATGCCCAACAGAATGTCTTACCAAACTGTTTTAACCGTCTTACTCTGTAAAATATTGACATATTTCTAAAATGAACGTTTCTAACAGCCAGGTCTGTATAGAAGAAACTCTAAATAAGCTACTCAGAAGGTGGAAGTTTGGGACGTTATCCGACAGTTGACCTACCGTTTCGTCCGGGCTCCTGCTGTAACAACACGGTTCCATCTCTTTGGAGAAGGATGGAGGACGGGTCCTTCACCCGGCTGACTCTCCCAGCAGGCGGGCGGGGCACCCTCAACCCGCTGCAGCACTGGTAGCACACCGCCCATGCCTGCTCCTCGTTGATGGGCTGCTCGTAGGACTTCAGCACCTCTTCCAGAGACAGTTCCCGGGGCTCGGCCAGGTCCCGAGCCTCTGCGCGGTCCGTGGGGGCGACTACTCGTGAGTCCCCGTCCTCGGCACTTCTGTTGTTGGATCTGGCCATGGCTGCATTACCATGGAGCCCATCCTTCACTCCGCACGCGGCAAGGCCATCAGTGCGCTCAACGTCCGCTGTTCGGCCCACTCTCCTGCCCTGTTTTTGACGTCTACCTCTTCAACTACCGCAGCTGCACCTCGTTAACACAACACTGTCAAACTCACCATGATAAGGTCAGCACTTCCGGTCCAAGGATTCAAAATAAAGCCATCAAAGCGGAACACTTGTTCATCTGTGCGTTAGTTACTCACAGCAATCTTTAACTCAGTATGCTAACTGTACAAAAAACTAGTTTTAACGTGCATAAGAAGCACACTGAGAGCAGGGGCACATCTGGACTTTTTGGGGTGTGTGGTCCAACTGTAAACTGGTAAGGGTGGCTGGAAGAATGCGCATACACTTATATATATTTTCCTCACACGTTAGTTGCATTTTTTTTACTGTTTCAACAAACAGAGGGGAAATTAACTGGAGGCACCTCAAAGAAAAAGCTTAAATAACATGAACAAACAAGGGTCCATGTGGAAAATACTATGTCCATTTAGCAATTGCTGGTAAGTGCCTTTAGTTCACATAATTTAGTACACTGTTGTGTCTATTGTTGCACTTTTTAATATTGCTATTCTGGATTTAGTAATCCAAACTATCCAAACAGGAAACATTCATCAGCTGCCACTGTTTCACACTCCATCAGAGCTACTTTGCTTATTAACTCTGAAAAAATGATCAGCACTTTTTCAGTGTTTTTCGAGAAATACAAGTTAGAAATGTTTGGTCTTGTTTGTTTTGTAGGTTGTAAAGAGGGATCAGTATCAATATCAGAGTTTCACAAACAGTTAAAGAAAATAGGTAATTACACACACATAGGTGTAGGGCAACCTCAAATATTTGTAAGAAAAAGAGACAAAAACCGCAACCTGATGAAGACCAATAGGTTGTAATGTCTGTCTCCTTTTTCTCACAAGCAGATAAAAATATTTCTCAGGAGCTTTTAACCACATTTATCTAGCTCAGTTGAATCAGATATTTAACTAATATTATCATAACCGAACAAATCCATTCTCAAAGTTATTTGCCCCAAATCTTGTATAAATTGCAGTTGTTTATCTAATTGTACTGAGCTGTTGGAAGGGGGAAAAAATTTATTGACTTGATGTACAAGGGCTAAATGTGAAAGAAATCAGCTTTTAAGCTGCAAACTTTTGCAGTGTTGTTGTAACTGAGTTGTTTTTGCTTTGTTGTCTGCACGGCCACTTTACAAAGTGCATTACCAACTTAAATAGATATAAAAATAATTGATTTCAGGCTGGATAAGAGCAAAGTCAGATTTACTTCAAATATTGATGCTGTTGGTTAGTAGTTCAACAATCAGTTTGACCCTCATGGACATGTGTTTAAGGTAATTTTGTGTTCAAATTCACAAACTAATATTTTACTTTCATACTAGGCTAATTTTTTTGATATGAGGAGTTTTTGATAGGCTATAAAACAGGCTGAAATGAGCAGTGATGTGTTTCTATGATGTAAAAAAGCAAATAAGACCATTTCCTATACCCTAAAATGTAATGCCTTAAACTGCCGTGAGAGGGTAGGTACACTGGAGAAACAGCATTTGTAACTATTTCCACAGCAAATATCAGATGTGATTTAAAAAATCTCTCTTAAAAAAAAACTCTGTAAGATAAGATACTCTTTTATTAGTCCCACAAGGGGAAATTCCCATTTCAGTTCATCCTGTTCAAGAAACATAAAAAAGACAGGCATATACAAGGGTGGATAGGAACAGGAGAACTGTCGCCACAGACCGGCGCCCTGTTTTCTTAAATGAGAAAAAGGAGAACAGGAGGGAAAGAAAAAAAAAAAAGACAACCCAAAACTATGCTTCTGTAGGGGGGCACAGTGTGGGATTAGGGAAAAACACCTCAGAACATAATAAACACAATAAAAACATGAAGGCTTTGAGCTGAAGGGTGTGTGTGTGTGTGATTATATGTGTTCTTCGTGTATGTGTATGTGTAAGCCCGTGGCTTTGTCTCTACCTCAGTCCTTCCCATTTGTACCTGCCGTCTGATAACTGGAGACGACCTTGGAGAGTTCTGATCCAGAAACAAAGTTCACCAGAGGAAGACAATAATAATAATAATAATAATAATTTTATTTATATAGCACCTTTAAAAACAGAAGTTTACAAAGTGCTTAGACAACAGTTGTAAGCACAGAGCATCAGCACATTGAAAATAAAAACACATAAAAACAAAAGCTCAGTTAAAAACAGGCCTCTGAATTGTAGGCCTGTTTCACTTTTCGTAGGAAACCCAGGCAATACAAGAACCCTACAAAATAAATGGGACCATGAGGACCAAAATAAAAGCAAAAAAAAAAAAAACAGGAAAACAGGCTAGTAAGTATGAAAGAGGATATTAATAATAATAATAAAATCATAATAAAATAAAATGATGGTAATATAAATGATAAAGTGGAATTAAATATATATATATAAAATAAAGGAAAATGAAAACATTAAAATCAATAAAAAGATTATAAGTAAAACAAAGGCTAAAAAGGCAGTAAGTCTAAATAAGAAAGAGGTGAAAGAGGTAAAAGAAAAAGGAGAAAAATAAAAACGGTAAAAGGCAATAAAAGATGAAAGATGGCACCACATAAAGGCAAGTCTGTAAAAGTGAGTTTTTAAAATTGACTTAAAAGAAGCGACTGTCTCTGCACGCCTTATCTCCTCTGGCAGGTCGTTCCAAAGTCGAGGAGCTCTGATGGAGAAAGCTCTATCACCTTTAGTCTTGAGCCTCGACTTTGGAACGACCAGGAGGCCTTCGCCAGAGGATCTGAGGCTGCGAGTTGGCTCATAAGATATTAAAAGCTCTGAAATGTAGCTCGGAGTAAGTCCTTTGAGCGCTTTAAAAGTAATCAATAAAATCTTAAAATCAATTCTAAAGCTGACAGGGAGCCAGTGAAGGGAGGCTAAAATTGGGGTGATGTGATGCCGTCGACTAAAACCAGTTAAAAGTCTAGCTGCTGCATTCTGAACTAGTTGGAGGCGAGAGAGTGATTTCTTGTTTAAACCAGGGAGGAGAGAGTTACAATAGTCCAGTCTTGAGAAAATGAAGGCGTGGATTATCTTTTCGAGATCTGGTGGGGTGAGTATTTGTTTAATCTTTGAAATGGAGCGCAGGTGAAGGAAACAGGACTGGACAATCTTGTTGATATGGGTGGAGAAGGTGAGGTCTGAATCAAAGGTTACTCCCAGATTTCTGGCTGTTGGTTTGATGATTACTGAGTGTGGACCGAGACAAGACTGAATGAGGGGGGAGTTTTGTATGTTACAGAGAATTATTTCAGATTTTGAATAGTTTAGCTGAAGGAAATTTTGTGCCATCCAACAGTTAATGTCACTTAGACAGTCCATGACAGCAGCTAGGCCTCTTGGGTCCTCAGGTCTCAAAGGAAGGTATATCTGTGTGTCGTCTGCATAGCAGTGAAAGGAGACTTTGTGGCGCTGAATTAATTGGCCAAGGGGCAGCATGTATATAGAAAATAAAATTGGACCTAAAACTGAACCTTGCGGAACACCACAGGCGATAGCAGAAGTAGAGGAGGTGTGATTGCCTATGGTGACCGCAAAGGTTCGTTCTAAAAGATACGACTGAAACCAGCCAAGTGCAGTGCCCCTGACACCCACCCAGTTTTTAAGACGTTCAATTAAAATAGTATGATCAACTGTATCAAAAGCTGCACTGAGATCTAAAAGAATTAAAATTGAGCCCTCCCCTCTATCTGCTGCTAAAAGAAGGTCATTGGTCACACGGAGGAGGGCAGTCTCAGTGCTGTGACCTGCTCTAAAACCAGACTGAAATTTCTCAAAGAGGTTGTTTTCGGACATAAAACCTAAAAGCTGTTTAGAAACCACCTTCTCTAAAAGTTTGGATAAAAATGGAAGTTTTGAAATTGGTCTAAAATTGTTAAAATCAGAGGGGTCAAGGTTTGGCTTCTTTAAAAGGGGTTGGACCACAGCGTGTTTAAAAGCAGAGGGAAATACTCCCTCCACTAGAGAGCTATTAATGATTGATAAAATGCTAGGCCCAACCACGTTAAAAACCTCTTTGAGAAATCTGGTGGGGATAGAATCAAGACTGCACGTAGCTGGTTTCATTTTGACTAAAATATCAGATAAAAATGTTAAGGACACCGGCTCAAAACTACTAAAAAAGTGCTTAACTTCCCGGCTTAAGAGCACAGGGAGACTGGGAGGGGTGATTTGATGCCTGATGTCCATAACCTTGTTAATAAAATGAATTAAAAACTTCTCACAGGTTTCTTGAGAAGCATCAGTAAAATAAGAGGGGGAAGGGTTTGAAAGAGACTCTAAAACCTTGAATAAAACTCTGGGGTTTGAATAATTAGCTAAAATCAAATTTGAGTAAAATGCTGCCCTTGCATCCTTAACTGCCTTTTGGTAGTTTTTCAAGGAGTCTCTCCAAATTTCGAGGAAAACCACCAACCCAGTTTTCTTCCATTTGCGTTCGTTTCGTCTACAAATTCTCTTTAGTTCATGGATGGACTCTGTGAGCCAGGGTTGGGGTTCTCTGTTAGATCTTTTCTTTTTCAGAGGAGCTACAGAGTCCAGGATGGTTCCACACATACTGTTAAAAAGAGAGACAAGCTCTTCAGTGTTAAAAACTGGATTAAAATCTGGGTTGAGGGCAGTTAAAGATGCAGAGATAAAAAGCTCCGAAAACTTGCTAGCAGACGAAGCATTAAAAACCCTTCTAAAAACAGGAGTGTGATCGGTAAAAGAGGGCTGGGATAAAACCATGGAGAATAAAACCAGTTTGTGATCTGACACACAGATATCCTTAGTTAAAAACTCCCCAGGACTAAGTCCACTAAATAAAACCAAATCTAAGCAGTGTCCCTTTACATGAGTGGGTTCCTGTATAGCCTGGGTAAGATTAAAGGAGTCCAGAGTTTCAATAAAATCAACAGTTAAGGGTTGAGAGGGACAACAGACATGTACATTAAAATCACCCAAAATAAGAACTTTGTCATATTTACAAATAAAAAGGGATAGAAACTCTGAAAACTCCTGAATAAAAACAGCGTTGTATTTGGGTGGTCGATAAATGATTATGATTAAAATAGGTTCTTTCAATTTAACAATAAAAGCAAGGTGCTCAAATGAACTAAAAGTGCTGAAGGTGATGGGGGTGCATTTAAAATCCTTCTTGTATATGACAGCCACTCCCCCTCCCCG